TGTTAATATTGGTATATTCGGTGCTGTGATTTTTCCGCATTCCGGATCGGTTTCAATAGAGACGTCGATTTAAAAAAAACGGATTGAAATTCAAAAAACTTATTTACTTTTGTATGTTGTGTAATATTGGATTTCTTTCAGTTGCTTCTACTGATCGTTTTTTATCAATGTTTAGTTATTCCTATTATCCGGTTTTTTATAATATTGTGTAATTCGAGCTATAAGCTACAAAGTAATAAATTAAAAAAAACTGTACTGTACCTCTGGAATTGAAATAGCATCCGACTATTGAAAAGCCATTCCCAAATCTCCGCATTAAATTATCACGTTTATTTTCGAATGAAGTTTTGTATTGAATTTTGAATCCTCGGAAAATCGTAAATTAATGTGTCAAAAGTGATTTATTCCTTTATATTTTATCGCGCAGTTTTCGAACGTTTCGCCAAACGGTTAGCCCTCCCAAAAAGTTTCCTCCTTTATTACACAATGCAATTTCAAGCAATTGTTAACAATTTTTGATTGTTGTTGGTATTTAGGTGAAATTTTTCCGACCTAAAATTTTCTTCGGGGCAATTTTTGTAAAATTTACGACCGGCATTCCCGAATAAGCTCCTCGTGCCCCATGGTCGTTTGGCGAGAAATCAAATGGAAGTAACAAATGTTCCGGAGATCGTTTTCGTTGTCGATTTAGTTCGCACAATTTTTATTGTTTAATGATCTGGGCGAGCGTTCCATCGAGCATTGTATTTATTTTCTGGAAATTCGCAACCCGCATACGGTTAACGTTTCTCAATTTGTTCTAGATCTATATGATTGGGAAAAATGTCGCGGAAATCTTTGAATATTTTAAATCGGCATATTTTTATGGGGCTCTTTATAGGATTTTTTGCCGTGCTACATGGAGCTTGAATTTCTCAAGAGAATCCGTTTCGACCCCTATCGGAGTGGCAACCCCAAGGAAACGGCGGCAGATTTATGCATTTCCACTATAGGAAATAAAAACGACAGGAAACAGGAACGCTTCCCTCTTTTGCTTCCCTTTGACGTCCTAACTAAAAAAATACGGTTTTTTGCGTTTGGAAACTCGATCATAAAGAACCTATATCAGGTGGTGGATAAAAAAATTAATAAACGACTTACTTCAACCGTTTCCGTTTGTCCGTTTAACGAAAATGTATAACTAAAAATCTATCAAACCGCCGACAAGCTATAGAATATTCCCAATGTATCGGAAGCGATCCCATTGTAAGGCTCTTATCGCTGGCGAAATGATCTTAATGGTATTTTCATTCGCACGTCTGTCATTTTTCATTTCGGATTTTTATCTCCACTATACTAAGTACAAAGATAAATAGCGTCGCATCAAAAAACTCGTTACATAAACTAAAAATTACTTAGCCAAAGAGGAATAATTTGAAAACTCGGTACCTAATCTTCCTATATCGTTAAAAGTTTCTTATATAGCATAAAGCGAGTCACTTGAGTCTTTGCAATTTCGGAAAGTTAGGCAAATAATAATTAATATTCGATATCAGCACTGAAACTAATTTAAACTAGCGTTAACTATCAAAATTTGAAATTCCAAGTTTGCATTTTTTTCGAATATTTAACACAACTTTTATTAAAATTTCTAATACCTAAACACTTTAAAGTTTATTCATCTGGAATGCCTCCTACCAATTTGATAACAGTTAAAACGAGGTGCATACTTTAAAACTAGAACGGTAATACATAGTTAAAGCTCAATAATTCTCTGTTTTATTACTCTCACAATTTTTTATCACAAGTACAAAAACATTTTCGTTTTATTGACTTTATCCTTTAAGATTAAAGCATAGGATTCATCCAGAGAGGTTTGTATAAAAAGTAAGAAAATGAAGAGAACGTCTGCGAGACTACAGACAATCTATCATCATGAATCAGATGAAACGTCCTATTTAAGAAGTCCCATTTAGAGGTTTCTTATAAGACACTAAGCAAAGAGTTTTGTATTTTATATTTCATTCAACTTTCGTCCTTTCAAGGATAAGTTCTTTTCAATAAAATAAAGGCATTATTTTCTTTCAAAATCAACCGAACGACTAGCCCATATAGGAACTGATGAACATCCGGTTTACTATTGATTTCCTTTCCCAAAGGAGGTAGATATCATAAATTTGCAATTTAATTGCAGTTTCCATTGTCGCTATAAACGGAGCGGCTCCTTTATATCGGGAAACTCCATTTAAACATTATTAAATTATAGCCGGTGTTTGCCTTAGAAACACCTACAAGGCGAATTTTGATGTATCCATTATGTTATCCGCCAAGCCGTGAGGTTGGATAAAAGTTTGCCCCGAAGGATGGCTTCATTGAAACTAGATCATGTTTTCCTATGCCTAATATTTATGTATAAGTAGATTAATTTAATTAGCAAAATGCGTTTACAAAATTATTTGATGTTCAAAATACATATCAGACGTGGTGTGAATAGTGGGTTGTTAATGAATAAATTTTATCATCATTGCGTAACTATTTTAGCGAACTTTCGGTCGAAATAATCACGAAAAGCTCTTTTTCCAGTTTAATACCGAAATATGTTCCAAGCAGATTAACCGTACCCATAGCGTATAAGTGGCAATTAACGTGCCCTCAGCCATACCCGGGCTTTTTTTTTATTTTTGAAATATGAACGGCAATTAATGTTAATTGTAAGTATTATTCGGTAAGGGTCTAAATTAAAAGGGATCGCGTATACAGTACAAAGGGCTAATTAAACCGAACGGATGGTCGGACACGTGAGTTGTTTTCGCTTCCAATTGCGCAGCATTGCGGTTACCAGGTATATGGTATCCTACGTAACGTCTAATGAAAATATTTCTCTTGTCACAGGGCCGCGTTTTAATTTTCTCCAATTAGTTTTATACACATTAAATGTTATAGTGATTTCATTGTATCAGTATTCGTTAGTTAAATAGTGCAATCAAAAGATTGCTTCATAAAATCACTTCATAGACAATTAAACTACACGACTGTAATTGGGTCAATGTTAGGTCTAAGGTAATAATAAAAATGGAAGATAAAAAATAAGGAAAATTCAACGCCGGTTTCACGGGATAGGAAATATTGAATATGTGCAAAAAATCTGCTAAAGCTTGTGGAGAATTGTCGGGTCACGTTCGGCTTTGTTGGCTGTGCGGATAAAATGATGGAATACAAAATATCGTACAAATACAAACTCTGATTAACAATGCTAAGTTATTATTAAATTACGGAATGGTGAGGTCGAATAAGCAGAATTGTGTTTCTGACTTTGGTTTATGTACTATGCTATGAAAATTTCGAGAAGTCAATGACATTCAAACATGCCTTACAATGTTATAATCAAGACTGTGTAATTCAATGTAATTATTTAAGTTATACATCGATTATTACACCACATACATAAACAAAAAACTAAAAATACAATCCTATTATCCTCCAACATTCCATGAATTCCAATGTACGTTTTTTTTTTCAATTTTTAACAATGCGGATTTGAAATAGTAGAAAACGCATATTTGAAATACAAACATTGTGAATGTTCTATATGAGAACAAAAAATTGAAAAGCTCTGTTTTACGTGTAAAACATCGATTGATTTATTATTGTAATTACTGATGAGAAAATTACTTACTACCATGACACAGAACATGCACAGTAGAATAAAAACAAGTTAATTACAGGATGGGCGTTTTATCGAAAAAATCTCTCCCACCAACCAATATTTTTTTTTTCCGTATATAATCACATTTTTCCTTAAAACATCACAACTACTAATATCCAGGTTAACTTAAGTAGTTTCAGCAGGTGCTTTTGTTAAAAATTCTAAAATATAAAAAAAAACTATAGTGGCTATTGTATGCTTCCTTGATGGACAAGTATACTTAAAATACTAGTCAGATGTAACACCTCCGCGTAAAAAAGTCGCACAACAGGAAATCGATGCTTCTTAATTACAGCGGAGCTTTTGAAGCTGCCGCGATATAAAAGAACCGTTTCTTTTTCGACGAGCGTTAAAAATACAAACGGGAGTAACAGGAAAAGCGTTACTCAACGATCGATACTTTATTTCCAAACGGGGCGAGTTTGGATGTTTTCACTTGAATTTCGAACATTCAACAATATTGTACAGTGTGTAAAAACCGTTCGTTCATCTGATGCGTGATTTATGCAACATACAAAAATTCGTCTCTACCAAGTTTCCGGTAAAGTCGCCCTTGAAAATCCCGGATTTTGTCGCGAAAAGCCCGTCACTTGCCGGAAAGGATGAAAAGAATCGTTACTCATGCTAAGTTTGTTATAAGTCGAGGGATAGGGGACTTCAATGCCGACTCGTCAGGAAAATATGTTTGCATAAGGCATAATTGAGTTGAAATTTGTGCGATTCGAGTGATTTATTTAGACTCACAAATTTGTTTCCAACAGCACTGAATTCGGGAACAGTTGGTTCTAACCAAAATCACAAAAACTGACCCGTCAGTGAGCCAAATCAGTTACTGCTGCGACTTTATATTACTAACTCCAACTGATAGTTTTTATAATAAATGAAATATTTTGGATGCCGCCACTGACTTTCCGTCATTTTTCGAGGGTTATTTGGTTGAGGACCGACAAAGAGCGGGTAATAAAAATGCAATTTGTAAAAAGCGTTTTTGGGGGAGAAGAGTTCGCTTTTTGAAAGTCAATCTAACATGTTTACGTGAAAGTATTATTAATATTCGCAAATGCGTGTTACTTCAGCGTAAATTTTTAAAAGTACAATACGAATAGCGTTGTAAAATCTCGATAAACACATCTAAAAATACTACAATAAATTATCGTTGTTTATCCAAAAATTTATTGAAATAATGTAAAATGTTGTGAATAAATGTTCCGTATAGATATGTAAAGTATACAATAACAAACCAACGATAATAATATTGCTCAAATTGCTATTTGCTATTAAATTTATGTACGTAATATTTTAATTGACTAATGTGTGTATAAATTGACCCTATAGTATAAAATGAACTCTCATTAAAAACAACAAAACATCATAAAAACTACTGATATCAGAAAGACCTTAAGGATAATATAAATAGTCGAGTCCAGTTGAGTACATTTGTACTTGATTAGTGTGTTTTGAGCTATTTACTTATTTAATGTATTGAAATATACCGAGGATGAATCGAAATGTATCTAAAAGAACAGAGAACCACAATGAAGAAATTAGTGAGGACAATACCAGCAGTGAAAGAATAAAAAATAATAAAAAAATAAGGTAAGTAGATACGTTAAATTGAACCTGTATTTTATTAAAAAATTGTTTTAGGTCGAAATTGCCAGAGAAAGAATTTGAAATCAGAAGATCTCTCTTGATTGAATTAATTGAAGACAATGTTCATTTTAGCGGAGCTTACAATATTTTACTTTCGTTTACTGTTTTACACATGACAGTAATAAATTTCACTGAATACGTTCATCACGGAAGGTACAATTACTATAAATTAGGTACTAATTAAAATCGTTTAGTATTTTTTTATTTTTCTTTTAGGTTATCACCAGCATTGCAATTAATTCTTAATAATTTCGGACAATTCCAGATGACTTTTATCATATGGTTAGGAATTAATATAGGCTCATTTTTGTGCTATTACTTCTTTGTATTTTGGACGAAAATGAGACAAAAAGGTTATTTTATTTAAACAATAACATAGAAGTCAATGTTAAACAAATGATTTTGTAGTGCCTTTCACCAAGTTTTTTGATATTTTATGCATGATTTTACTGGTAAAATATTTCGGATTTTTGCTCTACATTATACCTGTTCTTATTAATCTTCTGGATGTGCCATTTGCATCTTCTATGATAATTTTAGGCGAATCAGTAAGTACAAATCTTATTTTATTCTATATTAATTTCTCAACAATTTCTCTTTCGACCAGGTGAGATTCCTAATGAAGATCTACGCTTTCGCCAGAGACAACACAGCCAAAGTTCTCAAGCAAAAATCAGACGAAAAGGATAATAAACTACCGACATTTTCGCATTTTGTTTATTTTGTTTACGCGCCTACGGCTGTGTATAAGGATCAATATCCAAGGCAAATAAGCTCTTCATTCTTTAATTCTTCCTTAACTTTTCCATTTTGCCCTGTTCCAAACCAATCACAGTCATCCTGAATTGATTTACTAGTTATTAAACACTATATTTGCTATTTTGCAGGACAACAAACGTAAGATGGAACTTTGTGGTGGCTCGTTTAGCTGAAATACTGTGGACTATACTTTGCCAGGCGCACGTTTACACTTACATGATAGTCCCGATGTACGAGGACACCTGCAAACAACCTGTTACTTTGATCGAATTCTTTATTCTGCTGTTAAAAACTTGCATACCCAGTACCGTATTACTGTGGCTGACGTTTATATCTACCATCCATTCAACGCAGAACGCAGTAGGAGAAATTCTAAGGTTCGGAGATCGGATGTTTTATTCGGACTGGTGGAACGTGCAAAATTTGCAACAGTATTACAAAAAATGGAACTGGGTACGAACTTTGGCACATCGTCTGTTTGTTTTTATTTATTGGTAATTTGCAGGTGGTGGGCGACTTTTTGTACATATACATCAACAAAGATTTGAACGATAACGTTTGTCCTGATAAGAGATTTTTTGCTAAATTGACCACTATATTGATATCTGCTGTTCTTCACGATTGGGTGGCATCGATAGCTTTGGGTTTCTACAGCCCCGTTACGTCCATAGTAATGATACTTTCCATATGTATGTTGAGCAATGGTAAACCGAAGGATAATAAGTTTTACAAATTCATTACTTGGGTATGTGTTCCAATCGGAATTAGCTTAATTGCCACCATGATGTTTACCGAGCATTTCGCAAGGCTAAATTTACCTTCAAATACGAACGGAACTTTCCAATATTGGAAACATTGTATTGTGTACAAATCATAATTTCGTTCGAATACTATAAGTAAATTATGCGGTGAGAGCAAAAGATATTACTAAATAATATTTACTGTATGTGTTATAAATAATTTTATTGTTAAATAAATATCTATTTTAATAACTATGTATGTATGTAAATTGTTTTTATAATCGTTAAACTCATCGGATTATCGTGTTTAAAGCATTAACTAGAAAATTATAAAAAACAACAATAAAATAAAATCCAATTTGATTTCGGAATAAAATGCAACGAGTCATAGTAACCCCTAAAGCAGAAATCCTGCATTAATCGACCGAGAGAATGAAAATCCAACAAAAGCGACATGCACCTGTATACGGAAGCGCTTCAAAAACAATAAAAATTATATCCAAAACAAACGCAACAAAAAAATATCAATTTATTTATGGGAACAGCGATTATTTTCAGTCCGAATGAAAATTTACGTTGCCCCGGCCCGATTGAAAGCCTGTCTAGCGTAGTGCATTTTCCAAGGGGCGCGATTTATTCCTTCAGACAGTGGAAACTCCGACAATGGATGCAAGGGGACACACGTGAACAAGCGAAAGAACGGGAATATTATTTGTTTGGATTGGATTTCAGACCTGTCAAGTGAAATCTCCAGGTCCATTAGGAAATTGAATATATTGAAGAAAGTGATTGAGGGCTCGTCGAGACGGGGGTGACCGCGGACACGGCGCGAACGATAAAAGAATGTTTTTGTCGGGGCGTTTCAACCTGAACACAGCATAAATATTGAAAGACGTATAAATAATTGAAGGTATGTCACAAATTGACAAGCGACACTTAGATATTCCGGTCTTATTTATTTTTATAGAAAAGGTTCTATTGTTATGTCTCCTTTAATAAATAGTTCCATATAGGTACACGTCTATATGATTACATCAACATTTACAGATACTCCATAAATCAAAATCCTTTCCGATACTAGATACAAATAAAAATAGTAATAACTAAGCATCATTCTCTTTTGGAAAACACCTACATTTGTATAAAATGGTGAGTGGAATTTCATATTTGCTGCTGTACTTACATATGTAACGAAAAGATCCTTACATTGGTAAACAACGTATTTCTTATATCGATACTGTTGATACCTATAGGTTGTTTGTAAAATTCGAAAAACACGAAGAAAAGGATAAGTAAAAGCGCTCAGGTCTTTGTCAACATTCGACTGCAGCAAACAGAATCAACTACCTACGATCCCTTTTTAGTGTTTAGTGCTTTTATTCGTCTTTTTTTCGGAGCCCTGGGCATTTCGACTGTATATTAAGAATCAACACAGTAGATGCGAATAAAATTCAATATAGTACTAATAAACAAAGACTGAGTACTGAATGTGAATAGGTGACTTACCCATAAAAGAGAAAATGAGTAGAACCATAAGGGCAGGTCGCGTCCATCGTTTGAATCCGCTCGGCGAAGATCTCATGACGCCAGAAATACCATGTCTGTGTTTCAGTGTTGCTGCTACTCTTTGGCACATTCACTAGATAGAATGTCCCCCTGTCTCAGGTCCCACTGGCACACTAACTAATCCACCAAATTACATTCCGACCTGTCGACAAGGAATTTCATTAAACTTTGTCGTTTTGAATCGAATTATGGGCTTTTAAAGGCTGTCGGGCGTTGTTTTTTCCACGTTTACGACGGGCTACAATGAAATTACGGACGTGTTGCAAGTTTCGAACAAAAAAATAATCCCAAACATTCCGATAAAAACGGATCGTTTCTGGCATTATTAATGCATTACATAGGAATTGAGTGTAACCGTAATTTGCAAAAAATAATCCCTATTTACCAACACAAAATTGTATAATACCGATTGCAGATTGTTTGAATTTGAACGCTCAGATTTATTTACCTCTCTTTAAAAATATCACCGCGACAATGTTCGAACACTCTGTGAAAGTTATATTATTCAATAGAAAATTCCACCCCCTTGAAATTCGCTACCCACACTTAATCGAATTTGATAAACTGCCTTCGATTTCCGAACAGAAATTTTCCTCGATTGTTAAAACGTCATACTAACCCCTATTGAAAACCGAATACAAAGGGTGTACAACCACTCGACAAGTGTCGTCCGAAATGATACATACACTGATTGATGATAAGTTATTGCTAGAGGGTGGCACCTTTACTTCCACAAAACTTAATATACTCGTAACAACATCATATTTATTAACAAGCAATTAAATTTGTTACACCAAAGCTACAAGAAATACACAGGATAGTAATCGCAGCGATCGGAAATGGAAATGTGTAAAAGAAGATGAGATATTTGAAATAATCGTTGGAATAATAGCCACCCTGTATTGCAATTTCAAAGCTTAGGAACGTGTCATGTCCGCCTCATTTAACAGCAAAGACATAAAGGGGGAAGGAACGTTACGACCCCATTTTCTCTCCCTTCATATTTAACAATCTTAACCAAATGAAGCCCCTATAGAGCAGCCGAGACAGATTGTATATTTGATACAATCGATATCGGTCCAGCGTGAAAAGAGACTAATTTAAAAAAAACATGGATTTATTTTTACTGCGTGAAAGTTTGATTGCAATGATTCCAATGAATAAATAACATGTTGTTTCCAATCATCTTTAGTTTTTTTGTTGTATGTTGCCGATATAAATTAGCTCTGAATTAATTTTTGCGAATTGGGAAAGTTTTGTAATAAATGCGTTGGAACAATAGCTTTTAAATTAATTCAAATGCAAATTATGGATTCCTATTTTCATGTTGAAATACATATGCATGTATTATTAATACGCATTCATAGTAACGAAATTTAATATAATTTTACCGCAAAAATTGAAATTTCGGTTGTTAATCACGTACGGTTTTAATTAATTTTAAAACCGACCGTGTGTCCAGCCAAAACACGTTTTGTTTGAAGACTTTGTTAACAAAAAATTGGAATATCGAGCACTTTATACATATTCACATACAATTTGTAATTCGACATTATCCTTGAGGCGTCTCTAAGCACAGCAAAAATTCGAACATTCCTCACCCACGGAAGGTATTAAAATATATTAAAATATTTCTCACTTTCTCGAGCATCAAATTTATTTTCCGTACCCCAACCCAATAACAGATAGGTTTACCCAAAATAATGTTTGAAATGCCTACGCCGACTCATCTTCACTAACACCCTTCGCAAAGATCAAAAAAAGTTATATACAGAGTGTCCTACTCTATAAAGACATTAAAGGAGAGGAAATTTTTAAGTGTTTTAAATTACAATCTAATTTTTATCCAGCAACTTCGCAATAAATCTTCATCAAGCCTCCTTAATTACAACCATCACTTATTTATATCGCATAAACCACTCTCGGGACGGCCTAAGCTTTGTCTTGCATTTAACGAATTAAGAAACAAACTCGAGAATAACTCGTCGACTTCGCTTGTTCAAAAACTAGACGATACTCTTCGGAATACCAAATTGAAGGGACAAAAGAAACAACTCATTCCATTGTATTCCATCTCTAAATGAACAAGGGACTTGCTGGTAAGGTTAAACGAAGCATATGCATACTCAGTTATAATAGTTTCTTCAGACGTTGGTATACGATTAATTAATTAAATTGCATGATTAATGCAGTTTGTACAAGACAGTAACAATGCATGATAGCAATTGTACCCACTGCTGCTAATTATTGCACGTCTGCATTTAATACGGCGATGTACTTACTAAGTACAATGTGTACTCACATGCAATAATTAGTAGTACAGTTACATGTTAACCCGGAATTCAAATAGAAACTTTAGAATTTATAACAACTGCAATATTTCGTATTTAAATCACGATTGATGGATTTCATTAAAATGAAAAACGCAATTAGATAAAACTCCAATTAGCATTAGAAGAAAAATTTCAGGAATCTTAAATCAAAAAAGCCATTAGGAAAATTACTCACCAAATCTCCGCTCGAAGATAATCCTTCAACGTGTGCGAACGAAGGGCGAGAGGGCGACATTAAAAAAAATAAATAAACACAGCCGGTCGCGTACGATTCGTCTGGCGTCTCGTTGCGAAATAGAGGTGCCCGAAACGACGCACCGCAACCGTCGCGACGCTTCACCGAACTGATAGCGGCCCTTCGGAGGAGCACCGTCGTCAACCGCATATCCTGGAGTTGCGTGCGTCGTCGGGCGGCGCGATAAAGGCACTTGTCCCGTCCGAATCCCGACCTAACGAGAAAAAAAAGTCGCTGTATGTGAGGCAAATTCGAATGTCCAGTACACACGAAGAATGCGCCCTTTCTGGTGCAAGAGAAGAAAATGTTTGTGACTTAAAAGAATCGCATTCTTACTCGATTTATAACACAAAATTCTTCTGCTAGTTCAGTAATAAAGGTAGAGAGATTCGGTGATATGAATATCAATCTAACCAGTACAAGAGAATTAAAGGTGGTATCGTTGAAATCCCGAATTTAATGACTTGCCGGCTACTATACGTTAGTAACTTAACCGTTGTTAACATTTATCAAAAGGATTAGAGAGGCCGGGCGAGTTTCCATTTCGATGTAAATACTCCGCGGAGAGATTTTCCTCGTTTCGCAGGGAGCGGATATCGGTCGAATTGAAATCAATTAAAATCGTTGAGCTATCAAAACAAACCGGCGACTCTCGGGTTTTTTGGGCGATTGACTCTTTTGAACGAGCGCGCTTTGCGGTTTGGAGTTTTTTTTTTCGAATACACAATTACGTAAATTTTCTACCTAAAAGTTATCGGAACAGAACTTAATTTTCTCGATCTAACATTTCTATCCCTCCGACACCGCCTTTCTTATTCCCGATGGACGAATTCTTTTGCCAACCAATTGACATTTCTCGACATTTTTACCGCTGCATCAATACGATTAATCATCCTTAATCTCTTTTTCCACATAAACGCGGCGTTGGGGAAAAATACCAGTAGGCCAATCTTAATAAGTTCCAGCGATTACACGTCAAAATTATTATTCGAGGCTCAAAAAAATTGTTAAACAAAACTTCAGCTAGTGTACTTTTCGAACTTAAAGCGCACCGAAATGAACAAAAAAGAAACTAAAGAGGGAAGAGTTTGTACTAAATTTTTAATAAAAGGCGAACCGAAACCGAAATAGCGCTCTCCGCGAACGGAAATTCAACTGTATCCGACGAAATCAAACGAAAGCGCGGAAATTTCTGGAATCCGGCCTAATAAAATCGACGTCGGTTCAATGTTTTCTTCGACTGCAAACCGTACCATCAGCCGAACTACGAAAATGCCTGATAAAAGATGCGTCTGTTGCCGTGGCAACGGCAGTGAATTACACCAGGGGGTGTAACGTAACTTTGACCAGGATCGTATCGGGGGATGGAAACCGGAAACTAAATCTTTGCGAGCAACGGGAGGGATGTGCTCCAAAATTCCCGGATCGCCTCGGACCGGCTACGAATTTTCCTTTATACCATCGACAGTTTCCATTCATCAGATCTTCGTACATCTATGGGTACTACTCCGATACAAGATGGAAAAATGCGAGGCATTTTTCGTCGCAAATATCGAAAAACCCGGGCGAAAACCGCACAAACAAGGGTTCGGGCGGGAATTTTGCAGAGCGACATATTCGCTCTCTTGTGTACATATTATATCGACGTGGGTTTCCCTTTTACTCGATAAGTATAATAGAAAAGGGTACGAGTTCGTAGGAAATTGGAGTTTCCAAAGGATCGACGTCGAGACAAAGAGAAGGACCAAATTAATTAAGTTGCTCTCGAAACCTTTATAGAGAGTCTAATTTAGTGAACAAGTGTCCCTATCGTTATTATAAAATAGGTAGTACTGTAGTACTTTACTGACATATTGACAGGTGAATAACAAAAGTGCGAGAGAATATGTCTATTTGTATGAATAAATTCTTTTTTATGAATGTGTACTATTTTACTATTCCATTTTAATTTTTAATAAACGAATTCATAAACACTTACCGCAGCCTGAACTGTGGACTAGACTGTGGAACCGAACAGAAACCGGACGAGAATCGGGTAAAAATAACTGTCACCTGTCATATTACTGTCATTTTTTTATAAGTTAATTTCTAAGCAATACAAGACAATATGGAATCAATATAACCAATAGTTCATTTTATACATTCTAGTTCTTACGTGTTTATTATTTAAATATACAATAACAATTAAGTACGTCACCGTTTACCCTATATGTTCAAGTCAACCTAACTCACTGTACAACCAAAAAGAAATAGTCTAGACATTGACATTTCAAAACAAACACCTAACCTCACAAATACGACATTGAAAATGTAAATAAACATTTCACATGCGCAAAATAAATATTAAAACAATAATTTTACTGGTAAGTTAAAAAAAATGTTACTAATAGTTGTAGTAAACTAAAGTTTTAGGTAATGCTGTTAAAAAGAATGGTTCACACAAAATGTCGCGGTTCTACTTACCCGTTTAGCGACATTGTTAGATTTAAAATATCAGATGAGCAAGTTCCATGGAACGTTTGTGTACCGGATTACGATCCTCCCGAATACAATTCTAAAGTACTCTTAAACAAACCTTGGGCGGATCCGCCTATCGGCGATTGTTCGTTCAAACCCAAGTGGAACGAATTGGATGGGAATATTAATAGGAAAAGTCATAGTGGAGCATATACTGTATTAAATGGAAGGCCTTTGAATCCCGAAGGGAGGACTGGTATTAAAGGACGAGGAGTTTTAGGGAAATGGGGGCCCAATCACGCCGCTGATCCCATAGTTACTAGATGGAAGATGGAACACAATCGTAAAGTTATAAACTCTACTACAAACTTACCCGTTCTACAATTTTGCGCGATTCAAAGGAAGGATTGCAAGCAATGGGCCTTGCCTGGCGGAATGGTAGACCCAGGTGAAAAGGTAAATCACCACCTCTTTATATAACTCTATAATATAATAACGATTTTAGGTAAGCGAAACGTTGCAACGCGAATTCCTCGAAGAAGCCCTCAACAACATGGAAGCTTCTAAAGACCAATCCGAAATCGATACGAAAATGATAAAGGATTTCTTCAAGGAGGGTTCGGAAATCTACAAAGGGTATGTTGATGATCCTCGGAATACTGATAACGCTTGGATGGAAACTGTGGCTTACAATTTCCACGATGAAAACGGCCATCATGTCGGTAAATTCGACTTGAAAGCCGGCGATGACGCCCAAAATGTTAAATGGATGGATATCGATAAACACATCGATCTCTATGCAAGTCACTCCAATTTTATCAAAACCGTGGTCGATAAATTAAAAGCTCACTGGTGAAATTAATTTTTATTGTCGTTGTAAATGTTTACACGTTGTCTTTATTTTTACTAAAAATATTCTGATACAATTTTAAAAGTATGGGAGATGTATTAACTATACCCTACTTAAAAACTAGGAGGAGCATTTCGAGAAGTCTGACTTACACCTAAGAAAGTTACTAGAAAATTTGTAAGCAAGAATAATAAAGTTTTACAGCGTGAACTTGACTCGTAATTAACCAATAAACAAACGCGAGTGTTGCCAACTTAAATTCAAATCGCTCCTCCTAGTTTTTAAATAGAGTATAAACTGTTAGGTGCAATAATAATTTAAGTTTCCCATTTCACGGGATGTCCCATACCTCCATGTAAATGCTTCAATAAAATATGTCTCATACCGCACACGCCCTTATTATCATCGCCGTCCCAGGGATAAACGTTCACCCCGCCATAACCGCTTTTCTTCACGTAATCGCCCTAAAAAGTAAACATTTACAAACCGGTTGCAAGTCAACTCTTACTTAAACTTACCCTGATCCAAACGGCGTCTTTGCTGTTGAAACCGATCCAAGAAGTCGAATTGTATTTATACACCGACTTCGTATCGTCGTCCCATTCCTCGGTGAAGTTCTTGTACTGCGAGCACAGTTCGTAGTACCTAACGAAACCCCCGTCTATACCGGGCCCCACGCCGGTGACGGGGGCGCGCATCCCGTGCTGGTTCGGGTCCTTCAAAGCGAAGCTCCTGCCGTAGAAGGCGACGCTCAGCACGAGCTTCTCCTTGCTCAAGCCGGCCCGCAACCAATTCTTCGCGACGGCGTCCATGTTGAGGTATTTCTTCTCGTTTTTGTCCTCCTTCGACGAGGGGTACAGCGCGTTGTGCTCGCCCGTGTACTTGCTCCAAAAGCCGTAGAAATCGTACGATTTGATCGTCACCCAGTCTAATAGGCTGAAAAAGTACTAATAGTATTTTTTGCTGTATTGCGAGGTGTCCAATTGATGGAGATTCTGGAGCAATGTGATGCTCTTCTATACATACTCATTCATCGCCGTAACGTTGTAACCTGTCCCGTATATTTCGGTCTTCACGGAAGCGCTCAACAGCCATCCGTTCCTGTCGAATTCATCTCTTATAACTTGCAAAAACTGTATGTAATTTCCCTGGAATTAAAACAGTAAGCATTGGTGATGACAAAGCAATTGATTTCTTACTAGATCCTCCAATTCGGGAAACTGCCAATCGATGTCCAATCCATCGAATCGGTACGTTTTTATAAAGTACCCAGCGCTTCCCAAAAACGCTCCCGTTTTAGCGGCGTGCTGGGATATCCTTCGGAATATACTGGAGTTACTCGCCGCCGTACCGCCCACGCTTAACAGCACCTTCAAATCTTTGTTCTTCTTCTTCATATCCGTAACCCTGTTGTAAAGACCTGAAAGTACCTCTCAAGCTTCCGTTCCAAAACGACAACCATCAATAATCACCTCTTTCCTCCTGGTCCAAATCGAGGTTATCATCCTGCACCCTGACGTCCCCTTTGTCCCACACCCCGATGAACTGGTAAACGACGTGCGTACAAAGCATCGGATCGAAGTCTTCCGGAAGGACTTCCTCGTGCGCCCACCAGCTGGCGTACGTGCAGATCACCTTGCGACCGTCGATGGAGTTGGTCGGTTTGGGTTTTCTCGTGGGTTTCGGAACACTGCCTGCCACCAGGCAATCCGGTCTGGGATTCCCGTAGGTACCGCTTATGCAGTACCTGGTGCTCGTGCGGACGCCTCGGTCTGTTTCGAAGCCCACCGGGCAGGTGTAGGTCACGCTGGAACCGTCGGTGGCCTCCGCGCAGTCGATCACCTGGTCCCTGCTATTCTTGCAGTTCAGGATCGTCTTCTTCGGGAAGTCCAACGGCTGGCACACCACTACGAGTTTCGGAAAAATCAGTACTGCCAGCGGAGCTTGTAGGTTGTACTTACGGTTGCAGGTAGGTATGTTGTAAGTGTCTTCGCATTGGTAAAACTCGCTGGGCGAGGAGAGTTTGTAGTCTTTGTTGCAAGTAAACTTTAGAACCGTCGTGGAAGGTACTATAGCACCTGGTTGTTTTTCCGATTCGTTTTCCAACACCCAGTAACCGTTGTCTGGGTAAGGGGGTAGCAAACAATCTTCTACATAGTGTCTCTGCATTTCCAAATCGATGAAACTACGAAATAAACAAATCTCAAACATCACCGTTTGAATAAACCGAGTGATTAAGTTACTTGTAGTAATAAGCGATGCTCGTGTACAATGCATTAGTCTCGTAATTGCAATTAGAATCCATTAAACTGGGCGCAATGCTGACGATGCCGTGTACATAGTATCTGTTGTCTTCGCTGTTGAGGAACACCAAACCGCTGCCGCTGTCTCCTTTGCACACGCTGATGTTCTGACGATAGTAACCCGCGCAAATTTTGTCCAAAAAATTGTACTTTTTCTCCCATTCCTCCGGCAGTTCCAAGCTACACACGTTTCTCTCCTTGAATGGGATTTTTATCACGCGCAAACGATCCGCGGACTCGTTGCTTTCCGTCAAACCCCAACCAGCCACCTGCATTTTAAAGGTACTTAAAGCTCCGGTTTTTAGTGTAATTTCTAGCCGTAGCTTACCTCTCCCATTTGCTTGTGGTGCAAATGAATAGACTGCACGTTATTTATGCAAATCGGCTGGACAACTGGCCCCAATCGGAATAACTTATGCGTAACTAGTATGGCTAAATCAGCGGCGTATATTTGACTAGATCCTCGATAACCCTCTTTCACGATCAATTTAGCTAGCTGCACAAAGGAAAATTCCCATCAATCGTTAATCGAGGCAATGAAAAATAATATGAGTGGTCTCTTGAGGATAGTACCTTGCGATATTGGGCCCATACATCCCTGGGATCCCCGTAAGAGTTGTAATATTTACCGGCGGCGACTTCGAACTCCTCTTTGGGCAGGGCGTTGGTGAATTCGTCGGTTACGCAATGCGCAGCTGCGAACAAACGAATGGCGCTAAAATGTGATTTTCTTTTCTCAAAGAAAATGCCGGCTTGAGGGATACCAACCGGTGATGATGACCCGTCTGCTGACCAAAGTGGCGCCGCACACGTTCTGGAACTCCCCGGCTTTCTTGTGGTAGAGCGCCACCACCCAAGGGTACTCCAGGTCTTTGACTGGCTTGCCGCCGTAGGAAAGGGTCAGTGTGTCGTTGTTCACTTTTTTGCCGCAAACTAGAAACATTGGATTAGTTTAGGGGTATTGTAAATCGAGCGAATGGTTCACCTGGCTGGCAAACGGGCTTGGGGAAATCCCATGTGCCGTCCCTGCAAAATAAGCTTCTTTTATTACCAGGCGGTACCTCGTAATAAGCGATACAATCGAACGTCAAATATGTACCGTCTACTGCTTGGTCGCAGCCGATTTTGTACCCTTCCTTGTCGATGCATTTCAGAGTGGTCGTGGCAGTCGAGTAAAACGATGGGCATTTTCCTAAAAAATATTATACCCAAGTGAAATTGTAGAAATCTCGCGTGCTTCAATGCATCTACTTTCGCATTTGGGGAAATGGTTGGGGTTCCAGCTGGTATCGCAGAGTACGAAGGGCGATGGGGAAATCAATCTGTATCCCTCCCTGCATTCTACCTTTAGTATAGTGTTCACTTCGATATCATCGCCCGGTTTTCCTTCGCCGTTTATGATTATCCATCTGCCGTTGATTGGATGCTGAGGCAAGGTGCATTTGAAACTGAAAAAAAATTAGAAATATTGGCACGATTCTGTTAAACATATCAATACTCTAAGATATAGGATCAACAAACAATAAACATAGATTATTCCGTTTCCTTAAATAATTGCATTAATTATAAATCTCGACTACTGTCAGAAAATTATTTATAACTATATGTTGCAAGTTGTAATATTCTACGTATAATTTACGATAAGAATTTCCCAGTATATTAAAAATTACGCAGGATCGGCTTTACTATGATTTACAGATAATATTATAATTATCTAATTGCTATAATGCTGAATTGTAATTTTCTAAATAAAATATCTCTTTGTACATTTACCTATCATCAGTCCGCCGTTTCCATCTTGATGTGCAATTTGGCCAATTTGAATTTTCGCTACACAAAGTGGGAGCTAATAATCCATAAGCGATATCTATAAAATATATAAATTAATATAAATACATAATAATTAAACGAATTCCTACGAAATAAAAAGGATCATTTCAAACGAAATCACGAACACGTTTTTATGTAAATAAAAAATAATTGGTAAACAAATTAACTGGGAATTACATATTCATGTTAAGTTAACATTAATTTGTGGATAATTCATAATCCGCATAGGATAATGGTATAAATGCACTCGTGTGCATTGCACGTACATGTTTTTAAGCAAATAAAATATAAAAAAATTCTCTGCTATGTATTTTTGTTTTCAAATATTGTTGTTGTCTAACGAGGCAGACGTAGAAAGACCAGTATATTTCCACATTTGCTAATTACCTTGTAATATCAAGAATATAAAATATGATGTAAGTATTAACACGACGAATAACAAATAACAAAGAAAAATACTTGCCTAGAATAAATATACAGAAATATATCCCTAAAACGCACTTTCCCATGCCTCGTTTGCTTGCTTCTAGTCCGCTTGGTTCTCCTTTCTACACAACCACAAACATCGTAGCAACCAAATTTCACTTTTCCGCCAATTTACAGTTTATTTGTTTATCCAAAATCGCATTTGACCCGAACCGGCCGCCGACGGAGATTAATAAATAGGCAATTAATGCTCGAGTCGGGCGAGCGTCTTTTTCTGCAGATAGCATACGATCAAGTTTTGATGAATTTTAATGAGTTTCCACTACCAATCGCCTCTACACCTATGCTCGGAACGAAACTGATCGAAACGGTGGAATCAAGGAAACCAAAAGTGACAGAGCCGGATTGGCACATCGTGTCAAAAAAATAATTAAAAAAAAACCATGTAGTTATTAATGAAATTTATTTGTAATAGATACATTTCTAATTTGAACTTGCAATTACCAATGTTAATAATCTAATCATAGAGATTATACATGACAATGCATAAATATTTTACAAAATAGGAAAATTAGGTTGTTCCATAGGAAACGTGATGTGTGTGCAGTAGACAAAATAGTATATACAAGTACCTAATTCGCTAGATTTAAATATTAAATAGTTTGGATTACTAAATCACAGGTGAATTATTAATATTATAATATTTCCCGCGGATTATCTAGGGACACGCTGTATATTAATAGTAAATAATTTACAATATAAAATAATGCTATGGCGTTGTTACAAATATCAATGTGAATTAATAGATTACGAATGGAATGAATAAATAAATGGATTCTTTTATCAAAGAAACATTCATGCAGTAAATAATCAACATAATCCCGAATGGATTTTACCGATGTCGAAATTTCTGAATAATAATGAAAGTTGAATCTAGTCAACCCATTTTATTCCATCAATGTACAATTCACGAAAATGTTGCCTAATGCGATGTTTTACTCGAACAACTAATAGGCAAATTACTACAATTTCTTAAATATAAATTGCAAAATAACGCAATAATCTAGTACGCTTTTTCGGTTAGAACAAACTAATCCTAAATAAATTAAATACAAACTCTATAAATAATTAATGGCAAGTTTTTCCATAATAATTACATTCGTATACAGTTAATAAATTTGACAATACTCGTAATGTACAAATTTTCTTAATAAGAATCGACACTATTAGTCAACGAACTTTCAACAAATATTCCAAATCAAGTTTCTTATCTGCTCGATTAAAAATTATCTAAAAAATACAGTCGTTTTTAATTCAAATTTACTAACAATATACGCATTACAAGCTAACTACTTAAACCAACAAACTTCTTCAAGTACCGCAATCTATCGGCGACGATCCCTATTTAATTTTCAATTTCCCAAAAGCAGTTGGCAATAATGGAAAATCGTTCATTCGCAATCGATTGCGGTACTCGAGCTGAAGCCCTCAACGAGTCACGGACTCCTTCGTCGGAGGACTCCGGTACTTGGCGCGGATGTGCAGGAAATTTGAGGCGTTGTTGAGCCTGTGAGGCGTTTGGCGGGACATCACCTTCACTTTGCACGGATCGTGGCGGAGGAGGAAATGGTCCAAGGTGTCCCAGCCACCTCCGACTCTCACCATCATGTGGCGACCTTTGAGCAGCTAGAAGCAAAACCAAAAATTCAATCGCTTTTCCACCGAATTCAGTCTGAACGAATGGTTATGTATTACAGTAAAAAAAATTAAAAACAAGATTAATTTGAACAAAATTATTTATTTGTGATAATGAAACTGCGGATAAAAATGAAGTAAAAATAAAACATGCTGAAGCAAAGTGAAGACACGATGAGAAGCTTCAATTGTAGAGCGTGCTCGATCTTCGCAAGATTCACCAGCTATAAGATAAAAAATTATCCTCTTGTGTGAAAGTTATCACTACCTTCGTATAAGTGCATTTGTGCAAATCTCCGAGACACCAATAAAATATTCATATACCTTACTAGTTTTATCCATCAGCTATTACCAAACAAATTCATTAATCACCATACTCACTCTATAAATTTAATATAACCAATACTCACTCTAACGAACACGTTTTTCCCGGCTATGTTGTATTTCCCTTCGCCCACTTTCCTGATGTTCAATTTCTGGCAGCGACCGCTCGAGCAATTGCAATTCTTCTGCATCAACCTCGCGGCCAATTCCACTTTCCTGTCCAATTCGTTGGTGGGCGTCGGGGATTTGTGACTCGACGATTCGCTACCGCTCGATGATAACCTCGTGGGTGGTGTCACGTCGAAATCGGTGTCTTCAACGCTACCTGCAACGATAAATTAGTACAAATATCCACCACAACATGTACAAGTAAGATAGCTGGTACTACTTGGACTCGGCCGCAAGATAATCAAGGAGTGAAGTACTCACCTCTGGACCAATCTTCATCTTCAGTATGGTCGCTGGGTACTCCGTCGCTGGCACCGCTGGTGTTCGATACTTGGATAATGGTGGGCTCTTCTACTAATATCACGCTGTGTGGGCTCCATTTTAATATTGAAGATATGGCGGGCGAGGAAGCGCTCTGCTTCATGCTGGTGTAATTCGAATTGTGCTTCTGTCGGTGGGTAAATTTTTTTAAATAAATCGTTGGATTATAAACCGATATACTCACTTTGGAGAATTGCCAAGAGAGCAACGATGGGAACCGGGCTTCGTCCGAATCCCGTTCTTCTTTGTCGATTTCTTTTTCGAGTTTGATCAACCCCGGTGGTTCTATTCCGAATTTATGGGCTATTCTGGCTAGTTCCAGCAAGCACAGAAGCACGTTTCTCGGCTGGTTGTGCAACACTACAATTACCAATTGGTATTATCTTTTGATTCTAATACAATTTAACCTACCTAAATCATCGCTTTCAAACAGCAAGTTCTCGTGTACGCCCACGGATCTGCAGAATTTGATGAAATTCTCCATATTGTCCCTGGAATAGAAGCTTCCTCTAGCCGCTTTCTCGAAACATTTACCTCTTATGATCGGCACAGACTGAAATTATATTGAATCAAAATTTCAACATCAGAAACGGTTAACCTGATTATTTATTACCCCTTTTGCAATGCCCTTGTTGATGGCGTTTTTCACCGATTCCCCGATGATTTGCGCCAAGTGGCATAGTACCACTCCGTTATCCAGCTCCTCCAGAAAATTATCCTTATTAATAAAATCCACTCCTGTAAATAACACTTTATTGTAAATTTAAGTTACAATATTGATACATAAAATGCTATAAATGAGAAATTAAACAAACATATAACAAGAAGTGGAGCAATTAAATACACACATAATCGAGTTAGGCTTTTAACGAGCTCTACATGATCACCTAGGTGTTCTGTGCAGGACACAATTTCCTCAAATGCTTTAATTACCGCTTTCTATTAGGTACTTTAAATAACCATTACGCTTTATTTATTTACTTAGGCGATGAACGGGTTTTCATTACGAGATCGAGGAATTTGCTGATAGAAGTGGTACAAACAACAAATCGTAAATAAACGATATAGGTTTCATCTAAAGAGATGATATTTGATGCCAAAATAGTAAGAATAAAGGTGATGATATTTATACAGAAAAAGTAGAATGGTGTTTTGTTCCTTGGGAAGTTTATCAATTTGGAAAACCCGCCCGAGGGCGGATTTAAAGTAAAATGAAAACTTTCTAAAAAGAATTCGCACGACATCATGCCCGGAAAGTATCAATAAACGGCGACGCAATCTCCGGCGAAAATTTACGGATATTCGATCACGAAACTTTCATAACTATTTTTATAAAACGGGACGCGGCAGTACCTGGTACATTTCGATATTTCCATTTCGTCGAAACTCGGTTTTCGTGCCTGAGAACGTTTATTTCGCATGATTGATGGGGAATCGAACGTCGAAAACGAAGAGGTATGCGCGCGTTCGATTACCGTAATTTGGCCAAGCGGTCGACAAACCTGGATTTTTCCGGCGCTTTTAGTACCGAAGATGACAACGAAAACTCTTATATACAGACTATAAGTTTAGTTAGTATATAAGTAATATACCTAATGTGGAATTCAACCAATCTGCTACATCTTCTTTTAAAGGATCCAATCGTCTCGTTTCGTCTTCTTCATCTTCATCGTCGTCCAGCGATTTGGAAAATTCCGGTGATAATGGACTCCAGCTGTTCCTGTAGTACAAATTCCTCCTCGCCATTTTTTTCTAAAAAAACACAGAATTTATATTAAAGAATGCACAATATAAAACATTTTGCTACCTTATATTAAAATAAGAAAAAATTAATGCTTGTTTCATAGCCACGATCTCAATAAAAGAAGGGTGAAACTCTAAACACCATGACGCAAGTGAAAATATTTAGGGGGCTTTAGGTTGCATTGAATAATAGGTACCATATCGGATCAAATTACAGAACACACCCGATTTCTAAGAAACTGATACCGCAATGTCCACTTTTTGTGCCGCGAACCTTATGGGTATGGGCTCAGCTCACTCTACTTAGTCTACTTATTTGATGAATGCGCCTCACGACTCGGAGGTTATTTTTTCTCTTCTCATTAAACTAGGCGAACCGCTTATCCGATTATACACAGAGTGAATAATTTTGAATACTAACAATAATTACTCACCGACAGATATTCCGAAATGCGGGATTTTATTGATGCATGCCGAGCGATGCGCGACATTGCACCGAAAAGGAATATTTTCGGCGATTGTAATTACATAAACAAGCACGGAAAATATTGTCGAAAAACGAGGAATTTCGAAAATAAACACGATGCATTATTAGAAAGTAAGCTAATTAATGTATTCGGATGAGTTTGTTGTAATTTCCGCGAACGTGTCATAAAATCGAGATGCCTTTTTTAACAAACTTTTTACGATATCGTTAAACAATTTAATTTGCACAATCCACCCATTATGTTTCCTCTTCGAGCTAATTAATTTTCGCTTTCGCTGAGCCGATTTATTATTTAAATATTGTTTTTTAATTGTTACGGTGAACGCAAACACGCTAATAAGCCAACAATTAATAATAAACTGTGCAATTATTTAACGTTTCTGGTACAAATCGATTGTACAAAAAGATAAATTTCAAGGAACACTTAAAGAATACCACAACGCACTATTTTTTATTATTGATTCATTTTTACTTACTTTATCTTATCAAATTTCGATCAATGCACCAAAGTAAATAAAACAAAGTTTTATTTAATGATTAATTACAAAACCAGGCTACTTGCGTGTACTCACCATATGGGAACAATATACTAAATTATCCTCTTGTTTTACAGCTAGAGTGTTAAAATATTTTATTGTAGCATTTCCTTTAATTTTTTCGCCTCTTTGAAAGGAATATCTGTAAAAAGTTAATGGCTCGTCACACTCGCAGCCTCTAGCAGTTATAAATCGGTTTTCATGTCTGTTATGAGTGCAATTTCCACGAGTATAGTGTTTTTAGTTGTGCCTTCAAATAAACATTTTTGTTAACAGGCCGTATAAATAACTGATGTGGAGAGGAAAAGAATGCATTAAGTTTTATAGTGATAAAAAGGGGAGAATAAAATTAAATTTTCTAGTTTGTTATTCCGAATAAAATGTGTGTCAAGTCGACGATTACAATGGTTTAGTGTAAAAAAATTGGAGAAAATATTAAATATTTATTATGAAAAGAAACCCGGACTGCTTTTAATGCAATTAGTTTGAGCAGTGACGTGCAGACATTCTCTATTTTCCTGCGTCTTTCAATACAGTCGAGAAAGTGCTAAAAAGGAATAGACTAAGATATATCTTGTAATTAAACCAATAATGGTAGAAGAAGTTAAAAAATTTATAACACATGAAAGAAAATGCAGTAACTTTAATTAACAACGAGTATAAAAGGTAATAATAATTATAGTGGTATTAAAGAAAAAAAAAATACCCGTACAACCGACACTGAATACCTCCAATTTTCTATGTGTTAATGAAGAACGCCGTCCGATAGAGAATTAGTATTTTTTATTATTTAGAGCATGTCCGATTAGTACGTATTTTTCTCTCAAGCATGAAAAAATTGCGGTTGTACGTTTTATAGAGTTTATTTATATTTTTCAAAGGAGGTACATACCGGCATTTGTAATAATACCTTTACATCGAAAAACCGACTATAAAAAGTATATACGCCAGGACGTTTTGTTCAAGTACATGGTGTAGAAAATAAATGCTCGAATCGTATTATTCGATGAAATTAGATGTTTTTACACACCGAATGGTTCTTAACGGTTAAAAATATTTATTTTTAATTCGTTTTAAAATTGCCTTTAATGAACACTTGTGCCTTCGAGAATTATACGAGCATTTACCTACCTCTATTTACTAGAATAAATTGGAAAATTTACGCATTGGAAACACCAAATTACATTTAAATTTTGTTGAACACCTCTCGACAAATCTTTTACATTCTAAGTACCTATTGTAGGCGTTTTTAATCAGGATTAAACGACAATTAACACAACGAATAACATCGTAGGCAAATAATTAAGAAAACAATAATAAATTGCTTCTGCTTAGTTCTGATGGATGCTATTTCATATTGCCATTACGCAACTAACAGATACCGGCGTAGGAAGATATTGTTTGTTATGTAATCGCGTGCAAGTTTTTAGCAAAACGATTTAAATTGCAAATAGTTTGTTTATCCGTCTTACACGAGTGTTAACTCGGTTTTTTTATTAACAGGAAAAGGGCAGGGGTTTAAGAAAATCACTAATTGTGTATAAAAAGTTCTTATATATTTAGTTACAGTATTTATTGCATTAAAGAGAATTATCTATTATTGAAGAGAGTCCTGGAACGAGGTATAGAAACGAATTGTGGGTATTTTATCAGAATTCAGAATCTTGTAACAGTGCATGCGTGTGCATACATGCACCGAATGAATTATACGAAAATTATGTTCTTTATTGTTCTTTCATTCACTCAAAGAAAATTACGATTCCATCCAAGGTCTTCCTTAACTGACTACCCTGCTTTGTCAGAGGTCACGTTCAATTTACATGTAAGCCAGTGACGTAGCTTCGAATTGGAATTTTTATTATTATTTCGGGACATTTCTTTTTAATCACATTTAATACCAATTTTTTATATTAGCCAAACTTTCATAATTATCTCAAACGAACAAAACACATCGCTATGTTCATTTTCACTTCTTTTATATTCTATTTTGGCTAATAATAATTTCATCTAGATACACACTTAGATGAGTTCGTATAATTACATGCAATAATTAGTATTTTAACGCGACTATGTAGGTAACCGAAATACGTGAATATAATACCGCATTATAATTAAGTTTATTAGAAATAATTACTGTTTCCTTTTCGGCTTTACTTGTCGTTGTGCTTGGCTTGTGTCTCTGCGATTGTCGTGTATTTTCACAGTTATTTACGCCGATCGAATATTTCGCTTAACGCAAGCTAAACGTAAAATCGTAATTAGCCGAAATACGTGGAACTATGGAAATTCTGTACATACTTATTATCCGAAGAATGAAAAGAAAGTTTGAATACGAGGCATTTTCACGTCGAATTCGTTCGATTTGCGATTTCCTTTGCGATTTATTTTTTATATCTCGATGCGATTTTTATCGGATGGAAAGTATTTCAGATATTTCAGATATAGTGCATTAGTCAACACGTCTATTTCTATCAGAAATGACTTTATGCAAGAATTGCAGGGAGTTAAATTTAGCTTAATACCTATTTAATAACCATTTAGGATTCGCAAACCCGCCAAGGTTTTCAGGTTTGAATTCACAAAAATCCCTTCGACATCCTTCGGTTTCGCATAAAAAAAAACCAACCCGACTTTTAATTACCTCGAATCGAACGAAAAATGCATATTTATTTACCAACACCATCGAGGCCGTCAACCTTTAAATTGACCGCACGACAAATTTACAATGAGGTACAAATTGAACCGAATGACATAATTGATAATTGCATTTAAGAGCGAGGTTTCCAGCTTGTTATTGTTTTCCCACACGTAATTTCATACAAAAATAAGTAAACGAATTGAATTCAAACGAGGATTTCCGTATACAATATTTATATTTATTATCTGATAATAGATATGTACTGTTTAATTTACTATACTTGAATATTCAATAAAGGGCTAACTCTAACTAATCCTGGATATGGTAGAAATGAGGAATATAAACCTACGCATTTAACTAATTGCTTCATTATTATTTAACCTTTTGAACTCGGCTTGTAAATCGCTCCGTTTTCTATCGAAAGTAAAAGTTTCCACATTTTCTGCATCGGAATCGCGCCGGGGGTATGTCGAAATACGCTTCAATTTCGCCTAATGAAGAGTGGGCAGGAGCCGGAAACCCACGGAAGATTTTTTTTTAATAGCTCCGATTGAACCGTACGCGCGCAAAAAAGCTTCACCGTTCGTGACATCCAATGTATTCAACGAAGAACAAAATGATTTAAGGTGCGTTCTTTTAACAGTTGTAGAGACATCAATGCGGCGAGAAGCGAATGTTAATTTTTTTGTGTGATATGCTCCTGTCGGGCGCAATTAAAATTCGAAAGGCGTTGGAAACGATTTCCCTAAGAAAAGTGCGAAAAAAAAAACCATCGTGGAAAATAAGCACATGCGTTAATTACATCGAAAAGTAGGTAATTGTTAGTTTTATTGGGTAATTTTTTTTAAATTGCTATATACATTTATTTGAGATGCATAAGTGAATAACTATTTAAATATTGCTACAGTTTTTTGTCGTTATTGTTTGTGAATAAGTGCTCTGTTTAACATTTCATCTACCACATGTATAAACACGTTGATAGTTTTTAGTTTTTTTTTTATAAATAATCCCACTATCTAAATATTTACTTAAACAACCCTCTTAAAAAGCGCGTCGGGTACTTTAAAGTTATAATGGTAACTTAAGATTCGACGAAGCCCAATTATCTGCTCTAAATCAAAAACAGATGAGAGAAACATGTGGGTATATTAATTTTCATTTCCCAAGAGAACCGAACACACTTAAAAAAAATATCTCTTTAATTTAAGTTATCTACACGACTGAACAAACGAGCGCCTTTATCTTATCGATATTTTTTACCAGAAGAATTCGAATACAAAAATTGAATCGGGAAATTACCTTTATCGAACGGCAAAAACCACCCGAAGCACTCACAGCAACTTTTACACCTTATTAGTAATTTGTCTATGTTTTACACGCCGATTTACGATAGACTGCAATGTTTATTCAGCGATTTTCGAACGAGAACGATCCAAACCGCCGCGACCGGAAGCCACCAGGCAGACTCGCGAGACTCTCGAGGCTCGTGAGATGCACGCGTGCAGGAGTACAACGTGCGAGTACGCCAGTCTCTGCAGTCTCTGCACGGAAAAGCGCGGTACCGACGCCGACAGAGAATGAGTACCCTCGTTGAGTCACCGAGCACTCACGGTGAAATGCTGAAACGTGAAATGAAAATGCACCACACGATCAGCTGTTTCGAGTTTCTACCCCCTTCGTCCTACAGGTCGCAGGCTGGGACCCGATCGAGTATACATTTACCTATCTTCTGGCCCTTTATGAGAACTAAAATTTTGATTATAGACATCACAATTGCTAGGTCTGTAAGCATTATATCAGATTATCAGTATTGAGCAATTAAAGTTAATGCATAATGCAGCTCATAATTAAAAGAAATTATGATAGAAAGTTCGGCAACGCTGCTTACTATTTGTTTTGCACCGACTATACATACTTTTGTGCAAGTATTTCGGGAAAAGAGTGGTAGATGCTTTAGTAATACAGCAGAAAGTTAGTAATAACGTGACGAAGCGGATATTCGTTATTTCCAAAGGATGGTAAAATAATTGTAGTTATAACAGCGCCAAAATAGATATGAAGGGTACCCCCGAACATCACATCGTGCTGATTCAATTGTAAATTTATTAATGTAAATAATGTATAACATCGAAAATATTTTTATTACGTCCATCGAGATAAACAAAGGAAAAAAAATCGATCGTGATTCACCCGAAAATTTCGTTTTCCTGCTGGTTAATCGAGTTCGATTTCCCTTATTATGTGACAATTTCTGTTTGATACTCCGACGCTCCAGCGCCTGGACTAAAGGAGAGGAGAGGCAGGAAAACGGGCCAGACGGGAGTAGAGGATGATACGATGGTGGTTCGTTTCTCTCAGTCTTTCAGACTCCAGCGTCTACCAGCAGGAATCGATATAAGTGGATGTTTTAATAATTTCACGGTCGAGAAACGGCCGCTTCCTCTTCGAATTCGTCGCTTCAGCAGGGTGTTTCTACTTCCTGCGCTGGAATTCACCTACTGAATGGTTTTGTAGCAGGAAGAACGAAATCGTTCTGGTCGTTAGTAAAAAGCAATTAGTATGAGGAATGTTAGAGGTTTAAAAAACTACAATTAAATACTAAATTCATATATATATTTCTATTAGGTACAGTAAAAAATTTTCACTTGCTCTTAAATACGTATGAGACACAAACATTTTTTTAAAAATAATACATCGTTCAATACTTAATATTATGCACAATAAATATAATTCTTAATTACCGTATCGGTTAAATACGCTTTGGTGAACATACTTAAAATAAACGAAACGTATAAAATACATACAATTAAAATCTACAATTTAAACTGCAATGTTATGGACGTACATGGCACTACGACCTTAATTTTTCTATTTATTCCATATAAATGGCATGTTCTTCATAAAAATTTATTATGCAGCCCTAGAAAATAAAAGAAAAATGCGTGATTCACTAAATATACTCAGTCCGATTGTGCGAAAAATTCGACATTTATATGTAATAAATAAAAAAGTTTAAAAGCAAACTAAATTGATGGAACACAAAAGTGCACTTTAAAGCGTATAAATGCTATTTTAGTCTTTATCGAAGTCTAATATGTCACATGCAGTCCAACAGCAAACTAAAAAGTTAAAGTAAAAAAATTTACCCACCTACAAAGGGCGCAAATGGGTTAGTTAAAATTATTATAATCAAGCGTTAAACGATTGCATATTATTATTTAAAAAAAATGTCCGTTATAAATTTGTATTTGTAAAACAAAAAAATAAATAAAAACGTGTAATAAATGCAAGTTTTTCTTAAAATAAATGTCTTTCCGCAATTATTATTGGTCAGTGCTGGTCAAAGTCTATCACCTTGTAAATATTATACAGAGTCTTTATAAATGATAGATTCCCACGTGACCATATTCGAAACGAACGTAGTAAATTTGTATTTATAATATATTGATAAGGTATCAATACTGCAAAGCAAAAATAAAAATGTAGCCTGTGCAATATGAAATTTAGATCACATAATTTTCATACTACACAACTTAATAGCCCTGTAAGCTCCTACACGAATATTGAACGTAAAAAAAGTATAAAAACCTCCAAAAAAAAACATACATTCCGCCCCTTATTTTTTCTTACTTTTGCCAAGAGTGAGAGTATGATGGCTTTGACTCATCTGCTGGTATTGAGCTTTCCTTCTATTGAACTCGACGATTTCATCTTCGAGTTTCTTGCGAGAATCCTCGATTTTCTTCTTCTCCTCCGTGTGATCCTTCTTCAATTTATCGAACTTCGCGTGCAACTGAAACAAATCGATCGAATAAAGCGAAATAAAACAAAATCCATAATACAATACCTCCTTTTCCGCGTCTTTGAGCTCCGACTCCTTCTCCTTCACCCTCACCACGAACATCTGCCGCATTTCGTCCTCCTTGTGCTGCAACTCCTGCAAGTGCGTGGATCTTTTGGCCTCGAACGTCTTCTGGAAGCTCACCGGCTTGTTGTCCTCGTCCACGTCGCTCAAACCCATCTCCTCCAGCCTCTTCTTCCTGTAGAGCTCGTAGTGTCTGCTGTGCGTCTTCTCGCGCATATCCTCCATGTTCGTTCTGATCAGCATCTCGCGCAGCTTCACGAAATCGCAGTGAGATTCGTTCTAAAAAATATGTATATCGATGTAATCGAGTGTAATCTATTTAGAATCGGACTTACTTCGACTTGAACGGTGCCCCAAGGGTATTGCCTGGCCCTGACCATTTTGTTGCCCACTCTGATGAAATCGGTGCTGCCGATGACCGCGAACGGAACGTGCGAATTCATCGTGGAATTAATCTCGGAGACGGATTCATCGTCGACGGGGAACTCGTAGATCGACACGCCGTTGTTTTGTAATTCGGCGATGATTTTCGATTTGAATTTCTGCAATTCCGTCTTCGATATGGTATCGGCCTTGGCGATGATCGGAATGATGTTTACCTGCAACAGCGGATTTTTATAGCGCGGATTCTCGCGGCAAAACGACACCTACTTTCTGGTCGAGTTGTTTCATGCAAACTAAATCGATGGATTTGAGACCGTGGCCGGTCGGGCATATGAAATAGAGACACACGTGGATGCGGGTGTCGTGGAACGTCGATAAAGATCTCTTAATCTTCAACTCTTCTTGCAGGTAGTTCTCGAACTGGGCGTCTATGTAGTCGACGATGGCTTTGAAGCTGTTCTCTTTGTTGATTTGATCGCCGTAACCCACCGTATCGACTATCGTTAACTGGAAGAATTCATTTCAATATTACGATGGAATTACATTTGCGAGATACTCTACCTTTAGCCTGACGTTGCTTTCCTGCAACTCGTAAGTGTGAGCTTTCAGTTTCACTGAAGGCAAAGAGTGTGGACTTGGGCTTGATTCGAAGTTGGTGTTGAAAAGGGAATCCATCAGCGTGGATTTCCCCAATCCCGTTTCGCCTACAAAACAATCAAACGCGCTAATGAGATGACGAAACGTCCTTTTAACGTGAATATTTAATTGAAATATTCGCAACGAGTGTTACGAAAGAATACCATCTGGTGGTTTATTGAAATTTAAAAGTTTTATTTTATTGCCTGGGAAAGTTGAAATTTGAATAATTCAGCGATCATGAAACTTACCTATGCACATTATATTGAAAATAAATCCACTTTGCACACTCTTGGAGACCAATTGATCTGGCAAGGAATCAAAGCCGACATGACCTGATAGAGTTAAATTTCTCATCTCTGGTTCAATCTGGAAAGAGTATTAGTAATATTTTATTAAAAATTCACATGTGAATCAATCAAAGCCAGCAATAGGTTGTAATTAATTAATTTAAAGTGTTTTGATTAATACATACATGCTCATAGAATGTATGGAATTAAAACTAGGTGAAATTTAAACTAGGTTGATTTCTGTTTGTAATAAAGTACAAAAATTGTGATGTGGTGATTGAAATAATATGATTCATTTCATGTACAGGGTTATTCCAATAATTCCATGACCTTACCAGTGCATTTTATTTTAATAATTATTAACGCCGAACGAAAATATCAGGAAATATTTGTGTAAATATTACTTATTATAAAACATAAATGATAAGATGCATTACATTCTCAGTGTAATCCGTTTAAAAAATATTCAAAACATTATTGATATGCAATAAATTAAACAAGTTTATCTATAGAGGAAACTTGAAGAATTCTCACACAAAGGAAGTAAATGAGAAATTTTATTTATCAATGGGTTATGGCTTTTGAAGAAAATAAAATACTAGTCCTGAATATGCAATAAAAATGTAAAAAATACTTAGAATAGAATCCATCGTTAAATAACAGTGTAATAATAGAATGGTTATATACAAATATATGAAAATAATGTAGAATATTCAATATTATTCCTGAAAACAACTAAAGTATATAAATAATTAAAATCAAAAATAAAAGATTTCTCAGATTTCTCCAAGCTAATATATGAATGAAAACTCGTGTATTTCTATAAAATCCACACGAATACGTTCATACGAAAGCGAAATCAAACGGTTTCGATTTATTTTTATTCAAGTTTACAAAAAGGAAACTCCCTTTGCCTGAAAACACGAACATTTTTGAATTGTACTTACGGAAACGGTATTTGCATCGACGGGAGCCATACTTGTTCGACTGCACTAAATTAATGAATTCTCGGCCTTTCTATTTTTGGTTGAAATAGGTTCGGTGGAATTACCGTTTCGAATTAACAAACAAGGAAACAAACTGTTATCGTGAATTGAATGACGAATGTCAACACAACACTCGACTCCTCTTCCTCTTCTCTCCCAAACCAACACTCGTCAATATAACCAAAGGTTGGCAACACCAAAATCCCTAAATTTGTCAATAATTTTAATTTTCTATATTCATGTTTTTCAATCTGATTTTGTTTCTACATCATATTTAATTCAAATAAAACGATACCTAAGCGATAAACATAGTAAAGAAGCCCAAACTATCTGGAAATTAACAAGCGAAATATAAATTAAAAACACAGAACTAGTGGAATGTGACAATAATGACAATGACATAGAACATATATTACACTGAACAGGTTGACCAACCCAATTCGATCGGCAAAAAAGTCGAAAACACTCGATATAAGACGAGGTCATATAATTACTAAATATTCAATATTATACACGTTATCTTCATTTTAATTACTTGATCGGTCAATTAAATTTAAATGCATTGTAAAAAACATTACGAAGAACCCATTCATATCTCTTTCACAAACGCATTCTAAACGAACCTAGTACCAACATAATTATTATCTACCTAAAAAATTTCATTTCATTATCAATGCAAAGTATGTACGTAATTAATTTATAAGCGATTTACGATTAAAGTAGTTTTTAAAACGTTCTACTGTAAAATAACTGCGTTTTCATCTAAAATAACAAAGTGTTATTTAAATCTAGGGATGCGTAGCATCGTGCTATTGGCCACTCTGCTTGTCAACTAGTGACATCACAGTAAACATTTAATCAAAAATGGCAGGCGTTATTTGATTTTTGAAATGAAGTCATATTTTTTGTCGTATTCGCTCATTTTAAACGTAATTTAAACAAAAATGCTGAACCAAGTTTCAGTAGAAGCTGTTTATTCGGCTACATATGTCGAAAACTATTTGGACTGCGTAGAAAATCTTCCAGACGAGCTGCAACGTCTGATTTCCAGAATGAGAGAGTTGGATGTTTATTATTTAGGTATTTATTTAACATTTATTGTCTAAATTAGATGAATTTGTTGTTGAATATTACTGGAAGCTAATGCACGAGTTTGTATATTTCTGATGTTTGTGATCATTTTAATTTTGGGCGATTAGATGCTTTTACAGCATTTCATTCCTTAGGGCAAGCTTTTCAAGCTGGTAGGATGCTTATTTAATTTTCTACAAGGCTAGAGAGTCAAATGTTTATTTTTTAAGATATTGTCAATTTTGACGTGTTTTACTTATCAAAATTTGCAAAATTTACTGCCAAACATTCATGTTAAAATGCATCTATGAAATTCTATTTAGTACTTTCTCTATTAGGTTTACATATGTCACGTTTTGGTATTATGTTTTTGAATAACAGTGTACAGTTTTCACAAATGTTTATTTAAAAAAGTACTCTTCGTATGAGCTACCATATGGAAAATTAACGCTTATAAAACGATTCGTTAATTCCAGCTCGTGTGAGAGAAGTGGCCACTCAAACGGAAAACTTCAAAAATTTGAGCAATGACAACCCAGTGAAGAAAGCGAAAAGTTTCTCGAGAATGCAGCAGGCCCTCATCGCAGCGCAAGAACTGGGAGACGAGAAAATGAGCCTGCTGCAGACCATTTTGGATAAAATTGAAATCAAAACGAGGCTATTGGATCAAGATTTTAGAAATTTAGGTAAGGCATACCACGAAGCAAAAGTTAACAACTTAAACAAGTAATTAATTCCAGATTTCGGCAAGGAAGAATCGAGTCAAATTGAAGTAAAAGAACAACAGTCCGCGTTGAATAGCACCCCTTCGAATAACAACGGCAGCAACACGAATAACGCCAACAACAGTAACTCTGCGAGTAACGAAAGGCCGGCGAAACGAGCCAGAAGGACCCGTCACGATACCTATTCGGGAGCGGAAAACAACGATTCGATTACTGTCGAGCACGTTCTCAGAAGCCAAGTCCCATCTAACGCTCCGAATAATGCGCAGAAAAAACAAACCACAAGTTAGTTACTTGCATTTTGTTTACGAGAAACGGTTTATTATATTATTGCTTTTTAGGTAAAAAGAAAAAACGTAAATCTCGCCAGAACACTCAAGTGCAAAAAGAGGAATCCCCGCCCAGAGACGAAGAGCAAGCGATCGATCCAGATGAGCCAACGTACTGTCTTTGCGATCAAATTTCATACGGTAAATGTTTAATTGCAATTAACAACCGCTGTTATTTATCATTTAAATTATTAGGTGAGATGATCATGTGCGACAATGACTTGTGTCCGATCGAATGGTTCCATTTCTCGTGCGTGACGCTTTCGACGAAGCCGAAGGGAAAGTGGTATTGCCCCAAATGCCGTGGGGACCGGCCCAACGTCATGAAACCCAAGGCGCAGTTTCTGAGGGAGCTGGAAAAATATAACAAAGAAAAGGAGGAAAAGACGTAATCGATCCGAGGGCGTCGGGCGAGTAAATATCGAAATGTGTCGGTTACGTTTACCAAAAATTTTCAATATCGGAGTGAATTTTTGTTTGAATTTTAAAATTTCATTTTGTAGAATTGGTAGGTTTAAGATGAAATTGCGATAGGTAGTTAAACGAGATTGAAGTATTGACGCGAACGGCCAAATATTGTTCATTATTTTATGTATTTGAATTTTTTTTTAGGTATTAAAAATTTTTGGTAATATACGCTTCTTCTAATGGAGCCGATTTGTATTTAATTGTATAGATTTTTTTGTCTTTATCAATTAAGATTTATAAACGTTTATTATATTTGAGGCTCTTCCAATATAAGACAAAAATTAATTTTATATACTTAGGTCAAATAGAGAATATATAAAACGCAAATGTGTCAGATTTTTTTTTAGAATAATTTAAAACGGTAAATTGTTATTGTTGGGGCAAAGAATGCTGAATTTTCAATTAACATCAACCAATTCAGTTGCAATTTTCTAGTAAAAATAGAAAGATACATGCAATTTATTAGCAATAGTAAATTTTATAAAAAAAACCATTTTAACGCTTAATAAATATATTCATCCATTGGTAAAATTGTTTGCTTCTTGTGACATTTTAATATCCACCTACTTTTAGCACATTTCACAGTCGGGTGATTTTCTTTCATCAACGAACTATTCTCTTTAGCAGTTACTATTACGTCTGTATCGTTAGTAACATAATCTAGACAATCCCTAAAAATAATCGATTAAATAAATATAATCTAACCAATAAGTACACACTTACCCTTTATAGGCTTTAACATATTTCTGTAAAGTATTAAACTCATCTTCCTCAAAAGAATGATCTATGTAAATTTTCATTCCTCTAAAAAAATCCGGTGCAGAATTATCGTTATCGCTAATCAAATAAGGCTCTTCTTCATCAGTATCAAGATCAAATATACTGGGTGTTTTGGTATTAGTTACATCTAATCCATTCCCTTTGCTGGATTGATCTTGCTTCTGTCTTTCCAGAATTTTCGCTACTCTTTCTTCAGTGTCCGAACCTTCAGCTTTGCTAATAAAACGACAATGATAAAAAGCGCCTTTAATTAAACATTTTGTGCTTACTGTTCATCATCACTGACATCAAAGGAATATTCCGTGACCTCAGGAACATCTAATAATTCATCGATTTCATCTTCACTCTCTGGCAGGTTCCCGTCATTTTTATCTAAGGCGAATCTTCTCCAAGGCAATCGCTTTCTTTCTTCGTGGCATTTTTGCACCCACGTTCTCTTCACGATTTTCCCTTTTCCTTTTACTTGGTTGAATTTCGGCGTGTTAACGAAAGCGCAACTGTAAAAATATTAATTACAACTACTTATGAAAGAAACTAGACTTAACATACATTAGATGTGTACATGTTGAGTCCCAATCAGCTTTATATTTCGCTCCCATCTCTAAAGCCATTGATCTCAAGCTGGCTCTCTCGGGATTTTGTATTCCACTTATTACAAAAACAACATTGTCTAGTAATTTGTTGAATGGTTTCGATAATTTAGATTTTTTCGGTTTTTGCGTATGCGCAGAATCATCCTCGTTTTTCCTCTTGGTATCATATTTTCGGCTACTGGCAGGACTTTTCGCCATTTCTGCCTTTTTGTTATCCTTTCTAACAACTACTTTCGGTGATTTTTTCACTTGTTCCTCCATTTTGCGCTTCATCGCATCCTCTTCTTCCTTTTTCTTCATAATCCTCTCGAGTTTCTCGCTACCTTTTGAATCTTCCTGGTCGTAGAAGAGCTCGTCTCTATTCCTGTTTTTATTCGCAGGTTCTTCCGTGTTCGCCTGCTTCTTTGGTGTTGTATTCGAATTTTTATTCAATATTTTCGGCTTGCAACTCGGCGATGTAGTGAAGGATGTTACATTTCTAATAGCAGCTGCAGCTGAAACCACAACTCAATAACAATCGGTATTTTAAAGCGGATTAAAGTCTACCTGTAGGAGGTTTATCATCCTTGTAGTCTTTTCTTTTGGCGAACAAATTTCCAGCTAATATATTATCGGGTGATTCGGGTCTGATAACGAATTTTCCGATTTTCGTCGTACCACCAGTTGCACTTGTCCTCGTTTCGTTTGAATGAATCCTTACGAAAGACAAACCGAATTGTACATGCTTGTTAAACGGCTGAGAGCACACGATCTTCACCCTGTCCCATTTTTCATCGCATTCAGGCTTCGATAAATGCTCGTGCGTAAACATTCTAACTTTATTAATATTCTGACTCTGCCTCGATTCAACAGGCGTCATAAAACATGAAGTAACAAGTAGAACCTAAAGTATATACATAGAATATAAAATATAATTGTAAAGTTGTTTAATAAGCATACTTTGTAGTCGTCATTGCTGCTCGAACGAGAAACTAGTACTTCGATATAGGCGGAATGTTCGTTACCTATATCGATAGCTGTTATTTGACTAGCTTTTTCGAGTTGTAGCACAACTGATGCGTTTTTTTCACCCACGGATCGGCATTTCCACTTCTTGTTCGAGTCTGAAGATAGAATATTACTGGCTGCGTGTACCTGCAAAAGCTCTATTATCAAATGTGTAATGAGTTGATAAGATAAAACTTACAGGATCCTCGGAGCTAAAACTTACAATATGGTCTATTTTCACTTGAGGCATTTTTAAAATTACATCAATTTAACGTTTATTTAATAGTTATTTAAACATTTATTTTAATAATAAAAGCGCAGTTTTGAAATTTGTAGGGTTAGTTTGGCGCTGTTTTGTTTTCATTGACATTTCTGACAGTTTTAGTATAAACTTGACCTTGATGTTGACATTTAATTTATTGTCTCTTATGTATAAGTTATTCGGTTTTAAGCCAGTGGTGTAACATTGGAAATTAAATTTATTATAGTAAATAGGTAGGCGGATGGTAACGTTGAATTTTAGTTGATAATTTATTTCTCTATATTAAAAAACAACAATAAACACTAATTCAAAAAGAATTACTATACAAAAAAATAAACTCCCAGTAATAAGTAGATTATTAGCTAATAATTACAACCTGTAATGAAACCATTGGAGCTATTAATTTATTTTTTGATACTTGTAATAACACAGGTAGACAAGTTTCCCATTAATTAGCAGTAGAAAACACATAAGGGCAAATTATATTATGCTGTCTACGAAGGTAGAAGGTATAAAAAAAGTTGAGCGTAATATGTTTGGGAATAAAACATAGAGCTGAAACATAACAGAAATTCATGTGTATTAAAATTTATCGCCCTCCGAACTCCAACTTTCCTTCTAGAGAGGATAGATACGAGATTCCTGCTATAATTTTATTAAACCCGGAAAGTTTGCAATAATATAATAGTTACTTTTGATATGGTTTATAACAAAAGTAAAGCATCGAGTACATTAAATATACTAAACTATAGGTATATTCGATGTGCATACAAATTAGTAATTTTATTTTATCTAAAAGTTCGCCATAATTGGTTAATTTAGATTTAACTCGACAGGGCGCTTGCAAATTACGTTCATTTCGCTCGTCTCAACTCCACCAAAACATAGTTATTAGACAATGGGTGGGCAAAAATTCAAAATTTAATATTCCGGAATATTAATCGAATTATCAAACTAATTAAAAAATTGTGAAATTACATCGTAAATAAACTGGCATACCATTTCCACGTCCATTGTCTTAACTACACCTACTCCTATTTCTAATTCTAATGAAACCATCTACTAATTAGCGATCAAGCAGATAGGAAATTATACCGTCCAATTTACCACAAGGGATCGAGTTATAGAAAACAATAGACATATATAATTACAGGTCGTAAATAACAATTAACAGTTTGATATGTCAATTAGAGCAACTCCGATCTTATTGTGGGGCGTGTATCGCGTAAATGAAATGCTGCTGAGAAGGATATGATTTATACAACATATTTCCCATGAATCTGATACTCTTTGCTGTGCTAATTTAATAAACAGAATCCCACAGACTATACCAAACGGTTTATTCAACGAAGGAAATTACCATCGGCACACACCAATGTAATTGTAGAATAGGATTGCAGTTTTGTAATAATTTAGTAGGTAATTCTCCAAAGGGTGATCGCAATTTGTGCACTTACGTAGGTCGAGTTGGATCTGGATGACTAACAAGTATCTACGCAAAATCCTGTTTATAATACACTCAGGAAGAAAAGGTTACATAAAACGAGAAAATATCTTATTCTGCAATCTCCAGCGAACGTAATAAATGTTGCAAAGGAAAATAAACTCGACTTCGTTTATTTATCAAAGGCAAAGTCGGATTGGACGGGCAATTTGTATACTAGTTAACGACTCTCTCGAAAATATTATATTATCTGGATTTTACAATAAGCGAATTTAATTAACGAGACGTAAAAATAATTAAAAGCGTAAACGGCTGGGATTTTAATCAAGCAAATTCTCACCTTTAAACTAAACAATAGGAATAGAGTATAAAATGCGATATGAAAGAGCCAATGAAGATATATAAATTAAACGGCTTTTCTTCGGCATTCTTATTACAGGCATCTTATTTGTTGTAAATTCGAAGGCCGACCTCCGGAGTTATATGTAAAGTCATCGCATTTAAATGCGTAGTTGCCGGTGAAGACAAAAGGGCGCTGGAAGCGTTATTCAAATTTCGCCGTAAAACTACGCCCTACTAATTTCGGGCGTTATCCAGATGTACATCCCAACCTGATGGTTGTCCTATAGAAATTAAAATTAATCTCATCGACGTTCCCATAAAAGAAACCTAGACTAAAATTTATTGCCAATAGCACAGTCACAAATTAAATAAGTGGGAATATTTTTTTTTGATAAAAAAAATTTGTAGCAACATGGGTTAACCGGATGAGCAATGCATTTCGTATGCACCGAAAGGTAGGTGTAAGGTAAACGAAGTTTTATTCGAAATAAGTAAAAGAAAGCTTTCGCATAACATTGTTATGGTCACGTATACGAAGTGGATAAATCAACGGTTATATGTGGTGTTGTGGGTAACTATAAAAATTCATATTCGCCAGACGCAACCTTACAATAAATAAGGATTAGCCGTTGAAGACAGTTCTATTGTATAAAGTTTATCTTGCAGAAGGTTGAAATCTTTGTTACTGTCGGCCGGGGCGTCAACGAAATATTTCGTATCTAATTTTTTTTTCACGAAGGCGTTCGCCTCATTTGTGTTGTTTATCATCGGCGATTAATCTAGCTCGAACATACATTTGTCTCTATTATTAATTTCAGTTCCTACACTACAAATTGCGCAAGTAACGGGAGAACAAAATCCGCTTAATTCTGTGATAGGATGGTGTAAATAATTTCGTGGAAACTGCGGAATTATTCGACCTTTTCTAATCTTACTAAGCAATTTGTATTTAGGTAGGCGAATTTTGCTGGAGACGATGACAGTCGCGAATTCACTCCACCCAAAAAATTAGTTAACAACTTGGCGTATGTAAATAAACAACGTATATAATTATCCCTAAATGTAATTCTAAAACGTTCCCATAGGTGTACTGATGCGCGTCCTAAATATTTGTAGGCATTCCAATTTGTTTGAATTAGATTAGAATTGCAAATATGTTTAATATCCCACAAGTACCCAATATATTTATTTTTGTTTATAGTACAAATGTAGGTAGTTTGTGTATATTTTGCCATATGTAATGTGGCATTTTAGCTACGCCCACGCAAATTACGATAAATGACCGATAAATTAAAAAGATTGGAAAATTTTGAATCATACCGCATAGAGAAAATTTAATTATATTTTGATAGTTTCGTAGAATCTCATGCTGCAATTTTAAAGTTACACTTTTTCCAATTTTGGAGTATTAGGAATGCGCTGCACGGGGACTCCCTTATTTTACAAACAGTGCGTCGTAAAGTTACCTTAACTCGGTTAAAACTTTCTGAAACAATCAATTACACCGCCATTATTTGCGATTGCGTCGAAATAAATGTTTGGAATTCGAAGCGCATTAAAATTTTAATTAAAAGTCATGTTTTCGCAAAATACCTGAATAATAAACGCCGATTGATTAATTAATTTTTCCTTTTCGATTCGGCCGAAGGATTAGTGGATCAACCAAAAGGGGAGTTTTTCTTCACTGAAAAAATTTTGGTACATAATATCAATGAACACCATGTTTTCAACTTGTTTTCATTAGCTCAATAAAATAATACATTAATCCAATAAATTTTCATTCATTAGTTAATGAATTCATTTATTAACTCAATGTTTCTTGTAACATTAATTATTAATGTAAAATTTCATTAACTCAATAACAATTTTTATTAATTCAATGAAATTTAATCATTAATATAATAACCTAGTACATTAAAAGCGAATATTTCAGTTAATGTATTCGATACATTAAATCAAAGTAACTTGTACATTAATATAACGAATTGTTCATTCTTTTAATGAAATTTAATTATTGAACCAAAAACATTAATACATTAGTTCGATAAACCACATTCGTCATTTTTTATGTTGCCCGTACATTGATTCAACAAATTGAGTACATAAATCCTATGTTCGAGTTCATTGAGCCAATGAACGCATATACATCATTAGTTCGATAAAACACATTCGGCATTTTTAATGTTGCCCATACATTGATTCAACAAATCTAATACATAAATTCTATGTTCGAGTTCATTGAGACAATGAATGCATATACATTGGTTCGATAAACCACATTCGCAATTTTTTATGTAGCCCGTACATTGATTCAACAAACTGGATACGTAAATTCTTGTCTCGAGTTCATTGAGTTAATGAACGCTTTTCATTAAGTCAATGAATATCAGTTTGGATTTTGGCAATACACACTAGAGTGCAAATCTATGCCGTTCTATTCTATTAGAAAAAAAGAAATAGATAGAGACGCTTTCGAAAATCGCGTTGACCGTTAATTACCCCTCTTTCTCTCCTGTTATTTCGTTTTGAAGCGTTGAACTGGAAGTGTTCTGTTTAGTTAATTTCGTTTTCGTTTTGTATTATAAGAAGGAAGAAAATTCAAGCCCTGTTGTTTTAAGAGGTAAGCATTTTTTAATTCGGTACACTATAGGTTAATACTTATACATTTTATTTCTAGGATTTAATTTTAAACACAAACGTAAAGCCTAAGGGAGATATAAGTGCAACAACTTCAAGATTCATACAAAATGTGTGTAAGTTTTTATGGTTTTTACTACAACTCATTAAATTATTGGATATATTAAATTTTTAGGCCCCAAAGACATTTGTGAAACGTGCATAAGACTTCTGAAGTTTGAAAATTTATCATCGGAAGAGTTCGACGTATGCAGCATGTATTGGAACTTCGCTTGAGTGACATAAAAAACGCACAAAAATTCAGATGATAAAATGAACTTATTACAAACGACCATCTGGATATATCTTGGTGAGTACCTTCAATAGTATACCTACCTATACACCGTGCTTCATTCGCGATTGCAACATGAGCATTTCTATGAGTTGAACAAAGAAATATTAGTAAAATAACAGTTGTCAGAGTGAAAAGTTGCAATGACATAATATCATACTGTTTCTTTTTCCTTTACAAGTGTCTAATTGAAGTTATCTTTGTTGCACCCATAGCCTATGTTGCAATCTATATACTTACTGGATATGTATAGATAGGAATTTACAGTCTACTATATTAACCCATAATTTTTTTTAGATCGATATGGATTTCGCCCCAGCGTATGATGCAAAGAATTTTATGAAATAATTCGAAAATAATTCTTCGAAGATTGACCAGTTTCTTCTAGCAATAATACAAAAAATGTAAATTCGTTAATTTAATAAATCAAATTCATTAATTCAATGTACTGCGTTCATTAATTCAAAAGCTAAAATTCCTTAATTCAATAAAAGAAATTCATTAAACCAAGATCTAAGTTTCATTGATTCTATGAAAGCATTTCATTGAATCAATGTACTACATTTATTAGAAAAAATCTAAAATTTGTTGAATCAGTGTACACCGTTCATTAAACCAATGTAAAATATTACATTGAATTAATGTACTTCTTTATTGGGTCAGCAACTTTAATTCATCGAAACAATGATTTTCATTTCATCATATCAACGAATTATACATCACTTAATGTACCTCTTCATCGCTTAATGAACAAACGTTCATTGATTTAATGAAATCGTTTATTGGACGACTTTTAATGTAAAAATTTCTTGGATTAATGTATTTTTTCATTATCTGCACGTACTTTTTTGGTTCAGTGTTTGAATTTCCTTGGTAATAACCGAGCGTATTGCTTATTAAGACACGCTTTATTTAAGAGGAAAAAAGTTTGTTATAGTAACAAAATACGTAGTTACAGTTAATTATTTTTAAAATTTTGGTGGAGGAGCAGTTCATTTTTTATATTATTACAAATTTAATTGCTAATTAACTTTTCTAATGTCTTTCTTGATTGAAAATTATATTATAGTTGTAGTTCTCCCGCTCACTTACCAAGCGTCTCTGGAATGCATGAGCTCATTTGCATACTCTCATGTAGGTAAATTTACAACTATAAATTCATGTTTATTAATCAAGCTATTTAATACGTAAATTCGCAAATAGTATTTTATTTTTCAACTGAATGCTATAGGAGGAAAAAGTCGCAATTCCACGGCGACTTTGGCTTCCAATTTACGTATACCTTCGGGCTAATAAGTTTCCTTTCGGCGGAACTATGGGGCAAAAAATGCCGTTAGGGCACCCACAACAGACTTAAATTTAATAAAACTTAATTGGGATCGTCTGTGCGTAGTGCGTTCGCGAGGAAATTGAAAGACAACCCGATTTTGAATGTGACGTTAATGATTTTGGGGTTTTACCTCGGAAAACTCCGGTCATGAAAGTTCGGGTCATGAAAATTTATGCTCGTATTTTAGACGTTAGCTAGTTTAATTAAAAAAGATGGGCCGGCGCTGGAAAATTTACATAAACAAATTATGTACTAACTTATTAGAACAATACGGGATTTTCTAACGCCCAAAAAGACTCGTTTAAAAGACAAAATAGATTAAACAACCCGAAAAGTCTTTACTGTCGCACACATTCTACTTCTAGTGCCTATATTTTTAGCGTCGAAAAAGAAAAATCGTGATTTACGTTAAGAGAATAGTGCGAGAAAAAATATCTATAGAGGGGGAGAGCCAATGTTGTGAATGTCTGCCCCACCATCCGAGCATGTAGGTAGGCGCTCCAGAAGGATAAATCCTCGTTATTCCTGGCTATCAACACGTTGTCCTTCTTCCTTCGTCCTGCTACTGCTGCAGCCTGTTGAACATCGAAGCGGCTCTCGCGCGTTTTGTGTGATAGTTTTTAGTTTTTATTTTTCGGTAAGTTTTTTTTAGACCGCAATAGCATGTGAAATTTGTTTTATTTCCTTAAAGTAAATGGTAAAAAAATGTAAATGTTAAGGTAAACGAGAAATTTAAATTCCTGCAACGCAGTAATGTTTTGTTCAATCGTCTTTATAAGGCCAATGGCTCAAGTAATAGTAATGGCATGGAAAATGGTATTGCAGGCGAAAGTATCAAGCGTGTAAGCAGCATCATTATGCTTTATTGAACATGGTTTGTTTTTTGTATCTTAAAATCGTTAGCGATAAAAATAAACTAAACGAGAGATACCTTTGATTATGCTTCATAAATAATTTCGTTTTTTTCTCATACATAGATAGTAATTTATTCAAATAACAAAGCAAACTTTGCAATGCATATCAAGGTATCTAATTACATTGTCTTGCTCAAATTAGTTGATGAGTTGATAAATATTTTTGACTTTCCATGGAAATTTTCATAGAAGTTATTTGATTAGTAATTTTCGCATGTCCATCCAACAATTCAATATGTTTAATCAAATTATTTGTCCTCATTTTATACATCGTGCATAAAAATTGCAGCTTTTTTATGAAATTGCTGGCTCGAATAATAAAAAGCTCGACTTTTTATTCAAAGTTTTATAAGTAGATAGATTTATCAAAGCTGAAATAATTGGCGCAGGAGCAAGGTTCAATTTTAATTAGAAATCAACTTCACTACTCAATTACAAAGGAATATTCTCATAATAAAGAAGTTAAATATTTTCAATAGTCATATAAAAAGTAGGTATCACAGAAATCCCAATTAAGCAAGTAGAAATAGCAAAACCGTTGGATTTTTATTCTAATTTTTGGCGAAGGAACTAAAAATCAAGTTTAACTTTTTATGAGAATTTTCTTTGAGGAATTTCAATAAGGCACATTCGTAGGGTTTACATGAATAAAATTTGAATAAAAACTGTACGTAATTCCTAGTAAATCCGCACCAAACACGTGTATCCCGTTTCTCAAACGTTTAATATATCTACTACCTATATCATTATACCTTGGAGTGTCAACGGCGCAATTCCTAATCGAATAGATAGATGAACCGATGCATAATCTCTTTTCATTGCAATTTCGCGCTTATTCGACAGAAGCAAACGGTCTCAAATATCAAAGGGAACTTCATTAAGGTTGGGCCCTAATTTAACGGTTCAATAAAAATTTTTAATTGATTTAACAGTCAATAGTTGGAAAAGCGCTGATTCGTTTCACCTCGAATTTAACATAAATTTCAATTAGCAACTTTTCAGACTTGAAGGAATAAATTCCACCTACAACAACAGGTTAAACGTAAATCATCCACCTGCCGGTTATCTCTGACGTTGATGATAATCTATTCGAAGTTTCGAAAATTCCCTCGCATATCTAAACGAATTGGAAAATTGAATGATTAAAATATCAATATTTAATTTAGCGGATAGGGATGATATCATTGTTAGGCAAACAATGTATTTTAATTGAAAAGCGACAAAAAAACCAACGCTAGTTCGGAGAACGTCGAAAGTTTTAGTTCCACCAAGTTCATCGCGTGTTTGATATTATAAAGTAGATTAACATCGTTTCATTTATATTAATGAAAACGTATTTCATTATGCACATCATTAAACTCGCGATGTTATAGATAAATGTTATTTTACAACTAAAAGAAAACAACTTCACTCAATTTACTACAATTTAAATACACAGTCGTAACATTGTTATTGAATGGAAAAAAAGCGAACGACTTCGGGGAGAGTTTCCGCAAGATTTTCCGAGACATTTTTCGATTTATTTTACTGAATCAGATTTAAGCTGCACACTGACATGGTTAAGTAAATAACGTAAATCAAATGTACCCTTTAGAACAATAAAATTCGATGCAATTTTGCAATATTCTATTTGCGAACACGTCGAATATATTTTGTAAATCAAAATTGATCTTCGACAGATTTTCTGTTAGAGTGAAATTTACTTTAAAAGTTTCAAAAAATGTGTGTACCTATGTCGAATTATTGTCACTCATTTTACTATTCAAAATATACCTATGTGCATAATTATAGAGATACAAATTACTATGTACACAAATAGGTACATATTATTGAACAAAAAAATATATTTTAATGTAAACATATTCATTGATGCAATATGTGACAAACAGAAGATCCCTTCAATTCAAACGCAAGCGAGTATTTGATGAGAAATGCAATTAAACACAGATTTAATTAGTAATATGTATAAGATGAACGTGACGATGCACGATGAGTATAGGAAGGTAAATTTCTATGTGGGCAATTAATTAACTAACGAAAATAGTAATACTGTTTGAACAAATAAATACTGCAACTACATATAATTAATTAACTGCAATGTCTAATTATATAGGCAATTACATCAATTTTCAACGGCCTATTCATTTAGGCTGCTAAACAAATATTATTGCGTTAGAAAAACATCTCCTAATTCTAATGTAAAATGAAGATGGCATTTAATTTTGCCGGCATTAAAACGAAACTGAGAGTAGGTGAACTGTGAAATTAGCGGTTAAGTTTCTCTTTGCGATTTGACTTCGAATAAATATCATGTAGCTGCAGCTTTTTCATTCGGTAAATACTGAAAAATAAACAACAAACGTACTCATGTAGATGGTTTATTTTACACGGAAAGCATTGGTAATTGTTTTAATGGATGCACTTCGATAATTTCACAGATGATTACTCTTATTTTCGCCTTGTTGGCCGCAATGTAATTAGGGTAATTTCGAAAAAAGCAAAAAAAATATTATTCTGTGACCTGCAAAGGAAGTATCCAGGAAGTTGTAATTGATATAAAATCGATTGATAATATAATAAATTTGGATACGTTTATTCAATTAGTCAAATAAAACGTATTCAAACTTCCATGCAAAGTTAATTTCGAATTTATTCATTAGTGATTCGAATTTAAATATTATTTCCATTTAGCGTAATATTTTTGATACATTACATTCGAAATTTTGGTGGAGGATTTGATTAATCTACAATTTAAAAAAATGGCGGAAGAACTACACTCGGGATTATCTAATAAACTTAAAAAAAACATCTCGAATAAAATAGGCTTCTTGTGTGAAATGCCCAAGTATGGAAGAACTAAACGCTTCGCCCTTTATCTAGTTCATAAGAGGGTCAATTCCAGGTAAGGCATGCAAGGCCTACGCATTCGTTTACATGCACTCTCTCCAGGGATTCGCGTTAAATTGAATTAGTCCCGCTCGAACGGGCTGCGGATATCAATTTTTCTCATGGATGGTGCTTTATGCTTACACAAAAACGAGCAACGCGTGAGTGTCGAGTTTTAGATTTATTGAATAAAAACGAGTGTTTAAATTAATTTTATATCTGCTAATTTCGAGATAGTTAAGGTGGGGTCTGTAGATTTAGATGAAAGACCATCACGTAGTTAGATAATTTCGTATCTTTTTTTCTCTAAAATTTAGTTTCCGCTTTTATCCGCCATGCGTTTTTTTACCGTTTTTCCTTGCTTCCGGTTTAAATCTAGTTCTTTTCAGAATAGAATCAATACTATAAACGAATTACACGTGACGAATTTGAGAGCAGCAAAATGGAAAAAAAGTGCTCTGTGCATGTATAGTTTCGACATTTTCCATCTATTTGTCGCAAAAGCTTTTTTCTATAGCGCCAATAACCAAATTACGCGCGCCGGTGGCAGAAAATATACTGTAGGATAATGATTTCCGGGCGGAAAAACCGACGAATCTCCGTTGGTTTCATAATCATCTCATCAAGACAAATGATATTCAGGTTATAGATCAATTCGCCCTCGAGTAGCGGGAAATTTCTGCGGATACGCTCGTAACCGAGGTGTTATCGCATTAGCAGGGAGTGTGTATGGAAACATTACACTATCACGGCCAATATCGAATGTCGTTTTGATTATTACTAGTGCTAATGGATTGATTAACGGCGTTGCTGCGGAGACTGCGATGCCTTTTCCATCATCCACCCGTCCTTCCCGATCGGTAATCAACAGTTTGCCGATCTATAAGCTTAGCGTTACCCTTTTACAGTTAAAAAGAAATGGATTTAGCGAATTTCAACCGCACGGTCTCATTTAAATGTCAATGGTATTCCGGTTTTTTTGTAGCAAGCAGGTTCTTTACGATGGAAATTGTCTATTAGATGCCTCTTGTTTTCGATGCAGTCAATCGAGGAAGTGGAAGGATGGCTTTAATATAATTTCTTTTCAGCTTAAAAGTTTTTTTTCGAAAAGAGAACGATTCGCTACGGCCTTATTTCATTCGCCTACATTTAGAGATACTGAAAATTTGTTGGAGGAATTTTGAACATATTTTTTTTCGTTTGGGCAATACATTTATCTCATACATATTGCATAGTATATCCGAGTTTAAAAAATTCAAGGCGGGGATTTGCGATCTACTGTTACAAGAGAAAAGAATAGAGCAGTGCTTTTGTTCTTCGTCGTTGTATTTTAATCTGTTTGTAACATTTTTAATTACCCATTAAGTAATAAACTACCTTTGTGCCTTCACACGAATTTAAATGCAACGAAAAGCCGTGGGCTGGATAGCGGAATATACAATTCGTACAACTTTCCTATTTTTCGACATCGTATTTCATTATTCCGAATGTCAAATCGATGATGGAGATGTATTATAAAACGAACAAAACTGGCTTCATAAGAGCATTAAAAATTTCTACCCTCGGGCACCTTTTTCGGTACTTAATTAATTAGGAGTCTTAATGAATTTTTCCTTTTAAAGTTATAAACTCCTTTTTTGGAAAACAAACATAATTTTTCTACGAAAACCCGTTAAAGTTGAAAACTTTGGATGAGATAAGTATGCGCAATTAATTAATAGAATATACCTAGATAAAAAGTTATGTACGTAAAAAAAATCATTATTTTACAATAAATCTTGCACATTATATATTCTCCTATGATATGAAATAGTTATAGATATACACTTAAGGAGTTTCTGAATAATTTAAAATGGATTGAAAGTAATTCAAAAAGGATTGCTGGATATCCACAGATCCTTGCTTTGAGCTGTTCCTAGACTGCATAAAAATTTCAACTCGTGTAATGCACCTATCGTTACGCAAGTACAGTACATGTACTCGTATCATGGAATGGTAGGCATTCTCATTGAGCCCTAGTAACAAAGAAGTACGATCGGGTGTCGGGAGTAGTGAGTAATATAATAGGCAATGTCCATGAAATTTGAATCAACGCTCTAATTAATAGGTCATTACAAAAAGTGAAGCTTTAAGGTTTCCTTCTCTTGACCTATTTTTACAACTGGCTTTCACTTTTGCACGCGATTATTTCCAAACTTTTGTTAGCACTGAGCAATTTTTCGCCGCATAATGAATTAATAAATTGTACGTAAATTAATAAATAAAATTAAGCGCCCTCTGTGTAAACCACTTTATCAATAAAACGGCTTTTCTAAAGGGTATACGTGACGACATTAAATGTAAAGCAAGAACCGGTTGATTATGTTTCTCACGATTTTCTTATGGATACACAATCCTGATAAATCGTCGTCCGGGGAAAATATACACCACACGGGTCTTCGCGAGTTCGTCGAAATGATTCGCATGCCTCTACGCTTAATTATCGGAGTTTTAGAGCTTTAGAGAGTTGGATTACTCTACATTTTCTTCGTTTACAGCTAACCGAGTTTATTTAAACTATTCACCTTTATGCTAACGAGATACTTTACAATACGATAAGTAGATACTTATTACAATAAATTATAAAATATATTGAACGTAAAATGAAGATACTAGGTTGGTTTATCATTGATAGAAATGTATGCCTGAAAGGCGTGTAAAATGTAACAATAATATTACGTTTTTATTATGTTTTTAAATTCTACGAGTTTCGTTTGAAATACGTATATTTCTTGTGTGTTGCATTATTTTTCTTCTGAGTTTTCATTCCGAAACACTATGCCATATTATCAACATCTGAGTAAATATTTGTTTTCCTTATTGCTAACTGCAAGCACCTTAGGGACTCTTCACTCGGAATATTCTACTACCTACATAGGCATATGTGATAATTGTTTTTATACCAATGTTCTTTTTATTTGCGTATATAAGTACGAAAGAATGTGGGTATAATAAGCATGTACTTTTTGAAATGAACTATATAAAATTAATTAACTAGTTAATTCCTATATGCTAATTTGTTTATTAGGAATAGTAGCGAGTCGTTAAATTTGTGATAAAATAGCAGGCGCGGCAATAAATTATGCTTATTTTTCGTTTATGTCAAGCGAAAATAAATAATTAACAATTATCTATGCATGACCTAAATTACGTATTGTAAGTTTACCCCGAGAAAAATCCCCTTGATTTTAAATATCCTTTAGAATAAACCACAACCTTTGATTAACCGATTTCACCCAGTCAGGTAAAAATTTCACTCCCTAATCGAGCAACGTGTAAATTTTCCCCCGCAGCTCCACGCCTAATCAACCCCGATTTCTCAGCGCGGCGCTCGAGAATTTCACGCCCAATTCATCATCCACCGCATAAAAAAAAATCATTTCCAGATCGTTCGGGAGATCACCATGATACCGCTCGCGATATTCCTCTTCTTCCTGGTGCAATCGTCCTTCGCCGACTTCGAGGACTCGTACGCGGAGCGGGGCTTCAACAGCGCCTACGCCGACGACCTGCGGGAGGCCGAGGACGGCGACCTGGACAAGCGGGACAATCACTTCATGCGATTCGGCAGGAACGACGGCGACTACAAGGCCAAGGAGTACTCCTACGAGGAGTACGACGACGCCGACGCCGACGCCGAGGTGAAGCGCTCGGGGAACCACCACGTCCGGTTCGGGCGGTCCGGGTCCAACGCGTTCATGCGCTTCGGCCGGAGCCAAGACAGGGGGCGAAATAAATCCATGTTCATGAGAATAGGTAAGAGGGTAAGAGGTTTTTCCAGCGCCTATTGATTGGTTACCGCGAATTCCCGGGATGACCATCATCGATATACCTTTCGATAAACGTTTTTAATGTCAATAAATTATTAGTATAAGAAACTGGTAGAAGAGTCCACTTAACTGGAGTGTTCATTATATCTTATACTCGGGGTCGTTATTCGATCATTACGCGGTAAAATAAGCCATTAAAAATATAAATTATATTTTTTTTTGCGTTTCGGACGCCCTCGAGATCGCCCCAAAGGTGACTTAATTGCTAATCAAATTGAATTAACTCGCGTTTAAGACCGGAGTTTTCTTTCTTTCTTTCCGGACGAAAGTTTGCGATCCTTTGAAAACGTGCTCGAGTATGAATAAATTGATGGAAGTTTAAAATATATTTGAAAATGTTTTTTTTATTGGAATTACCATAATTAAGGTCAGATGTGATGTCTCGAAAGACGTATTTTTCGTTGTGCAGGAGATTTCAGAGAATCAGCAACATTTGTGGGTGTTTTCTTAACAAGCTGTTAGTATATTTTCCGATTCCTGCGGTTGACAGTTTTCCTGTATCGAGCGGACTTTCTCCGGTTCTTCTCCGTGCACAATTAAAGCTAGTTACTAATTTACAATTAATTATATCATTACGAAACGCGAAGAATCGCAATTTACATTCCTCCGGGTTTATAATTCAAACCGGAACCGGAATCGCTCAAATGCTCTCCAACTAACCACTGTTTACACTGCATATTTAGTTATTCATCGTATTCCAGGTAGGAATTTCCAGGAGCAGGACGGTAAAATTCGCTCGAAACGATCCGCGCCGCCGAGTCCTGCCGATCCGGACTATCCCAAGCGCAAGGATCATTTCATGAGGTTCGGCAAGAGCCCTTCGTTCATGCGATACGGCAGGAATCCTGACCTGGGGATGGGATTCAACCGACCATTCGACCACGGCAAGATCGAACGTAAGCAGTTTTCTTATCTAATAGTCGTGGAGAAACTACAGTATTCTTCTTCCGAAAAATAATTACAAATCACCAAAGGATAATTGATTCATTAACCACTATTACTTTGTGGTTGATATAAAGGATTTCACGAAGCGTTGTATAGGCAACACAACATACATTAGCAGAAGTAGAGGAACTCCTGAAAACCGATAGATTTTTTTAAATTCTATATATTGTCATGTATTTTTCTTGTATATTCCTGCAGATTGTAATTTTTTTTTGTATTTTTTTTAGCTTTCCCGGATCATCTCTCGCAGGTGAACGGATGGGATCCGAAGGAGAACCAAATGTTGAGTTTGCTGTTGGCCAAATTGCTGGCGAGGAGGCAGGAGGCTGCGTCTGAAAACTCGTTGTAATGGAATTAATAAGGCTGTTTTTATTTCAAGGGAGGCCTAAACCTACTAAAAAATATCTATACGGTGTGGTGTCTATATAGAAATTAAATCCTAAACGGTGTTGTTTAAATTCGTTGAAATGTATCTCTAAAATATATTTTTCGGTCAACAGTAATGTGTTTATCCTAAATGATAATTGAGTGTTTGCTCTAACTTACTGTTAGATACGTGAAATTAGTTTTAATATTCGCTGAAAATTAATACCTACCTAATATTATATTTTTGGTGAAAAATAAAAAAATATTGTCTCGTTTCTCTACATTTTTTATACCTTCTAAATCTATGATCTATATAGATACTTCACTCAGAATACATTTTAACGGCTAATAAACTTATCTCTTGTCCTGTTATCTCCAATTTATACCCTCCCATGTGCCACGTTTCTCATTTTTGGTGGTATCTACAAAAATCCTTTCGTCTTAGATAAGACTTCTTCTAAATCGAACTGTTCCTTACTAGATGAATCATATTTCTAAAATTAATTGAATGTAGTTGTGCAGTCAATGGAAATTTGATTAAAATCGTTTTAAATATTGATTCATCTCGTAAACTTGTCCTAAATATATCAATGTCGATATTTTCATTGAAATTATCGCCATGTAGTTCAAGTCTTTGTAATGAATGTGTACCTATTAATTGTGTATTCATTTGTGGCTGGAAATCGTTTATCATAAATGTATATTTTATCGATATTATACATGTTGTAAATATTCTAATTGTTCCAAAATGCAAAAAATTAATCGAGAAATAATAAAGGGCATAAAAGTTGACGATAAACATTTTTGACTTACTCGTATTTTATTAGAAATTTTTACGAAGCCGAAGAAGATAAATACAATTTTAGAGTTAAGCAAATTTATTTGCTTTTTTTTCGTATTATGCTTTCCCATATACACAAACCTGTTAAAACTCGCAATGCAAACTAAATATTTAACTTTGTCAAACATTCTTTTTCAATTAACACATCCATTCATGAATTATTAATAGCAAATTCGATTTAATTCGACTGGTTTTCTGGTGCGTGGAACCAGATAAAAACAGAACCAACCACTAAATCCAACTTTCGCTTCACCCCCTGTAGAATTTCGCACGTTCAAAATGCACCTAATCAAACCTGTTTCTCTGTTTCTACACACTCGTTGATCACCATCTCCTCCAGCAGTATACCAGTGACCTTGTAATCCCCATTCGAAACAGCCTCTTACCAAGACTATATTCGCATTAGAACTTAATTGAAGCCAAATTTCCGTTTAGGCACTTCAAATTTGTACCATTACAAAACTGAAGAATAAGCTTAAGTGAATCGTTAAGCCGAAACTTGAGTCAAAGTTGCAGTGGATTATGACTTAAGACAATTACTTTTAAGACTTGGTATGTAGGTATACTGAGTAAATTTAGGTTCTGGTGGTATAGGAAGTTTGCGAATAGAGAATAAGAGAGACTTAAGTAATGATCTTAGGGTTATTATTCTGATGTAAATGGTCGGCGCGTTTGGCACGATTGCAATGCAACTTGCAAGTAAGACAATCAGACAATCACGTAAGTGTGCAGTGGGTAAAAAGCGGCTCTCGAGCCACGGCGACGACGTCTTGTTTTTCGTCTTTCACTTCTCGAAAAAGTAGGCCGCAGCTCGATCGCATCGACCGCGAGCATTGAGTGGTTGGCGAGCAGAGAGCGCGGTGGTCGCGCGCTGAATATCCTTATTTATTTATTTGTTTTCGTTGGTTTTTTTTCCTTCGTCGATCGGTCGCCCGATTTTTTGGATAATCGCGACAGGACATATCCAGGACGTTCGCGATACCGAACCGATATCGGGAGGCGATATCGAGCTGAGAAAATGGTGCTGTATACGAGGATCGCTGAAGCGGACGAAACGGTAGGTTTACTTAAGTGATTTGCTAGCTAATAGGCGAGTATTGTTCGGGTTTATTGTCGGGTTTTGAATTTATTGCACCTAACGGAACGTGTGTATTTGAAATAAATTATTAAATTAGGAGCACATTTTGCGCACTTTTGGGACTAACATACATGTTTAGCAGAATTCGATTTTTACCAATTTTTTAACGATTTTTACGAGCGAAACATGCTCATTATCTTCCTTCGAAAATATTCCAGTTCAAATATTTACAAGGGTTATCTGTTTGGAACCGATAGCGATTAATTATGAAATTCGTTTATAAAAAAGTTGATCAATATTTACAATTTAATTCGATGTTATGAATTTGCTTGCAGAAAAGATTGTTTCTGTTAATTATAATACCCCTACGCTTCCTATGCATCAGTAGATATAATTTATTTGATTAAATATAAACAGCGGTTCTTGAATATCCTTGTTTTATATTATAGAATGTTGCATTGCACGGTTTTTAAGTACTGGATTGACACTTTTAATGGAGTATGGAATTAACAACAAAACATAGAAAGTAATGAAAACTGAGAAAGTTATTACACACAACAAAACAAGTTGCACTTAGCATTGTATTCGATTTGTCGCTAAAAACCCATTTGATAGTTCTACTTTTAACTAATTTACCTTATTTTACGATTTAAAATGAAAGGGCCTGAAGTGTTAATTAATCTCCATAAAAAAACGGAAATTCTCTATTGTTGTTAGAGGTATAATATTTATTACCATACAATTATTTAAATTGCGGCATTATTTCTGATTCTAGGGAATTGGTGTTTATTTATAAACTTCCTGGTAAAATTTTCGCATAAAATCAATAGTTACTATTTATATTATTAAAGGAAATCGATTAATATTTGATTATACTTTGCAGCAATTTTAAATTTTAAACGTTACTAAAATAACAAATATTTTATACATATCTTCGTAGTCAATGTTTGAGTTTTTTTTTTTGTACTGAAAGATTTGAATTAACCCCTGTAGAATCAATTCATTCAGTTTACCGCAGCATTTGTTTGCAACATTTTTTCCTCTCATTAAACGTCCGGGATATGCGAAAAAACTTCGATGCTCGTTAATAAATAATTAAATCGGTACATAAATGTTTTTTATGCGATTACAAACGCACATTAGAATAGATCGTCGGAAAAACCTGTACCTACAGTGACATTATTTCAATCTTACGTAACGCGATTTTATAGATACCTGAACATTTGAATAAAAAACGATCACGGTTTAATTTAATTTAATTGTCGGGACGACTCGGCGCGTTTAATTATTGCCTTTTCGAAAATGCTGGGAGTAAATCATGCGTAAATTGTTGGAATTCATTGGTTAATCATCACTATAACATCACTTATCCACATACCTGTTGTAGACTTTTATAACATTAGAATAGTTTTTTTACAAGGATTATTGAAAAAGTTTTATACTATTATTTAAAAGCTAGACACTTATTTTTTTTTTGTTTCTAAAAAAATCTTTGTAAAAACCTTCTTAAAAACGTACAAATGAACCCTTAACAACTACCAAAATATCTTAATATCATTCGAAACAGCAACATTCTGAACCATACCTATACCTAATTAGAAATCAATAAATGTATTAATTTATTCTAATTAAACAATAGTCGTGAACTATATTTCTACTGATGCTAAAAATAGATCGATCCGCTAGTTTTTATTTCGTTTAGCTCCAGGAAATTTTCTTTGCGTTTTTTCCCAAAACGATGGTTCCGTTTTAGTTAAACAATACTAATTAGTTATTTATGCAAATTCGATTAGAGTTAAATTGTCGGGCGCACCTTCGCTGTGATAAATCGAATGAGAAAAAAATTGTAAACTACAAGTACCTATCATAATATCGAATCCTTGTCTTGAGTGGCTGGAAAATGCGCTACTAATAATTCTCGAGCAGTGACAAGATTCGCTATCGATTGTAGTTTAATCGATACATTCATTGAGAGTTCTTGATGTTGGTATTTTCCAGAAGTGTTAAGGTAAAAATTAAGTTTAACTAATTAAAATTAATATTTTGATAAATGTTCTACAAATTAAGAAAACACAAATTTATTTATCTTGAAATTCTTAATGTCGGGCCAATTAGTTTTTTTTTATTTCATGAATTAACTTTATTTACTAATAAAATCCAATTTAAACTAAATATGGTTTAAAGTTGGCGTGTTATTTTGGAATTTTTAATTGTTATTAGCGGTTATTGACACTGATTTCTACTCGTTAATACATTAATGTCACGTTCTCCAGCGGCTGATTTTTTTTAATAATTAATTTAATTGTTTAAAATATCGTACTTGCGCCAGCTTACTCATATATGAATTGTGTTTGTACTAAAAAAATCATTCCATTAATTACAATTTATTCATTCATTTAAATTTTACATGTTCTTGTAGTTGATAAGTTTACAAACGAAACAATTTCCATTCATAAACACACTCTAAATAGTTGTTGGATTGTTCATATGGGTTTACTATCAGGTTGACAGTCTTAATTAGCTTAATCAAGTCTACAATTAGATTGGTGTGACTCATTGATACCTGTTAATTTTGTTATAAACAATTAAATTTTACCATATATGCATCGGTTTCTTGATATCTGCGAGTATTTACATTTTACTCATTCATTCATGCATTTCGTTTCGTGAGCTAATTTGTGGTTACTCTGTGAAGATTTGCATATTCGGTAAGATTTTCCTGTTTCTGAATTAGTTTATTTATCTATTACTTAGCTAGTAATTGTTAATTTTTGTTGCTTTATAACTTGGTGTTTTATTAATGGTATTTTGGGAAGCAATTCTTCTAAAAGTGAGATGTAATTTGTCTTAATAATAAAAGGAAATTTATGAGTCAGCGCCTTTAATTGAAAAAAAAAATAATTGAAAATGTTGTAGAGGTGTGAGGGAAAATGTAGAGGTGGTATATAACCGTTATAGAGTGCACTTGAAATTCGCCAATTTTGTGTTGTAGAGTTTCTAAAAATAAATCAACGAAAACACGATTCAGATTCGATTTACCTTATTTAATAGCGTTTAATCGTCATAATATAGTAAGATAGCGTGTGGTAGGCATGCCATCAACAACATTCGTAAAATAAAAGTGGTACCTTCAAGGTCGTCCGGCTCGGTTTTCCCAAAATCATAGCGTAATCGCAGCTTTCTGCTGTTGTCGAGAAGAATGCTGTGCACGATTTATTTCCTTGATATTTTTGCCTATACAAATCTGCTGTGCCCACGCATTGTAATGGGAATGTTTCGACTAAATTCTTGATCGTATTCAACTCTTCCTGTTTTTTTTAATAGGGATATCCACGGGCGGCTGGTGTTTACAATTCTCAAGTGAATATGTACAATTTAAATCGAAGGTTGTTCTCGTAACGTAAAAATTGTAAGTAAATAACAGGACTTTCTAATTGACAAGCAGGAATGGATTTTAAACTGTCTAATTATGCCGTAACACAATTACAGTTCGATTCGAAGAAGTACGTTCCGTTATTTGTTAAAAAATTGCCAACTAAATTTAGAAGACCTTCGAATTATACCAAGTTTTATCAAAGACGAAATTTTCGCAATTGTATTTGTTGAGTTATTCGAATTATTTCCTGGCTGGCGGAACGAAAAGTAAAATTACAGTTAAGACCGGTCCGGCTTAAGGTAGGTCCTCCATCTCTTCTGCTAATAAACTCACTTTCTCTTCGAGTTCCTAGAAAATGACGCACTGAAATTCATTACGAAATAATTCGGTTAATACCCGGTGCCCGGTTGGATAATATAATTTAAGGAAGTGCTTACGTATCTTAACGAAAGCGAAAAATCCGATTATAATTGACAGTTTTCGCAAACTTACGTAGAAATAACGTTACGCTAAATGAACTGTATGAATACCTGAAAACACTAATTTCTCCCTACTTTACGTTATAACTTGCATTTAAATCTATCGAGTTATTATTCACCTACTTCAACATTTGGATATCATCGGATATCATTCGATATAATCATTTAAATAACGTAGCAAAATAAGAAACCAATCTAATCGGAAACGATTTATTTTTTAACCTACAACCAATCGGAATTGTAATTTAATTCACTAATAAGCGAACCGAATTAATTTTATTACCCATAGTTATTAATATACAGCCGAGATTTACGTAAAAAAGTACACAATAGATGACGTAATTGAAACTTCAAATAAAATTTCCTAGTAATCTAAGAGAGATAAACGCCTTAAGGATAGCAATGGAACGGATAAGGACGGTGATACTTCACGCAGCGGTGACAGATAGTTCAAAATCAAGGTAAAACGCAATGATCGAATATTGATAGGAATCTAGATAGATAGAGAGGGAGGTATTGTGGATTGTGTAGGATTAAAAAAAGATGGGTTCAGTCAATTCATGAAATCGGATCCGATCAGATTCGACGTGCGTTCGAGTGTGGTTCATTATTTGGTGTTTACTGATTAGGATGAACAAAGATAAAGGTACGAGGTTCTCGCAATAATTTGATTTTTAGATGCAATGAGTAATTAACTGGATTTTTTTCCAATCAAATTGAGACTTAATAGCAAAAATGGAATTCATTGTTGATAAGAAACATAAAATTAATATGTTTAATGTTATAACTCATTTAAAAAACCAATTATTCTTGTAACAACAAACTAAAACATGAGCTAAGTATGTGTTAACTATAAAAATTACACGGAATGTTCGTCGATTGTACGTCAGTTGATGGCAGTTCAATAAAAATATAGCATTTTAGGCTTGTTTGTTTTGTCGAAGAGAATTTTTTTTTGTTAATTTATATTGGCAAATTAATTTATTTCCATCGGTTATTAATACTTCAACGAGTTAAATATAGAACGTGAGAGTTGGTTCAGTCTAAATATTCCAGTTTAAACATGTGGCTCGGCGAACGTCATCTGTTTGACCAAATGTTAACCAAAAATTTATTTACATAAATAATTGAACCGAAAATTCACTTTTTTAACCGAGCCGCTCAACTTAGAATTTACCGATAACCGTTTTGTTGCAGATGCCTCAAACTGTCCCATCCGCAGGGTTCACTCCCCCGTGTGATTACAGCAACTTCGCGGACAATTTCGACTTGTCTCTGCTGCCCGGAGGGGATCCGCCCAATTCACCATCGACGCTGTTCTATTCGCAGTACGATAGCGAGAAACTCCCGCAGCAGCCCAAAATAGTGACTTCCTTCTATCCTTCGTCTCCCTCCGAGCAGGAAGCCGAATTGGAGCAACTCGCCCCCGATTTCCAAACTCTATTAGTAGCCAACGACGCTAAAAAATACTACGGGAACATCTACTTGGATGTACCCAGCCCCTACTCGCCCATATCCCAAGGGCTTTTATCTCCCAACGATCAGTTCACTTCATACAGAGATAATTTGTATCCCAGTTCCCCGGAACAATCTACTTATACACCATCGCCCGGCTCCGTCTACTCCACATCCCCATGCGGAGAAGACTACCTCCAAAATCAATACATTAAGAAGGAAAACTCCACTATCTCCAACTTCTCTCCATTCAACGTCAAAGAGGAATCCTTCCTGTTATCCACCGAACATTCGGACGTACTGAGCCTCTTCGATTCCGTCGAAATACAGAAACGCATCAAAGAGGAAACCGAGGAAGATTTCAGCGGCAGGACGCTTCGGGAATTACTGGAGAAAGACACGCAGGACGCCGGGCGGACGGTGCCCCAGCAGCCCGAGGACCATCGCTTGCTCAGGGAAGCCTTGAGAGACACCAGCTTCCAGAAGAAGTTCAACATCAAACCCATCGACTTCGGCTTCCTGGGCGGCGACGTGAAAATGGAGGAGCCCGAGCAGGACGATCTGATGAGGACCTGCAACGAGGAGATGGCCAAAGGGAGCATCGAACCCGTGCTGAATATGGCCATCGAGCAGATGAGGAAAGACGTCGATAACACGTGCGCTACTCTTGGAATTTCCGCAGGTAAGATCGATGTGGGTGTGAATGGGGATTTTTTTTAACCCTTATATTGTTTGAAACATCCGGTATTAGGCGTAGTTATTGCTTCGTTTACGAATTTTTAGTCGGCGCTAGATAAATCTCTTGGGGATTTATAATCGTAGGTGTGGTACCGATTCAAGGACGACGCCGTGCTCTGGTATGCCCAGTTTTTATTTATTGTCTTCGATTATCATGTTTGTAATAGCCATAAGCATTACTTAATGGGTGCGACATTACGAAAAAAATCGCTATTTATGGATCGTTGATTCCTTAAAGAGTCCTTAACAAAGCGCGTTTTGTAATTTCGCTTGTCGCTGGTGTAATCCAATTTTGCTGTGTTCGAAGAATTGCGGTACTGCACGCACTAATAACTTTACGATTGGTTAAAGAATCATCAAGGTAACGAGCGGTGGAGGTTTACAGTCGCGTTTAATTGCGTTTTTAAAGCGATCTTAAATATAGTATACTGGCACGTCATAATTTCATTAGCAGCAATTTTTATTGAGACTTTTTATTGAGAAATTTTCACGTAAATTCCTGCAAATGGAGCAACTTTTGTGAGAAAAACAGTACCTATACTAAGCGTACATTTGTCTCAATTTATAAAACGTAACCAATAACAACAACACAAACTCGATTTTAACAACTTTCTATGTAGCTGCTCCTAATCTAGATCGTGCGATAATTATCAGGTTATTAAAGAACAAATTATGAGCGTATAAAGGTATATACGAAATACGCACGAGGAGCCGCGTTGTATATTACCACAACACGCCTTAACCTTCGTGGTAGTACTATTTGTAAACATAGTACCCATTTACCAACACACTCCAAGTGATATTTCATGGCCGAATGTCCCTCGAATTTGAATCGAAAATCCAACACGTAATAACAATAACTGCGTAACAATAGAAGAATGAGTTATAATGAAACCGATTTCTTGGCATATATTTTAAATGAATCTTGCAGATCCATCACAATGGGATCCCACCAATGTGCTATCATGGATCAGATGGACATCCAGGCAATTCAGCCTTCCAGAACCTCTCTCCGATCAATGGGATATGGCCGGGTCGAGTTTAATCGCTCTGACCGAGGAAGACTTCACCAGCAGATCCCCGCAGGCAAGTTGTTAACTAATAATTAGATAAACCATTAAAAATAGATTTTTAAACTAAGTGAAATTAGCCAATAATGACATCACCTCTGCATTCGCTGCCGATCGAAAATTTTCTCACGGTTTGCGTTTATTATAATTTTTTAACGTACACCTTTTGAGTCACGATTTTCCAAAACCCATTGGTAATCGAGTTGGTTACAATTTTTTTTACTATTACTCATACGATTTTGTTGTGAAACCGTACGAAGAAGCTGGCAGAGATTTCGCAAACTTCGCAACAAGGTTACCTATTTATGTTATGAATGAATAAAGCCTAAGTGTTTCTAATAGAGATAAATCTGGTAGTCGTGACGGACAATTTGTGTTTCTTCCTTTCTTCTGCCACTATATGATAACGACAATTATCATAAATACATGTCGAAGGTCTGTTTAAGTATCATTTTAGGGTGCAGTGCTAGCATAGTATGTATGCAATATGTTAGAACAATTCAATAAGAAGGGATAAATAAGTGATTAAGGGTGATTCCTGCGGGTTGAGCATTATTAACACAGGAATGCATCGAGATTCGCGCGATATAATAATTGAAAAGTCAACCGAGCGCGACGTAAAATCGCATTCCTCGGCCATTTTTAATGGTCAAGTAGGTCGAACGAGAAAGACTTTCTCTTCTCTCGGACCGACGACGTTCTTCGTAAGCGGTAGAAAATATTGTTTCTCTTCTTCGCGTGTCCTCTCGAGAATTCGTCGTGAAGGACGCTCGACGACATTGCTGCTAGCGAAATAACGAAAAAAAAAACGCTCGATTTGAATTCGATTCGAGCTGCTCGTTTTTGTGTTCTAGAATGCGGGTTATTAATAATAAAAAATGATAATTATGCGTTAGCGCTAGCATGATAGCTTCGGTCGGAATAAACCTAATTAAATGTGGATTAAGCGCAGATGGAGCTGTATTTGTAACTTCAGGACATGCTGATTTCTCGCGGGGTTCGTTCTTGTGATTTTTCTTCATTTTCATTTGTATCACATGAAAACAGTATTTTCTATCATTCTTATTTGTTCTTCAATTACGTCAATTCTTCATTTTTCAAGTCTATTTCACTTTCTTCCAATTAATTTCATATTTCTGCAATCTAAAAACAGTCATGTTTAAAATCATTGCATAATTATAATCATTTCCTTTGGTGGAATGTATCTAATAATAATAATTAAGATGATCCTTTTTTATCTTATAGGGTGGAATGATTCTCCATGCTCAGTTAGAAATATGGAAAGCAGCGTATTCGGAGGAAGATCTTGGAATCCAATGGCGCCCAGAAACGACATCGAGCAATGCTTCAAGCGGCGATTTATCAGATGGTAATTTCCTAATTTATCCATTATCAACTAATTTATAATCGATACTTCATCGAAAATACCTACATATGTGGTTCTATCATTCCTTTACTATTTATCTCCAGATACACTGTATTAATCAACGTTAGATTTCTTTGTTTACCGTGACATTTATAAAGCTTTTAATTCGCCTTACGTATAAATTTTTCTAATCTAATATAAAATATGCAGAACGATCAAGTTGTTAACCTTCATGGATTGTTATAACTCTAGTTATTATACAACTTTTCAACGCGGGCATTGTTAATTGCCTTCTTGTAGATAAAATGAAATTCGTATCGATACATAAAAGGTCGTTTCTTAATCTATTAAAAAATAATTAGATGTAAAAAGTAGAGTACCAGAAAGTTCATGGGAATCTAACTTTGTTAATTTGCATTGATTACAATCCCACAATATCATACATAGATGAATCGAGGATCTTTTAAGTAAATATAATTTTTTCTTTCAGACGAAGAGGAAGACGTGCCATGTCCAGCGGATCCAGCCAAACCCACCACATCCCGGTCCGGCAGCCACATCCACCTGTGGCAGTTCCTGAAAGAGCTGCTGGCGTCGCCGCAGGCGCACGGCTCCTGCATCCGATGGATCGACAGGACGCGGGGGATCTTCAAGATCGAGGACTCGGTGAAGGTGGCGCGATTGTGGGGCAAGCGCAAGAACCGGCCCGCGATGAACTACGACAAGCTGAGCAGGTCGATCAGGCAGTACTACAAGAAGGGCATCATGAAGAAGACCGAGCGTTCGCAGCGGCTCGTCTACCAATTCTGCCATCCGTATTGTTTGTGAATATCCTTTCGATGCATCTCACCGAAATCCTTCAACCTTGTACATAGCTTCTAGTGTACCAAAGTAACTGTGTAAAAAACGCGGCTGGAGATTTGGAGATTAATCGCGGTGCGGGGTATTAATACATTTTGTTTATTTTTTTGGGGGAACTTAACACATTTTGTTGTCAAAGTGTTGATGTAAGTTATATAGGGTATTACTATATAATGGCGCGCTAGTTAGGCGCGCTTGTAACTGACAGGAAGGTAATTTCCGAAGAACGTTTAATCGTAAGTTTGAAAATGTTTGCCGAATTTGAGCGATAGTCACTCGAGCGATGGAAAAATCGCGATCGAATCGAATTGCCTGGTGCTCGAATCGAATTATTTCGATTTTTGGAGCTCGGTATACTCGAAGGGCGATTTTGCTTTGCGACAGTGTTGCTCAATATTCGGTGATTTTGGTCCCATATATCTATGATATATTACGTAGTAAGTTCTGTGAACGACTATGAATAGTTTTTAGTAATCCGAGGCAATAAATAATATTATTTACTATAATAATATGTTTGTGTATATGATTTAATATGTATAGTATATTATTTAATTGCTAAGTAATACAATACTATAATAATGTAGTAAGTATGTATGAATTTTATTATATAAGTATTAATGTGAATGCGTGAGATAAAGCTATAAATTAATTATAATATTGTATAGGGAATTGTTTGCAAAATTGCGACAGTTTTACATTTACATCTAGCTTCTTTTTACAATACTCAAACACGTTTTTTGTTTATCTTTTTATAGAAGTAATATATAATTATAAACCTTTTATATTTGAATAAATTTTCTCAATAATTATTTACACATCTAGTAAATCTCTTGAATTTCCTCGAAAGTCTTTCCTTTCGTTTCCTCCACGAAGAAATAAACAAACGCCACGGATATCAAGCACAAGACAGCCAAGCTCAGAAAACACATACCGAGCCCGATCCTCTCCTCAACTTCGGCGAAGTAATTCACAATGACGAAAACCACATTCCAATAGATCGTCGATACGATCGACACCGAAACGCATTTCACCCTCCACGGCAGGATCTCCGACAGGATGACGAACGGGATCGGCCCGATCCCGACGAAGTAGCTGATCACGAACAAACTGAGCACGACCAGCGGCAGCAAGTGCAAGTGACCGATGTACCCGAAGTGGGCGAGCGTGCGATGCACGCCCAAAATCCCCAGCAGCACCGACATGGAGAAGGCCGATGTTATCAATAAAGTCCTCCTGCCGAACCGCTCCTCGTAGGTCAACACCAATATGCTGCTGAAGAACTGCACGATACCGACGATGACGCAGCAAACTGTCGAGTCGATTTCCGACTCGGTTAACTCGTAAATGGTCTCGTTGAACATCAGAATGGCGTTAATGCCGGTCAGTTGTTGGAATATCAACAAGCCCACCACTGAGGTGAAGACCTTTATGAACATTTTCTTCTTGATGAACTCCAACATGCTCGTTTGCGCTTGATCGGTTATGATTTTCTGTATGTTATCCAAATCGGTGTCTACGTTCTCGTCCGATCCCCTCAGGCGGATCATGGCCCGTTTGGCCAAATCGCGTTGGTTTTTGAACATGTAAAAATGGGCCGTCTCCTCGCCGAATATCGAAAACAGCGGGAAAAACACCGCGGGAAACGCCAGCAGAATCAAATTGTAACTGTCGATCGATATCATATTGCCGAGTACATACGAGAACAAACCACCAGAAGCCAGCATTATGCCTCCGATGGAGTTCAGCGTGGCTCGATTGTGCTTGTTCGATATCTCACCGGCGTAAATGGGAATCACCGAGAAAGTGCCGCCTATCGCCAAACCTAGGACGAACCTGGCAATCAGATAAGCTCTGACTGTTCTCCTGATGCTCATGTAGAAATAAGATAACAAATACGGCATGCCGATGGAGAGTATGGCGATCTTCCTGCCGAATTTGTCTGCTATGTGCGTGTAAAAATACGCGCTTATCGCCGCCCCCACTGTAGGAAGGCTGGTAATCGACGATAGGAAATCTTGTGACATGGCGCTGCCGTTCGTCACTCCGTTATTTTTTTCAATTGTCGTCGCCACCGGAGATATCCAAGTCACTGTGGCACCCATGCAGAAGAATAGGATGTTAGCTGGAACAAGGTTTAAAATGGATACAAAACACATAAATCTACATTTACGCAGTATCAAAAAAGTCACCTGTTATAGAAGAAATATATGGCAGGTTCACTTTTCGTCTGATTCGGTCCATTGATGCGCGTGCTGCGACTGCGAGCAAGGAAATAATGCAATTCCGTTGGAAGCTATTAATGTCGAGGCATCAATTAAGGGTGAGTAGTAAGCCTTTTATCCTTATTAAATCAACAATTCAATTTAGGAATTGAGTCGGAAAGGTAAGGAAGATGTATCAATTTCTGTAATTCCATACTATACGTGTAAATATAGCTGGAAATGTATGTATTGTTTTACTTAACGCTTTAATAACAATCATCATTAAAAAACAAATAACAAATTCATATATTAGATAGTAGGTAGATAATTCATAAATTCCTATAATTAAACTATATTCTACATAAACGTCTGAGTGTAGTGCTCTTCGGCGATTTTTTTTAACGCCGCCTCCATGGCTGGACTGGTTTCTCGCAACATCTTCGAAAAGCTTCCTTGGAAGTTATTCAGCAACAAATGCGGATGAGCGAATTCAACGGCCTTGCCGCCATCCATTACTAGCACTTTGTCAGAATCCATAATCGTATTCAGTCTATGTGCAATGGTAATTACAGTGCAAGTCTTGAAGTTTTTACGAATGGTTTTCTGGATTAAAACGTCAGTACTGGAAAAGTAAAAAAATAGTAAAAAAATAGACAGAAGAGAATAGGAGCTTACCTAGGGTCGACGTTGGCAGTAGCTTCATCTAAAACGAGTATTTTGTTGTTTCTAACTACAGCTCTAGCTAGGCAAAGTAACTGTCTTTGGCCAGTACTAAAGTTAGAACCGCTATCTGACACTTCCGAATCCAAGCTGGTAATCGATTGTTTAAGTTCAACCTAATAAAACAATTTGTTAAGCTAAAAAAGTAACATTTTTTTATACATACATTCTCCAACGCTTGCCATAAAACATCATCGCTAACCGAACTGAACGGATCCAAATTGTACCTCACAGTCGCCGAAAACAGCACCGGTTCTTGTGGAATTATCGATATTTTCGACCTAAGTTCCTTCAATTTCAGCGATTTGGTATCGACATCATCGATTATGATGCTGCCCTCGATTTCCGTTAACCTGAATAACGCTGCTATTAATGATGACTTGCCTGCACCTGTTCTACCAACTACTCCAACCTGAAATTATGCACTGATCAAGCTCATAGACTTATTGTTTGTAATAATATGTAAATAACTATTTGCTGAGAAGATTCTAAATATTTCCATTATAGATTACCTTTTGCCCCGGCTTAATTACCAAATTCAAATTCTTCAACACAGGCTGACTGGTGGGATCGTAGAACAAATAAACGTTCTTGAATTTTATCTCTCCATGCTCGGGCCAATAAGTGTTAATAGGCTTGTAGGTCTCCACCAAATCCTTCGATACTATTTGATCTTCAACTTCATCGTCCGTTTCCTTCTTTATGTTGGTGTATTGCAAAACCCTTTCGACGCTCACCATGTTATTGGTAACTTCGGCGGTTTGTCTCACTCCCATTTGTAACATTCCCGTGAGTATGAGGCATTGGGATAGCGTCAATCCCACCGTACCAGTAATTCCTTCAGCTAAAAGAACGAATGCAATAACAGTTTCAATAATAAAAAAAATGACATGATACTTACATGGTTCGAATATAAGGAATTGATACGCTACAAAAGCGATAAAAACGACGCTGAGGAAGTCCAAAATCCAACCGAAAATTTCGTTACAAGCGATGTACAAATACCAAGTGCCGGAATGTTGATCAAGAAGTGCATCGAACTCCTTAGTGATCATTTCTTCAGCTCTCGATGCTCTAATGGTCGTCATGCCATCCATGGTGGCGATTAAGTGGGAGAATATGGGCGCTCGATCTACCACGCAACATCATCAAAAAATTGTTTATATAAATGAAAAATAGTACTTACTGACACCTTCCAATCTCTTAACGTTTTGAGACGTTTTCAAATACATAAGTCGCAGGTAATAGAATGCAACTGTTAATACCAAAGCAGGAGCAATCATTGCTGGTACCTTTATGAATACGATCATAAGAATTCCTATTAATACCAGAAATATTTGGATAAAATCCATGTAAGCTTTCGGTAGTATCTCGTCTATTATCCCCATATCGTTGGAGAATCTGTTGAGTACTCTACCTAGAAGTTTTTTACATGAATATCAATTTATTTTGATTGGTTTTTAAATCAGTACCTGATGGATTCGTATCGAAAAACTTCATAGGAGCTTCCAGGACGTTGCCGAACATTTTGTGATGGAGATTCTTGCAGGAGTTCATAACGATCCGGGTGAAATTCAACGAACGTATTGGGGTTAATATCAGACCGGCGGCCATGAAAGATGAATAGATTATCATGTACAAGTTCTGAAGGTCGGTTTCTTCTTCGTCTTTCAGTGTACTATAAGTGTGTAGTGTTTGGTTAAAAGTGTTGTTGCCTAATAATTGAACGTTGTCGACGTCGTCTTTATTGAAAATTTCGGATTCGTGATTGACCCTGAAAATTAAGCACGTTGTGAAGGTTAATAGATTAAATAAGTGTGTGTGTTATTTACCAATATGTCAGCCATAAATCTCCGGCGTTACAAGACAATTGTGCCAGGATGAATAGAAATACCATTATGATAAATCCGATCAAAGTGGTTCCGTAGGCGAAGTATTGAATGTAAACGGAGTAGGGGATTGATCCGGATGCTATTTCCTCTAAATTTTCTTCTGGTCCAATTTCAGATACAGCAAGACTCTACAAAAATATTTTATTATTATCTACTACGATAAGTTTTTGGATTTCAAGCATACTTCTCTTTTCTCCAAATGTTTGTCTACAACTTTCTGTTTTTGCTGGGTTTCTTCCTCTTCGTCTGGTTGCAAGGAGCTTAGATAATCTTTAGAAAGTTCATTGTACGTTCCCATCTTCTTAATTTTTCCCTAAAAGTACAAAAATCAACACTATATCTAATTGTAAGTGGAGGTTACTCACATCTTCTAGGATGATAATCAAATCGGCCTCTTCCAGAAATTGCAGCTGGTGAGTTACCAAAATCGTCGTTTTCTCCTTCAAATAACCCTTAATGCACTTCTCGAACAAGTGCTTTCCGACTCTGGTATCCACCGCCGATAAGGGATCGTCCAATAAATATATATCCGCTTCAGCGTACACTGCCCTAGCTAAATTTATCCTAGCTCTTTGACCTCCACTCAATGATACTCCTCTTTCTTCTACCGTAGTTTTGTCGTCGAAAGGAAATTGCCTGAAGTCAGTTTCTAGCGCGCAAACATGCACCACTTCCTTATACCTGCCGATTAATTTATTATTTACCTCTGTTGATAAAGCTGTGGAAGAGACTTACTTCGATTTTATGTAAGGTCGACCAAATAATATATTATCACGAACACTGGAGAGGAACAACCACGGTTCCTGCGATGCGTAAGAAACAGTTCCATTTACTTCTAAAGTTCCGCAGCTTAACGGCAATTCCTTGAGGAGTAATTGAAGTAGTGATGTTTTGCCACTTCCAACGGTACCCACCTGCAAATCCAACCGTTAGACTACTCCACATAGATTAATTTTCAGTTAACTTACAACGCAACAAAGTTTCCCCGGACCCAACTGGAAGCTCACATCGCTGAGGGTGTCGCCGACCGAGCCGCACCATTTTCCCGAAGCTTTCTCCACGAAGATCTCGCCCGTCTTGTCGACGGGCTCGTCGATCGAATCGAAGTTCGGCCGGTTCTCTTCCAACAGCAGGAACTTTTCGATTCTCTTCACGGACACCACGGCTTCGGCGTATCCGGCCATGGCTAGCGGATAGCAGGCGCACATGTACAGTTGAAGGGAGTTGAACAGCTGCGCGCAGGCGAAAACCTTCTCGGCCGTCAGAACGTTTCCCAATAGAACGTAGCAGATTACTGAACAATACAGACCGAATCGTTCGGTGATGACAATCAAGGCCAAGGTGAATCCTTTTATCATTTGCGTTTGCCTGATTTTTTTCACTTCCTCGCTGAAAACAGAGTTGGTGAGGTGGTTTTAGATGAGAGTGTTGGTGGTGTAAATACCATCTGGATTGTTCGACGACTTTCGCAAAGTAATTTTCCCAAGCGTACATTTTGATTACTTTGATTCCGGATACGATTTCGTTCATTAGTTTTACTCTCAAGTCCGTTTTCTCTGCTATTTTCGACCGTAATCGGCCTTGCAATCTGGATAAGTAGCCTACAACAAAAAATGTAGCATTAAGTGGAATTCCACCTTGATAAAAGAATCGATTTTTATTTACCTTGCATCGGTATTCCTTCGATCATCAAAGCTACTGTTCCAGCTAGAGCGGCGATGCCGATGTTCTGGTACAAAATATAAAAACAAACAGCAGCTTGAAGGGGCATCACCCACACATAATGCAAATACTGAGAACAAATGTCTATGCGCTGTAAATCATTCGATAGCATGTTCACCAATTTTCCTGGAGGAGTTTTTGATAAAGACGCCTGGGATAGTTTTAATACCTTAAAGTAAGATCGGAATTGAAGAAATATGAATCCTTCTGGAATATACTATAGTCTTACTTTTCTATAAACTAGCGAAGATAAACCGACTCGAACTCTCATCCCGACTCTCTGGCTGTCGAGTTGGGCGTGATGATACGTTAGAGCGAAGAGGAAGGCCAATAATACTGTAGCTGAGGCCAATATCCATCCGGAATACTCCCCGAAAGTGTCGTATTTTTGTGTTTTATCGAAGAAGCGGATATACTCGGCCAGCACAACTGGTTGTAGAGACCTTAGGAATTAAAAAAAATACTTACCTATTGTTTGAAAACTTAGTTTAAGTACTTACTTTACGACGACCACTTGGAAACATATTATTATACCGGATAATGAGTACGCTTTAGCGTACGTTTTGAATATTACTTTCTTTAAACTGGGAATCTGCTCTTTTCTGGCTTCCAGTTCTTTATCCCATAATCTACAATAAATAAGAAGTAGTGAATTGTGTATTAGAACGTGGTAGTAATTTATGTTATTACCCTTTGAGTATAGGTACATGTGAATCAGCCTTATCGGGTTGTAAAATATCGTATATATCTGTAGGTTTAAGGTTATTTTTGTAGCCGAATTTGAAGAAAGGAAGCATCCAACTGGAATAAATACAATAAATTTTTATAGACACACTAAATAAAGAAGATTCTAGTAAAACTAATCATAACAACAAAGCATATTTATTCTGTAAAAATTACATTTGAAATAAAACAAGAAACTAGCAGGAATCTTCCTCGCTTATAAACCACATGAATATACCACGCATGAGCAGCATAAATATCACGAGACTTAGAACAAAAATCAGGAAACGAAGCTCCACTAAATACTGAACTTTACTAGCTGCATTACATATTGACTTCTCTTCGTTTCTTCCATCAAAAACTTCACTGGTACAAGCAGTTTCAAATAAATTTACTTTGTTCTCGGTTTCTTCGATTTTTATTTGGAACCCTCCGAATTGCATGATGGTCTATTCGAATCGAATAATCAAACTGGCAGGAATAATACAGTTTGCCTATCCATTAATTCGCTGAGCGTCATATAATTTTCGATAAAATGTTTGCAATATTTTACCTTAAAGCGTGATGTTGTTTTTATTAGCGATTCGTGGCGGTTATCGAAGTTATTGCCTATTAATTTGATTAATATATTGTTGGCATTTAGTCGATCTATTGATTAATTAGGCGTCGAAGTGGGAAGTGAAAAGGGCAGAGAAGAATTGTTGATGCTAACGAAGGTCAATTTAATCCGAGGGATCATCAATAATGGATTAAATTTATGTTAAAAAATAGCAGTGAAAAATACAGCATGAAAGTGAAACTATAAAGTGAATAAATTTCACTTTTAAACAATTTTGAACGTATTCGGATTGTTTGTGATTAGTCAGAACGTTTTTGTTTAAATTTTTGAAATTTGGGAAACACGTACAAAGCTTACAGCATGTAATTATATTAATTACAAGGTTTATGGACGTTAAAAATTAATATTTAATTAAAAATGCACATAGATAACTCGTAATAAATCAATTTTTATCGTAAAATATTCGAAATTTTTTCCAAGTATGTACTTGAGTCATTACCTTTGCCAGGAATCACAAAATAATTAATTATGTATGGGATTTTTATTTATAATGAACAGATAAATTACCCGTTTAAAAATGGTACTATTTGAAACTATTTAAGGTAGGAAAATGTTTCTGATAAACTCTTATTTTTAGAAAAACTAAATAAATGTGTTTCTCATTAAAACCTTTTCAGTTTTAAACTATAAGGAATCCTTATCAGTTACACACTATGTATTATATGATTAATATAGTCTTTAACGATATAGGTAAACAGGATAATCATATAAAATAGATGTTTACAACCGAAAATATTTTCCACGATGTATTTCAACCAATTGAATTGAATTTTTCAGCTTAGCAATCTTTACCTTATTAATTATAATTATACTTAAAATTCACTATCGGACAAATGCTTACAGTAAACCTAAATTGAAGATAAAATTCTCATTAGTATTACAGTATGGTTGACAAATTCTAATGTCTAGGTAAAAATTATTAAAATTCATAAATTTCAAGTACAAATTCATAATTATAATCCGGCTTGGTTGATTTCTTAATCTTAATAGAAAATAGAAAAACGATATGCAATAAAGTAAAATTTTGCTATACCAAAAATAAGAAAGTTCACCAATAAAATTTAATTAATAAATGAAATTGTTGTATAAAATTGTGTAATATTAATTAGAGGTATCTAATAATAAAATATAACAAATTTATTTTGTACTTACAAGAAGAAAAGTTTGGATATGAAATTGGCATTTTCTTGAGGAGAGCGTTTGTTGTGCTTGCTGCTGGAATCCATATTTTCCGCGTACCAGGAAAGCTTTCCTGCTGACGAAAATGGAACAGATAACGCAGCGCGAATATACGCACACGAATAGTTCCAAATAAGCTGGTCTGCTCGACAAATACCGAACACGATACTAATTTACTGTATAATTAAAAAGCTCATTTGTATAATGTTATTCTCTAAAACCTAAAATACCGGATGCCTTCGAAGAAAATAAAATCCGCACTAATTACCAACGACGAATGTTAAAGAATGGGCGATTTCAGGTTTAAATGAAAGTTATTTAACTTAACAAACTCAAAACAACTTTTAACGATTCGTCCAATTATAACTATTTTTAAGTGCTTGTTTAGATACTTCCTAAATATCGATTTTTTTCCTCATTTTGAAATTATTTTTAATTGACTTCTACGTTGGTAAACGATAACTGCAGTTTATTATACTTTATCGTGTAGGTATACGCAAAAAAGGATTATCTGTTATGCAGAAATTCGAATTTTTTTATCACCCATGGTGGAAACGTACCTATATTTGATAAATATATATTTTGCTCATTTCCATTCAATTAATTCACATTGTAATTATAAAAATACCAAGAATAACTCACTACATACATATGTAAGATTATAGTTAAGTACACAATTAAAGCGTAGTTAACTTGTAGCATCATATTTAATAAAGTTAATTACTCGGCTGCGCCATGTATCATTAATATTTACCCCTGTAATTACCGAATTTCTGAAGCACTTACAGAACGTCGTAAAAATAAATTAACTTAATGCATTGAATTTGTCAGTTTTGTATAGTATACACTTTTACTAAGCGAATTTGTAAGTAAATATTAAAAGAAGGTGTGTATGCCATTCTGCTAATTATTTCAGGATATTAGGCCAATGTTTTTTTTCTATCTACTTTAGTCGGCTGAGAAGATCGGTGGAGATCTAATAGTTCCTGAAACATGTTCTTGATTTAATGTAAGTTTGACCTAAAAAAATCGGTAATGTGGAGTTCAGGAAAATTTAAAGAATGTGAAAGTGCTTTTAAAACTTTTTACTTCAATTACTCGTTGGTTTTTCCCCAACTTTTTTCTAAGGAAAAACGTAGTTTAAGTTTAAAATTAACTTTATCTATTCAGCAGACAGTGATGGCAAAACAGAAAAAAAACAGCGATTATAATAATAATCGTTAAAAATAACCATACGTTAAAAATATAATAATTTACATTAAAATCAATTACTACATCAAATGAGAAATCAGTTATCCGTTTCAGTCAACTTACCGGCCTTTCAGTAAAATAAAAATATGGATAAATCAATACTAATCGACGGGAAAATAAACAGTAAAAAACTCATTTCGCGTTGAAACGGTCGGTTTAAAAATAATCCTTTCCTAAACGAATACCTCTTTCATTTCATATTATCTAAATTTAATAATGTGAATCTCAATCGATTGAAAAATAAATATTCAACATCTGGTTTTAATTCGGCGGGTTTTATTATACTCCAATGATCTTAGAAATTAATTGCATGCGGTCTAATCTCCTGAAATAATCACTTTGCTGAATTTCAGATTCAAAAATCAGTTATAAAACTTGCAACTGCACGTGAAAAATGCAGGCCAACATTTACACGCTCCTAAACTACGTCGGGGAATTCATATCGATAAATACCAGTAAGTCAATTGCAATTTTCTTGCGCCTCGAAATAAATTTTAACAAATTTTTAAGCCAATTTTAAACATGTGGAATATACGCCTCCTTTATGGAAGCAAATTTTTTGGTGTATTTTCTACAGTCTGATGGTGATAGTTGCAACCGGTGGCAATTTGATCGTCATATGGATTATATTAATGCACAAAAGAATGAGAACAGTCACGAATTATTTTTTACGTAAGTATTAAAAGTCTCTTTACAACAGTTAATTGTATTCGAGCATAATTGCTCGTTTAAATGCGCAATTATATGCAATTTGTCTGTTCGTAAACAGTCGGAACGCTTGTATTTTTGGGTAATTAACTCGCCAGGACAGTACCGCTTTATTTACTACTTCAATTTCACTGTTACTTTACAGTAAATCTCTCTATTGCGGACGCATTGGTGTCAACAATCAATGTAATATTCAATTTCATATACATGTTGTACTCCCATTGGCCATTCGGAATGATATATTGCAAGCTGGCCCAATTCGTGGCCACTTTGACAATATGCGCTTCGGTTCTTTCACTCATGGCAATCGCAGTTGATAGGTAAGTAGACCAATTTTAACTTCCTCGAACCAATACACTCTTGCGCTTCTATTCGTATTCCTATCATCCCCAGATACTTGGCTATAATAACGCCTCTCAAGCAAAGGATGAGCCAGAAATGTACCCTGATTGTAATAACGTGGACCTGGATATTGGGCGTGGTGGTGGCGTTGCCAAACCTTTGGTTTTTCCGCGCCGATAAAGTGTCGAGGAATTCGTGGAGGGTCAGCTGCTACATGCAATGGCCGGACGGCGACACCGGCAAGTCGAAGCTGGAATGCATGTAAACTAACTCATTGTGTAGGAATTTTTTTGATTCAATGAATTTGCGTTTCAGCTACAACTTCTCGGTGATGGTATTTACCTACGTAATACCGATTTCGGCTATGATATTCACTTACAGTCGAATAGCCGCGGTGTTGTGGGGATCCCAATGCATCGGAGAGAACACCGAGAGGCAAATGGAGATAATCAAAAGTAAAAGAAAAGTAGGTGAAAACTAGTTTCGTTATTGATACTTTTTCTGAACGATTCTTCTACAGGTGGTGAAGATGATGATGGTGGTTGTGACAATTTTCGCTATTTGTTGGCTTCCTTATCACTTTTACTTCCTCGTTGTATTCTATTTTCCGTCGGTTTCGATATCTAGCTACATTCAAGATTTGTATCTCTTCATCTATTGGCTGGCAATGAGCAATTCCATGTACAATCCCATTATTTACTGTTGGATGAACGCCAGGTGAGTTAACCTACATTTCGATCACTTTGCTTTTGAAACATGAACGTTATATGACGATATTCTTTCAGATTTCGATGTGGATTCTGTAGAGTTTTCTCGTTTCTGCCTTTCGTGAATTTCAATCCAGATTCAAGCGCGCGCAGTAGCTCCAAAAACACCGCAGGTTCGTTTTATGGATCAGATTTGTCTGCGACCAGGAGTATGCGAAAAAACACTTGATTCAAAACTAGAAAAATGTAACCTGTCATAGCAAATGTAATGTAGTAGTACCTAGATGTTGTCAAAAAGCGCTTGGATTTACTCCTATGCAAGTGTATTCTAGGAGAAAAGTGAATGTTGTTTTTAAAAAAAATGGAACGAACGCTAGTTATGTATCAAGCAAAAGACCAAATCAACCAAATATGATTAATTATTTTATGAATAAAATACATCTTCACATGATTCTTTTTCTTCTTCTGAACCGGCAAGAGTGTCTTCAACAATGTTGGGCAACGTCGAATTTATTTCACCGTTAGAATTAATCATATTCTGTTCAAACAGAAACTGTTCGAGGAATTTTCGAATAGTAGTATTAGTTTGTTCGCCGCTATCTTCTCCTTCTGTAAAATCGTTCTCTTTATTATTCATTTTGATGATTACTTTATCATTCGTGCTGATCGCTTTCAAATCGGCCATGAGTCGTTCAAACAATTCCTTATCTTCATCGCATTTCGATACAGCATCATCGGAAGTCGACGCCGCGTCCGCCTCGTGTAATTTAATTACAATCTTTCCGGGTCCCGTTTCGTTATCGTTTCCATCGATCGAACGAACGCTTTTCTTCTTCCAAGCGCCGTCCATGAATTTTTCCAGTATGGCTTTCACGTCGTTGTAGTAGAAAATTTGGGACACGTTGTACTGCAAGAAAACATCGTACATGACCGGCAGGAGGGTGGAATACTTCGACGAGCAGGGATTCACGTGAAACACGCTTCTACCGTTCAACGGTCGCGTTTCCCTGTAATTTTTCATCAAATTCATGCCCCTTTCATCGTACAATGTTCGAAGGCGTTCCAGCTAAGATAAATCGAAAAAGCAGTAGTAAAATATTCGAGAAATTAGTAGTGAAGCAATTAACCTGTTGCTCGGATATCCCGATGGGCCTGCGAGTGATCAACCACATGATGTAATGCAAGCAAGTAGTCGTACCGATGGTACCCCAATAGAGAAAATAATCGTCGACGAATTGCCTGAACAATCTCAGCACGCACATGTTCAAAAATCTTTTAGATGTACCCGCCGCAACGACGTCTCTTAGATATTCGATCAGTAACTGGAATCCAGGATTGTCTGCCTCCTGCAACTGGAAACTTAATAGTCAGTTTCATTCAGAAATTTTCATTAGCAGTGCTTACTTGAATAAGATAGGTGAGCGTGGCGCATCCATCGTGCTCTTTCAGGGCGGCTTCTTGGGTTAAATAACAACTTTTAAAAAACACTACATGCATTTCGGCGGGTTGTTTACTACCATCTATAGTGTGTTCGCTACCTTCTAAAGCTGTTTCGCCCCAGTGCAGGTGGAAATTGGAGAAGACGTACTTGGAGGTAAATGGCCCGCCGAAGATGTAAGGTCTTTCATCCTGCCACTTGGCGCTGTATATAACTAAATTTCTTATCCGGTTATTCGGGTGGTGATTGTGTAAAACTTACTGGTATGTCCTGTGTTAGTTAATTTGGTTTTCTTGGGTAGCACGTCGAAGTTCACCCACACCAAATCGGGGAGTTCCAACGGTATGGTGTAGGATAAATCGATGTCGATGGGGGAATCGAAGCAGCCCTGCATCGCGGGCAATTTTCTGAACCATTCTTGCTTTTCTTCGAACGAACAATTCGGCGGCGGTTGCCGTTCGAGCTGCTCTTCGTCCTCTTCTTCTTCCTCTACTTGCTCCTCCTCCACTTCCTTTTCGTCTTTGCTTTTTTTACCTGAAAAGCGATGCGCGTTAAATTCTAATTGATTCGATGTACCGTCTTCGTACCTTTTTTATCACTCATAATTTATTCAGTGGTGCGTGATAAGCGAGTATGTGCGAAATTAAAATTGTCAAATTTTACAATCAAATAGGCAACTATCAGTACACTAAAGAGTTTTATTAAGGTAGGAACGGATACAAGTTTTATAATTCGTATAATGTTTTATTGGAAGTTTAGAATAAAGAATGGAATAAATTCGATGTAATCTCATTCAGATATCCTAGTAAAGATAGGACATTTTTCAGTAATTTTATTAAAAATGGTTGCTTTTGGCTAGTATTGACTTTGCAAATGCCTCTGGCCTCCAAAGGTGTTCCGCTACCCATAGGATAGACCTTCTCTTCTGTACAAAGGCCTATGTACAAATACTTGTTAATTATCGATTTTGCATAGTAGTTCCAACTCTCGGAATGACTGCAACTATCCACAGTCTACAATAATAACAAACTACGCAGAATTAAGTCAGTTGGTATTTGAGCATAATTACCAAAAGAGTATCATGTTGACAGGCCGGTTGAGGGCTGACTCCGCCATTAGGATAAAAATCAACGTGACCTATGGCCTGTTGTATTCCAAAAATATTCGCATCCGTGTGGATACTATCTACGAAATCGGCGTCATTTCGATGTAAATGGGCTATATTGAATAATGGCCCAGCTGGATCCAAACCTAGAATACAAGTTATTTAAAAGCACTTCCATAATTAGTCGATGTAATTAGACCTGTAATTCTTTTGATGATTTTTCCATAAAATACTCTCAAACGTCTACCGGTGAACCCGGCCAAATGCGCTCCTAAACTATGACCTACGAAATGAATCATATTCTCTTTAAGTCCAATGTTATTTATCAAAAATGCCATAAATTTAGCGCAGAAATTCGCAACTCCTCCCATCGATAATACAGTGGCAGGATATAAAACGCTATCTAAAAATATCGAATTAGAAGTAACAGTTATTACATAGATAATTCAGGAATAAACCAACCTGCAACAGAACTCCAATCCACCGTAATGATATTATAATCTCCCACGATCAAGTAGTTGTCCTTTATCAAAATACACATAGGTGCCATTGCATTTTGCAAATACCCGTGAATTAGTACTTTAGTCTCTTTATTAGCATCGATCTGCGTTAAATCGTAATGCGATAAATCCACTCCGGCATCTCTAAACTCCCTGGAATACACGGAAATCAAACGGTGCTAAGTATAGTGAATGATTAAGAAACTTACCTTGTGTATAAAGTGAAGTAAACCTTGTGGTCGCCGAAATTGAACTTTTCGTTGTTGTCATCGGTATCGTCGCTACCATCGTCAAATCTGAACTTGAATCCGTCTTTTTCGGCTGTCTTTAGTTTTTGTTCGTTTTCGTTAAAATGAGTTAATTGCCTTCGAGTCTCGTTGTTGGTTGTCAAGGAAACCTTGTGCATATGACCAGTCATGTCCGGCAAGTACACATAATCAATTCCGAGTCTACCAGATTCCTCTGGTTTAACTGATAGTGGATGATCTGGAATGATATCAAAACGAAAGAAATTTTGAAGCTGTTGAAATATAAAACTTACGAAAGATTGTTAGAACAACGACGAGCCAAAACTTCAACATTGTCTCACTGAATTCTTTTAGGAAATTGTTCGAAACTATTATACGACTTTTCACGATTGAAATTTAAGTGAATTTTAATATAGCTGTAGATAATGGTAAGTTTCTAAATTCGTTATTTTAGTGTAGAAATAAACAAGCACCAGTAATTACTAATTTATAGGTAAAGTTGTAAAAAATCCCCAATAAATTAAAGTATGCATATGTTTTATTTGTTTTTATTGTTTTAAAATACTGGACAATTATCCATAATATTTATCATTCTTTTGAAGAGCAATTCTTCTCAAACTAACAAAGGTGATTTAATAAATAAATTGACTAATTTAATTTATATAAATTTATTACAATACAATGAAGATTTAGTTAACAGTGTCGTTGAAAATTTTAATGTCAAAGAAATTGAAAATCTTGGACACCAATTTATTAGAAAAGTGGAGAAGAGAAAACTCTTGCTTGAGATTCTTAAACCAAATCATAGCCTGATCTGTGTCTGTAGATAAAATGCAATTCCCTCGGGCTTCGATCGGAGTTCCCTTGCCCATCGGATACTGCTTGTCATCCGAACAATTAGCCGTGTAAAGGTGCTCATTAATTATAGTTTCCGAATATAATTTCCAGCTATTCGTGTGACTGCAAATATCTATTTCCTAAAATTCGTAAAGCGTTATTTCTCGAAAAACAATACTAGCGATTAACGAATCAATTAATCTTGCTTACAACTGGATTGATATTGTAGCAATCCGGTTGAGGACTGACGCCTCCATTCGGATAAAAATCCACGTGGCCTGTCGCTTTGTACAAGCCCAATATATGCCCATCGGTGTGGATAATGTCGACGAAATTGGCATCTTGTTGGTTCAAATTGACCTCTTCAAAGAGCGGAGCAGCCGGATCTAAACCTAAAACCAGTTATTTTGATATCCTCTGTAATATTACCTTTTGGTAGAGTTATTTTAAATGCAATAGTGTTAGCAATGTCTTGGCTACAGGAATATTCTCTACCTGAAATACGTTGGATCGTTTCCGAGTAAATGGCCCTCAGCCTTTTACCAGTAAACCCAGCCAAGTGGGCCCCCAGGCTGAAGCCTATGAAGTGCAATTGATTCTGTTTGACGCCTACGACTCTAATCAGATAGGCAACGAATTTTGCACAGTAATCGGCCACTTCCCCCAGAGACATCACCGCTTTCGTGTACAGATAAGTGCCTAAAAATTCAAATTAATCGAGATTATTAAAATGAAAAAAAATTGATAAAACCTGATAAATAACTCCAATCGACGACGATAATGTTGACATCAGAAACCTTCAGGTAACTATTCGTTATCACCAAATCGAAATCCGACGAACCGTTCTCCATGTAACCGTGAAATATAATTTTCGTGTCTCTTGTAATGTTGTATTCCTTAAAATCGAATGTTGTTAAATTGACTCCAGTTCCGATGCTGTCGTTTAATTCTCTGCAACAAAATTGAGTAGTATTGCGAATATATTACTGAATAATTAAATAAAATTGTATATTACCTACCTGGTGTATAAAATAAAGTGGACTTCGTTGCTGAAATTAAACGCATCGTTCATATCCTTTAACGCTGCCGATCGAAGGCGCCCGATTTTCTTGTGATCAGCGAATAGCTTTTCATTATTGTAAAATTCCTCTAATTTTACTTGCGTGTGATTGTCGTACTTCAGCGAAACGCGTCGAGTCTGCCCCTTCATATCGGGAAAATAGACGAAATCCACGCCTAATTTCGCTTGCTCTTTTTTGAATTTGTGCCCATCGTGTTTGTTAGAGGCCACACAACTGAAACAGACTAATAAAACTAGTTTGAAAATTGAATTGGAAAGTGTGAAAAACTTGTAATAATAACTATGTGAAATTTTTAAGGTAGGTAGTGTGTCGTAAACTCTCAAAATCAAAGGAATATTTTGTCGTTTTTGTTCGGAAGTAAAAAGAAATCTTCCCCATATCCCGGAAATTTGAGTTTTATTTCTGTTTCGAGATCTTGCAGGATACAAAGGGATATAGCCATAATTTCATAAAATGTTTAAGTTATAGAGGCAGGTAGATTGGTATTTTGATTATCAGATTTAGATAATGAAGTTATTTTATTTATTACAATTATTTGATTAGTTTATTAACTTGATCTTATATCATTTTATACCCAAGATATAAACATAGTTTTTCCCTTGAACTGATCAATAAATCAAATTACTGCTTGTGTATATTTAAGTAATTCAAATACACTAAATCAATAAACATATTTCTTTTTGAATTACAAACTAATTAAACGTTTATTAATTGTAAATAAAGTTACTAACGAAAACTTTACTCTAGGTAAGTAAAATACACCTGTTTTAATTTATGATAAGTTACACATTATCCATATGGAAAATTTTAATAATATTTTCAATTACAGTAAGATTTTTCAATTTTATATGCCAAATTTATTAAATTTTAAATGTTCATCGTATTAATTACTATTTATCTGGTATATTGACACAACCAATTTAACTATAGATATTAATCAATTTATTAATTAGAAGCTAAAGAAATAACAAGATAAAACCAGTTAATGTCAATTGAACAACTTATAGAAATGTTCCAATCAAATTTTAATCTGTAGTTAATAATTTAAGGCGTTTGAGATAATTTGGAAAATTGTTTATTTTGATTTATACACCCGCGCACATTCTCCAAAAAACCCACAACGCAAAAATACTATTTAAGAAAAACACCTATGCATAATATTTTTAGGACATTAAATGTTTGCTTTTCTACTATAATTTATGGTACAGGACAGTTATTTAATTACAATCGTATCTGTTGCAGTTATAAAACCCGTTTAAATTACCGAAAAACTTAAATTATCCTATTGTTAACTGCGCTTTAATTTCTTATCAACACCTTACGTAGGTGAGAAAATTAGCGTAATGTACCGTAAGGTACCTGTGGTATAAAAAAATAAATCAATCCAGCAATCAAGCAAAGCAATCCGAGAAACGTACGTAAAACGTAAACATTCACAATGAAGTGCCTACCTATTTAATTAATCCTAACAGCTTTAATTTGATATTAATTTATGTTAAAATTGATAAGACAATATAAGTTTGATAAACAATTTAAAAATGCCAGAGAGCAGATAAAACGATTCGGTCATCAAACTAACTGACTTATTCGATATTTGGTGCACGGTTGATGTAAGAACGAGGTGAAGGTTTCCGATTTGCTCATTGAAAGGGACGCTTTGCTTGTATCTACTTCTGTGCAATTTCCAGTTGATAATTAGTAGAAAATTATCGCTCAGTAAACGCGGACGGTTTCGCGATTAGCGCACCCACACCACAAATACGACAATATGCACCGAGATTACGAAGAAGACAACGTTTCGACAATCAAAATCGAACGACCGCTTTATGAAAACGATCAGCTACGACAGAATTTTCTCTATGAAAAACCCAGAGTGAACTGTAAGTACCAGAAAAACTAGCTTATAAATCAAATGATATATCAAAATAAATAAATATCTAATGTCAAATTTATTTTAAAATTACTTTAAAAATAAAGAAAAATTTTAGTAAAATTTTATTTTGAAAAATTTACTTTCAATATTTAGGAGTTTAAATTCTATTTTACATATGTAGGTACATTCTTACATACCTAATTACGGGCATTATATTCAACTAAAGTGCTGTTAATTATTTTTACTATAGCGATATGTGTAATTGGTTAGTATTTTTAGTTACAATTTATAAGCAAAACGTAAGTTAATTTATCTTCTTGACTCAGGTTGATTTTGAATCATAATTCTTCGTGTTGGTAATAAATTAACTTGAATTTTCCTTCACATTTCGATATAAATACATACGTGCCTGACCTTCTTTTCGCATGGACTTTATCATTGAAAACGGCGTTCGTAAAATTCTTCAACCTCCTATTCCTAACTAGGTATTAGCTAAGGTAATATTAATAATTCGTATCACATTCACTATTTCCAACTATTGTTCATAATAAAATATTAGTATCTTCATAAAAATAAAATTGGATAAATAAGATATGTTTCTTCCCGTTTTACAGACATATTTTTGTTTTGTATTGGCAATTTATGCAATAGAAAATGATTAGATATTAGATATTAAATCGTAGATATTAGATTTTTCGATTAATAATTGGTGAGATTTTTAATTTCCAAAACCACTTAAATGCGCTTATTTAATTATCGTTATTGAAATGAGCTAGTGTCAAAAACTTGTAGATTGTTTCTGTTAAAAAATGAATTTACACACGTTTCGAAATATAAATAAATATGTATAACTATTGTTTATAAAAATCTATATAAATTGATTCGATATTTATATAAACACCTAATATTATTTAATATTATTTTTTACTATTTATAACTTCCTTATTTTTACTCCTCAACGAAAAGTAAATTCTAAAAGTAAAAACCAGAAAGTAACTAATTATATTACTAAAGATTCTTTGTTATGTGTAGAGACTTTCTTGGTCTACTTAAAATTTTATCGATCAAGTGACTTAAGTGTTGCTCACACAGATTCCCACATGTAAACTCGAGAGAGATTACGATTAAAGCGATTGTAGCAAATAATCAACAATATCCCATTATGTTTTCTACGAGTAATTAAATAGAAATTTACATTTACAAGTAACTCAAGATGTACTTTTACTTTGCCCCCAACAATCGCATGGGCGAATTAATTTATCTGAATGATCGATCATATGATATTCAGCCACTGTAATTTTTTGCTTCAGATTTGAGACCGAACTATTGCAAACCGACGGAAATAAAATGCCAAAAAATTCTTTTGAACTCCATTCCTATATTCAATTGGCTCTTTCGGTACAACATCAAAAAGGACTTGCTGGCAGATGTAGTCGCTGGGATAACTCTAGCAATCATGAATATACCCCAAGGTAAATGATAATTTCTTCTATTTCATATTATGTTTGAATTAAGCTGGAAATAGAGTGGTTTACTTTAACTTTATAACGCTTTTAGTTATCACCTTCATCAACTCATCTACAACTAACAAGATGTATCGTTTTAATTAGCGAATATTACTTAATTGCATAATACTACTACTAAATTTGTTTAATTTTACGCTTACCCAATTTATGTATGTCATATAATTCACAAATGGTGATTGTTTCTTAACGAGCCACTCGAGATAATCTAAAAAATATATCTACTCGATTGTTTGTATACGTTACTAGGTTATCTATTGAAATCGTAGTATATGTAATTAATATATAGATTACAACATTTTATTGAAATCATTAGCAAAAAAATATCCACCGTGTTTTCTTATTCAAATCGCTGGGGTACCGATTTAATAATGCACAGGATAATTTTAAAGCATCATTTAAATATTTACAGGAATGGCGTATGGAATGCTGGCTAAAGTTCCTGCTGTAGTAGGAATGTATACAAGCTTTTTCCCGGTGATTATTTACATAATATTCGGAACATCTAGGCATAATTCTATGGGTAAGTGATATAGGAGGAATCAAAATTCTTCGAGGTACAATTATATCTTGCAGGAACGTTCGCTGTTATTTCTCTAATGGTGGGAAAGGTGGTACTGGAATACAGCGATCCTTCTTATTTGCCAGATAATATAGCCAACGAGACTGAGCCTGTTATACATACAGGTTATAGCCCCACTCAAGTGGCTAGTGCTTTAAGTTTTGTTATCGCTATAATACAGGTAATTTTGCTCAAGTTTTATTAACATTCTCCACGGTTTTTTCGAGTTTTCTTGCTCTTTTAAGGGTTGTATTTCGCAATATTGAATAATTCCGGATGTTGCAGCATCTGATAGGGATCAGCGACCTTGCTTTGGACTTGCTTAATTTAGAGCATTGTAATTTTCCTATTTTTAATCAATAAATATTTGCATACTTCCGATAAAAACCCATACGCTTTGTATAATATTATTTACACGAAAATGTATGCCAATTATTATTAAAAGTCAAATAATTGTATAAGACTTTGGCGCATAAAATAATGTTCATTATCGTTATAAATATATAACTTTTGTTTTCTTAACCGAATGCAGATTTTGCATATTTTCATGCGATAAATTTTCGAAAAAGATCGCAATTAAAACATAAACAAATACCGGTGCAAATTTGTACTAGTTTAGCGTATGTTTAATTTTTATCTAAATCGGTATTCCTTTAATTCCGTAAGTAATCCGTACCTATTTGTTTAATAATTTAGAATTGCTACCTTTCTTTGATTTATTGCGGGTTGCTTAATGCGATTAAGTTGGAAAATTCCTAAATATAATTACGAAATTGGGGAATATATTTCATAAAATCTTTTTTTATTTATCCATTCTAATTTCACTCTCAATGAAATATTCTAATGTTCCAATACCATCATTACTATCGTCTCTATCTTCGCCATTTTTAGAATTCTTGTTCTCTTCATTACTGTTATATTTATTTTCAGTTTTTGATGTTTATTTTGCGAATGGGCGCAGTCAGCGTACTGCTTTCTGATACATTAGTAAGCGGATTCACGACAGGAGCCGCCGTGCAGGTGCTGGTGTCCCAATTTAAAGATCTGCTGGGCATCAAATTGCCCGATCTCAAAGGCTATTTCGTCGCTATTAAGGTAACTAAACTGCGTGTAAATACGTTAGCTACTTAGCGACAAGTACAAGTTAAGTTTATCTTGAAATTCTCTTACAAACAGTTAAATGGCGTTAACAAGTAGTTAAATAAATAACGATGGTGTTCGGTGCGTTAATTAATCGCGTGCTGGAAGATAAACAGATAAAAACCGTTCGTTGTTATATTGTTTGTTTATTCGTTAATATCTGGAGAGCGCAATTTTCTCGGCGGCCACGTAAATCGATGGAAATGATGGAACTTTGATAAAATGCATGACGTTAATATTTAAGATCAAAACAAAGGTGCACTTATGTAATAATTTTTATATCCAAGTACAATGAGTTTTATCGTATTTATTTTTTTTAGATAGAAACATTTGATTGTTTGATAAAAAAAAGTCTTGTAATTTTTTTAGCGTTTTGTTGTTGGTATTGCCATCTAGTGGATAATTTTCTATTTCGCTTTCTAATCAGGTAGATTCCCATGTAATATCAAAGCAACAGGAGCAGTTACTTTCTTTGAGGGAATTAATTCAATTTATTTTCTTATATTTATATTTATTTTCTTATATTTTTTTACATTATTACAGACTATGCAAGCGATAATCGAAAATATAGAAAAGACCAATTTCGTTACATTGTCTATATCGGGCGTAGTAATTGGAATTTTAATTATAAACATGCAAATTTTGAAGGTAATTTTTCACATTATACACCATCGACAAAATAATGACCCAATTAATTTTAGCCTTTAGTAGCGAAAAAGTCATCGATTCCGATACCAATGGAGCTAATAGTAATAGTCGGAGCCACGATAATATCGAAGTATTGCGATCTTAAAGGAGTGTACGGAGTAAAAATTGTCGGCGACATTCCCACTGGGTAAATTCCAAAATAAATCTGGTATATTTCAGAAATTATTCGCGTTTTTCCTCCAGATTGCCGGACCCCCAAATGCCTCCCCCGGAACTCCTCTACAACGTAATAGTAGATGCAATAACGATAGCCATTGTTTCCTACAGTATATCCTATTCCATGGCAATGATATTTGCCCAGAAATGCAACTACGAAGTTAGCCCCAATCAAGAACTTTTAGCTATGGTAAGAAATTCGAAAATGCGCAATTGATAGCGTTATAATCCTGCAAATTTTCAGGGCGCAGGAAATATATTCGGCTCGTTTTTCTCCTGCTTGCCGATGTCAGCATCGTTAACCAGAACAATGCTGGTGTTCGTGGTAGGAGGAAAAACGCAACTGGTTTCTATAATTGGCTGCTTTTTGTTGCTGTTCGTGCTGCTTTGGTTGGGACCACTCTTCGAAATGGTACCGAAGGTATACTTCCATTTAAACACAATTTATGAACCACTCATAAACAAGAAATATTTTTTATCAGTGCATACTAGCGAGCATCATAGTGATTGCACTAAAGGGTCTTCTGATGCAAGTGAATGAGGTCCTGGCGTTCTGGAAGCTCAGCAAATTGGACGCTCTGGTTTGGGTCACGACCGCTCTTACTGTAGTCTTGGTTAGCATAGATATAGGATTACTAGTGGGTGTTGCGATGTCTTTAGCAACGATATTTTACTTCAGCTTCAAACCCAACACGTGCTTGCTGGGCTCCATACCCAGCACGGATTTGTATTTGGACAGCAAAAGATACAAAGGGGTAAGTAGATTGGTAATTTCGTGTGATGATTGCTGATGAAGAGTTCGATTTACAGTGCAGGGAAATTAAAGGTCTGAAAATCTTCCAATACGCCGGCGGTATTAACTTCGCCACCAGGAACATATTCAAACACGATTTGTTCTCGCTGATCGGCGTGGATCCCCAAAAGGAGATCATCAACAGGACGAAGCTGATAGACGAACAGGTAAAATATTTGTTCGGTTTAAGCTGCGAAATGTACTAACGCTCGATAAATTATTGCAGAGCAAATTGACTACTAATAAAGATAAAATTGACAAGTTGAAGAAGAAAGTCAACTATAAATTGAAGTGCGTGATCATGGATTTCTCTACTGTCAGCAGCGCCGATCCCTCGGGAATTAAAATGCTGAGTAGCGTTGTGGAGAGTTTCGAGAAAATTGACGTGCTGGTGTACATTGTAGGCTGCACTGGTAAGTAATTGCAAGATCTTGGAAATTGCTCCATGAGGAAGGTTAAAATTAATTTTCTTTGTAGATCCAGTATATAATTTAATGGACAAATGCGGACTCTTAACAGCGAAATCCGAATATTTAAGACTGTTTCCCAGTATACACGACGCAGTAAACTGTTACAGTAACATTTTTAACATATCACTCGAAAGAACTATTCACAAACTCAGCGTTATATCCATGTGATATTATTATGTAAATTATATTGTATAGATAGGTAATAAGTTATTTTATAATTAATAGATATTTATATCCTCACAACAGCAAGTGTTTGGAATTTTATTATTTAACACAAAGGTTGATTATTGCGAGGAGGATTTCTCGATGCGTACAATGTTACATCGAACAATACGATTATCGGTTTTCCCTGCGGGTTGGTAACCTTCGCTATTTTCTTATCGCATTTTTCCTCACTCCCACGCTCCCTTCGCGATGCTCAATCCGAATGTAACAAACCGAAAATTGGATAACCGCATATAAAGTAAATAAGTAATTTTTGATTCAACAATATCGAATACATCGAATTTAATAACACGGCATTTTTTTTATTCCACAAGTATTATCGTAATTATTCCGTAAACGACTGAGCGATGGTAATGAAATAATTTTTTTGCTTGTCTACGTGCACAAAAGAAAATTCAAAATCGATGAGCCTCGCATGCAACATCATCATAAACACTAATATACCTTAAGGGAATTATTACAAAAGAAACACGTCCAAACTTACCCAAGTTTACAGCACAAACAAACAAAATCCTCTTCAACGAATGTGTTACCTTCATTGGAAATTATACACCTGCATGTCAACACAGTGTACGAAAATTGTGCACATTCGAAATATTGATGGTTTTTATCTCTGTTACTCTCCTTACCACGGAGATAAACATCACGAGTTTCATCAATAAAATCAATTTATTATTTTACCTATTGTTGTTGAAAATAGGTAGGTAATAAAAAATAGTACAGACAGTAAAATATTTGCGCATGATGAGATTGATCTCGAAAACATAGTTTGCCAAATAGGAAATTCTAAGCAAACAAGCCAATTCGATTATTTATCGAAAATGTGGGATTTTATGATGCGTACAATGATATTAACATCGTATACCCTCACAGCCAATTTCTGTAAATTACTTTCCGATATATTTATATTGTAAATAAATGATTCATTTCGCTACTTGTTTTTTAATTTTTCTAAATCATTGAATTACAATGTTCTGCATATACTTCTCTATTTGCTCGTATTCGTCTAATCTCTAAACTTTTCTATCACCATTGTGGTTTTCCTCCGTACCTTAGCAAACAAGGCAATTCGATTACCGAAGGTGCGGGATTTTATGATGCGTACAATGGTATTACCATCGTATATCCTGAGAGACGCTGCACAAATCGACGCCGCGGCGATACACCGATCGCCCCGACGCTGAATAATGAAACGTAAGGGGACGACAGTAGCGCGACGCGAATAGAAACGGTCCGGGGGTTGTTTCACCCCCGGGTGCTCGTCGTCCACCCTCCGTAAAGCCGGGTTAATTATCGGATCCCTATTTACTGACAAAAGAGATTCGTCGTTAGCGCGAATTGTTGAATAAACTCACCTCTTTTTTTTGTTTTAACGTGTAATTAACGGAGCTGTTAAAGCATCAGCTCTGTTTTTGTATTTTGTACTGTTTATGAACATTTTACAGATAAATCATAAATGAATTAATTATTATAAATTATAGATTTCGAGTAAAAATTTGCAACGCACAACACCTTTTTTTTATTAATAACATTTGTAGAGATTCTTCCCGTGAATCTTCCGTGATTGTTCCTAGTGAAATTTTGGCAGGGTTCGAATTCCCGGTTAAAATTCGAAAGCGCCTACGCCAATGGAAAAAACAAAACTCCACAATGGTCGGAGGGTGAACGTCTCTCCCTTTTTCCGACTACCGACGTCCGACGACGCCGACGTCGTTTCGTCGGGACTCGTTCAGTTCGTCCATTACGGTCGTTGGTCGGTGGCGAAATTTCGCTTCAGGTGGAAATTAAAACGATGTTGTGAGGGCTGCTGGTGGTTTGTTTTTTCTTCGGGTAACTCGCGATGATGTCTTGAGGTGGAATTGACTCGACATGTTCGGCAAAAGTTTCCTGTCTCTGTTGAATATTTGGCTGGGGGGAGCCGTGTTTCCAGGTAATCGCAATTTGAGGTTATTTTTTTAATTATTTATTTTGATTGTGTTTTTTCTTTTAGCGAGTGAGTGTGCGTATTTTTTATGCGATAGAAAAATTAGAAATTGTGTAGTGGGATTTTTCTTAATTTAAACTAACCTTTAGCATATTTCTAACAATAGATAATAAAACTATTCGTAGGATACCAATATTCAATAGTTAATTGAACAATTTTAAAAACTAATAAAAGTAGGTGATGTACCTGTTAATTCGTTTTGTATCAAAAAATTATATAAACTTACAGATGAAAACTCGAAGTTCGAAATTTGACCCGAAGGTATTTTCCTTAAGTTTCTTGATAAACTGTAAGTAAGAGGTATTGATCTTGAATCCTGTCACGTAATTCGAGTGATTATATAGTATGACCGTGTTCACGAAACTAGAGACTAGGAATTTACCTGTATAACATTTGGAGTTTAGAGGTTTCGGCACGAAACCGATATTAAACATACAGGGTGTCCTAAAGTCATTCAGCAATATTCTTACGACATGTTTTATTCCCCAAAGTATATAAGAAATTTTTTGTATAAAAATAAAACATTTGACCTTCTTATAGTATTGCTTTAACCTATGTAAATGTGACATTAAGAGCGTACCTGCACTAGCATGTGGGTTTTACATTTACATCAATGTAAATAGCATTTCGCGAATCCTTAGAATCCTTTTGAAGGATAAATATTAATATTCAATAACCTTTCGAAAATAGGCAAAATATGAATATTGTATTTACAAGAAATTGAGTTACAAAAATATCTTAAACGTTAACAGTATTCGTTAAACTCGTTAACGCCTGGCGGTATATTGTATAATGTAATTATATTGTAAAATGTATATATAGATAACTTATTATAATACTACTATAATACTAAGTTACTATAGATAACTTATAAAATATATTAAAAACTGTATTTCAAATACAGTTCAATTTTATGGTACGCTCTTAATGTGTTTTCGTCACAATAAAATTCCTCGTAGCGCTTAGTTTGTTCGACTTACAGTAAAATAAATAAAATAAACTATTATTAATAGGAACAAAAATATGGTCTAATCCTACGGTAAGAACCTAGGATTAAAGAGATCTTACCATGCAATAAACAACCGATCGCAATACCCTAACTCAACAAACTCACACAATAACAGTACAATTTCAAGTGAAAATCGGTAATACAATTACTCTGATTGGCGTACAAATTCAACCTGCTAACGCTCCCGATCACCTCGAACTTATCCCGCCTCTCGTCCGACCCGACGGTGGCCTCGAAAAGCCCTCCACCAGGCATCGTGTAGAACGTGATCAAATAATTGGTCGACGTCTCCGTTTTCTGGATGGCCGGATTCCAGATCAGCTTAGCGTCGGTGACTTTATCCAGCGCCAATCTCGCGCACTGCGCGTACCCCTTCAGCTGGCCGTTGATGTGGAAGACGGCTCGCTTCGCCACCTCCACCACCTTCATGGGATCGACGTCGACGAAGTGGGTGCAGGTGCACCAGTGCTCGGCGATTCCGGCGTCCGAGCACGTCCTGGTCTCGCCGATCGGCCTGAACAAGCTGATGCCTCTGCTAGGCGGCCTGTTCAAATCCCTTGCGAGTTGCGGCGGATCCGCCAGGTCCATCAGAGTTTCGTGCAGATCGAACGGCGTGGTCAATCTCATCGAGTTCAAGAGTAAATTGTTGTAGGCCGAAGGGTACTTGTTGCGAAACGATTGCGGTAGTAGGAGATTGAGGAAGGGCAGCCGTTCCTCCATTCTGCCTTGGTAGGTTTCCCTGATGCTGCCCCATCTCATTCCGTGGTCGCTCATGAATATTAACGCGGTGTTGTCTAAATGTTTTCCTTCCGCTAGGGTTTTGAAGAGTCTGAGGAAGTCGGCGTCGCCCTGACGCGGCATGTTTAGGAGGTCGTGGGATATTCCCACCTCCCAGAAGAATCCGAAATAGGGTAAATTGTTGGCGTCCATGGTTTTCGCGAAATTTATCGTGTAATCTATGAAATCCTTGTATACGTGCCTGCCGCCTTCGCAGAATATTACATTCAGATGCCTGGAGTTGCCGATGACTTTTTCGCTGTACCTGTTGAAATAATTGTAAGCGTAATCGGTGGGTTGTTTGATGAATCCCATTCTCTGGTAATTGAACAGACCCATCCAGGAGGAATCTTCCGCGTAAGCGGTCAGGAAGCCTTTTTCCTTGTACGAGTTCCATAAGAACGTGCAATTGTCGAAATAATCGGTATTATTCGGCCAGCAACTTTTGCCCAACTCGCTTTCGGACAAGCCGGTTAAAACCGGAATCAAATTCGGAAAAGTATTGTCGCCTACTTTGTTGTAACCCAGCAACTCCACGATCTCGAGCCCTTTCAGATACTCCAAAGTAAGCGGCAACTGTCTGTATAAATTCATCCTTGATATACTGTCGATACCGAACACGAGAACGTTGAGTCTATCCGGATTTTCCTCCGGAGTCGTTTTATTCTTTAGCGGAACGAAAGCGAACGTGTCTTGGTAGATTTTCTTCTCCTCGTAGAAGCAATTCACTTTAACGAATTCTTCTTGGATGTGCGCAACTTCATCGAAATAGTAGCAGTAATTGTTCAGAACAATGTTATTGTCGTAATCACCTTCATATGGTTGGAACCTATTGAATGGCCTATAGCAACATTCCAACGAATATACTTGGGTGATGTTGTACTTTTCCAAAGAGGACTTAATGAGATATATGGAGGTTAAATTCGAAGCGAAAAGCGGCGGTATTCCGTTATTGCACACCGGCAGAGACTCGTTATTTATGAACTCTTTGATGGCGCGGTCGAACGGCTTTATGAGGGGTATTTTACATCCTGGTGTGGATATGGTAAAATTATCCGATAACATGGACTTCAACTGGTGGCTGGTGTACGAGGCATCTCGAAATTTCGGTGGTTCCTTAACAATTTTTGGTTCCTTAACTCTAACAACGAATGTGAACATGTCGCTGAAGTAAAGCGACATTCCAATAAGGAACACTAGAGAACAATAGAGTAGGAATAGTATTCTTCCTCGATTCACACCCATTTTTAATCTGCAAAATATAACATTATGTAATTGAAATAATTTTCTGTTTACCAGTGTCGACATTTTTCTACGTAATATGAAGGCATCTTTGTCAGTGTCAATTTAATAATAAAAAGATAATTAATAAATTTTTTAAACGTCAAAATATATTTTTGTATTGTAGGTATCGTCTTATTTCTGTTCTATCTGTTTTATCTTCTAATCGACAAGATTATTTCATAATACACCTTTTATATCTGGTAATTAAACGTCAAAATTATTTTTAGAAAAATTGAAAAATTTGAATATATTTTAGGTGCTACTTAATAAATTATTACAGTATTGAAATAATTTCTACATTATTTAAACGAGTGGAATTAAAAGTGTTACAGAAAATTTTAACGGAAGCTTTTTTTAATATTATTTCTTTCAATTATTTTTATTATTATATTCTTTGTTATAAGCCCATATTTATAAAAATTAAGCATTTACTTTGAAGTAAAAGGTAGAAGTAAAAGATAAGAAAATAACCTTAAAAAAACTTATACAAAGATTTTAAAAGCAAAAAACTTTTTGTTTTAAAGCAACAGTAGGGTCTTTGAAGCAAAACCTCTCTTCCTTCACTTCTTCTTTTTATGCATGTACCTTGAAGCAATTCCTTCATTTTTTGAAGCAAAGGGTTGTGCTTCTTTTTATAACTACGGCCTATTGATTAAACTCGATAATCTGAAATTTTGAGCAACCCAAAGTTGTTTAATTTAATTAATTTTAGCTGTAAACAATATTTCAATTGTTATAATTATCTAGCAATAATTTAAAACGAATTTATTTGAAATTTATTACTCACTTCTTTCAATAATCCTTCGGATGTCTTATTGATACGATGCTCACAAGTGCCCATCACTTTAATATTTATGACAAAATATTTTACCTGCGTTGTATATATTATCAATAGATAACATTATCTTCTTTTCAGTTGTTATTTTGGTACGATAATACGCATAATACGAAAAAAAAAAATTTACCAAGTTTTTAACTGTCTAAATGCTCCATAACTAACAATTACATCGTTAAATATTTTGCTACAGCTTGGCAAATCCACAGTTTTCCTTCCGGTACATTTTGTGATGATCAAAAATGAATTTAAGATTTTACAGTATGAAGAAACAGTATGAAGAAAATTGTGTTTGAGAAGTAATGTATTAAAATCATAAATTGAAAACATGTTTTACATTGAATGTTATCTATTTTCTGTTAATCACCTCTATACACATTTCAGTGCTAATAATAACACATTCAAGCAATAAGATAGTATTTTACCACCTATTTTCAATTCAAAACTCTATATCAATATCGAGTAATCGAGAGCTAATTAAAATAATGAAGTATTCAAATTACTCGAATGGGTGTTTTCGCTTTATTAAATTCGTCACTCTAATTACCCATCTTTCAGTACCAGAATCCCTGGACTGGAACACTGGACGTGTTACAAACCACAAAATAATACATCCTTTTCCTGTTAGTTCAGTTCTGTGACCGGCACATTCGATCGCACTTCTTCAAAAGACAATTTTAATATACCGAATAAATGATCAGTGGTTGTTTCTTAGTGAAATTATTTATTCTTTCAACTTGTATATTAATATGTATATTTACGTTTCGTGCAACTGAATAATGTTTGTTTCCAGGCGTGGATATTCCGGGTATACATCTCTCGCTGCCGTTGGTCCATGTGGCTTTGAGCGGGGATTTGCAGGTGCAAATAATCGCATCGGCTTTTCCACCGTTGCTTATGCAACTCTCCAGGCTGGAAGGAAACGTCGTGAAACCTCTCACCACCTTTCCCATTTACCCCAAAGCCAGCGGAATATCCAGTAATGTCACAGCGAAGATACCGTGCGGATACTTCTCCAGGGAAGGATTGTACTATATCGTCGTCAAAAAGCAACCTATAGGTATATAAAAAAAAATGAGCTAGTTATTATATAGAAATTTGCTTAACGATTGTGTGTGTAGAAGCGTTTTAAATTGGGCTGTGCCCCATTTGAGCGATGAGTATAGTAGATTTCAATTGAAATTCGGATAAATGGCTCGTAATAAATAGTCGGAGATAAACATAATTTAAAGCTAATCTTCCGTGCATTATATATTACCCTCCTATTCCAACTGGAAAGCGACCGTATCGAATTTTCGGTAGAATGAAAAACGGGGACACAAATAGGAGCATCGCTCTCACGTTATGATAAATAACCCGTTATCATTTCCGAATACGATCAGTTAGTTTTCTCCGTGATGTATTTCACGTTGTATCTAACTTTGTAATTCTTTATACCAGGATGGAAAAATTCCACCTATTATGATCCCGAGGAAGATTCATTGACGAGCCGCAGTTTGGACGTGCGATGGCCCGAAGCGAAATTGTCCATAAGCACGGAGAATTTAGAGACATATCCAGATCATCCGGTGGAGGTGACGTTGGAGTATCCGGAGGTAAAGTGCCTTCCGGAGGAGGAAAACGACGCCGAAAGTTCCATACCGGAGTTTTCTTTGGCTTTGTACTTTTGCGGGGACTCTGTTGCCACTTGTAAAACCTATTCAGACCAAAATTTAACTCAGGTAATTCAACCTCAAGCGCCAGAAATGTTTGCATTCATTCATTCCCCGCTTTCAGATGGTGTATTCCGAAAAAATCCGCGGTTTTCCAAACATCCGCATGTTCACACTGAACTGCCATTTATTCGGATTAGCCGGCTACTACGCCGTGTTTTTGAAACCCGCCAGTTCCTCGATAGATCTTTCTTACACGCCGGCTTATATCAAGGTAAAAACACCTCGATCGATAGTACTTTTCGCTTGACTCAATGCTACCACTCAGGCTAATTGGAGCGACCAATTCGTCTTCAACGTCCACGCCACCAGCATATTCCCCTGCGACGTCCACAGCGGCGGTATACCGGTACTGTTCGAGTACCCGTCGTGCATCAGAGATGTGGGCGATAAGATAAGGCTCTACGCGAAGTTGAGGGCCAACGTGGCCAGTCTGGATCCACCCACGACTTTGGAGTACGTTGCCGAGCAGAGAGTGGTGAGAGGACAGCACAGCGTCTACTTCGAATGCGATTTGTTCACGGAACGGTACGTGGAGTACTGCTTCGTGTACGTCAGTCAAGCGATTACTGGTACAATGACGAACATCAGGATGGACTGCGTGCCGACTTTGCCGGTTACTGGTAGGTTTTTAAACGATATCAAAGCGTTTGTTGTATGACGGGAATGTTATTGCAGATCAAGAGAGCGGCGGTTGGGGACCTTGGAGTCAGTGGACACCGTGTACGAGTACTTGCTTCGGTGGGGTTAGAAGTCGTTATCGCTTCTGCGATTCACCTCCACCTAGATACGGAGCGAAATTTTGCGAGGTGAGCCCTTTAGGAACCTTTCTCTCAGCGTAACTACATGCTTTAAGAACACCAGTTTTATCAGTGTAAGTGCGTTTTATCCACCGTGTGAACAAATTGTTAAATCAATACAGCGATTTCTATGGTAACGTGACAAATCTGATGTGTCCGTTTTCGTCGAGCATCTTCGAAGAATCTAACAATTCCTGATAACCATGGGTAAAGGCAAGAAAGCGAAGAAAGAGCTCGATCCGAACGTCCTGAGCGAAGTGGACAAAACCTTCTACGAGCTGCAAATCACCGATTTGAACAAGAAATTGGCCCGGCTCAGATCGCTCAACGAAGAGCTCCTGGTGAAATCCGAACAACTTGCCGCGGAGAAAGATAAATTGGACGAGGACAGGAACGATGTGATAGCTTTCCTCAAAAAGAGTTTGTCGGAGAAATCCGATCAAATACTGGAACTCGAGGATAGGATAGAGGCCTTGGAGGCGATCAGACAATCGATCACTAAAGTATACGAGGAGAAAATCACCACGTTGAATTTCGAGTACAAACATATGCGCGAACAACTCATATCCGAAATCAAATTATGCGAAGGTACTGAATATTCTTTACTACTATTTTTTCAGCTAATTTTTCCACTTCATCGTCTGCTTAATTATTCTTATTCTTCAATTTCCTCTACTACTCCGTTTAGATAAAATTGTTGGTATATTTTTTGTTTAAGGAAAATTAAACTCTCTCGACGAGTTCAAGTCGCAACGGGACGACTTGATGAAAAAGTACGAGGCTCAGGAAATAGCGATAGCGGAGCAGGAGGAGCGACACAAAAGGGAGATGGGCGAGTTCGAGAGGAAATTCATATTAAGCAAAGATCAGTTGAAGAAAGACATGGGTCACAAGTTATTGGAATTGTCGACGCAATTCCAAGATGCAACAGAACTGAGAATCGCGGCTACCACTCATAGAGTAATCAGGGAAAACATCGCCGTTAATAACGAATTGGATATTCTTTTGAACAATCAACAGCGGCTGTTTAACGAAAACATGGTCTTCAAAGATAGAGACAGTTTCTTGAGGAACAGCAATGAATTGTTGCTGAAAGAAAACAAAATCACTTTGGCTAAAGTTAGAGTACAGAAGAAACTAATAGAGTACTTAGCTGACGATCATCATCACATGTCCCACATGTTAAAAAAATACAAAGCCTACGAAAACGAAGCGCTAGCCAGTCGAAATGAAATTAAATCGTTGAACACGAAAATATTCAACTTGAACCTTACCAAGAGAATTCTGGAGCAGAATTTGCACAACGCCAGATGCGACCGAACAATCATTAAAACCGATTTCCTGCACTTGCAGGAAGAAAACGCCAGACTAATGGAAATCATGCTAGAAGCCGTTAGCACCATCAGAGAGTCCTTGGTGGTGAGACAATCCACCGACAGTACCACACCAGTCAAAGCGGGCAAACGAGAAAACGTACTGAACTACCTTTTGGTGTTACTCAACAAATCCAAGGAAAAAACGGAACGCCTACCGTCCCTGGACTCCGTGTCTCTATTCGAAGCAACCTACGCCAAAGGCGATCTGGGCTTCGTGCCCAAGATAGTGGAGCTCCGATCCCACTCCCCCATCAGACGACACATGGACACCCAGACCGGCGCCAGCTTCGAGGAGTACGTCGAAACCGGCGAGATAGCCAAGCAGGAGGCCCAATACGTCTGCTACGACGAGGAGACCGAGGACTTCTACGGCTACCAACAGGACCTGGAAGCAGAGCTCGTCGTCGACGAGGTCCCTCGCAAGAGCGTTCTCTTCTTCGAAGAACAAGAAATGGTCGGCGAGGAATCCGAAGAGGTGCCGGTCGTCCTCGAAGAAGAAGAAGTAGTCAAATACAAACCCAGCAAAGGTGGATCCGAATTCACCGAAGGAGCGGCCAGCGAGTTACCCCTAGACGAAGATCTTGAAGGCGAGTTCATAATCGGCGATGAAGAACATGAGGATGGTGAAGAAGCATAGATTCATGTTCATTTGTAGTTTTTTTATTCGTATTAAAATTATTAGTCGCGATGTAATAGTTTTATTCAATAAGAACCCACTGCGTCTGTTATTTTCTTCGCTATTGGGAGTTACTAATTGGATTTTCAACTTGCAGGGTCCAGCGATCGAGTCTGAGAAATGCGGAAAAGAGTTCACCACCAGCTGGAACTGCTTCTACGGCGAGAGCTTGAGTTTAATCAAAGACATGGTCGCCGAACTGCCGGATGTTCGAGCAGAGGTGGGTTCTTACTGCAGGTGCGGGTGCGTGGTGCACGTGGGAGCGGCAAAACCGAGCAGATTGCTGGCGACTTCGTCCCAAAGCTGCCCGGGCAGGAATTTCTGGCTGATTCAAGTAAGTTTTAATACCTTAGTGAACGAGTTGTCACGAAATAACGGTGTTTTTCCAGGCCGATGCTGACTCGTTGATTGAATTTCGGGTGCTGCAGTTTCGTCTGGAGTGTCGTACGCAGTCACTTAAAATACGAGACGGGAATGCTTTGTCTTCTAATTTGTTGGCGCTTTTATCCAGCACGTCTGATGCTGTTTCTCTGTCAATAAACTCTACTGGTCCGAATATGCTGCTCGAATTCTTTTCAATGAACATCGAGGATGCAACGACGATATGCGGAGGAGGTTTCTTAGCACAGGCTCGACAAATTAGTAAGTTTTTTTTCTAGTGCGAGCACAATTGACAAATTTTGATATTTATGTTTTTTTTATAGAAGTATCTAGTGTGAACGTTACAGCTGTACCAATTGCCCATAACATGGGAATAATTCCTATAGTAATTTTAAAATTAACTGCCGTTCATATCGCAGCAATATTTTTTCTTAGCGGTTTACTACTAGCTACCATCATACTTGGTATTCAATACATATTCCGATACAGGAAATACCAAATCGCCGATGGCGATGATCGAGATTCGCTCTCCAATGGTTCCGGTAAGTACACTGCTGGTAACTAACTATGCAAATGAGCCTTTTATGTTGCATTGCAGGTGTTAATATTCCTTTAGCCAATCGGGTATCTTCTAGCGTCACTTTGCTATCAGAAGTGATATCTCTCACCAAATTCCGACCTCATTTGATAAAGAGAAACAAACACGAACGTCTACGAGAATCGGTGGATTGCGATACTCTTAAAGCCGAGGAAGCCACTTTAGCGTAAGTTGATTCAGTAGAAAAAGTTGAGGAGTGAGTAATACGAACGTTTGCAGGAAAGAAGAGTCATCTAGCATTTGCAGTACGACGACGATTACGCAAGACGAGATCCGATCGGTTTCCAAAACGAACGAAAAATCCGAAGACGTCGATACTTCTAACAGCACTTTGAGAAGATCTCTGACCGACGATAGCGACAAGGACAAAACCGATGAAAAAAGCACGTGTACAACACCCGTTGATGCATCGCCGGATTCGAGAAGACCCAGCTTGATCAGCAACGCCACGCTGACCAATGTGAGCTTGTTAACAAAAATTCACTCTACAAGTGATCCGGTGAAGTATTTTCTTTTTATCTAGAAGTTGTTAATCACCAGCACGGTTTTTGGGGCACTTCTATTTGTCTTCTATAAATTTACATAACTTACCGTTGGTTGATTTGGAACACAACGCACATTCGTTTGGCACCTACCATTATTTTCACTTCGTTTCTATCATAAAAGATGATCTTATTGTGATCGCTTTGCAGGGTTGTTATTCGTCCGGGAATTCCATGGTAAATCAAGCGACTATCAAAAGCACGTCTGTAAAGGAGACGAAAGAGAAGAAAAACCGCGAGAAACTCCTCGCCGGACCTACTGGATCCGATTTTTCCATATCAGTACACGACAGCGATTTGGAAATGGATTATTACGACTACAACGTTGTAAACGCAGGAGCTGCTCCGGGCTCATACTTAGGTTAGGTTTCTAACAATCCAATTTTAAGATTTGGGAATATCTTGCGTTTTCCTACAGGCATGGATCCGGCTTTTCTGGTGTGGATTCCACCGTTAGACGACGACGGAGAAATTTTATCCAGCTACGAACACAGCGAGTACCACGAAATGGCGACGGTGAGGGAGTACGCGGATCCGGGCAGCAACCAGGAATCGCCGGAGGTGGAGGTGTTGCTTCCGACTTCGCGGAAACCCAAAGGGAAATCGTTGGATGCCAACGAAATCGACAACAAGTACATATCGGAGAAGCAGCCGTTGGTGCATAAGAGAATCGACGATTCGGATCTGGACGGTTTGGCGAAGAAGCTGCGGGAATCGCGGAAGTACATCAGAGAGGATATGGAGAAGGAGACCGAAGTGGAGAAGTGCTTGGACTTGGGCAACGTCGATAACATTAAATTCGTCGATGACGAGGACGCGGCCGATTTTTCCGGTAATCAGTGCAATACGGATTTGGCATATCACGATTCGAATGCGAAATCTTCTAGTTAAGACTGAGTTAGAAACAAGGGCATTTATAATAGATACTACAAAAATATTTATATACTAGTTATTGTTTTGTAGGAATCACGACGCGATGAAGATATTATAACTTATTTACTAGGAAAATACAACTCTTCCATATTGTTAAATTGTTTAGAAATCGTATTATTTGGTTTTATACATACTTATTGACTATTTGTAGTAAATGGGTTTAAAAAATAATAGGATTTCTGAAAATGAGATTGGAAAATTTGCGACGTATGTGTCTTGAGAAATAACACTTCCATGAGTAAAACAACGTTCAGGGGAAAGGTTTTATATCATTGATGGTATCATTGTAGTGTTTATTTTCTGAGAAGTAGTAGAAAAGAAATATATAATTATTCTCTAACGATTTACACGGAATATATGATTGAAATTTACATGATATATTTTGAGGGTATATTTGCACGCACTGAATTCGCCTTTTAGTAGCAAATTGTAGGTAAAAAGTTTATTTATAAGAAAGCTATTTTAGCGCAATTATTGAGATGCGATAATTCATATAGCAATCAACAATTGCACTAAAAATAGCTGGTAAAAAAGTGCAATGATCTTACCTACGGCCTTGTTTCCTTATTTAATTTCATTTAAATTATATGTACGTTTAATAATATGTGTATCACATAAATATTATATTTCATAGAGTACTTTTTACGAGTAAAATATTGATTAATTTAGCATTTTGCGTTTTATTTGAAAACCAATTCAGAATCTTCTACAATTTTATTTTTAATTGATCTACTATAATAATTGAGTTGTGGATCTTAATTATTTCTTGATATACAAGGTGTTTTTTAATAACATGCTGCACGGGAAACGTGAAACTTTCACACTACATAATGCTTAAAGAAAGTAAGTAAAATGTAAAATAAACTAATCTGAGCCGTTTGGGAATGGAATTTAAGAATAGAATGGTGAACAGACCAATGCGTTCTGTAAAAATAGCATTCTAGTTACATATTTTCTAACTAGATGGCTTTCTGGGGAGCTTTCCAAAAGCGCCTGGATTGAATAGAAACATTTAGAAAAAATACATTACTGAATTACCGCATAATTTGCTATTTCATAACAATTCCTTCAAAAAGAAAATTAGTTTGTCGAAACAGGTTAAATAAAATATTAGTAGTATAAGTATTTTTGAAATTTAATGAATGAAATACCCAGTGTTATCGGGATAAATAAATTAGAACGATTTATAAATTAGAAGTTTTGAGAGAAAGTACGAGTAGATTAATCAATTGAATGGATAGTTACAAAAAAATTCGTAATATTTTTAGTATAGAGAGGAAGAATATAAAAATAGGTATAATAGAAAAGTCGGGGGAAAGCGGAAAGCACGCCGCTGTATTGCGTAGTGTGGGTGTGAGTACAGGGCGTCGGACGCAGGCGTCAACTGTGTTGCACAGCATCGAGCGAATGTGCGTTTGTGGTGGACGCGCTCGTCGCTGAAAGAACACACGGCCGGTCTGTCAAACGCGAACATCCCTCTATTTTTCCCCAAATTGGAGTGCATCGACAACGCGAATCAATCGCACTTGCACCGACTAGAAGCCGTCGTCGCCGCGAAATGTGTACGCCCCGGTGCTAGTTTACGCTCGATCGGAGCCGCGGACGTGAGAGGGTTGTGCGGTGGGTGGTTGTATTTTCGACAGAGGGGTGGAAGTCCAGCCGGCGCGACGTTTTGTAAGGAGGGAACCTGCAGGATGGGGTGCACTTCTTCGGCGGAAGAGCGGGCAGCCCTGGCCAGGAGCAAGCAGATCGAGAAGAATCTGAAAGAGGATGGGATTCAGGCGGCCAAGGACATCAAGCTGCTCCTGTTGGGTGAGTAGGGCGGGGGTTCGATATTTCGATAAGTCGTCTGGGTGCGGACCGACGGGCTCATGCGCACCAAACGACCTCCTGGCAACCCTTTTTCGTAAAGCGAAATTTGTCCAAACTACACCCCTAAAATGCGATTATCAATATACGCAAAAATCCTCGCCACAGAACGTTTCTATTTAACATATCATACGTACAGTTCCCCAACCGCAAACTAATCAATTTAAACGAGACGGTCGGACTGATGGAAGGGAATTATACCCTAGATATAAGTTCCATTTTAAATTAACCGCTACAACACAAAGCGAATTTTAGCTATCCTCGCATCCATTTTAATTTTAAATACTCTAATCAATTAATTCAACCATCAAGCTACATTAAAACAATCAACATTTAATCGACAAATTATGAGGTATTAGGTCACAGGTGGGCTTCAATAAAATAACGTAAGATGGTGGAAATTTCAGCGATTCATTTCCACCTGTCGATGGAATATTACTCAACATTATCTAATAATACTCGAGAGTGCTGTTAGGTAACCGTAAGTTTTCGGAGTTGAAGGGCTCGCTCGTACAAAACCGATTTAGGGGCGGTTTTGTGCGGACTCGATTGAAAACTGGGTCGATTGAACGCTTTAAAATGTACAGGAAGCCGAAAATTCGAATGCAAATATAATTTTGCTATAATGATGTGCGCGTTTGTGTTTTACCATTGCATATTTTAAAAAATGTGTTTACGACAACCAAATATGTCGAACACGCTACTTAATCAGTAAGGAAGATACCTAGAATTGTTTTTTATAGATTTGTAAATTTGTACATACACAATTAAAATAAACTTGGTAAAATACATAAAGTGAAAGTAGTTCTATCAGCATCAACATAATTCGACATTTTCCATAAAAAAAAGATACAGTTCCACAAGCTCTAGCGTACATTTGTCCCGCCTCAGAAATCGAAATGTTTTCTATATAAAACGCAAATATACTGAACATCGATCATCCAGGGCGGTTTTATCGGAAAAACGTTGGGAACACAAATCCAATTACTTTCTTAACTGTTCGAGGGCTCGTTGAAGCGAAATTGTTAATTCCGATTCCTCGAAAGCCGGGGAATAATTTACGAGGCCCTCGTTGAATAATAAACGAGCGAGCAACTACAAGTTGCAAACTAGAAGTTTCGAGTTATAAGTCGGACCTTTCGCTACTCGAAAATATATCGAGTAATAGCCGGCGAAATGCTTCTTATTTTTTCGTTTTGAATTAAAAACGAACCGTGCAAAATGTACTCGATTCGTGATCCTTCCACGAACCAATGAAACTATGATTAGCTTTTTTCGAGAGTTCTGTTGTAATTTTTTTTCAAAAAGTCTCAGTTTCATATTGCATATTTGTTTCACTTCTCTGCTACATCTGCCTTGTTTTATGGACCATTTTTTTAACCCACAGATTTCTCCATCATCCTGTCTACACATGTTTATTTCTTTTTCTTACATTCAATTCTTTGCCACAACCACATTGACTACAGTATTAATAATATTATTAAATAAAGAGTTTACTGGGCTTGATCAACTTAGACCCAAGGCAACTATTGGTATCTGATAGAAATGAGTATAAACATGAAAGGAGCTTAAATTTTTGTATCTACAACACGAAAGCTTGTTCGAGGACCCTCCTCGATTCGAGACGAGCCGGGCATACTACCAAACCAGATGTTTTCGAGTAGGTACCGAGAAATGTAACCAGTTGCGGCAACGCAGCGTGGATGCCCCACCATAATGTAGTCCATTATTTCCATTCCCAAAGCAAACACCACATGCGAATTGATCGTACTGTACTGTACGGTATCGTTTCGGATCGAAGGCTCCGAGGGTTAGAATAAAAGCGTAGAGGTACACATACAATTCGAATGCGTCGTGTCGTCGAAAAGCGGAATTTTTATTTTAATGGAGCGACGCGTTCTAATCTCGACAGATCCGTAAATAGTTAGTTGTTTTCGTTAGCGGTGTCACCGGACGTGTTCGATAAGTTTCCGCGGCGATTTGTGCGTATGTTTACCGACCGAATGTATTGCTGTTCAGTGAGAAAGTGAGTGTTATCAGCCGGCATTGATCGCTCGTTGAAAAAAAAAATTTGGGCTTGGCCGTTGGACTGCCAATTTAGGTACTAATAGACGATAATAGAAATCGATTCGATCGATAAATCGCATCCCAATGTCGCGCTTGTCGTCGTTATTATTAAATTCATAGCGGATTTTTCGGGGGGTAACGCCCACTAGAGTGTTCCGCTACCTACCGCACTATTTTACAAACGTTCGGTATCGAATAGAGAGAAAATGTTGCCAAATATTCGAGCTTTTAACCATTTCGTTGTAGAAATCGAGTTTTGCATTGGAACGACACGTAATTGCATCCTTAATGATGTCATAATTGTCTGAGTATTGGTAGGTCAAGATCGATCCTCGCTAATTGTTATAATTATCTTGCATTGACCAGATATTAATCGATGGAAATATCCGAAAAGTTAAGCAAATAATAAACAATGTCTAATCTGATTAAATTAAATCTTCTAACTAATTAAAATCTTCCAACAGATCATCAATAATCACGATTCTGGAGATTCCTATTTACTTCATTTATGCAAATTTATATTCAAATATTAGTATACAATTCACCATTTTTTCCTACAGCAATTATAATCTAATTGTAATGAAACTAACATAATATCTATTATTTCCTTTTACGTATTTGATTCATATAATGAATAATCATTCCTAGGTAATTACTACTTTTTAATTCTACAAAGAAATCGAAACAACCACAGAATGATTTTACATGTAAAACTACTAATACAAAAATCATTTTTTTATTCTTTCAACATCCACTAACATAACGTAATTTCTAATAAGTCATCTTTATCGGTTTATCTACTCCAAAATACACATTATTGTAATTAAACTACATACCGATACGTGTATACCGACGTTACTTACTAATTGATTAATCGCGCAAACAAACTCGATGTTTGGACATTAGTGTAATGAAAAGAAGGATATTAAAACTTATCAAGCGCCACGACAAAGGTCATCGAAGATGTTCGTTTATTAAAACAATAAAATGTAACACACGAGTGTTGCTTTAATTAATTTTCGCTGCTTTTAGCGGCAAAAGAGTTAATTGGATTGTTGTATATACAGAGAAGAACTGCAAAGGAAAAGGCGTAATGTCGTTGATTAAAGGAATGTAATTTGAATAGGTAATAGGAAGAAGTTCTCTCCTAAAGTGTGTTGAAAAATCATTTGCACAACTTAGTAAATTGAGTCTTTTAACCTACTTTAATGAGGTTAAAATGCAATAATTTATTAAAGTATCAACGAACGAGGAAAGAAGGGATGTTGTTTCCTTTGAAAAGTTTCAACCAATACTCAATAATTTGGAACATTTAAGAGGAATACATTGTAGCCAAGTGTTGAAAATTTCCTACAACTACAGAAAAAATTAATGTTCATTGTGATAATAAGTATTCCTTTAAAAACGATAACCTTGATTATTACACTACCTAAATAATATGCACCTATTTTAAACTATGATTAACACGAATATTTTAACGTTATGCATATACGCTCGCGTACACTTGTTATTAATCCTTATCAAAATTATTTTATTTTTTACCTATATGAAAACTACCTAATTTATTATCCTTTAGCATGCCACTAGTCAACATCGAAAATAGAAAAGTAAAGTAATTAAAGTGCGGGTGGTGACATTGGGACGCGATTCGAATTCGAACGATACACCGACCGCGGTAAAAACGAGACAGTTCTTTCCAGAAAATCGCGGTTCTAGATCCAGCGAAGCGAGCCGGGTAGATTTTTCCTGTCGTTCGGTCGGATAAAAAGCCTCAAGACGTCGTGGATAGAGGATTGTGCCATGGGGTGCACGGTGTCGGCAGAGGAAAGGGCCGCCATAGCCAGGACGAAACAGATCGATGAGACTCTCAAAGAGGAAAAACAGAGATCCCGAAGGGACGTTAAACTTCTCCTTTTAGGTACACTTTCGTGCTTTTCTTTATACTAACTCTAATCGAACGCAGCGTCTCGTACATATTGATTCGCAAACCCGCGGGATTTGTCGGAGATATCTGGTTTGGATCCACTCTTTAGGGTCCGCATTTTATTATCTAATTGTAAGATTTTATGACAATATGATACTTCGAAGGAGATTCAAGCTTTATTAACCTAACCGTACTGTACCAGTAATTTTAAACACACACCAGCTTTGCTAATTACATGACACAGTTAAAAACCCTGATATTTTTAAAAAAACCTGTATTTCCAATATGAAAGACTCACATTGTATTCTAATTTTATTGCATTCATTAATTTTATGAGTTCTTACGTCGAGGAAGTAAAGAGTAATAAATTTTTTTGTAAGAATTTACTCTCCTTAATGTAACAGCGCGGCGATTAAAATAATTACTCCATTGGGCAAGCACACACAAATCATTCGTATACTATACATATAATGTTAAAAAATTTCATAGGGAATTGTTGGGTAAAAGTTAAATTTTGTAATTAATATAATCTCTTAATACTGATAATCTCGTTAAAAACGGTTTCTGTTAAATACTGCCGTTACCATTGCAATGATTATAGAATATGGCTTTACTAAAGCATTGCCTGAAACAAACAAAACCTCAACAAGATAAGATAATGCACTAAAGAGCGCCTTCTAGGAACTTAGAAATCTTTCTAACAACGTTGTCAGTTTTAATTCTTATAAAACACTAGTTTATTTAGACCAATTTCTACTTGTGCTGTCGACGTTTAGGTGTGAAGTAGGACTTTCTGATTCACGGAATAATAATTAAATTAGTGAGACTGGAATATGTGTGTGATTTATTCAATCTGGTTTACACCGTTTAACACAAACGCCGTTCTAATAGTAAAGCCAGATAAGATAAAGCAGCTACCTATGTTTGCGAAAACGAAATTAAATAGCTATCGATTAGGCGATTCCGGTGACACCTTTTTATTCCCGCGATAACAGTATATTTTAGTCGATTATGGAGATGCCAGTCGATTATGAATCATTTATGCGCTTTAATAAATCATTTTTCTTGCCGCTCGTCCCGGCGATTAAAACCATTACGTCGTGGTCGAATGCCAAAACGTCACGAATCGTCGTTGGAAAGTCGCTCGGCCATGTTTGAATTACATAATTACAACGTAAGACGAAATTAGCATAAAATATAGTATTTCTGTGCGGTCGGATGGTTATCTGTGGATACGCCGATTGGCGAAAAAAGGAACTTAACATGAAACGCGAATATGTATAGAATTGAAATCGATAAATTAGCAGATCGAAAACGAGGGTTCCCCATACAAAGCTGTCGTTTATTGCGCTCTAACTTCGAAATAGACCACTTATTTTGACGGTATCTTATAAACCCCACAGCTGTAAACGTGATAATATTAAATACATTTATTATTAGGGTTTATTATGTATACACACTAAATACCTTGTGAACAATATTAGTGCTTTTTATACGCTTGTTAATTGTATCAACCTATGATAGTATATAACATCGAGAAGAACCGGATCGATGGCATAAATATAGGGATGAATTAAAGGAAAACTCGGGAGCGTTTGTTTCCTGACAAATAAAATATTCAAAATGCCGAGTATCGTCTGTTTTCTGCTATTATAAAATAGCTGACCCAGCCTACACAATCGATTGTGCATTGTCACAAAACTTGCGGTTTAGAATGGCACATACACGTTGGGTTTCCACCCAGGAAATTACATGTTCGCATTTCAATTAGCGAACTGTCGCCCAAGTGCATATTGGCTTCGATCGGAAATATGCAAAATTAGAGCCTCATGCAAAAAAAAATCTTTAGTTCTCACTTAATTGCAATAAACCAGATTTTTAATGAACGTTTGATGGGACACTGCAGTGATTTCAATATTACTAAATATTCCCCTGATTTACGGTACAATTAACAAACGAAACCATCCTATTCTTAATTAATAAAATTTGTTGAATTTAACTCGCGTCTGTTCCGATCGGTGTTGGCGTAGAAGACGAAATCGAATTTGTATATTTATGTAAAAAGCCAACGTTTTGCGTCATAGTTATATTTTACTACTTGTAAATTAGAACGGTTCATATTAAAATTAAAGATCGAAAATTAAGCGAAGCGGTTCGCTATTCGTCTCTCGCTGGCATTGATTTACCTACAACCGGATCGTAAAGCCGGAATTCGATTCTAAATTAGTTCGTGTGTGAACTATAAAGAGTTAAAAATATGAAGTTTTCCTTACGCTAGGGTCAAGGATTAACGTAATCTTTGCTAAGGTTAGCTGGAATTCCATCCTCCTGTAGGGGTCACGGTAATTTGCAGGATGCCAAGATTGGCCTATTACGAGTTTAGGTATGATCAGAAAGAGAGAAAATATACTTGTTAAGAATGATAACATTGTAATAAAACGTCTACTTGAAACATATTGATTTTAAGTGGAATTTCACTTAAGTCGAGTGTTTGCCAATTCATGTAATTTATGTAAGAGTTTTCCAGAAAAACGAACCGGTTTTTCTGGCTTTCGTTCGAAATTTCAAATAACGATTTCTTAACGAAATTTCGTTTCCCGGGAGGAGTGTACAATTTAGTGATGGATATCTTTTATGTACGAAGGTCATAGGAAATTAGCGGTTTATTTATCAGAGAAAAAGGTATGTGAGCCTACTTCAATTCATATACAGTGGTATAAAGTTCGTTAAGTCAGAGAAGCTAATTTAAAATAATCATTTAATTTGTATGAATGCTTGTTATATATTTTTTTTTCTTTAATTCAAGTAAAACAAGTTTGCGATTATTTCACTAGTTAGTTTAATTATTATGTTCAACGTTTTATTTTAAAATTTGTACTTACCTAAACAATTTATATTTAGTACATCTTACTGCAAAATTGCTCATTTAATCAATTTATTTTTCCGTTTGCAGTAGAAATCCTGTAGGAAGTGTTGCCAATTTAATTGCCACTTAAATATTATCAATAATGCGAATTAATTTTTAAATTGTTATTGACTGGTATTAGAGAACCCTAGTGTTGTAAATACACTCTCTATCTATCTCTATTTTATAAAATGTTCTAAGCAACAAATTCGATAGAACACGCCAATGTTCCGTACAGAGTACAAACCTTGCGTACACATTATTAAATCTTTGAAAGGCAAGGGTCGAGTGAGAGTTCAATTAATAAATTCTACCTTAATTCGAGCAAATTTAGTTTGACCCTATTAATCTACTTCGACGGCAGGAATAACGGCGTAAACACAACTTTTTTTCATACGATCGTATTGTTTGTCGAGAATCTCGATTAATTCCCGATCGGTCTCCGCCATTCAATCTCTATTAATTTTAAATGACGTAGGAAATGCTTTCGTTATCCCATGGTGATTCGAAAGCAATGTTTAATTGATATCGTCTGGTACTGCCGAGTGTTTTTTTTTTCGAAAATATCGTGAACACTTAATCGGATTCACAACGTGTGTGGAGTGAAATGGAACAGATTTCGTGCATGTTTCCTCCACAATGTAAAATACTTTCGTTGCGCAAGACTATGTAGCTTCCGAGTTACCCTCGTATAATGTGGAGGATTAAGTTGTTGATAATTCGAGGCGTTTAATGACGCCTATAAAATTTACAGAACTAATTATCCTTGCCAAAAACTTCAGAGCGCTAACCGCATTTTTTAACACTTTCGTCAATACTCTATAGAACACAGTAGAGATATTATTAAGGGTATTACAATTTTTTTTTATACGAAAGTGAAACAATTTTTAGATCCGTTGACATATGGTATGCTCATAATTTATTCACGATTTGTTTGTTGTATTAAACCGACCGCAGTGGAACTGTCGCGCTGTTTCCTTGTTTTCCAACCGGTTGTTATTTCTGTTACGTACAAAATCAATATCGCCGATAATTATAATTCAACGAAAATTACGTTATCTATTTTTATCAACGCCTGGAATGAAGTGCGTGCCGCTTTTATATTTAGTTACATCGGACAAAAAGGAACTAACCACTTAATTCATACGAAGCGCGCTTTCTATAAAAGCGCCGCGAATTATTCTATTCTGGACGAAACGCAAGGCCGTTCTACAGCCTTAAGAAGATTCGTCCTAAGTACTGTCAATTCCAGTGATTTAATTATTTCGCATTTTTGTTACAGGTGCCGGAGAATCGGGGAAGAGCACGATAGTAAAACAAATGAAGTAAGTGTTTAAAACCGATTGAACGAACAAAAGAGAAATTTCATAAGCGATCTGCGTGAAAGTTACCGATGGGAATCCCCTTAAGTATTTTTCCCCCGGTTGGGGAAATCTATCCGTCGTTCCGTTTTCGAGTTTTTCGCCGACTTTTCTTCTTTCTATAGTATACGGTTATTGATTAGAAACAGAAGCGTCGCGACGCGCGGCGTTAGATACACGAATTACCGATTACGTCACAGCCTCCGAGGATCTCCTTTGGCGCGGAAAATTTGTAAACTACTCGGAGAATATTGTCGTCGAAACGAAGCGAAAAGAGCGAAATTGTTTGGTGATTAATTTAATGGGCGCGGCATCTTCACCAATTACACTTTATTTTTTTACTCTAATATGCCACAAAATTAATCAATTGTCTGTAACAATTCAAGTTACTGGATTAACGATAGGCGGATTGGCTCCATCCAGACGTGACATCCATAGAATTTTGTTGGGAATAAATCGGGTGCTATATATAAATTTGAGCTGGTGAGAGAATCCGCCCCAATCCGAGCTCATTTGTAGATAAATTGGTTGTTAACTCGCTTGGTTTATTTTCCAGAATTATCCACGAAAGTGGCTTCACCCCAGAGGACCATAAGCAATATCGGCCGGTGGTCTACAGCAATACGATACAATCCTTGGTAGCTATTTTACGGTCAATGCCAAATCTCGGAATTAGTTACGGGAATAACGAGAGAGAAGTAAGTACATCTAATCACGAATGAGTCACTTAATACATTTATTTTACTTTATATATTTACTCCAATTCGCCGCAAATGTTGATGTAAATATTACAGCGAAAAATCTAAACCCATTGCGACAAAAGAAGCGGGTTTTTTTTTTCGAGCATTCTAATCGATTCTCGAGTTTTACGGATTATTTCGACGAGTTTCTCGGAATTGTAAATCACATCGTTTCCCATTTAATCATACACGGAATGATATGCACGCTGCTAGTTAATTATGCAAATCGAAACCCGATGAATGATTCAAGCTTTGCGCTCCAATAAATGAAGTTTGGAATATTTTCAGTACCTAAATGACCAAAAATATACCTACCCGTTGAAATTCTCGCGGGATGATATCATTCTTCGCATGGAGTTAGATTGATCCCCGGAGCTCGCTTTCTAGTCTCTATCTTCGCCTAAATCTTACAGAATCTAACGGTTGTTTTTAAATTCAGATTGACGGCAAAATGGTGTTCGACGTGATCCAGAGGATGGAGGACACGGAACCGTTCTCAGAAGAACTCTTAGCGGCAATGAAAAGATTATGGACTGATTCGGGAGTGCAGGAGTGCTTCGGCCGTTCCAACGAGTACCAGCTCAACGATTCCGCGAAATAGTAAGTGAATACGGTCGATGTTCGCCCGGTTTCCATTCCCGCAAATTGCCCCAAATTACAGCGGCTTGTTGAATGGCCGCCTCGTTCGTAAACATCTTTAAGTTTCCTCCTGAAAGAAGCTGATTTGAATTACCGCAAATCAACAGAAATAGCGGGCAATTTCAACTAAATTGGTTCGATAATTAAATCCTTTTCATGCACGCTGATTATATTATTTTATCCACTCCTACACACTATTTCCTATCGACGATGTTTGTTGTGTTTTGTTAACATTTTCGTTTTGTTTGTAGTTTCTTAGATGATTTAGATCGGCTGGGAGCGAAGGATTATCAACCAACAGAACAAGACATATTAAGAACAAGAGTGAAAACTACGGGTATAGTCGAAGTACACTTCTCATTTAAAAACCTCAATTTCAAGTAAGTTTCAAGAAATTCGATACGAAATTCGCTGGACTAAGACGGTCCGTTGCATGAGAGAGCTCCTTCAAGGAGAAATTCTTTTATTGGATAACCAGGTGAATAAAAAAATCGACCGTTTTTGGTTTTTAGATTATTCGACGTCGGTGGGCAGCGGTCGGAGAGGAAAAAATGGATACACTGTTTCGAGGACGTGACTGCGATCATATTTTGTGTAGCTATGAGTGAATACGATCAGGTCCTGCACGAAGACGAGACGACAGTAAGCAAACAAACATCCTTCGTAAGGAAAATATCGCTTACGATTCTCTTACTTTTCCAGAACCGCATGCAAGAGAGCTTAAAACTATTCGACTCGATCTGTAATAACAAATGGTTCACCGACACATCCATCATTCTCTTCCTAAACAAAAAGGACCTGTTCGAGGACAAAATTAGGAAATCGCCTTTAACGATATGTTTTCCCGAATACGCAGGTGGGTATTTTCGTCATTTCTCCGACGGATTATCGCGATGAACACATTGTTTTCGTACCTCCGACGGTATTCCGGGCATTTTTATAGTCGCTCCGACTGATTTATGTCGCCTAACTTTCACCGGCAACAAATATTTTTCTATTTTTGCACCGACGTGAATAAGTTTCTAATATTATAATGTACCGAATATTTCACTGTACAAAACTTGTTGGAGTTATGCAAAGATTTTTAAACGTGTAGTTTGCTCATGCAAACCTTATTGGCTTTACTCCGTTCGCTATCAGGAGACTCTAATACACCACTTGAGACTTTGTGCGGTGACCTTTTGTAATTCCAAATAAAGTGGCTTGAACTCGGTGTTCAACTGTAATTTTTACAGTTTTTCATAGCGAACGGAGCATGGAACATTACCTGTGTTTAGAGCACTGTCGTATACTTCTAAGGGCTGGAACGTAGGTCGAAAAAGTATCCCGTTATTTGAAGAAGAAACAGGGTTCCCAAAATGGCCGCTAGGAGGCGATGTTAAGGATCGCGGTTTTTTGCGTACGAACATAAAATTATTATATAGAATTAGCATTAAGATAAAAAATAGTTACAAAATATCAAAATATACCTAAATCAGCGATGATTTTGTTGTTAACATCATGCCTTACGTATCTTCGGTTAATGAATTTCTCCATTTTCTCGTCGACATGTCAAAAAATAATTTTTGAAGTTTTGACAGCTCGAACTGTCGTTTCACAACAACCGCGATTTTTATGTAGCGCGACGCTGATTGGCTGAGATTGGTTGATCATCCGATCGTTCGCCACGGTGCTTCGAAAAAGTGAAGCTTAAAAAGTCCTCAAATAACGGGACACATTCTCTAATGCATAAGCATAGGGAGATGCCAGACCTTAGAAATATAGGACCGTGGGTTAATGTATTTCTCCATTTTCTCCTCGAAACGTCAAAAAATAATTTTTGAAGTTTGACAGCTCGAACTGTCGTTTCACAACAACCGCGATTTACATGTAGCGCGATGCTGATTGGCTGATAAGTCTTCATTTAATTGTTGCGATTGTTGGTGAGTTAATATGGTTTTGGTTTGTTCGATAGGTGCGCAAGAATACGGCGAAGCAGCGGCGTACATTCAAGCGCAATTCGAAGCGAAAAATAAATCGACAACCAAAGAAATCTACTGCCACATGACGTGCGCCACCGATACGCATAACATCCAATTCGTATTCGACGCCGTCACCGACGTCATCATAGCGAACAACCTGCGCAACTGCGGCCTCTACTAAGCACACCCCCGTTCGATTAATATGTTTTGTTCTCGCAGTGACAAGGCGATACGCACCAGTATGTATGTTTATGTTTTTTTTTTATTTTTTGTTCGTTCTTTTTGATTGATTGCATTGTCGCTTCGGCGACGCCTCGGCGTCTCCAGGATTCGTTTGAACGGCGGACATCTTGAGGTAAGCTGATGGAACTGTACCAAAGTCGAGTGAGATCTTGAAAATTGTGTTCTTCTTTTGTTCTTATTATTATTATTTGTTTCGTTTAAAAAGGATTTATTATTAGATTGTAAATGAAAAAAAAAAGTCGATAAGTAGCTTTGCGCTTGATTATGGAAGGCGTGGTTCGTTTGAACTGCCGAAGATGAACGTCAGATGGCTATTATTAATGTTTTTTATCGATGATGAATGCACAATATGTTGAAAATACGCGCACACATTAACCGCTGAATTTGTCAACGTGTACAAATTACAAAATACACAGTTAAACGCCACTTATATCTTCTCAAAATATACATTGCATTTTAAATGAATTAATCGTTATTGTTTTGTGTAAATGATTCGTGCCATTTGAAAAAGAGATTGAAGTTGTTCATGTGTACTAATTATTATTTTTTTTTCCTCTAAGTTATTTGTTTTTTCATTAAGGTTTAAGAATATTTTTCTAAGTCTAAGTAATGTTATTTATGATTATATAATTTTATTATGAAGAAAATTAACTTTATTCAAATATTAGGTTTTAGTTACCAAATATTTTTTACAAATAATTACCTCTACTTACATGTGTATACACCAGAACCAAAAAAAAAATACTAATACTTTCAGCTCAAATTAGATACATATATAATTCCCTTTTTGTAAAACGTTTCGAAAATGCAATCGAGTAATATACAGGAAGTTTCAAAGACACAAAAAAGAGCGTACAATTGATATCTCAACACAATTTTCGTGAGTCAATTTATCTTTTATAGTTGATCTATTGCAGCTCCTCCGTTACGTCATCGTTTATGTTTATCAGGGTAGGCGTTATATCAAAAAACTAATTAGTCAAATTAAAATTAGTCCGTATGCAAATGCAACCGATGCTCGAGCACGTGACGTTATTGGAAACCAACTGGGCAAATCAACTATAGAAAATAGTCAATACATTCAATATGTTGTTAACAATTGCTCAACTTGTACCAGTGGTAACTCTAATTATTACCATTCTACATAATAATATATCACTAGTCTGTAAGGGATGTTTAGAAGTTGAAGTTAAATTCTTGAATTTCCAAACGCGTATTCGAAGATTATTCGGATCGAATGAGATTTTTTATTAGTTTTTGAAAACTCTCCGTCAGCGACAAAAAATGAAAATGGGAAAATTCCTGTATGTTTACTTATTCGTTTTCACATGGCTTTTGAAAAATTCAAATATATTTTTATCCGTAATTCGTTCTAATTGTATTGCCTACTTGTGCATTATTATTTTTTTATACTGTATAATAACAACAGTTAGAGGTCGTACCAATTTATTATACAGTATGGAAGACATACGTTCGGAAATTAAGAACAACCAAAAAAAGGACATTTATTAATAGAGATATAAACTATACATTTAATGTGTACATAAAAATATATGGCGCTTTTCAGTAAAAAAAAATAAGTAGCTTCAGTACCATTTCGTAGAATAGTCTTATGTATTTTCGTTTTGTTAACGTATTTATTTTTAAACATGCATTTTATAAGTGATACATTCCTAAAGCAACGTATTTTGTATCTCTCCATCTCCATTTTTTATCCATGAAACAATAAATCCAAACAATTCATTGGTATACAATCATCCATATTAGCTGAAAATGTACTTGACATCGTACAACCCAACGGAAATTAACGATGAATATTTCTAAAAAAAACAAACTATACCTACTGTGTAAAATGCAAGAACAGTCTTCTCTTTAATACAATTGAACCCTTAAAAAATTCATGTTAATTTCCTCGTAAAATACGTCAAGTCTGTTATTGTGTATAAATAAAAAATAGATTTGTAAGTATTTAATGTTTGGTAGAATATTGACTATCAAGTCTATTGATTTTTCTAGTCAAGTTTATTTTCTAATTGTAACTTTGGCATTATAACATTTTGTAATTTATTTCGAGAAAAATAAAAATTAAAAAAAATTGAAAACACATTTGTTATTTTAATGCCAGAATATTTTAGAAGTCTCTCTGAAATACACGGACGTACGTCGCATATATAAGAGACCAAAAGTGTATTTCGCATCTAATACAGATAGGAAAATGTAGTCCAAAGTGGACAAAATATATAAGTTTTTATAGTCGGATATCATTTAACTAACTTCTCCAAAAACGGCATCCTAGAGCAAATCGCAATACGCCTATAAACACTTTAGTATAATCTCTATTGTAATTTCGAATTTTTGAATTGGCCTACAATTAATTCAAAAAAAAATTAATATAAGGGATGTCGTTTTTGTACGCTTAATAATCTTAAATGAATGTTATTTTAATTACATCTAATGTATATTTTTATTTACCGTAAATATTCTCTAAATCACAAATTTAATCAACGAGATTCGCTTAATTGCACTCGCAATTAAGAGGATAGTGCAATGGAAATCTGCAACAATTTTAAGTTATTTCAGGTAAGAGAATGTTAAGCTATTTCAGGCGCGAATTTGATAAAAGTTTATTCGAAAGTACGATTCACAAAAATTCCTCAGAATCTTATTATGAACTGTTATCAAAATTTCGACGTTTTTGCACGCAAAATGTTCTTTGAATGTTCTTTTTGTCACTATTGCAACTATCTGAAATATTGTTGTCGGTTTAATGAACTATCCGCATCTCGTTGGTATGCATGTTTTCCAAAAATGTGTTCCTCAATTGCGTTATTTTTTTTTTCTATCACATACGCTGAAACAATTAACTTTGCTCATGTAATGGAATATTTAAGACCATTCAGCTCGATTTTCGTTTACCTTAAACGGCTGTACAAGCGAAAAAATTGTATTGTTGAGTAGTTAGTACATCAAATGAATAATATAATATGATAAATATGGGTAAGTTGTAAGAAAATCTACGACTCTAACAATTAAATGTTTCTTAATTGTTATTTAATTTGCACAATTTATGAGACAAATATTCCTAATAAGTCACTCTGTTTTAATCATTTGAATTGTACAAATTGCATTCGACTCTTTTTTATACTTACCCGTAGGGACCACAGAGCATACGATTTTGATTTATTTTTTCTTACAATTTACTTATTATTACTATTCATGCATGTGCATTGACCTGTTACACTATATTATTATAAGTCGGTTGAATTTAAGGGATTTGCGCTAGTTAGCATGAATGGATTTTTTCAAATATCAGTAATGTAACTTTCAGAAAACAGAGATCATTGTTACTCTCATTGTATGTTTGTTTCTTTGTGATGTGAATATGATAAATAAATTTTACCCATTTCGAACATTGTTTTTTTTATTTACGATCTTATTGAATTTATAATCTATTGTTCTTGTTCGCTCCAGATTTGTGTGATTTTTCTAATATTAACAATGGGAAATACAAAAATGCTTCGATAAACACAAGAATTCTTCTTTTTCTATTGAATATCTTTTGATAACACCAGTAAGTTGTTATGAAAATGAATAGTAGATGGCGCTGTAGACAAAATTAAAAAATTCTATTTTTTCTGTTCAATTGGCGATTCAATATAAGCGATACGCCCTCTGGTGGCAGAAAATAGAACGCTTCTAACAGGTATTGCACCATTGTTTTGGTTTTGCGCCCATTACGTTCGTTCTGTTTTTGATTTGTTTTCTCTCGTGTTTGTCTTTATTGTCGGTTTCGTCGCTTTTATAAATCTGTTTTTTTCAAGAACGAATAGTATTAGTCATGACAAAATTAAAGAGTGATCTTTCTTATGTAACGTTGTCAGTATTGTTTGCTATTTCCCCCGAATTATGTAAAAAATATATTTTTGAAATGTTGCCTATATTAAGTGAAGCATTAAAGCCCTGTATAAGGTTCCCCGATTCTTCGGAAATTAAAAGAAACATGCCCCTATGTTTTAATCAATTTGAGGATGTAAGGGTGATTCTGGATTGTACAGAAATAAATGTCCAAACGCCAAAATGCATTTGCTGTAGAATAAAATTTTATTTACATTATAAGTCGAGTACAACAATTAAGTTTATGACCGGTGTATCTCCTGGGGGAATAATAACGTACGTAAGCGAAGCGTACGGTGGAAGGGCATCTGATAAGGCCATTTTTAAGCAAAGCGATATAATCTAAATATAATATAAAGTATTACTAATTTATCAAATCCCATATTAGCAGATACTAGATTCATGTAAAATAACTCAAAAAACCCCTAAAACCACATGGCGATACTTGAAGAATAATTTCTGATAAAAAAAATGTAACAGCTCTCGATCTAAAAAAATAATTTATCAAAATTAGTTGTAATATTATATAGAATTAATACTTTACCATTATTGGAGTAATACTAAACAGAACAAGCGATGTGAAGCGTTTTATGAAAATCCCTTGTCGATACCCGAAGAATAATTTCTGGTAGAAAAAAAATGTAACAGCTCTTGATCTGAATAAAATATTTTATCAAAATTAGTTGTAATATTATATAGAATTAATACTTTACCATTAAGTAATACTAAATGGAACAAACGATGTGAAGCATTTTTTCTCCGGATATTTGATGAGGTTCTCCATTAAGTGCGCTAGTTTGTAGACACAAAGCACAGATTTTAATAAGATCAGAAGTCACCAAATTAAATTTTCCACATAAAATTATGTGTCCTGCATTTAAAACTTCTTCGCCCTTTACCACACATCTTGAAGTAACTGTCCCTTCAATGTACGCCATGTAGTCGATTATACTTAATCGAGCCATTTTTCTAAAAATGAAAGATTATAAATTAAAAAAAATAGATTATTAATAAATAGAATAAATAAAAGTATAATTTTTAAGTCATTGAGTAATTTGAATACACCATATTTCATAATTTAATTGAAAGAAACGACAAAAAATATATAACCAAACATAATACAATCTTACATACAAATCAGATTGCTTACCAGATTTTGAATTGACAGTAAATTTAACAACTTAAAAACTACTTAAACTGAAATAAATTGTCTTTTAATATAAAAATTGTTCGGAAGAAATTAAGTTATAACACTAAAAAATCACTTTCAAATTCACAATTCGCACGTTAAAACAAATAACAACAAACGAATGAATGCCTGTTACGAAGGTTCCGTTTTTTGCCACGATGGCGCTGCAATCTTAAATTCAGATGCCAATTCTATTTATAAGAATTTTGCAAATAAAATTCTTCTTTTTTAAGTCTTTAACTGACTCGACTAAAGCTGTATATAGCAACCCAAAAACACCCTTCAAAAAGTTTAAGACAGAGGAATAAATGGATAGTGTTTGACTTCTTGCTAAAATTACAATTGATTTTTCAAAATTCCCATTTTCATGATTATTTCCATAGAGAAAGATCCTTTTATTTTGTCTATGTACGAAACAAACCTACCCCGAATAACCCAATAACCGAGACCAGTGTCAAGAACTCCGGAAGAAGAAACGTCAAAATAAATTACATCACAAACGTCAACCATCATTACACTATCGAAAATTTTAAATTTAATAATGGTTTTAGGCACAAAGTTGCGAGCAGTTTGCTGAATTAAAATGTCTCGATTATTCCTGATTTACGGCGAATTGTGCGCGACGCATCCATGGGAAGTGATCGTGGCCGTTTTAACTTTCACCGTATGTTTTCTAACGATGGACAAGCAACCTGCAAGTAAACCATTCCTTTCGCCAACAGCAGGATGCAGCAACTGCAACGAAGATCACTTCATAGCGGCCGATGTGATAGTAATGACGATAATACGGTGTTTAGCGATACTTTACAGCTATCACCAATTCAGAAATCTACAAAAACTCGGCTCGAAATACATACTAGGCTTCGCTGGAATGTTCGTGGTGTTTTCAAGCTTCGTATTCATCTCAGCCGTACTGAATATACTCCACATAGAATTGGTGGATTTAAAAGACGCCCTGTTCTTTTTCCTGTTGCTCATCGACCTGTCGAAAGCTGCCAAACTAGCGCAATACGCTTTGCTGTCGTCTAATCAAATCCAAGTCCACCAGAACATAGCGAGAGGAGTAGCTACGTTGGGACCGACTATAACGTTAGATACAATCGTAGAGACTCTCGTGATAGGCGTCGGAACGTTATCGGGCGTACAACGATTGGAAATGTTGTCCTACTTCGCTTGTCTCTCCGTTCTAGTCAATTACGTAATACTACTAACGTTTTACCCGGCCTGTCTTTCGCTGATGTTAAACCTAAGCAAAATAACGGATTGCTATAAAGAAGAACAAGGCGATGTCAACAACATGCTGGTAGAAGAAAAGGACAAGTCCAATCCTGCCGTGCAACGTGTGAAAATGATCATGTCCATCGGATTGGCGCTCGTCCACATCCACAGCCGTTGGACGATGTCCGTGGAGGAGCTGAACGAAACCGGCAACAAGACCACGGTACGATGCACCGAAACCAGCTCGGTGTACGGTTACCTATTGAAACAGTTCGTTTTGAGCGCCGATCACATCGTGATTTTAATCCTGCTGATCACTTTGATCGTGAAATTCGTGTATTTCGAAAGCAAAGACGACTTCGACGGTGCATCGATCGTGCAAGAGAGGAGGAGAAGCGTCCAGAGGCAGAAGAGAACGTACTCGACCAGCGTGGAAATACAAACGGACGAACAACCGGATAACACTCCGGAACAAACGACTTACGAAGAACGCACCGACAGCAACAGAAACCTGCAGGAATGCCTGCAATTTCTACGAACCGACAGGGCCAACGAGCTCTCCGACGACGAAATAATCACGTTGGTCGACACCAAACACGTGCCCGCCTACAATTTGGAGAAATCGATCGATAACCCGCAGCGGGGCGTCAAAATCCGAAGGAAAATCCTCCAAAACGCCTTGAACAACCGACATATCCTCAACGATTTACCGTACGAGAACTACGACTACACCAAAGTGATGGGCGCTTGTTGCGAAAACGTCTTGGGCTACATTCCCGTACCGATCGGAGTAGCTGGGCCCCTTCGGCTCGACGACGAGCTCTACTACATTCCCATGGCCACCACCGAAGGTTGTTTAGTAGCCAGCACGAATAGAGGTATGGATTTCGATCTCCGCGCATCACAAATTAGAGTCTTATTTGAGTGTTTTTTTTAGGTTGTAGGGCGATCGAACGGAGCGGAATCACCAGTAGAATAATCGCCGATCGGATGACGAGAGCGCCGGTGCTCCGATTCGGCTCGATCGTCAGGGCCACCGAAGCTATAGCTTGGATAAAAAAGAGCGGGAATTTCGACAAATTGAAAGTTTCGTTCGATTCGACGAGCAGATTCGCCAAGTTGCAGAACGTCTCCACTCACATAGCCGGTCGATACGTGTTTATCAGGTACATAATTCGATTCCGATAGGTTTTTTTTGCTAATTCAATATTCATCGTAGGTTCATAGCGGAGACCGGCGACGCGATGGGGATGAATATGATCTCGAAAGGAACCGAAAACGCTTTGAAAACGATGAAGGAATCTTTTCCGGACATGGAGGTGTTGAGTTTGAGCGGGAACGTTTGCACCGATAAAAAACCGGCCGCCATCAATTGGATCGAAGGCAGAGGGAAATCAGTAGCGTGCGAATGCGTTTTATCTTCTAAAGTAGTTTCGACAGTATTAAAAACCACAACGGCTGCTTTAGTCGATTTGAACATATCCAAGAACTTCATTGGTTCCGCCGTAGCGGGAAGCATAGGTATTTAAATTCGTCTACAACGGAATTTCGTGTTAAATAATTCGGTAATACATTCCAGGCGGTTTTAACGCTCAAGCTGCCAACATAGTCACCGCCATATTCATAGCTACAGGTCAGGACGCGGCCCAGAACATATCGAGCAGCAATTGCCTGACCATCATGGAGCCGTGGGGCGAAACCGGCGAGGACTTGTACATATCCTGCACGATGCCCTCGATAGAAATAGGCACCATCGGCGGGGGTACGGTGCTCCCCGCGCAGGCGGCCTGTCTCAAAATGCTCGGCGTGCAAGGGCCGAACGCGCGGAATCCCGGCGAGAACGCCAAGAAATTGGCGACGATCGTTTGCGGGGCCGTCTTGGCCGGGGAGCTGTCTCTGATGGCCGCCTTGGCTGCCGGCCATTTGGTCAGGAGCCATTTGAGATATAATCGATCGTACTCGAGTAGTTTCGATTCGAGCATTACGTGTTGCGGTTCGAGGAATGATTAGATGTGATATATATTTGAATTTATTAAATTATGTATATTTATTTTAGGGATGAGTATTGTATGCGGGTTTTTTTTTATTCCAATTCCAAAATTTGGTTGTTTTTGTAAAAAAAATCTAGTGTAACTGAATACTCGTAAAGTACGAGTGCTTGAATGGAATTAATGTGTCAACAGGTGTCAACTGTCACTGGCCGAATAGCCCCAGCAGGTTAGGCCTCAAAATAGAAGAAGTTATTATTGTCAATGTCAACAAAAACAAGATTGGGTGCTTTCTTTTTTAGTTTGTGACGTTTGCTAAAAAAAACTAAAAAAATAGTTTATGTTTCCGTTAGTTTGATGTGAATTACGTTTATTTAATTAACTAAGTTATGTTTAGGTGTAGTGGTTTAATTTTTTACTAAAATCTCGGTGAGTACCAATTCATACGAGTTGTTAAAAAATGGTAGAAGGCGGGGTTAGTAAACCGTAAAAAGCAATAATCACCTTTATTTTTAAATAATACTTCAATTCCCGATCGATTTTTGGAGTTATTTTGATTCCATTAACGTTCTACAATCGTATATTTTTCGTATCCAATATAAAATGTGTTGTGCCAAATACTCCGCATACCATTAACTACTTTTATTCACAAATGAATTATTCAAAGAAAAAAAAACCTACTAAAAATAAGTTTCGTTAATATTCCACCACGATGACTCGCATTTATGCAATTACATTCGTTTCTTAATCACAAAATATATTTATCTAAAAATCGCCTTACAAATAAATGCCTTTAAAAAACCATTCCAGGCGGATTTAAATAGAACATGGAGGATTACGCGTTGGACCCCTACGAGCAACAACTACTAAAAGTCTTCAACAGCCACGACCGAGACAACTGCGGCAGCCTGGACTCCGCAGGACTAACCCAGCTCTGCCAAACCCTGCAGCTCGAAGAGCACGGCACCAGCCTGGTCAAGTGCCTCCTGCAGGACAAACGCCACCGCGTCAACTTCGCCGACTTCAAAGACGCCCTCCTCGCCCTGCTCGGCAACATGCAACAAACCACCAAAACCGCCACCGACGAGAAATCCTCCCCGGAGCGCGAGGTCTCCCCCAAGTTCGTCTACGGCTCCAAGAAGTACGGCCGGCGGTCTCGTCCCCGCCTCGAACCCCCCGCCAACGAACACGACCCGCCCGACAAACCCCCGCAAACCTGCAACGTGCAACGGTCCAACTCCAACGCCGAGGTCTCGTCCAAGAAGCGCAAGACCAACTACAGGCTGCAACGGTGCGCCTCGCTGCCCGCCGGCGACGAGCCCGCCGACGATCCGGAGCTCGTCTGCACCGAGGAGATGCTGCGCGAGGCCTGGAAGAAGCTGGCCGTCGGCCAGGACGGCCATTTGAACCAGACCGAATTGATATTGGTCTGCGACGCCATCGGGTTGCGCCGGCTCGCCGAAGGCGTCATCAGACAGCTGTCGGACAAGCTGGCGCTCAATCGCGACCACAAGATCAGCTTCCAGGAGCTGTTGAACATCCTTCGACAAGACGATACTTGGTACGAGGTGCTCAATCGACCGTCGATCGACGAGACCGGTTCCGTGCCGAGTTCCGGCGACGGATTGTTTCCCGATTCTCGGACGTTCCATTTGGTCACGCTCGGACCGGACGGGAACGGTACCATCACCGCCGACAGTCTCATAGAAATGTGGGAATCCGTCGGGATACATTCGCCCAAGGAGCTGCTGCACGAGCTGGGCTTCGATTGCAGACGTATCAATATACTGGATCTGGCCGATGTGCTCGACAAGCAAATCAAAGGTATCAACGAAGTGACCAGGAGTAAATACCAAAGTCCGCAAGTCGCTCTATTACAGGTACTGTAATCTGGACGATTCTAAATTATTCTAGACAGTTACAAATTATTCTGGATAGTTTTAATTCGTTCGGAAGCGTTCTAAAGCATTCTAGACGTTTCACAATCATTTTAGACAGTTGTATATCTTTCTAGACAGTTGTAAATCATTCTAGGCACTTGTAAATCCTTCTGGACAGTTGTAAATCATTCTAGACACTTGTAAATCATTCTGGACAGTTGTAACCAATCATTCTAGACCGCTCTAAATGTTCCTCGACAATTCTGATTCGATAAAATCGCTCGATTTCAGGCGAGTTTGGCTCTCTACCAGTCCGAGATCAAAACGTTCAAGAACCTGCTGGAGCAAATGCACGTCGAGCGCGAGAAGCTCAAATGTCACGTGACGGAAGCCAACAACAGGGCCACCCTATTGGCCCAAGAGGTCGACGACAACCATTCGAGAATGGAGCAGAACACCGTGAATCAAGTGAAATTGTTGGAGCAACGCCACGCCGACATCGTCAAAGAACTGACGGCGCAATTCGCCAAAGACAAGGATCAATCGGTGCAGGCGAATCGGTCGCTCGAAGAGAAGATCTCGACGTTGGAAGTGGAAGTGGGCAAGCTGAAGAACGATCTGTCGGTGGCCGGGAAGTACTCGTTGAATTTGGAGAAGGACAATCGGAGCCTTTCGATGAAAATCGACGAATTGGAACGGGACAAGGACCGGCTGTCGGGCCGCATCGAAACGTTGGAGGGCGAGACGCAGAAGTCCTGCGAGATGGAGCGGCGCGAGAACGATTTGCTGTTGGGCAAATTGGCCTCGTTGCGCACGGAAAACGACCAATTGAAGGACAAAAACGACGAGATGGCGTCCGAAATCGAAAGTCTCTCCAATCAGGTACGGAATCGTTTCGTTTCGTGACTAATACAAACCGAAAAATGCGAAAATACGTTTCGATTTAATTTTTTTGTTGTTTTTTTTAGGTGGCTAGCATGCGCACTAAAGTGTCGAGTACGCCGGCGAAAATCAATTCGTTGGATCAATCGATGGACGAGAACATATCGATCATATGCGAGGGCGTCGGCGTCGGCGTCGGCGCCAAGCGTCGCAACCAGTACTCGCCTTCTAAGGAGAACCATCTGTTCGGTATCGGTGAGTTTGTTTTTCTATTTTTTTTTTAACGTTTGCTGAACTTGTAAGGTTAAGAATTTACGGTGAATTGCGTATTGGTACCTCAAAAAATATAGGTTAATTTATAGTAGAGTAGAGTAGATTCAGAGTAACGTTGATCAGAGTAGATTACAGTAGAATAGATTCAGGGTAGTGTAGATTCAGAGTAACGTAGATCAGAGTAGAGTCGAATAGATTCAGGGTAGTGTAGATCAGAGTACAGTAGAGTAGATTGTCAAAAATTACGAATCGTAGAAACATTTTCATCTCTTTAGTTCGTTGTTAGTATTCTATTTCTTTGATTCTTTAATGGTACTCGGAATACCATTGTAGCTAAATCCAGGTAAAGAGTGTTTGTTGTGGATTAAAGTTCAATTCAATTCCACCTCCTTTTCTAACCAGTATCAGTTGAGAAAATTTGAATAGCGAACGTTTATTGTTGGTGAATAAATCTCCGGGTTTATTATGAGATTGGTAATTAGCATACAGTCGAAAGAAGGAGAAAACGAACGAACCAAGGCCGGCGGATTCGTACGAAGAAGACCTGCTTTAACTGATATAAGAAAAGTATATTGTAGTTTGAATCGAATTGTCGCGTTTAATTTGGTATTCCCAGTTGTTCGTTTCGAATTAAATTACGAAAGTATGGATGTTTTGTGCGGAAAACCGTTCGTTTGGTGCGATTCCATAACGTTACAAGGTATTTTATTGTCTATTTTAATCGTTAATACGTGTATATGGGTGTTTGGAACCTTGAGATTAGTAACCTATTCGTTTTATAGGTACGAGTTATTTTTTTGTTTAGTTTATTACACGTATTTATTATATTGTAATTCTGGGCCTGCATTCAGTGTTGAATACAGTCAAACGTTTGACATATTTGACAGTTGATGTTCTCTTTAGTTCTGTAAATGATGAGTTGTTCTATAAATTTATATCGCGATATAAATCGCGGTTGTTGTGAAATGACAGTTCGAGCTGTCAAAACTTGAAAAATTATTTTTTGACATTTCGAGGAGACTAAATCATCGTTGATTTAGGTATATTTTTATACTTTATATCTATTTTTAGTTTGAATAAAACCTTTTTTTAATGCTAATACTATATAATTCCAGACCTTAGAAATATAGAACCGTGTTGGAAATGTACTCTTTTGTACTTGAAATAAAAGTTTAAAATAAAAAGGTCTCAACAGTGTGTTTATAATACAATAATATAATAGTATTCAACAACACCGGTTAATTTTAACAAAACACGACCCCGTTTCGATTCTTGCAATATTTTTGTCAGCGTTCCAGAATCGGAATGCTCGGCGTTCAATTAACCTGATTCGTTTCTCTCTCTCTGACACACACACACACACACCGTCATTTTTCCTCTATATTATTTGTTGTTATTCGAGCTCGGATATTTTTCCATTAGGAATCGCGCTCGAACAAATATTATTCCGACGATAGAGGCTCTGATAAGTTTTGTTCTTGTGCCGCAGATAAGAGCCCGCGATTGGGCAAGATCAGGAAGTACGGGACGCGATCGGAGGCCGTCGAGGGGCCTTTTACGTCGAGCGAGAGCGGCTTCGACGGCGAAGGGGATTATTTGGATTCCTCGTCGTCGGTATCGACCAACGACAACGACGAATTGGTCCGGTTGCAGTCGAAGGTGGCCTTTTTGGAGCAGATACTCAAACAGAACGGCGTTCCGCTGCCGCAAAGCTACGAGGTTAGTACCTCAGATTGAGCGTTAATTATTTCGAGCTTATATTTCGATTAGAAGGTTGATATTTATGCGTAATTTATCAGACGATGATCGGTTGAATGAGACCGTATTAAACGTTAATTGAGTGTTGATGTGTTATCAATCAACCACGGGTACCTGATAATGGACAATTAATGGTCCATCATCAACAATTTCGGTTGCAGGAATAATAATTATCCGTTAAACGTTCATCTTTGTGATGAAAAATCTATTGGCGATTATTCAACAGTCAATTTGACAATTGACGTAAAAATTTGACGTTACGTTAAATAAGAGAATATTAATGTTACGTCAGTATTATGTTTCGTTTATTTCATCTTTTCTTCATTTTAATCCCTTAATTATCTCGGTTTTATCCTTATTATGAGGCATGAAGCAGGCCTTCAGACGTATCTCACGGTACACTCTTCAAGCGACCTGTAATAATACACAGAACCTGGCTGTATGTCATTAGACAATAGGCCAAAGGAGGAGGAGAAGAAGATGAAGATCCTTATTATGACTTATCAAGAGTTTAATTTTGTTTCGTGCAACCGAGTATATTTTTGATTATTTTCTCTATTAACCGGTTGAAAATGTAACTTTTAACGGACAGGATTAAATTAAAATAATTCATACAATTATCGCACACATACATAATATATTAACTATTGTTTGATTTCGTAATAATTCGCCTAATAAGATTAGTTCCGCGAGATTTTCTGGTAAATTATGCAATTAATTTTATCCTTTGCGAATGATAAAAGTGAGTTTCGTAACAGCATGTGAATGTGCTTGTTTTTAGTTGTTTTTTTTTTTGTTAGAAATATTGTAATTAGTGATTTTTTTTCAATATGAACTAAATGCATTGTTAATATATTTAAATGGAATGGTTGCACTACGAGCTCTGTATAATTCAAAACGCTTTTTATCCTTGAGATTTTTGTTGTGGAGAAGTTTTAGCAGGTTCTCTCTTAAAAAAAATTGTGATGACTTATCAGTATTATTATTGAGTTATGTATTTTTTTTATATTTCAAGCTCGAGTGCTATCAGTCTGAAGCTTCTCCATTTAGATTTTACTTTAAGTTTAACGCGCTTATACACCTACTATTGTTAGCACTTGATTTTTTCCTAAAAATAAACGACATCAACGAACCGAGTGTTTTATTTTATTCGCTATAATATGGAGAAGCTTCCGGCGGAGAATAAACCGCACCCCGAATAAAGCGAGGTTTGTTTTAGAAATCGAACACGAACGCCCACTACCTGACCGGCCGGATCAGTGACCTGGAGAGGCTGATCAGAAACGTGAAAGAAGCGATGCGGGCGCTGATCGACAGCGACGATCTCGACCGCGACCGGCTCAGAAAATTCGGCGAGAAACTCGACAGGACCCTGTTAGGCGATTGCCCGCCCGATTCGATCACCGTCGAATCCCAAACGGACCCCTTCGAGCACTTCGAAGCCAAAGCGAACGAGCTCGAAACGGAGAACAGATCACTGGCCGGCAAATGCGCCGACTTGGAGAGCTGCGTGGAACTGCTCAAAAACGAGTACGAAAAGTGCGAAGACTACTGGCAGAACTTGGTGGACGAGGAGCGGCAGATGTACGAGGCCGAGCAGAAGGTCAACAGCGACAAACTGGCCGAGCTGATACTGAAGATGCAGGACTACGAGGAGCAGTACGCCGAGAAGGACGCCCGCCTGCCGGCGATCGAGGAGCGGTACAATTTGGAGAAGCAGTTCACCGATTTGGAGGAGGAGTTCGAATCGTACAGGGAGCGCAGCGAGACGATTCTGTCGCAGAAGGACGACGAAATTCGATTGCTCAAAGAGAAACTGACCGAATTGGCGTTGAGGCAACGCAACGACGTGGCGGTACAAGCTCAAACCGATTCGGAATCGGAGCGGGTGTACAAGAAAATGCAGAACCTCTCGTGTTATTTGATCGAAAACACCGATCGGTACCCGGAGGATATGCAAACTCGACAACAACAACAACAAAACGTTTGGAATCCGGATTGGCAGGAATCGGCCAAATCGCTGCCGGTCAATTTCGAATTGTACAATTCGACGGGGGCCCCTTCGACGTCTTGCAGCACCGCCAGCTTGGATCAGCCCTCGTCGCCGGGCACGCCGTGTCGACCGAAGAGGACGAAGAAATACAACAAAACCATCTACAAGAAAACCGAACAGGGCCACACGGAAGCGAAATCCGCCGAAGCCGTCGAACAGAAGATCCTCATTCCGTTGAAATCGTTCCACAGCCTGAGCGCCCGACGGAACTTCCTCGAGCAGCGCGTGCGCCACCTGCAGTTCTGCCTGCAACAGCAGAAGATGTGCAACGAACAAACGCTGCAACGTAAGTACAATATATGCTATACAATATACAGTTTTTGTATCGAATATTTGCGGTATTTGGCAGGTTTTTGGCACCAATTCAACGGCGAGCGCGTCGATCTGCACGCGAAGCTGCGCTACCTGCAGGAGAAGCTCGACCAGCAGGTGTCGATCAGTCGCGAGCAGCTGGACAAACTGGAAAAGACTGATATGCTGGTGAAGGATCTCTACGTGGAGAATTCCTATCTGATAGCGAGCGTGCAGAGATTGGAGCAGCGTTGCCACATTTTGTCGCAGTGCAACAATCCGAGTTCGGTGTAGGTGGAATATGGCGGAAACGTTTCCAGTGAATGTTATCTTTAACGTATTATTTATTTTACTGTATATATTTCTCGTGTAACTGAGGTACAAAAGTTTTTAAACTGGTCGCTTTTGATTGTGTTTTCAATCGAACAAATTTGGTTGTTGCCTTATTGACGTTTGACAACAGGATATTTTATATTGACAGATAAGAATTGTTGATTTTAGCGAATTTTTGTGATTTGACACAAACTTTGACAGTTTGTTATATTTCAAATGAGTGCTAGATTGTCGAAATTGATTGATTAAAAGTCAAATATTTATATAATCTAACTAAACACATTTGTTGAGTTGAGGTCGTCGTGTTCTTTTTTAATTTATTTTTAACCTGTTAATTCGCATTGTAACGCTAGTTTTTAGTTAAATTATACGAATAAGTCACCGAAGGTTTGCCCTAATATAGTACATGTTATTTTTTTCTTAGATTTTATCGCATATCAAGAGGCATCTATTTTAATTGTAATATCGATTTAATGTGAGCTAATCAAATTTCAAATAATCTTGCTATTTTTATATACGAGCAGTTCCTATGCTATATTTTTTCCATCGATGTACTTAGTATGTTTTAAGCCTCGAATTAATATGTATATTACTAACTCAGGGTAGTTTAAATTTATATTTCTTGCAGTTAAATTAGTCTTGTTATAATTGCCATAGAGTGTACATATTATTAAACTTTAATAGAGTTTATATACTACTTTAAAAGCTTGTAACAAATAATGCGCCTCATATTTACTTCTTTCAACGATTATGTACATTCACTATTGCTTGGGCTAGTTTGTGTATTTGTTAAAAACATTGCCATTTTTGAAATTAAAATGGTATTTGTTGCACCTGATTCAAGAATGTCTGCTCTAGATGTTTGTCGAGAGTGAGGTTGTTTTCGATTTACTGGGAAATTAGCATTAAGCCGGTATTATTATTATTAACGAAATTGTGCCTCTACTATTTATTATTAAACGTTTATTATCCAAAGAACTGTAAGATATTGTTAAATGATTTTGAACAAAGTGTCATATTAATGAAAAAGTAAGTGAATAAAAAAAACCGATAAATACTTTGAGTTTTTATTAAAAGGATCCTTCCTAATTATGTATAAACAAAAAGCTTAAAAAAATCCTCAGTTATATTTACACGAACAATATGCTCAATGATTAATTTACCAAATTATTTTCACTAGGTACAATTCGCGCGGGGAGTATTTTTAAACGAGTTAATGATTATAATTTGGCTCATTATTTTACACATTTGCGAATTACAAATACATCCCGTTTACCAAGAAATCCGCGTCGTGAGCGTACGCTTTACCGCCTTTCCTCATCCTCCTTCGCACCACTTTCAATCTACATCCGATAAACACCGCCATTACAAACGTTATTATCAAACCTGCAAAATACCCAATAAGTAAGAAGAAATTACAGCAGATGTAGTTAGAGAAAATTACCTAAAGATACCGATAGTACCGCTCCTTTCTGCGTTTGCGCCACGCCGTCCTCCAAATCATCGGCCCCGCTGTATTTGTAAGCTATCACGTCAGGATATTGTTCTTCATCGTGGCGTTGTCGTTGCTCCGCCGGCGATTTGTTGTTCGATCGGGTACTTCCCATGTGCTCCATGTTGTGTTTGGAGTGCTTCAAATCGTGGGCCAGCTGGTCTTGTACGTGCTTGGGATTCGTACCCTCTATACAATCCGCCTTTAATTACTGATACATCGATTAGACGAGTACTCACCGTCGGTTTTGATGATCGGCGGTTGTTGTTGTAGTACTTGTTGCTGTTGTTCCCTTCCCGGTGTGAATTTGTATTCGATTTTTTGACCTCTGTTGTCTTTGATGTTAGTCGATTCGGCGTATACACCTTCTGTTGATAATGTAAATAGTATTATTCGCGTTGTTGCAGGTTGCAGCGAATCGAAGGGTTACCTGACGGCCAGTTGTCCGGTTGCACCGGTTGCACGTAGCCGTTTTCCGGATAGTAATTGGCCATTTTGGGATACGAAGCGACGGATTGGCTGAAAACAACGCGTCGAAAATGTCTTTTTAACACGTAATACGAAAAATAAAAGAAGCGAAGTATTTGTTTTGTGTAATCGAAATTCGACCTATTATACGTCTTGTGCGATTTGCGAGGAGAATCAGAAAAAAAACAATCAGAAAGAAAGAAAGCTATCCAATCCAAGCGAGGTATATACAAAACAGATTTTTTTTTCAACGAGTTTACTCGATATACAAATTCCTAAACATAGTGTACATCCGAAAGGGGGGTGATTCCTTGGCTTATTTTATAACCTTAATAACCTTTTCGGATGTACACGATGTTTAGGAACACCCTGTATATGCAGCCCCCGTGTACAAGTACTTTATACAGATTCGAATGTTTTGCAGCTAAACTAAACTCTAGAAAGCCTCTCGTTTCGTCTACACGAATTTGCCCCATCGAAAAAATTCCACCGGCAAAACATGGCACCCTTTTTCGAAGGTACAAATGTACAAAAAAAACACAGAAAAAGAAAAGAATCTACAGTTTTTGGATAGCCGTCTCACCCTCCGATGCTTGAAAGTCCGAGGGCGCGGTGCAAATACCGCATCGCTCCCTTGTGATTATTATTATTATACCTTATCTCTGGTCCATCGGGCATTTGATAACCAGACTCTTTGTGATTGAATATGCGACTCTTATCTGCAAACAGAAATGAGAATTTTTAGCAACGATCTTATAGGGTATTATCTAAAGATACCCTATACAGAGTGTTCCTAAACATCGTGTACATCCGAAAGGGGGTAATCCGAAATATCTCAAAAAGTGCAGGAGCCACTAAGAAAAAAACCAAAGAAAATCTTGAAATTTCAACACCCTGTAGATCGATAACGAAGCGTTAGCGGACCCACGTTAATATGAACTTTTAGTCACAAAATAAGCCAAGGAATCGCCCCCTTTCGGATGTACACGATGTTTAGGAACACCTTGTATACAGGGTGGCCCAGAACTCACGCCCACCCGGGAAATGCCTTATGGAAACGACAATGGAGATGCCGAAACTGCAGTCGAACTGCACTTTGCTCGTTTCCATAAGGCATTTCCGTAAGGCATTTAAGGCGTAATTGCGCAGTATAAAATACAAAAGAAAAGTGACCGTCGAACCGATTAAATCAAGGCCAAAAACGAGCATTTATACTCACCGACGTACTGAGCAATCTGCGGGGGCAATTGATTCGATTGACGCCCCAACCAATTGGGTTGACCCTGCGCCGGCAATTGCGCCACGTACGGTTGCAGGACCGGATTTTCGTAAGGTAATCTGCAATAAAGGAATTTGTACCAAAATAAACGTGAGGATTTTTGGGGCGCTTACCTCGAATTCATATTATCACTTGCAGGCCTTAGAAAATTCGCGTCCGGTCTCAGAGCGGTCAATTGCCCGTTATCGCCTACTAATTGCTGTTGTTGTTGCTGTTGGTACAATCCCTGCGGATTGGCGTTGATCGGTTTCACCTGAAGAAAAAGAGTTTATATTTTTATTTGCGATGGAAATTCGCGGGAGGATTGAGGGATCCCACAGATCAACGCGATTCCGCGATTCCGCAGCGGAACTTTCACAGCGCCACTTTCATAGGTACCAAATTCCGCAGCGGCAGCGGAAAAACCAATGCAAGCAGCGTTTCGAAAATAGAACGCTGCGTTTTCGCTACTATTGCGAAACTACCGCTGCTGGTCCAAATATATTCATAAGCCGCCGTGTCTAAGGTTTCGCTGCGGAATCGCAGCGGCAGCGATAGTTTCGCGTTGGTCTGTGGGATCCGTTTTTATTTAGCGATGGAAATTCGCGGGCGGATTTTAGGCGTCCTACGCGCGTGGGGTTTTCGAGATAGTCGTAAGAATCGTGCATGATGCACGCAAAACGGCTATTTCCGAAATTAAACAATAAAAAAAAGCACCGAGCGGCGGGAGGAAATCGTTGATTAAGGGAATTCGAGCGAAGGCGGGCGCGCGATTCTTCGGAGCCGCGCGAATTCCGTAATTTTTAACAGTCAGTGTGGTTTTTGGAAGGTTTCCGCGCGAACGCCGAATTAAAAGCGAATCATGCGGACGATCGGTGCGATTTTGTGCTTCCTCGTCGTTCGTTCTTTGGCCGATAGTAAGTATTGAAAGAAAAAAAAACCGAGTAGAATTTGTGTACAAAGTTGAGGGTATATGCTAATAATACGGTGGTTTTTAAGTTTAAGCCAGTTTGGATTGCATTCCTTTGAAGTTAAAGGCCGTCGGAGTAGAGCACTTCGATTTAAATGAACCGAAAATGGGTATAAAATAGGGAGTTTTGCATAAGAATTAACACAAGTAACTTTTAAGTTGGTTGCATTACTATGAAGCTAAGAGGCCAATTTTATATTCAAAACTTTAAAACTACAAACTTGGTTTGAATACCTGCGAGCTTAAAGGCCTTTAAGCTAATATCCTCTAATTTAAATGGATCAAAATGGACCCATTTTGTATAACTAAAAACTTAGTTAGAATTCCTGCAAAGTTACAGGCCATTAAACTAGCATCCTCTAATTCTTATGGACCAAAAATGGGTCATTTTGCATAAATATATATATTTAGTTTTCATTCTTGCGAAGTTAAAAACCATTAAACTAGCATCCTCTAACCATTTAAATAGACCAAAATGGACGAAAACCCAGATAGAACTAACACCCTCCAACTTAGTACTTCCACATAGTAGCAATCTTAAAAACACCAAACACCATTTTAACCACATTTCCTCCACTCAAAACACAGAAGAAATGATCCCGCTGGAAGCGCCCGACAATCTCACGTTCGTCGCCTTCGACGACAAAGACGCCCTGGTCGAATGGGACCCCGTCGATCCGACGACGGTGCGCGGCACCTTCAAGGGCTACCTCGTCCGCATTTGGAACCACGTGTGGAGCCAGGTCTACGCCGTACCGCCGGGCGTCACGCGCACCGCCGTCCAATTCTACCCGTATTCGAAAAATTTCATCACCGTCGCCGTGAGAAACGACAAATACGTCGGACCGCGCAGCAACGCCGTCAGCTTCGACGCCCCGCAAACCGGTAATACGCCCCTGTATATTTACTTCTATCGACGCTCGATTGGCTTCTGTTGAGTCTACATCGACTGCTACTGATTTCTAGAGACACTAGATTGGCTTTTAATGTGTCTACATTGGCGTCTATCGACTTCTACTGAGGCTAGATTGACTTCTTTTGAAGCTACATTGACTTCTATTGACTTCTACTGGCACTAGATTGGCTTCTATTGAGTCTATATTGACGTCTACTGACTTCTATTGACTTATATGGACTTCTACTGACTGTCATCGACTTTTACTGGCACTAAATTGACTAGATTGGCTTCTATTGAGTCTACATCGACTGCTACTGACTTCTACTGGCACTAGATTGACTTTTAATGTGTCCACATTGACGTCTACTGACTTCTATTGACTTATATGGACTATTACCGACTTTCATTGACTTCTACTGGCACTAGATTGGCTTCCATTGAGTCTACTTTAACGTCTACATTAACTACTTAATAGGTCTATGGTCTACATTGACATATATTGACGTCTACTGACTTCTATCGACTCTAATATTGCCTCTTTTACGAAATATACCACGCAAAACCGTTTCATATTCGTATATACATTTGCAGAGCCGAACATGCCGTTCCTGTTCGAATTCTACCAATTGGGCGGCTCGTCGGTGTTGTTGCAATGGAACAAACCGACGCAGCCCAACGGCGTCCTGTTGGGCTACAACGTCTACTGCAGCGAGATGAACGGCGACGAGCCGGACGCCAAATCCACCATCAGGTATTTCGTATCGGGCGCCGACAATTACCAGGCGAAGCTCACCGGCCTGAAGGCGGGCCTCAGGTATTTCGTCGAAATCGGTGCGGTCAATTGCGCCGGAGAAAGCGAACGGTAACCATTCTTTTTCTTCTTTATATTCCACTTCTTCCTCTTCATCTCATCTCACAGCTATGCTTTTTGTGTAGCAAAACGATCGAAATCGAGCTGGAGAACCACCAGGCCTTCGCCCCGTCGATGCCGACGTTCAAATACAAAATCGACTATAACATCACCGATTTGAGGCGCTCGATCAAAGACGAATGCCACAAACAGACGCCCAAGTACGACGCCGCCGACGTCGCCGTCGAGACGCCCGACGAGTTCTACGTGCAGGGCGAGGACGGCGCCGCCTCCACCACCACCTCCACCCCCAACGATTGGATACGCGTCAACACCCAATGCCTGGTCAACGCGCTGATCAAATGGATACCGGACGTGGACAACAATCCGGGCGAGCATTTCTACGTGAAATACAGGATCAGGGGCGATAAGGAGTTCCTCAAGGCGGGGCCCGAACTCGAAGAGGACTATTTGCTCTTAGAGAACTTCAACGGGTGCGTCAACTACGAGATCGTTTTGGTGGCCGTCGACGGGGAGTTCGAGACCGAAAGCGAGATGCAGGAAACGCCGGCCGTTATGTTTATGTAAATTTGGTGTGTTTGTTTTTTTTGTTTTTTTTTTGTTTTGTCGCGATAAGGAATAAAATTTCGTACGAATATAATTGACCGTTGTTTGCTTGATGTAAATACCCCTTGATCACAATCAGACCAGAACAGAACAGAGTAGATGCAGAGCGGCAGAAGAGCGGCAGATATTGGAGCGTTATTCTAAAATCTATGTAGCATTCTGAATGATTATGGAGCATTCTAAACGGTTCTAGACAGTTTTAAACGATTCTGAGGCGTTCCAGATTCTTCTAAAAAGTTTCTAATTGATCCAGCGCGAGAACTTTCCGTCCTACACCCTTTCACCTTCTTCCCTTCTTAAAATTCTACTACAATCACATGAAACTCCTCAAAAATATCAAGCTACATTTAATAAGGTATATTATAAGATTACAAGAGGTGGAAATAGTTTGGAAATAGTTGGAAGATGTTGGAATATACAATATACTTACGTTGTTGTATCGGATCAAGGGCTGCACGGGCAACGATGGGGGCGCGGTGGTGAGGACGGAGGAGGATGACTCGGGACAGCCCAATTCGGGGCCCTCGTCGCTGCCGTCGGCGCATTGGGGTATCCCGTCGCAGGCGTTGTAAATGGCTATGCACTCGCCGGTCGAGCGGCACTCGAATTGGAACCGGGTACATTTGGAATCTGGACGAAAACAAAATTAATTCGATGATTGCAATCTTTATTTCAAAACAGTTGCTCCGTGAGCGGTGGGCCTTACTGTACATTGCCGAAGTTGCAAAATAGTTGCAAGATCAACTGGTTTACAACTGGATTTCAATTTAGTTTAGTCCGTAACCAATTTGCAACTAATATTAAACTTCTGCACGCACACGGATGCGACTATTATGAAACATTTTCAATCAGTTGCCATAGTAATTTATCGAATGTCGAATGAATCACACCAGAAATTGGCAAGAATTTAAAGCAACTTGAAACTGAAACGCAACTGCGACCGCGGGAAATGGTCGGGTACAACTGGTTTAAGACTCATTGCAAACTAGTTTTATTTGAATCGACTTGTGTGCGATTCCACACTACTGTACATTGCCGAAGTTGCAAAATAGTTGCATGATCAACTGGTTTACAATTTTTATTTCAAAACAGTTGCTTAAGTGAGCGATCGGCCGTAGTGTAGATAGAGATGTGGACATTTTTTTAATGTATTAATGTGTAGAGAGAACGATTAAATTTCGATCTGGTTGGTGATAGAAACAAGCTCGTTTATAAGATATGAGAGAAGAAAGTTCATATAATTACGAAGTGTAGTTTAAAAGCGACAATAGGAATTTCAACGGCGATGAATCCCATTGTCTATATTCCTACCGAACCGGCGACAATTTCTTTCGTTTCTTTCACAATTTTTGCGTAGCGAGCGCGTTCGAGTCGTCGAGATTTTGCGCTCCGTTCCGTCCGAAATAGTCGCGTTTTTTTTCAGTTTTTTCGATAAAATTTTCGAGTTTTTTTCGGTGCGACATGTCGAGGTCCAAGCGATTGCTGAACGGGTTTTTCAATAGACCCGACGATCGATCGGTAAGTTCGAATTTTCAATGTTTTCTCGTCTTGATAAATTATTTCCTTCGAATATTTCGAGAAATATTCTGCGATTTATTATTACTTTTCCATCAGTACCAACAACCCGGCTTTAGAAAGCAATTAAACGGTCTCAATTAACGCTAATTTATTGTAAATTTTCGAGCAATTAAAAACCATATATTTCCTAATAAACCAGAAGCATTGTTCGTTCTAATGGACTCGGTCGATTCGGTTTCCCAACCAGTTTTTCGAACGTCTAATTAGCCGGGAATTCTCTTTAATACAATTACATAAACGAAAGTTATATATCAATCGAGAATAATTATTTCTGTTAATTGCGTAAAGGAATAAAAAAATTACGAAACGCGGCCCGTTCTCTCTAATAATATGTAACGGCGCGAATTTCTTTTATTGTATATTCAGTGTAAATTATTGTTTTAATAAAAAAACACTTTCTATCGTTTATTATAAACGAGCGAATTTTACCTTCTTCTCCTGGTTTTTTGTTGTTGTTGTTGTTATTGTTGTTGACTGGTATAATCTCCCTCACGTGCTGTGGGGTCGTTGTTGTTGTTATTGCAGGAGTTGTACGAATTATTTGTTGTACAGGAGCTTCGGGCTCTGAATCCGATTTCCTGCAAAATACAATAAAATTATAAATAATAATTTTAATAACCAGTTAGCTACAAAGAAACCACATGCACTCGAAGAGACAGAGCTTCTTGATGTAGTAATTAAATATAATTTAATTGTTTTTGTGACATTCTCACATGGCAAATTTTGTCTTTTTTCTGGAGCGTTCTAAATGGTTTTAGACAGTTCTAAATCAAAGGATTTCGATTAGGCAACTGTATCTGCAACATTTACCTGAGCTTCGTCAAGTCCTGCTCGTGCTTGGTGAGCTTTATTTGGCTCTCCAAATCGGGAGGGTGTCTATTTATCGATAGTATGGCGCTCGAATAGTTCACATGATGCGTGAATTTGCACTTGAAATCCTCCGGCGGGCCGCAATGGAACAAATAACAACTACCAGCGTTCTGGAAAGATAACAATAACGATTAACTCATTTACAGAGTGTTAAAGCTTCTCCTACACTACTAGAATTTGAAGGGAATGAATATAGTTAAGGGACGCTGTTTTAGAACTTATATTAGGTCAATTTAGCTTATCTCATCAGCTCGTTTTAAGTACTATAATGTGCAGGGTTTTAGAAAACTATAACTATCTGTACTACTATAGGATTAGAGCCAGTTTGACTGATGTGATTAGTGCCACCCTGTATATATGTAATATGTATAATCCGGTTACCTTTTCCTCGAAGACGAAGACATCGCAATCGTCGGTTTCGCAGCAGAGGTGCAGGCATTCCTCCCTGGAGCCGAGATCCATCTCGTTGAGGTACTTGGCGCCCATGTTTTGGGAGTCCTGCGTCCTGATGATCTTGTCCTTGTGCACGTTGAATTTGCCGATGCAGGTGGGCAGATCGAGGTCGGCCCGTTTCGGGCGTTCGCAGCCGATCGTTATCAGCATAGAGGCGATCAGAAGGGCGATTCGTTTGGGATAAGGCGCCATGGTGTTTCGCTGTTTCGGGGGTACCTACTGGAGGAAAATGGAAAATGTTATATCAGCTGGGACGTGTTTCGGTTCGGGGGCGATCGATAGCGCGCGGATCATGCGCTTTGGAGGGGCCTCGTGGTAGGATGGATAAGCGGAAAATTCGAATGCGGTTCGGGAAATTTTTCCAACGGATTTATTTTGAAATGCCGATGCGCGATGCAATGGGAATTTGTTGGTACGTAGTTCACGTGTAATAATCTAATTAACTTTACATACAAAAGTTAAGTAAATCAGCGGGTATAATGATTCATCGTTTCTAAGAAAATTCCAACGCAAAACCGACAAGGTATGAGATAATTGTTTTGCTGTTACTCACGGAGGTTGTTCCGTTCCCTCGGGGTGTTTGAACTTGCTCTTCGTTTACTCATTTCGTCGGCAATTAGTCGATGCGACTGAACATACATTAAATATTTTGCTATTTTACAAAATGTTGCAAAATTTTTATCAACCATTTCGAAATATGTCAACTACATGTCAACCGTCAATTCTTTTAACGGCATATAAAGTGACAGATAAAGAAAATATAATTCAAATTATTAAATTAAATTAAATTATTAAATGGTAGTTTTTCGTATGAACAAATAATTTTTTTAAACATTTTTCCACCGTAATAAATACCTACTTGCTACGCCTTTGTGCAAAGTGGGCCACGCACGGCAACGTTGTCGGTTGGTCGCAATTTTCCGCATACTTGATAACATTCCGGGACGCGAATCGTGCGATTCTTGTGACATTTGACGTTTCATTCGAATATTTCACATAACTTGGCGAAATTAGCCCGCTCGATTAATCGATTGGATAACGCGTGTATTTGCATATCGATTATAATCTGAAAAAAAAGTCTGGCGTGATTTGAGTAGCGGCAATGTGGCACAGCCGCCGATCGGGCGAGCGAGCGAAAATAAAAACGAGCGCAGTTGAACTTGAACGCAGGCGTGCGGCGTTTGTACCGAATTCTCTCCCGAGTTTGCTCCCATCGAATATCGAACTCCGGCGGTCCCCGTGCTAGTGGACGGCGTAAAAAAGAGTTGTTATTTCGGGCGGTGGTTTGGTTACGCGATTTACCAGGATCGTGCCCTCATCTCACGTTTCGTCTACGCCTAAAGCGAGTAAGTTTCTTCCTCGTTTTCGTCAAAATCTCACCGAATGTGGGTTTTATAGCTTCCCGTGCTGGTTGTTTACTTGATTAATCTTTAATCGGCTTTTGTTCTCGACGCCGACTTGATAATCGAATTAATCTGCTATCCACGTAAATATTGGTTTAATGTTACATGTAGATATACGAATTGAACGTTAAATTAAGCGGAATCGTGGAGGAATTTGCTTAACCGACAAAATGAGATGTGTGAATCGAAGTCGCCGGGTCAAACTCCTTGTTTATAAATCGTTAAATATCTTATGGAATAGCCAATGAGCTCTTCGATTCCACTTCATCAGATAATGACATGTTAACAACTCGAGAATATCGAGTCCTATTGAATTTCGTATCAATCACAATCATTTACAAACAGAAGGAATTCGAATTTGTTTACTTTAATTAATTTAAGGTTTGAGGATTCTTTTTGTAACGTGTGAAGTTAGGTACGGGTTTCGCACAGCCCTTGACTGACTAGATTACATCGAAGTAATCTTTTTAAGTGTACGTGATCGTAAATGCATTAAAATTGCGATAAAATGTTTACATCGGCTATTTTTAAATTTCGATTCACGTAAAACCAGTTAGTTTCGGTTTAAAACAGTTTAAAATTACATCATTTATCTTCTCAATGTCAATTTGACGTATCCTGTCAAATACGTCAAATCCGTTTGGTCTTTTTGTATGATGGTGGGCGGACCGATCGCTCACTCCGAATTCTCGCTTCTTTACTTATCATACTTTTAATCCACGTGCTGTGAAATTTTAAACGGTCCATAGAAGCAAATCGTACGATGTTGGATGATGATACGAATCTCGTCCTAGATTTTTACACCGGTACTTTTTTCCTTTTACAACGTTCGCTTATGGTAAAAAGAGATGCCTGTATTTAAAATAACAGTTCGAGATTAAATTATAATTGCTCGGCGCGAATAAATGTAAATCAGGTCGTTTGTGTACAATGGAAATCCTCTCGCAAAGTGCAACGGTCTCTCGGTTTTATTAATTGCGGGAAAAATGAGGCATTTCGAAAACAAACATTGTGAAATTTTTTAATTTCCCGCCCATCGACCTTTAAATTGATAACGATCGCATTAAAATTGATTGATTACCGTCGTTTTCTAATTTATCAGATAAATACGTGGAGATGTACAAGTCAAAAACGGGTCAATTATCGACTGTAATACACGAGATTTATTATATAATTGTGATATTATACCGAACAAACACCGCGCAAGAACGAATAGATTATTTAAATCGTGTTTTATCACGTAATTTATATATAAACAGCCTTCATGGTTATTTGTTTTAAGAATTCCTCGGCGTTTTTAATGCCGGATAACGCTGTGTTGTAAACAGGAAGGACTTGGACTTTCGAAAAAAAAAACTGATGTCATCCTATAAAGATATCTTCAATACAAAACCGTATCGAACCAGTTATCTAAAATAGTTCAAATTTCAGAGTTTTTAGAACACAAATTGTCTGTAATTAATTACTCGAGCATTGTATATAAGATTAGCGTTTAAAGATGTCGTCGAGACTCTTACTGGATTTTTATTCATTCGAATTTTTTTTATCGGTTTATAGTACAGCTGTTGGGAAGTACATGGAAGCAACGAAAGATATATGCGTTTGTTGTAGCTAAAATTAAACCTGGATATCGGTTGGGAATTTATGAGAAATTTCGGGGAGTTTAGGACCTTCCCAATGCTAATTTATTTCCTCCAAACATTATACATCTTAAGCTTTGTCGATTGCCGATTTAGACCCCCAAAATTGGTAAATTATATTGTTATTTAAACTCCCCAAAAATCCCTTTTTAATTGAAAGAATAACGCCGTGGCTTCTGATTTGACCAGTTAGATCTTGCTTCGGCATTTCTCTGGGTTTTGGCGAGTCTAATTTCCAACAGTCCCTCCAAAATTCGAGCTCTTTCAGCCCGCAAAACGTCTCGTTTCGAGTAAATAACCATCCGATTCGTCCATCGAAGGGTTATTAGACTTCGAAAGTGTTAACGACCCGTCTAGCGGCGTCGCGACGCACGGCGTCGTCCCTGCACGGTTTTCCATTACGCGTTTTCTGCTCCCCCATTATCACCCTTCGGCGTTTTCTCCGCATTTTTTTTTCGGCGGCGCTCGAGCGTCGGGTTTTTCTCTCCGCCGGAAAATCAATAGAGCAACAAACTCGGCGAGCGTCTCGTTAGCGCTTAACGGATTATTAAAATGCAGATTTTTTTTTATTTGCGCGGTCTGTTTAATTTGGGCGTAAATGGGGCGTAATTCGTTCTAATAAAGTTTTTTTTTTTTTCGTTTATATTGAATATTTTAGCGTTTTGGTTGTTTGTGGGTCAGTTGATTCGATTTCGATTACGAAGGGGATAAGGGAATCGATTTATCGAATGTTCTGGAACTCGTTTTCACGAAATATCGCGTGTTTTCGTGGTTCTTTATACGTAAAATCGTTTGCCTCTATAATAAGTGCGTAATTTGCAGCTTTACTTGCGAATAAGAAATGTGACAACATCGCAATATTAGTTAAACGATGGCTGTTATTAATCGACCAATCACATTAGAAGCGGCGTTTGACATTTCTAACTGTCATTGTTTATATAGTCGAATTTAAATAAACGTTAAGAAATTGATATAATTAAGTGTAAATAATACTTTATAAGAACAAAATGTGAGGCAAATAGAAAATATTTTAACTAAAAAGTTGTTATTCGACCAATCCAAGCCTAAAAAGTAAGTATCCCAGGTAGCTCGATTATTTGGTGATTGAACGCCGGCGTGAAGTTGGCAACAATCCTTCATCCAAGATTTTGTGCCATTTCCGTAACATTGTTTTAAAAAAAATCTTATAATCGACAAAAAGTCATCATTCGATCAATCTTGCTCCAAAAAATACATAATTATTCCATGTAACTTAATTATTTAATTTATTATTTAACACCGGCTTGAAGTTAGCAACATTCCTCCAGCAAAAATTAAGTACAATTTTTGTAGCACTGCTTTAAAAAATCTTATAATAATCGACAAAAAGCCATCACACGACCAATCAAGCCCCCAAAAATACACCCACATTCCACGTAACATAATTATTTAATTCATTATTAAATTAAACACCGGCGTGAAGTTAGCAACTTTCCTCCAGCAAATGTTTCATACCACTCTGTAACGGCTGGTTTCTCTTACAGCACCGTCCCTCCGCAGCGGCAGCAGCACCACCAGCAGCAGGAGCACCGGCTTGGGAGATGGAGTGCGGCGTAACGGGGCCCGCATTCGCCAACGGCACCGCCGCCGCCGGCGCGGTGGGCGGCATGCGATCGGAGCGCTCGCCCGCCAAGACGGGCCTGCACGTCAACTTCAAGGAGAAGGGCGAGATCAAGGAGCGCCGCGAAAAGTTCCTGACGGCCAAATACGGGCACCACCAGATGAGCCTCATCAGGAAGCGGCTGGCCGTCGAGATGTGGCTCTACGAGGAGCTGAAGAAGTTGTACGAGACCAAAAACGCCGTGAGTGCGATATTTTATACCCACTTTTTTTTTCTTTCTTTTTGTTATACAAACCGCTTCCCCAATCGGTGTCCCAAATACCGAAACCACCTCTAAATCCTCTGATGATCGAGTTTTAGCGATTAGTCATCGTTTTTTGCGATCGCAACATTGGGCATTTCTATGAGTTGAACAAGGAAAGGTTGATAAAATGACAGTTGACAGTTGTGAAAAGTTGCAATGACATGACATGATAGGCACATTTTGCAATGAAAAATGGAGCAATCTGTATAAATCTTAATTCGTAAAATTCTTCCACATATCGCGGAGAAATTGTTATGCAGGATGAGCGTCTGATTTTACGGTCGGCGTCGCTTTCGCATAAATTGCGCTGATGCTGATATTATGTGTGTTTTATTTATTTTTTTTTTTTCTCGAACTGAATATTCAACGAGATCGGTATCAACGAAAGGAAAAAAACGGGCGTGAGGAAGTCGAGGAAAAAGATCTAATCTCGGTAAAAAATTGAAATGTAAACGCGGAATTTCCTCGCAGTTCAAAATTTCTCTAGTGCCAGTGATTCTGGAACGTTCTAAATCGTTCTGAATCATTTTGGAGCATTCTAAATGGTTCTAGAGCGTTCTCTAAATGATTCTAGGCAGTTCTAAATGGTTATAGAACGTTCTAAACGATTCTAAACAATTTTGAATGGTTCTGAAGCGTCCTAAATGATTCTAAACTAGATAATGGAATGCATTCCATTATAAATTCTAAACTTGACCGATACGAATAGCATTTGTTATGCAATTTGTACATCTAATTTCCTCGGTAAAACCGTAGGTATATAGTTTCTCTCTGAATATATTCGATTTAACAGGATTAATCTGGTAACTAACTCGTTTCCGTCATAATTTCCACTGATTTTTTCGCCCACGCTCTTCCCTCTCTAGCGCGAACCGGTGCGAATTTCGAGCGCATCTGCATTACCGGATCGCGGTAAAAATAAACGAGAAACACGCCGGCGATTTGCCAACTTACTTATTTATTTCATCCCGAACAAATTCTCTTTTTTTTTGTTGTTACGAATGCAGGAAGTCGAGCTTATCGAAAACGAAAGCGCTAGGAAGACTCGCAAATGGGAAAGATAGTTGATTTGTATTTTTCTCGACCAAATATCGATGCTAGTGTATTGTGTATCACCCTGTAGGTGTTTAACGGAAGCGGGCGATCGTATTGAATAGATTAACCAATTAGATTCCTAATCTTTTTGTTCTAAATTTAATTTATTTTTAGAACCGGGAAGTCACCTGTCACGACGAATCACAAAGAAATGTCCCCCTATTTTTAGACATTCTTCCATTCATAGAATTTCTAATAAACGAATCGTTTTAAAGAGTTTTTTTTATTTACCACAGTAAAGCTACCATTAACTCGACCAATTGGTGGTAGTTTGTTGACCTTTCGCATCGACTATAACCGAGTCGATTATACAGGGTGTTTCATACACCAAATTCGATCTATTTCAATTGAATTTTTTTCGCAAAACTCCTCTTTAACTTCTCAGAAATGCAAATTTAAGTTTGCCATTTTATATGTATGTACTTACAGGGCGATTAACTTACTTAATACAATTCGCTCGGAGTAATTATTGCGATTCGAAGCCGAAAATGAGGCAAAAAAACAAACGGAGAAAAGTTTCCAGTACGTTTAGCAACCTCTGGAACGTATCGGACGGGTCACCTGAGCTCTCTAGATTCTAGATAAACGGTGATTCATTCTCGAAACCTTTTCTTTGTTTCAGAAACAAGTAGAAGCTGTAAATAATGATGAAGTCGAAGTCGACATAGACGAGCTACTAGATATGGAAAGCGACGACGAACGGCGGAGGCATTTACAGGTTCGTCGACGATTTTCCACCGTTTAAACGCTTAAATTGATTCCATTTTTTTGTATTTTTTTTACAGAATTTACTCATAAGCGCGAAGGGTTCCCAAAGTGATATAAAAGTAAGTTTCCAGTCGCTGAATTCGCATTGATCTTACGCTGATGTAATTTTTTGTTGTTGCAGAAATTCATTAACGAATTGCTAGATAAGGCGAAGACTCTTTAAATTAAATCAAGTGCCAAAAAATGAAGTGGATGAGACGCGGATTAGCCTAAAAAATCGCACTTATTTTTCGTTAGTTTGTTTACATCGATGTTAATCGGATAGGTATCGCTCCCATTTGTCGAGAACAACGTTTTTTAAGCTAGAACCAGCCAGATTAGAGGATCAGATAAGATTTGAATGTACATTATCTAAATTACAGAGTATACAGAAAGCTTTTAAGTGCACAATATGTATGTTATTTTTTTGTTTGTTTGTTTCATGTCGTAATGCCAGTATTAGAAGAAAAATAATGTATTTTCGAATTTTTGTTAGTGTTGTAAAACTTTGGCCAGTTTGTGCCGATGTTAGATTTACGTTTTCTATATTTTTTTTTAGAATTTTTAGTAGTACTTTATTTATATTATTGAAGAAAAAAAAGTGGTTGCAACTAGTCCCTAATTGAATTCAGAATGTATAATAGTTAGGAATCATATCATGACTGCCTTTTTTTTTAAATGATCGTATTGTTGTAATTGTGAACAAATTACAAATTATATATTTTAACAAGCACGATGAAATATGTTTCAAAATAGAAGACGTAGTTAGAGATTTTTTTTATTTCTAATTCGTCACCACGCAATATATTCGATAGAAACATTAAAATAGTTGTAATTTGTTCTTCAACCATTATATGCATTCGTTAAATCCTTGTTGCTTCGATGTCGAGTACCTTTTAACATAGTACTGTAAATATTTTATTGTTGAATTTGTCATATCAATGCTCAAAAATTTGTTATTATCGTAAATGTGAGCTTCCTTCGTATAGTTTGCATGTTTCAAGCTTCACTTCTAAATTTTAATCGAAACGTGTAATCAATTTTGAAATGAACGTTCCTTCTGGAATAGAGTCTCAATCGAATATTTGGGGAGAACAAATTTGTGATTAGAAATTCTCACTTCATTTTAATGTAATTCGAGATTTATTTTTTCATTTGTGATCTCATTTGTACCCTCATGTAATGTAATAGCTTTGTAAGCGGCAACGATTAAATTGTAACTACAGGGTGTCTCATAAGAATTGTACTGCAGTGATGAGACACCCTGTGTTATGTAAGTATTGCATTGTAATTCTGAGTATCGTCATTACATACAATATTTAATTGGAACTAATCATCTGAAGAAAAGAATGGAAATGACGATGCACAATGAATAAAAATCACTTATTTAGTGACGAAATTGTATAAGACTTTTTCAAATAAAATAGAAGTGATACAAATGTTTCTACTTTACCAAGATTCTTAAAAGGTCACAGGACAAGTTATACAAGTCGAATTAAATTATGTAATTAATTTATTAATTAACAAAAAAAATTGTGAAGACCTCGGCGACATCACAATAAATTCCGCAAATTAAAAAACAAGTAATCACAACAATCGAATAAAAATCTAATTGAAAAAAAAAAACCCTACTAATTTGCCAAATGCATGAAGAATTTAACGAGAAACCCTTTATTAAAAATTACTTACAGTCACTGCATTACGACTAAGACTATATTCAACTTCAGCTCTTCTGCAACGGGGGCGGCATCAAGGGAGGCGGAACGCCCCCCGACATGGCCGAATTCGGCCCCAACAGCAGCTGTTTCTGTTGGTTCTTCTGCATTTCTTCCATTTGCGCCCTTTCTACTTCGAACACCACAGGAGCGAACAGTATAACTGACGTGCTCACGAACACCCATATCGCACTCCTCGAAAAACCGTACAAGTTCTTTACCCCGGCTTTCGTGCAACTGGCAGCGCTCCACGAAAGGTTCCTCAAAGACTCCGGGAACATTTCCGTCAAACCCCACAGTCTCTCCGATAGCGTTTCATCGGGCTGGAACAAGTAAATGCAATGTAAAGCTAAGCCTTAACCCCTAAGGATTCCAAGTAGGTTAACATAACCTATGCATGTTAAAATTAGGTGAAATTTAATGGGGCGTTTCGTTACCTCATCTTCTACGTCGTCTTCGATTTCGAGGCGTTTTTTATCGATGTCGTCCGGTTCGAAGGAAGATCCGTCTTGAGATTCCATCCCGCTGTCTCTATCGTTTTCTTCCACTGGTGCCATAAGAATATGGCGAAATTGTTGTATTAGTAATTCTAATAACCTTTGGCGAGCTTAAATTCTAATATTTCTCATTTAATTTACTAGAATATTAATTTAAATATTCGGGCTCGTGCAGTGCCTTCTTAGCTGAAATGTGAAGTTGACAGTTGACGTTATTGACATTTGAAAATAGGTTAAATGTTTAGTACAAAAAAGAAGAAGTAGGCCTATTATTTGTAAAGTAAAACGTCATAAATTAACTGATGACTTAATAAGGCTAAGGCGTTATTTTGATAGTTAAAAAAATCTAGAAGAATTTTTGGATATGTTTTGTTGACCTATTTTTAGAAAAATTTCGCACCACCGAAAAAAATGTTATCGCGATTAGGATTAATTTATAATAATGCGAGGCAATTCAAGCCGAATACGACTAGTCAAATCGTAGCAAGAAGTTCGATATCCAATAAACATGGAGTTTTACATCAAGTACCCCACCGGACATCGCTGGGCATCCTGAAAGTACTGGTCACCGTTACAACGGGCCTACTTATCGGAGCAGCAATCAGCAAGAACATAGCCAATTTCCTAGAAGAAAACGATTTGTTTGTGCCCTCTGATGATGATGACGACGACGATTAGCTTGCGATATTAATACTAAATGTACCTCAACGATCGAATACCTATAATTTTTTTGTGATTACCTACTTCTCGTTTAAATTGTGAATCTTTACGAAATAAAGCTTTAACTAGTTGAAATGTAAACGGGTAATTTTTTTACCCCGCATCAAAGGGTTTCAGGATAGTAAAAATTGTTATTTAAAATCATTTATATTGTAAAAAGTAATACGGTCAGTCGGTCGATTTAAACAGCTTGTAAAATTCATACCACAGCACGTTAAATAAATTTTACGATAAAAATAAACCAATCGACAATTAGATAAAGCGATAAGTACGTAAAAAATTTCCAAATTTATGTAACGAAAAAAAAAAAATTATTTACTCTGGCGGTTTCTTATGGTCGCCCCAGCCGTGGAAGCACTTGGTAAATCTCCTCGATTCCTTATTCTTTAGAGTTAGGAACAATTTTCTCGGTCGCTCGGGTTGCTTGACTCTCGTATGTTGGATATAAACCTACAAAAACAATTATTAAATCATCATGTACTCAATAATTCGCATTGTAATTACTTGTGCAGATTTCAGGGCCAGCTTGATTTCGACTTCGCTGCATCTCGCCCCCAACCACAAAAACACCTGTTCCCCATTATCCAATATCATAATATCATCATCGGCGAGATCGTCCTGGCAAAAATCGGAACACTTCTCCGACACGATGAAATACCCCTTTTCGTTGGAACATCTAAACAACCTGGTGTATTCCATGAAATTCGCGTCCTGTTCGTACGGTTTCTTCCCGCCCAATCCGTACCAAAAGAAATTATCCGGTTCTTCGCCTTCCGATAGAACCTGCAAAGTCACCCAAGGACTGTTGAACATTTCCTCGGCGATTTCCTGCACTAATCTCGCCTCGTCGGCGTCCGCCTTCGAACCTATCCACACGTAAACGATACCGGAATCTTCCTCTTGCTCGAACGGAACGTTAAGAATATAACTAAAAAATTATGATCAGTAATTTTATAGTATTACCGGTAAATTACCTACCAAAAAGCGGAGTTCAACAACGAAGCGTCCGGCTTGATCTGCACCAATCGAGTGTACAAAGCGCTACCGTTCGACCTCAAATGATAGAACTCCACGGGCCTCTTCTCGCCTCTATTCCTCTTGCCCTGTTTAATGATAAATTTCCGTTTGAAGTGCGCCATGAATTTCATGTTCTCCTGCTGCTGGTAGGTCCGCAACACCTCGAGCTTATCCTGGAACAGCATCTTGAATTTCTTCTGCAACGTAAACGTGAACGTCAACCAGCCCATGTTGCCGGCGTGCCTGCCCTGCCAGAAGTAGCACACCCATTGGAAATCGTCCCCGTCCGATTCGGTTTCACCTTCATCCGCATCGTCCCAATACCGGCACAAGAAAACGTAGCAATCCTGCGAATGGAACGTGCCCAATTCCTCTTCGGGCAGCCGCACGAACTTCCTGCCCTCCAACACGAACGCCTCCATCGCCTCCAAGTCCTCGTTCCACTCCTCCATCAGCTGTTGCGCCTCCGCTAGAGGCATCGAGGGCTGGCGGGGCGTGAATAGAGCGGTGAGATCGGCTTTGGTTTCTTGCTCTTTGGCCCATTTGAGCAAATCCGCGCCGGTTTTCTTCACCGATTCGGCCGTTCGGGTGAAATCGACCGCTATCACCTCGTCCCAGCCGGCGAATTTCGATTTGAATATCTGCGATTCGGTGCCTTCGCGCACGCGCGAAACGCGCGCGTGCGCCGGCCTGTCGATCATGTTGAACAGTTCCTCGGAGAGTTTCACGGCCGCCGCGTTCACCAATCTGGTCGATTTCTTGCCGATCCTACGATTATTTAATGATTATCGATGCGTAAATGTTGATTGTAAAACGCACCAAACGAAGACGTCCAAGTAGCAATCGAGCATGTAAACGTTTTTGCTCATCAACACGTCGTGGACCAATTTGCCGTGGGGCAATTCGACTTGGGGCAATTCCAAATAGCCCATGCCCAATTGGACTTGGTACAAGCGAGGTTGGGTCGGAGCGAATTCGGAATCGACGTGTTCCTGCGAATAGAATTACATAAACGCTCGCTACTACTAATAAATAAACGTTACTTCGATGGATTGTTCGGGCGGTAGGCCCGATTCTCGTCCCAAAAGCGTCCAAAATTCGTTGGTTTCGTTGCCGGCCGTTTCGGTGATGATTTCCGCCTTGTTTTTCCGCTCGTTCTTGTTGATTTTCTCGCACATCAATCGCGATTTGGACTTCAACGTGTTTTTCGCTTTCTTGCCGTTCCACACGAATATCTTCAAACCGGCGTCTAATACGAACACATACCTAGGATCTAAAGAATCCACCGATATACGGACGGGTTCCAAATGAATCGACGGTCCGGCCGGATGGATTCTGTACAGCCTCGTTTCGAAATTCTACGGAGAAAATACGGCGCTACAATCGTAGATGTGGCGTAATACGAATCGCTTTTACCATATCTTCGACCGTGTAGAAACCGCTGCAGGTCCTTCCGCCTTCGATGTAGGTGATTTGCGCATCGAACAAGCCCAGAAACTCCTCGGATTCGTCGCCCTGTTCCTCGCGAATCGTCCGACATTGGGCGCCCAGGAAGTTCCGCAAATTTACGGCGTGAATGGCCGAACACGCTTTTTTATCCAACTGGAAAACAACTCTATATAGTTGGGAGGAGTTGCTTATCCGCTTATACGAATTTGGGCGTTACAGCTTTATAGTATTAGTGAAGCTTTTTTACAACGCAATTACAGCTTACCGAAGCTTTCCCGCCTATCCAGAAATAAATCTCCCAAGAGGGCGACTGGTTCTCGTCGAACGACGTCTTCAACACCATGTAACAATCGCCCTCGTAGAATTTCCCGTAGGCCACCTCGTCGATGCGATTCGGCAGGAAATTCTCGATCTCCCATATGGTGAGCCCCGGCAATTGGCCCGTGTCCTCTTCGAAGAACTCCGAATAGTCCAGCGGCGGCTTCTCCAACGACTCGTCCCAACGTTTTTGTCTAAAACAAAAACATTTAGAAAACCGACGATTTATGAATATTACTCTACTCACTTGGGCAGTTCGTTGCTATACTCCTCTTGCGCGTTCCTGTTCTTCTCCTTCGCTATGTCCTTCATACCTTTCAAAATTTTGGCTTGATCCTGATCGGCCTCCTCGTGATCTCTGCGGCCCTTTCTCAACCTCAATTTCCTAGCGACTGGATCTTTGCTGGGATCTACGAATCGATTGTATTTATCGGTTATAATAGAACGAAAAATATGTTATCCGCGTTAGCGCGAATGCCCCATCGGTGATTCATCGCGAATTCGATTAGCGTCAGATTGGAAAATGAATCGATGCAAACAAAACAGCCGTGAGCAATTCGCGGCGATATTATTGCACAAACAAGCGCCCGAAAAAAAAACGAATTAAATAAAAATACCGACTTTGAACGGGCGCCGGCGCTGGTACTTGGGCCCCGGCCAGTCTCAGTTGGTTCTGCAGCGAGAAATCGATGTTGTAGAATTCGATGCCGGCGCCCTTGGTGGCCTCGACGGGCTTCGGCGGCATTATCAGGTCCGGATTGTTCCTCAAATCCAAGTTGACTAGATCGGTGAGAAGGTGCACGGCGTCCGGTAGGGTAATCAGACGATTCGAGCTCAAATTGAGCTTCTTCAAAGAGCCGCATCTGGAATTTAGAGAGCGTGATTTTAATGGGAAAATAACGCGGGGAATCGGGTACCTGCAAAGCCCTTCGGGTATCATTTCTATGCGATTATTGGCGGCCGAAAACAACTCCAAACTGCTCAGTTTTCCGATACCCGATGGAATGCCCTCAAAGTCCAATTTGTTATCGTTGATGTACAAGCGCCTCAATGCGGCTAGTTTACAAAGGGAGGCGGGAAGGCTGCTTATTCGATTGTGCGATAAATTCAACGTTTCCAATTTTTGCCACATTTCGATCGCTACAAATACAAAAATTCCAACCAAACCGTCCGATTAATAATTCGTCATTTACCAGTCGATAATTCGGTGATTTCGTTTTCGCTCAAATTCAACCGCTTCAGATTAACCAACGAGTACAAGGCATCGGGCACTTTGGGCAAATTGTTCTGAGCCAAGTCCACATCGGACAAGTTCATTAAACTCTCCAAATTACTAGGGAAATTGTTCAGATTTCTCTGAGTGTTTCGCATGTGTAGAGTCTCTAAATTCAACAGCGAGGGCAATTGCCTCAGTTGGAACAGCCCCATCGGATTGTTGTTCAAAATAAACGTCTGCAAATTCGCCAATCTTCTCGTCTGAGGCGGCAGAGTTTCCAAATTGTTGTTGCTCAAATCGAGAAATAACAAGTCCGTTAGATTGATGAACAGCGAGTTCGGAATCGACTCGATACTAAAACGAAATATACACGAAAATTATTAAGAACCGCAGGTGTTTAATAATCTTACTAATTGTGGCTCAAATTTAACACCAACAGCGATTTGGCCTTGTCCAATCCCTCGGGCACCTCTTTCAAATTGTTGTGGCTGAAGTCCAACGTGCTCAGCTCCTCGGAGTCGAACAGCTCCGGCGGAATGCCGGACGATTTGATGTTGTTGTGCCTCAAATTCAACGTTCGCAGGCAATTCAATTCGGTCAATTCGCCGTACAACTTCTCCAGCAGGTTTCTGGTCAACGATAGGTGCTCCAGCTTCGAGAGGCTGCCCATTTCGCCGGGGATTTCGCTAATATTCGTCCGGTCCAGCTTCAACCATTGCAAGCCCGTCATCGAATTAACGGCCTCCGGGAATTTGTCGCCCTGAAAGTTTATTTTGCGATAAATGGGTTATTAATTGTGGTAGTGCTTACGCTGAAGTCGTTTCTGGTGAAATCGACGCCTCTCACGAAAGGCAACACGCCCGTATTAGCCATGTTTTCGGGTGTTGTTGTTGTCGTTGAAGTAATAAATGTTGTTAAAAATTAATTAAATAAATATTTTCGTACATTTGGGTTTTTTTAAGTAACGTCACTGTCATATGTCATATGTCATGTCTTCTTGCTGAATTAGGGCCTTTTGCTTGTCGGGCACCTATTGAACGTATTCAGCCAATCGGAGTGACAGACGGAGCAAATGCATATGGAGTCGAGAAAAAGTCAAATCAAATCAAAAAAATCAGTCGATTGTCAAACGTTGTGTTAGCGTGTGGTGTGTGTCGTTTCAGTGCCAGAAATATCGCATGATATTCAAGAATATCCCTCCGGAAAAGAATTAAAGCAACGGTGAATGAGGTCCGAAGATTTTCAACAATCTAATTCCATTTAATTGCGAGGTAAGCTCACTTGATTTATTCGTTTCTTACTAAACATTTTCCTTTCTAAAATCCTGAATTTCATCCATTTCTCCCGTTCTGTAAACGCGATTAGATGATTTAAATGCGCTGTTATTTACGCTAAAATCCTCCATTTAAACGCAATTGCCTCATTTACTCCTTCCTGCATAGGAAACATCTAAATCTAAAAATAAAGAAATCTCGCCGTTTTCTTTTTATAATCGAGTGAAATTTCGAACGATTCTTTTAATAACACGCTCGCAACTAGCAAGAAATCCTCCGTAAATACTCCCTTATTACCCGAGTTAATTGAACAATTACGTTTCAAAATGTTTTGTACAATATCTGATTAATTCATCGGGCTCGTCTGTTTTGTAAACAGCGTATGTGTGCATTTCATTAATTTTATTATGCGGGTCAAAATGTAATTTATGCGACATTAGATAAAGAGAATTTCTCGCCAGTTGCGAGTGGAATACGAAAAAAAACCATTATTCAAAATATCGAGTAGGCTTGACTATGTTAGTTCGTTTGACTATACAGTAAGAGGCCGATTTTGGATGAAAATTATTTTTCGAAAACTTGGTTGTTTGTACGAGCACGAAAGGGCCACAATGAGTTAATTATTTAAAAGAAATTATTATAAAATGTTGCAAATTTCGATGCAAATATGTTTTTTTTTTTCAATAAGATAATCTCAATGAAGATACACCGAGAAAGGTCATGTGTAATTTTTTAACGAACCGTTATCGAAGAAATAACAGTAAATCAATATTTAACGAACTCATTTTGTATAGGAAAAAGGTTAGATTTAGTGCAAATGATCGTTAATTTGTTGTTAAATAGGAATTCTGTTAAAAAAATACCCGTACAATTGAAAAATAAATCGATTGCTGTATGTTAAAATATTTGAAAAATAGAAATTGTACATATTTATACCTCTTGCTCCATTTCCGATTGTAACATGGTCATTTCTATGAGTGGAACAAAGAAAGATTATTAAAATGACAGCTGGCAGAGTGAAAAGTTGCAATGACACAAATCAGTCACTCTTTCCTTTTCCTTTGTAATTGTCTAATGGAAGTTGTCTTTATCGCACACATAACCGATGTTGCGATCAAAAATGGAGCAACCTGTATGGGAAAAAATAGATTTGTTTGAATAAAATAATTCCAAAATTGCAATTAATCTTCACAATATAGTCGACGAGTATTTTTTAATGCTTAATATTATTATTTTTTTGTTCCATTGTTTATCATTATCACCGTAACGAATATCGATGAATTTTCATTTAAATTATTTACGGATTATTCAGGTAAATTGAGAATTTCGCCTTATTTTCGTTTGGATATTCCAAAATGGGGAAACAGGTAAGGAAAAAAAACTTTAAATAGTATTAATTAAAATTATTAAACGCACCCTGTATGTTGTATTTATACAGGTGGATGCAAAATAGTTCGTATAACGGGTGCAACAAAGACAACTTCCATTAGATTCGTATAAAGCAATAAAGACAGAGTGATAAAATTGTATTGTAAGATTGCAACTTTCTCACTTTGACAACTGTTATTTTAATAATCTTTCTCTGTTTAACTCGTAGCATTGGCCATATTGCATACAAATTGCGAGTTTATATACAGGACGAATCCGAAATTTGCCAATTTCAAATTCTCCTCTCGCGAAAGGGCAACGGAGAATACGAGAATGAAAAAACGAGAATAAAATAACTCGAATTAAATCGCATATCGAGACGGCTTTTTCTCCCGATCGGACTTCATTAAAAATGCCCGACTCGTCCTCTCAAATGGGATTTTAAAACTAGCAACATTTCGAATCGTCTTTGTTCTCTGTATTAACTCGATTTATCGAAATGTTTTTTTTTTATTACCTTTTAATATTTTTTTTTTCAACGGATTAATTCAATTCGCCGGCCTTTTACTTGTCGGTTTTCACACTGTGCTTCATTCGCGATTGCAACATGGGCATTTCTACGAGTTGAACAAAGAAAGATTGCTAAAATGACAGTTGTCAAAGTGACAAGTTGCAATGACACAAATGTCACTCTTTTTTTTTAATGTCTAATTGAAGTTTTCTTTGTTGCACCCATAGCCTACGTTGCAATCAATCCGTATATGAGTTGAATATTCGCCCTTTCATCCCCCACAATTCGACCATTTCCTTTACCTTTTATACGAGAAAAGCACCGAAATCCTGCTGCACTTGTCTTTTAATTCGCCGGCCTTTTACTCGTCGGTTTTCAACTAATACAAAAACGTCCTTTTGCAGCCGAACAAACCAGCCACATCTTCAACAACAACAATAACAGTAAGCCATGAGGAGTTGAAGGCGCAGCCGGCGATGCAGCTGAAGCGCCCCTTTCGCTCGGCGGGCGTGAGAAAAGCCCTGGGACTGTTCGCGGGCGTATTGATCGTCTATTTTCTCATCGATACGTTCGTCTACGGTCTACAGACGGCTGAGGATCTGTCCGATCGAGGCGGCGGCGTCGCGACGTCGTCGTTGCGACGCCGCGGGGGGAACGGCTACGAGTACGACAGGCGGATGCCGTTGATTTTCATCGGCGGGGTTCCCCGATCGGGTACGACGTTGATGAGGGCCATGTTGGACGCCCATCCGGATATTAGGTGAGGTGGGATTCTATTTTGTGGTGTTGGTTCATAATATATAGAGTATAGATTCAATGAAGAGCACAGTTAGAGTAGTGTAGATTCGTAATATGGAGTAGAGTAAAGTGTGGAGTAGATTCCGAATACATTTAGAGCTGGATCAGAGTAGATTCGGCGTAGGTTCGGTGTAGTGTAGAGTAGAGTAGAGTAGATTCAATGAAGAGCAGATTCAGAGTAGATGAGAGTGGATCAGAGTAGATTCGGCGTAGGTTCGGTGTAGTGTAGAGTAGAGTAGATTCAATGAAGAGCAGATTCAGAGTGGATTCGGAATAGATTTATAGTAAAATAGAGCAGAGTAGAACGTAGAGTAGATTCTAAATACATTGAGAGCTGTAGACTATAGAGTAGATTCAGAGCACGTTCAGAGTAAAATCCGAGTAGGTTCAGAGCAGGTTCTGACAGATTTGAGTAGTCGGGTGTTTGATTTATCTAATTTACGATTTATACAATTTGTAAAAAAAAATTTGTCGTACAAAATATATGAAAACTGAACGCATAATTGGCAGATTGGTTTTGTTTAGTTTAAAAGATAACAATAATGTTATCTTTATTTATAATATGTACATTATATTGATAAAAATACGGAAATTATTACATAGTAGTTAAAAAAATGCAACACAGGATGTGTTAGATAAAATATTTGCATAAATGTTACGAATATTTCCGCTTTGATTTACCTAAAATCGTTCTAAATTAATTCTTTTAATAATTAAATTAATTTTAGTTTTATATGGGAGAAAAAAAAATGTAGCTTATAATGAACATTTTGGGAAAATAATTTATAATGGGGATAGCGGATTTGGCAAAGCCGTCTGCATGTAATCCGTCGCGCTTTTGGTTCAAATCCCGGCGGATCCACAATTATTTTTTTAATAATTTTTATTGTTTAGATTATTTTTAACGCATTAAATCTTAGTTAATCGACTAAAAAAATTGATTTTTTTTATCGGTAGATGCGGCCAGGAGACGCGCGTAATTCCTCGCCTCCTCCAGATGCGCTTCCATTGGATGAAATCCGAGAAGGAATCGTTGAGATTAGAGCAGGCCGGTATCACCAAGGCCGTCTTGGATTCGGCAATCGCGGCGTTCGCTTTGGAAATTATCGCCAAGCACGGAGAGCCTGCTCCGAGGCTCTGCAACAAGGATCCTCTTACTATTAAGGTGTGCGGTTAGGATTGAATTATTTTTCGAAAAAGGGTTTTTATGTTGGATGCTTAGATCATATGTCATATGTCATATATCATATGTTATGAAGCAGATGTCAAATGTCATAGTGTCAATGCCAGTGCGAGAAAAGGACGCATCAACATTGCCGAATGTCTAATAGCTTTTTATTGTTCGATCAGATGGGCACGTACGTGATCGATCTCTTCCCCAACGCCAAATTCATATTTATGGTGAGAGACGGCAGGGCGACGGTGCATTCGATCATCTCCCGCAAGGTCACCATCACCGGCTTCGATTTGTCCAGTTACAGGCAATGCCTGAAGAAATGGAACGTCGCCGTCGAGGCCATGAACAATCAATGCAACGAATTGGGACCCAAAAAGTAACCGAAACCTTTCCTCTCTTTCTTATACACATCTTGCAACACGGTTTTCTATTAGTCGAACAGAGGAAAGATTGATAAAATGACAGTTGACAGTTGTGAAAAGTCGCAATGACAGTAATGACGCAAATGTCACTCTTTCTTTTTATGTTGCAATGAAAAAAAATGGAGCGATCTGGTATATGTTTCTCTAACATATTGTGGTTATTTTTTTTTTTTTTAGATGTCTAATAGTTCCCTACGAGCAGCTGGTGTTGCATCCGAGAGAATGGATGCGAAAGGTCCTGGATTATCTGGACGTGCCGTGGAATGAGTCGGTGCTCCATCACGAAGATTACATAAATAAAGGGATCGAATTGAGCAAGTACGTTCCCTTCTTCATCCTCTGCTCATTCAAATATCTCAAAAATTTGGCCATTTTTCAAAATTTCCTATTTTTTGAAATCTGTAGGGAATTGTTTCTTCTATAAAATGATACAATTTTCCTTTTTCTATCTCAACTAGTACTCGAGATAATCCAGATTTTCTTATAAAATAGCATAAGAAATTTAATAGTTTCATGACAAAAAAATCGAAATATCTCAAAAATCCGGCCATTTTCGAAAATTTCCTATTCTTTGAAACCTGTAGGGAATTGTTTCTTCTATAAAATGATGCAATTTTCATTTTCCTACCTCAACTAGTACTCGAGATAATCCAGATTTTCTTATAAAATTACATAAATAAAGGGATCGAATTGAGCCAGTACGTTCCCTCCTTCATCTTCCTACCCCCTTCTTCTTCCCCAAGAAGTCGAATTCGATATTTTTATCTAAATTTTTTTCTGTTATATACAGGGTGGAACGTTCGAGCGATCAAGTGATAAAACCGGTGAATTTGGAGGCCCTGTCGAAATGGGTGGGTAAAATACCCGATGAAGTCGTTCGCGACATGGCCGATATCGCGCCGATGCTCTCCGTTTTGGGTACTTAATAACTAATTAATTTATTTAATTATTAATTAATTATGTAATTTGTATTGTTTTTAGGATACGATCCGTACGCGAATCCGCCGAAATACGGCAGGCCCGATGCGGAGGTGGCCGTGAAAACGAAAGAAATCGAATTGAACAAGAAGGCGTGGGAGGAGAAAGCCAAAGAAATGCTGTGGCAGGATCAATCGCTGTTCGACGATAACAATGCGAATAACAAATTGGGCGATCCCAGCGATTCGCCCAACAGTATTACTTGACAAATTTCGATTTGTTTTATATTTATACGTTTGTATTATTGAATAGTTAATCGATGTGTTTGTTTTTCGGAGCGCGTGGACCATTTTTTATTCGACTGAAATTGATAAATTTATTGATTCATATGGGAAATATTATGAATTTTTTTGGCGTGTGTATGTGTGTGTGTGTGTGTAATTGTTTATAATTTGAATTATGGAAATTTGTACGGTTAAGATCGAGCAAAAATTCACCATAATAACTAGTTAAATATAGGTAAAAGCTAATTTGTTTGCGATGATATGGCAACATCTATGAGTTGAACAAAGAAAGATTCTTATTAAAAGAACTGTGAGTTCACAGAATCACTCAGAACTCTGTACAATTATTTAGAACTCTCCAGAATCGCTTAGAACTGTCGACAATCATTTAGAACACTCCAGAATTGCTTAGAACTGTCGAGAATCGTTTAGAACCCTCCAGAAATATTTAGAACTCTCCAGAATCGCTTAGAACTGTCCATAAATTATCTTTGTTGCATTCCTATAGCCCATATTGCAAACAAATTTCGCATCTACCTGTATATTTTTTAATTTAAAACCATTACACAATTACTAAACGTTGATAATATTTATTTTCGCGAAATTATAGTGATTTTTTGCTGGTCTTGTGTCATACCCGGGCCATTATTAGTGATAAAATATTTAATTTCTAACCGATTTCCATAATTTCGAATTTGTTTTAATCTCGACTTCTTTTTTTTAATAATTTAATTAAAAATACGGGTGTTTTATTACGGTTCAATTAAAAAAAATGCGTTTATATTAAACGTGTAAGTACGGAACATTTGAAATTAATATACATACATATTTATATACTTATATCAATGGAAAAACAATCACGAATTTACGAATTATATAGAGGAAAATTATGTATAAATTTATTTAAACAATTAGAATTATAGAGAAATTTCGAATGGTACTTAAATGAAAAGCGGAAAATGTGATAAAGTGACCCGTATGTAATGAGAAATATTTAATTTTTTTGATAAGTTTCAAATATTTATAACTTTTAACAATATAAAAAGCCACTGAATTGTGTTTGAATAGTAATTTATGTAATAAAATATTTTGAAAATGAAAAATAAATAAAAAAAAAACAAAAAAAAACCCGTCCGGAAAATTCTCATTTTTCCCGAAATTATTTCATTAAATATTAAATTTTTTAATTTGATTAAAAATTATTACGTAAATTACTATTATTTTTATAAAAATAATTTGGGATGCTCGTTGAATCTTCATTTTTTGAATGTTATCAGTCTTCATTGTAAAAATATAAAAAATAATATATAATTTAGTTAATAAAACTCGTTTTTTACTTCATAAAATACAGAGTAAGATAAAGTAGAGTATTACATAAATATAACCAAGATAGTCAAAAATTTGACAAAAAAAATCACATTTTATAAAATCTGTTAAACCAAAAAAAAAACGTACAAATTTCAAATCGTCTTCTTATCTTCTACCATCAACATTTCCTCGGCGTTTTCTCCATTTTCCACCGTCTCCTTTCCCTCGGCCTCGCCGTCTGCGCCATCAGTAAGAGGCCGCGGAACCTTCGACTGCTCATCGGGCTTTCCCAGGTAACCGGGAAACCAAAAACAAGCGTGAACGAGTTTCAGCAAAACGTACGCGAAAAAGGCCAATGCGACGTATTCGCACGAGGAAAAGGCCATTTTCCACACGTCTACGCCTACTTTCTGTGTACGCATTTTCCGCGTAAATGACTAAAAATCGACTCGTCGCCGTGCCAACGGGGAAATTGACACAAATCAACCAAAAAAATGATCGATTGTTTAATGTGTACACGAATCGATATGTAAGTAATTTTTTTTAATGTTGTTATACGAGGTGCGTTCGATAATTAACTATTCTCACCTTGTTACCTTCCTCGTAGAATTTCCTGAGGAATTCCCCGATGTCTTCGACTTCTTCCACGCATCCTATGCTATTTTCGCGCTGTCTCTTTTCGATGTCTTCCTGCATCCGCCTCAGGCCCTCTTCGATGACGTGCAAATTGTTGCGGAAATTCCTCCGGCCTTTTACGAACATGCTCCACAGCCAGAAGCCCATGAACACGCAGACGGTCAGCCATATGGAAAACCCCACGCTCATCAGGCTTTCCTCCTTGTTTTCCCCGTTGTTTTCTTGCATTTTAGTAGTTTCTTATCACCATTTTCTAACACTCGCTAGTGAATGTATATGTTTTTTTGTCTGTTAACTGTTAGGAATCGAGGAAAGTTTTTATGGAGTAGCGATTGGTTTTAAATGAGAAATTAAACTAGCCGGGGTTTTTTAGAAATATATCAACTACCCCACTTTTCCTGTAGTATTTTCGAACGGGACACGTCAAAAGTATCGATGTTCGTACAAATATTTAATGGAAATTGTCGGGTTAGTTGGGGAAATAACGAGGGCAGTTCGATATATAAATGCATAATTTATTATTTTACTGCAGTATGTACAACACTTGTATCTTTTTCTTAACAATACATCTTCTTTGCAATCATTCAGTTTTAACGTAAAATAATATCGATTAATTCTAATAGGAACAATAATAATAATTATAAATATAATAAATAAAAAGTGGAATAGTTCGCATTAAGTATAGTATTCATGGAATATTATGATGAATGGTAGAATTCGGATAATGTTCGTAAATGCATGTTTAAAACATCTTCGGTTTCTTTAGTAAATTTATCAATGAAAATTGATCGTTCTGATCCTCTTTTTGCGAAACGTCCGACGATTCTCAACTGAAACGAGACGAATTTTGTAATTTTTTGGGAAATTTGGGGTTTTTTGGAACTTTTGGTTTGAGTATTGTTTTTCGAATAAAATCCGTTTTTTTGTGTCGAGTAGTTTTCGAGATATTTGAGGTTTTTTATAGGGTTTAGAGTTTTTAGTATTAGAGGTTTTAGGATAAAAAATCGAAATATCTCAAAAATTTGGTCATTTCTGAAAATTTCCTATTCTTTGAAACTTGCAGGGAATTGTTTCTTCTATAAAATGATCACATTTTCTCCACAGAGAACCATTTTCCAAAAAACCTACCACATCTCCTATATCCAATCTATCACAATCCGGCACGAAACCTCTAATTCCTCTAAAAGACGGCACCGTAGAAAAATCCACTCCCAACGAAACCGGTCTCTCGTCATCACCATCGATCGTCCGTTTAATTCGAACACCCTGTACCAATTTCGAATGGTACTTCTTCGATATTATACACCTAATAGACTCCCTTTCATCGTCGCTCACTTGAACAAAATTTAAAGCAATTTAATTAGTCCAAAATTATTTCCACGAAATCGCAGTAGGCAAGACGAAAAATTTTCCTAGTAGGTCATGCAAATTGTAATTAAAACCGCAAATCAATTTACCGTGGAAAAAATGACACTTGTCGCTCTCTCCGATTTCCACAATCCTCCCTATTATAAAAACTCTGGTAAAAGGGACGGTTTTGTATAAGAAATAATTCAATTCGCTGGTAGCTTCGTATAAATCTCTAATAAAAAACGGAACGCATCTGTGATAATCCAAGTCTTTTCGCTTTAACGAATCCACTTCGTCTGGATCGTTTATCGTGCAAATAAATCCTGAAAAAAATAGAAGATATTAATGGAAATTAATTCGTTTTGTATTTATATTTACCTTCTTCGTTTGGTTCATTATTTTCTGGTATTTCGCTACTCCTTCCTTCCGCAGGATCCTCTTCCGAACTAGTTTTTGAATGCAACGTTTCAACTGAAAAAAATTAAACGATTTTAATCGATTTAATGGTAGAATCGAATGCAATTTTCTATATTCACCTTCTTCGTCTGTTTCATTATTTTGTGATATTTTCCTACTCGTTTCTTCCATTTGATCATCCTTTGGGCTAGTTTTTGAATTCATCGTTTCGACTGGAGCATAAAAAAGTAATCGATTTAATGGTAGAATCGAATGCAATTTTCTATATTCACCTTCTTCGTCTGTTTCATTATTTTGTGATATTTTCCTACTCGTTTCTTCCATTTGTTCATCCTTTGGGCTAGTTTTTGAATCCAACGTTTCGACTGGAGCATAAAAAAAATCGAGCGATTGTAATCGATTTTATCGTTGAATGGATTGCAATTGTATACTTTTTAATATCGGTTGATCCGCCACGTTGCCAGATAGAACGTTTTTCGATCTCGTTGCGCCTTCATTTGTCAGCTGGAACATTCGAGAGACGGTTTCTGGAAAGGAGAAAAGCATTCATGTAGACTCTATGATGTTATCGATGTATTCCGGATAACTTGCTTTTTATATCGGGGGTAGCTCCATCTGGATTCAAAGACCAATCGTCGGTGTCCGGCCCGTCTAGTAGGCGGCTGAACAACGCTGAAAAATATTGTTTATTGTTTAAAAAGTATCTGAAATCTTAATATTGTAATACTATAAGAATTACTTACCGTTCCTTTCGGAATCGCTATCTTCTTCTTCTTCTTCTTCTTCTTCTTCTACTCGATTAATCATTTTGAATAAACGAATAATCGCTAACTAAAATGCATTGAAAAACTCACATCGCTCGCGTATAAATAAATTTTTGTTTTGAAAAAAGTAAGGTTATGTTGTGTTCTACTTCTTCTTCTTCTTTTCTATTTTGGGCTTTATCTTTTAGGATAATTCACCCAGATGTATCGGGAGGAAGTGCTTTCTTCTTGCTCTAAGCAATTAAACACTTCCAATAGTTTTTCTTGAATATTGAATTTTATTTATCTTGGAGTTATGTTGTGTTTTGTTCGAAATCGCAAAATACTGACAGAATAGCCTAAGCAGTTTAGGCCTCAAGGCGAAGAAATCGTAAATTGACAGAAAACTGTATTTAAAATAGCCGCTAGGGGGCTAAAAAACCGACGCCATTTTATGTCCAAATCGAAAAGTTAAATAAAAAAAATATTCCTGAGAAGTATTTAGGAAGTTATTTACAAGTCTAGGGAAGTTCAAGGGAGTCCTGTGATATCCGGGAAAGTCCGGGAAATTATAAAAAATCTCGAAAAAGTTTTATTACCAATAAACCTCTCTTAGCTTTACAACAATTTTTTTCACTATTTCGTATGCAATAATTACCGAACTGCCGCTTACCGTGAATAAAAAAATATTACAAACCCACGCAGGAAATACAAATTATAGAAACTAACGTAATTTTCAGGCGGGATTTTAACGACTTGTGAAATCGATAAGCTGTTGAAATATTAACAAAGGTGAGCGTTAAATCGCCTTCAAACTAGCCACAACAATAAAACTAGGCCTGCTCGATTTGCTGCTCATTTGCGATAGTTTTACAGTAAATATCCAAATTATTATGGGAATCAGCGCGAGCATGGGGAAAATCTGCGATTCGGGGAAACGCCGCTCGGAAAAGCGCGGGTAAGTCGATTTTTTCTCGTGCAATTTTCGCCTTTAAACGACGAAAATAAATTAATTGCAGCGCGTGTTTTGAAAGTGTTCACGCAGATTTTATCAAGTGTGCACGACCAAAATTATTAAAAATCTCGTACGATTTATTATATAAATAAATACGAAACGTTTGCGAAATCAGTTCGAATCCGAGTGTCCGGTGTATCGGCGACAAAACGTGATTGATAATTGAGAAAATTAAAGTAAAAGAGATATAATATGAGTTCGACGATATACGAATATTTTTCCGGATTCGTACCTAGTAAAAGGTCAGTTGTTAGTATATTGCATTATTTTGCACTCTACGCTTTTTGTAATTACGTATATTTAATTGTTCGAAAAACAGGTATTTAAATTGTAATTGCTTTTACATAACGTGGTATTATTAATTTTTTACAATATTATTATCACAAAACGTTAATAATTTACTTCTGAATTTGACGTTCCATGAAAAATTTCGAATTTGACATTTGATTAACAAAATGGCACTGCTTTGCCTACTAGAAAAAAATAATGCAATCTGATTGAAAAAACGCCGGTTTCGTTTAGAAACTCAACCTAAAACCAATCCAATTCGAGCCAAGGTAATCAAAATCATTTTCTACCGAGTTTATGTTTATTACAACGAAAGTAACCGATTTCGAAACATTCTACTCTAATTATCTAATCACCTTGCGCGCTGTTGCCACATCGACCTTCCACCATATCTAATCTCAAACCGCATTCAATCAATTTTATTCGCGATAATTAGGCGACTTCACCACATTTTCATCCTCTACCAACATCCGAGTACCCCCAAACCGCAGCCAACAAAAATAATCGAATCCAGGGAAAATTCCACCCAACCGGCAACGCTGCTCGATGACGTACAACTAATAATACATACCTATCAGCTGATCACAGCATACAGAGCGTCCCAAAAACACCAACAAAATCGATACGATTCGCAATTTCCTTTCCACTCTTTAGAGGGGACACCCTGTATATAGTACATTGCGCGTAACTGGATAAATTGAACAGCTTCATAGGAAATACCCAGCAGTAATATCGAGTCTGTCGTTGCTTGCAGTAACGCCGAGCCAGATCGATTGCCAAATTCGCCAGGAGAACCGAATCCAAATCCAGGAAAAAATATGGATAGAGATCGAGTAGGCATGTGGGGAAGCGGGGACTCCTCCGTGGTGCCCGGAACCGTCTCCGGATTGGACAGATTGAGATTGCCCGGTGTAAATAAGGTACTTTTATTTATTATTTATTTTTTCTATGTATATTTCATGCTTGTATAAATGTAATACAAGGACGAAAGAGTGAATGGAATCGATTGAATGTTATGAGGCGGAGAAGGGTCGTAATATTAATGATTAATTTGTATATATCGTGGACTGTTCCTATTCTCCCTGAGTTGTTCTAGATCATTATGGACAGTTCTGATTCTTCCTGAATGATTCTAAATGGTCCAAAAGCATCCTAAATGGTTCTGGACAGTTCTGATTCTCCCGGAAGTGTTCTGTATCGTTCTGAACAGTTCTGAACTAGAAATGCATATTAAATGCATACTAAATATAGGAGTTCTTGGGAATTTTCACTAGTACTCTTTGCACTCTTTGTCCTTGCAATTTATCTCCTTATATTGTGTACGTTTGTGTAATTAGCGTTTTCTATGAAACGAAAAATGTTTTGTCTTGTTTAGGTGCTCGATATTGATACGGTAAATAAATTCTTTTTTCGTTTCGCCGTGTCATCGTGTATTTGTAAGGAAATTAAGTATTTTTGTGTCTAGCATTTATGCAAATTTAACATTTACTGCATAATATGTAAAAACAAATAGCCCATTATGTACTACATCAGTAATAATTATTTAATTACATAATTTTAGATATGATTTTTTGTATCCTCTCTGCGGTAGTGTAAACAAAACCTTTTAGATTACACACAAACAAAACCTTTAAACCTTATCCCGATATTTGTTTTGTACAAAAGCGAAATATTATTCCGAAATTGACCTTGCACATTCGTGATTTTCGTCTTTCAAACGTCCATTAAATTTAAAACAGATATATAATTAAAAATAATCTACAGATATTCACCTATATTTCGCAACATCGTGACGTCACGTCTCCGATTATTGCGAGAGAGCTGTACCTAATGTACTCGAAAGGAAATGGTTGTAAATATGAAATTGGAGCGAGTGAATTGAATTGTGTACGAGTATTGAAAAGTTCAAAGGGCTATTTTTCGAATTAAATTATAAAATTAACGCTTGTCTTTCTAATGACTTTCAATATCGCGGCGAAAATAAATATTTATGTCGAGTGTGTAAATATAAACAATGCATATAATATATACAGGGCGTTTCGAAATAGATTAAATATTAATGAACCTATTGGTTATTGGAAATATCAGGTTACAGAAGGATGATTGTATTTAATTGAATACAATTGGTAATATAATATCGAATAGTCGATAAAATAATCTAAAAATTCCCGTAATTTACTATCATTATAAATTTATTTTACTAGCTTTAAATTCGTTTAAATAGAATTTTACGAGCATTATTTTTTTCAAATTTATTCTTAGCTTTTGTTAAACGTTTTCCAGTACAAGTACTTACCTCTAATCTGATAAGTTAAAAAATGTAAATTCCCAGTAATTAGGTAACTAATAATCTAACGTTTATTTAATATTATATTTAGTGTGTTTTGATCACCTTTGATTCCAATTAAGATATCGATTTTTATGTAATTCGCCTGATTATTTCCGTACATTTTTTTCCTATATTTAAATATCTCATATTCCCAACCTAATCGAATAAAATCCTCGAACAACCACACTAGATCTCCCCCAAAATTCCCCCAAATTCCCGGCCGAACAGCCAACTAACTTCCTAGAGGAATAACAAGATCTATTAATTCTTCTTTTCGTAGGGCCTGGCCTTCTCCTTCGAAGAACGCCAGAAACTCGGCATCCACGGCCTACTGCCGCCCGTCGTCAAAACCCAACAACAACAGATCGAACATTGCAAGATGTGCCTCGACAGGCTCGACGACAACCTCAACAAATACCTCTATTTAATGGGACTACTAGTAAGTATTCGTGAAGTACAGATCAAAAAAATCGATTTCTTCTTCTTTTTTTATTCGTACATACGAGTGGCCTTGTTCTATGCATTTCCCTCTACAGGATCGCAACGAGAAATTGTTCTACGCCTTCGTACGCCGATACGTGCACGACATCATGCCGCTGGTGTACACTCCCGTAGTAGGCCTGGCCTGCCAGAACTTCGGGCTGGTGTACCGAAGACCCCGAGGCCTCTACGTCACCGTCTACGACAAAGGACACGTCTACGACGTCCTCAAAAACTGGCAAGTACACAATCGAATCCACCCGTATAGATCTTCTTAACCGATTACCCGACGAATTCCAGGCCGGAACCGGACGTGCGCGTCATCGTAGTGACCGACGGCGAGCGCATCCTCGGCCTCGGCGATCAAGGCGCCTGCGGCATGGGAATCCCCGTGGGGAAACTATCGCTCTACGTGGCCCTAGCGGGCATCAAACCCCACCAATGTCTACCCATCACCATCGACGTGGGCACCAACAACGAGCGACACCTCGCCGATCCGCTGTACATCGGGCTGCGGCAGCGACGAGTAAGAGGCCAGCAGTACGACGAACTCATCGACGAGTTCATGGAGGCGGTGGTGAGGCGTTTCGGCCAAAACACCCTCATACAATTCGAGGATTTCGGCAACCAGAACGCCTTCAGGCTGTTGGAGAAGTACCGGAACGATTATTGCACGTTCAACGACGATATACAAGGCACCGCCAGCGTGGCTGTAGCTGGATTACTCGCCTCGTTGAGGATCACCAAAACCAAACTATCGGATCACGTGATGGTGTTCCAAGGAGCCGGCGAAGCTAATTTAGGTATAGCCGAATTGTGCACGATGGCGATGATGGCGGAGGGTAGTAGCTCGGAGGAGGCCAGGGGGAAGATCTTCATGGTGGATTCCAAAGGATAGGCCCGAAGGCGGGGTGACGGGGCACAAGTTGCACTACGCGCACCGGCGCGCCCCCATCAAGACGCTGGCGGAGGTGGTGAAGACGGTGAAGCCGTCGATTTTGATCGGGGCCGCCGCCGTCGGGGGCGCTTTCACCGAGGAGATACTGCGGGAGATGGGCAGGAACAACGACAGGCCGGTGATATTCGCTTTGAGCAATCCGACGGACAAGGCCGAGTGCACCGCCGAGCAGGCTTACGGGGCTACTGATGTAATTATGCGAGGGATGATTGGAATGTGATTTGTTTAATTGGGTTGATTTTGCTTTGTACAGGGTAGGGCGATCTTCGCCAGCGGCAGTCCCTTCGATCCGGTGATGTTGAATGGTAAAAAACACGTGACCGGGCAGGGGAATAACGCTTATATATTCCCGGGGGTCGGTTTGGCGGCCATTTGTGCTGGGATTAAGAATATTGGCGAGGATCATTTCCTTATGGCGGCCGAAGTGAGTTCAGTTTTTCTATTTTTCTACACCTTGTTCCATTTCCGATTGCAACATGGTCATTTCTATGAGTGTAATAGAAAAAGATTAATAAAATGACAGCTGTCAGAGTGAAAAGTTACAATGACACAAATGTCACTCTTTCCTTTTACTTTATAAGTGTCTAATTGCACTCATAATCTATATAACCTATGTTGCGATCAAAAATGGAGCAACCTGTATATATTTTTTCATTTATTAAATTCATTTACTTTTCCCCTGTATTTGGGGCAGATGTAGAAGCGAGTGCTGGGACTTTGCTCGTATCTAGGTCTGGTCAAATCGCGAATAAATTGAATATATACGGCCAATATTTGTTTCGTCTATAGTTTAATCTGTATTATTTTGCCTGATTGTATGTTTTTAAATTTAGAAACTTGAACTTTTAATTATATTATTGCGATGTCTCGTTATCATCACTTAGGTTATATAATATATTTTACAACAAAAGATAAGATGCGATTTTATAGGTCAAGTTCTTTGGATCCAACGTATAAGATATATCCGGGTAGTTCTGATTCGTCCTTAATCATTTTACATGATCCTGAACCGCCCTAAATGGTCCTGGACAGTTCTAAATTGTTCTAAAACAGTTATAATTCGTTTAGAAGCAACACGAAATAGTCCCGAACAGTTCTGTTTCTACATTTTGCATTCTATTTCATTATTTGTACTTACCGGTTGTCCCAAAATATACTCGTTTTATATCGAATTAATAATCTTTTCTTTTTCTTCAGGCCTTGGCTAATCTCGTGTCCGAAGAAGACTTGGAAAGCGGAAGCATTTACCCGCCTCTCGACCAAATCGTGAACTGTTCGATAAAAATCGCGTCGAAAATCGTGGAGTACAGTTATAGGAAAGGTATTTTTGCGAATAATTTGCCTTGGAATAGGTTAATTAAGCGTGGTTTTGTTGCAGGAAACGCTTCAGTGATGCCGGAGCCCCGCGACAAAGAAGCCTTCGTTAAAGAGCAAATGTACAATACGGATTACACGTCCGCTTTCCCCGCGGAATACTCCATTCCTAAACTCTAAGTAAGATAACCGTTTTGAAATAAATATTATATATCTCTTGTTAAATGTAACGTTATTGAAAATTAAATATTTCCCGTTTTATAAATTTTACGTCGTTTTATTTTGGGCTGAATAACCGAGTAAGTTAAGGCAAGCCAATTTCGGAACGCACCCTTTTAAAATTATTAATAAACAAAAACGAAGAAGAAACGTCACTGTCACCTGTCAATTATGATGTAATCTAATCCAAAATCCGACGATTGAACGGTTCGTGCCAAGCCAATTCGTTTCGGGGGTGTTTGGTGATCGCCGTGGTGGAAAGTTGGAAGTGATTTCCCGCAGGAGGAGCTCCGCCCGTTGCATGTCATCGCTCTGAGGCCCCGCAAACATGCTGTCTCTCATATCGCGCACTTTATTGTGAGTAATAATTCCCCGAATTCCCAGTATGCTGGTCGGGTTTTTCGGTTTACGTTCTATCGATTTTCTCCCGGACTAAAAATACATTTTCTTTTCGAATTTTGAGCGACAGAATATAAATAGTGTTGGCTAGATAATAAATTGATGAATCGAGAAGAGCGCTACTTGTTTGTAATAATTTAAATACCCTTTATGATGAATGGAGAAAAAAATTTGTGTTATAGGAAACACTCGCAATTTATTATTGTTAAATGGAAAAATACTAAGTAAAATTTATTGTATCACTAACAACATTTTTCTATACTTTTAAAATGCAAAAATATCACCCTATGTTAGTAAAAGTACATAAGAAAGTTATAGTTTGTTTAAATTGAAAGTTCATAAAAGTGCTTTAATAACTATCGATGAATAATATAATTTCATTGGAATGTCCTTGTTCTATTCCACGGTCAGTTTACAATCCTTTATTCAGAAGGTGAAGGATTTTATTCTCTATACAATTTCTATTTTTATATAAAGCTTCTTAGTAGTTATAGACCTACAAAAAAAAGTTTTTATTCAAACAAACGACGCACTTTCATTATTTGCATGTTAAATATAACATTATATAATTTGTGCTTTGTTATTTAGGCTCTGCGACAAACAGAACAAGCCTTATCATTCATTCAATTCGTTTAATAAAAAAATAAAAAAATATGAGAAAATCGTTGATATTTTATCTCGAGTATTCCACAAAAACGGATGTAAATGTATTTCGCTTCAATTAATCCTTGGAATTCACGTTAATTAACATAATTATCGTGTCTCTAAACTCTCTAAACACGTTGAATATTTCGTTAAATTTTTTATTCGCTGTTTTCTGGATTAATTTAGATGTTTACATAACGAATTTTCAATGGAAATACCACGTATTGGTAGCCAGCCAATTGTACCCAGAACGCTCGAGATAAGCCGAGTTATAATTTAAATTTATCTATTGTTACCACCGATAGACTATCTAATGATATTTAATATCTATTATAACTACCTATTCTTTTTCAAAAATAAAAAATAAACCACACTTTATTACCTAAGCAAAAATGTATTTTATTACTATTAATACAATAGGCAAGTAAAGAGGACAATTTAGTCACATTTTTACCATCAATACAACAATTCCAAAGTATTACGATTAAATACAGTAATTATTTGCAGATCTAGATCGGTAACGACCGGTCAGAAGGCCCTGCTGTTGGAGTCCCTCAAGCACCCGAACGCGGACGATCAACAAACGAGGACATTCGTCGGAGACGTCATCTCCCCGGGCCAGCTGATGGGCATCGAACATCTCAGAGACCCCCGCTTGAACAAAGTAACTCGCCCACATCGCGTCTAATTTATATTTTTTAATTGGTTATCTTTATAGGGTTTGGGCTTCACGTTGGAGGAGCGCCAAGCGTTGGGCATCCACGGCCTCCAGCCGGCCCGCTTCAAAACGCAAGAGCAACAGTTAGAGCTCTGCCGCATGTCGATCGAGCGCTACCAGGAGGACCTCAACAAATACATCTACCTCACCGAGTTGCAGGACCGCAACGAGAAACTGTTCTTTCGGCTGCTGTCGGAGAACATCGAACGGTTCATGCCGATCGTGTACACGCCCACCGTCGGGCTGGCCTGCCAGAAATTCGGGCTGATCTATCGCAGGCCGCGCGGCCTCTTCATCACCATCAACGACATCGGGCACGTCTACGACGTGATCAAAAACTGGCCGGAGCCCAACGTCAAGGCCATCGTGGTGACCGACGGCGAGAGGATCTTGGGCTTGGGCGATTTGGGCGCCTGCGGCATGGGCATACCCGTCGGGAAGTTGGCTTTGTATACGGCTTTGGCCGGTATCAAACCGCACGAGTGTCTGCCCATCGTGTTGGACGTTGGAACTAATAATCAAGTACGTGTGAGATTTGGTTTAATTGAAAATAGTTTTTTTTTTTACTTGGGATGGAAGAAAAACGTACCGTATATCAATTTTTTCGATGAAAAAAACACCCTGTATGTCAAATTAAATGTCAACGGAAATGACAACTTTGACAGTTCGAAGTTTGTTCATCGCCGCTGTCATTAGTGTGGGTTTTTTTTAATAATTTGATCGTTTTTCGTTTTTTTTAAATATAAATGACGAAGAAGCATATATTTCTGCGAATTATTGCAATCTCTTTTATTCTCCTCCATTAATTGTCTAAATAACGGAAAAGTTTCTCATTTCGGTGTAGTTCCGTTTAAACCAAACGAACGCGCAACGTCCGTCAAACAATTCATTTCAAATATCTGTCAAAAATTTAACTTTTTAATTTCGATTTAGAGGCCACAAACTAATTCATCTAACAAAAAGAGGTCGATTTTCGTAATCGGCGAATATTTTTACGCCCCCCTATGTACCTCCGTATACCCCAAAAAAAGATTTTAAATCTCGCCGATCCCAACTCGATTCCATCTAATCTAGTGCGTTCAAAACGTTACAGAACCTCCTCGAAGATCCCCTCTACGTGGGCCTCCGCCAAAAACGTTGCACCGGCAAGCTCTACGACGACTTCGTCGACGAATTCATGGAGGCGGTGGTGACGCGCTACGGCCAAAACACCCTCATACAATTCGAGGATTTCGGCAACCACAACGCCTTCCGTTTTCTCGACAAGTACCGCGGCGAGTACTGCACGTTCAACGACGACATCCAGGGCACCGCCAGCGTGGCCGTCTCCGGCCTGTTGGCCTCGAAGCGATTGACCAATAAGAAATTGAGCGACAACAAGTTCCTGTTTTTGGGGGCCGGCGAGGCGGCCATCGGCATCGCCGATTTGACGGTGAAAGCGTTGGAGAACGAGGGGCTGTCGTTGGAGGAGGCGCGCGATCGCATCTGGATGGTCGACATCGACGGGCTGTTGGCCGTCGATCGGCCCGAAGGCAATCTCGAAGGGCACAAGAAGTTCTACGCCAAGAATCACGCGCCCATCAAGAATTTCGCGGCGATCGTCAACGAGATCAAACCGTCCGTGTTGATCGGTGAGAGGTTTTGCTAGCGTTTCGAGACTGTTAGGAATTGGTTTAGGACCGATTCGGAAATGTCCAGGATGATTTAGAACGCTTCCGAACGAAGTAGAATTGTCTAGAACATTTTAGAATCGTCTAGAATCGTTTAGATTGCTTCGGGGGCTATTCAGAATGGCCGAGAACAATTTAGAAATGTCCAAGATGATTTAGAGCGCTTCCGAACGAAGTAGAATTGTCTAGAACATTTTAGAATCGTCTAGAATCGTTTAGATTGCTTCGGGGGCGATTCAGAATGGCCGAGAACAATTTAGAAATGTCCAGGATGATTTAGAATCATATAAAACTATCCCAAAATCAACTATTTAAATTACCTGTTGAAAAAACTAATCTATAGAAAGAAAAATCTTCCCCACAATACCATTCTTTCCTTTACCTTCCCGTATAACACTGGTATAATTTATCTTTGTCGCACCTCATAATTTGCACTTGTACCTCTATGTATTTATTTATTTGTTTATTTTTTTCAGGAGCCTCCGCGGCTGCCGGAGCGTTTACGCCCGAAGTGCTCAAATCGATGGCCCAATTCAACGAGAGGCCGATCGTTTTCGCGCTGAGTAACCCCACCAGCAAGGCCGAATGTACCGCAGAACAAGCCTACACACACACAGAAGTATATACACTGTGCTTCATTCGCGATTGCAACATTGGGCATTTCTATGAGTTGAACAAAGAAAGATTAATTAACAGTTGTCAGAATGAAAAGTTGCAATGACAAATAACACAAATGTCACTCTTTCTTTTCCGTCTTTGTTGCACCCATAGCCCATGTTGCGATGAAAAATGGAGCAATCTGTATAACGTAGCTTCGATATACAGGACGTTATTAAATTCATTCTCGTTAAATTTCTGTCGTAGGGCAAGGTGATATTCGCGAGCGGTTCCCCGTTCGGTAAAGTGGAGTACGGAGGGAATACTTTCTATCCGGGCCAAGGAAATAACGCTTACATATTCCCCGGCGTGGCTTTGGGCGTTTTATTGGCCGGCATTCATCACATTAACGAGCAAATATTCCTGATCGCGTCGGAAACCATCGCGGAGAACGTGTCGGAGGAGGATTTGAAAAAGGGCAGTTTGTACCCGCCGATTTCGGCCATCGTGGAATGCTCCAAGCAGATAGCCGTGAAGATATTGAATTACGCTTACGACGAACGTGAGTCTTTAATTATAAATAACTTTATTCGCTTTATAGGTGATGTTATAGTTTGAATACATCGATGGCCGCCGGCTGAATGATACCTTAGTTAGAGACCATCTGTCATCTGTCAGATTCAAACTACAACACTACCGTTGATTGTAATGTTATTATTATTATTGTATTATTTTGTTAGGTATCGCTTCGGTGTATCCGAAACCGAAGGATATGAGAAAGTACATTGAAAGCCATCAGTTTAATTACAATTACGAGCCGTCGTTGCCGCAAAGTTGGCCTTGGCCGAATCCGCCTTACATCAAAACGAGACCGATGGAGCCCGTCAAGTTGAAAGCGTAATGTGCTTTTTGTTTTTCTGAATATAGAATTAGATAAATTATTAACGTTGTTTAACGATTTTCTTTTTTTCTCGGTTTTTTTTTATTGTATAAATTTGTTGTTTAATTTTTATTTATTGTATAGCGATGTAAATACGGAGTATCCCGGTATTAAAAACGAATGGGATTCGTGTGAATTCCCCGAATCAAATTCAAGTTATTAGGTTTGTTCTAAATGAAGTTGTAACAAACTGATTGTTTGTAAAGTATTAAATTTGTATTATTTTTTTGTTTTGTTTAACCAATAGTTAATCAATCTAGTCTAATGATAAATTTAATTAATCATCGAGATGTCTGTAAGACATGATAATTGAACAATTTTTAATTAATTGTGATAGTGCGCTCCAAAAAAAATTACATTATTATTAATTTCCAAAATTTGTAATTGCGTATATCAAATTGATCGTATGGCAATACGAATTAATCCGCGTACTAGTTATTAAGTATTGAATTGTTAATTTTTAAATATTTTTATTACTATATAAACGGTGAAATAATAATGTGTGTGCAATTGAATAAAATAATTGACCGATGTAATAAACCTATATAATGTTGGATTACAAATTACTGGTGTCTTTTAATGTAGCCTTTTATCCCTTTAGATTCGATTTTTAAAAAAATTCATTTGATTTATCTCTCGAGTTTTTGTTACCGAATTTCAGTTTGATACAATGAAAATAAGTATAATTTTATGACATGCAAATTACAATTATCCTTAATTTTGGGACATAATATGAATCGCATCCGATAGACTGAACCTTCCTCTATGCAATGAAGAATTTTTTTGAAAATCTACAAGTATAACGAAATTGCCAGTATTTGAAGGTAAACATTTTTTTTACTTTTTTCTCTAACGAACGAACACCAAAATCCTTCATTATCTAACTGAAGGTAATAGAAACATAATTTGGAAATGAAATCCTTTATATTTTTTGAGATTTGAATCCTCCAAAGTCTCGATTTAAAAAAAAAAAAATTGATAACAACAGTAATGGTGGTTGCATACGGTCAAATATCTAGGAGCAAGAAATTTGGCAACCCTGCGAAAACATGCTGAAGTTAGCCACGCATTGACATTGACAGTTTTGACGTTTCGCCCGAAAGTAAAATAGACAAGCTAAAATGTAACAATGGTGTCCGGGAAACAGGAAAAACGAAAACTACCCTCGAAAGAAATGGTATTCGAAATTAACGACGAAGACGTTTCACCAGACAATTCCGATAACGAATGCAAAGAGACGGACGCCAAACATTTCAGATCGGACCCTAAATTCGTCGAAACCGTTGTAAATGCGATTTCTAACCTAGAAAACGACAACAAAACAGACCCATCAAATTCGCATGTAAACGCTGTTAACCAGGAAAATAATGTTACTACAGTTGTACAAGACGACACTATCTTAATTTTAGATTGTATAGACGGCGAGAAATCCCAAAATTTAGTCGAAACAAGCCTAATCGTTCTGGACGAAACTGGAAATGAAAATGGCGAAATCGAACCATCCTACGAAGAAGGCGAACTCTCCGTAAGCGTAAACATCTCAAACCAATGCCTCCCCGACGAACGAACCATCGAAATAAAATTCTCCTCCAACGATCTAAGCGAAACCTACAAAACCAAATTCCTAAACTTCTTCAAATCCTTCACGGAACTCAGCGTACTCAAAGACGACCAATCCTCGCTCGTCCTAAAGCAAACCCACCCTTCGGATAGCCCTTTCGAAACCTCCTCCACGCCGGACAAATCCAAAAAGAAGAAAAAGAAAACCGCCAAAAAGGAGAAAGCCTGCTTCGTGTTGGACACGAACCCCTCGCAAGACGAGACCCCCAACAGCGCCTACACCAAATACATGAGCAAATTCCACATAGACCTCGACAAAGAGGAGGACCCCAAGGCGCCCGGGCAAGTCTGCTTCAACTGCGAGGGCGGCCACTGCCTCAGGGACTGCCCCCTGCCCAAGAACTTCACCAAAATCCACTCGATGCGGCAGAAATTCAAAAAAGACAAACAAGTCTCGTGAGTACCGCACATACCGAAACCTCCAGCAACATTTAACTCCCATTTTTCAGCCGGGTACCATCTGGAAGAGGACCAGAAATTCGCCCATCTAACGCCCGGAGTGATCTCCGACAGGCTCCGGGAGGCGTTGGGCATCGACAAGAACCAACTGCCGCCTTACATATACCAAATGCGCATGCTCGGCTATCCGCCCGGCTGGCTGGAAGAGGCCAAATTCGTCTACTCCAATTTGGCCATGTTCGATCCGGACGGGAAGTCCCTCAGGCTGGAGAACCGCCGGAAACAGCGGAATTTGGATTCGACCAAAGTCATCGAGTATCCGGGTTTCAACGTGCCCATGACGGACGATTGCATCGATGTATGGTGCATTTAAAATAATTATTATGTTATTATTAATTGTGTTTATTTAGGAGTACAAGCAGTACAGGGTACCGCCTTATTCCGAGCAATACAACAAGGCGGCCATGATCGAGTATTTCGAAAACGAATTTTCCAAACAACAGGACGATTTCGAGGTGCAGGATATGGATATCGATAACGATGAGGATAAGTGTAATGAAACATCTAATAGGGTGAGTGATGGTTGTAATAGATAAATGCAAATAACGGTTAATAATGGAGGTATCTCAAAGGTTTTCAAAGGATTCTAGAGATATGATTTCTCGGTAAAATTGCCGGTCTAGAATGTTTGTTAAAACCTTAGATCATATACAGGTTGCTTCATGTTTGATTGCAATAAATATGGGTGCGATAAAGACAACTTCCATTAGACACTTACAAAGAAAAAGGAAAGATTGACTGATTTGTGTCATTGCAACTTTTCACTCTGACAACTGTTATTTTATTAATCTTTCTTTGTTCCACTCATAGAAATGACCATATTGCAATAGGAAATGGAGCAAACGATATATGATCTGTTAAAACGCCTAATAACTGTCTAATTTCCTGTACAGGCGGAGGCCATCAGGGAAGCCGACAAGAACGTCCCGTCGCCGTCGCTGGTGGACTTGGAAGCGCAAAAACGCAACCTTTTGGCCGCCCTGGAGGACTCTTCGGCGTTGAAATCGGACGAAAACGCCGGCGAATTGCAAGACCTCTCCGAATCTTCAACTGCGAACAAAACCTTCGAAAGCGGTGGAGGAGAAGAAGAAGAAGAAACGTCGACTGCAAACAAAACCTTCGGAGGAGAAGAAGAAGAAAAGCGTTCGAGAAACGTGCTGAAGAGCACATTCGGAACGCCGATTTTGAAGAGCGGTTCGCCGTATTCGCGACTGCCTGATGCCGATAATTTCACGAAGGACGTGAGTCCTGTGATTAATTTCGAGAATCTGCCGAATTCGACGGGGAAGTACGAGAAGATGTCGGGGTTGTTGCAGAAGGTGAGAGAGACGTTGAAGAAACCGGCGGAAGTTGAAGAGGAGACGACGTGATGGCGCGACATTTTTTATTTGCCAGTACAAATGATTTTTTTTATTACGTGTATATGTATAGAATTTAATGATGAAATTTATAAAAGGTGAATCGTATTTTATTGTAATTCGAAATTCGAAAAATAAAAGTGATTATTTGATAAGTTTTCGGCGTTTGTTTGTTTATCGGAGGAGAAAAAATTGAGTAATAAAATAAACTTTATTTCAAAGATTCATCCAGGACTTTCCCCAGAAGTACCTCTCGATATAATAAATATCTCCCGATACTGGACTTCCTAGCATATTCTCCTTGCCTAATATCCGAAATTAATCAGAGATCGACGAAAACTTGTGCTCAATTCTCGAATTAAAACGTGAATTTAAAATTTTGTATTAGGAGAACAGAATGTGCGAGGAGGTTTACTTATGACGCTTATTAATCGCGCTCCTGTTCGATTACAAATACGTACAAAGGCAACCATTTAATCAAATTTCGGTAATTCTGGTTGCCTATCTATTGTATTAGTAAAGCGCGAGTAATAAGTATCAGGAGTAAACCTCTTCACACATTCTGCTCTCCTATTCATATTATATCTCAAAATTAAGTAAAAATTGAGATTTGTACACCGAAAAATCGGGCTTATTTTCATTGCTGCCAACTGAAATTGGGTTACCAAATCTCAACGCCCCTCTTAAGCCGGAAAATACACGATAAATAAGTCTAAAATAAAAAGGCATTTGGAATCGTGCAAACGAAATAATCATTTTAAAATACTCTTATGAAAAAATAGTTTATAGTTAGTGCAATCGTTTAGTAACTTATTTTTTTTCTGCGAAACAATTATAATAAATTTAAAATATACATATCCCTATATTTATACATAATAATATATCAAGATTACTAGATTGCTAAAGTATATATATATATATTTTTATTGAAATAGTTCACCGTTAACCCGAGTGTAAACTACATATTTTTTTAAACTTCCAGATCGAAGGCGGATATTTTGTTATTCCGATGACGAACTCTGACCCGGCGGAGGACCTCCCGAATTCTACAAAAAAAAACAAACAATTCAGATACATTTATCCATATTCAGCCATTTTTTAAAATCGTAAATACAAGTTTAATTTGACAGATTTACATTGGTTGTTATGGAGTAACTAAGGAGATTCTTTCAAATTGACAGATTTACATTGTTGTTATGGAGTAACTAAGAGCATTGTTTAGTTTACATTAAAATCAGCGTTAAAAAGAATAATAGAGGTAAATTTGGAATAGAATGGCTGAATGATTGAGTAAATAATTAGAGACTTACGTTACGATTGTTGTCGGGCTTGGCGTTTATTTGGCTATCCTGAGGCCTCGGACGAAAGTAATACAAAAACAATGCGGTGACTAGAGCGAGAGTCAGAAAGAGAAAATGATCGGGATTGCTTTGATTCGGTCCTCCGGTACCTAAAAAATTCGTATAAAAAAAACATTAATACGAAAAACAAACAATAATAAAATGGTATGTATTTAATCGAACAATACATATGCAAATATTTAAAATAATATACGATTAAATTGGTACATTAACTCTTTAACAATACTAATTAATTTTTAGAGGAATTTTGAAAAAATATTTCTACGACATACTCGAAAAAAAAACAAAACAACTAAATAAGTCCATAATAAGTGATAAAATTTGACCTTCCCTACATCCATTAGTTTTGTAAAAAGGAAGTTTAGCATTGATAACATACCAATTATCTAAAGATAGGCATTTTAAAATGCAAAAAACCAATTAGAATTATTTAATAATTATTCAATATACTTCTTACTTACCATCATCAAGACATTCATTGTCAGTGCAATAAGACTGCGTATTTCTCAACTAAAACAACAATTAAATAGAAAAAAATCATCTTCCGGAGTATCCGATGATAAACGTACCACATTTAACAGCCTTCTCATGGACAATTCGTTATTCCACTGTTCCCAGAATATTTCGCAAAGATCGAATCCTTCTTTACTCATGTTTATGCCACAACTATAACTAATTATACCACATTAGTCGAGCAATATGTTGAGCGATAAAAACCGATACTCACCTTTTGGAAAGCCAACGGGAGATTTGTAAATATCACAGCTAAATTATCGAAAAACGAAAACCAAGAAATACTTTCCGTTGGGATTTAAAAGGATCCCATTTAGATTACGTTGTTTATTTATATTTTCGCCCGATCGTATGCTCCTGTGGCTGAAATGACAACACCACCAGTGACAGCTGTCATTAAATAGGAGCGACGTTGCCGCGTCGGCGAATTTACTCTCGCGTCATCTCTCTCTGACGCGTTCGATTTCGATCCGTTTTTCGGAGGGTGTAACGCGCACGTGGCAACAGCGCGACTGAAAAATCGCGTATGTGGATGCCTTTTACTTGGATGGTTTTGATTGGTTATGAAGTCATGCTGATAAAAAATTTAATTAATTTATATAATTGAATAGGTTATTATTAATTGTTTGGTATTAACGATTATAAAAAAGCGAAAAAGCGTTGGTGTTTAGATTTGCATCGTGGTTTTTAAACTTTTTGACTAACATGTCAAATTTGACAGTTAATGCTTGTTAATATTCTGAGAAAAAGAGAAGAAGAGAAAAAGGGCGAAAAGGAAATCATCCCTATCCTGAAGCGGCAGTTTCGAAATTAGTTAAATTGTGTGTAAATTGGTGTTTAAAAAATGAAAAAAGGATAGATGTTTGTGACGCAAATCTGGAACAAATATGTTTGGTTTTTCGATTTTTTTTTGATGAACATGAAAATGTAATTAGTTCACTAATATACCTAATAAGCAAATACACTTCATATACCAGACTTAAACCAGAAATCGATATGTTGTGTTATAGTTATAAAGCAGGAATGTATTTGATTTTTTTTGCCTTAATTATTACATAAAATGATGATTTTAACGTAAACTAAACAATGCCCTTAGTTCTAATATTAGTCTCCCCTACAACCATCTCTCGATAACGAACGGAGTATAATTAGAGGCCTTCAACATGTCGGGTATTCAAGAGCACAAAAACGCATCGAATGAAATAAAATACAGAGCTCCTACCCTGGATAATTACCCACGCACAAACTCTCCAGATTACAACAACAAACTAAACAAATTCGCGACAGATCCCATCCAACAGCGATCATGGGCAGTTCATTTTTGCTCTTCGAAATCTACCTCGATTTTCCGGCGCACCTTCGAGAATTTCCCTCGTCGATGGCGCTCTCGCAACCCGCGGGAGATCCGGGGAAACCCTCGAAAAACACGCTGGGTATAACCTATTTTACCAATGAGGTATAATTAACAATGAGGTTAATTAGTTTGTGGAAATATTTCGCAGATGTGGTCTTGTACTCGGTAATCACGACGGTTATTTCCGCTTTCGGGGTATTCACCAACGCCCTCTCGTTGATTGTGCTGCGTAGGAAGGAGCTGAACTGGTCAGTTTACACTTATCTAACAGGTAGAAATTTTAGTTATCGAGATTAATAAGGCGATTTTCTTGATATATTTAATGTTATTACAGTTCTAGCGGCGGCGGATTTGGCTATTTCGATTATGTTTCTATTAGGCGGACTAGCCAGAGGGACATTTTGTTCGACCAGTTTGTTCGCCTACGACACCTCCATAGGCCTACCGGTCGCCGGAACGATAAACTCCATGGCGGTTTTAGCGACAGTAGGAGTCACTATAGGTATACAATAAACGCTCTAAAATATAATTGCGATGCAATAGTTAATTGTAGATCGCGTGTTTTACCTTTGGAACCCGTCCAGATGCGGCAGACCGAAGTTTTGCGATCGAAAGGTAGCGAGAAAATCGATGATTGTGGGATTAATCGCGTGCATCGCGATAAATTCGCCCTATTGTTTCATATTCGAGCGAAACGCGCGCGGCGATTTGATCGTCTCCGAGTTTTTTCGATCCAGGTAAATATTACTTTCCGACCGCCCCTCGTAGCATCGCAACGCACTCGTTCGCTTCCGCTTTATATACACTTATTAGAATTTCGAAATTAGGCAGCCTAATTGGCGCGATCGGTAAACGCTTCTGGTATTGAATCGACACGTTGTTAGTTCGTGGGTTCGAGCCCACCCGACGCCGATCCGATTTTTTTCTTCCAGAAATTACATCTACTTCAACTGGTTCATGTTATTCCTGCTAACCATTATACCGGGCGTCGTTTTGATATCGGGCAACTTTTTCCTGCTAACCGCCCTGCAGAAAGCGAGACGCCTCAGCGCGAAGTGCTGCAGCACCGGGAAAAAACTAAATGCAAAGGTAAAAAAAAAAACCAATGCAAATCGACAAAAATTCTCCGAGCGTATCTACGAGGGTCGTTCGAATGTTACAGGAGCACACCGCCATGACTGCGACCCTCGTATGCGTGATAACGCTCTTCGTCCTCACCGAGATACCGGCGAATTTGCTGTCGAGGACCAGGGCCGTAACGTTGATATTCATCGGGGGCTACATGGACGCCGATTCGGAGCTGTTGGAGGCGACGAGGGCGGTTTGCACCCTGCTGGGCGCCCTCAACGCCACCGTAAACTTCCTCTTGTATTACCTGTTTTGTCCGCCATTTTGCAGGGCGCTGCGCGCCACTTTCGCTTCGAACAGAAACGTCCAAATCAATGTGATTGTGTTGAGTGATCACTACAGGAAAATTTTGCGGTCTTTATTCGAAAAAAACCACCGCGGAAATGCTAGTACTAGCGTTGTTCGTGCTACTACGGAGCCGGAATATTTAACTGTGTCTTTGTAGGTAATAAAAAATTTGGTGTATTTTATCGATTTCCTTTAAACAAAAAAATACCTCTAGCTACTCGTGGGGTTGGTACCGGTGTATCGATCGGTCCCTATCCCGAATCTGGCGCTTCAAATAAGCGAATTTGTACAGATGGAATATCAAATAGTTCCCGTGATCCAGCGTTAAATCCATCGGAGTTCTTCCTACGAAAAAACCAAACAACAACTAAAACCAATAACTGGAATCCAATCGCTCTGGGGGGCAATTACCAGTGGCGTCCCGGACGAATAGATCCCGTTCGACGTTGTTCAATTTGATGAGGTATTCGGCCAAAGGCAGGTAGCCCGTGATGGCGGCGTAATGGAGGCAATTCCGGTTTTCTATGGGGTGGACTTGATGGTGGTCCATGCCGTTCGATATGAGCAGTTTGAACATGTTCAGTTGCTTGTAGGTGTGGCAAATGAAGGCGCATTCTGGAAGTTCAATGATGTGTTCTGTTAAAAATCTAGTTAATAAACCTAAGAGGACCATGATGTGTGAATCTTGTGTTAATATAAGCTGGAGGACTGTTAGGAAATCGATGTTCAAGCGATCTGGAGTCGAGCAGAAGTGTTAAAAATGCAAGAAAACTGCATGTTAAGGACCCAAGAAAGTATTAAAGCACTTAAAAGAAGCATCAAGAACCTATTATGAGTAAAAAAAAAACTGCATATTAATGACCCAAGAAACTATTAAAGCATTTAAAAGAGGCATTAACAATCCAAGAAGGCTACATATTAATGATCCAAGTAACTAATAAAGCATTCAAAAGAATCATCAAGAACTCATTAAGAATCCAAGAAAACTACACATAATGAACCTGGAAACTGGAAAACTATTAGGCATTTAAAAGAAACATCAAAAACTTATTAAGAATCCAAGAAAACTACACATGAAGAACATGGAAAACTATTAAGTAATCAAAAGAATCATCAAAAACTCATTAAGAATCCAAGAAAACTACACACAATTAACCTGGAAAACTTTTAAGCAATCCAAAGAATCATCAAGATCTCATTAAGAATGCAAGAAAACTAGACATAATGAACCTGGAAACTGGAAAAGCCTTAAGCGATTAAAAGAATCATCAAAAACTTATTAAGAATCCAAGAAAACTACACATAACAAACCCATTAAAAGCAATCAAAAGAAGCACCAAGAACCCATTAAAAACCCCAAGAAACCTACATACTAAGCACCCAAAAACACAACCAAACACTCAAATCACACACCAAAACCCCCATTACAAAACCAAAAAACACCCCCCCAGGTTACCCAAAAGCAAGGGGAACTGCTTCCTGCCGGCCTCCGAGCTGGCCCCCTTCAACATCAAGTACTTAGCTATGGATATGGAGGGAACATCGAGCACGGCAACCGCCAACGGGGTCATATCGAAGACGTTGGCGCAATTGACGTCCGCCTCGGCCTCCACCAGGTCCACCACCAGGCCCATGTTGCCCGCGAAGCAGGCGTAGTGCAAGGCCGTGTAGCCGTCCTTGTCCTGGGCGTCCGGATCGGCGCCGGCCCTGAGCAGCAGATGGGCGATTTCCCTGCAATTTCCTGCTCGGGTGATGGGTGGAAGAGCTGGGGAGAGTTGTGGGTTGGGTACCCTTGGAGGCGACCGCCAGCGGGGTGAGTTCCAGGTCGTTTTTCAGGTTGAGGTCGGTGGTGGGGCGGTTGAGCAGCAGGTCGAGCATCTTGTAGTCGCATTTGTCGCTGGAGACGTGGAGGGCGGCGTCGCCGTCTTCGATGAGGAGGTTGGGGTCGACGCCCAGGTCGAGGCATTCGGTCATTTGGGGGATGTTGCTTTGGATGACTGCTTGGATGAATTTTTGGTTGAGGAGCGGGAGGGGCGGGGTGGAGTGGGGGGAGGGGGGGGAGGTGTAGAAGTCGAAAATTTTCATTTTTTTTTATAATTTTTGTGGGCGGCTTCTTCGGGGGTTGTGGGTTTTTTTTTTGGAAATTCGACGTTTTGGTGTGTCAAATTTTGATGGGTAATTCGTGGGGAAAAAAGAAGATTTTGTTGTTTAAATTTTTGGCCTGTTACTCTACCTTACTACAGAGACTATATTGTGGTGGGGTAGTCGAAAATTTTCATTTTTTTTCGGGGGGTTGTGGTTTTTTTAGAAATTCGACGTTTTGGTGTGTCAAATTTTGATGTGTAATTCGTGGGGAAAAAGAAGATTTTGTTGTTTGAAATTTTTGGCCTGTTACTCTACTTTACTTCAGAGAATATATTTACGTGTGTGTTTAATTAATTATGAATGAATCATCGCCTACTATAATAATGCTACATATCCGGTAAATCGAGAGAGAATTAAAGCAATTTCATGGAATTATATAAAACAGTTATTTTTTTTCATACGATGCAAATTGTAATTTCCCATTGACAATATACTTTAAGAAATTATGTTATTAGATTCATCCTTGATGAATAAAGTGAACATTTAAAAATGGATTTCAATGCTAAAGTAAATAGAAGACGACCCAGCCCGCGATTTGTCATTCATACAAATATCGGAATTATGCAAAAATATGCACAAAATGCATTTCTATAATTATGCTAAAATGTATTCGAAAATAGGCGAAAACAAACCCCCGAAATGATACAAAAATACCCTTCAAAATTATGTAATAATATTCACTGCATTTATGCAAATTATTTTCTAAAAATATGCAAAAATACCCTTCAAAATTATGCTAAAAACACCCTAAACTTATGCAAAAATACCATTAAAATTAAACCAAAATGCACCCTCCAAAAATATACAAAAATACCCATAAAAATTATGCAAAAAACACCTAAAATTTATACAAAAATGCCACCAAAATTAAACCAAAACGCACCCTCCAAAAACATACAAAAATACCCACAAACATCATGCAAAAAACACCCCAAATTTATGCAAAAAACCATCACCAAAACCCCCTCAATCCAACAATCCTATCCACCCTCATCACCTCCACCATTCACCACACAAACTTCCAATCCACCACACTCCCCACCACCGCCCCTCATCGAACCATTTCCCACGTGCTCCGCCAACAAACAAACACCCAAACAAAACCCAGTACCACTCAGTCTCACTCAGTACCCAGCGGAACTCCCGCCAATACACCACACCATGTGCGACATCAGCGCCAAAAGAAAACCCCTGGTGGTGATAGTGCTAATCACCTGGTGTTCAACCGCCCCGGGGGCGGCCCAGCAATACAGCCTCCCCCCCGCGTTCGTGCCGAACCCCGGCTCCACCGCGCGCCCCTTCCCCCCGGGGGGCTTCTCCACGTCGACGGGCCACCCGGGGGGCTTCGCCTACGACCCCAACGACCCCCGCAACGACTACGACCAGAGCGCCGGGCAGAGGCCCGGGGATTTACCGCCGGAGTTCGTGCCGAAGGGGGCGCGAGTGAACCCCGGGGGGTTCGAGGGGGCCGGCGGGGCGTTCGGGGGGTTCGAGGAGGATTCGTTCAGGAAGAGGAATCGATTGGAGGGCGATGTGAGGGGGTTGTTGCAGTCGCTGGACGTGCAGGCGTCGCAGATGTGCACCAATAACGTGGCTGCCCAGTGGAATTTCGAGACTAACATTAATCAGGCTACTCAGTTGGATGCTGTGAGTTGGTTTGATTTTTTTTTTTTTTTTTTTTTTTTTTTTTTTTTTTTTTTTTTTTTTTTTTTTTTTTTTTTTTTTTTTTTTTTTTTAATGTGTTTTAAAAGTGCTTTTTTTGGTTTTAAAAGAGTGTTTTATGTAGGGGGTTTTATAATGGCGGGATAATATTTTAAAGGGGGTGATTCTTGGAGAATTTTTAAGAAAAACCCTTCATACGAAAATACAGGGTGTCCCAATGAAAAGTACATCAGAAAATGCATCTTGATTCGTTGAAGAAGTGTGCGAAATTTCATAAAGATATCTACAAAAGTGTCACAGTTATTACAAAAATTTGATTTTTTTGGTGGATTTTTTTGTAAGGGTTGTTTTGGGATTTTTGATGGGTTTTAAAAGTGCTTTTTTTTGGTTTTAAAAGAGTTTTAAAGTATTTTATGTAGGGGGTTTTATAACGGCGTGATAATATTTTAAAGGGGGTGATTCTTGGACAGTTTTTAAGAAAAACCCTTCATACGAAAATACAGGGTGTCCCAATGAAAAGTAGCCCCTTTAGACGCCACTGTTGAAAATAACAAAATTATTTGTACATCAGAAAATGCATCTTGATTCGTTGAAGAAGTGTGCAAAATTTCATAAAGATATCTACACAGTTATTACAAAAAATTGATTTTTTTTCTTAAAACTTTAACACCATATATCTCAAAAGTTAAGAAGTTTAAGACAAAGGTTCATATGAAAAAAAAAATGGTTTCAGAAATCACATCCTTAAATATTAGCATGTCATTTTGGAACACCCTGTATAGGAAGATTTCTTGCGATTTTTTTTATTTGTATATTTTCACACTTTCAAACTTAATTTTTTTGAAATTTTTGGATGACTTTGGAAGCTCATGTGTGAAATAATTACTTGCAAAATAAATAAGCGAATCTAATTCCATTATACATGACCGTTTCGTTTACACTTTTCATGGCCTCCCAACAATTCAGGCATTATTTTGGTAACGAAATTTTCACCATTGACCGTTATTTTTTTAACCTTATCCATTAGAAGAAAAAAATCTTACCCAATAAACGATTTCTTAATAGACAATAGAAATTATATCGCGGCTATATTTCGGTTACAAGTTGTCAATTCGACCGCCATCTGTCACCTGTCAGCTGTCATAGTTATGCCGAATAGTCTCAGCTGTTGAGGTCTAAAAAAGAGAACTTTATCATTTGTCACCTGTCACCAAATCTATAAAATCGTCCTGTACTATACGGGGAATATAGAAAATAATAAAAGAACCTTTCATTTTATCACATTTTACGATCGTCTATCTAATACCATTTAATTAAGAAACGTTAGCAACAAGTGAAATTGTTCTATCAGAAAATATAGTTAGGAAGTCGTCTTGTGGGAAATTCTCCAACATTTACCGCACGGAATTCTCGCCATTGTTCATTAAAATTATACCTCTCGCTTTTATGATGCATAATGATTATACAAAACTCACCTGTTTTATACAGGATCGAACAAAAAGGAACCAAGAAACTTCATTATTAACTGTCAATTTGATTCCATTGCTACATTCATCAGGGTAGTCAATGTCAAATGTCAATTTTAAGTAACGTAAAGTCACAGCTTATACTAGATTCGATATACTTCAAATCTACATTACAAACTATAACTGTCAATCTTATTTGACGTATTTGTCAAAGTCACAGCTAGACTATTAAAATGATCAAAATCTACTTAATTTATTCAAATAATATTATTTTTTTTCCATTCTGTAAGTATATGTATAACCGCACGTAACCTAACAATAGACTCGAAGATTGCATTCAATTAACTTATCAATATTCCCGCGATTAAATTCCGAGTTCCTCGATAAGGTTTAACGTTATTTTTTTACGTAAAATAACGATAACCTACCAACGGTTAAGCAGATAATAGGGCGACGGCCTACTTGATTATTTTTACCACCTGGTTTCAAATAAACTTTTGCTTTTGTTTCTCGATTGTACATTAGGCAATGCCTGCTAGATTTTAACAGAAAACATTGTCCTTTTAAGTGCTTTATGTAACATTTCAAGAACATATACCGCGTCATTTACATATATACGTTATTTTTACTACAAAAAAATTAATAAAAACTCCAACAAAAGCTGTGACGTCACGAGATACACTCTTGATTGAAGTTGTGAGTTGTGACGTCATCGGAGGAATGTGGAGAAGAAGAAGAAGAAGAAAAAATGGCGGTTTTATAACGATCTTATCGCATGCCATCAATTCCATCAGAAATGTGGGACACTTCTGAAATTACATTACATGATTTCAATAATTATGACATTATTATAAGAAAACCTCGTGAGGAAAATAAATTTATTTAGAAAATAAAAAAAAAATGCGACCTTGTTACGCGTACGTAAGTGCGCCTATTAAATGGCGTGCTCTATTATTTTGTCATCTACGAGGGAAGGTCGAAAAGTCGTTTCGAAATTGTAGCAAAACATTCGAAGAATATACCTACTAGATTAGAGATATTTATAAAGTGTTTTAATTGCGAACGTTACAATATTATAGTATGTATTAATACTATTTACTACTATTACAATTATTAATTAATCACGTAACATAATCATTTTAATTCTTGTAAAACAAGTGAAATATTTCGAAAAAAACAATCCAAGTCTCATATTCCTGCCTTCGTTTGTAAACGTATAAATTCCATGGAAATTAATTAACGAATACTAGGAAAATAAGAAAAATATTATACATCTTTAATTACCAGAGGCGCTCCTTCGTCAGCTGATCCTTTTTTTTTCTAATTTTTATTTATTCTTCTCTCGATTGAATCGATTAGTTTTCTCGTCGAGATGACCACGATTATGCAAATAATTTACATACAAAATTACGTAATATTCAGTAGGTATAAAAAATAATAAATTCTCGGGATACACATCAGGGCGGGGAAACAACACATCAATGAATAATCGTTTTACTTGCATCGTAATTCTTCGAATTTACAATTAATCCAATCATTTTAAATAACAAAGTAACTGTGAAGTTATTTTTCGCCAAACCCATCTCTAGTGCAATGCAATTTCCCCTATCCAAATCGGCTCTATCAACATACATTAGAGGTGGATGATTCGATATAAAAGTCACAGTTACTTAAAGAAATAGCTTTGAAAATTCCATCCAGTAGAGTTCCAAATGATTCTAGAGAGTTCTAATTCGTTCTGCACAGTTCTAAATCATTTTGGAGATCTCTAAATTATTCTGCACAGTTCTAAAACATTCTGGATAGTTCTAAACGGGTCCTGAAGCGATCCAAATAATTCCGAATGGTTCTAAAATTGTTCTAAAGAGTATTAATTCGATTTATCTATTTATGTATGATGTACAGGATAACCTAATTATCGAGGAAGTAATAAGACTTACTGTAAATTGCGCCGCATGTCCTAAAACGAGCCTAAATTATTCCGAACCAAGCGCAATTTATCATCGAATTAGGGTTGGTTATCCTTGGATGAATCAAGATGTAATTATTTAAAAATAAAACGTTATATACCCGGTTATTAGTATGTCTTGTATGTACTTATTAATTGTTATTATTCATTGTTAATTTCGGTAAATTATTAGTCACCTAATCTGGCTAATTTTTCGTAAAATAATAGTCGAAATAAATCTAATTGCGATTGCGACATAAGGTATAATAAATGAATTAATTGCGGGTAATTTATTAGAATAAAAAACCTCAAATAGTTGTCGCTGATTACAGCACGAACAAAGGCCAAGTGCGATTGTAAAAGAGTTGAAAAAAAATTAAAAAGAAACTCCTTGACTTTGGCGAAAAGTTCACACACTTAATTATTACCAAAAAGTTTGTTATTTTTTTCTGTATAATAAAAATATATTTTTTTAATATCACATATGCATTGAAACCATCGGAAAACAATGGTTGTGCAACCTTATGGGAGTGACCATGGTCTATTCTCGGTTATATATATGGGGTCATAGGTCCACCTTGTTTACAGCCATCATTCGCGATCACATACCCAGAACATGTTTATTATTAATTATTTTATTAATTTAACCGCAACTATTATGTACAGGGTGGTCCTCTAAGAATGGCTCTCGGCCATATGTTGGTGTAGTGCACCAAAAATTACCCATTTTCTTGATTTTTTTAGGTTTACTTTTTAGGTTTACTAGGTTTACTAGGTTTACTAGGTTTACTAGGTTTAATAGGTTTAATAGGTTTATACTAGGTCTACTAGGTTTATACTAGGTTTATACTAGGTTTATACTAGGTTTACTAGGTTTATACTAGGTTTATACTAGGTTTATACTAGGTTTATACTAGGTTTATACTAGGTTTATACTAGGTTTACTACGTTTACTAGGTTTACCCGTGTAAACTGCCAAATACCCAAGAAACATGGGTGTAGGGTGTAGGGTATGGAAGGTTTCTTAGGTTTCTCTTAGGTTCATGTCGAGCTACAAGAAACCTATTTGGCAGTTTACCCGAGTAAACCTAGGTTTAATCTAACTGTACCCTTAACGAAAATAATTTCTAGATAAACGCCCAGCAATTCTACGCCGAATTCCAACATGGCGTGTGGGATTTACTGAACAACCTGGGCAACATCAACAGCCTAGATCCTCAAACCTACAGGCAAATCCGCTACTACTCCGTCATCGGCCCTTCGGCCCTTCCACCAGAAGACCTGGACAGGGTAAGACCATAAAATTATACACCTTGCTCCATTTCCGATTGCAATATGGCCGTTTCTATGAGTTGGACAAAGAAAGATTATTAAAGTAACAGTGGGTTAGAGTGAAAAGTTGTAAATGTCCAATTGAAGTTGTCTTTGTTGCACCCATAGCTTATGTTGCAATGAAAAATGGAGCAATGTGTATGACCAAAATTCACGCCAATTCATCTTCAAAAAATTCTACAATTTATTGTTCAATAAATTCCAGTACAACAGACTGATCAACGACATGCTGGCCATCTACAACACCGCCTCCATATGCGCCCACAACGATCCGTTCCACTGCGGGCTGCGCCTGCAACCCGACCTGGTGAAGATCATGGCGAAGAGCCGGAACTGGGAGGAACTCCAGCACGTCTGGACCGAATGGCGCAGGAATTCCGGACAGAAGATGAAGGACACCTTCGAGCAGATGACGGTGCTCTCCAACAAAGCAGCCAGATCTAACAGTAAGTCGCTCTCCAAAAGGTCCTGGTGGGGTTTTTTGCGAAAAAGTCCCCAACAGGGGCCTCTTTTGGCCTCCAGTAGGTCCTGGTGCACTGTCTTAAGTTCCTTACCTTCGCTTTTAAGTCTCCACCAGGTCCATATAACCTTCTTTAAGGTCCTAACGTTTACGTTTTAGCCTCCAGCAGGTCCTTATGTTCACTTTTAAGCCTCCACCAGGTCCACATAACCTTCTTTAAGCTCCTAACGTTCACGTTTTAGCCTCCAGTAGGACCTTACGTTCACTTTTAAGCCTCCGCCAGGTCCTTCCTTTCGCTTTCAAGCCTCCCCCAGGTGCCTCATTTACTCGTTTCCCTGCAGATTTCACCGATACCTCGGACTATTGGAGTTTCCCGTTCGAATCGCCGGCGCTGATGCTGGACCTGGAGGACGCCTGGGAGGAGATCAAGCCGCTCTACGAGCAACTGCAGGCGTACGTGAGACGGCGGCTGCGCGAGTACTACGGCCCGGAGCGGATCAGCAGACAGGCGCCCCTGCCGGCCCACGTGCTGGGCAACATGTGGGCCCAATCCTGGACCAACATCTTCGACATCACGCAGCCCTATCCGGGCCAGAACTTCCTCGACGTTACTCCGGAGATGATCAAACAGGTGATTGCTCGGTGTTGATACTGTTGGACCTTGTTCTGGTGCAGGTAAATTCTGGATAGAATGATTTGTTTTGGTGTCGTTTTGTAGGGGTATTCTCCGCCGGATTTGTTCAGATTAGCAGAAGATTTCTTCGTGTCTTTGAACATGAGCGTGCTGCCGTTGGATTTCTGGCAGGGTTCGGTGCTGCAGGAACCTCTGGATAGGATCGTACTGTGCCAGCCGTCCGCTTGGGATTTTTGCAACAGGAGAGATTTTAGGTAAGATGGTTTGTTGCTGAGGCTTGTTTGTTGCAAGAGGCTTCATTTTTGAACTTTGCTGGTCGATTTCCAGGATAAAAATGTGCACGAACGTGAACATGAAGGACCTGATAACGGCCCATCACGAAATGGCGCACATTTACTACTTCATGATGTACAAAAACCTGCCAAAAGTGTTCAGAGACGGAGCCAATCCCGGTAAGTAAATTCCCTTAACATCAAACCTAAAACTGGAATAGCAAAAGGCCACCCACTGGGTGATGATTTCTTGATTCTAATAAATGGCTGTATTCCAGCGTTCCACGAGGCCATCGGCGAAGCCATCGGGTTATCCGTGGGTACTCCCAGGCATTTACAAGCCTTGGGGCTGGTGCAGAAATCCATCGATCAGTTGGCCGTGGACATCAATTTCCTCTATTCCAGCGCTCTGGATAAGCTCGCTTTTCTCCCGTTCGCCTTCGTCCTGGACAAGTGGCGGTACGACGTCTTCAGCGGAGCCGTCAAAAAGGAGGAATACAACTGCCATTGGTGGCTGTTGAGGTGAGCTAGTACTATGTAACACCTAGTAAAAGGCCGTTAACCAGCAAGAAGGTTTGATGTAAATGCGATTTGTTTTGTAGCGAGAAGTACCAAGGAATCAAACCGCCTGTGTTGAGGTCCGAGATTGATTTCGATCCAGGTGCAAAGTACCACATTCCTGCCAATATACCCTACTTAAGGTAAGTTTGCATAATTTTTTATTAACATTAAACTCTTTGTGACATCATAAAGAGTACCAAGAGCTGAATAGTCGCGGTAGAAGAGGCCGGAATATTTCGAAATAAAGAAGAACGATAGTACTAATCATAAATACTTTTTAATATACAAAATACAATTTAATAACAAACAAAAAAATATAATAAATCACAAGGCAACGTACAGTAATACTGACAAGAAACAGTACCGCTTCAATTTCTGTTTTTTTAAACTATAATGAAACGTACACGGGATAGTACTAATGGTAGTACTAATGGTACCCGTGCCCGGCGAGATCGCCGCCCCCGAAATCGTGACCGCCCAAATCGTGACCGCCCCCGTAGGACTCCTCGTGACCGCCGTACTCGTGGTGCTCCTCCTTAATGGGGATGTGTACCGGTACTTTAACGGGTACCGGAACGGGTCGTTCGACGATATGCGGTACTTTCTTCTCCACCGTGTAGGGTACCGGATTGAAGATGGGGATCTTCACGGGGTACGGTACGGGTTTCTCGACGGGATAGGGTACTTTCCTCTCGACCGGGTACGGGGCCGGTACGGGTACTTTGACGGGGTACGGTTCGGGTTTCTCTACGGGGTAGGGCACCGGCCTGTCGTAGGGTACTTTGACCGGAACCGGTACCGGTTTGAATACGGGGTAGGGGATTTTCTTCTCGACTGGTACCGGTACGGGTTTGGGCACGTGGACGGGGTACGGTCTGTCGACGTGAACTTTCACGGGGTAGGGTACTATTTTTTCGACGGGGTAGGGTTTGGGGACGTGGACCGGTACTTTCACCGGGTAGGGTACTTCCTTTTCGACGGGATAGGGTTGGGGTACTGGGACTTTGTAGGGTACGTGGACGTCCTTGTAGACCGGGTAGGGTTGCGGTACCAAAACTTTGACTGGGTACGGTTTGTCGACGTGTACTTTGACTGGGTACGGTACTGTTTTCTCGACTGGATAGGGTTTGTGAACCGGTACGGTTACCTTGACTGGTACCTTCACTGGGACGTGTATCTGTAAAAATAAAAAAAAATCGAGCGTTAGGTAGTACTTTTAGAGTACCTTTAAAACACAATTATGTACCTTCTTCTCAACTGGGTATGGCTGAGGGTACGGAACTTTAACGGGTACTGGAATCTGTTTCTCTACCGGAACATGTACTTCCTTGGTCACCGGATAGGGTTGCGGTACTTTCTTCACGATTGTCACCGTTTTTTCGTGATGATGACCGCCGTCATAACCACCACCTAAAACATATATACGATTTATCAAACAAATTATAGAAATTATAAACACAATGAGGTTCTTTCCAATAATAGTACTGAATTTTTTCTGCTAATTTTGCTCATATTTATCGCAGTAAAATTCAGCCAATTTCGTTGGATCGACTTAAAATATAGATGGATGTTGAACGATAATTGTTATAATAATAATAATAATGAGGTATGATGATTGTGTTAGAGAAAAAGTATTGTTTGTGTAAAAGTACCTTGGTGTAATGGTTGCCAGTCAGGTTGAGACCAATGCGCTAAAGAGAGAGAATAATTATAGTTCTATTCCATAATTCTTATGTTCCAATGCATTCGAGTATTTTTTTTATAATATTTTTTTATAGATTATGTATTTATACATGTCTCTAATCTCTAGAGCTAGAGGGAAATATTTTTGTGTGAGTTTGTGTGTACGAAATTTATTCGTTGACCTACTTATAGAAGGAATATAAAGCATTATAGATAAAAAAAATAAAACATAAAAATAATCTCGAGAACAATGAAAACCCTTCAACTAAATCGATTATTAATAAATCGATTACGATGTAAATATAACGATTAAAATGATAATGAATCCGCTCGAGAACGAATTATGTTAATTGCGATTTATTTAATAGGGCGATTTTTATTAGATTTTTTTTTGTAATATATTCAATATTTATAGTACCTTGCTGGTGAACGGGCCAAGCAGGCGCTGACCAATAAGCTACAGGAGAAACAGAGAATAAAATAGAAAAGAGAAATAGTGTGGTAATAATTACTCGCAATTTCCTCTAATAATTCGCGAATTTGTATAATATTATACAGGGTGTTTATTAATTGTATGCCGATACTTCAGGATGTGAATAATTGGATGATTTTAAGAAGAAAAGTTTATATGAATTTGTGTCCTAAAACTCTTAGTTTTCAAACAACAGGGTGCTAAAATTTTAGAAAAAAAAATAATTTTTCTATCATAATTTTCTTATTACGGCAGATATTTTTATGAAATTTCGAACTTGGACGGCACTGGTAATAGTAGAAAATTAATTTTTATCGCCCCAAAAAAATGTTTCCATGCATGGTGGTCGCCTATCAAATTTTAACAAAATATCAAAAGCAGTCTCAAAATGAACTTGGGAAAAAATGGTTTTGGTTTTTATTTTTTTTTTCGCGAAAATGGTGCGTCGTACGAAAATAAGTCTTCCGATCGAATTTGCTACAAAATTAATGAGGATTTTAAAAATAATTTTAGTTTTTAGAAAAAGCAGTGGTGTACCATTTTTTTACCAACATATTTACTTCAAACCCCGTACGGACGTCACTGGTGAAAATTTAAAAAAATCTTACAGCTCAAAAAATGCCCCTTTATAATTAAAAAGTGTATACAAAATTTCTTAAAAATAACTGGAGTAATAAGAAAATTATGATAGAAAAGTTAAATTTTTTTTTCTAAAATTTTAACATCCTGTACCTCGAAAACTAAGAGATTTATGACACACATTGATATAAACTTTTCTTCTTAAAATCATCCAAATATTCACATCCCGAAGTATCCAGTAGTATTCAATTAATTAACATCCTATAGAGTAAATACTCCGTTCGTTATCAGGTCCTCAAATTCCGAACGGACTATAAAAACGAATCCTCCTTCTCCTCCTCTATAACTATAATCAATTCAATGTTGTGTGTCTGTGTGTGTGTATTTACCTCCTAAATCGTGACCGCCACCATAATCGCCGCCCCCGTAATCGCCGCCTCCGTAGTCGCCGCCCCCGCCGAAACCGTGATCGCCGCCTCCATACCCCAGGTCCAGACCCCGCTTTTCTTTGGTCTGGGACTCCGCTGGTTTCGCTTCGGCCGACGATGATGATTTTTCGTTAGTTCCTTCGGCGCCCGCCAACATTAGCAGTGCGCAAAACGCCGAAACACCCTGTATATATATAAATAAATATATGAATATGTATCGAAGAAATGAATTTTTGGAAATGGGAGATGGTAGAGAGAGCTGTATTTGGGACTTTGGGAAGTCGCTGTATTGGGAGATGTTTCGAAATTTGAGACTTTAGGATGAGACTTTAGGAAGGCACTGTATGAGACTTTAGGATGAGACTTTAGGAAGGCACTGTATGAGACTTTAGGATGAGACTTTAGGAAGGCACTGTATGAGACTTTAGGATGAGACTTTAGGAAGGCACTGTATGAGAATTTGTGAATCGGTGTGTGGTAAATTTCAAGCAAGATTCATCGCTAGTTTCATCGAAATGTTGATCAAAATTTGGTAGTTTTTGAAATCACTAGATGGATTAGACTACGGGAGGTCACTGTATGATATATACAGAGTGATTGATGAAAATGATACGGATGGGTTACGTGATTTGTGCCAGTGAAAGCGTTACGTGGAAGACGCGTACGTGAGGAAACGCGTTTCCGATTTATTTTATTTTTTTTATAACGCCGAGGAGAAAGGAAGAAAAAATGTTGTTGCTTGCATAATATATTTCATTTTTTATGGAGTGGAATTAGTCTCACGAATATGGTAAGATTTTGCGCATTTTTAGAGCATTTTTAGCCCATTTTAAGCGCATATTTAGTCAATTTTTAGCGCATTTTTAGCCCATTTTTAGAGCATTGTTAAGGCATTTTTAACGCATTTTCAGCGCATTTTTAGCCATTTTTTAGAGCATTTTTAACGCATTTTTATCGCATCTTTAGCGCACTTTTAAAGCACAATTAGCGCATATATAACAAATTTCGAACATCATTTATTTTACTCTCTAAAAATCAACCAATCAATAAGCCTACCAACAACCATTCCACAGCTTTATTATTACAGAAAAACAGCTGTATACTCTTTTTAGCCGAACTAATCGGAGACACCCCGTATGTACAGAGAGAAATCCATTTTTTTTTCGAATGCATATAAACGCACTTAGCGTAACTGCATAATAAATGTAAATGTACCCACTCGTATAGTCATTAGCAAGATGTTCTAATTTCACTTTCGCGATTGCTCATGCGGTACAAAAAAAATATAGAAACATTCTTTAACGATGCAATTTTGTATACGGGCTGACCGTATGTCGTATATACGGGGGGCGTTGAAAATGTTACGCGGAAATTGTATTGAGCTGTTTAAGTTGTTTCATTTTTTAGCCCATTTTTAAGGCATTTTTAAAGCATTTTTAGCCCATTTTTAAGGCATTTTAAGAGCATTTTTAGCTCATTTTTAAAGCATTTTTAACTCATTTTTAGTCCATTTTTAAGGCATTTTAAAGCATTTTTTGCTCTTTTTCAGAGCATTTTCAGTCCATTTTAAAGCATTTTTGGCTCATTTTTATCCCATTTTTAAGGCATTTTTAAAGCATTTTTTGCACTTTTTCAGAGCATTTTTAGTCCATTTTTAGAGCATTTTTAAAGCATTTTTAGCGCATTTTTAGTCTATTTTTAGCCCATTTTTAGCGCTAAATTATAAAAATTAATTTTCTACTATTATCAGTGACGTTCAGTTAAAGTTACTTTTACCCATGAAAGTTTTACTCATTAAGTTACTTTTACTGAGGTAAATTCTACTCAATTTTTACCCTCTTAGTTTGGCTTATCTAAAATATTTTTCACTGAGCGAATTTCACTCACAAACAATGAAAAGTTTTGCTCAATAAGTAACTTTTACTGAGGTAAAAAATTAATTTTTTTTGGCTATAATTTTACTCGCTCAATTTTAATCACCAAAGCAATTTTCACTAAGTTTCACCAAGAAATTTTCACTGGTGAACTTCACCCGACAAGTAACTTTTACTGGGTAAATTTTCCTCATTATGTAACTTTTACCGCGTTAAATTTTACCCTATACAGTTTTCGCTTACACTGACACACTGATACATATACAGTGCGTCCCAAAAAAAACACACTGTATATCAATTAAATATCGCGTCACCCCCGTAACAATCGGCGCACTTTACACTGAGAAAAAAACTCGATATCTTACCAGGAGCTTCATTTCTCTCGATTTTCTTCGTACCGCAGCGAACTGTCTGTGCAAGCAAATCGTCGAGATGGAAGTCTTTATAGTAGCGGTACTTTCGCCGGTCGCGCTCCCCCTTTATTACGCCATCGAGTACCCTTTTCCTAGTACCGTCCGAGTACCGGGTAATTGGGTAACGTCAAAATGTATAGCGCTCGTTTGCCGGAGCAATTAGTTCTAGTCTAGGAATTTTTGAAGGAAAATTTCGATTTTTTATATTTCCAATTTTATCGAATTGGTACTACCTATGATGAGATAGTTGGATGACAGCTGGTATGTATATCTAAATGGGATAGTTGACTAAGATAGTTGGGAATGGATTTCTGCGAGATAATGTACACATAATATGTCCCATTATTTTTAGCCCATTTTTAAAGCATTTTTGGCCCATTTTTTAGAGCATTTTTAATGCATTTTAGCCCATTTTCAGAGCATTGTTAAAACATTTTTAACGCATTTTTAAAGCATTTTTAGCTCATTTTTAGCCCATTTTTAAGGCATTTTTAGCCCATTTTTTAGAGCATTTTTAACGCATTTTTAGCCCATTTTCAGATCATTGTTAAAGCATTTTAATGCATTTTTAATGCATTTTAGCTCATTTTTAGCCCATTTTAAAGCATTTTTAAAGTATTTTTAGCGCTTTTTGGGCCAATTTTTAGCCCTTTTTCAGAGCATTTATAGCGCATTTTTTAGTGAGACAGTTACATAAGATAGTTGACTGAGATAGTTGACAGAATTGGTTAAATATCTAACCGAGATAATTGACTAAGATAGTTGGGAATAGATTTCTACAAGATAATACCCACATAATATTCCCAAGTACTACCCAAATTGTAACCAATATGAAAAATTTGTAAAATTTGGGGCGCACTGTATGTATCGAATTGTCCAAAAAGCGATACAATTAATCGATAATTAAATTTGCAAATTTATTTACGAGGCAAATACCGAAATGTATGTCATTATCGACTTGTTTACAAAATAATCTAGGAAGCCTAAACGCCATTTTTTACGTAATAACATCCGTTGTTAGAAAGTAACTCGAATACATTTTTTTTTGTAAATAAATAATTGAGACGAAATTCGCTCATTTAATTCGAATTTAATTACTTTTAATTATTCGGAATAACCGGAATCGAAACCAATTAAAACCTCCAATTTTACTATCGATAAAATCGAAGCGGCTTTTTTCGAATATACAGGGAGTCGGAATATACGAGGTGCGATTATTATTTTTGTGATCATTTCTACGCCACTGGTCTGGCAAAAACGTTAGAAATAAATTCAAAATACCATCTAATATGTAATATAATGTTAGGTGAAAGCTTGTCTTGCATCGGATATTCGATAAATAATAAAATAACTCGAGTAAAACTGCTGTAATTACGACGATTATTTGCATGTACCCTGTATATATGGAACGAGTAGTTATTTTACCGGTTTGTCTTCAGGTGGTATTATAAATGTTAGAAAACATATTAGTTTGTCGATTGATTAAGATCGATACAAATTGAACACCTCCGGCGAATCTTTCATTCGATTTGTTTTGCAATTTAACAAGAAAATTATGATAGAAAAGTTATTTTTTTTCTAAAATTTTATCACCCTGTAGCTGGAAAACTAAAAGGTTTAGGACATACATTGATATAAACTTTTCCTCTTAAAATCATCCAAATATTCACATCCTGAATTATCAGCATTCAAATAATTAACACCCTATATATCGAAAATTTTCATAAAACATTTTTGCATACATGAAACTCTTTAAAATATTAATTACTCTAAAAAATTGATTAATTACTTCTACTATTTTAAAATTTTATCGAATTTTCGATTGCAAAAAACATCAACTTATATTTCTCGTTTTCTTCGGAAAAATGTTTGCAAAATCCTCACCAAACAATAATAGTAATAATAACGTATAAAAAAAAGTAATAAATAATAAAATAATAAAATCTAATATAATGATTAAAACTAATATAATTATTGTTTAAAGTAACTCGACCATTGCAATTTCACAGCCTACTAATTCCGTACTGTTGTAAAAAAATAACGAATGAAATCTGGCGGCATTAAAAGTGCGAAATTTTATATATCTAATTAAAATCTTTAATATGTCAATTAAAACGAAAATTTCGCTAGAAAACGAACGGAATTGCCAAATAATAAATTATTTTACAAGTCGATTGGTGAAATTGCCTTTTTTCAATGGGATTTTGAAGTTCCTTTTCCGCGTCAAAAGCAATTATTATTAAATTAATTGGTGTATCGATTCCTTCGGCATGCGTATTTAAAAAAAATCCCGAAAAAGAATAAATTTTCAAGTTAATTTTGCGCGCTGAATTAGCTGGATTTTGTATCAATTAATTTGGGACATCCGGTACATCTGGTTTTCATTGTACAGTATGATCCAAATAAGGTAAGTAGTAGATTGTAGATGACTTTAATATACCCTGCATTTGAGCGAGTTAATATATTATATATAGTGTGTCCCAAATTATGAAAGTTATAGGTGACTCTAAAATGACCAGAATTTGATTAATTTCGTATCAAATTTATTGCGAAAATTAAGAAATTTAAACAGGATTTAAAAACGCCTTTAATTGTATCGAAATTGTATAAATTTTATCGCCCATTTTGGGCTACACTGGGAATCGACAATACGGGTTTTCATTGTACAATTTAGTATACAGTGTGTCCCAAGTAAAGTGAGTTAAATATAATATCAAAACGTCCCGAATTGGATCGATTTTTGCTTCGATTTCACAGCGATTTTCGGTGCACCCGGTAGATTGTGAAACCGCGTAAATTATTTTCCGTATATTTAAAAGTAGTACCATCGCGATGATGATGAAACGAAACGATTCCGTCTGACCGCTCATCGTATGGCGTACGTAAAAGTACTTTTTTTACTCACTCCTTACATAGCAAATACGGTGGATTTAGAATATTTATAGGAAGTTGATAGGAAAAAAAAATGAAAGTACTGCCTATCTACCTACATTATGTAGTTTAATTGCTTTAATAGTTCCTTTTAATTCGGTTATGAAACTCTCGCTATATTAATTCTATCACTTCTTTCGTGTTACTTACTAAACTAAGTAAGCCAGAAATTAGAATAATTTTCATTTTTTTTTCGTTCGGTACGTCCTAACTTTCTTCAAAAATCGATCCAATTAGGGGCATTTTGATATTGTCTATAACTCACTTTACTTGGGACACACTGTATAATAAATTGTCTAATGAATATCTAATGTAACGGGTGTCTCAAAATTGCAGATACCGTCGCTATACAAAAGCGAATTTATTTTAGGACACACTGTATGTTAAATTGTTCAATAAAACTCCTATGTAACAAGTGTCCCATAATCGCTGTAAAATTCAGTTTATTTTGGGACACAGTGTATGTAAAATCGTTCAACGAAAACCCAATGTAACGGCTGTCTCAAAATTGCAGATACAATCGCTATAAAATTTACTTTATTTTGGTACACACTGTATATGTTAAATCGTTCAATAAAACTCCAATGTACCGGGTGTCCCAAAATTACCCGTAAAATTCCGAAATTTATTCGGCTCTCCCTGTATTTCGAATTATAATTCCGATTCGAACGAAATGGAATTTCGAATTCACAGCGTTCTCTAGCGATGGCTTTTCAAAATCGCGCTCTGTAATTAACAGTTAAAAATAATAGAAAAAGCAAAATTATTCCGCTGTAACGGTAGCAAAATAACGTCGAAATTCGCCGACAGATGGCGTCGTCGGTACTATTTTAAATTCGTTACGAAAACTTGGAAATTGTAGTGATAAAAATTACCGGTAGATTCGAACTATTCTCGCTTTAACAAGTACCAAGTACCCCGGCGCATTTTGCATTAGGAAATTGTCATTTCGAGTAGGCGTCGAACGGATATTTAAATGAAACAAAATTGCTCTTTATGCAAATTTCAAACGATATAATTGACCTTCTTTGTTCTCTGGATAAAATAAATTTTTTCTGCATACAAAATAACAGAACACCTATAGGCATTATAGCATTGGTACTGTTACAAGTACTTTTGCAAGTGAAAGCCTCGAAGAGTTATTTAGCGTTTGTGAAATTTGGAATAATGGAATAATTTATAAATGGGAACCATTATGAAACCAGTTTTTCCCCAAAATAATTTTATTTGTATACGAAATTGTTGTTTTTAATTTATTACGTATTTCTGAAATAAGTTCGCCTGCTTTTACATAGCCTACTTAAAGCATTTTTAGAGCATTTTTAGCGCATTTAAATTTGACAAATAAATGTCAGAGCCAAGAAACCTTAGCAACAAAATGGCGCTTAACTGTCATTTTGAAAGTTTCAACTGTCATTTTTACGTCAAAAAATAGTATTTTTACTCCAACATAAACACCCCAAATTGCGCGACAAAAGCTCACCATTCAAAAGTTAAAGGGGGGAGGCGACGGACTTTTGGTCCTCACTGTATACATTGAAATTCCGCGTTTAATTCCTTCAAATAAAACGTATTATGTAGTCACATGTATACACGTAATTATCCTCGCATCGTGCATACTTATTATCTTTATACAGGAAATATTAAGTGTCTTACATTATGCCGTATTACGTATTGTTTGGTAAATAATTTCGAACGGATTCGTAATTAGCGATTGCGAAATTTAGAAAATGAAAGAACGAAATAGAAAAAAAAAATAGAAGAAGGAGAATTCGAGCCGGATCTCTAACCGACATTTATATATCTTAATCTCGTTATGAGAAAAAAAATGTAGATATGTTTATTGAAATAGGATATTTCATTCATTAAAACGTGTCATTGGAATACTTCGATTCGCTTCGTTGATTTTCGTTTACCTTTTCTTGATTAATTCGATTCGTGTATTCGTATTACGCAAATCAAATATAATCACGTGACCAGATGACTTTAAGATAGTCACTGTATAATAATTAAGTCGGTATATAGACTTTAGGAAGTCACTGTAGAATGAGAATTCTGTGATAACTTGAGGAAGTCACTGTATAAGAATTAATTCGGCAAAGACTTTAGGAAGTCACTGTATAATAATTAATTCTTTATACACTTTAGGAAGTCACTGTATAATAAATTTACTCTAAAACGGCGAACAAATAAAACCAAACAACTTTTTTTATAAAAAATATAACAGATTTTATTTACGAACAGGTAACTCAGTTGCAAGAGACAGAAAAAAAATATATAAATAGAATTTTTTTACAACGTACATCGCTAGGTACTCGAACTGGGTACTACCACTAACTACACCGGGTACCATCCTATTTGTGCCCGTAACTCTCGTACCCCCCGTACCCGCTGTACCCGCCGTACCCGCCGTCGTAGTGGGAGTGATGGTGGGACTCCACCGGTACCGCCACCGGTACTTTAACTGGATAGGGTACCGGCCGTTCCACCGGCACCGCCACCGGCTTCTCGATAGCGACGGGTACCGGCCTGTCGACCGGGATCTTCACGGCGTACGGTACCGGTCGTTCCACCGGGTACGGCACCGGTCTGTCCACCGGGTACGGAGCCGGTACCGGTACTTTAACCGCCACAGGGTACGGCCTTTCGACGGGCACCCCGACCGGCCTGTCGACCAGTACTTTCACCGGGTACGGAACGGGTTTCTCGACGGGTACCGGTACGTTTTTGATGACGTGCACCGGGTACGGTTGCGGTACGTGCACCGGGTACGGCCTGTCGACCGGTACTTTAACGGGATATGGTACTTCCTTCACTACCGGGTAGGGTTGCGGAACGTGAACGGGTACTTTGACTGGTACGTGAATGTGCTTCTCCACCGGGTACGGTTGCGGTACCGGTACTTTAACGGGGTACGGTATATGTTTTTCGACTGGGTACGGTTGCGGTACCAACACTTTGACGGGGTAAGGTCTGTCTACATGTACCTTGTACGGTACGTGTACGATCTTCTCGACGGGGTAAGGTTGTGGTACCGGTACCGGTACTTTAACTGGTACTTTCACCGGTACGTGTATGTGTTTCTCGACGGGGTACGGTTGCGGTACCAGCACCTTAACGGGGTAAGGTACGTGCTTGGTGACCGGGTACGGTATGTGTTTTTCGACTGGGTAAGGTACCGGTACTCCCTTCAATAGAGTAACGGTTCTCTCGACGTGGGTGTTGTGTCCCAAGTCGATGGCGCCCAAACCCACCGAGTACCCGCCGTCGATGCCGTACCCGCCCTGTCCCACGTGGTACCCGTTGTCGAAGTCGCCGCCATAGCCGTACCCGAGGCTCAACAGACCTCTTTTCGATTGCTTCTTGTCCGCATCGGGGGATTTGGTCTTCTCCTTGGCCTCGACCGTTACGGCCACTGCAGCAAGGACTAAGATCGATAGCGTTAACTGGAATCGAGAAATTTGTATCGATTATAATCGATTCTGGTGTTATAGTGTACAGGTTGCTCGATTTTTGATTGCAATATAGGTTATATGGGTGCGATAAAGACAACAAAGGAAAAAAGAAAGAGTGACATTTGTGTCATTGCAACTTTTTCACTTTGACAGCTGTCATTTTATTAATCTTTCTTTGTTCCACTCATAGAAATGACCATATTGGAATCGGAAATGGAGCAAGGTGTATATTTTATAAAATTGTTAGTCAATTCTGGTTAATCTACTTTCCTATTACAAGATTCTTTTTTTAAGAGAACCTTGTTCTCGAAATTAAATGCAAAATGGTCTTAACCGTGGTATAAATATTTTTTTTATTAAATAATATGTTCGCAAGTAAACTGATGAATAATAATATAATTGTAAAGACATTGAATAATCATTGATTATTGACCCATATTAATACGGAGTGTATAGAAATTAATTGCATAGGAAAATTGCTTCATATTCATTAATATTACGTGAGTATTTTTTTTAATTACATATCTAGCATTGAATAAGAAATTATCTATGAAAAAATATCGGTGTATTATTAGGTAAATTTTTGATTTATTTGCTTGGTGATTTGTGTTATTGAAATTTTACATTCACTATAATCAAATAGTAAATTAAATTGTTAATTTGTAATTTAATAATTAAAAAAAAAACGAATTTGTTAAAGGGATTAGAGTAAACTATTTGATTTAACAAATTAAAAAAATTAATTCGAATAGGAATTATTGATAATAAAAAAATACTAAAAATTATTTAATTTAACAAAAATTCAAACAAAACCGAATTTAACCAGAAATTACTGATAAAAAAACCAAACAAAAAAATATTAAAACTTCAAAAATTATTAAATTTAACAAAAATTCAAACAAACCCGAATTTAACCAGAAATCACCGATAAAAAAAACCAAACAAAATAAAATTAAAACTGGAAAAATTATTTAATTTAACAAAAATTCAAACAAACCCGAATTAACCCAAAAATTACCGATAAAAAAACCAAACAAAATCAAATTAAAACTCCGCAAAAATTATTAAATTTTACAAAAATTTGAATACTAATAAAAATCACAAAAAATCCCCGAATAATTCGACTAGAAAAAAATCGCACAAAATAAATCCACAACGAACCACCACGAATGACTACCAAAAAAAAAAAAAATGCATCACTAAATAAACCACTGCTAATCACTATAAATCGTAGGGAAGAGTGGGACACACTCACCAAAATTCTCATCTCTTGATCGGTGCGTCTTTCGTGCGAATTTACCACGAACTGGATGCCTTTTGGAATTCCTCAATCACATTTATACCTCTTCGCCGCTTTCCTCGAGTTCTTGTGCAAAGTGCGAGGCCCCCCGCGCCCCCCGGGGGCCCCCCGGCCCGCCGAGAGATCGTAAAAATTGGTTCGAATGTCGAGTTTGTGTGTGTATTATGTATATTATATTATAAGAGTGTGTGTGTGTTGATGCATTGTTGGGAAAGTGATTTTTTGGAAGGTTGTGATCTAATATGCGAAAGATTTATTTTTTTTATTGATGGTTTGTTTGGAATTCACTTGAGGATTCTCGATTAATTGGTGGTTGCAAAATTGTGTTTGAGTGTTTAACCAGTTGGTTAAAAATGAGTAAAATTGTAAAAAATAGTACAAAATTAGGTTCTAATGGGTAATAGTAAAATTAGTTAAAATAGAGGAAGAAACTATGAAGAGAATATAATAAAAAAATATTAAAAAAAACTAAAAAATGACAAGAAATTCGAGATCGAGAAGAAAGAGTAAAAATTTAATAAAGTAGGGAGAATGGGGCGAAATTGGTTAAAAATAAGTAGGATTGTAAAAAGGTTTAGGTTTTAATGAAAAACAAATCAAAATTAGTAAACAAGTAAAATATAGTTTAAATAAAGAAAGAAAAATAACTAAAAAATAATCATAAAATAAAAAATTAACGAATAATTTTTAATAAAAAAATAGTAAAAAATTCGTTAAAACAAGTAAAATAAAATTTCCAAAAAAAACATCAAATTTCTCAATTTTTTTGGCTCTCTCAGTACATACAATTCATTACTCAATTTCTATGTCACTGGCAAATATACAAGGTCTTCTTAAATAGGTAGATATTTTACAGAATCAAATCTAAATATGTTTTAAGATATTAAAGATATTTAAGACATCTTGAAAACTGTGCATGTTTGTAGAAACTATTTATCATACTTTTTAACAAAGAATCACCCCGTAAAACTATTTAATTTGCAACATTTAGCAACAATAAATTACCGAACAAAAGGAAAATAAACAAGTCGCGAGAACTTTTCGAGTTTCCTCGTATATACGCAACAGTCTCGAATCACTCGAGCGAAAAACGCCTTATTTACATGCGATATAAATGACATCCCGTGCATATATATTTTAAATCGAAAAAGAGAAACGCGAAATCCAATAATGTTGATTTATTATATCACTCTTTATATATTTTACTATACATATAATGTCATCGCAAATCCCATATAAAGAGATAAATCCGATATGTGAGAAATATACAATTAAATCGTAGAAGGCGTTGATTAAATCCATTAAAAGAGAGTTTAAAAATACAGGATGTATTCCGAAGGAAACGAGCTTTTATAGAACCCACTTTTATATAAACTTTTAGTCACAAAATATCCCAAAATGAATCACCCCCTTTTAGATGTACACGATATTTAGGAACACCTTGTATAATAACAAATCGTTTGAATAACACATACAGATTTATTATCGAATTAAGGCGTTAATTAATAAAGGAACCGAAAAAGCTTAACGTATTCCGAAGGAAACGATGTCGAATCGTTTTCCTGAAAGAAAATCGAGGAACTAGCATTGTTATATCTCTCTCTCAAAAAAAAAAAACGTAAATAAATTATGAAGAAGAAAAAAATAGAATGGAAAGTATCCGTTTAGAGTATTAAATTTTCCTTTCCGAGAATTGTAAAAGAGATTTTATTACGAACGCTCCGTTACGTAACCAGAACATTTAACCGGCCGATGACGAGTAGTCATATGGCAAACGACCCGTTCGAGTGGATATTCCGCGTAACGCGCGTTTGATAAGACTCCTAGGTAAATAACAAGTACTTGTATAAGGCCCACCGCCCGCGGAACGACTGTTTTGAAACATAAATTGCAAACCAGTTGCTCTTGCAACTGTTTTGCAACCCAAATGAAACTAGTTTGCAATGAGTCATAAACCCGTTTTAGGCCCAACGCTCACGGAGCAACTGTTTTGAAACAAAAAATTGCAAACCAGTTGATCTTGCAACTATTTTGCAAGATCAACTAGATCAACTTGCAACTGGTTTGCAATTTTTTGTTTCAAAACAGTTGCTCCGTGAGCGTTGGGCCTAAGTGTATAATAATAAAAAAGGAGGAGACGAATAATATTATTATATATGTAAGTAATGTATCGAAATAATAAATTCTTGGCATGAAAGTGTTCCGGCCTTAAACTTGTTTATTATGTTGTTATTATACATATATACACTGAAAAAATTTTGGTACATAATATCAATGAACACCATGTTTTCAACTTGTTTTCATTAGCTCAATAAAATAATACATTAATCCAATAAATTTTGATTCATTAGTTAATGATTTCATTTATTAACTCAATGTTTCTTGAAACATTAATTATTAATGTAAAATTTCATTAACTCAATAACAATTTTTATTAATTCAATGAAATTTAATCATTAATATAATAACCTAGTACATTAAAAGCGAATATTTCAGTTAATGTATTCGATACATTAAATCAAAGTAACTTGTACATTAATATAACGAATTGTTCATTCTTTTAATGAAATTTAATTATTGAACCAAAAACATTAATACATTAGTTCGATAAACCACAATTGTCATTTTTTATGTTGCCCGTACATTGATTCAACAAATTGAGTACATAAATCCTATGTTCGAGTTCATTGAGCCAATGAACGCATATACATCATTAGTTCGATAAAACACATTCGGCATTTTTAATGTTGCCCGTACATTGATTCAACAAATCTAATACATAAATTCTATGTTCGAGTTCATTGAGACAATGAATGCATATACATTGGTTCGATAAACCACATTCGCAATTTTTTATGTAGCCCGTACATTGATTCAACAAACTGGATACGTAAATTCTTGTCTCGAGTTCATTGAGTTAATGAACACTTTTCATTAAGTCAATGAATATCAGTTTGGATTTTGGCAATACACACTAGAGTGCAAATCTATGCCGTTCTATTCTATTAGAAAAAAAGAAATAGATAGAGACGCTTTCGAAAATCGCGTTGACCGTTAATTATCCCTCTTTCTCTCCTGTTATTTCGTGTTGAAGCGTTGAACTGGAAGTGTTCTGTTTAGTTAATTTCGTTTTCGTTTTGTATTATAAGAAGGAAGAAAATTGAAGCGCTGTTGTTTTAAGAGGTAAGCATTTTTTAATTCGGTACACTATAGGTTAATACTTATACATTTTATTTCTAGGATTTAATTTTAAACACAAACGTAAAGCCTAAGGGAGATATAAGTGCAACAACTTCAAGATTCATACAAAATGTGTGTAAGTTTTTATGGTTTTTACTACAACTCATTAAATTATTGGATATATTAAATTTTTAGGCCCCAAAGACATTTGTGAAACGTGCATAAGACTTCTGAAGTTTGAAAATTTATCATCGGAAGAGTTCGACGTATGCAGCATGTATTGGAACTTCGCTTGAGTGACATAAAAAACGCACAAAAATTCAGATGATAAAATGAACTTATTACAAACGACCATCTGGATATATCTTGGTGAGTACCTTCAATAGTATACCTACCTATACACCGTGCTTCATTCGCGATTGCAACATGAGCATTTCTATGAGTTGAACAAAGAAATATTAGTAAAATAACAGTTGTCAGAGTGAAAAGTTGCAATGACATATTATCATACTGTTTCTTTTTCCTTTACAAGTGTCTAATTGAAGTTATCTTTGTTGCACCCATAGCCTATGTTGCAATGAACAATGGAGCAATCTATATACTTACTGGATATGTAGATAGGAATTTACAGTCTACTATATTAACCCATAATTTTTTTTAGATAGATATGGATTTCGCCCCAGCGTATGATGCAAAGAATTTTATGGAATAATTCGAAAATAATTCTTCGAAGATTGACCAGTTTCTTCAAGCAATAATACAAAAAATGTAAATTCGTTAATTTAATAAATCAAATTCATTAATTCAATGTTCTGCGTTCATTAATTCAAAAGCTAAAAATCCTTAATTCAATAAAAGAAATTCATTAAACCAAGATCTAAGTTTCATTGATTCTATGAAAGCATTTCATTGAATCAATGTACTACATTTATTAGAAAAAATCTAAAATTTGTTGAATCAGTGTACACCGTTCATTAAACCAATGTAAAATATTACATTGAATTAATGTACTTCTTTATTGGGTCAGCAACTTTAATTCATCGAAACAATGATTTTCATTTCATCATATCAACGAATTATACATCACTAAATGTACCTCTTCATCGCTTAATGAACAAACGTTCATTGATTTAATGAAATCGTTTATTGGACGACTTTTAATGTAAAAATTTCTTGGATTAATGTATTTTTTCATTATCTGCACGTACTTTTTTGGTTCAGTGTACGACATACGACGGATCGCGATATGGCGAAATTGGCCTTTTGCTTCTACGTTATTCGCTCGCAAATCGCCTCGAAAGACATCGCGTTTGTTTCGACACAATCTCATCGTTATCCTACTTAATTTACGTTCTAATTGTTTCGAATTATTCTCTCCAAATCCACCAAATATTTCATTATAATCATCGCATTTTTTCACATTTTTTGCACAATTTTCTTTCCTAATGAGGCCCATCTCATCCCTCATCCCTCATCCCTCATCCCTCATCCCTCATCCCTCATCCCTCATCCCTCATCCCTCATCCCTCATCCCTCATCCCTCATCCCTCATCCCTCATCCCTCATCCCTCATCCCTCATCCCTCATCCCTCATCCCTCATCCCTCATCCCTCATCCCTCATCCCTCATCCCTCATCCCTCATTATCCCTTATTATTTTGTTGGTTTTCTCTCATCTCTCCTAACTCTCATTTCTCATCTCTTCTAACTCTCATCTCTCCTACGTCTCATTTTTCCTAACTCTCATCTGATCTCTCCTAATTTTCATTTCTCATCTCTTTTAACTCTCATCTCTGAACTCTCATTTCTCATCTCCCCTAACTTTCGTCTCTCCTAACTCTCATCTCTCATCATTCATCTCTCCTAACTCTCATTTCTCATGTTTCATCTCTCTTCCCTTATAATCTCTCTCTCTTCCCTACTATCTACATTTTTTTGTCTAATCCTGATTTTTGTTGCCCACACAGATATTTCGTGAGTACGATCCTGCAATTCCAAATCCACCGATCGTTGTGCACAGCCGCAGGACAGTACCGGCCCAATGACCCTTCGCACAGGTTGCACGATTGCGACATTTACAGGAGCAAGGAGGCTGGGAAAATTCTCACGTAAGTCTTTGATCGATCAATTTATAATTTGACAAGATGAGTATACCTATAATACTTGAAGTATGAATGGAATATGAGATAAGACTAGATTTAAGATAGGACTTGATGGTTAAGAGAGAAGATTTTTGAGTCAGGATCTGGAATTTTTTCTTCGTTTGAAGTGAATTTATAGATTGAATATGGAATTGAACAGGTCGTGTGTAAAGTAAAATATAGGTAAGGTAATCTTACACCTAAATCAGGGCAAACCTTGATTCCGTTCACTCGGTATAATATAATCCATCGATTGTTTTCGCTTTTCTCGGATTGGTTTAGGAAAAACCTTGACTTGACACTCCTTGGAGTAATTTTTTTTTATTTTTTGTAATTTTTAATTTCCTTGAGGAAAACCTGGCGGTGTCCTGATGAGGATTTTTTTATTCGAAACGTTTGCAGTCACGAATTCGCGTTTCGTAAAAGATTAAGGTCTCGAGAAACGAGAAAAATCGCTTTACAAGGATCGATAATTGAGGAGAAATTTTTAATATCGATTTTCTGCAATCGATTAAAAAGGATTTACGGCCTTCTGTTTCGTTTGTATTCGGTCATTTCCGGTCCGGTTACGGCGAAAATTTTAATTATACTGAATAAATTTGTTTGTAAGAAATCCAATTACCTTGCTCGAACAAAGAAATGCGTAATTAATCGATACATATCGATATCCTTTTGAAGTTATCGTTTCTTCAAAAACTGTATTAAGTAAGTTTTAAGTAGAATAACTTATCGATGGCCTTCGCTCGAAATTCGTACGAATCGATTAACGAGAAGGATATAAATATTATTATTATCTGCATTTCTTATTATTGTTAATACAATCGATTAATCGCTCGATTTATTGTTCATAAAATATGGGAGTCTTCAACTTTCACACGTTTCGTGGAAGAATCGAAACTACTAAGTACTGTTCTTTTTTTTTCTCTCGATTATTAATCGAGTTGCGAAAAGTGTATAAAGTGATGTAATGACTTCCATTGTGAATGAGAAATTGATGAGAATTCGAGAATCATTTAAATATTTTTGTTTCGAGTGGAATTTATCGGTAAAATTTATCTTGTTGTTTATTTCTCATCTCTTCTAACTTTCAGCTCTCCTAGGTCTCGTTTTTCCTAACTCTCATCTGATCTCTTCTAATTTTCATCTCTCATCTCTCCTAACTCTCATTTCTCATCTCTTCTAACTCTCATCTCTCATAGGTATTATTTTTTCTAACTCTCATCTGATCCCTCCTAATTTTCATTTCTCATCTCTCATAACTCTCATCTTTCATCTCTCATAACTCTCATCATCCATCTTTCATCTCTCATAACTCTCATCTTTCATGTCTCATAACTCTCTTCTTTCATCTTTCATCTCTCATAACTTTCATCTCTCATCTCTCATTTTTGGGATCTCTCTCTCTCTCTCTCTCGTCCATTGGGATTCGGAATAGAATAAACATCAGTTCGAGCGGTATCTCTCACGACCATCGATTCGAAAATCGTTTTATAAGAGCGGCTTGAATTACGTAAGGTTTTTGCAAAACGAAGGAAAAAAAAATAATAGTACAAAAAGAGCATGTATATTGCTGTTGCACATGCACATGCACATACGGAATATACACTGCTCCACAAAAGTTAAGGAAGTTTACAAATATTTGAGATTAATTTAAAAGGTGCAGGTTTTTTGATCGCCAAATTTAGTATGCGTTGTAGAGGTAGGAACAAAAAATGCACTACAGGTATGAGAGAAAACATTTAATTTTGAATTTTTGAAAATTTGGCGATCGAAAAGTTTGTAACTTTTAAAATAATCGCAAAACTTTTGCGGAGCAGTTTATATACAAAGCGATTTCGATTTCCTTGCGGTAGAATTGGAAATATATCGACGGGGCTCGGCAAAGAAAGAACGAAGTAGGAGAATAAAAAAATACAGGATGTCCCAATGGACAATGAAAAGTAGCCCATTTACTGAGCTTATCATTTTTAAACATAAAAACATGCGGTTTTCTCAAATATGTTTTATTTTATAATAAGTTTTGTTACATTGTTATTATAGAAATTATGCATCACTAATCTGTGTCACTGTATAACAAAAAGTTATAGCAAAATAAAATATATCACATGTTTTTATGATTAGGCGTTTCATAAATTATTAGCTCACTAAATTGGCTACTTTTCATTGGGACACCCTGTATATATATAATCGGTTCGCGATCGATATTTCCTGTATTTATATGTTTAATTTTCTATTCCGCGCACGGCGGGTTTGGTTATTTTTTTTTATTCGTTTCGAAACGGGATTCGAATAGCGTTTCAATTAGATGAATTTAGATGGACTAGATGTTTGTGTTTGTAAATGTATCGCTTTCACTTTCGATTTTTTTTTTCTTTCTTCGCCAATTAATCGATTGTTGTCGCGATTTTTTTATTGTGGAAAAACTGGGCAAAATAAATTAGTAAAAGAGTGGTAGTATTTTGGTATTTGTGTTGGAATAGTAATAGTAGAAGTAGAGTAGTAAAAGAGGAGTATAAGGGTAGTTAAAGAGCAGTATTAGAGTAGTAAAAGAGCAGTATTAGAGTAGTAAAAAAGCAGTATTAAAGTAGTAAAAAATCAATATTAGAGTAGTATAAAAGAAGTATTAAAGTAGTAAAGAAGCAGTATTAGAGTAGTATAAAAGAAGTATTAGAGTAGTAAGTATTTTTTAGAAAAGCATTGGATTAAAATTGTAGTGTATTAGAGTAGTATAAAAAGAATTTCTCTCTATTTAACCTAATTAATTACACAACTAAATTTTGTATACACGATTAAATAAAACATATGTAACGTTTTAGCGCAATAACTAAATTCAGTTCGTTATTTTCATAACGAAAAATAAACCAATTTTTTTCCATGAGAAATTCCCGCCATTTTCGACACGTCCATTTAAAAAAAAAAAAAAAACACCAAACAATCGCTCTCGCCGATCGCAATTAACCGAAGGTTAAGTTACCAACGATCTTTCGATATACATACAACATTATTTATTTATGCTGCAGATATATCTCAATTCCGTCCGTTATGTGGAAATCGAACGGTTAATTTTCGAATGAAAATACCGCAATTATGAGTCGATTAACTCTATATACTTTTTTATAGAGCTTAATAGGAAAATTCTCGGGATTATTCAGGCCAAAAGAATTTTACAGTAGATATATTTTTATAATATATTTCTTCTATTTATGTATACTTTATTAAGTAGTATTAGAGTAGAATTAAAGAAGAGTAGAATCTGGGTAGCATTGGTGCAGTATAAGAGTAGTATTGGAGTAGTATTGAGACAGTATAGGAGCAGTATTGGAGTACAATATTTTGGAAAAGCTTGTAGATATCTAGTACCTATACGAAATGAAGAAATTTATGTGAATTATTTAATTGAATATAAATGATTTGATTTCAGTCAGATAATGGAAAAAGGTTCATCGCAGCCTTGGAGAGATGTGCTGTTTCAAGCGACAGGCGAAAGTAGATTAGATGGAAGAGCTTTGAGGGAATATTTCGCACCGTTAGAGGAATGGCTGAGGGATGAAAATTTAAGGACAGGTAAAATATATTTAACACTCGATAAATTTCGAAAAACTTATTTTTTTTTTAATTTATTTCAGGCGAATTTATCGGCTGGTTATACGACGGAGATTACTGCAAACAAAGCATAGAAACGGCCGGTTTGCAAGTATACGGAGGATTTTATAACCGATCGGTTAAATATAACCTATCGTTAGACGTTCTGTTGGGATTGGCGATGGTTTGGGTTATGCATAGGCTATTTTACTTGTAAATTATTTCAACTAATTAAGTGACCATATAGCATAGTGTAATAGTGTAAATGTTATTTAAACTATAATTTTGTTAACTTCTTTTAAACATAAGATCAATTAATTAGTATTTAGTTATTATAGAAATGCAATATATTTACGGTATGACGTCATGACGTTTCGAAAAATTGCAGTTCTGTGACGTCATCGCCGCGTTAATTTGACCATACTATACACGTAATTACAAGACGAATTATTTTTTAACTTTTTCGACTGATAATTTTGTTACGTATTTTATATCATTTTCTGTATTTTTTTTAATTAGTAGATATATTTGTAAAATATTTTAGTTGTGATATTTTCTTTATAATATAGCTAGTGTAGACCAATGAAGATGGCAAAAAAAAATTGTACATAATACTCCGAATAAACAACTTTTAACTCCACCGTGGATTTTTTTTTAATTTCAAAGGATTAGTTCCATAAGGATTTATATTTATATAGAAATTGTGCAAAAGATTCGAAATTCGATATAGTGTATTGAAATTAAATCCATTACGCAATTAATTGCGAAATTAAACGATTACATATCGAATTATTAAAAGTGATAAAAAAATCGACCAGTTTTCTAATAAATTCTCGTTAATAAAATGTAATAAATTAAGTAGGCATATCCTTCCGAATCAATCTAGTCGGCTGGTCAGTCCCCCCTAGTAAATATACCAATTGTCTTATTTAAATTCAAAAATTCAAGTGTACTATTCCTTACTATATTTTATTTGTTTTATAATCTCTCGCCCAATTGTATCTCGTAACCTCGATATTTTTTATACGAGGGATGCCAAAAAAATGCACACAATATATTTATAATCTTATTATTATAGCTGGTATGAGAAAGAACAAAGAGAGGTTATTAAAAACGAACAGTGGTTAGAATGAGAAAGTTGCAATGATGTCGTATAGTATCATTCTATCTTTTTCCTTTATAATGAGACTATAATGTTGTCTTTGTTGCACCCGCAGGCGCCGTATTGCGTATAAATTTGTTGCACTTACTACATTCTAATTCAATTATTCAAATATTTACAAATTTTATACAACCTTGATGTTATTATATGGCTCTTTTGATTACTCTTTTGAAGATCAGATTGTATCGATAAAAATTATGTTTCTGGGTTAATTAGAAATCGATAGTCGTAAATTTTCGGATTTGTATATTCGAATGGAAAAATTCGTTTTTAATAAAATAATCATTTCGCCATATTTTATATAGTGAAGCTGTTTTCTCCGAAACCCCCATCATCTTTTCTTTCTGTTTTAATTAATTTTTATCTAATTTAACGTCCAATTTAAGCCTACTATATGTATGTCTGTACTTAATAAAAATAATAGAGCTCTTAATAACGAAAACGCATGACCCTCTGGTCGGATGGAGGCGGCCATGCAATTGAACTCTTTCATTTGTTTGCTCGCGGTTCAGCCAACTCGATTTTTTTTTTGTTTTTGTGCGTTTTTTTTTCGGATTAAATCGCGATTTTTTCCGTCATTTTAACGGCCTACTCGACGGCGACATGTCGTGTTTTTTCGAAAACTGGTGTCGTTTGGTGAAATAATGTCCGTTAGAAATAATAAGGTAACGCTTGTTTTACTCGAATAAATTATGTAAGTAATTACTGAATTAATTTTTTGGAGATTAAGAAATAATAATTGCAAGTAATAAGCAGGAATATTGAGTCGGTGTAACGAGTCCTCGGTAGTATAGTGGTCAGTATCCCCGCCTGTCACGCGGGAGACCGGGGTTCGATTCCCCGCCGGGGAGGCCCTTTTTTTCCTCAAATTCTCCAAATTTTCACTTTTCCAGCACGCGAAAATGTGGAAAACCTTCCAGTTTTTCCTGTTCTTCAAAATAAACTTCACTTTCGCCAAGCTGGCCGGCGATCACGTTTGCCTGACGGAAGAAACGTGAGTATGTAACAAGTTAGCGAGTCACCCTGTATAATTGCCGAGTTTTTTAGGTACCCTGTAAACGTTACAGAGTGGTACGAAAAAAATGCCACGGTGAGGAACTACCGATGGTGCTACAACGTACCGCCGAGGTGCTCTTATTACACTTTGAAGCGAATTAACGATACCAGAATCGTTGTAAGTATTATATGCAATTTTTTTTGTCCACCCTGTATAATCGTATTTTTTTTTCTTCTATTTGCGAAATATGCGATATGATTTCGGGGAATTAATTACGCGAATATTGGGCAAAAAAGTCGATTTTTTTCAGCGTAATTATAATTAATTGATTAATTAGAATTCGCTCGAGTGCAGTTGAGAAATTGTTTCAAGGGTAATCAAAACGTTTGTCAACATCACCAGGATGTTGATCAAACTCCGTTTAATATGCGTTTTTTTTTTTCGCCTATTTAATAATATAAAAAATTAATTCGAATTTCCTCGTTTTTTTCCCAATAAAAAATCCAATTAAATTAATTTTTCTATTAAAACGCCCACCGGTAAACGAAGCGCGAATTTTTCGACCTTTCACTAATTCGAAATACAAAATTATTTCGAAAATAACATCGGGGGAAACACCAGAAGCTCATTCATAGCCTACTATACATTTAACAATAGATAAAACAATACCGAAAAAAAGAAGAATTAATGACCCCATTTTGCGTCTAGTTTCATAAACAGAAACGTTTTAGTAATGAAAGAGAACATTAAATAATAACTCGAACAGATGTTATGGCATCCATTTAATTATCTACAAAGAGCGCGTTTTGTTTTATTAGGTTGGTATCTATAGAAAAATTCGAAAAAGCAATTATTGAACTATTTTGAACCGCTCCTAATTCTACGCAACACCTTTTAAATTATAAATTAATCGACAATATTAAAGTGTGTTCCTTAAAAATCGATTGGGCAATGATGATAATTATATACAGGATGTACCAAACATAAAGGAATTCAAATCGACACCTATTTAGAAATCGACTTTTCTATTTTACTACATCCTTAGTAGGCTGCGGAAAGAGTTTATTTCGACAGATGTCATTCGAATTTTTATTCCACGGCCAACTATCTGTCGATGGAACTTTTCGAAGACGCCCTGTATATTAGATACAAACAATAATAAATGGTCTTTTTAACGATTGATGAGAGGACAAACGTAACGATTTTGTAACGAGAGATATCGGAATATAACATAGAACTATAAATCTATTTAATTATCATCGATTTCGTGCATATACAAGGCGAATAAAAAAAATATATTAATTACCGGTCATTTTAAATTTCGAAAAAAATTCGTTTAATTAACGGAAAGGCGAGGCGTACGCGATACTATACAGGGTGATGCAATATACAATATATTATTAAACAAATGTTCTTTTAGTAGTAGAAAAATCAACACCCTGTATAGTAAATAAACTATTTCGCATGCCTGACGATTCGAGCACTTTTTTGCGAGCTAAATATTTTGAAAATTACGAGGGCTTTACAAAAAATACCAGTAAATAATTTTTTGCATATATACACGATTTTCGGAATCACCCTGTATTTTAACACGCTAATCGCATAAATTTCGCTCGACATTCCTCTTAACAGAGCAAAATCGAACTATTTCGATTACATAACGGAACGTTACAAATTGTAAATAAACACTATAAACATTAAAGGAAATGTTTGTAAAGTAAAGCCCGGTTTACTCTCGGTTAAATTTAACAAAAAAGGATTTTTCTTTACCTTACCCAAATTTTCTTTAATCTTTAATCATTTAATTTTCCGCGAAAGTCGAATCGATACACATAATCGATTATTAATCGAGATGTGGTTATTAATCGCGAGCGCAAGAACGGCCGTCTAGATTCTCTAAATTGTTAATTTCCTGTGCTAGTTACAAAAATTGATACGATTACGCGCCATTTATTATACCGGGTGAATCCGAAAATTAATTGTATTTTATAACCCGTTCGATTTTTGGTGTAATTAAATATTTTCCAGGAGAAAAACGAAACGATTACGGTGGAAAAATGCTGCCCGGGTTTCCTGGAAAAGGAAAACCACTGCGTATCCTCGTGTCCTTTATGCAAAAATGGCGTCTGCGAAAATGGCATTTGCAATTGCTTGCCAGGATACAAAGGACATTCCTGCGAACTGGGTACGTTATTTCGAACCACCCTGTATAGGTTTTAGTAGATGAAAAATTTTCGATTCTCGTATAATTTTATTATTATATCTATCATTGTTGTTTGTATTTATTCATTCACCTTCGGGCGCACCTGTGCAGAAAATGGCGGATCGTTACTTTTACTATTTTACTATTTAACTGTTATTGCAAATGAAGGGAGTTTCAAAACGTATCGGTAATTATATTCGTATTAAATGCAAAACTGTATAATGTACTTGGATTTAAATTTGCCTAGCAGGTGTGCATATTGTTCTAATTTCGTTAATTCTAATCTAAATTTGATCGTTTATAATATATATTTTTTTGTCGATTTTTTTCGATTATTTTTGGTGTAGTATTAAGGTCAAATTACCTTTCTAAATTTAACACATTGAATCGTTTGTAAGCACAATTTTTTTTAATCCTCATTCCATTAAACTAACCATAACCTTCGCAATTTGTCTACACAAAAAAATCCTCAAATCTAACGAAATCCTGACAACATTTTGGCAACACCGCGAACCTCCACAAATTCCACTAAAACAATTTCTTCGTTCAATACAGATTGTCCCAGGGGCGAATGGGGCCCGAATTGCTCGAGATCCTGCAATTGTCCCAACGAATGCGACCCGAAAACCGGAATTTGTTCAGAACAAACCACCAAAAATCCACCCATCATCACCACACAAACATCCCCCGGAACCACAATCAAAGAGGAACCAACAAGGGAACCTACTATCATAGAGGAACAAACCAGAACAACCACAAAACCTCCCTTATTCACAACAATAGAACAACTACACAGTACAACTACAAAATCTCCTGTTACAACAATCGAAGAGGAACAAATTGGGACAACTGCGAAATCTTCTAGTACCACAAGCAAAGAGGAACAACTTAGAATAACTGCAAAATCTTCTAGTACCACAAGCAAAGAGGAACAACTTAGAACAACTGGAAAATCTTCAAGTACCACAAGCTACGAAGAACAAATTAGAACAACAACATCATCGGGTAGTACTGTAAAAGAGGAACAAACGAAGAAAAATCTTGGGCCGATCGTGACCAAACAGGGCCTACTTATACCCGTGGAAATCCAATACGAGCTCAAGCAGAAACCCACGACCTACTCGACTGTGCGAGATAAAAACTTTCTGGAAATGTCGAACGAGGAATATTCGAACCGGCAAATGTCGATGAATAACAATTTTCCCGCCGACGAATTCGCCCTATTCGGCATCACCGTGTTGCTCGCTCTGATGCTCATCGTCGCCGTGTTGACCGGCAATTTTCTGAGAAAGAGGAAAAAGAAGAATTTTTCGCAGAACGGAAAGCGCCACCTGTCGGCGTTTTCCGCTAGTATATTTCACTCGCCTTTACCGGGTACGTATGTAGTTGTTCATATTAATCGAGTAATTTGTGTGTTTTAAAATAATTTCGGTGTGACGTCACGAAGGAGTTTCGTTGAATCTACTATATTATAAAATTAATTACCCGTTTCGTGGTATTTATAACACGTTCGAATGTAGACTAACAACGACTCCGTGGCGCAACGGTAGCGCGTCTGACTCCAGATCAGAAGGTTGCGTGTTCAAATCACGTCGGGGTCAATTTTTTTTTTCTACCACAAAAAATTATTTTTTCGATTCGAATTAGTCGCGAATACTTTTTTATATTAACATTAAATTTTAATACGCCTAATTAATAGGTTATGTTGATTTCAGATCCGCCGGTGACGGAGAATCCGCTGTATATGAATCCCGTGAAATGTCAAGGCGACAAAGATTTGCCCGCATTCGAAACGAGAATAATTTGCAACGTTAATAACACGCCGAACGGTGAGTAAATTCAATTCAACTAGAAATTTGAATATATTTACCAACATCGAGTGATTGAGCAAAACGTGTTATTATCATCTATTAAGTATCCTATTGATTGGCGAAACGCGATTTAATTACATACAGGGTGTTAATTGATAGTATGTAGTGTATTTTCGAGCTGATTTTAAGTCGATGAGACCCTCTATATCGTTCCCTATAAATTTTTATACAATTTAAATTATGTGCATTTTCTTGTATGATTTTGTGTAATCTGTATTGCCTACCCAATAAATTTCAGGGGTCTATTAATAACTATAGTGGTTAGAGCGAATTGCACCCTGTATACAAGCACAAAATAATTTCTACTTACCCCAGATGTTATTAGAGCGTGCTACTGCAGCTAATTCTAATAAAATCCAATGAATTGGTTTCGAAATAGACGTCCAAGAAACATCGATAGATAAAGCTAAAAGCTCATTCGTTCTAAAAAGACAATGACGTCACGAGCCGGTCCGTTGCGACGTTGCCGGGTTGTAATCGAAATCCTGTATGTGACAGATACATTTAATTTAACTTTATATTCATCAGGAGCTCCACAGCTAATTTTGCGTTTAATTCCAGCCGTTGAAATCGAGTACGATCATCCCCCTTCGATCGTAAACGTCAAACGCGCCCCGTTGGCTGATGCAGCTAATATGACGAGGCCAGTGGATGATCGTTCGATAATCGAACCGGTGTACGATGAAATTCCGCAGAAGGACGATGTCCAGCAGGATAATTCTACATTAGATATTTATATAAACACTTGCGGGAGAACAAAGTTTTGAGTACAATTTTTGGGTAGTTTTTTTCTTCTTTTCTTAGTGTATCTGTATCCGATTTTAACTGGGATGAATTAATCGTAATTTCACTCGTTAATGTCGATATAAAACACGCGATATTTCCATCACAAACGGAGAAATTGCAAATCGAAACACAACTGTCAGTTGATGACGTTTGACGTTAAATTTCTAACGAGTGCGAGCGAGACGGGTTTATCGCGAAGTTAGCCACGAATGTTTAATTTGAATAAAAAGAAACATGTAATAAGCATCTACAGACCTATAGAAATAGCTAAAGACGTACACATGTCATTTTTATTAGCATTTAAATGAGTTTTATTTGTTGGTTAGCATTTTAACGAGATTCATTTTTTGCACTTTTCCCGACTGTGTTTGCGGAAACGCCGCCATTATTTTCACCACAGTCGGTACTTTAAACGAGGCAATAGTACCGGCGCAGAACTCCTTGACATCCTCCACCGTCAATTGTTTGTTATCCTTCGTCCTTAGACATGCGCAGACTTCCTCTCCTAACCTTTCGTGCGGCAAACCGACCACCTGTAGAAAAAAAAAATTAGTACTACTTTTCGATGTGTTCTGGTGTATTATTCGAGTACTTGCGCTTCGATGACGTCGGGATGCGTGTCGAGGAGATCTTCGATCTCCCTGGGATAAATATTCTCGCCGCCCCTGATGATCATGTCCTTCAATCTGCTCACGATTTCGGCGTAGCCATCTTGATTCAACAAAGCCAAATCCCTGTTCGATTCGCTTCAATAGAAACTGCTCTAGGTGGTAACGAAGGTGGTACTCACCCGGTGTGGAACCAACCGTTGTCCTCCTTCACCTCTTTGGTCTTCGCCTCGTCGCCGTAGTAGCTCAAAAACAACGAGTACCCCCGTACGCAGAGCTCGCCCACGGTACCTCTGGGTACTATCCGATTCGCACCGTCGACGATTTTCGCTTCGAGGTGCTCCTGCAGGTAGCCCACGGTTCTCGTGCATTGGTACTTATCGTCGCCGTCCAGCGATTGGAAGGTACTACCGGAACTCTCCGTCAAACCGTAGATAGACTTCGATGATAACAATAATTCGCTTTTAGATTGGATATTTAAAGGGTAGATTCGTGCGTACCTTTACTTCGCGTACTTGCAGTACCTCTTTCATGGATTCGAATAGATTGGGAGTACAAATTGCGCCGCCGCTCACTGCGATTTCCAGTTGTAATTTCTCCCGTTTCTGTTTCTGGAGATTCACCAAGTCCACGTACATCGTCGGAGTACCGTACACCACTGTACATCTGAAGATACACGAATGGTAGTACCGGAATGGGAAGTACCGTTGGTGGTACTTACGCGTGTTGTTTGATGGCGTTTAAATTCTTTTGGGGATCGTAGGCGTCTGTGGGTAGTACTACGGTGGTACCGTGATTTAGGGCGCCTATTAGGCCGATGACGGAACCATAGGCGTGGAATAGGGGATTTTGTATGCATAATGTGTGATGTTTTTGATTCAATCGGTTGCGTTTTCCTATGAAATAACCGTTGTTGACGATGCTGAAGTGCGACACGATCGGCGCTTTCGAGAAACCAGTAGTACCCTGAAAGTACTCTATCGTTAAATAGTTTTTCTACAGATTGCTCCATTTTTCATTGCAACATAGGCTATGGGTGCAACAAAGACAACTTCAATTGAACACTTATGAAGGAAAAGAAAAGAGTGACATTTGTGTCATTGCAACTTTTCACTTTGACAGCTGTCATTTTAATAGTCTTTCTTTGTTCCACTCATAGAAATGACCAGTGTATATACTGAAAAGGTGAATAGAAATGGTGAACCAGTATCGAACAATTCGTTAATAAAAATTCGAAATATTCAAATAAGTATGATATAAGTACTTAAATCGAAGCTTACCGAGGTGAATTGTATACAACAAGGATCATCTGCTCTGATCAAATCCTGTTCCTTTTTGATTGTTGAAGTGCACTTCGATGTAGCGGAGTCCAGTACTTCGTTAAATGTATGAGAAGAAGCGCTAAAAATAAATTAAACACAAACTCGGCCATTTTGACTTATTTTTATAATCTGTCAATGTCAACAAAAGTTCAATGACAGTCCATAAGCCAACTCGATATGGATACATCATATGGCATAGACAAAATAAAAATCTTTCATTCTCTATGTTATATGGTAAAATATCTAACTAACCAAGTTTTACCATCGCCAATAACGATCAGCTTCCGTAAAGTCGGCACGCTTCGACAATTTCCGGCCGTTTCCGGCCAAATTTTCCGCACGATTTCGACGAAATTCTGCCTCCTCAGGCTCTCCTCGCGGTAAATCAAGGCGCTCACATCGGCCTTCTTCAACGAATACTCCAATTCCTTCTGCAGATAGAACGGATTCACCGGCACCTGATGGAAACCAATCATTTCATTCCTTATATACTAACTATTTGTAGTAAAAGAAAAGTAGAATCAAGAAGTAGCTATTAGACATTTGGCAATGTTGATGCGTCCTTTTCTGGCACTATGACATTTGACATTTGCTTCATAACTGTCATGGCGTCGTACATAACACTGAGGTAAGCAACAAGCATCTTAAAATAGTTTTCAAACATGAATATTTAAATTTGCCGCTAACTACATACGTCAAAATTGTCAAAGGCTCCAAGACAAAGACACACCGTTAGAAACTAGCGAGTGTCAAACAAGGACGGGTCATACAAGTCATTATTTCACAAATACCCCGTATAATAATCTTTGAAATTACCATAACGAATCCCCCGCGGGCGCATGCCATGAACGTGAGGTACCATTCTGCCATATTGGGCGCCCACAGGGCGATTTTATCGCCGGGGCGCAGGCCGAGCCTGCGCAGACCGCCCGCCAGCCGATCGGCGCGATCGAGCAGCTCTCGGAACGTCAAAGTGACGTTTTGGTGACAGCTGATGACAGCCGATGAGGTTCCGTGTTCCGTGGCGGTGCGTTCGAGCAATCGCCCGACGGTAAGAGGCCGCAACGGTTCCGTGCCGATGTTGTGGACGTAGCTCAGTTGGCTGTGCTTCCTGATTATCCTGGGGTTAGAATAAAGCTCTGTATTTCGAAGGTTCGGACATTTCCTGTGCTTATGCGTTAGAGAATGTGTTATTTGAGGAGTTTTTGAGCTTGAGGAGCAACTTATTTTAGCCAATCAGCGTCGCGCTACGTATAAATCGCGGTTGTTGTGAAATGACAGTTCGAGCTGTCAAAACTTCAGAAATTATTATTTGACATTTCGAAGAGAAAATGGAGGATTAACATTAACCGAAGATATCATCGCTGATTTAAGTGTATTTGTATATTTTGTATCGATTTTTAGTTTGAATGAAATGTATAAATAAAATATCCAGACCTTAGAAATATAGGACCGTGGGTTAGGATAACCAAAGGGTTATGTTATTCGATTGTATATACAGTATGGTAGATTTATTTTTAGTATAACTTACTGATAAAGTATAGTTTTGTTTCCTATTAGACGTTTCATCACTGATGGTGCACATTAAACTAGTACATAAACTAAGTACTTATACACTAATACAAGGTAATTAAAATTTACTATTGTTTTTTTTTGTAGTAGGTAATTATTATTTAAATTACTTTCATTGTTACTATTTCTGGTTTGATTTAGGCCTGTTGGAAATAAAACCGATAGATTTTGAACGTTTAGAATTCATTATGATGGTTATCGAAATACTATTTTCGAAATTCCATTATCATAAATTAAAAATTTATATACTCCGATTGATAAGAATATGCTATTGCAATCAATTATGTTATAAAAGTAGTTCGAAAGTTCAAATTTTATGCAATTGCATTTAATTGCCTATTAGTAACTGATTTAATATTGTTATACTGGATCGATAATTAACTTTTTAACAGAGGAAAAATAAAATGTAGGAATAATATGATACGCCACTGATTTTTTTTTAATTTTTACCCTAATTCAGTACAAAATTCCAACCGGATACGCCACTGGAACTTCACAAACGATCATCACAACTTTTTGCGCCCTTTTTTTTCGCCCTTTTCGATCGAATTTCCTTCGATATTCATTCGCATTTTCGCTACCAGTTTCCGATTAAATACACCATGAGTAGGGTACCCAACATTGTCTACCACTTCGGGCGGTTCATGCCCCAAAGCAACCCCCCCGAAAGGGCCGACGAGGCCAAGGAAACCCCCAAGGGCTCCCCAGCGAAGCCACAGGACACCAAAAGCAAAGGGGCCAAAAAGAAAACCGATAACAAAGAAATGGGGGCAATCAAAGAGGAGGATGAAATTGAGGTAAGTGTTTAGTACCATTTAGTAGTAAATTTATTAAATTTTCTACTATTTTTAAACGTTTATCAGTAGTTTTTATTAGTTGTATATTCAATTTCTTTTACTGTTTATTGTTTCTTCTTACAAATCCTTTATCTGATTAATAATATTACCTACCAATTTTGATTCATTGCACGCTATAATGTCGTGCAATTAGCTTATTTTGTCGTGCATTATCCCGTCCTCGTTTCGCGCGAAAAGTGAAAATTTTAGCGCTTTTTTCCCTTTTTTTTGTCCCTCAAAGCGATATGGCAACAGCGCCGCGACGTCGCTTTGGCCCCGCGGCGTCGCGACGGAGGAAAAGCGGCGCTTTTCCAGCGATGTTTCGCGTCGAAGTGCACAGCTGATGGTTTGTTTTGGTTTTTGGCTCGGGAAAATCGTGTTTTCTTTGAGGAAATCTAGTGAGTGCTTGTTTTTTCATTTTTAAGTTTTTAGGGTGTCTGTGTGTCTGTGTCGTGGAATCGATTTGGTGGGATTTTTTTTGTGTGTTATTGGGGTTAATTTTGTCGTGGGTTTCCCTATTTTTTGTCGTTCTGCAGGTGGTGATTGTTTGGATTTTATTTGGTTTGTAGTGGAACATTTAATTGCCCCACTCGCCCCGTTTATTTTGCATAACCAATTTTTCAATTTTATGTAAACGAATTTGTTGTATTTACGCTGAAATTTTTAATTATTTACCCACATTTAATTGCCCTACTCGTACTAATTACATGTTCAATCCATACATCTCCATTTTTTGCAAATTTTTATGTACAAAATTCGCTTAATTATTTCGAATTTTAATACCCAATTATCTACAATAATTAAGGCAAGATTTTTCGTACAAAAATTTCGTATTTTCCAAGAAACCACAAAAACTTGGCAACATCGCCGCAACCAGACAATTTCCACGAAGCGCCATCTTTGATAACTCGCACGAACTACCCATTGATTTTAAAACCATCGAATGTTTTCTTCGCCGAATGTTCGAAAATAAATCATAGATGGCCGAGGAAATTAATACAGAATTTCAAAATTTTTTCAAAGAACCTTCAGAAAAAGATTTCCCAATAATAACGCAACGTTTCGGTTCGATAACGAACCATCCTCAGGGCTACGAAATGAACGAAAGAAACCCACACTAACTAGATTGAAATGGGCGCTGAATAAACATTAATGAATAATTAATGATCGGGAATCATGCGAGAGCGATTTTCCTTTTCGGTGAAAGAAAAATCCAGTTTTCCTTGAGCCAGCAAATCGGCCGCATTTCGGCCATTAACCGTCCGTGTTTTGTTTCCAAGGTAACGCGATTTCTCGTGTTCGAAATATACACAAGTATTTATTATCAGCGTTATTATCTATTTAAAACAATTTGAGTATTATACAATTGTCGATTGTACTGAAATGGTAAAACCGGGCTAATTTATGGAAATTGTTTGCGTTTAAATCACGAAATTCGTTTCGAAATTTTATATACAGGGCGTTGCGAAAATTTGCCCGAGAAACGAATTAATTTTTCTTCTTTTTTAAGGGAAATTCTAATTTCACCGCCTACTTTTTATTACGCAATTTTTTTGAGTTTTTTTATTCCAGGTGATAACGATATTTTATTTATATTACATAATAATATATCGAGTGTAAATTAAATTAGGATAATTGGACTAATTATTTTAATGGCGCATTTATCGTTATTTTAATGTCACGAATAGCTCGATAAAAATTCGAAAAAAAAAATTACTGGAAATTTCAATGCAAATTCACGAGTATTATTTAAATAATAGGCTAATTGTTAAAGTTATTTAGATTATCTAATTAAATTAAGAACTAATTACTCTAAAGTAAGAGGCCACGGGAGTTTAAAACAAATCCAACAAAAAAATCTCACTACCTGTGTATAGTGACATTTGACATTACCCTCATCAAGTTACCCGTTACCCAAAAAATATATAGGTAATCATTAATTCATTTATCTAACTATCTAATAATGCTTTTTTATGTATCCACACACTCTAGATAAGGATATTTTACAATTGACTCTCTCGTACTTGTACGAAGTGTCCTCTTATCGGGAATTACTAAAATGTTTTTAAACAGCGAATTTGTAGTTCAATCACGTTGGCCGCGAGTGATCCTTTTTGGGTAAATATGTATATTATATACAAGTAAAATTGTGCGAGATTCCTTATTGTCATTTCGTGTGTGGAGCAATTAGAACATAATTCGGTAAGTTTCTGTTGATTTTAAATTAATTTTTTTGTACGTTTGTTTAGAATTATTCGCGTTGATTGAAAGTGTCAACGAATTGTTTGACAGTGACAGTTGTTAAAAAGGTGGCTAGATTTAGGCCGAATAGCCTTGTTAAATAAGGCCTGAAATGGGTTAGAAGAATATTGATTGTGGCTGGAAGAAGAAAAAAAAATGGAAAGTTTCGCATTGACTTTAATCAAATGAAAACCTTAGAAAAAAAGGACGCTAAATTAATCAATCGATTGACTCGGAAAGGCGACTAATAATTGTTTCTCTATATTTTCCATTGTTTCCATGGCCGCCTCGGCGCTTTCTCATCTCTAATTGTTATGAACGTTTCTATTAGGTAATCGAAAAATATTTTTCCTAAATAATATAATCAAGGTCTAATTAACCGGCTAATTAGCTATTTAACTAACGTTAATTGTTTGATGTATTGTTAAATACCATCATTAGGTGTTTCCTTTTCAACGAAAAAACTTTTTTAATAAATTTTTAATTCACTGGTTTTCTATTTTGAGCGAATTCGACATTTTTATACAGGGTGAATCGATTTAAAACGAGCTATATACTCGTATCACCCTGTATATTTTATGATTGACAAGTCTCGAGACATAATCTCGAACGATTATTAGAAATTATTTCGACGAGAACTTTCGTTTGTGCTCATTTCATCGCGAAATATACAGGGTGTTCCTTTTTAAATTGCATTGAAAATTTCACCTGAAGTGTAGAATTTCTAACAAGCGAAATATGCTATTATTTGTTACAAAACATATACAGGGTGATCGCATTTTAAGAATTGCAGTTTCCGAGACGCTCTATTTAGATTACCCTGTATAAAAATTAAGTTAATTACATCACAGTCGGCCGACTGGTGGGCTGAATGGCCGCGTAATCGATGGCCTAAGGGTTTTCCATTTCCGGCAGCCATTTTGTGTGAATATTGCGAATATTACATTTACTTTTCACATGTTCTCGTTTCGGTGAGTTCTTTTTTTTTGTTAATGTTTTTTTTGTTCTTTTGTTCATTTTTTTGTCCTCGTTTTTATCCTGTTCGTGTCTCTCTCAGTGTGTTGTTTGTTAATAAGCAGTTCAGGGTGGATTATAAGGCACCCTGTACATACAGGGTGGACCAATGTAGAGACTATTTTTTAATAATTTTTTTTTCTGTATTATTCGCCTTTAATTTACGAATATTAATCAATGAGAATTCTGTATTATTCGCCATTGTTTTCCGAATATTATTCAATGAGAAATGCTCGTTATTTTCCATTCATAATCTCATTTTATTTACCTGTTTTTCTCCTATTACATATATTATAAAATGCCCATTTTTTTTATTGCGGCAATTATACTTATGCATAGACGAATTTAATTGGATACATTGTTAGTATTCCGACTGTTTATTCAATTTAAATATTTTCGATATTTATAGCAATTCGGTCACGAAGACGCAAACAAATTAGAAAAAATTACTCTTTACATAATAGAAAATATTCCCTTATCAATTCGGCGTAATTTCAAGAGAGAGAATATTCGACTAGGGCACTGATTTATTTATTAATTCCCCCCTTTTATATTGCCCAAGGTCTAGTGACTTCCTGTCACGATACATCTCTATTATTTACTATAATCATGGGCAGCTCAATCGCTCATTCAAATTGGAGCTGTCTAGTTGGCTGTGGTAACGGAAAAAATTCACAGCCTACTTCGATCGAATTCGAAAAAAGGCATTTACGAAATCGCGATGAAATAAAATTGCACTAAACTCTTAATAAAAGATAAACCGTAAATGAAATCGGCCCATTAAAGTTTTCTTGACCTTTCGTCGATACATATTTAATACGATATAAAATGAATTATGTATTTATAATGTGACGTACAAGGACGACGATTATTTTGTAAGAGCGTTCGTGCAATCGATTTTTAATCGAAAGATCATCGAAATTATCGAGTTCTGATACATATTAATGACTCTCGAGTTGATAATTGGCTCTTTTGAACACACAATTGACTCCCTTTTAGTTCCTAATTTACGAATGTACGATAAAAAAAATTGCGCGAAAGCGCTAATATACAGGGTGTCTCAAATTACAACTGAAAAAAATCTGCGAATTAGTTTCTATCAAATAGAATCGATTAGATATTTTCGTATAGAAAATCTCACTTTTTCTCTCGACTTTCTACCGCGAATTTGCTTCGATTTGATATCGATTAGTAATCGATCTTCGACCTGAGAGTCTTTTTATCTTATCGTAATCGGTTTGTAGAGTTTCCACGAGAATGCTGCCCGTTGTATCCTAATCTATCCGGTTAATAAACGATAAAATAATATAATAATTGTCGCAATTAGTCCGGATGACGTCCCGTGTCATTGTTTGGTATAAATATACGAGGTTTGTTGTTATACAGGCGTAATTTCTATCGGTTATTCTCCGGTAACGGATGGTTTGTGGTTGTTGCGTGTTTTAGACAATTTCAGTATTTGAGATAATATAATTATTGGTGAGTTTTTTTTTATTTTATTATTTTTTTTATTGAAAATTTCAAGCGAAAAAAATGAGGATTTTTCGGTAAAAAGATTAATTGTAAGAGCGTTGGTGCAATTCGATGTTACCGATGTTTGTTTGAAATTTTTTTGGAAAGTTCGTTTCGAATTATTGTAGAAAATATTTTCTATATCAATATTAATGTTTTGAAAAGAATCTAAATAAAAATTAACTTGAAAACTATCAAAAAAAAACTGGCAATTACAACTAACAAAAGATTAAATATCGAGCAATTGGCGCAATTTTAACAAACGAACTAATTCCATAAATTGTTGGGATATTTTCTATTTAAATTATTAGACATCAAAACAACCGCAAAATTTCCTCGTAATTCGCTTGCAAAACGGATTTCCCGCGAAAAACAATCGTTCCTTTTTATTTATTTATTCCGCAGTTCCTTTCTGAGAAATATTTGTCAACAAAAAACCATAAATTTTCCTTGTTTTTCCTCAGCATTTCTCCGCTATCGCGATATGTAATTATAAAAACTAATTATACACAGTATTATTATGTACTAACATTCTTCCTTTAAATAATATAACTTTTTCGAATAATTTGTCAGACGGTAAACAAATATTTGTTTGCTAAAATGTTCAAAATTTCGGTTTTATTTGAATAGCCAATTTACTAATCGATTTATGAATGAATTACCATCGATACTGAACGTGAAATCGATTGAGCAAATTTCTGTTTGCTTTACGTGTGGAAATTTTCCTCTAAAATCATTTTAATTATGTTGTTTGTCTATCTAATGATACAGACATTTATTTTTAACATTATCGCATTTAATGCGATCGCTTAAATTCGGTTGCAAATCGATTTTTCGATCAGTTTTTGAGAAAATTCTCTCTCATTAATTCATCAGTGCAACATTCCAAATTCGAAGAAATTATACACTAAATGGTTAGTTCTATTATTTGATTCTTTTTAATTTTAATTACAGTTTAATTATTACTTAATATAATTAATTTTACAACTAAACACTTGCATTTAGAATAATTTAAACTAACAATTACACAACGATTTTATTTTCAACTTCCAACAATTAACTTGATAAAATTATAAACGTTCGATTTATTTACAAAAATCTCATTTTTACTACAATCGATAAGCCGGCTTGACTAATTACATTATATTTATATTATCTATTGTATTATTTTATCTGACGATTTGTTAATTTATTGATGTCAAAGCGGATTTATTACCGTTAAATACACACCAAATACTACAAATACAATGAAGAAAGAATTTATTCAGAACAAATTTATTATAAAGGATGTCCCAACTTCTAATCCATCACTCTACTTATACAGGGCGTCTTATCTTATTGCTCTATTAGGTACTCTACAAATACACAAAAAATATGTCTCATTTTATACTCTATTGTATCACTCTACTTACACAGGTTGTCCTAACTATTTTGTATACTTCTTTAAGCATTTAATTTTCTCAAACCGATCTCGGTAATTAATCATCCTGCGCCGCTTTCCCCACAACTTCCAACAGGTTGTTTCCTGTATAGGTTTAAATCCGAATTCGATCGAGCTATCCGTGGAATCCAACGGCCTCTAGATCTCCCATCCTAAAAATAAAATGCGTGTTTGTGTTTATAAGTGCGTGCAATGTTGCCAGATTCTTTGTACTAATTTTCTTTGATTAAACCTCGAAAAGGTCTCTTCGTATTTCTGCACTAATGTAAATCATTATGATGGATAGTTTATTAAGAAAAGTAGAAAAATGCGGATGAAATTGACTTGAGATAAATTACGAAATAACGACAATTTCTTAACTTAGACAAAAAATTTTCATGTTTCAGAGGTTTTTTGTAAAACATTCTACTTTTCTTCAGTATCTCTCATAATTCCGCATATCGAAGAAAATTCTGCATATCTGGCAACGTTGCTACCGTGGAGTTCCATCTATCCCGCTCTCTCCCACTTGTTCCACGTATATACATCGGGGTTATAAACACAACGCCAGTTTAGTTCATGTTTCGAAGTAACAAATATAAGATCGATCTGTTTTATGTGTGTGTGTTTATTAATTTCCGATGAAATTAATAAGGACTTGTAATAAATGAAGTAAAGTAAGTGTTTAATGTGGAATTGAGTGGGATTTGTCTATGAAAATGGGATTGGTTTTTGTTTTGATGAGAACAATAGAGTATTTTGAGTGGTGTTTTTATTTATTTTTTTTTTTTTCGAAAATCTATTCATCCTTTTAGTGTTAGGGGATTTATATAACCCAACTGAACCTCCCAAAAGCAATTGCAATAGAACAATATTTGAGAGTAAAGAGTAAATAATATTGAACTTGTTTACACCAGAAGTTTATTTATAAATTCTAATACCCGAAACGCTAACAAAGATAACTTCCTCTTATCGAAAGTAGGCGAAATCGAATAAAAAAAATATACAGTGAGGACCAAAAGTTGGTACTTTTGGCCCTCACTGTATACACGAAAATATCTGTTACTAATCAACGATTATTTCGCGTTATTTTCCTCCAGTCCGCCATGCCCAAAATGCTAGAAAGTTCACCGAACGCGGCTCTGGATAAGTCCCTGATACAGCACTATCTCACCCTGCCCATTCCAGACGGGAAATGCCAGGCCACCTACATCTGGATAGATGGATCCGGAGAGAACGTCAGAAGCAAAACCAGGACGTTGGATTTCGTTCCTAACGAACCATCAGGTACAAACGCCATTTTATTATTTTATTACTCCATCAGTCTTATCGAGACTCGAATAATTTACCGCGAAAAATATTGAAAAAAAAAAACCACTCGAAATTCAATCACGCATCGAACACGTGCCGTCTAGATTCGTCCCATTGTTCCGAGCGTGTACGATGCACTCGATAGAACTTGGAACAGGTTCAAAGTTTTCTCTGTTGGGTTTTTTTTTATTCGCTCGGCCGTGAAATTGCGAAAAATGAATGACTCGGGATCAATGAAACTCGCCATTTGGCCAAATCCTGATACTACATTTGTCATAATTAGTACAAAAGTATGATTTATTTGGATTAATCACGTTGGTTGTTTTTGTAATAGATTTGGCGACTTTAAAAAGTCACTGTATAATGGTGATTCTATAAGCTGTATGCTTATTTTTAACGGGTGTTAATTCGCGACTATGAAGAGTTACTGTATAATGACAATTCTTTAAGCAGTATTTTTAAAGGGTGTTAAAATTTACTCGACATTTTGACTCAAATATCTGTGTTTGGATTTTATTTTTTATTATTATTATTGATTATTGGATTATTACAAACGAAATGGACAAAGGAATTTAACAAGAATGTCTAAAATTCAAAAGGAGAAATACATTTACTTGTTAGAAGATAATAAATTTCTCGTAGAAACATCTACAGGTAGTTCTAGAATTGCTTCTTTAAACGTGCGTTATAATTTAACATTTTGCTTGTAGAATTACCGTTAATATATCTTTAGAAAAGCACTGTATATGTCTTTTAAAAGGCACTTTAGAAGTCTTTTGAAAGGCACTTTATAAGTCTTTTAAAAGGTACTTTATAAGTCTTTCAAAAGGCGCTTTATAAGTGTTTTAAAAGACACAGTATATGTCTTTTAAAAGGCACGTTAGAAGCCTTTTAAAAGGCACTGTATACGTCTTTCAAAAGGCATTATAAGTGTTTTAAAAGGCATTTTATAAGTCTTTTAGAAGGCACTTTATAAGTCTTTTAAAAGGCACTTTAGAAGTCTTTTAAAAAGCACAGTATATGTCTTTTAAAAGGCACTTTATAAGTCTTTTAAAAGGCAGTTTATTAGTCTTTTAAAAGGCACTTTAGAAGTCTTTTAAAAATCACAGTATATATCTTTTAAAAGGCACTTTAGAAGTCTTTTAAAAAGCACAGTATATGTCTTTTAAAAGGCACTTTAGAAGTCTTTTAAAACGGCACTTTAGAAGTCTTTTAAAAGGCACTTTATAAGTCTTTTAAAAATCACAGTATATATCTTTTAAAAGGCACTTTAGAAGTCTTTTAAAAAGCACAGTATATGTCTTTTAAAAGGCACTTTAGAAGTCTTTTAAAACGGCACTTTAGAAGTCTTTTAAAAGGCACTTTATAAGTCTTTTAAAAATCACAGTATATATCTTTTAAAAGGCACTTTAGAAGTCTTTTAAAAAGCACAGTATATGTCTTTTAAAAGGCACTTTATAAGTCTTTTAAAAGGCACTGTATATGACTTTTAAAAGGCACTATACATGTCATTAAGAAGCCACTTCATATACCTTCAAGAAACCACTGTATAAGACTTCAAAAACCCACCGCATAACCGAAATTTCTCCCCCCGCAGAACTACCCATATGGAACTTCGACGGTAGCTCGACCAACCAAGCCGAAGGCAGCAACTCCGACGTGTTCCTCTACCCCGTCGCCGTCTACAAGGACCCCTTCCTCAGGGCCAACAACAAGCTCGTCCTCTGCGACACCTACAAGTTCAACAAGAAACCGACGGCCACCAACAGGCGCTTCACCTGCGTGCAGGCCATGGAGGCGGCCAAAGACCACCGGCCCTGGTTCGGCATCGAGCAGGAGTACACGCTGCTCGACATGGACCTGCGGCCGCTCGGCTGGCCGAAGAACGGCTTCCCGGGGCCCCAGGGGCCCTATTATTGCGGCGTCGGCGCCAACAAGGTCTACGCCAGGGACATCGTCGAGGCGCACTACAGGTGCTGTTTGTACGCCGGCATCAACATCAGCGGCACCAACGCCGAGGTCATGCCCGCCCAGGTGGGTACCTGTAGGTTTAATTAGGTCGACTGGTTTGGTTCTTTTCGTGGTCTAGGCGGTTATTGAGGACCTGGTGGAGGTATAGATGAAGGTCTAGGTGATTTTCGAGGACCTGGTGGAGGTCTAGATGAAGGTCTAGGTGATTTTCGAGGACCTGGTGGAGGTTAAGATGAAGGTCTAGGTGGTTATTGAGGACCTGGTGGAGGTATAGATGAAGGTCTAGGTGATTTTCGAGGACCTGGTGGAGGTCTAGGTAGTTTCAAATGATCTGGTGGAGGTCTAGATGAAGGTCTAGGTGATTTTTAAGGACCTGGTGGATGTCTAGGTAGTTTCAAATGACCTGGTGGAGGTTTAGATGAAGGTCTAGGTGATTTTTAAAGACCTGGTGGAGGTCTAGGTAGTTTCAAATGATCTGGTGGAGGTCTAGGTGATTTTTAAGGACCTGTTGGAGGTTTAGATGAAGGTCTAGGTGATTTTCGAGGACCTGGTGGAGGTATAGATGAAGGTCTAGGTGATTTTCGAGGACCTGGTGGAGGTTTAGATGAAGGTCTAGGTGATTTTTGAGGACCTGGTGGAGGTCTAGGTAGTTTCAAATGATCTGGTGGAGGTCTAGATGAAGGTCTAGGTGATCATTATGGACCTGGTGGAGGTCTAGGTAGTTTCAAATGATCTGGTGGAGGTCTAGATGAAGGTCTAGGTGGATTCAAATGATCTGGTGAAGGTCTAGGTGATTTTTAAGGACCTGGTGGATGTCTAGGTAGTTTCAAATGACCTGGTGGAGGTTTAGATGAAGGTCTAGGTGATTTTTAAAGACCTGGTGGAGGTCTAGGTAGTTTCAAATGATCTGGTGGAGGTCTAGGTGATTTTTAAGGACCTGTTGGAGGTTTAGATGAAGGTCTAGGTGATTTTTGAGGATCTCGTGGAGGTCTAGATGAAGGTCTGGGTGAATTCGAATGATCTGCTGAAGGTCTAGGTGATTTTTGAGTACCTGGTGGAGGTCTAGATGGATTCGAATGATCTGGTGAGGGTGTAGGTGATTTTTGAGGACTTCGTGGAGGTTTAAGTAGTTTCAAATGACCTGGTGGAGGTCTACTAGGTGATTTCGGAGAACCTAATGAAGGTCTATGAATTAAGGAAGATTAAGGATGAACGAACTTTCAGTCATTTTGGACATTGTTAGGAATAATTTCGAAAATTTTCATTAAATATCATTTGTGTACTGTTCATTCAACTATATCGCCCGATTTATTGCTTATATGTTAAACACATCAAATCACCCGAAATTTATCGATAAATTGCTTACTTATTATTGTAAACATCTAAATGGGTCAAGCGAGATAAAAATTACTATTTCGACAACCGATTTCTTTTCGAGATATACGCTCGAATTAACGTAATTTTCGACGCATTCTCCGACGTATTTCGAAAAATCCATACATAATTTTTTTTCTATTATTTTTTATTTTTTCGATTCGATTTTAGTGGGAATTCCAAGTGGGCCCGTGCGAGGGCATCTCCATAGGCGACCAACTGTGGGTCTCCAGGTACCTTTTGCATCGAGTCGCCGAAGATTACGGCGTCATCGTCACCTTCGATCCCAAACCGATGGAGGGCGATTGGAACGGGGCCGGAGCCCACACTAATTTCTCCACTAAAATTATGAGAGAAGACAACGGCATCGTGTAAGTACCCATTTTAGTATAAATAGCTTTTTTTCGTATAAACAGCTTTTTCGAGGACTTTAAGTTGCGTACGATGGTACGCGATGTAAACAAACAACGCGAACTGTCAAAAGTTTGACGTTTGTGACGTTTCGTTAATAGAGTTGGGTTTTGTGGTGTAGAGGTGTCGGAACTGGTGTTACAAAATAAGCGTTATTTTTTCAGTTATTACACGACGGTAATCTTATCTAATAAATTTTATTTTCCGACGCATATTATTCGAGTGGTATTTTGCATTTATCGCGTGGAAAAAAAATAGTATGAAATCGGGAATCTGCCAACTCCATCATGCATTTATCACGCGATAAATATCTGCTAAATCACGCTTTTGTGCTACACAGGTAACAATGCTCGGCGTGTTTTAATTGCGATTTTTATTATTTGCTTTTCGCTTTTGAATTAATCCAGCAATAAACAAAAAACATTCTTCGAATTTAATTGCCGTTGAAATTTTATCAAAAAAATAGGATTTTTACTTAGCTAAACTATCGTGTTAGTAAAACATTTAACAAGGTTGAAATAATGACCTTATCTTAAGGTTAAAGCGAGCGTCCTTATCCCCAAGATAACCTCAATATAACTATCACACATTATTACTATTCAACAGGTAAATTTATGTAAAGTAATAACGAACAATTACGTTTCCGAATAAGGGAGAAAAAAAGGTGGAATTATCCAAATTCGCATCGTGTAATTTGAAATCAGATAACCTTGAGTTCCGTTAAAATAACTAGTGATAGGTAAATATTTATTCGAATGTCTGATTTTTTATTCAGCGGATAACCAGTTCGAACTGGATACGGAAATTTCGTACAATTAACATACACGATTTGCACGTGTAAATATTCCGCAAATTACTTTATTAATAGATTAGATTATTTGTGTATAATTCTTGTATAATTGCACTTGCAGTTTTAGATTTCTCGAACCGTAAAAAAATATATATATTGTCACGAAAGCCCAATTTAAAACAGCACAGGAAACGAGCCCATTTAAATCGTTAATAGGTCGAATAAATTGTGGACTTCCTCATTAAAAATTGATCTATTTGCGGCGGTAATTAATTCATTTTATTCGTTAAATTTTCAGCTATTTTGCTGTTCAGCTTCATAAACGAAATCCTCTTCGATACCCCAAAAAAACTGTTATTTAGTTATTAGTTATTGGTTATTAGATATTTAATTTTTCGTTTGTTTGCAGCGAAATCGAAAAGGCCATCGACAAATTGAGCAGGAACCATCTCAGGCACATCCAAGCCTACGATCCCAAAGGAGGAAAGGACAACGAGCGCCGTCTGACGGGCAAACACGAAACTTCCTCGATCCATGACTTCAGCGCCGGTTCGTATTATTATATTCCCAATTAAAGTAGGGAGAAAATATAAGTCGGATAAAAGTAGAGAAAAAACAGTTTAATAAAAGTGGAGAGAAAATAAGTAGAATAATACTAGAGAAGAAAACAGTTTAATTAAAGTAGGGAGAAAATAAGTCGAATAAAAGTAGAGAGAAAACAGTTTAATAAAAGTAGAGAGAAAATAAGTCGAATAATAATAGGGAAGACAGTATTTTAAAGACTTTTTTTAACAGTTTAATAAAAGTAGGGAGAAAATGGGTCCAAAAAAAAGTAGAGTGAAAACAGTCTAATAAAAGTAGAGAGAAAAATAAGTCGAATAATAATAGGGAAGACAGTATTTTAAAGACTTTTTTTAAGTTTAATAAAAGTAGGGAGAAAATAAGTCTAGTAAAAGTATAGAGAAAACAGTCTAATAAAAGTAGAGAGAAAAATAAGTCGAATAATAATAGGGAAGACAGTATTTTAAAGACTTTTTTTAAGTTTAATAAAAGTAGGGAGAAAATAAGTCCAAAAAAATTAGAGTGAAAACAGTCTAATAAAAGTAGAGAGAAAATAAGTCGAATAATAATAGGGAAGACAGTATTTTAACGACTTTAAAGACTTTTTTTAACAGTTTAATTAAAGTAGGGAGAAAATAAGTCTAGTAAAAGTAGAGAGAAAACCGTCGAATAAAAGCAGAGAGAAAATAAGTCGAATAATAGGGAAGAAAACAGTTTAATTAAAGTAGGTGGAAAAAAGTAGGGCGAAAATTAACGGTGTAACAAAAAGAAAATAGCGATAAAACGAACGGAAAGTGGGATAAAACTAATGCATATAATATTTAATATAAACAGGAGTAGCCAATCGCGGCGCCAGCGTGAGAATTCCCCGGGGATGCGCCGAAGAGAAAAAGGGTTACCTGGAGGACAGGCGACCGGCCTCGAATTGCGATCCTTACGCCGTCACCGAGGCTATTGTCAGGACCTGCATCCTCAACGAATAGGACCCCCCAAAACATTTCTATTCTAACGAAACGGGGGATCGATATTTTTAGCACAATTTTACAATTTGTATTATATACTCTTTACACGTGTTTTATAAATGTATGTTTATTGTATAAAGCGGAACAAACCATTTATCGTTTTGAACTTATTATTATTTTGGTTTTTGTTTTTTTTTTCGAAATTGTTTCGTTCCATTTCTTTTCGTTTATTTTTTTTTAAATTAATTAATGTTAGTTGTATAGCCGTCGAATTGTACCTAAAAGATGGTGTTCACACAAAAAAAATCACTATAAAGTTATTATATTGCTACTTTGTATATGTAATGAAATAAATATTAAATATTACATCATTTAGAATACTATTATTTTTATTTTATAATAAATACTAAGCTTGAACACTCAATTATAAAATGTTAAAAAAAATGTAGAAAATTCGAAATGAAAAAAACAAACTTTGTAATAAAACTATGCATAAAATATCTTTTTAAATATCGAACAATTTGTATATAAAATTACGATGTGTAAAGATTCATAAAAAATTGATTTTCAATGTAGATTCTTCTTATAAAAAAACCTTCTATTCAAAAATTCAAGCAAAAGCTTTAAAGTTTCTTTCACAACATTGACCTAAACCTAATAATAAACTCGATTCAAAAATAACGCAATGAATTAGAAAATACAAAATTTGTCGATTAGAAAACTATCAATAAACGACCGCCCAAAACGGGCGATTTTGAACAATTCTCCGTTCCAAAATTGTTCAAACCTTAGATCATATACACCTTGCTCCATTTCCGATTGCAACATGGTCATTTCTATGAGTGGAACAAAGAAAGATTAATAAAATGACAGCTGTCAAAGTGAAAAGTTGCAATGACACAAATGTCACTCTTTCCTCTTCCTTTGTAAGTGTCTAATGGAAGTTGTCTTTATCGCACCTGTATATGATCTAAGGTTCAAACCCGGTACTATTTGGCCCGCCCGAAACCGGGTGGTACTTAGAAGTCTCCTCTCCACGTCAGCAGCGAATCCAGCAGGAAAACGGCGCCATTAATGATCGCCAAAGAGGCCTTCGCCAAGCCGTAGTCCCGCCATTCGGACTTGCCAAAATCGTCGTACACTTTGATGTTTAAGGCCCCGGAGGCGACGAAAAGAGCGCAGCCCACCAACGAGAAGAATATGTCGATTCTCTTGTTGAACGGGGTGCTCATCAAGTAGCCTGCAAATTACGATTTTTTTTTTAATTTTGCGATTTTTGGGACTTTAAGTTGCGTACGATGATACCAGGGTCCTGTATTTCTAATTTACTAAGGTCTAATAAGACATTTTCTAATGCATAAGCATAAGAAAAATTCCAGACATTAGAAATATAGGGCCGTGTTGTAAACAATGAACGCAAATTGTCAAGTTTGACATTAGTGACGTTTCGTTAATAGAGTTGGGAATTGGTTGTTGTAGTGTAGAGGTGTCGGAACTGAAGTTACAAAATAAGCGTTATTTTTTAAATTTCCTGTTAAAATCGAAATGAGGAAAAATAAAATGGTTTTTACCTGCGAATCCACCGACCAGAATGATGACGTATCCACCGAAAGTAGCTGAAGATAACGTATCGGTGTCGATATCGTTCGTTCTGCTTTTGTAATGTAAACCAATGCAAGTGACAGCTATGGCCTAAAAATACAAGAAAAAACTATTAAAAAAAACCTACTAAGCTGCGAGATTAAGTAAACATGTAGAGTAAAGTAAAGTAGATAGAGTAGAGTAGATTAGTGTAGAGTAGTGCAGAGTAGTCTAGAAAGCAGAGACAAATTCGTATTATTTAATTCTTTTTAAGTATACAAACAATACTATATTCTTTTTGTTGTTGTTTTTAATCAATGAAAGTGTAAGAAATTAAAGTAATTGAAAATCAACAATGTTGAATGCTTATTCATAGCGACCCTGACCCTCCTACCAGTATTAGGTCATGCATATAATTTCCTCGGAATTTGAATTATCACAGCTAAATTTAGTAATGATTTTTTAATACTACAATCATTACGTTGTTTCCACTATTTATTTTTAGAAATGCGTAAAAAGTCCCTATTAATCAAATTATATGCTGTTTTAATTTTTTTTTGATCAAACGATTCATTTGGTTATGTCATCTATTAGTTTAGATATTTTTAGATAATTAAACTGGGCATAGCTCACATTTTTTCACATGTAAAAAACTGTAGATAATTAAATGAAAACGCCCATTAAAATGGTTCAAAAGACCAGCTGAACTTAGAGATAAATGAACATTTTCTGTTACAAACAGTAAAAGAAAACATTACGAGTGCGATAAGTAATTACACTTGTTTATGTCGAGGAAGTTATTATAAAATTCAAGGAAAGTTATTGTTACCTTTTAACTTTCGGTTAGAAAAAAACCAGGTCAATTTTTCGTCGATTATAAACAAACTCTGGTGTAGTAAATAAGATTCTCGACATTTTCGAATATGATACAGATAAAATTGGATTCAAGGTTTTGCTGGTAAAACGAAATGGAAATAAAAGTTTAAACATCGAATTACTCATCGCGATATATTTCGATTCTTATCCAACATCTAAACATACATTTGATCTCATCGATCGTAAAATGGAATTTCTTATTCTTGTTATCGCTTTTTTGTGGATTCGTGACTGAAATTTTTAAGTTAAAAGCGTTTCTTTTGTGCGGTTTTATACGAAAGTCCTAATTTATTTGATACATTTTAGTATTTCAATGGGTTTATCGTAGGATATCCTCTGCTTTGATGATTAATAATGAATAATTCATGTCATTTTCTAAAACATCCTGTATATTCAAACGGAAGGAAGTAAAAGAGTCGGTAATAGGAAAGGTGTTCCTTCGAGTGTGAATTTTAGTAAATATACAGGGTGGCTTTAAAAAGATAGTAACAAATAATTTTCTAACAACATCTTCAGTGTGCCAGGAGAATATAAAATAAAATTCTAGAATAAACAGGAAGCAAAAGCAATAATTATGTAAATGTTATTCTCGCATTAAACCATTTGTACACCAATTTAAACGCACAATGTATCTATCACATTTATAAATAGACCAAACTGGTACTTTAACCCGTCACTAAAAGCATTTTCTTTAAAAAAAAAAAAAGAAACAAGGAGTACATTGAAAGAAAAACATAGTACGTTCTACAGGGTGGCCCATAAACCGTAGTTCCTTTCGAAAATGTATAAAATAATTGTAAAAATTCACTGTTGAAATGAATAGACCCGCCCTGTAGAAAATGATCTTTAAGAAATAAAAAGAAACGAAGCGTCAAAAGCAGGCGCGAAGGACAAAGAAGGGCATATACAAACTGGTTGAAATGGAATCGATACTTAGTAGAAACTTTAAAAACGCAATTTCATCGTGACCCAAATACTAAAATACTTTTAATAATACTACATCTGCATATTAATAAAAGCAATACTAATAAAGAAAACATTATGTATCGTTTCGATTAATTAATAAACAAACAATAAAAAAATCTCACCAATTCCAAAAATTTGATGATAGACAATCGACTGATGGCCATTTCGTTGGATTTTTCGAACAACACGAGAGCGAAACAAATCGGGGAAAAAATTCACCGCGATACTCGAACGACGTTTAGCCCAAAACTGGAAGCGTTTCGAAGAAGAAGCGCCACTCTATATCAATCGGACGAGATGGAAATGGAAATGGAAATTTCAAGGTGCAGGAGATTCCTACGCTTACGCTCTACGCCCTACAAACGCACTACGATTCGATTTGATTCACAGCGAGTGTTTACTCGACTTTTTCTGTTTTCGTGTGGAAGCGCAGGTGCGTAGATAAGCCGGCTTTAGTCGGGATTTTACGATTTTAGGTGGAGAAAATCGATTAATTTTACTAGTTTGCATTGATAAAAACCAATAAATTCGATCAATAAGCCGCCCCCCACCCCTAATTCCCGCTGCAAGGTGAGCGTAACGTGACTAACCTGTATGACTATAATATGACATGATGTCATCGTTATTAATGAGACCTGTTGATGTAATAAACCGTGAGCGAGTTACAGATAGGGAGTTATAATAACAAGGTGTCTGTGGATTCGTTTAAAATTATTCTCGACCGCCAAGTTTATTCGTAATAATAACACACCTGGTGGGCATTTTATTTGTGTAAATTAGAAACAACTTTAGTCCAGTTTTTTTTTCGTAATATCCTGCAGGACTTTAAGTTGCGTACGATGATACATCGATGCGGAATATACACAAAACGTCAACGATGATGTTTGTGACATTTCATTAATAGAGTTGGGAGTCTGTTTGTCTACTATAGAGGTGTTGTAACGAACGTTACAAAATAAGCGTTATTTTTTCCTACTCTTCCTTTTTTCTACTTTTCAATTCAAACCATGATACAAATATACAAGGTATGATTGAAAGCGTTCACAATTCGGTTCGCTTTGCGCAATATATCGTATCTTATTGTATCATGAATTCAAACCTATCAAAAAACATTATTTTTATTGAATCAAATTACCAGTTACACAACACAAAATAGAAAATAACCTAATTCATAATCCTAAAACCTACAATTCCTCGTGCTACATTTCCACCTAATCTACGCCACTTCCTCCACTTGCATCATCCCCTCATCCAACTTATTCTCATCATCCTCATCCTCTCCCATCCCCTGCTCATCATCATCATCCTCGCTCCGATAGTTATTCTCCTCATCGACCACCTCCCCTTCCGCACCCATCGATTCCTCTTCGTTCTCGTTAACATTCTCCTGTTCACCGGCGTGCTGCGAATTCATGTGATCCTTCAAAGCGAACGCCCTCGCGTAAGTAGCCCCGCACAACCAACAATCGAACTTCAAATTGTTCTCCCTCTCGTGCGTCTCCATGTGGGCCCTCACCGCGTACAACGAAGCAAACGGCCGATTGCACTTGGTGCAACTGAACGGCTTCACGTGGCTGTTCTTGTGCCCCGCCAATTGCACGCTCGTCTTGAACGCCTTCGGGCAATAGGGGCACTTGTAGGCCCTCACATCGGAGTGTATAAGCAAATGGTGGTTGTAGACGCTGTGCGATTTGAACCGTTTACCGCAGTGAGAGCACTCGTACGGTCTGGATCCCGAATGAGTGCGCATGTGCAAGGTGAGACAGTAACTCACGCGGAACGCCTTGCCGCAGATCTGGCACACGTGGGGCTTCTCCCCCGTGTGGATCCGCTCGTGCTTCACCTTCTCGCAGGGCCTCGAGAACCTCCGACCGCAATACTGGCACTCGTACGATCGTTTATGACAATGATTGTTAACATGTACATTCAACGAATTGTGTGTAGTAAAAGGTTTCTTGCAATAGGAACACACGAACTTTTTGGTGTTCGTGTGGGCTTTCGTGTGCATCTCGAGGTTCTCTTTCGTGAGGAATTTCCTGTTACAAGTGGCGCAATAGAAGTTATCTTCATCGGTGTGTGATTTCATGTGGACCTCTTCGTATTCGATGTCGTAGGTGTTGTTGCATATGTGACAGACGAACATTTGGCGCGCTTGGGCGTCCGGTTGGGCGCTCACGGGCGACTCGATCGGTTTGTTCTTGAGCGGTTCGTGCATGCGTTTGTGCAACCGGAGGCTCTTGAACGACGGGAACATGGTGTTGCAGACGTCGCACGTGTGAGGCCCCAGCGTGATGATCTTGTTCGGGGAATCCTTGGAGGTTTTCACGTGGGTTTTGAGATGGGCGACGAGCGATTGGTGGTTTTGGAAGGAGGCCGAGCAGTGGACGCACTTGTTGCGTTTCACCGAGTTCTTGGTGATGTTGCACGTGTGTTTGACGTAGTGCTCGATTTTGGGGAATTGCAGGTAGCATTTGGGGCACTGGTGGATTTGTACGATGGAACTTCGGTCGACGATTTCGGCGGCTTCTTCTTCGGTGATTTTCTTCACGACGCCGAATTCTTGGATGGCGTAGTTCTCGGTGATGGGGGGCGTGAGGAACGGGATGGGTTTCTTCGATTTGTTCGAATTGCTTTCGTATAGAGTCTGTTCGTGTTCGAGTAGCTGTTGCTCTTCTTCGGCTTGGTCTAATTGATCGTTGTCGATCGGTTCGTTGGATATCTCGAAAGTTTCTTCTTCTTCTTCATCTTCTTCTTCCTTCGAATTGTTCCCTAAGTCGGATTCGACGGAAACTTGCTGCTCGTTGTCCCCATCTTCAGTCTCCTGCAATACAAAATCAATAAATATATTCCCATGTTAACCAGTAACTTATTCATACCAAAAGAACTTCCTCTCCTGCATGGAACTTATCCAAATGGTCTTCGATGGAGCTGAATTGGATATTACACATAACACACATGTAAGTTACTTTCTCTTCTTCAGGTTGCACCTTCTTCTGGTTTTCTAATCGTTCTTCCAAAACAGCCGTTACGGTGCATTCTTCTTCTTGTTCGTTACTTTCGCCGTTTTCTTGTACGCTACCATTTTCTTGAGATAGTATTTCGTGTTTGATGGAAGTTTCGCAAGGAGTCTCCAAATGGTCGACGAAATTGTAGACGCTCTCGAATCGGGTGTCGCAGGTTTCGCACACTAGATTGTTCAATATGTCTATGATGTGTTCCTTTAAGGATTCCCGGGAGGAGAAGGATTCGTTGCAGCAGAGGGGGCACGGTAGCGCGTCTGTACCCATCGTATTCGATGCTTTAATACATCTAAATGCGGTCGTTGATCATTCGGATTTTAGATGGTTGATTTAAAAATTATTTACGGGTATTCTTCTTCGTGTTATTTTCAAGCGACTCGAATTATAACTCACTTAACACCATTAAATTTATTACAAATTACGACCGCTTGACGTGTTAGTGACAAGTGACATTGACAGTGGTGACGTTAATGTGCTTGGTTTTTTTTTCAAGGTGGAAGAAAATGATAAGGTATGACAATGAAAAGATATTTGCGAAATTTAACTTGCGTTTTGCTATTATAGCAGATAATGAGAGGAGCGTTTGAATTTTTGAGAAGGATTTGTTTGGAATGTATGAAAAAGAGGATGTTTTTATAGCAGTGACGTCAGATTTTGAAATTGGAAAGACAACCTGTCCATTTAATATACTTGGTTCTGTATTTTATGTTGCCTATATCTGACAGGCAAAGACCGATGTATGTCATACGAAATATTTTTTTGTATACAAGTTTTATAATAATTTTTAATTAAAAAAGATTTATAACTATAAATTGTGACTTATGTATTTCTCTCGATACCTATTCTACATCTAACCTATATTCAGACACTGACATATCGAATTGACAGTTTATTCCGTTAACTAGATGAACTTTTACAATTGTTTTCAAACATGAACATTTTAATTTCATTACCATTATTTCTATTCGTTGGCTCTGTAAAGCTCGAAATCGAGGCTCCGTCTAAGCGATTAAACGCTCTCGTGATTCTCGGTAAGCCACTTTCGAAAGGTCCGATTAATTTACAAATTCATAATTCCACATTGTAGCCGATGATGGAGGTTTCGAAATGGGAACTTACAGAAATAAAATATGCCAAACGCCCAATTTGGACAACCTAGCAAAAAACAGTTTGATTTTCAACAAAGCCTTCACGTCGGTAAGCAGTTGCTCGCCTAGGTAAATAAAATTTCGTTAATTACAAGCCAAAATTTACTTAAAATCATTTCTAGTCGAGCGGCCTTGTTAACCGGAATGCCCAGCCACCAGAACGGCATTTACGGTTTACATCAAGGCGTGCACCATTTCGATTCCTTCCAAGACGTTAAAAGCATATCTAAAATTTTGAAGGAAAATGGAATTCGAACAGGCAAGTATCCATTAACCTCTAATTTATCTTACGATCGAATAAAATTCCAGGTATCATCGGAAAGAAACACGTCGGTCCGGACAACGTATATCCCTTCGATTACTCCCAAACCGAAGAAAACAACTCGATACTGCAAGTAGGCCGTAACATCACCCACATAAAACTGTTAACGAGGGAATTCCTAAACACCACAAAGTGAGTGAACAGAATAGGCGAATTTCACGCGAATTTCAAGGCCTTTTTTTCTCTATGTGGCCTTCCACGATCCGCACCGTTGCGGCCACACCAATCCCGAATACGGAGAGTTCTGCCAACGATTCGGAAACGGAGAACCCGGCATGGGTTCCATACCGGACTGGCAACCGATCATCTATCAACCGGATGAACTAGAACTGCCCTATTACTTGCCCAATACTTGGGAAACCAGGCTGGATGTGGCTGCGCAATACACCACAATGTCCAGGCTAGATCAAGGTGGAACATTCGTAGGGTGAAATCCAGCGAATTAAAGTATCGTTTTAATCCGTAGGTGTTGGCCTCGTCATTGAAGAACTGAAAGCGTCCGGCCATTTCGACGATACTCTCGTGGTATTTTCGAGCGATAACGGAATCCCGTTTCCCGCCGGTAGGACGAATTTGTACGATTCCGGAGCGGCGGAGCCCTTGTTTGTGTCGTCGCCGTTGCACGAGGAGCGCAAGGGGCAAATCACCAATTCGTTGGCTAGTTTGTTAGACATTGTACCAACTTTGCTCGATTGGTACGGGATTAAATACGATGCTTCGATTGAAAGTAACGAGGTGGATTCGGTTTTGACGGGGAAAAGTTTACTGCCGCTTTTGGAGAAAGGTAAAGAGATATACAGGGTGTCACGAAATTATTTTTTTTCCATTGCGGGATTTTAGAACCCAGTGATAAATCGAAGGAGATAGTGTTCGGCAGCCACAACTTGCACGAGATCACCATGTATTATCCGATGAGAATGGCCCGGACTCAAAGATACAAATTGATTCACAATTTGAATTACTACTCGCCGTTTCCGATCGATCAGGATTTATATTTATCCCCTACGTTTCAAGTGAGTGGCTTTTTTAAACTGGAACAATATTGATATTACTTCTGAATTTTCAGGACATTTTAAACAACACGAAAACCCGACGAAACACTTTCTGGTATAAAACGCTCGCAGAGTATTATAAGAGGCCCGAATGGGAGTTGTACGATTTGAAATACGATCCCGAGGAATTGAATAACATCGTTAAAAAGAATAGTTCGCAGGAGATATTTAAAGTACTAAAGGATAGGATAACTGAATGGCAAAAGGCCACGAACGATCCCTGGATATGTTCTCCTCACGGAGTTTTGGAGAACGTTGGAAGGTTTAAGGATAATCCGCAATGTTTGGGTCTGGATAATGTGTGGTAAATGCTGGTTTTATTTACCAAAATTATCTATATTTGTATACATTAGTTGTAGTAGTTTTTGATTGAAAACCTAATATTAAATTATTCATTTATAAAATAAAATTACTTTAAAAATATTCGTTAATTAATCAGAAAAACGAAGTAAATTCGGTAAAATTTGGTTACCGTCCGATAGAAAAAAAAAACTGAAAAATGTCTGCTTTCAAACACTTGTAATTTCGTTATTTTTGCATAGATCGGTAAAAAAAACCTTTATGACCTACAGGAAGGTTCACTCTATAAGATGCGATTTATATTATATCTCAAAATAGTCAAAATTAAGTAAAAATTGAGATTTGAACACCGAAAATTCGGGTTTATTTTCATTTTCATTGCTGCCAACTGAAATTGGGTTACCAAATCTCAAGGCCCCTCTTAACCAAAAAGTTTGACTTTGACATTTCGTTGTCATTTTCTGTAAACATTTCCAATTTTACAACTAAGAAATGAGTATTTTATTATTAAATAAATTATGTCGAACATGTTTAACAGAAAAAGATCCAACAGAATTAAGATCGTTGTACGACAGCGAACTAAAAAAGGAGCTGGATGATATTGCATCTATAAAAGTACATACAAATTTTCGTGTATTTTGATTTTTTGTTTAATAACTGTTTTTACCTTTAGATCGAAGAACACGATGGTCTTCCTTCAGGAATTTGCAATGACTGCCATTACACATTAAACGTAGCAATAAATTTCAAAAAGCAATGCTTAAATTCGGAGCACCGTCTACGCAATGTTTTATGTTCCGAACTAACAGAAAATAAACCGCTAACCAATATAAATGAGATAGATAACGATTTAGTACAGAAACAAACACAAAATCCACAAACTTCAGAAATTAAACACGAAACTATTAAACAAGAAGGTATAGGTAATAGCGTAATAAAATATAATCCAAAACCATCAGACCGAAATACGCTTATGCAGCATTTCGAATGCCCCCAATGCAACAAAAAATTCAAACTCGAAAGCGTCTTCAAATCTCACATGATCAAGCACGGAGAAGCCTTAAAATGCGAAGTATGCAATCAAGAATTCAACGGTAAGAAACGCCCCGCAACTCATTCAACAGCTCACCATTTTCAATTATAGCCCTAAAACAGTACAAGGAACACATGAAATCGGCGCATCCCACCTACCGCCCCCACAAGTGCAATAATTGTGATAAATCTTTCAGCACTTCGGAGAATCTTGCGAAGCATGCTCGTACGCACGGGGGAGAACGAAAGCACTTGTGTACTGTGTGCGGTAAACGATTCTTCGAGCCAAATCATCTACTGGTAGGTGCATATTTTACATTTATTTCCACAAAACGATAATTATATACTCGACAGGTCCACTCTAGAGTTCACACGGGCGAGAAGCCGCTCAGTTGTAAAGTCTGCGGGAAAATGTTCAGCAACGCCCACGGACTTTTAGTGCACAATAAAATCCACACGGGCGAAAAGAACCACGAGTGTAACGTTTGCGGTAAGGTTTCGGCGTAACGGCGAAAAACCATTGGCTTTTCGGTTGGTTTTAGGGCGGAAATTTACCCATTCGTACGTGTTAAAATCGCACAAACGAGTCCACACGGGCGAGAAGCCCTACAAGTGCGACAAGTGCGAGGCATCTTTTAAATCGTCCTCGTATTTGAAGATCCACACTAGAATGCACAACCAAGAAAAACCCTACAAATGCGACGAATGCTCCAAAGTAAATCGAATAAACCATCGAAAACACACTTTCTTATTTACATTTTCCAGAGTTTCGTGTGCAAGACCGGCCTTAATTCGCACAAACAATTCCACACAGGCCTAAAACTATTCCAATGTGCAACGTGCGGCAAAACGTTCCGGAGATTAGCAGACCTACAGCCTCACATAAGAAGCCACACTGGTAAAATTCAAGACATTTTAGGCATCATTTTAATGCATCGTTCGCGTTTCAGGGGAGAGACCTTACGCTTGCAACGAATGCGGCAAACATTTTGTAACCGCCAGTAACCTCGCGTCCCACAAACGCACGCATCTGGGCATTAAAAATTTCATTTGCTCGACCTGCGGGAAAGCCTTCGGCGATTCGCGCACGTTGAAGAGCCATTACAGGACTCACACGGGAGAGAAGCCCTACACTTGCACCATATGCGGCAACAGTTACTCCCAATCCGGGCAGTTGTCCGTTCACAAGAGGATCCACAATCCTTTCAAGCACAAAAGCAGCGGCGGCGATCAACAGATTGTTGTTAATACGGATTAATAAATTTGTGCAAACACTAAATCGATCTGAACTAATTCGATTGACTACTAATACTACTTTACTGTTTCGTTTTGAGAAATGGTATTTACAATTTTATGCGATTAGGGAATTTCAGGTACCTAGCTTAGTTACATCATTACATTTCTTTCGGCGTTATTCTTACTTCTTTCCGCTTTAAAATATTCGAATCTATTCCTTAGGTTCTGAAACAAACACGATGTTTAGAATTGATTAACAAATAATAGTTCGCAAGAATCTGAGGGAGGAAAGGAAAAAAAAGTACAAACAATTTGATTATTTAATAATCGCGACTCAACAACATGTATATAAAACTTTACAACTAAAAAAAATTACTAGTTGTTTTGAAGCTTATCAACCTAACTACTAAAATAATACAGAGGATGAAAGTACTTGAAAAAGCTAGTACTTTCATTTTCACTGGTTTGTGTAGCACCATTGGTATCGGAGGAATCATCAAAATTACCTTGATCCTGTTCGTCCTCATTGGATTCCCCTTTTGCATGTTGAATGAGCATCTTCTTAGCTTCTCTAAAGACACTGCAGTAGTCCAACGACTCGCCTTCCTCTTGCCTGTTAAACACCACCTTCATTTTCTCGCACGCCTTACTTTTACCTTCAGACTTGCAATACTTCTTGTAATTCCTAGTCGCTTCCCTCAGCTTGTCCAGAAAATCCGGCATGGCGCGAGTGGTCGCCCAAGTGGTTACCGATCCCGGTATATTAACCCCCGGGTTATCGTAGTACGTTAGAACGAATTCCAAACCGGGCTTATTTAAATCAGTGTAAGGCCTGATGACCATGCACGAGAAATAATCCTCTATTCGGTACTTGTCGGCGTACTTGGGAAAGTTCGGATGCACCGTACTTTTGCTCATAATGTAGAGAACCTTCTTCGATTCGTCTATTAAGTAGCGCCTGTTGAACACGTAATCCCTGTTAACGAACAGCCTCTGGAAATGGAAGCGCGTGAGCGTTGTTTTAGAGTAAATTAGAGCGGACTTACGGGCCACAGCATTTCCCAATAGATTATATCGCTGTTGGTGAGTTCCTCGGATTCGCCTTGTTTGAGTTGCACGGCCGTGGTGTCCCATTTCCTCCTGTAATCGATATCGACTTGAACGTTTAGAAAATCTTCGGCCGACACGTCGTTGTAGGTTCCGAACATTTTGTATTCGTAGTGCCCCGAGCCCGATGCGTGTGGCCTCCTCCATATAACTAAATCGGTTTTTTCCACGAAAGGCACCCAGTTGTCGTAGGTTTTGCTGGAAGGCACGGCCGCCTTGCCGCATTTGCACATCGAGTCCTTGTCTTTGTCCTTTTTAGTGGGATCGCAGGCTAGGCAGATGGTGTTCTCCTTCAGGGTGTTTATGTAATCGAATTGGTTTTCGTTCTTTTTGATTTCGTCGATGGAAATTCTGTGTTGGTCCCAGTTGTAGACGGCGGCGGAGGCCAAGGCGACGCCTCTGCCGCGTTTCGTGATGTTCTGCTTTAGTTTTCTGATGAATTCTTTGAGGGCTCTTTCCTCCCACCACTTCGAGTATAGGGAAAACATTTGCTGGCACCTGGAACACGAGCGATTTTAGTTTGCTATTAGCCCGTCGAGGTTGGATTTTACCTTCTCAACCGTTGAGCGAATACGCACTCACAATGATATGCCCATACCTTTAAGACGTTCGTTCTGTGGGTTTTCGGAGCAACCGGTCTGGCCAGCAACACCTTGAACAACTGGCCCCTTTTTAATATCTCGTGGAACTTTCTGCTGGCGTTCAGGAAGTCTCTGAAACCGACGTTCGGGCGAATCAACTTTTGCGCTAGGACCTTCTGAAATTCCCCGTTGGTTATCGCGTTTTTGAGGTTAGAATTGGCTGGCTGGAATAATTCACTGAATCTTCGGGGAAACATCACTCGCAAAACCGGCTAAATGAACGATTCGCTTCGATATATCCGGCTGAAATTAAATAAAACTTGCGTGAGTTTAAAATTGATGGTGAATTACTGAAATTTTGACAGCCATGCTTCGCGAAAACGTTGGGCGAGTTCGATAATTTTCCGCGAGTTTACGTATTTACTATCAACAACAACTGCAACAACACATTTCGAAAGTAAATAAAGTGCGGAAAGTACCAACTATGTATATTTAGCTCGACTAGATTAGATCACATGTAATTGAAGGATATGCGTTGTGTTCCATTCTGGATGATTGTTGATTGTTTTGTTGATTGGATCAGATCCTTTTGGAACATTTCGTATCACACGAACGTCTTGTGTGTACAAAAATATATTTATCTATAAAAAACAAGTATTTTTAAACGTTATCAGTGGATAAATATTGAATATTCTACTGTAACGATCGATTTTGCATTTTGCAATTACTCAACCTAATTAAAAATATTTTTTTATGAACCAATTAACAGGTCTTTATGTTGCCATTGATTTTTAGTATTTCCCGAATATTGTCAGGTATTATGCAAGAAGAAAAAAATATATTCTTTTACAAATTACAAATATAATTAGAGACAAAAATAATCCGAGACACCATCTCTATATTAAATTTAATTTGACATTGACATTAATGACATAATATTTCAAATATCAGGGTTAGAGATGGAACGGAGTTGTTCCAATAACGTGTTACTAGTAACAGGATCCAAAGATCAAGTAGGTACTTGATATCAATTTATCTAATATCAAACACTTGAAGTTTTGATAAACGCAGTTTTTTGGTTTTTATTTACACTTGGCAACGTACGGGAGATATGTAACAAAAATAGCATACATGTTTTACGAAGGTCGAGTAAATAATAGTTGAAATTTTAACGAACGCATCAGTGAAGTAATAAATTGTAAAATTTAATCACAGTGATCGACTCAACATATTTCAAATTGTAAATTGTGAAAAATTATTTATGGTATGTTATGTTGTTTACCCAACTATTTTTATTATGTACCATCATTTTCAGATAGAGCGCACAACATGTTTTCAAAGAACATAAAAACGTTTACATTTCTCTTTAGTTCAAGCACAAAGTCAGCGCGCTGTTGCGAGCGGGACTTTATTAGAAAAATGTCTCTTTCACCGAATAAAGACGGTAATTCATATTACAGTGCTATTAAAATTAATTAACTTTCACCAAAACAATTTTTAGAACGACCAAAAATCACACCACTGAAAGAATCCCGTCGTTTTATGATCGACTGTTTGAAAGCCGTCGGTGCTCAACAAAAACACGCCGAAATCGTAGCCGATAATCTACTAGAAGCCGATCACAGAGGGCACTACAGTCACGGAATGAACAGACTGGGTAGGCTTCCAACTGGCGTCCTTTTCCGTGTCCTAAATATCGTTTCATTGCAGAAAACTACATAAACGACGTCGAAAAGGGCTTTTCCGTCGCCAACGCCACACCAACAATCGAGAAAGAGACCACAGCTACAGCTGTAGTTAACGCAAACAACGGATTCGGCGCTGTAAGCGGACAATTCTGCATGGACTTGGCCATAAAGAAGGCAGAAGAAGCCGGAATCGGTATCGTTACATCTCACAGTAAGTTACACCAACAATCCCTCCTCTATACCTTCACTACTCGCAACAAATCTAGCAACAATGACTTTGAATTTTGACCAAATTTCCAAAATTGACAATCGTCAAGTTTCACATCCAATCGGGGCAAATTGATTCGGTAATTGGAAATGTCGCTGAAGGTGTTCAAAGACATAGAGCCGGTCAGCGATTTGAAACCGCTGAAAGCCATAATACTCGGACCTCCGGCTTCGGGAAAGACGAAATTATCCGAGAGGCTTTGCAGGCGATATGGCGCCCATTACGTGAACGTCAAGACGATGATCCAGGACACGCTAGAAGGACTGGAGGAGAGCATAGAGAGGGCGAAACAGGAAATGGAGGCCATCCAAATGCAGAAAGCGAAAGCCCAGGCGGGCGAAGGCGCCGAAGAGGAGGAAGAGGAGATCGAAGGCTTCGCCGTTAACAATCTAATCATCGAAGACTGCCAGCAGCAAATCGACGTGATCAACGAGGCGATGGCGGTCAGTCAAAAACTCTCGGACGATATGGTTTGCAATCTCACGAGGAACTTCCTATCGAGCAGCCTTTGCCAAACCAGAGGCTACGTCTTGGACGGGTTTCCGAAGACAGTGAAACAAGCCACGCTGCTGTTCGGTTCGAAATTCGGGAAAATCGAAGAGCGCATCGAAGAAACGATGAAGGAAGAGGACGAGGAAACCAGCGCGGAAGGACTCGAAGTCGTACCTACCACCGACGCGATTATATCGCAAAGTTACAATCTCATAGTCAATCCGGATTTCATCATCAATCTCGAAGCCACCGACGATTTCCTCTGCGAGCGAGTGATGAACCTGCCGCAAAAATTGGTGTTCGGCACTCATTTCGACGAGGTGAGCATGCTCAGAAGGTTAGCGGAATACCACGAGAACAACCAACTGGACCAATCGGTTTTGAAGTACTTCGACGACAGCGAAATGAATCCGATAGTCATAAATCTGGTCGACGCGGAGACGAACGAAGAGCTAAGCATCGACGATGTATTTCGAATGGTTTGCGATATATTCGGCGAGCCGATTCCGGGCTTCGGGTTGTCGAAGGAAGAGGACGAGGCCATCAGGAAGCTGGAAATCGAACAGCAGCGGCTCATGGAGGAGGAGGTGCGCCTCGAGCGGCAATTGGTAGAGAAGAAAGCCAAGCAGGAGTACGAGGACAAGATGGAGAAATGGAGCGAAACGCTGGAGAAGCTCCAGCTGGAGGAAGAGAAAGTTTACGCGGCCCAAAGCGAACCGTTGCGGTTCTACTTGATGAAATACGTGTTTCCCACGCTGTCCAAAGGTTTGGTCGAAGTCGCCAAGATCAAGCCCGAGGATCCCATCGATTTTTTGGCGGAGTATCTGTTCAAAGAAAATCCCGAAGGGCGAATGTTCGATCCGTCTTACACGCGCGAAGGGGAGAAAATTTTGCAGCAATACGAAGAGGAGGTCAAAACTCTCAGCGAAAATAATTCGGAGTTCATATAAGCGTTTCGAGTTTTATATTTTACTTTCAATAAAGTGTTATCGATCGAACGAGATTATTGTTTTTTTTATAGACGCAAACCATTATGGTATCGCTGGAATTTACTGCCTGCAAGCATTGAAGAAAGGTTTGATAGGGTTCTCGTGCACTAATACTTCACCATTGATGGTTCCAACTAGAGCAAAGAAAGTAAGCGCTACGATTTTCACCAGTGCAAAGAAGTTTATTAAAGTTTTTTTAGGCAGCATTAGGAACCAATCCAATCGCCTTAGGTGTACCAGGGCTACAAGGCGATGATTTTCTATTAGATTTCGCCACTACCGCAGTCGCAGTGGGCAAAGTAAGATCATTTAATGAATGCACTTACAATTAACTCTACTCAATAATTCGATAGATAGAAATCCAACAAAGAAAACACCAGCCAATCCCCGAAGGTTGGGCTTTAAACGAAAACGGGCGAGTTGAAACCGATTCCACCAAAGCATTCGCAGCTTCACGCCTATTACCTCTAGGCGGCGTTGAAAAAACCTCTGGTTATAAAGGTTACGGTTTGGGAATGCTCGTCGAGATATTCTGCGGGATTTTATCGGGTAAATACTTGTACACTAGTCGCAGTTTCATGCACTGTGTAAAAATTCTAAGGTTCCAGTTACGGCCCGAACATTCGCAGCTGGACGAATCCCAACGCCAAAGCGAATTTGGGACACTGCTTCATGGCTTTGGATCCCAAAGCGTTCGCGGAGGGAGTGGAAGAGAGGATGAGCGATTTGATGAATACTATTCGAAACATGGAACCTGTACGTGTGTTACATTCCGCTGTAATTTTGAAGTGATTTGATGGATGTTTCAGGTCGATCCGAGTTTACCTGTGTTAGTGCACGGTGATGCCGAGCGAAACCACATGGAGAAGGTGCAAAAACTAGGAGGATTGAGCTATGTGTACAATCAACACGAAACCAACAAGCGTTTGGCTGAAAGATTGAACGTTGCTCCCATGCAAAGCATTTAAATATACCAATTTTATTATTTTATACTGTTAATAACATTTTTATTCTAACTCTATTTATTATTTTTTATACCTTTAACCTTTAACTTCAAATACTTCGATTAGTTTGATTAATTGTCAAAGTAAATAGTTGTGTACGTAATTTTCGATTGACGAGCGGTGATCAAAATGCTAGTGAACAACCAAAAAAAATTCAAGTTATTCTTAAAGTCCTGGCCTTCCCACAGCAAGGTCTCTCACAGAAATTTCTCCAGAAAACCTATTTTATGGACCAAAGGTACAACAAACTCCTTCAACCAGTTGCCAATACAATCACACCTTTATAGACAAACCAAAGCTCGTTACCACGATGAAAGAATCCCGTCGCTTCATGGTGGATTGCTTGAAGGCTTTAGGAACCAAGCAGGAATACGCAGAAACGGTCGCCGAGAATTTACTAGAGGCCGACTATCGCGGGCACTACAGCCACGGAATGAACAGATTAGGTTGATATTTCCCATTCGTGCGCTAATCTATTTAAATCGTTAATTGTTATCATCGAGGTCGATACATAAACGAAGTGCAGAAAGGTCTGGCTTGCCCAAACGCTGACCCAGTAGTGGAAATCGACCATCCAGCCGCAGCAGTAGTGAACGGTAACAACGGATTCGGCGCGGTAGTTGGAAAATTCAGCATGAATATAGCGATCGAGAAAGCAAAAAATATCGGACTAGGAATAGTCGTGAGCCGCAGTAAATAGAATAATCGTTGTTATTAAAAAAACCAACCTCACAGAGTCACCATTTTAGATTCAAATCACTACGGTATAGCAGGCATGTACGCCCTTCAAGCCATCAAAAAGGACCTCATAGGATTTTCTTGTACGAACACTTCACCTTTGATGGTTCCAACTCGCGCTAAACAAGTATTATACCGACTTTATCTTGCGATTTCATTATATGTTTAGTTTGTAGTCTGCTCTAGGAACCAATCCCATATCTCTAGGCGTGGCAGGAATCGATGATGACTCGTTTATGCTGGATTACGCTACTACAGCTGTAGCCATTGGCAAGGTGTTGCAATTTTTCTATAACAATGGGTTCGTGTGGTTTGATTATCCCGTTGATTGCAGTTGGAAATTCAAAGACGCAAAGGTTTACCTCTACCCAAAGGTTGGGCGTTGAACGAAGAAGGAAAAACGGAAACTGACCCGGTTAAGGCCATTAAGGCTGTCAGACTTCTGCCTTTGGGGGGCGAGGAGCGCACCGGCGGGCCCAAAGGGTTCGGTTTAGGGATGCTTGTAGAAATATTTTGCGGCATACTTTCAGGTAATATAAGAGCCATGTTGAGCAATCAGGTGGAGTGATTGCTGGGTTTTCTGAAGGTGGCGATTACGGCCCGACTATTCGACCGTGGAACAATCCCAAATCTCCAGCCAATTTGAGCCATTGCTTTATGGCAATAAATCCTTGCGGTTTTACTTCGGGAGTCGAATTACGAATGAGCAAATTAATGAATATGATAAGGGATATGGAGCCCGTGAGCATATTTAGAATCGAATGCTGTTCGAAAATTCAATAATACTGCGAGTTTCGTTTGTAGGCTAATCCGAAATTGCCGGTACTTGTTCATGGCGATGTCGAAAGGAATCATATGAAGAAAGTTGCCAAAGATGGAGGTCTTCTGTATGTTAAAAACCAGCATGACACCAATGAGAAATTAGCGAAAACGTTGAAAGTATCTCCGATGAAATCCAAACCACTGGGTTAACGATTGTGTTTGTTATAATAAAGGCCAGTTCAATATACTCTTTTTAATTTCTATTCCTCTAATTTATTTTATCTTGACATGCACTTGGCTTTGAACTAACTCAGTTTTTGACAGGCAGTTGCAATTGCAATTCGGCAATAAAATGTCAGTTACATTTTGAAAATTGTTTGTTCAGTCCCTTCTGCAAAAATCATTAGAAAATTATGTAATAATTAATTTCCGAAATTGTTAGTGATGTTTCCTCAAAAGTTATCGTTACTTAACCGTCCATTGTACACCAGATTCTTCGTTTCATCGAGAAGATGTTTCATTACATTTGCTCCATTAAGGGAAAAAGGTAATTGCCGATTGATTTGAAGTTGGTTTTTGTCGAATCCTCATACCGAATTTTCAGAAAAACCGAAAATAACTAAATTAGAAGAGGCCCATCGATTTATAATAGACTGCTTCGTGGCTGTGGGAACCACCGAAAAACATGCTGAGATAATGGCCGATAACTTAACAGAGGCTGATTTGAGAGGACACTACAGTCATGGAATGAATAGATTAGGTTATAAAATAAAACGGAAAAAAATTACACAAAATTAACCAATCGCATTTATAGAAATGTATTTAAACGAAATTGATAAAGGCCTAATCGACGCCAACGCGAAGCCGCAGATCGAAAAAGAATCCCCAAGTACAGCTGTAGTCAATGGAAATAATGGTTTGGGCGCTGTCAATGGAAATTACTGCATGAATCTCGCCATAAAAAAAGCATCCAAAACCGGAGCAGCATTAGTCGTTTGCAGAAGTACCTAATTAGATTTATTACTTCTTAAGAATGATCAATTCTGTTATTTTAGATTCGAACCATTACGGCATCGCTGCAATATACTGCCTTAGGGCAATTAGAAAAGGGTTCCTAGGGTTTTCTTGTACGAATACATCACCTTTAATGGTACCCACTAGAGCCAAAAACGTACCAAGCTAGTTTATTTAACAACCACTTTATTTAATGGTTAATTATTTACAGGCTGCTCTAGGAACGAACCCAATCGCTATAGGCGTACCCGGCGAAGACAAAAGCGACTATTTTCTTTTAGATTTCGCTAGCACAAACGTTGCAATCGGAAAGATAGAGCTCATGGGCAGGAAAGGCGGGAAAATCCCCAAAGGTTGGGCGTTGAACGAACAGGGACAAGTCGAAACTGATCCGCACAAAGCGTTCAAAGCGAGCAGATTGCTGCCGTTGGGCGGCGAAGAGAAAGACGGCGGTTACAAAGGCTACGGTTTGGGAATGCTGGTGGAAATATTCTGCGGCATCTTATCAGGTACAAGGTAATAACGCGCCGCAGAAATTCCATTTCTGGTTGCACGTTTGAATTTTAGGCTCGGCCTACGGCCCGACGATCCGCCCTTGGGGGAATCCCACGGTCGTAGCGAACTTGGGGCATTGTTTCCTCGTCGTGAATCCCCGTATGTTCACGCCCGGCGTGAAAAAACGCATGAGCCATCTAATGAACTTAATTCGAAAGATGGAGCCTGTAAGCTGGTTCGATGAGTTTTCGTATGGTGAGGTTATTGATGGTGGTGGATTTTTTTATAGGCAGACCCGAAACGGCCGGTTATGGTACACGGAGATTTCGAAAGGGTTCACATGATGCAGGTGAGCAAGGACGGAGGCGTGAGGTACGTGAAAAACCAACACGATGCTAATAAAAAATTAGCCGAAAGATTAGACGTTGAACCGATGCAGTCTTTTATAAAAGACGGTAAATGTTAAAGAACTCATTGGAAACATGGTTTAACATTGTTATATTAAAAAATATAAATTCAGGGATGATGATTGTAGTTTAATTTCGGATTAATTTCTTTACTTTATAATCATTATCAACTGTAGGTTTTTTTTTCTTCTTAAATCAGAGGTTCATTAAAATATTATGGTGGTAATTTTAAATTTCCTTTATTTGGTGTACCTATTCGTAATAATAAACAGTTTTTGTACTTATAAAAATATTTGTGTATAAATTTCTAAAGGTATTAAATAAATAAAATTAACCTAGTGCGTATCGAGTACAATCGTTATAAATTATTACTACAGTTGTTTTATAAAAACATCTTGTAGTCCTAAATAAAATATGTACAAGTAGAAATTAAATTAACAACCGTTCGAATGAAAATATTGGCGGTTCATAAATAACATACGCAGTTTTATTTTTATCGGTCAATATAAATGGACTAGATCAAACGAAATATACAACTTCTAATACTGTAAAAAACTTACAATATATCCAAAACCGTCCGCCATCGCCTTACAAACTCACCTACAAAAACGACACAATTTCAACCACAACTGAATTCAAATGATCACGCTGGTCGCGTCCTTGTTTTTCACGTCCAACAACGTCGTCGTCGACGACGACACTTTAGAAATATCGCTATTACTGTATACGAAATTATGTACCAATCTGATGGTATAAAATGCCCCGGCGGTGCCCAGCATGGCTCCTGCCAGCACGTCCCACCAATGGTGCCTTCTATCGGTGATCCTCGTCAGAGAACACAACAACGACCACGTGAAACAAATCGATATCATGAAGGGCTTCAACAGTCTACCCGTGTGGGTAGTCGACAGTCTTGTTTGTATCACATACTGAAAAAAATGTTTTTATAGCAACTTTGATGGAACACTTCACCACAGTCCAAGACGTGGAGTATGTAGGAATGATACAAAAAAAATGGATACTTACAGCGGAGAAAATGCCGGTGAACCAGGAGACGGACGCGTGTCCGGAGGGAAACGACCTGGACGAATCGGTGAGGAAATACCGGCTGTATTTGGGATTGGTGCACCTGAAGGTGCTCATAAACTCTCCCGCGCGGCAAGCGAGCGCGTTGTCCGGCTGGCAGACGTCGAGGAAGTGCGGCCGGTGCTCGCCGATGATGATCTTGGCGACTTCGGTGAGCAGCAGCACCAGCACGCAGCCGATGGTGCACTCTTTGTAGTAGAACCAGATCAGGCCGAAGTCGATGTTTTTGTAGGAACGCCTGGATAGGACGTCGGCCAGCAGGAGCATTATGAACGGTAACGTGAGGCATCCTACGCCTAGCATAAGCGGCGATACGATTTCACCATTGTACTTGAAGGATAATTGAGGATCCTCGCAATAGTAGCCTTGCTGGTTGCCTGGTATATAACCGAATTCCAATAACACCAACAACGATAGAACTGAAACGGAAACACACTTGTTACTCTAACAGACTAATTAATCATACGATCCGCTTAAAAGCTAGATTTTGTAATTAACTTACAAAATTCACTTACACACGTAAATTCGGTTGATCCTCATAAGGAATGCCACTTTTCTAACGAAAGGCTGAAGTTAAGAAAAAATTCGTTGTTAAAATTCAACTCGATCATTTGCCGTCCGGTGTTGGATTGCGTGACAGTTACATGATAAGTGATATATTGTGCTCAATGTGAATTGCATGGTGACATCCGAGCGTTGAACTGCCCCTTTACAACGATTGAGGACGTTTCTTCCATCGAATTTCGCGAGCGAGAAAAAATTTCTGGACAACCAAATCGTACTAAAATGGCAGATTTATAATACGCGACGTTTAGGCGGTGGAAATTTAAAAAAATTGGTTGATTAACGTCAAAAATTGTGTCCAGAAATTTGATTTTTATTGTTATAAATCGTTTGGGTATAAAAGGAGGTAGTAATTCGTAATACAATTGGGATTTTACAGAGTAAATTCAATAAAAAAGTTGTGTGGGAACAAAAAAAAAGATAATTTTAATTAATTAAAAATGTATCTAAACGTAACGAACGTTCAAGGTAATTAAATGTAAGCACAGGTAAATATTAATAAAACAAACACGATAAAATTTTACCTTTAAAACATTTAGCACGATCAATTAGGTACAAAAATAAGTAATGATTTAAGCGAATAAATTGCTTTAATTTTTGTGTTCTAATTTAATACATACAGCTCAAGCGGGTACTTAACGCACGTTACGACGACGCAACACCGTAAATATTCTTATCAAACAACAAAAAAACGTTATCGGAGAGAATTAAATTTCTCGATACAAAAAATTTCAATGTCAAGCATTAGAAAACCGCGAGCGCTCCCAATTAGCCTTGATCGATGCGAATAAATGGAGAAACGACCGCAAAGGGAGAAATCGAAGGAAGAAACCGGAAAGCCGAAATTCAACCACGATTGCGAATTACACTTACCGATGATAATGAGGAAGGAATTGAGGACGACAGGCAGAGTGAACCTCCTGCGTAATCTGAACCGCGATCGCTCCGTCGAAGGCGATTTATCGGAAACTGTTGACTGTTGCGTATTGACTACGTTGACCCGAACTGTCGGCGAGCTCGTCCGCTCAGATGGCGCTGTCGTCACGTTCACCATAGCTTTGTTATCCTGGAAACAACGAAAACACATTCAGGAAACCAGGAGCTAGAAATCTCCGCGAAATCGGAGTTACTTGGGAGTCATAATTATTTTGCAATGTGAAGAGCAATTCGCATTGCAAAATGACCATCAGGATGTTGTGAAACATCTGGTGGTGCCTTGATTGTATTAATAGAGAATTAAATTTCTTGTCTCTTACATCTTGTACAAGCTTCCAAATTTATTCCACAAAAATGAAAAAAACTGTATTGCAAAATGTGTAATGCCCAATGTTCTGGTTAATACAACTATACTAATTATCCTTATCGTAACTATGGGTTTTCTATGTGGGTAATAATTTAAGTAAAAGTAGGTATGGTATTTAAAAATTTGGAAATGTTTTAAAATATCTTACCGTGTTGTTTTCGAATATATCGCACGAAACATACACAAAGAGAGTAATTTATTGAGTATATTTTATTGGGTAAGAAAAAAATCATCTGATAAGATAAACTTAATGGAATCAATAAGAAATTTTACATTAATATTTCGCCAATTAGTAAACATGACGCTAAATTATATCTAATAATTCAATTGTTTAAAATTAAACCAGAATAATATACACAAAAATATGTTCTTTCTTGTCGCAATTACAGACAATTATTCACAATTTGTGCGTAAGTACAATATAGATAAAAATCGAATTAGTCACTATTTGTTTAAATATTATATATCCGCAATCAATTTGAATCATTCCTTTTTAATTGTATCCTCGGCACTTACTATTAATGTCTGGTCTTCTTTCACGTTTTCGTTTTCATCAATTTCTGCGTCGATTTCTTTCATTTCCAATGACATTTTCACAAAAACTATGACATTTATCTGCTACTTATTACAGATTATTCGAAACTGTGTTTAAACCAGTTCTAATCTTATCGAATCTTATGTAGTTTAAAAAAAGCATAAATACTTGCTCATTGAAACAATTCCAACAATACTATTTGTAAAAAAAGGTAGGTCAAGTATTTGAAAAATCTTATTAAAAAAAGTTTCATTTTCGTTTAATTCGCTGAAGAGGAAGTATGCCATATTTCCTATTAATAAATTTGATGTTACCACTATTATAAAACAAAAATATTTAAGAACACAGAAAATATCCAAAGTATGTACATACACAAATATCTTAATATGTTATTAAATTATACGATTAGTTTTAAAATCAATAATTATCTAATCAATTTAAATATTTAATCGTCGATTATATCCCAATAATAACACGTTAAATTAAATATCTGTAATTGAATGCTACGAACCGTTTGAGTGGTATCCAAATTTTTCATTTTGTTATCCATAACTTCAGCGGATTGTATCCATTTAAAACGAAAGCACAGTCACGAATCCGAACAATTCCTACATGAAATCCAACGCACAAATGGCCAATTAGCAACTGTATTATAGTTGTTAAACGGAGGATGTATACATTTAAACTCTTTACGAAGGGTTTAAATATAAAATTATTTGTTTGGTATATTCGATTCGATTTGGTTACCGGTTTGGTAATGCTATAAATATCAATAAAATGCTCTTTATTCTTCCGGTGTGAATGCGTTCGTTTAGGCGATAAAATCGGCTAGTTAATAGAAATAGTAAATAGTTCGAAACTGTTTTGTTTCTATACAAACATACACCCGAAATCGATAGTTTCTACCAAAAGATAAAGCTGATGGAACTTACCGATTTCTCTTTATCCAGAAAAAATTCGTTCAATTTCGCGTAATGATGGGGATGGTTGATTTTTAAGGAATTTCTCAAGATGTTCTCCATTACTACGATCTCACTGTCTTCGCTTCGATAATGCGTATAAATTGGGATTTGTGTTTGCAAGAGCGATAAAAGGCGATTTCTCTTATCGCTCTTCCTCTGATGCGGTCGATTTCAGCGGTCAACATTACTAATGGAAAATAATTTTTCGCAAACGGGAATTGCTTTCGACTTCGAAATTCTTTTTAACCGATCTTATGCAATTGCAGTACGTACGCAGTAAATTACAATTTCCCTATCAGATATTCAGAATGCTCTTGCAACACTCTTATTCAATAAGAATAGCAATATCTAGATGTAAAATAATTTATGCTATTTTAGATTTTATTTATGGTTACTTTGAGGAATGTGTCTAATTTTACATTCAAACTATTTTCGATTATGGTATGGAAAATGGATTTTCGTGATGTTTTTTTATCAGTAAATTTTAATTTTTCAAATTATGAATACCAGTTTTGTTAAGCACGTTTTGTTTAACATGTTTTTAATGTTCCAATGACAGAACATATTAATATTAAATATCCGTAGATAAGTTAGAAGCATTTTAAATGAGCACAACCAAAATGTTAATAAGTATAAATTATGTATCTACATAGGTTTTTCCACAGGGTAGAATAATTAGATTATAATTTGCGCAGTGCATAATTATTGAATTTAATTAAAAAAAGGATTTACCACAAATACGATTATTATGCATATTACAAAAAAACGGATTAAATTAAGTTGAAATAACCGTTAAATCTGACGCAATAGGAGCATAAAATTTAAATAACCAAAATACGTAAACTCCTACTAAAATTCCTGCGATATAACAGTCTACAGAAACGAAATTTTCATTTATAAAAACTGCAATGTTAGCTCATATAGTAAAACAATCAAGATTATAAACAGGACAACTCATGACACTTAATTAAGTGAATGCAGAAAAACTACAACATAATACAAACAGAATCGACCTTCAGAACACACCAGGAATTTAATTCCTTATAGTCATCTGGTTTACGTGTAACAAATCTCGAATTTCTGCGAATAATCTTATTCATTTCGAGTACAGGTGAATCCGTTTAGTTTAGTTTCAGGAATCGAATTTTAAAAATCCTGATTCACGGTGTATGAATACGAATTATAATTTTATCTCATACAATACCAACGAAATAATCTCCAGGTAATTACCGTTGTTTAATTACGTACACAAAATTCCAGTACAAAAACAATCATTACAAACACATTAAATAGTCTTAAAAAAATTCGTCAACAACCGGCGATTGTAAATTTAACAAACAAAGTAATGGTTAAATAATGCGTTATTAAACCGTTGAAAATGTGCACCTGCCCATTCGACTCGCTTAATCACGAAAAGTAATTTCTTTTGTCTATTGAACTGTCGAGTTCACATCCTGTCCTGATGGTCGCAATGTCGCCTAGTAGGCATAGACTTCAAATAACAATAAATTCATGAATCATATCGCTATTGCACAAAACAATCCGCTTCTTGTACTGTTACTAATCTCAATCGCTAGGTTACTTCGAACGAGACACTGGCAGATCGGTCATTAACAACAATTAACGTGATTCGATGTGCACCGAAAGATGGAGCGGTAAGATGATCCTTCACAGGTCAATTAGACCGGTAATTAAACTAATCGAACTTTAAAGAAATATTGAAATTTATTTTACTGTTAGATTTGTAATAGTTTAGGCGGATATTTAATTAAACTTCAACCTTTAAAAATCAATTCGATTAGCATATTCACGGAGCGAATTCGCTCATTGCAAACAAGTTTTGTAATATGAAGACACGAAGAGGTGAAATTACCTTGGTAATATTTCAGGTAAATGAGTTCCAGCAGGTAGAACGAGTGCCTAACATTTCGGTTTGTTCAACGGTTTAAAAATAAATTATTTAGCAAAAGAAATTCCTTTTTGCAAACGGGGCCATCGAACTTCTTGATTTTAAGTTAAAAGGCATGAATCGACAATTATTTTTACAGTTATTCATACGTAAGGAATAAATTTTAATACATTTACGACAATTTCGGCTTCTATATCATTTACTCGCCCATCCAGCAAATCTGATAAATATAAAACAATTCCATACAGGGTTAATTAGGTACATAAGGAAGCTATATTTATTCAGACGAGGTAATTAAGTTCTCGATAACTTAGCTAGATTTAGAAACTCTATGTGTTCATTATATCGCTCAAATTACGTCTGTAAACCCCCTAACAATGAAAGTTTGTTGTTTCTTGTGGGAAACGGATATGCACTTATGCATTAAGTAATTATAGAGAAGCTAACGCGTCCAAGTGTAAACGGACACCGCGTTAATGATCAATAAAAAACTCTTTTAGTCTTTTATAATAACTTCAGTATGAATAATATGTTGATAGTTAGTGCAGTATATGAAGAGATCGCAAGATCTTTGCGGTGAAGTATAAACAACTAACGAATAAAAAAAAAGCTACTTACATAATACAAGTCCGGCCTGTTCTGATAGAATCCCGAATTGTGATAACCATTATTCATTTTCGTCCGTTTGATCACCGCGAACCAACTACAAGCAGGTAGTACCAAAACACATACAGTAGTCGACGCGAAACCGAAAGCTAAACAGAAACAGCCAGTAAGTACATAAACGTGTGGAAATTCAAACGGATCGAGTCATCGATTCGAAGGTAGCGCAGCGAATGACTCATTATATCGAAACGGAAAGGAAACGATCCGCGGAATCCGGACCGGTATGCACGCTCAAGAGACCCGGAGGAATGCAAGACGAGACTTTCTTCTCGGTCCCCGTCGGGGCTCGATCGACAGCACTGGAGTCGAGATCGACTCGAATTGAAGCTCGACGGAGCGCTTTCTTCGCGACACGCCGGTTTTAAGTACATTTAAGTGGCGACCGGTCATTTCGGATTGTCTCAAAACGCTGATTACACCCGACGCAAGTGGCTCGATTACGGTCGTTTTGTGCTTTTAAAGCTTTTAGTTATCTCGATGGGCGATGAAATTTTTCGAGTACCCGCTTTACTGGTAATTGCTCGAATTGTTCCTGCGTTGTTGGTGGTCTCTTAGGGATTGTTTGTGAAACACTTGATTTCTATTCGTATAGAAAAAAATATTGAATCACTACGAAGCTTCGAAATGTAACAACATTCGAGCAATGTGATTCAAGATAGAAATAAAAAATGTTTTGTACTGTTATTTGTGGTTCATTAAAATTCTCTTGCTGAATTGTTGAAACCATGTGGTATACCCACGTGTAATTCAATTTGAAAACATGCAAATTACTTTAAATTAACTAACACAATATACCGCAGTATATCAAATAATAATAACCACAAGAAACCCTTTTTAGAGCCGCCTGTGTTTAGATTTCGGGATTGTTTCAAGTGCCTTTTGAGCGGCAGATGGCACGTGAAGGGTTCTTTGTTGGGGCTTTGTACATGTGTTTGGATGGACTCGGTTTTTTTTTTTAAATTTTTTTTGCGGTATTAAATCTCTCGTAGGGCGCAAGACGTTCGTCATAATAAAAATAGCTCGCGTCTAATAAATTTAAATTTGATCGGCCCGTTAATTTATAGGGAGCGTTGAGATGTTGTATACTACATAAAAAGTTTTTCGAAGCTCGCATGTCAGGACAGTCAATTAGTCTTAATCAATTCCGAACCCTCGTCGAGATAATTATTATAACAATTGGTTACAGTTGAATGTAATTAACATAACAGACTCTTTTACTGGGGTGGTAGATTGTGTAATTAAATTACCAGCATAAAAGCCATCTGGAATAACGCTGTTAATTCATTCTTCTCCTTTAGCGCCATTAAATACTTACAATGAATAGAAAGGAATGGAGTAAACAAAAAAAATATATTTATTTTACAAATAACTGGTAAAAATGATACAATTCGAAATCAAATACGCAATATTACTGAATTATTACAACAACTAATCAATTAAACGTTATGAAAATAATATCGAAGAAACAAAGTCAAGATCACAATTTCCATGGTTCATCTAACCATAAGAGACAATCCATAGTGACATATTGGAACACCGAATTAAACTATAAGATTTAATCCTAATAAATTTCGACTAATTTTATTGTTTACACTGTACTAGTAATTTTCGAAATAAGTACATACAGTAAAAATCCAAGTCTCTTTCTACTATATCTACTTCATTACCCGACCATAAAGTGGACACCAAAGAAGCCTTTCCAACAAAAACCACATTAATAATATTCAGTTAAACATATTTAGTAATATTCCTATAGTTGAATCAATGTTACTTCACCGTTACTTCATCACAATAGATAAATCTTTAGAGGAGTTTATTTTGTGTATACTCTGCAAAATTACGCGTATAAAGATAAAATTTACTTGTATATGGTGTGAGTTTTGCTGGAAAGTTTTAATAAAAGGCTGATTGAACTCAACAACGCTCAGTTACTCTTATGATAATGGCACGAGATGGCAGTGTTGCTCGGCCTATGATATGAATAATGAATAACTAAATTGATATACAAGGCATTTGGAAATCATCCAATTAATTAACGTCTTTGATGTAAGTATATCTCATATGAATAGAAACATACATATCTTTTTCATTATTAATAATAATTATTAAATTTTTACCTTAATTACGGGCTTTTTACAAAATAGGCATTAAATTATGGTAACCCAAATGCAACTCTTGCGTACATGATATGAAATAGCCTTTGTGGAATGTTTCTTTTATACTATGCGAAAAGATTTATTTACTCTTACTCGTAATACTCGAAAATTATTATTAAATTCATCAAAAGTTGCAAATGGTACTTATTGAATATACACACAGACTTTCGCAATAATAAATTACACATCTGCGGCCCTAGAAATGTTATTAATTTACAAATTGCTAAACATATTAAAGTTTACAAAAACATGGTAGCCGCTTATTGTGAACGTGATATAGTAATTCGTGAAGGATAGAATATTGAAAGAGTAAACAGCACTCGACGCTATCCTGGCATAATGTCGCCCACACTCTACTTATTTGTACTGCATATTAAATTGAATCCAAAAACCATTTTATTTACATTCACTTCTAATTACTTCGAACCTATTTTAAATTCCTCTAATAATTCGTTTTAACTATAACTAAGAGTGTTATCTAGGATCTTGTAGGACTGTAGGAAAATTAATTTGGGCCCTTTACCAGTCTAATCAGTAGAGTATTTGCGTGTAAACTATTACATTACTTAGCATGTAATGTAATTTAATCTAATTAAAGTGAAATTATTGTGTTTTCTAAGGACTTTATGCCAAGATCGACGCCGTAAAAAACAATTTTCGGATTCATACAGCATCCTTAAAAGTTATCTCACACGTGACGATTAAATAGATAATCTAACAAACAGGCTCACTTTACTTTAAGAAATTCTTCCAATGAGATAGAGGGAGTTGGATAGCAGGGAGTTGAAAGTTACTTTTTTTTTGCATATTAACACAACCTATCTATTAAGTAATAGTTTAACAATTATGCCCCATTCCATAATTATTGTCGTATCTAATTTTGACGGAGAAAACAACCAACAACTTTACTCGTAGATCTACCACTAGACACATCCATTAGTTCGTTATACCTATTAGTTTATTTATTATAATAGTAGATAAGTATATTAATTTAACGGCAGTGTTTTCAGTTGTTCGGAAAATCGGTCGTACCGATTTTTTCTTTTCTATTTACCGACGAATTGTTCGTGCTTTTATTGCTGAGATCACCGGAGTACCTATTGCGATTTAAAGTCACTCAGTTGTTGCTAACAATGAACTGGAAAGCTCGGCTTCCTCCAAACAGTCTTCTTCGATGGAAAGGCTCAGCTCCGCCTGCAACAAAAATCACCGCTTAATTTATTATCGAGCAGAAATAAAAATCATCACCTCTTGTTTGAGCTTCTCCAACAACCGTCTTTTATCCATTCGAAGGCGATCCACTTCTTCCGATTGTTGGGCGCTTCTTATACCGGATATTTCCAGCAGAGCTAGATGGGCGTCTTTTTCACTTATGGCCGATTCCAAAGCTTCCCGTCTATACAGTACGAAATTGATATATCCACCAAACAACCTGTTATAATCGATACTTACTTCATGTGCGCCAGTTCCTTCAAATTCCTCTTTCTTTCGCCTATAAGTTGAGCAAATTTCGATTCTAACGTTGTCATTCGCGAGACGTAGGGCTTGCACGAGTGACATCGCAGCGCTTGTGCAGATTGCAACGACATCAACCTCTGTTCTAACTTGTATACCTTCAAATCGACGATTTTAATACAACAAATAATCACCAATAAAGCGCTTACTTTTTGCAGTATCTGTTGCCTCTTTTTCTCCTCCTGCACGAGCACCAGTTCCCTTTCGGTGGACAATTTGATGCTCTCCCTGAGGGCGCATTCGAGGTCCCTGATCCTTCGGTTCTTCTCGCCGTCGAATCCATCGTTGTCGATGAACTCGTCGGGTTCCTTTTCGGCGGAGAACCGGCTCTCCAATTCGATCTTCATCTGATCGGTGGTGTTGCGGGCGTTGCGCCGCAACTCCGCGATGATGTCCTCTTGACGCTTGAGGGCGGCCTCCAGGAGGCGTTTCTCCTTTGACTCTTCGAAGGACCTCAACGTCGACTCGGCGTTGCCGTCCTTGGTATCCTAATTTTTCAAGCAACGAAACAGTACAAGACATAGCTTTGACGAGGTACACTCATGCGAATATAACGGGGAAATAATCTGGAGCGGATAAGTAGTGGGGAATGGGGCAGGATTGAGGGGCGACGTGGCGAGATTAGAAAAAGCTTTTCAAGAAACCAGCAGGACCAGCCTATACATACGTATTCCGGTTAGCAGGGAAAGAAAATACCGTTTTGTTAGTTAAATAGTTTCGATAATAACGGATTGTTATTTGCTATTAACGATAAAAGTGGTCGAAAATTACCTCTTGTTGTTGTGCTTGTTGTTGACTCTTCAATTTTGCCTGTGCATTTTTGAGCGCCCTGTAAAAAAAATTAATCAATAACTAATCGATTTCAGACGTGAATAACTGACTGTTGTAATTCGGCGATTTGCTTCTCTTTCATGTTCTGTTCCTCTTGGCTCATTTGGACTAATTGGAGCAATCTTTCCATTTCGGTGGCGGACCGTTTGGCTTCTTCTTGTGCTTGTTCCATCTTCTTTTCGGCTTCGGACAGTTTCTTGTTCAGATCTCCCATGGCGGCGGCGTTTCCACCGGCCTAACAAACACAAACTCCATAACACATCGCCTCGAAAACGAGCAAACAAACCCACCTTTTGTAACGAGTTTTGTAATTGGTCCAGTTGTTGTTTCTGTTTCTGTAATTGCTTTTCCAATTCGACTAGAGCTCTTTCCTTTTCCTCCACCTGCCTGCTCTTGTTTTCTACGATTCTGCGCTGCTCCTCGAATTGCCTTCGAGCCTCCTCTATCTTCTTCTTTTCGTCGTCCAGGTGCTTCCTCTGCGCGCTCAAATCTTCGCTTGGTTTTTGAGCACCTGCAGCGGTCGCCTTTTTGTGGGCTTCTTGCAATTCCAACTATAATTGAATAAATATTTAATAACATTTACACATAAAACTAGTTAGAAAATTGAGGTTAATTAGTAAATTATAGAGACAATTAAAATAAAATAAATAAAATTGTACCAAAAAATTTATTTATTAATAATGAACCTTCAAATAAATCTACCTGGTTTTTCTCCAGTTCTTGTACAAGCATCTCGAGTTGCGCTTGCAACCTTTCTTTTTCCTTCATGGAATTCTTAACATCCGCGTGGGATTTTTCTAGTTCTTTCCTCAACCTCGCCACTTCTTTGTCGTCCTGCGGCGGCGGTTGGATGCCCCTCTCTTTCTGGTACTGCGCCATTTGCTGCAGCTGTTGCTGCAGTTGCTTCTCCATCACTTGGATTCGCTTCTGCAGATCCTGCGCGGTTTTCTCCGCCTGGTCCGCCCGGTCGGTCTCCTGCTGGACGACCTTCCTCCATTGCTCCAACTCCGAGTCGCCGCGCGCGCCCGACTCCTGCAGGAGCTTCTCCGCCTTGTCCGCCCGCTGTCGGTGGGTGTCCCTCTCCTTGTGCGCGGCCTGCAGCTGTTGCTGCAGCTTCGCTATCTCCTTATCCCTGTTCTCTATGACGTCCTTGGTGCCTCGTTCGACGTCCTGCGTGATTTTCTTCTGCTCGCCCCTGAGCCGCGCCACTTCGGCCTTTTGCTTCTCCAACTCCGACTCGCTGTGGTTCAATTCTTGCTGGAAGTTCATCAGCATGTCTTGGGATTTTTCCAGTTGCATGATCAGCTGGTCGCGTTCCATCGTGAGTTGCTTAATGTCGGCTTCGTATTTGATGATTTGCTTTTCGATGGATTCGCCTTGGCGGCCTTGCTTGTCGAGCATCGCGGCCATTTTCTCCCTCTCCCTGGACACTTGGGCGAGTTCTTGCTGCAGTTTGACTATCGTTTCTTGCGATCTGTGGTCTATCGTCCGGCGTTGCGTGTCCATTCCGCTTCTGATTTGCTGCACCTCGGCGCGAAGGACGTCTCTCTCCTGCTCCATGGTCTTCCAATCTAGCTTATCCCTTTCGATTCGTTCGTGCATTCTGGCCAGTTCGTTCGCCATGCGCTCGAATTCGATCTTGGTGGCTTCGTTGGTTTGCAAGGCGTTGGCCAGGTGCTGTTGGGATTTTTCGAGCTCCTGCGCCAGCCTGCCCGCCTCCAATTCGGTGGCGTCGCGAGCCGCGATCGCCTTCTCCAATTTCTCCTTCAGTCTTTCGATTTCCAATCGTTCGTCGTTTCGCAGCTTATCGGCGGCCAGCGTTTGCCTTCTGTCCGCTTGGGCCACTTCCATTCGCAGTTTTTCGTTGTCCTTCTCCCACTTGTCCGATTGCAATTTGAGTTTCTCGTATCGGTCGCGCAGTTTCTCGCACTCGATGACGGCGCGCTCCAATTCGTGCCGTTGTTTCTCCTGGTTACCGGTGACTTTGGCCACTTCTTGCCTGGCCAAATCCAGCTGTATGCTGACCTCGTGCAACTTGGTTTCGAGCTGTTGGTTGTTGGCCAGCGACCTCTGCAGCTCGTCCCTGGCTCTCTCCAGCTCGACGCTTCGTTCCTTCTCCTGTTCGTAGGAGAATTTGCCTCTGGTGCTCTCCAGATGGGCGAGCTCCTTCCTGGACCTGTCCAGATCGCCGAGGGTTTTGTCCAAGCGCTCTCGCAGCCTGTCGATTTCGGCGCGCAGTCGATCGCTGTCGTCTCTGGATCGATCTTCGCGATCGTACTTGGAGAATCGCTCCCGTCCGGGGGCGGCGGTTTCGCGCAGGGCGTCGTACTCGGCGATGATCTTCCTGAATTCCACCTGCAGCTTGTCGTGCTTGTCGCGCGCCTTCTCCGCCTCGACCTGCAGCCGGGCGCACTCCTCTTGGGACTTTTCGTAGCTCGCCTGCAGCTTGCCCAATTGGCCGTGGGTGCGTTCGATTTCGTACTGCATGCGTTCGTTGTCGCCGTGCAATTTCTCCTTTTCGCTTTGCAGCCGTCGCATCTCCGCCTGCGCCTTCTCGTATCTGTCGCGCACCATTTCGATGTCGATGTTGAGCCGTTCGAGTTCTTCCTTGGATTTTTCTTCCAATTCCTTCGATCTGGAAAAGATGGTTGAGTAATTGATGTATTGGCGATTGGATAGAGGATAGAATTACCTTCCCAGTTGCATGGCGACTCTGTCGTACATTTCTTGGGTTCTGGCCATTTCGTCTTGGAGCTTTCGTTGGTCTTCTCGCATTTTCACCGATTGGATTTGCTGTTTTTCTAACTCTATTTCGAGTCGGTCTTTTTCGGCTTGGACGGTATCCAGTTTGTTTTGTATTCTGTAAACGTCGCCTTGGGATCTACAAAAATTTCAAACCAATTATCTACTGGAATTGGCTAGCTAGAATAGAATCTCACCTATCATACTTTTCGATTAGTTTATCAAACTCTTTGTGCACGTTATCTCTTTCGTCCATGACTTTCTGCGACGTGTATATGGCTTTGTCCAATTTTTCTTTGAGTAATTCGATTTCGGAAATGGCGTCGTCTCGTTCGATTTGGAGTTTCTGCTGGTTGGTGTGGGCCTTCTCCCATCTGTCTTTGAGAACGTCTAATTCGGTCTCGATGTCGGCCCTCTCTCTTTGTACTTTGGAGATTTGCGTTAATTGCATTTCCACTCTTTCTTTGAGCTTCTCGCATTCGTCTTGGAAGCTGTCGCGTTCGATTTGAAGCCGCGACATGGTCGACTGGAATTGGTTTGTTAGAGCAGGTTTAGATTGGGAGATTGAGCGGTACTTACTTGACTTTTATCGACTTTATCTCTCAGCCGATCTGCCTCTACTTGAGCCGATTCTTTTTCTTTCTGCAGACGAGCAGACTGGCCGAGAACCTTGTCCAATTGCGATTGGATGTTCTCTAAGTCGTATAACACTTTTTCTTTCTCCAGTTGTATCTGTAGGTGAGGTGAAGTGTATGTAAGATGGGTACGGAAAAGAAGTATGTTAAAACACTTACCCTTCTGGTCTCGCCAAGTGACTTGTCGAGTTTTTCTTGGAGCTTGTCGACCTCCGTCTGTGCCTTGTCTAGAGCGTTCTGTAGTTTGTCTTGTTGTAGTTGAGCCTTTCCCAAGGTCGCCGACGTACGCTCCAATTCTTCGCGAGCCTTCTCCAATTCCGCGTAAGCTCGATCTTTGTCCGCATGCAATTTCGCCGCGTTGGATTGCGCTCTCTCGAATTCCTCCCGCAGACTCTCCTGCTCTTGATGAGAGTTTTCCAGTCGGGCCTTGAGGCGGTATACTTCCCCCTGGGACTTTTCCAGTTTTTCCTGCAGAGCCTTCGCTTCCTGCCGGGCTCGTTCGCTGTCGGCCTGCGTCACCCGCAGCTCCGCCTGGCATCGCCTCAAATCCGATGAAGATTTGTCGGCGCGCTCTTGCATGCTGTAATTGCCAAACGATCGATTGCTAAAATTGAATCACCAATTCGCAGTCCATTCGATGGGACAAAAATTGGATAAAAATTAGCTGCGGACGATACGATTTGAAATCCAGTTATTCCTTAATCGAGTTACTACATTGTTGGTGAGGCGAATTGGTTGGAATATTGACTAAATAAAGAGAAATAGTTTAATTACCGATCGAGTTCATGCGAGCTGCTAAAAGTGACCCGTCCGAAGCTGCTGCTAGTGGTGGTGGTGGTCTGTGCTCGTTCGAGTTCGCTTCTAAGGCGTTCGTTTTCCAGTTCCAATCGGGTCAATCGTTGCCTGGCCGCCTCCCAATCGGCGCCGCTCCTTCCCACCTCGACGGCGGCCTTGTCCAGCTCAGCCTTGGATTTGCCCAACTCCGATTGCGAACTCTCCAACTTCGTTTCCAAGCGATCTCTGTCGTTTTGTGCTCTGCGAAACGACGCGCTTAGCACGATGCTACGAGCAAATCGATTTACTTACCTTTCTAATCTAGCTGTGAGCTTTTCGACTTCGCTATTAAGTGCGTGTATTTTCATCTTGTACTCGGCTATTTCTCGTTCGTGCAGCTCGCGTTCTTCGTGCTTCTCCTGCTCGGCGCGATCGCGCTGCTCGCGCAGCTGGTTCATTTGCTTCTCCTTGTCGCCGATGGCTTCTTCGAGCGTCGAAAGGGCTCCCTCCGAGGAGCAATGGTGCGCCTGCATCGCCGAAAGCCTCGCCCTGGCCATGTCCACTTGGTTGTCCTTCTCCTTCAGAAGATCCTCCAGGTTCTCCACCTAAATCATTCACATTATTTATCGTTTTATAGCTAGTTAGTTTAGTGTAGTTAGTAATGTAGTTAGTAAATTTTATATTGGAGTTAGTAAAGTTGTTAGTTGAATCGTACGTTATACAAATACTTACTGAATATATGTATTTTTTTAACAACGCGAATTGAATCAACTACTAAAGCACTAATACACGTTTTCTTATATAAACTTGTATGTTTTCCTATCGGGGGCGATTCTGTTTACTCTAATAACAAACCGAATTGGTCATAAAATATTAGCAATAAATACGAGCAGCAGGAGGCTCTTATTTGTAGATAAACATAGAGAAAGTTGGTTAGATTCAGTTGGTGATAAATGGGAAACTTACTTTTCTTTGTAGAACGTTGATTTTCCTATCTTTGATGTCCATGTGCTCTCTCATTTCGGCCATTTCGGCGCCGGCTCTGGCGCGCTCCTGCTGGAATTGCTGCGCCTTCTTCTCAGCGTAGCGATTCTTCTCCTCCAATCGCTGCCTGAGCTCCTCGACGTCGGTTTGCAGCATGTTGTAGTGCTCCTCTTTGGCGCAGAGCGACTCCTTGAGCACGGCGATGTGCCGCTGGTAGTCCTGGTGTTGTTCCTCGAGCGTCTTCATCTTGGCGCCCATGGCGAGGATCTCCTGGTCCCTGCGTTGGATCTCCACGCGGAATTCGTCGAGCTGCACAGACGAGCAGTAGCATGCACTATCCATGCGGGGTAAAAGCGACAGTGAGGTGGTAAAACTGAACTTAAGCGGCCATAGAGTCTTTGTACCTAGTTACATTCTGATAACTGATCCATCTTTCCCGATTTGCACGTCGTTCAACAGAAAACTTACTTGGCGCTTGATAGGCGGCGGTGCCAAGGCGGCGGCGGGTGCAGGATGTGGCGTCAACCGTTCGACCTCGCTCTCTAGCAGCCTGATCTCGCGCTCGAGGGTCGCTATGCGAGCATCCTTCGTGTCGAGCAGTACTTTCACCGTGCTACTAGAGGGCGAGGGTACCAGCTCCAGCTGCGTTTGTAGCGTACGCAAAGTTTCGTTTGCCGCTTGCAACTCCTGCAGAGGGAATGAAGAGGAGCTTGTCAGATGGGCTCGGCTGCCGGCCGTTCAACGCTTTACCACCACCATCGATATATATTTGACACATTACCAAGATTGCCAGGCCGAATCGAACGCGCCAACCTTTAACTAAACCACTCGGCTGCCTACCAATACCTACCTAAATATTATCCTAAGCCTTTTTCTTTATTAGTTAATTTATCTTGTAGAAGCATATAGTGTAGGTTTCCTGGTTTGGTAACAAGCTTCATGTCAAAAATCAATGCTTCAAAAACGCTTTTATCGATTCGAGAATATTTTATAAAACTGTTCCAAAATTAGATGAAGGTCGTGTGATTGTCACAATCGAATATGCAAACTGGACTATTTAGGTGTATACGAGCATGCAAGTACAAGCGTTTGGTGATTATATTTTACCTAAATCTTCAATGGAATCATTGATTTATATTGGATTGATTTTATGAGAGCAGTTTGGTCGTAAAATTGCTATTAAATTTTACCATCCTGGTGAGTTATAATGGCAACATATTCTTTCGATTAGTATATTTATGTGGATAAATTCATTCTAACCAACAACCATATTCTATACTAAGATGATACAGTGAAACTAAAAACTACTGGATGTTTTGGTGTTAAATGATGGCGATTCGATTCGGCGAATTAGCGAGATTTTCGTGGTTAGATACGACAACTATATGTACAAAATGACGACACCGAACATGCTTAATGAGTAGTTTTTTTGGGGGAGAGTGAAGCGTAACCAGATAGGAATCTGAATTGCGCTGACTCTGCGGTGGAATCTTGATCATGTGCCAGATGATATGAAACATTAACCACGGCCACACATACTCTCATATATACTTCTACGATCGCCGCGTCCTCGAATTATTTCACGCCGGAAGCGGAGAAAGAAAGCGGATAAACACAATCTGTATTATCAATTTGAGCTTGGCCGAGAAAAATGTCGCTTCGAGGACGCTTCGAATACGCAAAGGATTTTATTATTTATAAATAAGCACCTGCTTTTGAGCCATAGCTTGCATTTGTTGGAACATCTGTCTTTCCTCCTCTTTACCTGGAACAGACCCAACACCCAAAGCATTAGTCCTAGCACGAGCTGCCCGAATGGATTTCCTACCATTCATCCCTTCACCCATCACGATGATGCAAACATTTAAAACTTAGAGCGGATTTTTGGGAAGAGATGAACGCCCAAAATCCACTCACGAACTCTAACATCGTTACTAATTAGAGTGCATCATCTAAACACCGTTGTGCTAATATAGAAAATTCATTTAAAAAAGGGTGTTGTTATCAGATAGCCCTTTCTGGCTTTGTAACTATGCCTTCGATAACTCGTTTACGTTTCCTCTATGTTACCGCCATCGCCGTCAAATGCACAGAGTGTTGCCAATTCGCGCTGACACGAAATTTATAACAGCGTGTTCAATTTTGGTATTGGTACTATTTCTCGCAACAGCCGATGTTCGAGCGAAATTGGAACAACCCGTACATCAACCACATTATTAAAAACAACTCGTAAAAAATAGAACACCAAAAAGTGAAGAGATGTGCAGGGAGAAAAGCGAAAAAACCTGGGGGACTATGTAAGTAGGAAAGATTCCACTTACCCATGCCTTTGTTTTGAAGCATCTCCAGCAACTTTTTTATGCTCTCGTCGCGCGCTTGCAGCGTTTGCTTTTGCGTTTCTATCCTAAGCTCCAGCTCCTGCTCCAACAACAATATTATTAGCAATAAAATTTCTGGTTAATTCCTGAATTAACTGGATCAATAGCGAAACGCTTGCCTTGATAGTATCCCGCAGTATGGCGATTTCTCTGGTGAGATGTTCGTTTTCCTGATACATGGCTTCCATTTGCTGTTGAACTTCGATGCTGGGTCCTCGCATTCGCATTCGTAATTCTTCCTCTAATTGACGTACTAGCATCGCTTGTTTCTGTAAAACAATACGAAAGTTTGAAGCTTCGAAGCGAATAGGAGACGGGTAATTAAGTTCAAACTTTATTTAACCAACTAAGCACCTAGTAAACGCTTCATCTATCCGCCTCGGGGATTTATTTTGAACAAACATGGTGATTAAATCGGGCGGTAAACCCGACGAGGTTTGGTTCATTTTTCATTTTCGTGAAATCGGCGCTCTTTCCGCTATACATTTTTGTTTGCACCCCTACGAATCGATCGGTAAATTTCCCTTTAGTCACGCGTACCCTTTCTCGTTCTTTTTTATTTTTATACGAGCCTATTTTCCGTTGGAAAAAGAGTCCCGCGAGGTCGAGCGACTTCGGAAATCCAATAACACTCGGCCGGTAATTTTCCAACTATCAGGAGACGTGAATGGAAAAATCGCCGCTATTTTTCTAGGCTAATTTCCCATTCGATTGGTATTCGATTTCGAATCGAAATTAATACGCAAAGCCCTTTATTTGTGCACAAACGAATCGATAATATCTAGGATGTATTAGGGAAATTAATGGAATAAGTTTGTGTTGTGTAGGTTCTATCCTCGTCGAACTTCCCGAGCCACTACTGTTCGTGAAAAATGCTTTATAGGTAATTAGGGAAGAGCGTTGGTTTTGTTGGTATTTATCTCATAGAACGTCGGAAAATAAAATTCGACGAGCAAGGGAATGGGGGAGAATTCCTGATCGATAGTCGACATTGAAAGCTCGCCCTCGGGCTGCTGCTGTTTGTTAACGATATCGCCCGATAATATCTGGGTCGCCGATGAGAAGTGTTGTCTTTTACAGCCAAGATATTTGCCGTAGATTATTCGAAATCGCTTCGATTACGCCGAAGGTTTTTAATTAAAATCCTACAATGGCCACCTTTTCCTAATGAACGCTTGTATTGTTAGAGTAACATTCAATGGAACAACTAAAGCAAAAGTCGGGCGAGTAGGAATAGCAACTGATAACCAACATTGCCGGGAAGAATGATTCGAGCAAATTGATATTCCTGCTTATTAATTCGTTTACGAGAGCTTTTTTAAAGCTGCGCATTAAAATTTTACGATTAAAGGCGCGCTGGTGTAGGAATGTTCGAACGTTATTAAACCACATAATAGGGTCGTTAAGGAGAACTCTGGATTTATTGGAACACGTCTTAACTCGCAATTTTTTAAGAAAGCTTTTTTAAGAATGCCCGAATGCAGCGCTCCTAACTTTAAGCGGCTGGTTTTCGTACTAATCATTGTATTGTCGGTAACAATCAGTCCAGTTGATCGGGCGTATTTATAGAGTTTAAAAGAACGTCTATTTCGATTCGATAAATTTTTTAAGCGAGCTTTTACACAATCCCTTCGTCGCGCGACGTCGCGATCAATATTCGGCGAGGTTCGACGACCCCGTGCCCTAATTCCTGCCGTCCTGAGTGCGTTTCGCTCTCCATTCTTAAGACAATCTTATTTCGAGCCGCTGTTTGTCTTGCCTTCGGTCCGACGGTAAATTACTAATGCTACTAATGAATCGAATTGCTGCAACGGGAGCACCTTTCCAATTGCTCCAAAGTCTCATGTTGTCGTGGATTAGGGTTCGTTTTACCCGCTGGTACATCTGTATACTCCATGCCCTGATTAATCAATAGTTGCTATTGAATGTAACTCGCGGAATTCGTTATGATAGCGCTGCATCGAGCCCGTGGTTTATTATTTTCATTAAACCGCGTTCCAATTTCGCGGGATCCGATGCTGGACTGGAAAATTTACTGCTGACGTGCTACATGGAACGACCGCATGTTTATTTATCCCGAGGGACTGTTTCTAATGGATGTTTCGGTCAGTAATGATTAACGTTTTTAAAGGATCCGGCCCGCGTGAATTAATCACATAGTGTGTCGATAACATTATGATGGGTTTGTATAGCATTGGGTCAAATTTGTAACTAGGAAAGCTGGAGAAGTCGGACGAAGATGATGAATGGCTCAATAAAATTATGTTCAGATGTTCTGTAGCGTATTTCCAATAATTATTCCAATATTACTTCGTCTAATTTTACTGGAATATTTGTCGAAACGGAAGCAAAATAACGTATTTGCTCTCATTTACGACCTTTGATCGTAAACCCGAATCGTGACGTTGTTGGAAAAAAGAGCTAAAAGCATTTTCTCATCGTCTGCTCATTTTATGAAACCGATAGATACATAAATAACCCCCTTTGTGTGTACACAAGGAAATCTCGATATACAGCTTACGCTGTCTTTGCATTGCCAGCTGTTTACACAACAGTACACTCATTGAATACATCGGGGATTTCTCAGAAAATCCACTAATCGCACATACCTAGCTGTATAAAATTTCCTTCGAACATTATTAGAGTCCAACTAACCTGGTTTTCGTTGCTCAACAATTTGAGCTGATCGTTGATTAGACTGTACTTGGCGGATTCCTCCTTGCGCAGGGCTCTCTCCTTCTTCAGCTCCGGGCTCCAGAAGGTCTTGATCGAGTGCATCGACGATCCCAGTTTCTGGTTGGTCAGCTCGAGTTCCTTCTTCAAATTGGCGAGGTCGCGCTGCAGATCGGAGTTCTGGTGCTGCAGCTCGCCGATGAAGGGCTGATGGGAGGTGGGCGATTGCCTGGCCGATCTGGAGAGGAAACTGCGTTGAATTTTAGTGAATTTAGACGCAGAAGGATTCGTTGGAGTTTACCTCGAACTGTACGGTTCATCGTCGTAGTACAAGCCTCTGTCGAGCGATCGGTCTCTTCGATCTCTTATCGGTAGAAATTCTCGTTCGTGCTCCATCGTCGGTCCTCTGTCTAACGATTGGTATCTAACGGACATTGGGTTGGAGGGCCTGAAATAACAAAGCGAGAATTTGAACAAGTCCCTGCCGGTCGATCAAAACGAATTTGTGTACATTTCCTACGCTTAAAAATAGATTCAGTTTATTTGAATTACATATGTATACCATACACCAGCTATTTTAATTACAGCATTTCAACTGCGACCTTGAAGTTTAATCTGGCGATTCTTAAAATTATTGTAATGTGGTAAATTGCAGGGGTTGGTTTTTGAAGCAGCTAGGCATTTGCTACTGGAGCTTTCCTGAACAACGCGTAACTAAAAAATAACTCAATAATGGCGTGATAATTTTTTTATCGGGATTTGTTTGTCGGTGGGCGTTTGTAAAGCCCGTTCGACGGGCGAGCGAAATGAATCGGAATATAAACCGAACACGTTTCGGCCGGATTTACTGCCTGAAAATCGCCGGTGACACGCGAAGCTTTCCTGCTTATTGTTTTCGAATGTGTTTTCCGAGCGATCGCTTTTTTTGCGCGCTCGAAGTAGATTGGAATGGACTCGGGCAAATACGAAAAAAAGGTAAATTAGATTGGAATCGAGTGGTGTTTGTTGGACACTAGAGTGGAACTACCATTTAATTACGGTAAGTTAATTAGTTCATCACAAACTTGATCATTTGTATCCCATCATTGGTTGGTAAATAGTAGGAAAACTGAAGGAATGGAATGGAAAGTACTTTCCATTTTACATTGAATTATAGTTAGTAGTTTTTCATTGGATTAATTCTTGGCTACACGCCCGAAATTGCTGTCGTGTTGAGTGTGTTTGTCATCAATTTTTCACGCAGACAAATTATGTTCGCATCTTAAAATACTAACCCATCTTCGTCTTAATCACATCTTTAAATACTCTACTAATAAATTTAACAAGTAATAGAGGAAATAATTTTCCGTCCTGTATAAAAAGCTATTAGAGAAGAGAAATAAATAGGACGAGCAGGACAATTTGAATTCATTAGTCATTGGTAAAAGCTCTTTGAACTACTGATACAATTAAGAGATACTCGTGATTCATTTTGATCAATAAATAAACATTGATATTTGTATCCGTTATTAGTGAGATCATGGAGAAATCGCAAATTGATTCCGATCCAACCAATGAAATGTTATTGATTAGTAAAGTTAACCAGTACTTGCTATTTCAAAGCGAATTTACCAATTAATCATTGATTGTTGTGAAATTACTCCTTTCGAGATTAATTACTCCAATTCAGTATTTTCTATTTACATCGAATGAATCAATTACATTAAAAATTCATGTTATTTCTTCTTATTACTTACACAGCAACTCTTAAATCAACGATATTAGTAAATAGACTACATTTCATCGTTTTAAATTCCAGACTCCATTCAATTGCGAGTATGCTCTTAAAATATCACGGTAAACATGCAGTTGTCTGGCGTGTAAACATAAAGAAAATCAACTATTTTCGAACGAAATGAACGCACAAAGTTCACCTTAAAACGCCGCTGTCCGTTCGTCGTCCGCTGAAATTGATTTAAATTAATAATCATACACCATGCGAATTTATTCATGCAGCAGGAATAGCCGAAAAATTAGGTCAGGAGTCGCGTTTCAATGGATTTGAAGATTGTTGTGTACAAAAACTTCATTTTAACGAACCTAGCCATGTGAGGTATCTTCATTTCGAGTTTCCTCCTTTAAATTAATGCTAGATATTATAACATAATGCAGGAATTCGTGTTTCACATCAAGTTATGTCGTACAGCGAGATGCTGGTGTATAGTTACGATTTTAACACGTTCCTGCAGTTTGTATTGTGTTGAGCATTAAAGCGGATTTTACTGCTGCAGCAACGATCACATTTCTTGGGCGATTTCCACTATCGGGGATTTACCCATTAGCTGGCTACTTAACAGCGAGCTGGAAAGTTTTTTCGCGTTCGTTAGTTAATATCGGAGGAGTATCGGATCTGCTACGGCTTGACATTTGCAGCCTGACCTATATTTATAATAAATTATCGACGGCGTGTGGAAAATCGGAAACGAACAAGAGGCTTTTTAGGAGAAAGTTTGTAGCATTATTATTTCGCGAAGTAGCTCCGAGTTTTCGGTCGAAAGAGTGATGCGAATTGTACCTGGTAGCGCTCCTGGAGCGATGGTGTCCCGGTCCAACCGTCATAGGCCTTCCGCGTTCCTCCAACATAGGACTCCCTAGGTCGTCCTCCCTGTAGTACGGCGAGTGGTGGTAGCCGGCGGTGTAGCCGTGCTCCGGCGAATTGTTGCCCGATCGCGTCTGCCGCAGCGGCTTCCGACCCAACGGGCTGCCGCCGGGGTAGGCCCGGCTGGGGGATCGGTCGACCGTGGGCAACCTCACGCCTCGCGGCGACCGCGTGCCCCCCACGTACGCGTCGCGGGACATTTCATGGCATTTTTCGAAACGGCGATGCGGGTTCGGGTCGGTGTTTTCGCTCAGGACGTTTTCATCGTCGACGGCTATCGCACACTCGGGGACGCACAGCAGAAGATGTCCGACGCTACTCGACGGCTGATCGCGCCTCACTCTCGGTCGCTCTTCGCTCTCTGTACTGGCCGGACTGATCAATGAAACGGGTGTAGTGTGTGGATGCGCGCGCGTCCACGCGCTACACCTACGCTAAAGACGCAGGGGCGGCGCGAGCCGACGGGATTTCATCGTTTTTCGCCCGAGAATTCGTTGCAACTATTTTGCAACTGTTTTGCAACTATTTTGCAACTGTTTTGCAACTATTTTGCAACATCGGCAATGTACAGTAGTGTGGAATCGCACACAAGTGGATTCAATTGAAACTAGTTTGCAACGAGTCATAAAGTTGCGAGTTGCTTTAAATTCTTGCCAATTTCTGGTGTGTTTCATTCGATATTCGATAAATTACTATGGCAATTGATTGAAACTGTTTTATAATAGTCGCATCCGTGTGCGTGCAGAAGTTTAATAATAGTTGTAAACTGGTTACAGACTAAACTAAATTGAAATCTATATTTCAACACAGTTGCTCCGTGAGCGGGCCTTAATCTTAAATTCCGGTTCTATTGATTATTATTAAAGAAAAGTTAATTGGAAGATTACGTGATGCTGATAAACATATCAAAGTAAGTTTCTCTACATAAAATAATAAGGGTAAAATTATTCCGTTTTTTTTATTTATATCTACAAAGTAGAGGTGAAAGAAATGGAAGCCAGTGGTCAAAATTAGCTATATTTTTTTCACTTTTGGGATAATTTTAATTGATTCTAAAATTACTTCCTGCCACTTTGCCGCCCTCGGTCAATTCGTTTTATCAAACGCAAGGCTGTATTTCGTTTAATAATTAAATTAGGCGCTTTAAAATAGCGGATAGATGCAAAGTTTTGAGGTCGTGTAATTAAAAACTTTGAATTTTCGGTGGTTTTTAAATTGCCGTTTCCCCTAATGTAATTAGAAATAGGCTAGTTGGGGGAGATTTATGTGTTCCAATTTTGCGGTAAAAATTAACATCGAGTTAATTAGTGGAAAATTTAAACGGGGAACTAAATTCGCGTTTTTGGGTTTTATCGTTTGGAGTGATAAAAGGGTTTAGGTAGGCGCTCATAGAATATTTATCTCTATTCTCTTCCTATTTTATCGTATTCACTGATATCCAGTCATATCTACCAAAAAGGGGGATTTAATTTTTGTTATTAACGAAAAAATCATGATTTTTTTTATTCCTTTTGCAACATTCTCTATCGTTAATTTAACTAATAAAAATAATTTTGAAATTGTTACTAATAAATAAATAGTTGATCTAAGTTTCTTGAAACAAACAATATGTAACTTTTCTGAACTTTTCAATAATCAAGTTTCTCTATATTGCAAGTTTTAAAATTGTCTCCAGTTAAAAATAGATTGTTCCTTTGAAATCCCATTAACTTTCAACGATGTACAAAAGGTGGCGTTGTATGCATTACATAAAATTATCCTTCGTAAATGGTCCTTCGTTTCAGACGGACTTCAAATTTTTATTTCACGAAATTCAGTGGACGCTTCAGTTTCTCTACGAATTGCAATAATTTTTTTTCTAGATGATTAGCAAGATTGATTTTCCTGCTTATTAACTGCATTAAATAAAACCAAACCGGCATCTTAAATCGATTTTAATTAAAAATTATCCAGCAATTATTACAAAGCATTATAATTATGGTTAACCTAGTTTACAATAATAAATTACTTATACGCTAATTAATTATCTAATAAGAAGTACGTAGGTATTCGATAGATAATGCATTAATAACTGTCGTTAAATCACAAGTAATTATGCCTACAGCGGATTTGAAATGAAGAAATCTCTTACGGGAGGTGTGTCGTACTTACTCTCCTAGGCCAATAAAAGTTACTTTTGCACAGTGTAGGTAATGGTAAGTACCTACTGAATAATAAACCTATTAAAAAGGAATTATTAACGGCCTGTCAATGAAGGCTCTACAAAAAAAAAAGGACGATACGTAAGTTTACTAAGGGTCATTGTTCAGTTAAAGGTTGCTTAAGAAATAAAACAGCAAATTTTCACCACTAGAAAGACTGATGAGGAATAAGCTATTGTTTTTTATTTTAATTAGTGGTGCTCCGCAGAACATGTTAGAATATTGTCATGACAAAATTATACTATGCAAACAGAAAAATATGATTTTATGTTACAAACTACTTAGAGAAAAAAAAAACTAAATCGTGAGGAATGTACCTAATTTTTGGATTTAAAATATTAGATACCATAACGGTAAATCGAGGGTATTCCGGAGCAAAATTCAATGCATATTTTCAATAACATCTCAACAAATCAAAAAATCTTGCACCGGAATACATAAATCCCACTTACAGCGCGACCTAAAAGTATCACATTTTCCTATCGTCTTATCCATCCATCCGCATTCGATTCGAAACTACAAACAATTTTTTAAACCAACAACTCCCGTCCTCAGTCTCAAAATCGCACCGCAACCGATCCGATTTCCCTATTTACACGTGTATTCCTCAGTTCTCTCGCTGCACGTATCACACTCCACAGTACAACACCAATGGAACTTGCACCTGCACTGGAACGTCTTGGTGTATTGGTGAGTGTTGTAGCCCCTACCGCAGCACATCAAATCGCAACCATCGGTACCTTCAAAGAAACGATTTAGCCAAAAAATTTAGGTACAATAATCGATAGTAAATACCTCTGGAAGTCCTGTTGCATTGCCTTCCGACGGTGCCCAGCGACCCGGCGGCCAGGTCGCGCTCGCAGTAGTTGGGCGACATCTGCAAGAACACCAGCTCCGACATCTTTGGCATCTTCTTGACGGGCACCTTGCCCTTGGTGAGCACCAGGTGCTGGCGGCGCAGCCGGCGCGGCGCGTCGAGGCCGCGGGGCGCGTGCTGCGCCGAGCTCGACGCCACCGGCCGCGCGCGGTAGTACTTCTTCATGAGGGCGTCGCCGATTTGGCGGAACGTCGGCAACGTCTTCCAGCAGGTCTTCATCGTACAGCTGCCCGACACGCCGTGGCATTTGCACTCGATGACGAGATTCGTTTTTACCGCCTGAAAGGGACAATTTTTAGTGGTGAGGAAAAGTTGTAGTTGAAGAAACTTTGTTCAGTTTCTTTGGGGATAATATGTAATTAATGTTTGCAATATATACTGAGTGACAAAAGTAAAAGAACACCAAAAAATAGTTGTTGAAATTTAACCATTTAGTCTAGTTACATGTATAAGAGAAAAATAAACAAATGATTAAAATTAATTCATCAAATTAACAACAAAACTTAAAAAAAAATAATAATGTGTTGCACCACCGTGGTACTGTACACACTCTCTACAGTTTGAATGAAAAATAAAATTTGCTTCTTGGTGTTCTTTTACTTTTGTCACTCAGTATATTTATTAGCATCATCTTGTATATTACCATATTTATGTTGATGTCTTTGCTTAAAGGTTTTTTATATGCATTTATATTAGACAATTAGCCAATTTTCAACAAAATGTCAACACTCTATAATTTACTTTGATAATAAATTCTCTGCTTATTCGTACCATATTATTATCTCATTTTCCAATGCGTCTCTAAAACCGTTTGATTATACAAATCAAACATCGTTACATACTTCAGAAACGGCTCTTATTATAAGTTATTTCGTTCGATGGTAGCCCGAAGAGGTCTGCGAAATATTTCGCAGGTATATATTTACACCAGCCAATTTGCCGATTCCCTATATTAAAAAAAACCACGCGCGCCCGAGGCGAAGCCGCCGATCGTTTGCTACCCGGACTCACCTTCCTTCCGGCCTTGTTGTTGTGCAAATTCATCAGGCTCCTGGCGTCGCCCTCGAGCTCCCGCGCGTCGAGGAAGCGCCGGGCGAAGCGCACCCCGTAGTTGACGTCGACGCTGCACCCGCCCCACTTCCAGCCCGACGGCGTCGGCTCCCGCTTGGGCCCCGGATCGCAGCCGCAGGCCGACACGTTGCCGCGGGCGCAGGCCGCCGTCACGGCGTAGGCGACGCCGGCGCTGCTGATGGCGTACGTGAACGCCGCCTCCCTCGAACCTGCCGCCAAATCACAACTACATTATTAATTTCCTCGCAATTTTACCTGGATAATTATAAGGATCCCACGATTCCGCTGCGGTTCCGCAGCGGTTCCGCAGCGGTTCCGCAGCGGTTCCGCAGCGGTTCCGCAGCGATTCCGCAGCGGAACCTTAGACACGGCGGCTTATGAAGGGGTAGTTTCGCAATAGTAGCGAAAACGCAGCGTTCTATTTTCGAAACACTGCTTGCGCTGTTTTTTTTCCGCTGCCGCTGCGGAATTTGGTACCTACGAAAATAGCAGTTGTCGAAAAATTAATCGAGTTTGTGAAAAAGTATCCAATTATTTACGATTTAAGTGATGAAGACCTATTAAAAATTATTAAAATAAATATCCTACTATTATTATGCTTGCCTATATGTTGCTAATCAACATACTCCTAATAACGTAGTTATTTTTATCTAATTTCTTCCTCTTCAGCTAAACCAAGTAGCAGTAAAACTTCTTCTTCAGACAAACTCATTGAATTGTATGAATTGCAAATATATAACTAATTACACACACGCTCCAATATGTCACTAAAAATCGCTAACTAACAATCGGAAAATTTCGCAGCAGTGCGAATAGTACCAATCCGCTGGCGGAATTTTCGCCGCGAAAGTTTCGCGGCGGAAAAGTTTCGCGTTGTTCTGTGGGATCCTATAACCTCTATACTACACATACATCTTCATAATGTATTCACCATAAATTCTGTACTTTATTACACGTCTGGGATTAAGTGGGATAACAAGATAATGCCCGATTTGATGTTTACCATTCTAATAATTCACCCATCTCGGGTATACCGATACGTCAGGATTAGACCGTAGAAATTTTCATGGTCTTGATATTGATAAATCTCCTCCATCGGCTCGAAGGTCTTTCGCTTGAAAAATCTCGGGCTTCGCCTCCAAGGCGGCGATTCCTATTTTTTTTAAGTCCCTCCGAATCGGCTACTGGTTTCGAAAAAATTAGTTCTAGCACGATTAGCCGGTGTCGACTGTTAGTTTCGGTGATTTTTTAGGCGATTTCATTTGTCGAGGAATCCAAATGATAAATACAGGCATTAATAACGACGTTGGTGTTAAAGAATTTTAGAAGTAAAATCCCCGACGCCAAGTAGCGAAAAATAAATTCGATTCGAACGATAAAGCGCGTCGTAAACATTATGTCGAGACGTTTAAAACGGCTTTCTGGTGTTTATAATGATGATAAAACGGCTTTCGTTTTTCCGCAAAATTCTAACGAGGGCGTCAGATTGATGTAACGCTCAAACGGAGGTTTAGAATTTCAAAAACCCACAATCGGCTATCGGAGGATTTATTATCGACGTTTCCAACCACCTACTTGTATTTTTAATGTCTTTATCGCACCCGATTAAACAAAAATCGCTAACCAAACCGAAGGAATAATATAAGTACGGTGAGCGTGTGAATCCCAGGAGTAAAAAAGACTAGTTCCCTATTAAAAAAATCCGTTTATTTCACAAAACTTGTTACCAACATACCAGTTTTATTCAAACGAAACGTAATAAGTTTTCCCTTAACAACCGAAAGCCACGTTTCGAGTAATCGCCTTTGTACAAATGTGAATTATTTATTCACTTGTAACCATCAGAAATTCAAAAAACGTCCGGCCGGAACGCCTTGTTTGGCGAAATTAACGATGAAGACCTGACGGTAGCGAACGGGCTCTTATCTAGCATCAGTTAATCATGTTGTTAGGAGATGCCGCGGCCCACGCGGCACTCGAAATGTAAAATTGTCTATGTAATGATATTTGTAATAGTTTAAATTAGGCTCCCGCTTGTCGAGGCTCGCCCGATTTTCCCGGAAACTTTGTTATACATGCATGATGTCTTGCGTGTTCTATCTATCACAACACACATTCTACGCTAGTCACAATTAAAGCTACCTGTTTTTCAGCAATCCGATCGATAATATCCGTTATTTTATGGGTGATATGTATTCTTTTATGATATAAAATAAGAAACGAGAAGCGAACACACATTCGCGTACATTCATTATTCGTATGGAAACAAGTTGTAATAACACACCGGCCGAGTTCTCGGTCACGTAATAAAAATAAAATTCTCAATTAATGAGGATATAGAGATTTATTGCATTTACCGTCGTAAATAATGGTAGCTGCGAATGGTAAATTCACCCACACCGGTCATTCGTAATAAGCAATAAAGGATAATTAATTAATACTGCTATTTAATTTACGATCGATGGGCATACACAACTATATATATATAAAAAAAAGTTGAGTTAATTTATCATGATGGGCCTCTTCTGAATCAGATTGGGCGAGCTTTGTAACGCAACAAAACGGGGTTTTATGAATCGGCATTATCTATTGCCGGGTGGATAATTCGATCGGAGATGAAAATGGAGAGTTAGGGGGGCGGCCGAAAAATGTGGGAAGGTGAGAAAACGTGAGCGAAGATCGTGATGGGTAAATGTGGGTATATAAAGTCACGCAATGGTGGATTAATTGGCGATCTTCGTGTTGTTTGACTGACGCCGTGTGTACCGTGGGAGGCGCCGATCATTAGTAATGCTTGATTTATTTCAGTTTTGATTAGCGATAAGTATCGGAGCGGTAACGATTATGCGATTAAACTCGAGATGAAACTACACGAAGGATAGCTAAACTGTAACAAATGCGAGCTGGTATGATGAAATGAAGATCTAGAATAGGTATAGAAATCGAGTTTCTGTTGTGTACCTATACATTGTTGTTAATTTCGTTTGCATTTAATATTCAGAACTGGATTGCTTATAGCGAATGTTCAATTAAAATTCTCGTTTCTCGTTTTACGCAAACGTTCGACAAGTAATATTTAAAGCTTATCTAAATTCGCAGTCGCTACAACATTTATTTATTTACCGTAAAATAAGCGAAGAACGCCGATTTAGATAAGCGGAATAAATCTTCCCCGTAGGCTCGATTGATACATTAACATTCGCCGAGTACCAGCGAGTATTTATCGGATTATGCTTTAGTTATTGTTCGCAATATAAAATAATATCGGATGAACCAGGAAGCGACTGGTAGAACGCAGAATTGGTCATAAAGAATATGTGTATAGCTAGAGGGTGGGATTAATTTTACTGTCGATTTCATCTGTAGGTTAGAAATTTTCGAACAGTACAATTCGAGAAACTTTCGGGCTTTCTCATGAACTTATACAGCTGATTTTCTGTCAATTAGGTTACCGAAATTTACGGCCCATCGGGGACAAAGAAACAATAGGAGACGGATTTTCGACTGAAATAAAAGCGACTTTGTTTCTTCGACGATCCTTCCGCGAAAAATCGCCGGCGATTCGCTGCTCCTCCCGAGCGCAAAATTATCGCGATATTGCCAGTTTTTTAAATCGATTTTAATTTACGATCGTAATCGACGATCCGCCCTTGTATTATACAAATCGCGCGTGGGAAGACAGAGGGATGTAAATGCCTCATGCGCCCAGATAATTATATTCCCGCCTTTGAAATTTACCGCCGCTTCGTGTCATTTTTATTGATTTCAACCAGCGACAATCACGCCTTTTGCTGCAGTATACAAAAAATCTTATCCAATTATTATAATATAATTCGAATCGAGCATTGAAATCGCCCATTATCTCGATACTGAATAAAAACCGATTAGCTGCACCGACGCCCTTTCATCACCGCCTGGAAGATATTGTTTTATTGCAAACCGATCATAATTTTATTTTTATACTTAATTAATTTAATTGCCCTATTGTTTTTAGTTTGATTTATTTGTTATACCGGCCTTTCTCACTTACTCCGCAACATAAAACACTTACAAATTTTATACCATTTGAAAATTTACAGGGATTATAGGGGTGGATAATAGCGGGGTGGGGCTTTTTTTGATTTTACGTTGGTGTATATCTTCGCGTTTAATTCGGGCGTAGGTGACAATGTGGCAAATAAATCCGCCTGTGCGTGTTATCCGAGACGAATGCAGGCAGTTTTTTTAAACGAACGCGATACGATTTCAACAGGAAATCGATTTTTGCCTCAGAGCGATCGATTTCCGATCGATTTTTATTCGCCGTGCACGAGGAAATTCGATCTACGCAAGTATAGACGCATAATACCCAGAGCTAATCAAGACTCACCTATTTAATTAAATGCTAATTAAATATTTAATAATGAGGTAGGTAAGTACCAGTCTGATAGCGATGCGTACGAATTATATTTGACTCTTTTATGTGGATGATTAATTAGCCATAAACGCTCTTTATCAGTTTAATTAATATTTCATACGAATTTTTACACTCGACTACTAGAGTTCTTCGATTGCTTTTAGCATAACATTAACCTCGATTTTAAAAAATCTCTGGGCGTAATTAAAGCTCGTTTTCGTTGTAATTTATTTCTGCTTTTAACGCTTTAGCACCTCGTTCGAAAATGTCGACGATTTTAAAGTAAAAAACAACGGCTTATCAATAAAAACGACACCTTAAAACCTAGTGAATTAGCTATACAAAGTGTTAATTTATCGTATACCTATTATTAATTCGTTTCGTATTATAATAAGAGTTTTGTTAAAGAAATTTTTGTACAGCCCTCGTTTGTAATTAAAGGCATTAATTACAGGCAACATTCGAGCTATTTGCGGTTTTTCACTTAACAAAAACCATTACAAAAATCGATTTAAATTTAATATTCAATCCTGTTAACCAATTTACCCATAGAATTTCATTAAAATTCTCAACCGAAGCGCTTGTCACGTATTAATTTATAAATAAATAAAAAACCCTCTCTTTAAAATAATAAGTATGCGTAAGAAAACTTGATATTATTCAACGGGGCACTCGATGCAAATTCGTGTTTAATTACTTATTTTCAATCTCTTCGTGTAATGAAGATTGATAAAGATCTCGCTAATGAGCTTAGTTGTTTCAATCACGATGCGCCGGCAGAAACCAGTCAGTTAGATTGCGTTCGAGTTTGTTTCTACTAGTGTCATTCAATTAGTAATAAAATCGGTTTTATATGTGAATTTACCTACCTGTATTAATTCCCATAGGTACGGCGATATAGCCGATATACTCGTCGTCCTTATTAGATACAGCATCTTATTTTAATTTCGATTAAATAAGCATGTAATGCATCAAAAAAAACAAACATATACGGATCGCGCGATAATAAATCACCGTCCGATAGCGATCCGCCTCCCATAATTCCTCTCCAACGAAAAACCAAAGACGGGAAACATGCGAAAAATGATAAGTGCCTAAATAAATCGTCCGAAAACGAGACATTAAGTCAGTCCGTTGGCAAATGCTCATAATGTTCGATGTCAGTTTGTGTTTACATCGATGTTATTTCGTCGCGGACAAGCGACGAGTGGGTGGCGCAAACACACCTGCGGAATCTACTACCAATGATCATCATAGAAGTCACCGGGATATGACCGAGACCGACGGCGACGTGGGCGCCTTCCCCAACCGCGGAGTGATCGATGTGGAGCCGCCAATCTCGCTTCATTAGGGTAAATGGTTTCGTACCGATTAATTTTTCAATTCGCGTGGAAAACTGTTGGAAACTCACCGACGATGACGACGTGGCCGAAGGAGGAGGGATTCTCGATGCCGGTGCAATTCCACCGGTGCTGCCTGAATTGGTATCTGCACTCGGCGGTGGCCATTCTGATGCCGTCCCCGACGGCTATCATGGCGTCGGGCGACTGCCTGCACATCTCCCGTTGCCGGTGTATCAATCCCGGACTGTTGGCACAAACGACCTCGGCACCGAAGTCGATCACGCCGATCACGCCGAATACTACCCTGCAACAATCACACAATATTCCCTAAAATAATCCTTGTCAAAGCGGTGATTGCAGTGCGAAAATATCCTATTGTATGATTTTAAAAAGCAGTAACTAGATATCTATTTGCATCGATTCGCACGCATTCGTTTTAACGAAACGTACTAAATAAAAAAAAAACCTTCAGCGAGTGTATACAAAAGCGATTTTCCCAGGTATAGAGATGCCATTCGGGCCTCGAAGACTTACGGCAACGACGCGAAAACGGGAATATCAATCGGAGCTTTTATTATTCTTCTTTGTGCAGTTGGTAGGCATGCCTTAATTGACATGAGATATCTGTTACTAATAAGACCGACAATTTCAAAGACCTCGCTGATTATCTTATTTATATTTCGACCGTTAAAACCGCCTACCCGTTTCGGCGAAGAAAATTTCCTGCGGTATAACGAGTAACAGTAAAAATATCAGCGCTTGATATTGAGCTTATACCGTCACAATCTAGTCTAATTGATACCCCACCACCAACCAATATCCATTCATTGTAATCCTCCAGACGTAAACTGACTGATCGAACTATATCTTATCCATTACTTTACTAACTATATTATTAACTTACAAAGCAAAGGAGTAATGAATACTTATTTGCTCATTATTAGTTTAGTATCAAGGAAAAAAACATGATGTCATCACATCGTAATTATCTATTTATTTACCAGGCCTGCAATTTGCGAATAACTTCTTGTCGACGTAAACAGCTATCTACTATCCGTTAGTATATTACTGATAGTATAATCTAAGTAAAATTCATTGCGATCAATTTTACTACAAGAAATACATGAGCATGTCTAATGGTGCATTTGCTTTTATTCCAGTTTGTACAGTTTTACCGGAGTTTCAATAGATAACGTTTAAATTTAACTAGTAGAAGAAATAAATAATACAAATCTCCCGGTTTCTATGAAGGATTATTTTATCAGATGCGAGGACGAGTGTGGGTTTTCCGTGTCGCCTCGCCGATCGTAAGTTGTAACATTTTGGTTTATTGCGCCTCCTTTCCACATATCGGCTACTGATTTTCATTTAGATAAAGGCGCGCAGGATGCGTTAACTGCTCATTCATTGAAATATGCTTTTTCAAAGTAAATAAAACGAAATGATTACCGGCTATTTATGTGCACAAATTCAACCCGCCTCCGGGCCCGATCAATTTTCCTCCGATAATTTTAATTGGAGGTTTAATTGCTCGTTACCGGCGCGCGTCCGTTTCTACGGGTGTTTGTCGAATTTATTCGATTTTCGGACGGTTTTAACGTTGAAATTGAATGATTTTACGTACTTCATTGTTCATTGGAGGTAGAGAAGATTATTTTTAGTTAGTTATGTGAGCGCATGTATCGACAAAAGGCGCTGTAATTTGCGTTGAAAATCAACCGGAATTTATCACGCCATTTATCAAAAGGAGGTCCCTTTTAGCTCGAAGGCGACACAATACTTTATAATTAAGTAATTAACATAACAAATAAGTAACTGCAATATTTATTATTGTCCATTTCCCTGCACCGTTTCTTACTTTTATATACATTCTGTCTGTATTAGCGAAATGAACAAAGAAAGTATCTAGGTCAAATTATTTATCGTTAAAAAAATATTAATACACTTAATAAGCGTTTACTCTGATAAATATTCCTCGTCGTAAATCAATTACATGCCACTTACACAATACCTTGTCTATTTGCGTATAGGTATAGAGGCGTGGACAATATAAATCCAATGCAAAATGGGTACCTCTTAATTGTTATAGATTTACATTAATTACGCAATATATCTTCCAATAGCGAGTCACCGTGTTACCGATGGGTGTCGACAATTTTTCTTATTCAACGGACAGCGTTAAAAGTTCGAGCTATTTCGCAATTACCGAGTACTTATAGGAGTTAAATTGCACGAATTTTTAGGGGGTTAGTTACATAGATGGTGTAAGCTCCCGTTACATCTGCATTGTGTTCCGTGCAGGGCAATTGTCTCGGGTTTGCGGCGTATTTTTCGGACGGTAGAAATTTGAAAATTGACTCAAAAGGGCTCGACAGGGAGCCCGGCCACGTCGACTTCGACAAAGAAGTGTCGATTTGTGGACGGTCCGATCCCTATACAGTGTTCAAAGACGCCGTATCGTCGGATCTGTTTCGACAAAAGGCATGAAAGGTGCCGGATTGTGCGGTCGGGCGATTATGCTCGAGTACTCGGAGGTGTCGGGGATTTTTACGATCGCCTTCGATTAGAAATAATTAGAAATAATTTTATGCGTTTTTGCCACCTGATTGGTAATTACCGAGCGGCGTAAATCAAACCGAACGAACCATATCTGTAAGGAATACACCGGCGATTTGAATAAATGGATTAATAATTCGATGCAGATTAACTCCATTAATTTCTGTTTGTGTCACTTTATAGTCGCGTAATTGATGCGAATGCCGCGCTTGTAAATAGTGGAAATAATAAATTACGCCGGCCTAACGAACTAATAGCGGTTTGATGAATGCGATATTTTTCCGAAATTTCTGTAATTTACCGACACTGTTGCAGGATGATGCATTAGTCCTTTATTCCAGCGCCCTCGCATACAGATATCGAAAAACTCACGAAACAAAACGATGCTTTGTAAATCGTAAATACAACTGTAACAAATGCGCTCTCTTTCTCCGTTGACAGACATTCTGGGTGGTCCAACATTAACCTTAACCCTTTCTCCATCATTTCCAAAACGAACCAATCCCAGAAGAATCACAGAATCACAACAGTTGTCAATTTGACAATAAATACAACCCGTTTCTAATAAACCTACAACTCTCTTTTGGTATTATACTAATAACTATTACCATACAATTAGACATGCTTAGCTGGAAGTTAACTATCGCAATAAATAATATTTATGCGGATAAAAATGGCGCACTTTTGCAACAATTTAACCGGGCATTGTTGGATTATTGTAAATAAATTTGAGGCGTGGGTAGGTTGTGCGCGCCGGAAAATTGGGTCGTATTTTTAAATCGATTATTTATGATCTTATCAATAGCGAATCGAAAAAAAATCGTCCGACATGAATCGTTCGCGTATTATGCTTGTATTGTCTGGAACAACCACGCATCGAATTGCGATTTTATATATTCATTTATTATTTATTACCCGTAATTAAATGTGCGCTTGTATTGTTTTTTCGCGATAAATCGGCATGAGGAAATCGGGCGAATTTTAATCGAAAGCATAACTAATTTATCATAAATTTTTCACCCTCTTTTACTACTCGAAATTGATCCAAATGGAAATCTCCGTATCGACTCTTCGCCAGCGCGGAATCGATTACCTTTGGAGCCTTTTTAATGCGCTCTCCGATCCGTCGTAAAAAGAATTCAACTTATATATCTATTCGAGAACTAAATAGGTACTAAATTTTATTAATGCTTAGATATGCTAATGGATCCAGCGCCGGATTCGCCCGAATTTTAACCTCTTCGGTCCCAAACTAAATTCATTTACACTCAAACGAAAATCCGTCTCTGCGGGAAACAAATGGAAACATTTCTTCGAGATTATAATAAGCAATTACACAGATCGGTATGCAGAGATGTATTTTTTATATAAAAATAAAGTAATGGCATTCTTACCGGTACATATGCTTATAAACTATAGACATTAAAGTGCCCCAAAACTCGTGTTATGTGAATATAATTTTAGATTAAAAGCGAGCACATTTGAATAAGTTATTCAAATCGCCGAAACCCTTTTAATTGTGACCAATGAATTGTGAACAACTCCAAAATATTATACCATACCTACACAGCAGGATATAGGAGGTGTTCACCTAAATGTCATGATAATAAATTCCAACCAGGAAAATACTTTATACTTCGTATAGCTAACCTTTATTGAGTATTTTTATCGCAATTAATTAATAAGTATAGTAAGTTTTTTTAACTGATTGGTTAGTAGATCATGTTCTAACGGTTAACTTATAATCGTTTGTCAACGTAATGATTAAAATTACAACGCATTGTGGAAGAGATGTGGAAGTAATTTACATAGTTATGTTACAACTTTACCACGAATATTAATCTTTAAATCTCATAAAGGAGTGTATTAATGTTAATCTGACCAAAAAAGATTAGACTTAATTATGTCGGTTAAACGATCAGATCGAATAAGGAGATTCTTATCCGACGATATAATAATAATTGGACGGGGAAAATGAGTCGAATTAAAATATATAAGGTAATTAAGGACGTCGTTAAATTTTTAAGTAATTCGTTGGGGTTTTTTTATTGGGTCGCAATTTAACGGGTGGGGACGTTAAGATGCGTTGATGTGTACATTCCCCGCGGTAACCAATAAATCGAATACTTGAAGATATATCCGTAAAGGCTCGATCACAATGCTCGATTTTTATTTTTAAGGGAATAAATATCGCCGTCATGTCGCATGAGAACCAGTTGTCGGGGCCCGAGCTGACTTTTTTGTTGGAGTTTCTTTGACATCCTCGAATATATATTCATTTTACGAAATGTATCGAGAGAAATGCTTCTATGGCCGTTGGCACGACATCCGCACGAAGAAAAAAACCGCGAAAGAATACGAATGAAGAAATCTGAAATCATTATAGGTGCTCGCAATTTATATGCCGAGTTCGATTTATTGAAACATTTTTCTCCATCGGCAGAATTTCCAACGCTATACGTTCGCAAACGAACTCGTTCTATAGATGCTCGTTTTTAATACGCTAAAGAATATACCTACTACATTCTTTCATATAAAACCATTTACACTCAAATATTATTAATAAAAGTAATCCTAATAAAAGCTGGTTAGGACGTGATATTATGATATTAAACTGTTGGGGAAGACATTTCGAACGGCTCGGAGTGCCAATGAAAATAAATGCAAACGACCTGCGGGGTGTACAATTAGCCTGGCATTTTAATGAACTTTTCAGGTATAAGAAAAAACGAGCCAGTTTTAGAAAATTGAATGCGCCTCCGGGCCGGCTATAAATCATAAAACGACGATGTCGAACAATGCGCTAAAGAAGCCATCTAGGCCGTTTTTACGGACGAAAATCGCGTCTCATTTGCGCTAAGGCTGCAAAAAGGTTCTCGCTTCTATTATATTATGATATGCAGTCGCGGGTGGTACTAATTTTTTTCGGAATTCGACGCGTTCCATCCTCTAACCTGTTTATTATAAATAACCGCAAAGGTCGCCAGTCGTGACCTTACTATTTACCGAAAATCATTGAATTTATATTACCTGTATGTTTCATTATTGCAGTTTTAGACGGGTAAAGATAAAGATGATTTAGCTCAAGTTAATAATAAATTTTCCAGCCTGTGATGCTTCACCCTTCGAAGGTACCCGCTTCTAATGTTAGTCTGTATAGGTACCTAATTTGGGGCGTATTTCTCGAATTGGCTCTCTACCTCGATATATCTGTCAAATAGGTTTGTCCTTTTTATGTTCTATTTCCTATCGAATCGATAAAGGTATCGATACAAGTAAGTGCTTAATGAGGTTTAACACCCTCGAGGAACATAAATTTGGGGTAAATGATGGTCGGGCACCAGCGAAAGACAATCGGCGTTTAAAAAAAAGTCGATTGTAAAATAATTAGAGAGGTATAAACAGCTTTGAAGCTTAAAATTTGAACAGGGATTTTGTATATAGTTTCTGTTCTGATGCATCGTTAAAGTCTCTTTGGGAACATTCGTATAGAACTTTACTGGCGGTAAAAATGTTTGGTGTGGTGGTTTGTAAATTGTGATATTAACAATATTTTGGAATTAAGTCGTAAAAGCGACCGGTGCTTTCACCCGGGGACGAAAAATGAATTTTTCCGGAATTTATTTCCATACGCCCGAGCGCGTCTAATTGGCCTGCCAAAGTGGCGATAATTTTTTAAGATTAAAAGCCGCATAAATTTTACGGTTTTCTACCAGATTTGGGTAGTTGATGATTATATTTGACTCTAACCGGACGTTTATGATTTCGTTATTATTTTTAATGCGGCAATAATAAGCCCGGAGTTATTATTTTTCGGCTGTATTTTGACACTTCGAATTTGCATATTTCGAAAAGGAATGCGAAATTAATATTTTTTTTACGTTCATTTTTCTTTTTTCGCCAACATTCATTTTAATAACCACCGACGGACAAGTACCCGATAATTACTCCAAAGATAAAACCAGTTACGATTTATCAATTAACAAACTAAGCCTTCGAGCGAAAAGAAAGTACCTACCTAAGTATATAGGTAGTGCCTATTTTCTACTGTTGTATACGAATGTCGCTGCTGATTTCAGAAAAACCGTTGAAATGTTAATTCGTATTTAATGGAATTTAATTTCTGTCGTATATCAAACGGGTGTTGCAAGATTGATTGGGAGTTGTATATCCACTTAAGCATCTTTTAAAAAACTTGTTCAAACTGTTTACAGCAAACGTATAGGTATAGGTAACTACATATTTGCAAAAAATAACAATTATTATTTTTAACATCTAAATATTATAGATCAAAAATTTGGATAAAAGATTAACTGCAAGTAACTACCTCACTACCTTATTCTCATTTTATTTCATTTATTGACATACATTTCTATCTTTTTCTCCGGGTGAACATATTTTGGAATTTTAGCTTTTTATTTTAGGGCAATTATCTGAGCTCGGTGGCAAAGTCACACCTCCGCCTGGTACTCGCTCGTGGGTCGTCCGTGTATCTAAGAGCGTTACTATCGAAGATAAGACTATTAAGAATATTTACGATATCGTTAAAAGCACTACCTGTTTAAAAGCTATAAGTAGAGTTGTTGCGCTTTTTCAACCGTCAGTTTCACCTAATTTTCTTCTTGTTATACCTAAGAGTACTCGGAGTATTGAGTGACTTCTCGAGAAATATCCATCGATATCGCATTATTAAAATAAACTGGCTCATTAATGATGGAATCTCATCGGTAGCTTTACACGGAATTCCTGGGTGAATTTCGAAAATAACCAAATTCCTGAAGTTACCCAAAATTTTCTAAAATCACTGAATTTATGGTATCATTTTTTATTTATTACAGCGGGTAATGCAGTAAATTCCTCGACTAGTTTTATCGAATAAGAATTATCGAAAGTTTTTTATAACGATTTTATGACTTTACGAAGTTGTAAATTTAATTAGATAGGTATCTATCGATTTCGTTGGTGTAGGTTTATTTTTAATTAATTACGAAAGTATGCAAATTCGTTTTTAATTAATATTAAAATCATCCGATCGGTCGGTGTCGCAACTGGTCAAATATCGTAAATCATAAATGGCTAATTTAATTGTTCGATTTTGATTGATCGATTCTTTTTCTCCTAAATACTGTGTGAATTTTCTATACAAAATTCGATTTTCCCACGGACTTTTTTCTCCATCTCTTAAAACTGTTTCAAAATATTCGCTCAATTCGACCGTGAAATCGTAAAATATTTACATAAAGTGAACTTAACGTCTCAATATCAATATCGAAATCTCGACCGGGCATTCAAGAAGTATTCATCGGATTAATACTCGACTTAAATCTTTTTAGGTACACAAATAGATTAAAGTGTTTATTTTACGAGTAGAAGTGTCGGCGATGCCGATAAGTACCGTTTCGATTATTTATAGTATTGATTTATGTTTTAATGGTTAGTTATCGAAAGTTTATGTTCTTATTAAATCCATTTATTTCGATCTCAAAAAAAAAACGTAGATTAGATAGATATACATTTTATGCAATAGTGTAATTTGCGATAAATTCGAACAAATATCTAATCCACTTGACAAGTATAATTTGACTTTAATGATAGTATTAAAGTAATGACTCGCTTGTTCCTATAATTGCAAAGAATATTTTCTCAATACCTTTATATCAATTCTATCAATAAATCTAATCATCATACTTACTAACTAAAAAAATAACCTTTTCTATACCAATGGGAAAATATATTTTTTTAATAAATGAATGGTTAATAAACTTTGTAGAAGAGAGAAAGTGAACGGGCTATTTGATCAAGAGTAATGATTTCCTTCTGGCTACAAAGTAACAAATACTTGTATCGTTAAATAGACAGTCATATGCAACTGTGGAACTGCTTTGTTGCAAGCGAATGTTAAATCAGGGTGAGGCACTTGAAGAAAGAAACGATATCATAAAATAAAGTTAAATAGTTAAGGAGTCAAATTATTCCTCAACAATTTCGATTCATCTTTGAGCAACACTTAACAGATTGTGGTTTAAAACAAACTTTACATAAAACTTATCCTTGTTAATAATTATAGATACATCTAATTTCAACAAACCTTCTGCCTAATAAATAAATACAGCAACCTATTTTATGTGATTCCTTCTGAGAAAAACCGATACCTCCAACGATTCATAATTATATTGATTAAAAAGTCGTTCCACTAAAAAACACAGACAGACGCACATTTATCAATCTTGATGAATGGAACAAAAAGCTCGCGTGTCGAAAAAATAGGTTGCGATCGTTTTCGAAACCTTGAAAAAAAAAATAAATTTTTTTTTAAACCTTTTATCGTTCGACGAGTTATTTTAATGGAGCATCACGAAATCCAATTAAAATATGCCTACCGATTGTTTTGTTCTAAATTCCTCGACATGTGGGTAGGACTCTTCTTAACATTCGTAAGGATATTTTGGATAATTCCCCATTTTTTTTCCTTTAAATTTGATTTGCGTCGCATGTCCTTAGCATCTGTATCTTTGAATGTACTTGCATCATTTTAATTGGAATAGTTAACACGTGCAGGACACACAAAGGACATGTCAATCTTTTTATTCAAATTAAAATCAACAATGTGAATAATAAAGTTCCGCATTTCAACGGCAGCGTTTTAAAAACCTAACGATTATTGAATAAATGACAGGAAAATCGTTTTGTTTGTTCGATTGTAGGTATTATTAATAATGAAAATCATTTTTAAGTCAGCTATAAATCAATAATAATCAACGGACATTGCAGGTGGGCGAGGTTATTTTCTAATTATTTATTGTAAAAGGATAATTACGAACAGTTTCCTACGACTTCGGCGTATTAAACGAATTTGAATTAATTCGAATTTAATAAATTTTCCCAGCAAAAGTTGCAATATTTAAATCAATAGAAAATTTTCGCGATTACATTTACGCCGTGCATGAGGCCAGTAAATCCAAGAAATTGGGATAGTTATCAATCTGTTTACAATATTGTCTAAATATTTACCTTTTACTTGATGTAATATTGAACAAACAATGAGATCGTTAAATATGTACACAATATTAAAGAGGCTTTAAAACAATTTATTTTTTATGAGTGGATGCGTCGGAAAATTTTCAAATTGAAGAAGAGTACACGTTCGGCTCGCGCCCTTGACCTTTTCGTACAAACGAAACTCGGAATTTCAATGTGGATGTTTTTTATTAGCGCAAATCCTCGACTGGCAGGCGTCGCACCACGTCAATTTGTCCTGCAACTCCCTGATCCTCGCATCGATCATCTCCAATTGGTCCAATTCGCAGCACAGGATGCACACCGCGTCCTCGAAGCTGCTCTGCAAGTTCACGTCCTTCACGCAATAGTTCAGCTCGAACAAGAAAATCGATTTTTCGATGTTCACCAAAGTCGCGTTGATCTCTTCGACGGCTTTGTACACTCCGCTCCTGATCGGATCTAGAGGTGCATCTCTGCAGGGACACGGGCACTTCTCAAACTCCCTGATCTTACTCTCGACGTCGAACAGCAAGTTGAAAATGTACTGGAGATTCGCATCGATGTGGTCCTGCAGGCAGCGCAGCTTGCCCAGCTTCACGTACATGGGAGCCAATTTTTCGTTGTACTGGCAGCACTTCAGGAATAGTTTCTTCGTTTCTGCTGTTTGGAGTTGGAAGACTTTCGCGCATTCGTCGGTATCGATGCTCCAATGCGATACTAGCGTTTCCAATTGGGCGAAGGTGAGCTTTCCTTCGGGGAGTTTACGGAAATTTGGATTCATTTCGTCGGGTGACGGGTTTATTTTGACATGTTCCAGTTTGTTTTATTGATTCTAGATGGAAAGATGGAGAATTTAGGGCTGAAATCGGTGCTATTGTAATAGTTATAAGCTTATAAGTATTGAAGGGACAATGTCATTAGTAAATGTGAAGAACTTGTGGAAGAATTTTTTAACAAGTAATAGAAAGCAGAGTAAAAAATATAAGAAGGTAATATAGGGATTTTTATTTAAAAATTCTATTATTTTATGCAGAAAAGTCGGTATAAAATTAATAACTGCATGATGACATATTTATTATAGTATTAACTCTGTCTATTTTATACGAATTCGAATCCTTGCAAGGACTCATCTTGGAAGCATTTTTATGGCATGATTAGTCCTCATTTTATTCGGTATTTTATTAGTTATATTCATAATTTTATTTTAAGGAAATCATAAATCTGTTTGATTTAACCACAAACTGTTGAGCATAGTTTTACTGAAGTTTTATTAAAAGAATGTTAAGTATTTAATAATCATATTACAAATCTTTTAAAACGTCTTGAACTGTAAAAAAACTAAATAATTTTCCAAGTAAACGGTGTTTGAAATAAAAGTTTTACCTGAACGTCCAGAGAGAAAAAATCCACACCAAAAGTGCCGTATTCCGGCTAAGGTACATGCTGATTTCTCAGCCAAAATCGTTTATTGTATTCACAAAACATCACTAAAAACGCGCCGATGAGCCTCCAGCGAACGATGAAACGGATTTTCCACTCAAGTCATTTCCCGTGAAAACCGAAACTCTTACCCTACGCGCTTCGTCAACCTGCGATATTCGACTGAAGACGTCGAGAAAGGCGCTCGAAATCCGCTCAAAACGCCATAAACCATTGTTTGAGGTGTCATTAACTCTTCTATCAACATTCTCCTACAACGCGACGGCTTTTTCCCTTCGTTTTCGAAAACGAAAAGCCTCGTTTTGTATTTCGCGCTGCGAACACGGCGCTCTCAGCGGTCGCCCGGATCGCTGATGGACCGATACTTGGTCAATGATGCTGCGTGTTTTGGTGTCAGTCTCACCTGCTTACCGTACCTTTGGATCTGGGCCAATCAACACTCGAGCAGCCCCTCCTCTCCCCCTAATATATGTCGCTGATAATTGTTACAACTCGGACTTATCCATTGCGATAACGGCAGTCGATCGAGCCGGGCGATGAGGGAGCCGGGACTCTTCCGACTGCTTTTTTTTTTATCGCCCGGCGTTCGGATCGTGTCGATGGGCGATAAATCGCCATTGTCTATCTGATTTTGACGCGAGTTATGTAAACTCGCGCTCACGTGAGCGCCTATCTGATCCTGGAAATGCCTTGGTATACATACAGTCCATCAGCGGATAATGTTTTTTGTTTTTTAGTGTCATTATTATCTATAATTTCGTCATTTTGTGGGCAAACAATTCGGTTATTAGGGATGAGTTGCTTGAACCTTTCATTCAAAACAATATAAATTTACATATGAATGTTCTTTTGAAGCTACAATAGATGCACAAGTGGTATTAGCGTTGTTTATATAAAAGATTCATGGTGATTATACGCCAATCTTCGCGGCGAAATGAAGTACTACAGCTTGTATGATTTATAACCTGGTAATAAATTACGCACAATTTATACATCTATTTTGTAATTACAGTGATATTTTACAGAAAAATGAGCAAAACGTTGCGATTCTTTCCCATTAAGTTGATAGATCTATTCAATAATGAGGTTCGATAACAAGGTTTTATGTTATGCTACTTTGTATTGAAAACTCGTAATCCTGCGCGTATTTATGGCCACAATTTTAATAAAAGACCACGAGAAAACACTTAAATGACTACTTAACCGATGGTCATGTTAATAATATTGATGGCACTAAATGATTAATTTCTATGGATATAATAAATTTATTATTTAGCATCTATTATATTCAATTTATTTTCGTAATTAGATTTTTAAACATAAAAAAATCTACATAATGGAAAATGGATTAATTTTGGGCAATGTTGCACTAAAGCCAATATACCCGACAGTTTACTTACCTAGACCTAATTCGAGCTTAATGCAAGTTCACAAACTAATTTCGTGATAAAGGAGTGCTACGTGGATTTTCTTAAGCGATTGTTTATCGAGCAAATATTTGATTGCATTGTTCGGTTGATAAACAAAGTGAATCGAATATTATGCAAGTTATCACTTTTTAACAATGTTGTAGGTAAGAAGGTGATAAATACCTAAATTTGTTAGCTATCGTGAATTAATTAGATGAAACTTTTTATTGTGTAAATCACAAGCAAAGTGCGTAATGGAAAAATATTGTAGGTAAGACCAGAAGGACACGATGTGAATTGGATCGGTTATAATAATAAAAAAAAATAATGAACGAGTGTACTTCCTATGGTCACAAAACAGCGGAACCACAGCCCATTTCCCTTCAGTCCGCCGAATTCCTTTTATCACTGAATAATAGTAATAGACATTCATTGATATTAATTCGCCCGGTACAGACAAATTAATTGATACATATCAAATTTTAACCTTGATGAATGCGAACGCTCTAATTGCACATTTTGTATACCCAAGTTTCTAAAAACTCCTGCTCTGCCATATATCTATAAGCGCGTTGAATGAAATGCACTGTCATAAAAACCGTAATATTTACACAAGCTATCACGAATACCTATTTGAAAATTGTATGTGCACTCGAGATTAAATCCATAAAAATCTTCCAGCAAGAAAAAGTAACTCTCTATTTAGCCAACCGACTCTGTTAATAACTTTTTTTCACTCCGACGTTGATTAGTCTTCGTTTTTACCAGGAATTTTAACGATTACTGTACGCACGAGTATTAAATTTAATTTAATTTTCACCGTCGAAACGACGTGCAAATTTTTTTTATCTTCCTCCAATTCATATAAATTAACAATGCAATGTACGTTGGTATCGATGCACTTTCGTGCTTTATCGTTTTAAATTCACTTATTTATTTATTTTGTTTAGACTAAATCGAATAAAGTGTTTCAAAATTACGATACATCTTCTCACGATTTAATTACAGGGTGTACTAAATGTTAGATAAATATTTATGTGTATGATTTATATTTAAAACCACCTCGGTTTCGATCAAATGATTTATCGAACATTTACATTTCTAATATACAAACTAGCAGGTGATAAATATCCAGGCGATTATTATCTCGAGATAGATAATTATTCGCTATTGCAAATAATATAAATTACAGTTGAATCCGCGATTTTCTAATTCGAAACGACTGAATGCATGTGTATATTTCATTCATTACGAATATACGGCGAGTCGTACTTATTGTAAATGATCATGATCGTCTCGGAGGAATTACCGTAAAATAAATTGCACGTGTTGTTTTCTTATTAGATTTACCCGAGCGGATGGATAAAAACTAATTGTCAATTAAAAGAACAATAAGTTAACGTCGAAGTGGAAAAACTAATGCATTTATAATTTTCTCAAACGAATGATGCAGGTGTCGTGGGTGTGTATTGATATCCTTATGAGGGTTTAGGTGTGTTTAACGGATATTTATAATAATTATGGATTTGTAGGTATATTCAAATTAATCACGAATGCATAATATTATTAGGAAAATATCATTATTTCTAGATAGTTTATTGCGGAAACAAGTAGGTAGGTACCGCACAGAAAAGGTATTATTTCTACGTCGTTTTTAGATACTCACCTCAACAACAATCTCATTTGCACCATTATCTCAACTGTTACACTTCGCACTCGTTACAAAAACCATTCGAGTTCCCTTACGACCGTCTTTTGGAGCGATTTTTTCCCATTTTCGACAATTTCCCGGCGCGATAAAACCCATAAAAGCCACTAATAAAAAACAGGTGCATCGCTTCTTCGCTACCGGCCGAAATTACACCTGATACTACCGTTTGATAATACCAAAACCAGGATGTTGCATAAGAGTAAAGTACGCAAGCTTATCAACCCCTTCTTTTAGAGGTATGCAGTGGCGTTTCGCCTGATTTCCGGAATATAAACTACACGTTATCGTTTTACTCAAAATTAACACACTTATAATCGGTTTAAAACTCGAACTTCTTAGAGGAGATTATAAGAATACCAAATTCAAGAGTTTCACGAGAGGTTCATAATAGATGGTATATGAAGGTAATTGGCGCAGTCAGTAGGATAAATTATTATAAAACCAAATCGTTATGTAAGTCGTTGCGCTACTGGGTTTTTGATCCGAATGTTGTCTTGCATTATCTCCATTAATCTTTCGTTAAACAAAGTAAATGGCGTTTTAATATCGGCGGAGTTTAGGAACAGCGCTCATTAGTCGCCGTTGATGGTCGCTTCCCGGTTTTTGCTCCGCGTATATGTAACGCGATCCGCATTACGGGCAGATACGATTCCGGGTTTTGAGTTTCATTTTCGCGTTTGTTCATCGATTACTCGTTAGCGTTAATTTTCGAATATTTTCGGCGAATAATAACGCGCCAGTTTAGAGGCGAGGTAATGGTAAAAACGGCTTCTCGGGTTGCACGCCGTGCGGAAAACCAAAAAGTCGGAGAAGTTTGATTCTACGCGGTACAATAGAATCGGATTACATTACGGGAATGTATTGTTAACAGTTATTTTTAAAGATCTCGGATGACGAATGGTCATTCATTGTATAAACTTGCTAATTTGTTAGGGGGTTCCAGCGAAATTCAATACGCGGCAGATGCGATATATTCAACTGAATTTAAATAAAATATTGCAGCTATAAATGTAAATTAAAATATTTATTGTTGCTTCAAAGAATCCAAAGGGATTATTTTTAGTTGGTTTTGTCCGTCGCTGTCTAATGTGACTCCGAATTCGTTCAGAACTTGCGAAGAAACTGTTCCCTCTCGTCGCATTCCTGATATTATCCTCTGATTTTCGATATTATTGTCGCACAAGTTTCTAATAGCTAATATGCACCATTGTATAATAACTGAATAAAACATAAGGAAATAATATGAAACTCACAATGCAATATGAATAAACTGGTTAAAAGGATACAAGGATTTTTCACGTCGATATTACAACAGTCTAAAATAACTGGAATAACTTCAGATTCTCGAGCCTGAAATACAAAAAAAACCAATACATTTGATTATGAATTATGTTTAATTGAAGCACTTACTAAATTTTGCATTAATGGGTTCTTCCAACATAAGTTACCTACTAATCTGATTAAATCGACTTTCAATCCAAACACAGGATTTTCCGAGTCTTCCGGAGTACATTCAGCAAGTTTTTGAATGGGTGTGAATAAACTGCCACTACATTTTCCTAATTTGTGGAAATTAATTAACAACGCCGATGCGTTGATTATAATATTTCTATTTTCTTGTAGGATACATAGATATTTATCACTGCTCGATAGACATGACAATATTTCGAGTAGAAGAGACACTTCTCGAATTTCTTCATTTGTTGTTAAATTATTAATTTTGAAAAATATTTTAGGACTATCTAAAAAGTCTATTATTATTATTTGTACAGCAGAAGTGGGTAAATTATACTCCATATCGGATATTTGCTGTGCTCTTATCGTTTCTAAGCTAATTAGTTTCTGGGATGTCTCTAAGTTATCATATAAGTTCCAAAATTCGTCAGTACTTATGCAATTTTCGATAAAAAACTGCACGAACTCACTCTGATTACTTTCACTGTGTAATTTAAACATGATATCAATCGTATCACTTTCTAATGGAACATGTAATGATATATTATACAAAAGAGCAGAACATTCGTAAATGTGAAGTCTCTCATTAACTAAGGTTTTCAAGATGGCTGAAAATTCTTCGTGAACTTTCTCCCCAACGTTTCGATTCGATGTAATTATGTTTATTAAAAACTGCAATATGATCTTCATCAGAATATTGTTCCGATCTATAGTATCGATAACACTTTTAGTTGTTTTTAGTATAGTAGTTTCGAAACAAATAAAATTTTGCGAACGTTCATTAATCGAGGAGTTTCTAAAACACCTGTAAAGTTCTATTAAAGCATTGTTTCGATCATCTGTTAATAGTTCCGTTGAATTGCAGATTATATTTAATTTGGTTTCTAAGTATTTGAATACATCTTCTTGTACGTCTAATCTAGAATATAAATATTAGAAATATTGTAAATATTTAGTTATCTTACTACTCACTTAATAATTCCATCTGTGCATCGTTCTATTTGAAAATGGTGTAAAATATTTCCTGTTACTTGCTCTGGAATAGCTGTTTTAAGTGTAATATATTTTACGTTATTTCTTATTGCACTTTGAAAAGGGCTACTTTCTTTGTCCATATTTATATTATAAATTTGAAAACCAAGTAAATTATCCAAATATTACTAGGTTAGTTACATCTTCTCTTTTTTGTATGACTTATAATAAAACAAAAACTGCCTTTTGCTTATTAGCTTAACAGGCATTTACATAAAAAAATTTGCTAAAATTATGAACTGTATTTAAAAAGTTTATCCTACAAAGCTATACTAAATCAAATAATTACATAATATAATCAAATATAAACTATCTTTATAAATCCTTCTTATGCTTCATATCGTCTATATAAAAGGCATCATGTCAAATGACACTAACGACAGTGACATACGCTTGACATTGACTTTAATGACATTAGTTACTTGCAATTTTTCGTTATTTGTAGCAAAACTTTAAATACATAAAATTAAATCAATTGAAATTATTTAATATCTCAGTGCGTTAATTTTAATTCCTCGAGGTCAGTAGAATCGATCCTCACTTAAACTAATTTACAATTCCATGGATATTTCGATATAAAATACAAAGCCGCCGTGTCACAGTTGTAACCTAAGCGCTTTTGATTTCAGGATGTTTCTAACGCGAAGCGAATACGACAGAGGTGTTAACACATTTTCGCCCGAAGGCAGATTATTTCAAGTGGAATATGCCATCGAAGCCATCAAATTGGGATCCACAGCTATCGGAATATGCACGAGCGAAGGGGTCGTGCTAGCAGTCGAAAAGCGTATTACTTCTCCTTTAATGGAGCCTACAACGATTGAAAAGATCGTAGAAGTAGACAAACACATCGGCTGTGCTGTTTCGGGGCTCATGGCAGATTCACGCACGATGATCGATAGGTAAAGTTAGGTATTTTATACCCCGTAGAATGTGTGTTTATTGTACTTTCTAATGTACAGGGCAAGAGTAGAATGCCAAAATCATTGGTTCGTTTACAATGAAAACATCACCATCGAATCGTGCGCTCAGGGAGTATCGAACCTAGCTATTCAATTCGGAGATTCCGATGATGATGGTGCTGCTATGTCGAGGCCATTCGGTGTGGCAATCTTGTTTGCTGGCATCGACGAAAAAGGGCCTCAACTTTACCACATGGATCCTTCAGGTATGCATTAATATTCCATACGAAATCGCTATTAATTTAGAAATTTTATTCCGCAGGTACATTTGTTCAGTTCGATGCGAAAGCTATAGGATCCGGTTCAGAGGGGGCGCAGCAGAGCTTGCAGGAAGTGTACCATCGCAGCATGACTCTAGAGGAGGCTACCACAGCGGCATTGACCATTCTCAAGCAGGTCATGGAGGAGAAATTGAACTCTTCCAATGTAGAAGTCATGACAATGACGCCAAAGGATATGTTCCACATGTTCACTAAGGAACAAGTGGAGGAGGTAATTACTAAATTATCTTAATTAGGGTTAAAGAATTGTAATTTAAGAGGCGCCTTTTTTTTCTTATCGAACATTTTAATAAAGACAGAAATATATGTATGGTTTTTTTGGCACTTTACCCTTAGTCCTTGTGCAATGTTGTACCGAATAAGTATACATAATAAGTAAGAATGGATATTAAATTTGGATTAGAAGCTTATAAGATTTATGTATGAAAAAATTGATAAAATGAAATCAAATATACGATTTCGTTTCAAGATTTTAAAGTAATACTGCTATTTAGGTATAGATGGCACCACTTGTTCGTTTTTCCCGCAGAACATACAAAATGAAATTTTTCTTCAACGTAATTTCTTATGCAATGTAGAAATTATTGTTGAATTAACAGAAATATGCGCAAACATGGAAAATATATAATTGTTACTCACATAATATTAAAACACAGTTTATATATCTTTATAATAAATGAGCTACTCAATTAAAACCCATATTTAAGTAAATTCAAAATCCAATTAACCATCGATATTATTTTCAAAACTGGTCTGTTTGACATAAAAATCCTTTTAACCGCAATTACCTATCTTATCAGCGATAATTATCATTAAAAATCGAATGTAGGTAGGCAAATTTAAAAAAAATATATATTCAAAAAATGCGCGAATGCAACTCAAAAAAATAATTAATTATACCATCATCCGGAGGTGTTGTTTTGATATTTCATTATATTAAATCTTCAACGTGTTTATTGTTATTCAGGGCCCTTGTCGAAATAATACCCACACAAACCATCTGTTTCCTGCTTCTGTTTCACCTCGAGACCCACATATATATAAATAAATGTAAAAAAGGAAGACCTCCAATTATCACTCGAAGACAAAAACAGCTCGCATCGGCTTATGAATCCATTTAATCGCGCTTAAATCATTACGGCCTGCTTAAAGGTTTCAATGAATGGTCGTCTCATTACCTGTACTTGATGGTTTTTAGTCGTTCGAGCAAATGTGCATTTTATTTATTGCGATTCCCATTAAAATATGGGGGAAAGTTGGTTATTTTACTACAAAATTCCCATTTTTTTGGACTATTTGTTCAGAAACCTTTACAGTGTGTTAAAAATTTCGTTTATGTACAATTAAAGAATGCCTTATTGAAATATGTTAATCACAGTACTAATAATAATTTTGTAGTTCATATTTGCAATATAAACATAGATATGTAGGTAGTTTTATTAATTTTCTTTATATTTCACGTTATTCGCTTCGTTTATGTCGCAAACGTTTAGCATACCCGGTTCTCCCCTATTACCTCGCGGATAAAAGAAAATATGAAGTAATTAAATGCAATTCGCCCTCATGCGTTTGAAATTTAATCGGCTTCTTTAACCTATTTTTAAAATAGCCAGACGTCTTGACCTTGTCGTTTCTCCGTTTTTTGCAATATTTGTCTGCCTCGACCACGCAATACCCCAACATGCGCACGCTTCGTTAATTAGTCGGAAAACCTGGACAATTGTAGACAATTAGTACCCTCAATTAACCGTATTGGATTTTTACAGGCGCTAAAAACCATGGAACGAATAGAACCTGAACACCAAAGGAGCAGTTTGGACGGTAGCCTTAGGAGAGTTCCCTTGAAATAAATCGATTTACTTGTTACTTTTCCAGTTAAATAAATCTTATTCAACGTTTAGTAAGTTTGTTTATACACACAACCGCCCCTCGTCAAAAACTCCCAGGCACATTAACACACAGTTAACACGACAAATCCTCCCGGCGTTAAACCTAGCGTAATAACCCTCCCTTCGAGCACGTGTAAACGCGCTGTAAACGAAGAAGAAAAAAACCCCATCTCTAATCTGAAATCAATCCGGGGGAAATATCCTTTTAGGACAAAAGTCACCGCAAATGCGGCGCGCTGATAGGACGGCTCCGGCTCTCTCGAGTGTACAAACGTTGACAAGAGGATGACAAGCGAAAGAGAGTCGAAAGGGTCGCGTGCTAGGGATTGACCTGTTGACGACGGACCGAAAAATGGAAGCGCTATCTTCGACGGGCAGCGAAGCCCCACCATGGGAATTCTCCAGGAGATATCTCATTCGGCCCCAGACCTACCACTCTCCTATTCTTACAACCGGAATTGAAATTTCTCGATATAAGATGGACTTAAGTTCATCCGAACGCTGCTTTTCAACCTTAATCAATCGCTTAAAGAGTATCTTTAATGTAACCAGAATGTTTAAACGATTGCTTTTTAAAAGAAGTTTCATTTTGATCCGCTTCAATCATATACTGGAGAAACCTAAATTTGTAGTACATAAAATAAGCATTTTTCGTTAAATAAGTAAAAGGTTTCGAATGACCGCTCCTAGTTTTGCAAATTTCCTTAAGTAGGTCGACAAACAATGCTCCCATTACTGGTAATAAATATGATAATAGATCCTGTGGTGTAACAACGCGGCGTTTCGTTCTAATACCTCGTTACATTAACGATCCTTTCATGCGCTAATTTAATTTTTTTTAAATTCGTACATTGGGGTCACGAAATGCCTCTCTAATAACTGCATCTCAATGTCGATCCGATCGAATCGAAATCCGGATTTACAGGGGAATTATTAATTGGATATTTAGCTCGTTTGATTACTAATTGACTCGAAGTTATAGAAGTAATGAAGTTGTTACGGGTGTCGAATAAATTTTAATTACGAAACCAATTTATGTGCATATGAGGGAGGATATTAATCCTGCATTAAAAACTCGCGTGGTGTCAGTGGGATCCTGAGTATCACCCTCATCATAATTCGTTGAATGGCGCATCGATCACCTGTGGGTTTTTTTGCGGAGTTTGTTAATTTACCAGTATGATGGGCGCCAATTACGATTTATCGAAGTGCTAATCGTGTCCTCTCATTTCAGTCGATTGCATGGACAAACGCGCTACTTAACTACACGCTGGACGTATATTAGAGCGCGATTACTTATGTTAAAAGCTCGTCGCGATGATTATTGAATTAATAAACCTGATTCCTCGACTTTTATTCGATCGAAGTTAAAGCCTAAGTACAGGTAATCTTGAAGAGGCAATGATCGTTTATTTAACCGAAGTAAACGCTTAACCCAGATGTTGCAAACTTATCATAATATATGTGCATGCAGGAAGAATTACACGACTTTCGCTCCTTTTAGTCTCCCGTTCGTACGCTGAGGTATTTATTAAAATGACAAATGGAAATATTTTACTCGGACACGATTCTCGCCACCTTTTATCGATAAATTAATTTAATCGGTAATAAATTGGGGAATTTAGCGCTTACATTAAGAGTAACATGTTCATTTTATTATTCAGTTGGTAATTGAGCTCATCAAATGAACCGCTCGCTTACAAAGAAATTGTACATCCACCGTACTTACCAGATACAACGCCCGTCGATTTTTGCTCGATTTATATTTAATTGATAGAACGAAAATTGGAAATGTATCATCGGAATTTTATAGGGGAATTCACAGTCGAATTGCTCCGTTGAAATGTGGAAGCCGCGACAAAAGCGCATATAACGATACCGATAAACGGTCTGACGGGTAGGCGATTTAAAAATAAACGCTGGCGCTTTCCAATTAACGCTCAAAAATGGAAAATCCTCCTAAACCATGCACCATTTCACTGAAACCAGAATGAAACTGTCACATCGAACAGTCGCCCAAGCGGAGGGATCGAAACGGAACGTCGCGACCGATCCGCATTTATTCGTTTGGACCGTTGTCGGGAATAAATTTCAATTTACGCGATGCGACGATAAGAATTGGGCGCCATCCCGGTGGCTTTTTATTCTTCGGCAGTGCCAATTATTCCGTTAGAGCCTCGGATGTTCATATTGATTTTTTATTATATTCTCAACCAACTTTGTATCTCCACAAATTATTATATTTACTACACAAACGTCTACTAAAATTATTCGATTTTCAAGTTGAGATACACGCTGTACATAAATTAAAAGATAAGAAACGCGAGGTGATCTGCTTAGAATTTTTATGAAATTTCTCGTGTAGCAAAAAATAACCTACATACCCACATACAATTTATTTAACGATTAACAATTCATTTCTTTTAAATCGACTATTAAAATTAGACACATCAAGTCTAAAACGATAATCCCATTGACAAATTGAACCTTGTTAGAGACATGTAACGTTTGCTTTTTTATGAATAAATTCGCGACAATTTTCGATTTCTTTTTGTTCTCGTACCCTTATAAAAGCGAGCATAATTTATCGCTCGACATTTTTCTAATTGACTATCACCACGAAACGTCCATCTGAAACTATCAATAATTACATGTCAGTTTCCTCGTACTTACCCGAGCCCTAAGGTATTCGTAATTCATAATGCGGGCCCTGGTCTTGTACTACGCTTAATAACGAAGATTTTTTTACCGTTTTTAATACGTTTAATATCTGATAATGTTTGCATTTGGTAATTGTTGTTCTATAATTAATTATTGTTGATATTTACTAAAACGGTTCATTATATTACCTGTACACCAATTTACATCTATTACATAGTTTGTATCAACAAAGTTATGCTACTACAATATGCAAAAAGTATAATAATGTAATAACTAGAACAGTTAGTTTATTACTTTTGTTTAAAGAGGGAGTAATTTAATTGCATTTGTCAAGAGTATGGAATATAATAGTGTGTTTAACTAGCCTTCTGGATAGTTAAAAATTTCGTGTAAAGCGTTAATAAAAATCGAGTAAATCATCCCCCGAGGTACATCCAATTTCCTCATCCCCTATTGTCAACGTGGACGTTGTGTACAAAAAACAATTTCGAAAAATACCTACAACAGAACAGAATGCGACCCGACGCGATGGCAATTACTCGCCGCATCTGCTTTGCATAATTTGTAAATGTACTTATAGGAGCCCGAAACGGCTCTTTCGCTTCGAACGCGGGCCCGATTTCGACCGAAAATTAAATTAATAAGGGATATATTCATTAGAGATACGAATCTGGAGGGTCGCAAACTAATGTTTAACCCACGTTGGGGCTCGCCTCTAATTTTAAAGCGGGCCCGATTTTTAATAACGGCTCAAGCATTGATGACATGTAGGAAGGATTGATAATTTTTTCACTATTATTTTTATTAGTAAATAATATGGGTTGTCTTTAAGAATAATGTTGATACCTCTACTCTTTGGTGCTAATTTTGGAACATAAGAAACGGTTTACGTAATACACTATGATCTACTTTTTCTAAGTGGAAGTAACTTTTAATTTTTTTTATCCTTGTATTATTAGATACTCTTTCTTCCTATCGTTGTAGATAGAAAGGCATTTCCTTATCCGCAAGGAATAATCGCATTCGTTCGTGTATTATTATCGTCAACAATAATTACATATTCCGCCGTATTGAAACCACACCTATTCGTTTATTTATTTAAACTACTATTTCGAAAATATACCGCAGAGTGTTTAATTCGAATTTCCTATCGAATATTCGCGTACCCACATATTAAAGCGTTAACGAGAATATTGTTAAAATCTAGTTAAGGCGACCATTTTTTCGCAAGGTGTGCTCACAAAAAAACCGCTCGCGAGGTAATCACCTTGATTAGAAAATATGGAAATTAAATTCCGTCGGGATCCTATAAAAATAAACCAAGATTTTTAATCGAAATTGTTTTAATCGAAACAACAACTATTGTCTTTTACCTCCTTTAATCCAATAATATAATCACCTCATTACACCATTATCAATAGATAAATTAGTATACATACTACAGCATTTATAATTTACAATACCTCATCGTCTAATCGATCTCTGGTAAACGAAGAGCGGTTGTTTGATGGAACCGCAGATAGGAGGCAGCACCTGGTGCCCGACCTTGTACAATTCGAGTTTCCTCTTCAGCCGTTGGTTCTCCTCGCGCAGCTCAATCACCTCCTCGGAGAGCCGTTTCCTCTTCTTCAGCACGTCCGAGTAGTAAGTGAGGCCGTAGCTGAGGCCTTTCCACACTTGATAGTAAGTGGACCGTTCGCCGTACCAATTCCTCACGTTCTCCCAGAACACCTTGATGTCTTCGTCTTTCAGCAAGCGGGAGACGGTGAGGCGTTTCTTCCTCAACCTTTCGCCTGTCGTGGGATGATTATGATAGTTTCGTACCGTTGGAAGTTGGTAACTTACCGTTGGTGGGTACGTATTCGGACGTGCCGGCGCAGTTTTCGAGGAAATCCAGCAGAGCTTTGATGACGTAAATGCTGCTGATGACGAGAGTGTGATCGAAGTGGAAGGATTGCTTATCGGCGAACGCGGCGAATTGGCTTCTCTTGATTTTGGACGATTTCCTTTGCGATACGTTGGCGTCCCTGTCGAATTTCGAGATGTCTACTAATTCAACTGATGGTTGGTAACATTCGTGAATGTCCACGTCGGATGTAACTACGTCAATCACCATGTCTTCTATGGATTCTCTGGTGTGGGTCGTTTTGTACATCGCTTCCATAAGGTGGACATATTCAAATGGCATTTCGAAATCTAAAACCATTTTTTATACATGCCACTTTTTGTATCTTAAAAATAATAAATAATACCTCCTCCAGAAGTAGCGAACGAGTACCGTTGCGATAAAATCTGCGACACGTTATCCTCGGCCATTTCCGGTTCCTTGGTACAATTCAAGCAGACAGTGTAAGGCAAAAAGAACTGAAACAACGCGGTCATATCTTCTTCCTTTCGGATATTCATCGATTGAAACACGTTCTCCAATCGCACCAAGCTGGTGTCCTGTCTGGATTGAGCCCCCGTGATCTCCTTCATCTTTTGCTCGGTGAGAAAGCCGGTCTTGTCCGACGTGATGACCAAGATTCTCTTCAGCAACGATTTGTTTATTTTCGGCGTCGCCGGTTCGTGGCTCAAATCGCCGATGGTCCGACGGATTTTGTCCTTCACGATGCCCAGCACGTTCATGGCGCTTTTGAAGCTCGGCAACGACGCCATCTCCAGCGACACGCCTTCCGCCCACTCCCACGGCAACGCCAGCTGCTGCTCGTAGAGGACCTTGTCGATGCGCGATATGTCGCGCAGCAGGTTCTTGGAATTCTTCATGCCCATGTTCCAAACCTCGTGGAACACCTTGTCGTTGCCCGTGGCGATGTTATCGGCCTTCAGCTCGATGTCCAGGATGTGCTGGTGCAGCGTCTTCAACTCGTCCTCGTATTTGTGGATGCGATCCTCCGTCGTGGTTTTGTAGGTATCGATGGTCTTCCTCAATGTGGATATGTCCTGCTGCAGCTGGGTGATCCTTCTCTTGCGATCGGCTCGTACGAATCGGTTTTCGACGAAGCGCGTCTCCAGTATCTGCAGGTTGTATTCGAATTGTTCGAAGCTCAACAGTATGGCTCCTTTTAGATTTTCCAATTCCTGTTGGCAGGTATTCGCGGCGGTGGAGAGCTCCTCTTTGATTAACCTGTAGTGCTCCTGGAACTCCTTCGAATTGTTTTCGAGGGCTTGGTTCAAGTTGTACATGAAATTTATGCGTTCGGTGGTGGCGTTGTCCAATTCTATTCTCATTTCGTTGTTTAGTTCGTTCCAATTGTCGTTTCTAAAGTTAATAAGAAAATAAGGGTATAAATTTGTAGTTGTATAAAATATGTAAATCGTACTTTTCTTGCATATAAGCATTGGTAGCATGAGTGAAAGTAGTCTGCACGATGGTGAATTGCACGTTGAATAACGTTCTCATAGAGGCGATGTAGTTTTCAACTTTTTTGAAGATGTACTGAATTTCGTCGGAGTTCTTCGCTTGAAACGAAACGTAGGCCTTCTCCGATTTGTTGATCTCCTCCTTCAGCATATTGATGGTAACATCTCTATGCGCCATCAGCGCATCGCATTCTTTCTTCAACGCGGTGATGGATTGGTGTATTTGAAGAGGATCGCCGAGCACCTGCAAATCGTCCCATTTCTGTACGATGGAATCGAAGTGGCTCTTCGCCTTGGCCGCGTCCGCCTCCAGTTTATCGATCCTCCTGTTGGCGTTGATGGTTTCCTCTTGCCTTCTGGCCACCTCGACCACGTTGTTGCGAATGTTCACGTCGAGCAGGTCCCGTTCCGCCGCTACCACGTGCTTACCGATCACATTGGCGGACTTTTCTTTTTGCAGCTCGTAAGCGGTTTTGGATTCGGCGACTTCCACGAATTCTTCGGCGTCCCTGGGTGGAAAATTCGTGAGTGTTTGTACGTTTGGTGTTGGTGAAGTTACCATTTTCCCTGTCTCCTTTGTATGCGCAACGCCCTGAAGAGTTTCCTCTGCTCCGGATCGTCCGAATTCAGATTAGGGCCTTCGGTTTTTTGCGGTTCATCGTCCGATGTATCCGACGGCTCGAGCGACAGGCCCATAGATAAAGCGAAAGACATACTTAAATCTTATTAAATATGCTTTGTTAATTCAATAGTTAAAGTTAATATGCATTTAACGCTATAAAATTGTATACGGTACAAACATAAATCTATGACATTTCAATTAAAAACTCGTTATAAGTGTCACAAATAGTTTTTATCACTAGTACTTGTTTGAAACTTTTTAGTTCAAAACTTGCTGATGATAGAAGATGTTCTTACTGATGAAGGTAAGGGAGTAATTGTGGAAGAATATCAGAGACGACCCGTATATGTATATAAATATATTTAATCAAACTATATCCGCTTGAAGCAATCGATAAATCCCTGAACAAAGTTCGAGTTCGTTCCTCGGGAAACATCCCCGACTGTCGCGACAAGAGACGGATAAGGGCGGTTCGGGTTTAATGAGTGATTTATCCGGCACAAAGAGCGTCTCTGGAGGCCTCTATCAGGCGCGTCCAGACGCCCGGAAGCGCCCGGCACGCCTACCAATTCGGGGATATATATATTAATAGCGCCGCTCCGTCGGCGATGCGGAGACTCCGTGAACCATGAATTAGAATCGGTTTCGCCGAGGCAAAAGGGCGAAACCGACGCCAAACATGATAGTCTCAAAAAAAAACAATTATAGTACTTATGGTACTTCCTTTAACAGACTTCAAACAGTACAAGAACGTTTGTTTTGTTACTGATGTAACTTAAGTGGTATACAAACGGTGCGAACAGGAATCTCGCAAGCGTGGTACCCGCTAGTACTGCTGCGGAATTTCGTTTTCTCGGCGGCTTTTAACGCGGTAGTCGGTACATACGGTTGGCGCAATCTGGTCTGCTCTCATTATTCGAGTGAAAGTACCGACGGAGATAATGATGAGGAGTAGTTGGTACCGCTCGGCGTCGCTCGTTCGGAACTAATTGTATGCAGTGATTTAATCATTCCGAACTGACATATGGCACCCGCGGTACCGGCGCTCGGCGTCGAATTCGAGCGGGTACTCGCTCGCACGAACGTGGAAAAAAAAGTCGTATATGAGATTTCGTTTCGTAATTCGTGAAATTATTATATTATAGGTACTACTTTCTCTCGTATATCGCCTAGTAGCGACTGGACTAATTGATTTAGTTAAGGTAACAGATGGTGTAATAGAGAAAATGCAATTTGATGTAGATTCTACCAGTAATATCTCGAATTGTTTCATCAATTTTCTGCTGTAAATAGCACTTAAATTTCTTATAATTTTTGCATCATCTATTGCGACTACTTCTTCGCATTTTACGAACATTTTCGAGTATCATAAACCTTTTTGCAATATCACTGATTGTGCAATGTTTTTCAATGATTAATCAACATAAGTGTGATGATTTTGTCCGTTCGAATGTATTTCATTTATCAGGCGTTACTCAACTTAATTAATAGACGCACAAATTTTGTAATATTCGATTTTTTATTGTACTTTTCATTCGACCCAATTTTTTTGAATTGGCCATTAGGTACACGTATGTTTCACAATGAATCGAATAAATTAATTACAATAATAAATTGAAATATTTTTTCTTTACATATCAGTAGGTATTGCTAGAAATTCATTTCCTTGTTAAAAATATAAAACGCATAACTATTAGAAATCATTTATTTAATAAAAAGTAGATAAATATACTAATTAACACAGTTTCTAAGTAATAATACTGTACGCTTCCTGGTTCTGAGGAAATTAAGATGTATATGTAGATAAAATGACGAAATGGAGTATTTCTTTTTTTCATACAACAGCGCATAACAAGCATGTGGCAATCTTTTAATAACAATTTTATAGAATCCAAAAGCTATATCTTATTCACATCAATCAAAAACAACGCTACTGAAATTATTATTAAATAGGTATTACCAAAGACTAGGAAATGTTTGTTTTATAATGCACTAACCAATATCAGCGGATGATTAATTTGAATAAAATATAGCGAAATATAACACAGTAGTACTATTTAGTGGTATCCGTGTCCACCGTAATCGCCGCCCCCGTAATCGTCTCCTCCGTAGGACTCTTCGTGGTGATGAGAAACGTGAACTGGAACCGCTACTGGTACTTTAACTGGGTATGGAACCGCTTTCTCTACTGGGTAAGGTACTTCTTTGATTACTGGGTAAGGTTTATCTACGTGCACCTGAAACGATAACAATTTTACAAATTTTCGGACAAGCGTTCTGGGATAATTAACATACCTTAACTGGTACTGGGTAGGGCTTCTCAACTTCGACTGGTACTTTCCTATCAACGGTGTAAGGTTGAGGAACCGGTACTTTGATGTGTACAGGCACAGGTTTCGGTACATGAACCGGGTAAGGTTTGTCGACGGGTACTTTGACTTCGTAAGGAACTGGTTTTTCGACTGGGTAAGGTACGTGTTTTTCTACTGTAACGGGGTAGGGTTTAGGAACATGTACGGTGTAAGGCCTGTCGACTGGTACTTTAACTTCGTACGGAACCTTCTTTTCGACGGTGTAAGGTTGCGGGTAGGGCACTTCGTATTTAACCGGGTACGGTACCTTCTTGTAGACGGTGTAAGGTTGCGGAACCGGTACCTTTACGGGCACTGGAATTTTCTTTTCTACAGTGTAGGGTTGCGGTACTGGTACTTTAACTTCGTACGGTCTCGGTACGGGCACCTTCACCTCGTACGGTACCTTCTTGATAACCTCGTAGGGTTGCGGAACGACCACGGGTACGTTGATGATTTCCTTAACCGGATACGGTACTTTCTTGTAGACATTGTAGGGTTGAGGAACGGGCACCTTAACCTCGTAAGGTACTTTCTTCTCTACCGTGTAGGGCACATGCTTGATGACCTCGTAAGGTGTTGGTATTTTCTTCTCCACTACCACTGTTTTGACGGTTTCGTGGTGATGATCGTGCCCGCCGTAATCCTGACCGCCGTAATTCTGACCGCCGTAATTCAGACCGCCGAAATCGTGACCGCCGAAATCGTATCCACCGCCGTGATCGCCCAGACCTAGCAGACCACGTTTATCCTGTTTCTTGCTCTCCTGCTTTACTTCCTTTTTTTCGGACTCTGCAGCTAGAGCGTAGCAACAGCAAACGGCGATGACAATCTTGAAAAAATAAAACATATATTTTTCTATTAATCGATTTTTAAATGTGTTGTAGAGTTAAAAGTTCAATTTAGGTGTTTTTAAGAATCTACTGAAAATGTATAAAAAAATATTGAGCACATAATTGTTTTAACATCTTTATCATCACTTTTTCTTTAATCAATGAACAAAAACACGAAATAGAAACTACAAAATCACTCGAATCATCCACTGATTAAATTTAAATCTAAAACCACTGCTAAAAACTTCTCAAAAAAAAATATAAAAAAAAATTAATATTCAAAACGTTAATCCATTCGAGCAAAATCACTAAACACCACCAAAATCGAACTAAATACACTTCTAAACCGCATGTGCTTGTCTTACCAAGGCCCTCATGATGGCTCGGAGAGAATTCGGAAGGCTTTGTGTGAGCATAATTCCTAGTTGTGGTTTATATATCTCCCATGAACATACTTTCTATCAAACAGTCATTCTACCACCTCGTTCGTATATTCCACTTCACTTCCATATCCTCTTCTTATGCAACGCCGTGAGCATCCAGCGTGGCGCGCGCTTCGTACAGAGGATTGTACAGAGTGTCCTTGAATATAACAAAAATTAAACCTAAAATTGGGTTAATTAAGTGTTGATTGATTTATTTAATGTTACTTACCTTACACTGTTTTATTAACTACTTGTTTACCTTCAATTGAAAGTTCATGTTGGTTCATTGGATTTCATGAAACTTAATGGATGTAAAAAAATATGTGTGAATGATTAAATTATTTTAATTGTAGTTATTAAAATGTGGGTTGTTTTCTTTGTAGTTCTGTGAAATTGTCTGAATTTTTATTGAATTTTCTCTCCATTTTTTGACAAAGTCTATAAATGTAGTATATTTTCTTGTTATTTCTTATAATTTCGACTTGTTCTTAGTGGTACATTTTACAAATTTATTCTTTATCTATTTCTTTTAACGTTCATCACAATTATCACAATTTTTTCCCTTAATTTCTGAATTTCCTCCCACTGGTTTTGTTGGAAAGCCTGCTTAAATTTTATCGACTTTCTCTCTACTTCTATTACCTAACATTTCCCATTTTCTCTCAACTTCATTAAATACTCTTTTTCATTATATTTCATTACTTATACTATTCCCAGCTTCATGCAATTACTTTAAGTGCTCAAAATTAACAGGAAAAACTCCTTAAAAATACATTTATTCCAGACGAATCCAATCCAATAATCATCTAAACGTACGGGATGGGTGATAGCAATTCGTGATAAATTTAAAAGAAATTTCGTTCGAGTTTATTCAATCCGTATCAAAATGGAACGCGCCATTCACCGACTTTGGCTGAAAAAGTAGGAAGCAGCATTTTTGTGCATACGAGGAACTGGTGAAATGCGTGCTTTATATATTTAATTATACGATTACGCGATGGCAAACGGCGATAACGCTGCTGTTTTGAGTAAATAGCCTCATTTCCTTATCGGGGTTTCGTCGAGCGCGATTTATCGGCCCTTCCACAAAGGGGAGGTTCGATTTGAAAATTTGGCGGAAACACTACAGAGGGAGCCGCATTAGAGCTTTGTTTTTGGTAATTTTCCTTGATAAAAATTGCAGCTTACCTTTCCTAAAAGCAAGTAGGTACTACTTTTTTTATGGTTGTGAACACACCTTCACGGTTGATGAAAATTTGAAAGTTAAAGTATTTGATGAGACCGTTACAAAACGTTGATAATAAAGAAATTTAATTGGATTATCGGCGTTTTCTATTCCTCTTTAAATTCGCGGGATTTTGGTATAATTTTCGCGAATCGTCGACAAAGTCCGATGCGAAATATTCCTTGACAAAAGTTATTTTAAATTCTTGAGCAAAATGAAGAGTTTATTGCAAAGGATGTCGATAAGTATCTTAATTGATTATTTGTAAGTTATAAAAGCGAAAATTGCTTAAAAAATTTACAATCGCATTATCCGTTTGACGAAAGCATCCTTTTAAAAACTAGTAGCGATTTGGACGATAAAGCAACGAATGATAATAAAATAAAACGATTTAAAATATAGCACATCAGAGGCGTTGCAAATTATATTTTTTACGTTATAAATTAATTCGACTAAATAGGTATAATCTAACTTAATAGATCTACCAATTTTATAGTAAACAACAAGAAAATTGCAACAGAGAATACGTATTAAGCAAGTAGGTTCAAACAAGGCTTCAATGACACCTTAATGTTCCTTTCTCTATTGCGATTTTCCATCGACAATATAACTTTCAATGTTAAGGCAATAACAATTTGAATAAATGAATGCTGATTTTTAAACATTGTTATTGTTCGACGGTGGTTCCCCGTTCGACGAACGTCCGTCGAATACGGTCCCGGCGTCGCCGTCGTAAAAACTTTTTATGTTTTCCCGAATAAGTCGCAGGTGTAAAATCGAAATAAAATTTAGTGGAAAAATGCGAGAGATACCAGATAACGACGTTCGATCCATCCCCGGGATGGGCCGGTTCAGGCGGATATGAAAAATGCCCGAATTTTATATATCGGGCAAACATTTACATTTCGCTTTCGCAGGTGTGCGATATTTCATCTTTTCGGGGGTTAAGTCGAAAACGAAACTCCGAAACAACCACTCCGCAAGGACAGGTGCCGCTCCTCTACCGAACAATTAACTCTAACACGATAATTTTCGGTTTACACCTATTGAACTTATCGTTAATAACGCTCCTTAGATATCGCTTTCTGCGCAATTTCGCAATTGGGCAGATTTTTTTCTTTATACCCCGAGGTTAGAACGACCATCGAGCCGCAATTTTACACTCTTTTCAGCCTGTTATTACTGAACACCTATCGTATAAGTTAGTAACTAGTACCCTTTGGCTACATTGATTGAAGTGTGATTGCCAACTGCCTATTTACCTGTTGCCTTAATACCACTACAACATGACAGTATTTTAATTTAAGTAAAATATCCCTCGTTTATCCTAAGGATGCATCATTTTATGTTAACCACCCTTATGATGCATAATATCATGTTTGTTAAATCGACTCTCTCACAACGAGAAGATGGTTCCTATTATACCAATTTTCTTTGCAATAAATTACCAATTAATCAATAAGCGAATACAATTCCTTTTGTATTGTATGAGAAAAGTGTATTACATTACATACATATTACATTACATCCATCTACCAGCAGATATTATTATTCCAGCGAATAATGGAGAGAGTGGCTCTGACTAGAAACTATAATTTTCGCGATGGTATTGGAAAAAATTTACTATCATATATTTTAACTTTCTCGATGTCGGATGAATTCGGAATCGTATACGCACAGTAAAAAAGCGACATGTTTACCAGATGTGGCATTAAAAATGTATTAAAATTCTGTCGAGTGCGTTGAAATTGCGCTATATAATTTCCTTTAGAACATTAAAAGAATTTTTTTTCGACGTTTTTTTTATCGGAATCATCGATCTCAAACCATCAACTTTACTGATAAATTATCTAATTTAAAATTATCCAACGCGAAACCGGCTGTGTAATTAACAAAATCGTGAATAATATTACTTTTAATAGGAAACAATTTCGAACTTTCCAACTAATAATTTAATTAGCAAATTTTGCAATATTCCAGTAATTTTCTTCAACATTTCATGATTATCTTAGCCACGTTTATTTCCCAAATATTCACCAAATATTTTACATTCCATTAAAAAAAACCATTTCATATAGCAGAGACCTAATGAACTGGAAATATAATTATTCACTACTGGCCTTTAAAATTGCGCAAACCAATCGAACGCTTTAAAAATATATCGAACAGAATTTTACGTAACCAGGAGATGCATACGTGATGATATAAATCTCTAACAAAAACGATCCGATTACCGCTAAATCCAGATTTGAATGTTAATTAAAAGAAAGTAAATGAGATGGAAGCGAGCGCGCAGAACGCAAAACGAATGTTACATACATATGTGGCTTCTTGTGCACTAAAAAAATATTGGAAGTTGCATAATTCAGTGAAGAAGAATGTTTAAAGTCGATGATAATTACACTAGTTTTAAATGAAATATGGGAAGTTAGATAGAAAAGGGCTAAAGAAACAGAGAGAATAATTGTAGCTATATAATTCGTTTTTTTGTGCACATTTTCATTCAATTACGGCACTGCTGCTATGTGTTTAATAGAGATTTTCTTCTTATTTTCCGAACAGAAAACTTTCTAATTTCCTAACACACCAAGTGTCGATTTAAAAGCTAAATTGAATCGCTCCATTCGGGTTATCTATAAAACGATACAATAAATTACCGAAGCGAAGTGTTAATTACGACGAATGAAAGTAAATCGATACCAAAATCTATACAGGAATTAAACGATTAATTTTTTTTTATTTTATTCCTATTTCTTTAAAGCACTATCTTCAAAGAAAAAAGAATAATTTTTTAACAATTATCTGATTAACAATAATCCGCAATATAACGAAATATCGGATGTTTATAACAAAAGATAATTTAGAAATAAATTAAGTTTAATGAGATTCGAGCGAGTATATTAAGTCGGATTGTTGCTCAATTCGGTTCTTAACGAGACCGGCTCGAGTCATTTCAATCTTGCGAAATCCGGCCAGTTAAATTGTTTAATAAACATTAAACCGAAACGAAAAGAGCGGTTTATTAGCAAAATACCCGTACAGGGTGGAGTGTTCGATGCTGAGCAGATAAATCTTCGCATCTTAATAGCAGCATCGGTCTGTTATAATACCTGTTATTGTTTTACAGGTAGAAAATCGTGTAATGTGAGCGCTACTGCGTGTTAGATCACCTGCTGTAATTATTTAGAGCCTTCTGAGATGACTAATGCCCTTTACCGTTAGAGAAGATTCTTTGTGAATAAAAAATCAAATCCGATTTAACACGCAACCTCTTCACTCTTACGTTAAATTAATTCGCTTTTTTTTCCAATACTCATAACGTTCCAGCGATGATAAATTATTAGAGTAAACGAGCGATTTCGCTCGGAATTAAACTAGATGTAACGTTGATATATTCATAACGATACTTTCAAGTTTCGCGTTTTTAGGATCTTAAAATGCGAACGCGACCATTAATTTTAAAAGCAGAACGAAAAATTTTAACTACCGACGGCAATTAATAAAAGTGAAATTTAATTTTATGCTTCGGGTCAAGTAAATCGGTAAACGGGATTTAAAATGTATATGATTTATGAATGTACTACAGAACTACATCATTGACGGTTATTTTCGATTTCGATTTCAATTAATGCAAAAAATTGTACGAATGAGAGATGTTTTAAATAAAATTTTCGTAAAAAATTGGAATCAAAAATGGTATATTCTCGTTTAGTAATTAATTAAGCACTCGCGTTAATTACGAGCAATTAATTGCGTTTATCTAGGTAAATGAAACGAATATAAAAAAAAAACAGTTTTACATAAGTTATTGTAATGGATTTCGAAACCGGCTATCAAAAACTGGGGCACACTTCGACAACTGTATTACCGACTCGAAGAGCCCCGGTTTAATTAAGGTAATAATTAAATTATACGCGGAAATGAGAACTTACATAATTTACCATTCGGACGACTAAGCAGACATGTTACAAGTAACCCTGTGAAATGGTAAAAAAAAATCCAAACCGCATTACTTGCGGGATAAAAATATTCAAAACCACCTACCGTAACTCGAGCATACGAGAGCAGCATAAAAGCGAATAATCGTATATCATAGTTGGGTGAAATTACTGAGACTTATTTAAACGCCATCAACAGATGCGGCGAGCGCAGGGTGGCCGTTCGACCGGAAAATATCGGCATACAATGTAATCAACCTGTTAATTATAAAGATCAATAGGGTGAGAGGGTAGTGATTCAACTCCGGGGGGTTTGTTTAGAGATGCACTTTTCGCTTTTTCTCTATGCGCCGGGTGATCAATATTGGATTTATAGATCGCAGGAGAGTTATATGACTCTCCCCAACCAGCTCGTTTCGATTGAACCGTCAGTTTATTAATACTAATTAACATTTAGGATTATTGCTGATGAAAGTCCAATAGTAAGTGTCGCTTAATATTCTCTCTTAAAGCGCCATAAAAAACGAATCAATTCGCATACACCCGGCCCCGGTTTATTAAAGAGTAGCAGTCCCAATATAGCCGGAATATCACTCGAATCTACCGGACTGTTATTAAGTACCGGTCCGGGGCGAACGCATTAAATCCGAATCCGCGAAAACTCTTCCTCCTCATATAATATCTGCATATAATTACGTTTATTGCGTTTTGATAACGCTCCGGCGCAATAAAAATTTTTTATCGCCCAACTCCTGGTTCGGCTTTTTTCGCCTACCTACAGCTGTGTTGATTAAACTTCTTAAATTATCGAAGCACCTCTGCAATCTCGAGACCTTCTGGCCTTGTGTAATTGCACCTTCCGTATCATCGCCTTTTTCATCATTAGCATCAACACCATAAACCTTGCTCATCTCAGAGGTGTTTGTTGTGTGCGATGTCTACTTGTCTGTTACTGTTCGACTCGTTGTTAGTGCTAACTGCGTATCTGTAATGGTGTAATGGGTAATGGGGTAGGAAAGGAGCATTCGGAAGCGATGGTGTATGACACCGTTAACAGTTTGCGGTCTCGGTGCGATGAACACTCCGTATTGCCCGACCTGTCGGCACCCATTAACACCGAATAATGAGTAATGTCGCTCGTGGGCTTTGTTGAATTTCGCTCTATTAAATCGCCAAATGTTAGTTCTATAATAATTTGAAATTTGAATGCAATCGTACGGTTTGAAGACGGAGTAGTGGGTAAATAAACGTCAAAAATAAATGAACGGTTTATGAAAAACAACTTAATTTTAGATTTTCTTTTCAATACACTTGTTATTTGGGCCGCAAATTAAACCATCGGCGCATATTCCTCGGAACGGTACGCCGATAAACGGCGAGTTGCAAGTATCTCCTTTATCTGAAAATGCAGCGACGATTTTATTTTATTCCTACTTGTTAATTGCACGTTTAAAACTCTTACTTAATTTCCTGTAGCATTCAGGACAGCATCCGCAGAAGCTTCCTTTTGGAACCAAAATTTGCGTGGAATTGCAATTAGCTTCTTCGCATTGTACACCAGTACAGTAGTTCGGAGTGCAAACGAAAAATGATGTCACATTCACGAAAATGCACGAAATTAACAGCGTAAATACGATTTTCTTCATATTTTTGTTTACAAGTATACTACAAAAGTAACTACAATTTCACAATATGTATGTATATCAAGTAGTGTTATTGAATAATTTACCAACAACAAAAGGTATGTTATTTATAATACAAATGAGAAGTGATAACGAATTGTATAGAGTGAACAAACTATGGAATGTAATGAATATTTATGGTTAAAATACTGAACTTGCTTATACTTGATCACTCGTTAACTGAACTGCCGGTTTTCGAAACTAATTTCAAAAACAAGTTAAGTAAAGTAAATATTTTTAACTCATTTTCTCCAATAATACACGCGCAGTATCTCGGTTATTGTAAGCGAGAGAATAAATTTTTATCACTCCAAAATGACTGCATTTGCAAACTGCACATATTTATTTAGATCATTTTTAACTTACATGGATAAGTTCAACATGACATTGACAACAGCTACACCAAATATTTTCGGACGTCTCGAATATTTGCCAAATATTCGAAAAACAACCAATTCCCGTATTTTTTACGACGACATCGCACATTTTTTATCTCGTCGATTGACGTTTCGGAGCTGTCGAGTCGCGCACGCCGCCGATAGGCGATAAGATAAGGGCCCCGGGCCGGAGCCCGAAAGGGCAGAATATCATTTTACGTTTTTTTTTTTTCGGAACTCTATCTCCTTTCTTAATCAACCCTAATTAAGTGGGCAGGGAGGCGGGTGCGAACTTGATGAGGACGTTAATGTATTTTCGTTGAGTTATTTCCCCGGCCTTACTCGCCCATCAACGATCGTTTCTATCATGAAGATGTTCATGATGATGATGTAGTTTTGTGTCCTTTGTAGAGATGTTTATAGTAATAGCGAAATTTAGAAAATACTTGGAATTTAGTACCCATACTTTATCCGTTATTCCTTACTGACAGACTTCTTGGCGTTGTTTTAAAGATCATTTCAATGCAGGATAAAGTAGATTAAAGTAGAGAGAAGAAGGTATAAAAGAGTAGAAAGTAAAGGTAGAGAGTAAAGAGTAGATGCATGGAGAGTAAGATTAATATTCAGGTAAATTCGGGGCAGAGTTCCAGTTCTACCAATTAATTATGAGATCAAAAACACACTATAATATGGACCGAGATTGTCGAATTCGAGAAAATCATCGTCCTCATCGCAATCATCGTTCGAAATAATTTATTTTCGCCGTACACGCGCCGCAATCAATTAGAACCGGCGCTCGGAATTCCAGGAGGGTTGGTCGTTTTTTTCTTCCTCTTCCCCGTGCAATTCCTCCGCGTGTATCGGTTTCCGTTTCGGGCGAGGTTAATTAATTTTTATGTCTTAACCGCGGCCGCGCCAAATTATAAAGGAGCATTTTCGCCGATTCGGACGTTGTAAAAACTATCGAAGGTACAAAGTGCCCGGGAAAAAAATGAACAGTTGACGTTTTGATTGCCGTTCGGGTTAAATTCCTAGAGAGGCTAATTGCGGATATTTTACGCACGCGACGGCGACGTTTTGTGTGCATACCTTCGGTACATCGAGATTGATTTTTATCGTCACCTGGCCCGGTGTCCGGTCGAGGGATGTTATACCTAAAATTGCTCTAACTACCTGATGGGATTCTTTACAACTAATTTTTTTGTGTGGATGTTAAAAGAGCAAGGTAATTACGAATTTTCTCACGCAACTAATCTAAATGTTTTGCTGGTAGAAGAGTTGAAGCGTTTGTGTGAAATTTTTGGATTCCATTACGTGTAAATAAAATCGTAATCGACTGTACAATTTAAAATCGATTCCGACCGCAAACGGAACGACCATCGAAAGCGCGCCCGGAGCTTTTTCGGCTACGCCTCCTTCGCGCCCTATCGGCCCTTCGCGGATCGAAAAAAGCGCGAACGGAACGAAGAAGCTCCGGCGTCCGGATCCGGACCGGCGCCCGTCGAGAGGGCGAAGCGGGCGCGTGCCACCCCGACAGCGCCCCTTCGCCCATTGGCCGGCCCCGCGACGAGGGGCGCCCCCTCATTGGCGGAGCTCCGCGTTTGGTAAAACGCGCCTTTTCGAGCGGGTTTCCGTCAGCAGTTGTTGCGATATTGAAAATACTGAACTGGAATTTATTATTGTTTATTTGTGCGATTGGAAAATCTTGTATTTAGGGGTTGGTTTGTGAGGTTTAAGGTATAAATAAACTGCTCCACAAAAGTTAAGGAAGTTCGAAAATATTGAGATTAATTTAAAAGTTGCAGGTTTTTTGATCGCTAAGTTTAGTATGAGTTGTAGAGATGTTAATAGTAGAGAGTTAATTTATAGAGATGTTAATAGTAATAGCAACATTTAGAAAATACTTGGAATTTAGTACCCATACTTTATCTGTTACTTATGACAAGATTCTTTACTGACAGACTTCTTGGCGTTGTTTTAAAGATCATTTCAATGCAGGATAAAGTAGATTAAAGTAGAGAGAAGAAGGTATAAAAGAGTAGAAAGTAAAGGTAGAGAGTAAAGAGTAGATGCATGGAGAGTAAGATTAATATTCAGAACTGGAATTTATTATTGTTTATTTGAGCGATTGGAAATTCTTGTATTTAGGGGTTGGTTTGTGAGGTTTAAGGTATAAATAAACTGCTCCACAAAAGTTAAGGAAGTTCGAAAATATTGAGATTAATTTAAAAGTTGCAGGTTTTTTGATCGCTAAGTTTAGTATGAGTTGTAGAGATGTTAATAGTAGAGAGTTAATTTATAGAGATGTTAATAGTAATAGCAACATTTAGAAAATACTTGGAATTTAGTACCCATACTTTATCTGTTACTTATGACAAGATTCTTTACTGACAGACTTCTTGGCGTTGTTTTAAAGATCATTTCAATGCAGGATAAAGTAGATTAAAGTAGAGAGAAGAAGGTATAAAAGAGTAGAAAGTAAAGGTAGAGAGTAAAGAGTAGATGCATGGAGAGTAAGATTAATATTCAGAACTGGAATTTATTATTGTTTATTTGTGCGATTGGAAAATCTTGTATTTAGGGGTTGGTTTGTGAGGTTTAAGGTATAAATAAACTGCTCCACAAAAGTTAAGGAAGTTCGAAAATATTGAGATTAATTTAAAAGTTGCAGGTTTTTTGATCGCTAAGTTTAGTATGAGTTGTAGAGGCATAGGCAGGGGCAAAAAATCCACTCGGATATGAGAGGAAACATTTAATTTCGCTTATTTGAAAATTTGGTGATCAAAAAGTCTGTAACTTTTAAAATAATCGCAAAATTTGCGAACTTCCTTAACTTTTGTGGGGCAGTTTAGTTGATGAAATTTATTTATTAAAGCTTTTTTTTTGAAGCCTTTAAGCATAGTGGATTAATTACCCAATTTTTCTTCATCAAGTATCTATTTTAATTGTATTTAATTTACGAATTCAATCGATAAACATTTTAAACAATAGTTCTCTTATTTTCAACTCTTGAGAAATTATGTCCTGTACTTATTCTATAACTCCCAAAATCCTTTGATTATACTGTAACTAAATTGATACATAAAGGAGCGTTATCTTACTTTCCATTATTAACAACAAGGATCAACTTCAAAGAATTCGTTATCATTAAAAAAATATACTCAAAAGTTTGCTGTATAGTATAGACTTGTACCATTTAAAACAACGGTTCTAAGTGTTAAACTACTGTCAATTAGTACCAGTATTTATGGAGGAAGTTCGGAGTGGCGTAAAGCGGAGTTTTTTCGGTTACTTAGAGGGAAAAATCGAGTACAATTCCGACGGTCCGGTCCCGTTTATAGGGGCAGGGCCCCGGAAAAGGGGCGGGTATGATGGCGCGACCCTCGCACGCACACGCTTCCAGCCGCTCCTCCGAATCGGAAGAAGAAGAAGACCGTTTTGGATTACCGTGGAGGTCGCAGCGGCCGCTGGTTGCGAGTGGTTATCCGTCGGCGCCCGCGAACCGTTCGTCCTGTACCGGGATCCTTCGTCCTGCTGCGAGAAGTCGCGGGGTTGCTGGCGTCCTGCACGCCGCCTCTATCGATCCGATGGTGTGATCTACTCTGTTGCTTTATTGGTGAGTACTCGCTTGGATTTATGGATTTAAGTATCTAGGTACTGTCGCTCGGTGTATTAGGTATGTTTTCTTAGCGGGCTTGTTGATGGGGAAAAGTTGTAGCTTCTTACGAAGGTTACCATTTTTTGAACAATAGCGATATTAGATCTAATGTATAGCAACGATTTTATATTTTTTTATACACTATACTGTTGATATGATGTACAATTTTAGGGGTTCTTTTCAATTCCTTGTTATGGTATAATATTATAAAATTATTCAAATTTATTAGATATACTTTTTTCAATATTAAATTACTTTTTTCTTTATAGTTTAATCATATTTATCTTTTGATTCAATAATTAATACAACGTGTAAAACCCTGTATATTGATATAAACTTTTCTTCTTAAAATTATCCAAATATTCACATCCTGAAGTATCGGCAATCAGTTAATTAATACCCTGTATAATTTTATAATGAACAAATTTGTTGTTACAAAATATAACTATGAAGCCTTTACAAAACTCATCTCCATTTTAATTCAGGAAGTTTCAGAAGTTTCACAAGAGACATTTTCCAGAAAATTTAATTCAATAAAAAGTAGATACTTCATGTGTAGCCAAAAACATGTAAGGTAGACTGGGGCAAATGTAAAAATGGGGTAAATGTAATATTTTTAGCTATTATGTTAATGGTTTTATTATTATGTTTATAGTTCTTTTGTGCAAAAAACTTTTTAATACCTCGATTCTTTAGTTTAGGAAGTTGTGAATTTAATGTGGTATCAGCATTTCAAATAAGAGAAAAAATAAAGCCACATTTTAGGATTTAATTTGAACTATTCAAATTTTACAACCGATTCGCCCCAGTCTACCTTATTTATTCCATTTAAAACAATTATTTCTCGATATTCCGAAGCTTTTGAAACTTATTCCGGAATAACAACTTTAAGAACATCCACTTTTTTCGCATCAATAATACACTCTATCGCAATCTCATTGCAATTACGTTGATTTGATGTAATCTCAAGGAGTCATTTCCATATTTCCGAAGCGGCGTATCTTCAGCAAATCCCCCGGTTTCGCCGTTTTATCAACCAATACATATTTATATCGACTAATCAAATACCCATCAATCATGCGATCAGTAGATCTCCTTACGACTTACCAGTTACAGAAAAGCCGTCGCATAAATAATTCAATTATTGAAATATCGTTACGGTCGCCTCTCGGGCTACTGGGTGGCTTCATTAAAACTCCGAGATCATTATTATCATATAACGACTTCGACGGCATACCGACGATCGGTTCACAGAAATAAATTATTAAAATTATTTTTAATAAAACGCGCTCATCTCAAGCTGTGATTAAATTATCTGTCGACGTTGTCTCGGCTAGTTTATCGTTAATTGAATTAATATACAAAAATATTCGTTTCTTTTTTTGGTACTTCTGCATGCCTTCCCGAATCATCGAATGCGGTAGATTAAAAAAATCGTTTAAATTGAATTAAAATCAACACGTTTAATTGTTTAACGAGTAGGCGTCGCCGGCCGTCAGTACGCAATAAATACGTGTGTTTATGTAGATTGGAAATCAATAATTCAAGATGTTAAGTGCGATATAAAATCGCGATGTCGTTTAAAAGCCGTAAATGCAGCCACCAAATTGTTATTTTCATTCTTCGAGGTCTCACCTGTTCCTTGAGCGGCATGCGATCATGTCTCGGGGCATCGGATCAGATGATTTAAGCGCCGAACTCGAGCGTAAATCAAATGGGATCTGATTAATGGCCGTTTCGAAATTAAAATATCGACTGTTTGCAGTAAAAATTGCATTGAAATGCCACCGATTTTTCGAAGGTCCGGAATAATAAAAGTACCGAAAACACTCGTATATCGATGTTGTTTTCACACGAAACGCGCACGAGGAAAGGACGAAAAAAAAAATTAGTAGTCGTAAAAAGCGTGACCGTAATTATACAGGTTGTTACGGTTAAGGGAGTTATGGCCTGTGTAAATTTAAATATTGATTACCCCTTATACTGAAAAATATGAAATTAATGTAAATCAAAATCACGAGCGCAACGTGTTCGACTGAAATTATTCAGGTTGTTAGTTCGCATTTGCATCCCCTATCACGCATTTTTCCAACCCCCATTCGTTCGGGCATCGAAGGCGATTTCGTATTCAAATTTTTACCACGGCGTAACCAGGCATAACATGTAAAAAGTTGTTCTTACAAATTTATCTATTTTCTTTGATTAGTGTATAATCGAGCACATTATATGGGAAAACTGGTGAGTAATTTCAATTAGTATTTATATACATTGATATTGACTATTTTATATATTTTAATTCTTATTTTTATTTTCAGATATTATTATTGCGTTTGGATTGAAAATGCCGCATACTGGTGAGTGCTTTAAGAGTTCTAATTAACAAATTTAAATCGTGTTAAAACGCTTTCAAAGCTCCAATTAAATAAACGAATTGTTTAGTCGGGACGAATTCCATAAAAGTAAATATAAGGGAAATATTTAGCCAATTAGGGGGGCTTCAGAAAAGATTTATGACAGATCTGTTTCGCGAAATACCTGGTATAAACAGGTAGTCGTCGAGATTATCGACAGCGATACCGGATGATGTTTATTTATTTTTTCCATGTAATTGGCATGTCAGCTCGTTTCCAATTATCGCAGGAAATTCAGATATTTTAAATTAGGAACAAAAACTGACCTATATTATCTATAATAAACTTAAAATTCGTTAGTACTTACACCAATAACTGAAGTTTAGCAGTAAAATGTTACCAACTGCTGCGCAATTATAACCAGTCGCCTAACATTGGCCGGTTAAGTTTTTATACTAAATAACATAAATATTGGTTGGAAAAATTGCAGGTGCATTATGTTGCATCGAAACGGTCAAAGTTGACTCTATTGTAAAATGCACTCCCGCGATGAATGAAAACACATACCACTATAAATTGAATAATGACTCAAAGTGTTTACTTACCCACATGGTTCTTAACCGTAATTATTACCATCACCTAGGTATCTGCTCGACGACGTTTCGTTGAAAAATATATAAAGACAATCAGGTTTTTATGCTGCCCAATAAAATATCTCATCGGTTGTTATATTATATTCATCTACCAGTAGGTAAACGATTTTTTTAAATTAAATACCACAATCTTTTTATTGATAATGCACATAAATAAACGAAACACATTATTTACGATGAAGCTTTAGTTTAAAGACATCAAAGACAGTACCAACAGAAATATAAAAAAAAACTATGGCGCTTTATTACATGCACCTAATGATTTATATTATAGTAGATGCGGGGCTCGTATTTCAAAATTTTACGGTATAATTGGAATAACTCCTGCGAAATGTCATCGTGGTATATTCGTTTTTTTAATTCCTACCTAACCAAAATCCACTCTTTCGAATTTCTTGGAGAACTGCGGCATTAGCGCGTCCTGGGGTTCACCAATTTAGTAATTATAGTGGCAACTGTAGTTTCCAATTTCAGCTAATTTCTACTACAGAAAAAAGATCTACATTAGGTGGTCGAAAGCGAGCAGGTGTATCGCTTTGTGTCACGCGAAATGTATTTTTTCGTTAGAAGAAAAACTGTTTTACATATTTATCGAAATTAATTTCGCGATTAAAACGCCGCAGCATTTGAACAATGGGAATTATTATCGGAAATCATGTAGGATTCGTTACCGGACGGTCAGGATATAAGCAACCCATATGTAATTATTTTAAAATCAAGCCTTCACCTGGCAATTCGTCGCTGACTTGCTAGATCAAAAGAGTGTCACTAGTATACCAATTAAACAGCTGAATAAAATCCATTTGTTGCTAATGCATTGATAATGATCCCTTTCTTTAATACACCCGTGTATTACTTACTAATGATTCGTTATTATTAATAAAACATCGCTTTTTCAATCCCGCAAAATTGTAAAATACCATCAGCATATATCCAACTTTATTTCTTCGAATCTCCTGCACATTCATAAAAAATTGCCAGATGGCGAGCTTTTTTTTGGATTAAGATGTTTAATTATTATAAAGTTCTTCGCGATATCCTGTTCTGTGATTGATACCAATAATATTCATCTTAAAAAAAATGGTTTTAATTCTTCAAAACGTCCATCATCGCATTCGCTCCGCTACAAAGCGACTTTAATTTGTTAATTAACGAAGACTTTACAACAACCTGTTTTCTTTCCTCCTCGGAATGGCTAATTAGCATCTAGACCGAAATTTTGTGTTAATTCGACTTAATCGATGCTCGCCACACTGGTTTCGAGGCGATACGATCGCTTCCTGTCGCTTTATTACCTACCACACAGCAAATAATCCGGTGACATAATCGCGTAATTCAAACAATAACTTAGTCTTGTTATTACCGAAGAGTCGGATGAAATGGAAGAGTATTTATTTTCGGTTTTGCTCGGTTGTAGGACAAGCGGGAGTCAACCAACTCGGAGGCGTCTTCGTCAACGGCCGTCCCCTGCCTGATTGCGTGAGACGAAGAATCGTGGAATTGGCTTTATTAGGAGTGAGACCTTGCGACATATCCAGGCAGCTTTTGGTGTCCCACGGGTGCGTTTCCAAGATTCTAACGAGATTCTACGAGACCGGATCGATCAGGCCCGGATCGATCGGAGGATCAAAGACAAAGGTAGTTAGAACGTTTGATTTATTAAAGCTAGTCTTCGTGTGACGTTTTCAACAGTTTTTTTTGTACGGATGTCGCTTGAGTGTAATTCCGCTGTAAGTGGTTAACTGACCGAGAAGAGTGATATCAATAGCAACAGGAGCACATGAAGCGCGGTGTTTGTAATGTCACAACCCTTGTTTTATCGAAAAGTTGCATCTAGAGGAGGCTTCCGTTCGCGCAGCGCCGGCTCCAATTTATTTACTCGTATACCAACACAAAAAAACGATTCGAGTTTTATTCAACTATAGATGCCGGTAGAAAAATACCGCCGGTGAATAAAACATGTATAGGTACCTAATTTGATTATTGGTTGGTGGGTCGCGCGAAGGATAACATGCAATAAAATTGGGCCCAAACCTGTATTTACTGCAACGTTTCCACATGTTCCAAATATAATTACACGAGACGAAATAACCGGGGACATCAACCATTACACGATGTCGACACGTTACATTTTCACATCGAGATCATGGAGATTAGTAATTTCGTTATCGGACATTCGACCATCGAGATACAAACAATCTAGGGTCGGTACGATCCGGAACTCTTCGGATTCGATCAGAAACGAATTTGTCATCGGGAAATCATTAGCCCGTTTCGAGCATACAAATTAAATTATCATCGCGGCACATTCGACGCTAATGATGATCAATAAACAAACAAAACTGCCACCGTTTTCGTGCCATTACCCATCCGGCAAGTATTCGTCTATCTTGCATGATTGATGATGTAGGTACACATCGCACGATACACGTATTTATTTTTTCCAGTAAACATCCACGCGGACAATATAGATGTTAACGCGATAGCAAAAGTACTTACGTGTAATGCCAGTTTGCGTGCCCGCTTATTATAATCTCCTAAACTGCGATGAACCGCCGAATTAGTGAATTACCACTCCAATTGAATCATTAAAACGACTGGACACCTATCTATAATAGTTCTGTTTATCATAGTTTCTGTTATCTGCAATATTTTTACAGACAATTCAGCATCGATTTCGAACTGTCCTTTGACCTCCAACAGTCTTCCTAACGCGATTAAAGATTTCGTTTTAACCCTTTACATCTTCTTGTCACACTTATAAAATCCTAACAATTAACAGTTCGTTTTAGTTACCAATTAATTTCACCCCTGGTGTTTGTTCGTTATAAATTTTATTTCCCCGTCGAGCTATTCCATATCGAACAAATTAACGGTTTCCTCCGAGGACAGGGCTCTATAAACGCTCGGCAAACAGAAAAAACGTTAATATAAACACAAATGGAACGCCGCACGTAATTACACCGCGTTCGGTGGATATATCGAGCTCGTGGAAACATTAAGATCATCTTTAGTTGATAATTATGTTTCATCCGTCGACACGCCATTTCACGACGACATTTTTTCCCGTCTTTATTAGAATACTACCTAAATAGCTTCTACCTTTTATTTGGCATTATTCCTAATCGATTTCCAGCAGGATTATAGGCGTTATGGAGTGCGTATGTTTCAGCAAGTGGCCACGCCGACGGTGGTGAAGAAGATCCTGCGGTTCAAGCAGGAGAATCCGGGAATGTTCGCGTGGGAAATAAGAGAGCAGCTGATATCCCAGCGAATTTGCGAGCCGCACAACATACCCTCGGTGAGTTCGGTAAATCGGATATTGAGGAACAGCGGAGTGTGGCCGGACGCTCCGGATATGCTGCACCATCGCGTGACGCATTCCTCCGGTAAAGTTGTCTCGATTTCGTCGAATGATTTTAGTATTTATTGGCGAGATGGTGCGTTTCAGATTCCATTCTCAGGGGTGATATGTACGCGAAGGCCGGCTCTCCGGCGACGACGCTTCCCTATTATCCGGAATCGTCTTTTATTCCTTCTAATCGATTCTCGTCGTTTCAACGCCAGCTACACATATCGACGTCTTCGCCGCTCGACGTCGCCCCATCGACTAATTGGTCGAATCTAATCGTCCCGTACCAGCCTTCGGGGAACAGAGAACGAGCCTCGGAGGATAAGAAACCCTCGGTTATAACGGAGATAGAGAAGAACGACGAGAAGAAGAAAAACCCTTACTCCATCGAGGAGTTGCTGAAGAAGCCCGTCCGGAGGAGTAAACCGATGAATATCGAATGCGTGGGAGTCCAACAGCCGTACGGGAGGTTAGTGAGCACGGATGATTCCAATAAGTGTTGCAGCGACAGCGAGAGTGATCAAGAACAGAACGTTAAAATTGAAGTAGTTTAGGATGTGGTGTCGTGATTGTAGACGTCTTTTCTGGTGGAATAAATGCGAGTAGTGTCCTATAAGACTTATTTCAGGAATATGAAGGATTCGACCTTACGAGAAAATTTCTATTACGCTTCGAATTGAACTCCTTTGGGGTCTTTTTAGATATTACATGATGATTTTTCTTGTAAGGTTTACACATTAAGTTATTAACTGTATAATTATGTTATAAGTTAAATTAGTGCGCTTATTTATTGTAACTTATTAACTTATTGCTTACCGTTTACTTATTATTACTGTTTCATGAATTATTTACATTTAATTATTAATACTCATATGTTGTGCTTTTTTTGGAAAGAAATTCATGAATCAGATAAAAATAGTGTAGAATAATACTTTAATTAATAAACCAAAGACTATTGTAATATTTAGGTATCATTTTTCTTTCATTTCGTGAAATGGAGCAAAATTAAATTCGTTTTATTAAAAAAAAAGCGTTTAAATTGAATAAAGTTTGTAATACTCTGTATATATTCTTTTAAATGTAAGTTGTATGTGAAATTTAGACTTTTTCTTTTAAACTAATTTAAGTAGCATAGAATTTGATTTGTTGGCTAGTAATAGTGAACTTACTTTATGTGAAATTGTTGAATAAAGATATACACCATTAAAATATCGAAATAATTCGTTTGATACACACCACTTTTTATTGTAAGTTACTTGTAGGTTATTCAGCCACATTTAAAAATATGACGTCTTTTATACAGTTTATTAATTTAAATAAAAAGAAGAATAATGTTACATAACCTCACTAAATAATAACAATCGAAGATCAATAAATAATTTAAACGTATTTATGTCTAATTAATTTGTTTAATAAGAAAATCCATCTATTGTAAAAGAATTTCTTATTGAATTTTAATATATTTTTGTAAGTATAACGCAAATCAAGTATGTAATATATGAGGGGTTCGTATGAGGTTAGTCAGGGGATTTTTGATTACCGCTCGAAAATCTCTTTTAGTTTATCATGGACGAGAAAAATAGAGCGAAATTCACTTACCCGACCGATCAACCGGTCGTAGCGTTAGAAGTGAAATCCTCATTCGAGAACTTAACGCAGCAAGAAAAGATGTACGCTCACAACATGTCGAAAGCCTGTTGGACCGGAGGCCTGATCACCCTGTTGCAAACCAGCCCGGAATCCGGACCGATCTTCGTTATTCTCCACAAATTATTCTACGCCCAAACGCCGGAGGTCTTTCAAAAAAACGCCCTCCAATTCGGCTTCACCATACTCGAAATCAAATCTCTGTTCGTGTACGCCGGCGCCTTGTTCACCAACAGCGGCAACTACAAGGTTGATTCTAACTCGACGATGAATCTACTCGTACACCGGCCTATTTTGTAGGGATTCGGGGACTTGAAGTTCATACCGGATCTGCCGCAGGAGCGCTTCGAAAAAATGTTACAGATGAGCCCCGCTTGGGCTAAGATAGAGCCGATTTGGAAGAAGTACAAAGACGCCGTCTATGACACCAGTTTAGGGAAACTGCGCCTCGACTTGTTCCCCGACGGGGTTACCACTTATTTCTCCAAGAATATCACTTACGAAGACATCGAATTGGTGCAGGAATGGATGGACGCGCAAGGAATGGATTATTACAATACGAGGCTCTTCAAAATTGTAACCAACACAAAGGTGTGGAGAAAAATTAGTACGAAACGTACAGGGTGATACTCAAGAATCACCCATTAAAATAAGTACATTGCATTAACAGCCCGTGTATGTACATGTAATTAATTTTAGGTGACTTACGAGGTTATGGTAGCATCGGAAGAACAAAAATTCAACGAAGCTATTCTCGAAACCGGCGAAACGATTAGAATTATTTACGGCGATTACTCTCCGATTATGGCGAAAATGATTAAACATCTGCAGCGAGCGGCGAAATATACTCGAAGCGAGCAACAAAACAGGATACTGGATAACTACATTACCTCGTTCAGAACGGGATCTCTAGAAGCCCACAAGTACGCCTCGAAGCTGTGGGTGCAAGACAAAAGCCCGCCCGTCGAAAGTTACATGGGTTTCATAGAATCCTACAGGTAAACCCGCCCTTTTTCCCCCAAACGAAATCATCATCGGGTACGTTGCAGAGACCCCGTGGGCCTACGAGGCGAATTCGAGGGTTTCGTGGCCATCGTCAACAAGGAAATGACCGTCAAATTCGCCACGCTCGTCTGTCGCGCCGAGAAACTCATCAAGCTGTTGCCGTGGAGCAGGGCCTTCGAGAAAGACAGTTTCAACAAGCCCGATTTCACCTCATTGGACGTGGTGACGTTCGCCGGTAGCGGCATACCGGCCGGCATAAACATACCGAATTGTAACCCCCCTTTTCGATAAACCGTTCGATATCGAATAACGATCGCCATTGGCGTTTGCAGATGAGGATGTCCGGAAAACCGAAGGCTTCAAAAATGTCTCGTTGGGGAACGTGATACCCGCCAGTTACCAGCAGACAGTTATACCGTTTCTCTGCGCCGCTGAAGCGAATTTGCTGCAGAAACTCCGAATCCCAGCGTTCGAATTACAAGTAAACTCACAGTAAAATCACCGCGAGTTAGTAGTTTCGATTGGTTAATTTTTTGTAGGTGGGTTTGCACGAGCTGCTCGGGCACGGGTCCGGTAAGATATTCAAACGCGAACGGGACGGTTCGTACAATTTCCCGCCGAATCTGATGGATCCGCTCACCGGGAAACCGTTGGAGACGTTCTACGATTACAACGATACCTACGAATCGAAGTTCGGCGGGCTGAGTTCCACGTACGACGAGTGCAGGGCCGAGGCCGTCGGGTTGTTGTTGAGCCTCGAGCCGGAGGTGTTGAGTATATTCGGTTTCGAAGGGGAGAAGGCGTCGGACGTGTCGTACGTGAATTGGTTGTCTTTGGTGTGGGCCGGTGTTAGTAAGTGTTTGGAGTTCTACGATACGGATAAAGGATGGTTTCAATCGCACGCTGAGGTTTGCTTACACGCTCAGTTTCATCGTATCGTTTATATCTAGCGTTTTTTTAGGCTCGTTTCGTGTTAACGAGAGTATTGGTGCAATCGGGCGTCGTCGTGATACAGCAACCTTCCGAAGACGATTTGATGATCAATTTGGATCGATACGCGATAGGCGGTGCTGGAAAATCGGCCATAGCGGAGTTCTTGTTGAAGCTGCAAGTGTACAAAGCGACGGGGAACTTGGAAAAGGCGACGGAATTGTACAATCATTTTGCGAAGGTCGAAGAACCGTGGTTGAGCTGGAGGGATATAATTTTAATGAACAAACAACCGAGGAAGATGTTCGTGCAAGTTAATACGCAGCAAATAGACAATACGGTTTTGGTGAAAACGTACCCTTCGACTATCGAAGGTTTGATCATGTCTTGGGTCGAAAGGTTTTCGAATCCATTGCCTATGCACGAGGCTATAATGGAACTTACGCTGGCGAACGAGCGTCATTTCGAAGAGGAAGAGTAATTTAAATAATATACGATTAAATTTTAAGTGAAGTTATCTTAGATCCGAAATTTTACATATTATTATTTTTTTTTCATAATTTAATTTACCCATAGAATGTAAATAAAAATCTCACAACAAATACTTTTTACATGTAACTGTAATATCTTTAATTAATGCAAGGAACATTGGTGGTTTTAAATACATAAAAAAATCACCAATTTTAAGTCATGTTTGTTGTAATTTGAATAATTACATTGAAAATAATTTATACAAATATTTACACACTAAATTCTGTACAAAAAATTTACAAAACGCAAATCATTTTTTTTTTATAAAAAATACAATATTTAATTTTATGTGGTAGGCCGTGCCCAAGTATAAATATATCCATCTTGGCACACAGTTATAATAGAATCAGGCCTAAAGACTAGAGCAGTTAACCTTTCATGAGCAATTTTTTTACAAACTAAAGGTTCGAGGTTCGGACATTCGTCTAATCTAGGGCAAGCCGGAGTACCAACTAATTGCAGTGGGTCAGGTCTTCTTTTCACTCTAGGCCTAGGAGGCACTAAATTATCCTCGGGCAGTTCCCAAAGGCAGATTTGCGTGTCGTGCCCGACCGATCCCAACCGATAGCAAGATTCCGCTTCCAAAAACCAGTCGAACGCCACAGCGGACACCCAAGAGCGATGGCCCTGCGCCCGGGCCACCACGCGCTTCTGTTCCATGGAATACACAGTAACTAAATCGTCTTCGCCGCCGACGGCTATCAGTTTACCATCGCACGACCACGCCACGCACAGTAACCCGCCGAAATACGACCTGGCGTGGCCCAAAAGTTCCATCGTGTCGTATTGGAATATTCTAAGCAAGCCATCTTGCGATACTACAGCTAATTGAGATCCATTAGGACTGAAAGCCAGCTCGTTAATGGCGGCGCCGGTTCCCAACAACCACCTGAATAGGGGATTTCTGGTGGATTTCGTTTTGCAGGTGTTCACGGAGAAACCCTCGCCGGCTTTGAACGGTTGATAGTGAGGGGCCGCCGAACCGCAAGGTAACTCTTCGTTATAAACGTAAAAATGTCCGGAAGCGTGCGCTGCTAGAAACAGTGATTTGCTGCCGGGGACCCATCGGAGGCAGGTAACTCTCGTTTTATCGATGAAACGTTCTTCGTTAAATAATTTACTCAATTCTTTTTTGATGGGATCGATCAACTGGATCTGTCCGGTGCTAAATCCTATCAAGAGGCTAACACTATCACTTTGGGCAGATGAAGTATTAAAATCATGGCAGGTTGGGTTTGTGCCTTTGTATACTTTCTTCTCCAGAGGTTTGCTCAAATCCGCCGCCTTTTTTATCCCCTTGTAAATGTAAACGTACAGTTCTCTGCCGTAATTAAAGCAAATTCTTTCACCCGCTTGATCAGGAAGGGAAACCAGAGACACTCTCACTTGAGGGGGAGTTTGACCTTGTGGTTGGTATCCCACTCGATTTGGACGAGAATATTCACTTAAAGTTAACAGTCGGTAGGTTCCTTCTCTCGTAACGAACTGCGTTTTAACGTCTCCAGGTTCACCGATCGTTCTTTCCAGAGTCCGTTCACCAGCTTCTAGTAGTGATTGATTGCATAAATTTTCTGGTCTAGCCATGATACCTATTCATTCATAGATATCTTGCTTTATGGGTCACATCGGAAATTTCGCGTTCGTCTTTCCATTTTCTCCTTCAAATCGATAATTTAAACATTGTACTTATTTCACTACTTTTAACTTATTTAATTATTAGATAAACGTCACTTTGTAAGGTTATAAACTTTGATTGTTCATTGTTCATTTTATCTTATGATAATCATTACTCGCTATCTTTTTCTAGATTTTCAACGATTCGATTACCATGTGACATTTTATGAGTGCCTAACTTCACGTTAATTAATTTTGTACTTGAAATGTTCAATATTTAATTATACAAAAAATTAGTTACTTACGCAAATTTAGTTCTAAGTTCTAAATTACTGATAAAAATGAATAATGATCTAATTTACAAAAAAATACCATGTGTTGTAATCGATTCTCCTAAAATCGATAGCTCCATTTGATGACATTTGTAATGACACATGTCAAATGTCACAAATATGTAATCATAACCTCATTTAAATCAGCAAAGTGTTGTCTTTATTTACATGCTGTTAATTTCAATTCAAGTTATCGTAAACTAAACTAAAATGGCAAACGCAAGTGATGACGATGAAAAGGTAACGGGTCCCGTGGAAAACGCCTGGGAATTGAAGATACCAGAGTTCAAACCCGAAGACAATCCTCATGGTTTATTGGAAGAGAGTTGCTTTGCAACGTTGTTTCCGCAATATAGGGAGCAATATTTGAGGCAAGTGTGGCCTTTGGTTAAGAAAACGTTAGGAGAACACCATATAAAAGCCGAATTGGACGTCGTGGAAGGCAGTATGACAGTGCGGACTACGAGACAAACTTGGGATCCTTATATCATCATCAAAGCCAGAGATATGATAAAACTAATGTCGAGAAGCGTGCCTTATGAACAAGCAAAACGCGTGTTAGAAGACGATACGGGTTGCGATATAATCAAAATAGGAAAAATCACGAGAAATAAAGAAAAATTCGTAAAACGGAGGCAACGATTAATAGGCCCCAACGGTTGCACTTTAAAATCAATCGAAATATTAACGAACTGCTACGTGCTCGTGCAAGGCCAAACCGTCGCCGCCTTAGGGCCTTACAAGGGCCTACAGCAAGTCAGAAAAATCGTGGAAGACACTATGAAAAACATCCACCCAATCTACAACATCAAAGCGCTCATGATAAAAAGAGAACTAGCGAAAGATCCGAAGCTCAAAAGCGAAAATTGGGAACGATTCTTGCCTAAATTCGTCAACAAAAACATCAGCAAACGCAAACAGCCCAAAAACAAGAAAGACAAGAAGCCCTACACGCCGTTTCCGCCTCAGCAACAAGAGAGCAAAGTCGACAAGGAACTGGCCTCCGGCGAGTATTTCCTCAACAAGAACCAAAAGAGCGTCAAAAAGCAGAAGGAGAAGGAAGAAAAACAAACCGAAGCGGCCAAACGGAGGGAAGAGAGAAGGAACCAAGCGTTCGTTCCTCCAGATGAACCGAGTACCTCGAAGAAGAGCTTTGCAGTGGCAGATAAAATCGATGTGGCTTCGCTTAAAGAAAAAATATCCAAAGCTAGAAAGGGCACTAAAATATTCAACAAGAAAAATAATTAAGTTTCTTTTGTACAGTTTGTTTAATTGGAGTTTGAGTAAAAAACCCCTTACAGTTATTAGTGTTTTATTCAATAAATCATAATAATATATAACTTATTTACAAATGATTAACATTGAATTTTTAAAATGATTTTGTTAAAAAAGACCAAATAAATCGAAATTGTACTTGAAACAAAAATCGGGTTTTTCATTATTTAAATTTACGCCTCGTTGCCTTACATAATACACAAAAAATGCGTAAATATTACATAACAAAACGATAACTTCACAACAATACGACCTCCTCTCTATGGTAAAATATATCACAATGTTCACCATTGGGATCACAAGAGGCAATTCGAAAAATGTACTTACAACCTTAAACTTATAAAGAAAACGCCATCGAGATTTGTTTTTACATTATTTCGCCTTACAAAATTAATTACAATAAAAATAAACGTTTTTTATTTTTAGCGACGCGTGACTCTACACCTATAGAAAACCTTTTACGACAATATCGAATCTATTCTCTTCTCAATCCATCTACAATCGATATAATTATATACCACTATATAACAATCTTAAATCTTTAATTAGACAGTGCAACTCCACATAATTACCGAATCTTCACGAGACCACCATCGAAATAAAATACCGACTCCGCCCAATCTTTCGATTCCAAGAAAATCCAGAATCCAGTAAAACTATCCTAAGTCCGGCGAGTGAACGAAACACCCCTAGACTCTAACACTAAATGTTGCATCCATCAACAAGAATAGGTCCATTCAAAATTAAATACTTACACTTTAAAATGAAAATGTTAGCGAGACCCGTAGACAAAAGAATCTTAATGTTGGAGTAAAGTGTGTAAAGAAATCGATGCAGGTGACACTAAATAACTCATAAATACAATTCGTATAGAGTTACTTGAAGGAACGAAGTCAAATCACCTCACAGCGATACGCAATTCATTTTTTTTATTAAAACATTACATTTTATTTCGCAAATAAACATTACAAATCCATTCCCTAACGTCTAAATTAACTTAATTACAACAAAACTTATGTACACAAAAAAAAACTTTTCGAAACAAACCTATTCCATTTTCGATAGATTACGCTGCCCTGCCCACGGGAATATGCACGCTTATTTACCGGCAAGTCGAGTTACAAACCACAACTAAATATACAAAATTTCGTACGCTAACTCTTAGATGTTTTACAACACTTTTATTAAATCGAATCGCTTCCTCGAGAGTTCGCATTTCACAACAACTCGAATCGGAACGAAATGCGCCCCCTCGGGGAGCGCCCCCCAACCCAATTACCGGTCTATTAAAAAAAATGCAATAAGGAAACGAAATTCGAGAAAAACGGCGTAAGTACCTGTTCATCTTGCGCGGTAGAGAGGTCGCTCTGTTCGGGCGCGTCCCCGGCGTCTTCTACAGGAATAAGCGTCGTTCGGGCGTCGATCACTGATCGAGTATGTCGACGAGAGAGGCGAAGGCACACGAACCGAGGCCCGAAGAGGACATCAAACGCACCAGTTCTTGGGCGTGGGCCATCGCCACTTCCAGGGGCGGCTTCCTCGGTTTGTTATTTGATTCTGTCGATTAGGAAATTTAGTAGGTTTTTAGCGAGGTTTTCGCCGTAGGTTTTTTTTACCTAAAATTGCGGAATTTAACGAGGCGCATACTGATTCCCTTTGCGTAGGTTCTAACTGCCAACCGACGGGGCTCGCCCATGGATTCGAATATGCTAATAAACTAAAGGCATCCTGAAACATTACGAGATAATAATTGGTTTATTAGACAATGTAGGTTCGTACCTCTAGCATTTTTTCGTTGATGTGATTACTATTTTTATCCGTTTTTAATCTTTGACTCATACTATATAATTCTCTGCCGAATTCTAGTATTCTTTCTACTGATTGTTTCGTCGTACTTTTGCGACACGGTACATCTACATCTGAAACAGAATTACTTCGTAAATTTTTAATCTTTAATGAAATATAAATCGAATAAAAATCCTTCAAGGTTAATACAAACAAACAAATACAGTAAGCGAAGTGTTAAACGAAACGGTACCTGGTGCATCTAAAAGCGAAGTAGCCAAGTCTGAAAAAGAAGGAGAAAATAAAGGAAACATCCTTCACATCCCCAGGATTTACCCGACAACGAGTAAACAGCGAAATAACGAATAAAAAAAAACCCCAAAACCTTACCCATATCTTCGTCGTCGTTATCACAGCAAGTAGCAAGAATCTCCGGCTTGTCCTCTATACTTCTAATGCTATTACTACCGTTTTGATATTTGTTTGTATTACTAGAGGAGTTTTTGCCGTTGGTGCACGAGTCGCCGTGGCCGTTGGGCAATTCGTCGGAGGCGTCGGTCTCCATTTCGCAGTCCTCGCTTTCGATCAGCGGCGTCTCGACGGGGCAGTTGTTACCGTTTCTGGCAGTGTTGTTTCTGTTCATGTCTTCGATCGATTGCTGAAAGATTGCACAACGTTTTAACCTGACACGTTCTACACACGAAAAATTCGTTTATCATTACTTCCGAAGGGTTTTTGGCTTTCGAGCACTTCGTCGATTGTATCACGGACGTTTCTAACGGCGGGCTGTTGGGCGAATAGCCGCCTATGCTCTTCTTGCGGCATATTTCGATATCCGAACCGTTCACCATTTCGACGAATTGACGGCATTTGAGCATGAACAATAAATTCTGATTGTTCTCCAACAGGCCGGGATACAATCGACTCGTTTTGTCGATGGCTTCGCCCATTCGACCGGCCAGCACGAGCTTCAAAATTTCTACAATAATACATTCATAAAAAAACATTGATAATCCATCGATTCGGTTAGGTTTCAAATCGTACTCTGTCTGTTTTTGATCGATCCTATGTCTTCGTTGAACGGTTGCTCCGTAATGTGAGCGAAAGCTTCTGCTGTATTGCAGTAACCGTGATGCACTAAATAGGTCGATACCATTCTAAAACAAATCATAAATTCAGTTCGATAAAATCGGATAATCGACCGATATAATTACTTGTTTAAAATGGCTTGCCATTCTCCTTGGCTCTCCGGCACGGGATAATCGTTTATTTCGATCCTCGTCCGAGACCTCAGCTCTCTCATCATGTCTTCGATATCGAATACGAACGGCTCCTGGCCGAAATTCGCGTCGACTACTTCACCGGGCGTTTGCAGACCCACGGTCGGATACAAATTAGGCTAAAAAAAATCCAATAAATAGTGCGAAAAGTGCGAATAAACGAAAAAAAACCCACCGGCAGGTCCCTGAAGGCGGTGCCCAGATGGTGCCCGTTCTTGGTGTAAAAGCAAGTGTTATCGATGAGATTGACGCCGCAACCGATCACGTCGCCGGTGGTGAAGGTCGGGCCGTAGGGCTGGCCGGTGCCCGACGAGCAAAACGAATGGCCGTCGTCGCCGTGGTAGCCGTACGATTGCTTGTCCCAGCCGGGCAGCCGGTTCATGTTCACCCCTTGGGCCGACAGGCCGATGCCCATGTACCCGTCGCGCCCTTTGCTCACGATCTTCACTTCGAAGTAGTAGAGGCCGCACGACGGCGGTATCGGATGGGTGGCCTGCACGCTGGCCGCGTCTCGGTGCGTCTTCCCGTGCCCTTTTCGAAACGATATTCGATTTAGTACAAGAAAGAAAATCGAAGATATTCGAAAAAATAACGGTTATTTTGTAACGGTCGTTACGGCGCCTCTATACCGAAATATCGAGTCCCACCTCTATTAAATTTCTGTCATTCGAAATGTCATTAATGTCAATTTTGATCGATTTATTTAAAACTTGACATTTCGCATTGTCAGTGCATAATGTTGTTAACGAATTATTCAACAGTAATTTAATTTACGCCAATTAACCAACAGAATTATAAAATTCGCGTTTACTATGATATTCCGATCCGTCAATTGCGCTCTATTCGAATTGCATCATCGCTTGAAAGCGTCTTTGGCGAACCGGAATAATTAAAATCGAACTAAAATAAATTGTATTCCAATCGAACGTTTGTTTAGTTACGAAAATAAAAAAATAAAAACGACGCGCTTTATTCGACCGGTAATTAGTTAATTATGCTGCAGGTACGGCGCGCGCGATGCGAAATCAAATTCCGGTTTGTTAAAACTCGGTGGGCTCGAAACATTACATTAAAGGATTACAAAATGTGGGAAACTTCGCCCATGGGCATGACTGGTGCACCTTCCATACCGATGGAACGGATGATTACGAGCGCTAGTAAAGATTATTAATGTTGTTAGAATCGTACATATTCGTTGGGTTTTTAAAGGGACGTTTCTAATTGAATTACGATCTATTTTAAGAGCTAAAAATGGAGGAATAGGAGATTTCTATTTAATAGGAAGTATGTGTGTACAATGTACGCACACGCACACGTGCGTCCTTGATTAATTCATATGTTTTCGTATTTCACTATTGGATAAAAAGCGAGTGTTTACAGCTTGTTTGATTCGCCTACGCATAATACGCATCATGCTGGAACATTATAAAAAAAATACGTTTGTTCTTTCGAATTTTTCATAAACGTTCGATCGCAACCGAAAATAGAATTAGACAAATAGACAATTTTCGAAATTACCCAGGAACCATGTACAACAACATTATTAATCGTTAGATATGTATTTAGCGAAAATTCTACGAAATCCGATGAATAATACCATCGAAATTGTGCGATTATTATCAGGCGAAAGTCCACAGGAAAGCTTATTGGAAACAATTTTTCCTTTTATACTCGCCTACCTAATTACAAACATGCAATTTGTGTGCAATTGTAATATTTTCTGTATCTAAAGATGCCAACGAAATAATCTCGATTTTATTTACGGCTGCTCTAAATAGCTTGTTTGATGATACCTATGCAGTTGAATCACTAGATATTCGTGGTTCGAATTAAATTCAAGATATTCGATAATAATTCGCTAAATTGCGATCGCTTATTTTAAATAATCTCGGGGTTAAAAATAACATCTAATTCAATTCGAAACAGCGCAGGTTTGGATCGTTCGAATGAGCATTTGAAACGCACAATGAATTGTTAATTAATTAAATTATTTCTTCAATAACGTTTTTAATATCCAGTAATTCGATTCGAGTATTGTCAATGCAATATATTGTGTGTTGCACTAAATAATGAATGGGTTAATTAGGATTCATTGAGTGGTCCTGTAAATACGTAAAAATAAATGGCTTATTGCAGATTGAGCAGCGAAAAAAATCAATAAAAACAAGCTGGTTGATAACGGCAATATCGAATTCTATTTACTTTGCACGTATTAAGTTTAATAAAAACGATATTCGGATTTTGAAACAATCAATTACTTCACCTTGAGCTGGCTTTTGCGCTAAGTCAAACGGCGATAATCTAACAGAGTTGGCATAATTAATTCGAAAATTGCATTTTTTATTTAACTGTCCCATTTTCGAATTTTACAAAAAAATCACATCTCCAATAAACACAACTCGATCAGATGAAAAATCCATGACAAGCGAAACGCATTAATCAGTCTCCAATAACAAAAAAAAAACAAGTATATTACAAATAAGACGCATTAAAAACATTTAATACGAATGTAAATTGTACAACGGTCAATCTTTCTGCGTTTTCCCTTATTGCCATATAATCAGCTGATTTCTTTGTTTGATCCGCAAGAAGTCGAATAAATATTTTTAGGTCGATGACATCCTACGGAACAACAGCACCACGCTCAATTGAACCCATTAGCGTTCTAATTTGGCAAATAATAACCCGCGAGCCCAGCCGCACAGCCCAAATACGAATCGAATCTCGCGACGAACTCACCTTTATAGTGCACACGCAAATTGTTTTGGGACAGCCCGATGTACGTGTATTTGTCTTTGGTGCTCCAGGCCCTCGGCAGCTGGGTCTTCTCCTCGTTCACGGCTGGATAGAGTTTTTTCAATCGATCCACCGCACTGTTTTGCATCTCGGATTGCGAATCCATCACACTTTGACCACTACATTCGTCCGCCATTTCTGGAAAACCCTTTCCTTTCGCCCCTCCAACTCGGAACGATAATCTCGTTGTCGCCAATGCGCAGGCCCGCCGCGACGACAGGTCTGGCAATCAGCTGATAGATGTCAGAACGGGAATCTTAGGCGATTTTTCGCGATGCGCGTTCGATTCGATCGATTCGGAATCGATTATTTCGTTGTTGCAACGAAATAATCATAGACAAAATAAAAGACATCTTTCTTTCTCTATGGTTTCGTATTTTGGGATAGTAGATGAAAGATGTAGAAATGTAGAAATTTTTCAACAAAAATCTGTAGTTCATTCGTAACGAGTAAAAAATGTTGTTAATTTTCATTGTTGCCAACTTAAATTTAAGTTACTAAAACTCAACGTGTCAAACAAAGACAAATTTATTGCACAAACATTTTGACATTTTATTATGAACATACACGAAGAGAAACGATACAATTAATTTACACTAAAAAAACAACAATATAAGTAAATAGTAATAAATTTCAATTAACAAGTATAACAACCCTACACGAAGTATCTATAACGGTACTTTCCTTGACAACAATTTACATTCAATCGACTTTTTTGCGAGAATCCGTCTCAAAGTACGATCTAAAATAACCCCCAGGTTTAACATCATCCAACACCTTTCCGCCATCCGCATCTTTCGATTTCGAATGGTAAGGATAGAAATTCCCCGGATAATAATAATTCCCGTAATTACGATAATAATAATCGGTACCAGGGTACAAAAACCTGTACCTATTGTACCTATCCAAGTTCAACCGGGTATCCGACGTTTCGATTTGCCTGGTCGTCATCATCGACCCGTCCTCGTCGATTTTCAACCACCATATCAAGAAAACCACGGCCCCCGAGACCATCAGAAGCACCAAACCCGGCACCAGGAAGTTCCTGTAGAACGGATTGCTCTTCAGGATCCGCAGGAACGTCGAGCAAGCCCCCAGGAGCTTCAGTACTATCAGAGGAACGTACCCGAAGGCGCCCATCTTGTAGAAAACCGCCAGTAAATTGTTGTTGTTGTTGTTATCATAACTTACTCCGTAATTATTGTTGTCGTTGTTGTTGTAATAGTAGGTTTTATCGTAAGTTACAGTGTCTACTAAACCTTCTAAACTGTCACCGAATAATTTGGCAAATATTTTGGGCATTATTGCGATGATTTTGTCCAAGGCTTTCACGATGATGTCGGAGAGGAGGTCGTTTTGCTGGGGAATTACCGGAGTTATAGGTACTAAAGGTTTCGGTATGAGGTTGTTATTGGTCCCGTAACCTTGGTTGTAATTCCCCGGTGGTTTGTAGGAATCCCCGGCTCTGGCGATGGGCGGTAGACCTGAAAATCCGGGCGTTTGTAATACATTAATTGGCTAATCAATCGGCTCACCTAACCGGGTCTTTAGCGCATTGATTTTCTTCACCACTTCGTCGTATTGGGCGGTTTGTTTGGTTTGTTTGGTTTCTTCGGGGATTTTGGTTTGGACCGGTTCGAGGTATTTCCTCATTTCTTCGGCCACATCGTCGATTTTCGCCGGTTGCGGTTTAATTTCCAACGATCTTCGGATTCTCGGCGGGTTTTGAGCGACCTGATTAGGCTCGTTTCCTTCGGTCAATTTGTTAATGATACCTGGAGTAATCGAGCAATTAGTTTCCTTATTTCATTACAATCACGCATATGTACCTTTCAAATCGCTAACTTCTTTTTCTAACACATTCAAAATCGGATTGTATCCGAACGTCCCGAGTTTCGCTTCGTTCTTCATGCTCTCGATAACCTTCGTCAAATCCGCTATTTGTTCTTTTATATCGCTCACAGCAGCACCTTCAAATCCACCAATAATTAACCCTTTAAACGCAACATTTCAAACCAACTTTACCTCTATCGATTGGTCCTTCTTCAGCGTTCCTTTCCGCTGGAGTTTCTCTGGGATCCTGCCCCTTAGTTTCCTCTTCAAGCGCAGGAGGCTCCGCGTAAGGGGGAGTCTCGAAGCTCTCGTAGCTCGGCTGGTAATAACCCTTGTTTGGGTTAACAGGGGGGTACATGAAAGGCGGGTAAAATGGGTTGTACATGCTCGGTAAATAGGAATAATCCAGTGGTGGTGTTACTGGTGGAATATTCTGCGGGTACCAAAATGGATTCCCAAACGGATACAAACCCTTCCTATCATCTACAAATTGTATAATGTACAGTGAAGGTAGTTATTATAGAGCTTATTTACCAGAAACGTGCGTCGATTCACCGATGGAGAGGATATTTTTGATGTCCTTTTTGGCTTGCATGTTTATAATTTCGTCCAGTTTCCTGCGCAAATCCACTATTTGATCGGTTGTAAGGGTAACCCCGGAGCCTTTGTAGTCCTCTTTACCACTCGGTATATCCACAACGTTCAACCCCGGACTCGGTTTGAGTTTGTTTATAGCCACTTCCAGCCGCTTCAATTCCTCTTCGATATCGTTATTAGCTTTACCTTCGGGTTTACTGGAAACGAACCAGTTGATAGACAAATTGGTTGATCGAATGATGTGATATACTTACTCGGAGAGTTTGTTTTGCTCGATGAGTTTCTTGAGGAACACCACGTCGTCTTCAGTGAAGCCTCTGGAAGTGGGTTTGCCTTGGTCACTTGGTGTATCTTTATTGTTATCTTTCTGGTCTAATTTCGTGAGGAATTCGGCGAGATCCGATTTCAAATCTCTAGTTTTAGGCTTGTCCGATTCATCGAGGAGGTCGGAGAGGCTGCTCGTTCGAGGTTGGGTGCCGTTGGGCTCCGATTTCGGCGCCCCCACGATACCATCTTCGTCTTTCTTCACGATTTTATCGATGAGTTTGTTCAAACGGGCCGTCTGCCGCTTCTGCTGGGCCAGCTCCACCTGCAGCGCCGCTTCCTGGACCTTCTGCTGCTCGAACACGGCCTTCGTTCGGTTCAAACGGGCCGATATCTCCTGCAAATCGTACTTTAAGTTCTCTAGTTTCTTGTAAGTGGGCAGCGCAGCGTCGGCGCCGCCTTCGTCGAGGTTATTGTTGATGTGCTCGAGGACTTTGAGCAGAACAGCCGGATCCGTTCCTGCTGGAATCCCACCGTTTCGGTCTAACATCGATAGAACGTCCTGCTGGTCGTTGACGATTCCCAGCAGCTGGTTCAATTGCGCTACTTCTCGCTGTATCTCCTCGATTTGTTGCTGTTCGAGGCGATCGGGGCGACAATTCGCGGGAGTGTCTCGTTTTTTCCTCGTATATTCGTCGCTTTTGCTGATTGTGTTGCTGCTGGAGTTTTCTTCGGGTTCCTGCTGGTAATCGACGTTGAAAACGCCGAGTTTTAGAGCCTCTTTGGCGACGTCTACGACGAAGTTCTCCACGTCTTCGCCGATTTCCCGGACGCCTTCGAGGGCTTCGCCGTCGATGGTGAAGCCCCCGGGGGTTTTCGCTGAAATGGTTGCGATGAATGCCAGGATGAAAAGCCGCATGGTTGGTGTGTAGTTTGGCTGGAAAATTCGTACTGATTCGGTGCGAGTTCGAAGGTATCCAATGACCCGGTTTGGTGGAATTTGCTGGGATGGCTTTTTATTTAGCAAACGTTTTAGTAAGCGGTTTTTAATTTTGCTTGTTAGTTGCTCAATGCCTGTATACAGGAGGATTCGATGTAGGCGATTAATTGGATTTATATGAAGGTGGCTGGGGAATTTTCCGACGCGTGTAGTTTGCATTCATTTGCATTTTCCATTAGTTAAATGAGTATTATTTTAGATTACCGGCCTTCCCGGTGTTGGTTTAACTAAACAGACCGTTTTGTTGGGTTCCAACGGAGCAAATCGAATTGAATGCATTTCTCTGCGGGAGAGTTCCAAATCGAATTCTATTTTTTTCTAACATTTTCACTCTGCGGTAAATACATACTTGTCAATTTTGACGTACAAGGCTAACTAAATTTGATTGATAATTGAATAATAAGAAATCAAAGTGTCAAATATTTACATTTTGTCGCTTTTGACAGCCAAGGCTAACTATACTTTTGACTGTTTAATTTGGAATAAAGGATAAAAGTGTCAAAATATTCATTGTAATTATATTGAGAGTGAGAAATCTCCAGAATTCGAATAACTATATAGAAATATGCCCATTTGTAACTTGTATACTTAATTTAATCCACCGTGTTTCCATGATGTCGTTCCGAAAACAAGAAATTGCGTATTCGACTATAAATATACGAATTTAATTTCCTGAATATTAATAAATCCTTTCCTCGGAACGTACTCGGAAAATCCAATAATTTTACCAGGACCGTAACGGCCCCAAAATCAATTCTATTAAACGTTTAATTATGTCAATTTCGATTAGTTAATTGACACAATTCCAATGCAAAGCGACTTGATTTTGCATATTTTATAATCGACGTCACAAAAGTGTTGTACGTATTATCTCGTGTAGGACTTTTATATCCGGGCAATCCAGCCACATTGGAAAATATTTTAAAGTATAAGGCCACTACTGGACTTTTCGTTACACTGTATACAACATGCTCAACGAACGCAAACGTTTGCCAGTGACATTTCCGAGATTTATCCTCGGCAGTCATGTAATTTAAAATGGATAAGCAGCTGAAAAACCAAAAATTTGCAATGTAAAAATTGTATGAGTGGAACAAAGAAAGATTATTAAAATGACAGTTGTCAAAGTGAAAAGTTGCAATGACACAAATGTCACTCTTTCTTTTACGTTTGTAAGTGTCTAATGGAAGTTGTCTTTATCGCACCCATGGCCTACGTTGCAATGAAAAATGGAGCAATCTGTATTAGAGTATAGGGTAAAACTAAATAGAATATGCAACACTCGTAATGACAATTTTTTCGTTTAAAGGACGAGCCATTGTCAATTTTATCAACTTTAAATTTGACAAATAAATGTCAGAACCAAGAAACCATAGCAACAATTAATTGACACATTTTATAGTACGTTCAAATTTAATTTTTAAATGTATCAATATGCTCGGGGGTTAAAACTAAATTGGAATTCACGTGAATACGCGTTATTAAAATATTTTCAAATTTGGGGGTTGACTTAAGAATGAAATTACCTTTAAAACGAGGTGTCACTTGATCCCCCTTTCCATAAGAAAAAAAGATTCAAAATGGCGCTTAACTGTCATTTAGAAAGTTTCAACCGTCATTTAAACCGCTCAAATTCACCGCTTCAACCCTCAAATTCCAACTATAAACAGCAGTTTTTAGATGATATAAGCTTCAACCCTCAAATTCCAACTATAAACAGAGCAGTTTTTCGACGCTACAGAACGCCATCTCGGCCAAGAGAGGGCGCTAGTCGCCCGGTAAAATCGCGAATCGCCGCCTCCCCGCCGTCGCGACGCGCACGTCAATAACAAGCCCGTATAGGGGTTGTGTATGTGCGTCGCGCTGGCCCCGACACGGAGCGTCCCGTCCGACTTTTTTTCCACGCATTTCCGAATTCCAAGGGCGGAAATATCCGTCGAGCACGGCCCCAGCGAGTTTCTACACCCCGGTGCGCGTCGTCCGCAGCGGGAGCGTCGCGACGGCCCCGCTTTTAAGTCGAACGATCGGACGAAATAGGGGTTGATTGTGGGTAGAGTGGTGTGGTGACAGATCCGCGTTTCCTGGTTCGAATTGGGGCGCTCGGTGGATCGCTGTTTGGAGCTTTATTTTAACTGGTGCTGGTGGATATTGTGTGTAGCTTTTCGAAGAGGATATATTGTATGTTTTTTCGTTGTTCGGGAATTTGAATTTTCGCCAGTCCGTGCGCCATTTTGCGCGAGGGTTTTTAGGCGTATACAGTTCGAGTTGATGTCGGTTTTGGGGTGGATTTTGTCGTCGGGTTATCGGCGTTGCGACGCAAAAGGACGCCAATCGACGTGTTATTAGAAGGTAAATGCTGGTTTGGCTTTGTAATGGAATAAATGTATCGATATTTTTTGTATATACAGATGGTTTTTGACATACATATAGTTTGTGTATGCGCGGTTTTATAAGTCTCTACTGTGTTTTTTAATTGCACGACTATCCTTATTCGAAAACATTCGTTTTGCATTCGCTACACTAATCGTATTTATTAAATAAAAAAACAATATCAATATTGTACTCATCTGTATATTATACAGGGTGATTGCAATTAATATTACGTACCAAAACTTCACATTCTATGCATCTTTCATTCCGTTTAATCTGACATCTTTATTGAAAAATATACTGCTCCACAAAAGTTAACGAAGTTCACAAATTAATTTAAATTTGCAGGTTTTTTGATCGCCAAATTTACTATTAATGGTAGAGGTAGGGGCAAGAAATCCACTCACTTATGAGAGAAAACATTTAATTTCGCATATTTGAAAATTTAGTGATCAAAAAGTCTGTAACATTTAAAATAATCGCAAAATTTGCGAACTTCCTTAATTAACTTTTGTGGAGCAGTTTATATTACACCCCTCGTATATTCGCCAGCTTTTTAATTGTTCTATTGTTATGATTACAATCGATATTAGGCGTTTTTGCGTAGAATTTAAAATTCCTCCGATTCTATTCATTTATTTTACATCGAGCACTTTGCTGGAAGAATTTAAAAACATGTTTTATCTTTAAATGTCACGAATTAAAATGATTACTAGAACCTAAACAATACAAAAATTAATTAATATATTATCAAGTTATTCAGATAGATAATAATCTTTCTTTTATACCCTATGGTGCATTACAGTTTGCAATGTTGTCATTTATGTGAGTTGAATAAAGAAAGATTATTAAAATAATCAGTTGGAGTGAGAAAGTTGCAATCTGACATTGTCACCCTTTCGTTTTCCTTCATAAAGAAAAGAAGTTGTCTTTGTCGCACCCATATTGCAAACTACAAGGAATCAATCTGTATAAAAAGTAGTACAGGATACTCAAAACTAAGTTGTTTGTGCTTAAAAATACTATAAAACCCGGGAAAATTCTAGTCGAAACCTCGAAACATCCATATTTCATTGTTAATCACCAATTATTTGCCATAAAATAGTTGGCCCTGAGTGTATATACAAGCTATCACAATCAAACGTCAAACGTCAGAAAAAAACGCTTAAAAACGCCGCATCCTAGATATCAATCGAGAAATTTGATTCCCCGCCATCGAAATTAATAACGCGATGTATCTTAAAACATCCGAGGCATCGTTCGCGCGAATCAATTTCCGAAACGACCGGCATTCCGCGTACACACGCACGGGAAAATTCCCGATTGAATTCGTATTGATTTTCGTCCGCATCGGAGACAAAATACATTCCTTATCTTCCGGCTGGCGGCAAGCCAAAACGGCGGAGTTGATTGTTTAGCTTTTTCCGCGCTTTTCCCCGGCTTTTCCTCCGCCAATTACCGCGTCCGATTCTTACCTTCTTCGGTCCGCGAAGATTTATCAAACGACTACAATCGGGAATCCATCGAATTGCCTGAAAGTATGTTTGGAAATGTGCGGTTTAATAGTAATTTTAGTGATTAATTTGCGAATTAATTATTTCAGATATTAAAAGGACGAAATGTGGTAGGCGAGGCTAGGGGGGTCAGCCCCCCTATCGACCTGGCGCCGCCATCACGGATCACAACGGCGACCGACACAGGTGAGTGTTTGTGCCCCATTTACCCCCATTGGTTTCCCCCCATCGTCCCTAAAAATTTTGGTGAACTTCCAAATTTCTACGCCGGTCTTTCGCCAGTTCACTTACATAGTTGTTTTGCAAGTGTTGCAATAATTAAACCTCCACTATTACATTTCGAGCTCGAGTAACTTGTACAGTAATACATTTCCCCCCTTTTCGGTTACTTACATGCAATTAAGCAAACGGGCGAAATTATATAAAGTTTAATTCGCTTTAAATGCCGTCAAGGCAACTTAGTTTCAATTAATCATCAGCTCGTTTGTGCAATTACTTCAACTATAACAGCTTTATTAAAGAATTTTCTTTAATAAACTTTTTTTTGAAAAAGTGTGACATTTTCTTGTTCAAAAGTACTTGCATAATGTTTAGAGGTTTTTATAGTATCACCCTGTATGTGATCTTTAAGTTTTTGGGGGTTACTATGAATTAAATCTACATAATTACAGCAAGTTCATAGCGCGTAGTTTTCCTCTCGTCGAACTTTCCCAATCAAATAACGAATTAAGATAACCGAAGTGAATTCATTTGCCTCTCCTGTATCATCTCCGGACTTCGGATTAGTTCGAAGCGACGGAAATAAACTAAAAAAAAAAAATAGAAAAAAAAACACTAGAAACTCCGGGAAAAGTTCGAATAACGTCCGCATTGTTCGCGAACGAAAACTCGCCAATTAATTAAGAAATTTTAAAGGGATAAAGGATTCGCCTTTGATAAGGGGCGCAATTATCGAGTTTATTATTATAGCTACAATCGGGGCTAACTTCTGGGTAATGTGCAACGCCTATTGCATTTGGAACCGGATAACAACCAAGTCAGAGGCACATAAACATTTTTTCATTGTAATATTCTACCCTGTAGTTGACCCAGAATCATTTAGAACGCTCCAAAATCATTTAGAACTGTCTAGAAATCATTTAAAAAGCTTCAGAAGTCAGAAGTATTTAAAACGCTCCAGAATCTGTCTTCAGAAAACTGTCTAGAACCATTTAGAACAGTCTAGAACTCATTTAAAATGCTTCAGAAGTCAGAAGTATTTAGAACGCTCCAGAATCTGTCTCCAGAATACTATCTAGAACCATTTAGAATGGTCCAAAATCGCGGAAACTTTCCAGGTATAAACGCTCCGAAAAGTGATGTATACCGTGGAATTTCGAAAGTTATCCGGGCCAAACTTCCCGGCGAGAAAGATCCAATTTTTTCGCAGCTTTCGATTCCGAGCAAATCCTCTCGAATTGTTCTTTTCCATCACTTCAGGTGGAAACGAGCGATGTATCCGTAAACAGATCGCGACCGGCCGAAAACTTTCCCGGGGAAATTGATAACCCGGATTATCCGCGAGGTTTTCGAATCTAATTGCGTTGGTGGGGAAAACGCGAAATGAAATTTTCGAAGCATGAAATGATGTAGTTTTAGTTGGGATGAACTCGCGGGGACTTCCCCGAATCCCTACACCGATATAAGAGGACTATTGTAATCGTGAATATATCAAAAAATATATTCTGGTATAATTGCGAGCTTTACCTCTCTACTGTAAAACCTCCATTTTCGCAATTATCGCGATATTAAAACCTGACGTGCGCTTCGGGGATATATTTATATACAGCGACGAATCTCTTCCTGTTCCTTGGGCGGAAATTTTATTAGCAAGAGGATGAAAGAGGCAAATGGAAATAATAAAAAAAAAACTCGCACAGAGTTAATAGATGCGCCATATATGGCGCACTTTTCTCAATAAAAAGTCGCGAATTTTAAATTTTAATCAGCTCTATTTATATTAAATACTTCATTGACCATTTAGTTAAGAAAAAGTCGTAATAAAATTCTCCAAAAAAACAAAATCTTTTAAATAAATAAAAATTTAACAAAAATGAAAGGTTTATAGGAAACGTCACTGTCATTCGAATTTTTCTTCTTTTTAGGGATAAATAAATTATATTTAGTATCAGTATGACTCGTTAAGAAGAGACCAGATTTTGACATTTACAATTGTCAAATTGACAGCAACTACAATAGCTCATGAGCAAGTGGAGAACCTCAAAATATGATAAAAACTTAAATGTTATTTTTTCGAATTGTCATTGGTTATTAGTATACAGGGTGTTATTTATTATTAGGGTTATTATTTATGGTATTTTTATTAATAATTCCATTAATAGTAGAGGTAAAATGATGAAATTTGGTACACATACTAAGCAAATAATATGCCTTACGGCACCATACAATCGGGTTAAAAAAGTTATCCAGGGGTGGGTCGTGGGATAATTCTAACTTAACTTTTTTATTATAACCTCGCTCCCAAAGTTTGTCCACTTATTTCAGAATGCACCGTCTATATGTTCGTTTTATTCGTTCGCAGATGTCCTGACAACGGGCCCAGGGCCACCAGAATGCCAACGGACGACGACTATGGCCGCAGCAGACATCAGACCACGTCGGCGCCGTACGGCGCCGGCGCCCAATGTCAATCGCCCGCTCGGGCCGCTCATTGTCCTGTGGGCTGCCCTCCTGGCGCCGACAAGCACCACCACCCGGACCCGCCCGGCTTCGCCGCCGATCGCCTGTTCGCCGCCGATCGCCCGCCCGCCGGCGACCGCTACCCGCCCGTCTCGGAGCGGTACCCGCTCGGCGACCGCCCCCCGACCGCCCTCGCCGCCGGCAAGGAGCCCGACCGGTACGCGGCGCGCTTCGATCGCTACCATTCGGACCGGTACCCGAGGACCGGCAAGGAACCCGACGGTGGCTACGCCGCCAAATCGCCGCCGAAGGACTGCAAGCAGGAGTTGTACCACGGGCGGTACGAGCGGTACGCAGGCGGAGGCGGCGGCGATCGCTTTCCTGCTATACCGTGTCCGGAGAGATTCGCGACGCAGGAGCGGCTCGAGCGGCCCGAGAAGATGCCTTTCTCTCAGGTGTCGTATTTGGAGCCTCCCTCGCCGGCGCCCGCTAGCGACAGGTACCTCCATATTTTACTACAACATATCTTCTACAAGACTCTATACGAGGGTAGGGTGGAAAGTTCTCCACCTGACCTTCATGGAAGACCGCGGTTTTTTGGTAGGGTGAAAAGTTCTCGACTTGCAGACCGCGGATGACAGCGATTTGTTGCATTATTCTTCTTATTAAATTAAAATCTTTAGTTCGAGAGAGTTCTAAAAGATTCTGGAACGGTCTGAATGACTAAAGCGTGTTCTAAATAGTTCTAAAACCATTTTCAACGCTTTGTAATCATTTAGAATTGTATATCTAAACCCATTTAGAACCCGTTTAGAACTCTCCATAACTATTTAAAACACTCTATAGTCATTTAGAACGTTCCATAGCCATGTAGAACGTTCCAGAATCATTTAGAATTGTCTAAAACCATTTACAAAGCTCCAAAGTCATTTAAAACTGTCTTGGAACGCTCCATAGTCATTTGGAACTGTACAGAATCATTTAGAACGCTTCATAATCATTTAGAACTGTCTATATAAACCCGTTTAGAATGCTCCATAACTATTTAGAACACTCTTTAGTCATTTAGAACGTTCTAGAATCTTTTAGAACGTTCCCGAACTGAAGATTTTAATTTAATAAGAAGAATATAGCAAAAAATCGCTGTCTGCAAGTCGAGAACTTTTCACCCTACCAAAAAATCGCGGTCTTCCACATGAAGGTCATGTCGAGAACTTTTCACCCTACCCTTGTAGGGCAGTACCCTCTTCTACCTATTCTATAAAGTACTATTTTTTGCACGAATTTTCATGGCGTTTCAGATTCTTCCCGCCGCCGCCGCTCTCGCCCGCCAACACTCCCAGTCCGGATTGTTTTTCGAACAACACGTTCCCGTCTCCGACGGCGACGGCGCCGCCTTCGGAGCGCTTCGTGCCGCCGCCGCCGCTCTCGCCCTCGCCCACGGAGGCGTACGAAAGGTACGACAAATTGCACCGCTACCAAGGGTACTCGTCGTCTCCGAACATCCCGTCGGCAGATCGATCGGCGCACAATAACGACACCAGGTCAGTAGTACTAGTACTAGTACTGGTATAATAAACGCAATAGAGGTACTATCGGATGTAAATTCGTGCGTTTGTTGCAGGTATAAAGAACGGTACGGCCACAATTACTCGGATAGATACCAGCAGCAGGGTAACCAGCAAAATTACCAAAACGATAAATATGTAACGAACGATGGTAGGTTTATAAACGACAGGTACGTACCGCCCAACGCTCATATGCCGGTAGAGCGGTACGTACCGCAACCTCAAGAACCGTACTTCGCGAATTACCAAAACTACGGCTACAAAACCTTCAACAACAGCGATCCTTACATGCGAAGAGATCTCGCCTTCCATTATCGACTGCCTATACCTTACAGCAACAACTACCAGAGGATCAGATTCACCGGTACGCCCGGCAGGTACTTACATACAATTCCCATACACCAATTGGATCTATACCCCGCTTTGTTTCGGTATATAGATTCAAGTGTTGCCAGTTCCAAGATGGCTACCAGATGTGCAAATCGAGCCCGGGCTCGAGCTCGAGCAGCTCGGTGACCAGCCAAAAGGAGGCGGCGTCGGCGTCGGCGTCGGCGTGCTCCAGCGACGTCCAGTGCCAAAGCTACCACGGCAACAAGGAGTACTTCCAGCAGGAGAAGGCCGTGCAGTGCGCCAAGGGCGCCTGCCGGCACGGCGTCTGCGCCAGCCCGTCGGTGGAGTACGTGGGGGCGTCGGGCGGGCGTCACGTCTGCGCGACGCCGCCGCCGCCCCCCAAAGGCGCCGGTGGCGCCGACGGCGGCGGCGCCTGCAACGAGAATTGCTATCCGAGGCGGTCGCAGAGTACTCTCACCGTTACCGTGTGGTAAGTTTCAACTTCCTGCTACTATTCTACTTCCTGTATCTTATAATAGTCTAGTCTGAATACTTTTTTTTTATGCAAAATATCATACAGTAAAGGGCCACGGGTTTTATATTGAAACTCTTTCAAACAACGTAAAAGGCCACCGAGTAGATAATTTTTTTATCCACATTCGTGTCAAGGCATCGCCTTTCTTTTTTCAACACTCGGTTTCGTCATTCGCTTTGTTCTTGTAGATTGTAGTTCTCTGAAGTTAGCTACAGTCAATAAATGACAGTTCAAGAAAATGGATTTTGGTTACAATTTGTTATAAAACTCGTTGAGAACATGTTAATTGTAGGTGATTTGTGTGAAGTTTAGAAGTTATGGATGTAGAGGAAGAAAATGTCGTGTTGGAGCCATTGTAAGTAAACGTTTTTAAATTAGTTGTACGCGGAATTGAGGTTATGTGATACATCCAAAACAAACGCCCCATTTATAAATAAATTCTAATTTTTTAAACTAACGAATGAATGACCTCACAAAAAAGTGTATTTAACAACAAAATGAGAATAATTTGCTTAAATACAAAATTCTGGCAAATTTTGCGCAACATCTCAATTTTGAAAAATTACAAAATTTCTTAGATAAAATAATGAATAAATTTTACACCTTGAATAATCTTTATATCACTACAACAAATTACCATATTTTATTTTTAAAGTATAACATGTAATTACATTTGGTGGTTTATAATGCGGATAAACCGGAATAACATTTTCCAGTAGGAGCTCAAGAAACTTCGTTTATTTTCATACACCGAATTGATTATTCGTAGTGCATCGAATATTCAATGTAGGTGTTGTAATTCGCCCGTTATTAATATTCAAATTAGCAAGGGATCGGATATAACCTAGTGTGACGCGCCGTAATATTATCTAAACAATTTCCTGATTACCTTCCATAATTTCCGAAAACAATGCTGCAACTTCCGAAACAACAACCGTTTCGGACTAATGCCCCGTTATATTCGAATACCCCCGGACTTTACGCTTCGTTATATTCGCCCCTAAATCATCGACACACTTTTGTCCGAATCCGCGGATTCGTTCGACTAGAAAAAATAAATAAAAGTAAAATAACGGCGCGCTGTTTTCGACCCAATTTTCCAGCCGCCCAACTTCCATTACCGGGATTAATGGCGAAAAGAGGCGAATAAGAACGTTTAATTGCCGTTACAGAAATAACTAAAATCCCTTTTACATACAGGGTGTTAATTAGGAGGAGAAATATGACAGAAATGTTATTTTTTTCCCAAAATTTTAGCACCCTGTAGCTCGAAAACTAAGAGGTTTAGAACATACAACTTTTCTTCTTAAAATCATCCAAATATTCACATCCTGAAGTATAAAGGGATTTTACTAGTTATTGGGGATATTCACATGGATTACCTAAGATATAGGAAAATAACTTAATGAATATTTTCCCGTAGCGCATTACATAGAAAGCGCTCCGACAAAACAAGGGTTTTAATAGGAAAAGCGGCCGTAAAATTCGTCCGGAACGGTTCGGGAAACATCGATCCGGAAAGTTTCCGATCCCGGAATAAGAAAAGCTATCCGTGGAGTTTCGCATTTCATTCAGGACGCTGAATACTCGCGTATATACACACGAAGTTTCCTTATAAGCGGAGGGGAGTCCTTTTTGGAAATCAATCCAAGAGATGCCTAAGTTAACCGAAACGTGTAACTTTGCGAAAGGGAGATATTTTCCTAATTCGGAATTCGACGCGGATGTATAAACTGCTTGCTTCCGTTTCCGTCGCTTTTTTTTTATTTCTCTCCGCGTTTAACAAACCGGGAAAGTAAGTGTGTACGTGTCGCGAAGTAACCGGAGTATTTCGACAAAGTTTCCTACCGTGCAACTTGCAATTTCCCTTCCCATTTCCACGGGTTTCGGTTTTAATCGTTACGTGATCGGTTAAAACTATACGCGGATTTGTTCTATAAGAAGTGGATTAGTCCCAGTAGCGTTTGAGTAAATATGGAATTTCGTCACAATTTTGACAAGAGTTTTATAAATATTTTGACGACAGTTTCATTACAATTTTATCAGCATTTTGACAAGAGTTTTATAAATATTTTGACGACAGTTACATCACTATTTCATCAGCATTTTGACAAGAGTTTTATAAATATTTTGTCGACAGTTTCATTACTATTTCATCGCCATTTTCACAAGAGTTTTATGAGTATTTAGACGACAGTTTCATCACAACTTCATCACCACTTTGATAAGAATTTCATCACTCTCTATATACGAGTTTCGTCTCACAATTATTTCAACTTTTTAATCCACTTCGCCTTATCGATTTCCGCATATATTTTTGCCTTTGCATTCGATTTAATCAACGGAAACCCCGCACTTTTCTCTATATTAAACTCATTACAGTGGAATCCTTCTATCGATCGAGGTAACATCTGAAATCGGAGAAAACGAGATATCCAAAGGAATCGTCGATATAATAATTACACGCTGGAGAAACTAATCATCTACATGTATTCGCAATGTTCAATGAACATCGCTGATTGCAACGAGCAATATGTAAACCATCTCTTCGCAGAGGATTTTCTCCGATCGAGGTATATCGGGGAAATTCCGCGCCGCGAGTTATTATTAGTTATTAGCAAAACGATTTGATATTTGATCGATTCGAATGCGCCGATAAGTCGCAACAATGATGCGAATTTAAACAGCTATTTGTTTGCATATTTGCTACATGTTGGAATTCCTTATCGATTAGACGGGGGGCATGCCTTGACATGCCCTACAAGCCCTTGTAGCACAGAACCGGATTCTCGACCCTTTTTTTTTCTCTCTACACCATCGTAAATCAACGGTCGCACATTTTTATCTAGATTCTAAACTTTAATGTCTACTGTGTACATCTTTTTTTATCATTTCCTTATCAAAAACTGAGTATAACTGAAGGGAAATTCGCGGGAACCGGTGCTGTAACCAGATTTTCGGAGAATGCCGGGGGTATTAACGTTTTAACCGGTAAAATATCGTTACATCTAAGTGACAAGGTATTTACATTGTATAACAGATCGTTTTACATGTTACAACAAATTCCCTTTGTTCGAATCGCTTGGTGGTTATTCCCATTTCTTTTGGTTACTTCAAGTTTGTCGGGGGACCTAAAGAAATAGTAATTACCGAGGAATGATCGTGTTTAGGTACGGTAATTTAGTAATCGTTCGAATGCGCGGAAATGGAATTATTAGGTTTGAAGAGCGCCGGCCCTTTTCTCTTCGGTTTTTCGGTTGCGAAATCGGTCGCCCGAAGGGCCGCGCGCTGTTGAAAAAAATTCAATATAAACGGATTCGAAGGAATTCCCGTCGAGCTTCGCATCTTCCCGAAATAAGGTATACCTAATTCCCGTTATTTCCGACGACTATTCCGCCGTGTTTACATTTCTATTTCGTTTCTTTTTTCTTCCTTTCATTTCGCCGTTCTGTCGTCGCTCGCGCGCCCCCGGGCCCTTTCGCTATAACAAAACCAACGAATTCCGGTTTTAATGTTGGAAAAAATGAGTTTTTTTTTTATTGATAAATCTCCAATCATCGCATCAGTCGGCGTCTATTATTGCTGAATAAAGAAGATAATATGACCTATAAAATGAGAGGTTTTTTTTTTCGAACTTCTCCATCATAAAAATGTTGTTTTTAATCCCGGAATTTAATAAATGCGAACGAGTTTTCTTTGCGACCCAGTTACCGGTGAGTTATTTGGACGGACGATTTATCTCTTCGGCTCCGGGAATGATCGGAAACAATTAATTGTTTCGTGTGTACACAGAACGCGATTCCTGAGGCTCGAACCGCCGATATCGAATTTAAAGGATCCCACAGACCGACGCGAAACTTTCGCTGCCGCTGCGGCGGCGATTTCGCAGCGATTCCGCAGCGATTTCGCAGTGGAAAAGTTTCGCGTTGGTCTGTGGGATCCTTTAAATCGACGGGAAAATATAACGAATTATAGTATACGGTGGAGAATGCGATTTAGGCGAATTATGTAGTTTTAGCGACGTCGATGCGCGTCGCTCGCGAAAACGATAAAATGCAATTTTCCATCGGCGACAATCCAATTTGCCCCGCGAGAGAGGAGCGAAAAAAAAAGGAAACGGAAAAGCGCCTCGAAAAAGATCGATCAAACTTTATAAAGTGGTTCAATTTCGATAGACGCGTCGCAGGTACCTAATAGGTAAGAATGGCAATCCTTTTATACAGGGCAACTTTACATGATGTGGTATTTTTGTGGTTATTTTTTTTCCCAAAATTTTACCACCCTGTAGCTCGAAAACTAAGAGGTTTAGGACACACATTGATATAAACTTTTCTTCTTAAAATCATCCAAATATTCACATCCTGAAGTATCGGCACTCAATTATATAACACCCTGTACAGGGTGGTGTAAAAGTAATGTAATTTGTCATCAGATTTAGCGTGAAACGAGATTATTATACATTATACAGGACGTTTAATTGTCCCGTGTTGAAGTATATAGAAAATTCGTCGATTTGGCGCCGGATCGAATTAATCAGTCGATTTTAATTACGGTAAATGTTGAGTAATTTGTAGATGATGTCAAGTCGAAATCCCTCTCCGTTTCGGCGTGATAATTAGTGAATGTCACTGTAGTGAATCAATCGAATTTACGCGTCGCATTCGAAATTCTACAACGTTATTAAACGAACCTCCGAGCACTTACACATCGACGATAGATACTAAATTACGATCACAATTATGCTTGAGATATACCGGGTGTCTCCTGAAAGGTTCCCCTTGTATTGGTATACGATAAATCGCCCTGTATATCTTGTTATAAACGAAATCCGTCGGACTAAAATCGGGCGAAACTCGCTCCAGATAGTGCCTAGTTAACCGGAGCATATCGATCGATATACCGTCAAAATTTCAGGCAAGTTTGGGAATCTTCTAATGACTGTTGAGAACTGATTAGTTTTTGGATCGTTAAACGCCCGAAGGGGACGGGCGTTTGTGTGTGTGTTTTCTTGCCATCGACCACCCCCGATGTACATTAACCTTATTTCGACCCTAATAGCGGTCGAATTAACGGCCCTGTTGAATAAAACTCCGGGTTATCTATGGACTGGAAGCGCTCGAAATTAGAGGCGAATTTACAAATGTTAAAAAAAATCACACAAACGCCCACCTTTTAGTACCTACAGTGGAAATGTTCTTATCTAATCGATATTAGAGGTGGACGCGATTCGATAAATGACAGAATAACGATTTATTAAAAAAATAAATAAAAGTATAGGATCGTAGTAAGCGACATAAAATTCCATATTGACATTAAGAGACTCCCATAAAAATAGTAACGGACGATAAAACAGCGAAACAGTTTGTTATTTTTTTTTTTATTCGCGAGACTGATTATCGATTTTATTCTCATACAAAAAAAAAGTTGACTGCAGAAACGCACTCGAATTTCCCTCCCCGCGGACAGTATGAGGAAAATATGATAACCCCGATCGAAAAAGGGGGCACAAAAAGGAGTCGAATTTAATTTTCGCCGTTCGTCTTTGTGCGAGTTTCTTCAGACGAAACAAAACGAGCATCGTCCCCGCGAAATCGCTTTGGAAGTTACAAAATGAAAGTGGAAGTTTCCCGCCCGATGGGAATCCCGAAATTCGAAGCCGTCGAATCTCGGTTTTTGGAAGACCGTTTTAGAGGCATCGGGTTAGAGAAATCGACCCCCGTTCCAGTTCAGTTTGCTAAATAGACGCGCAATTAACGTTGGCCCCCCGAAAGAAAAACGAGAGGGCGTCGCAGTTTTGATTTTCCGGATCGACTGCTCTATGCAGGTTAATTTTTTGAGGATCGGGAATTTTCGAAAATCTATTTCCATCAATTTATTTATTCCATATTTGTATCTCGAATCTACTCTACTATACACTACTCTACACTACTCTATTCTAGTCTAAACTACTCTATTTTACTTTACACTATTCTACTCTACTCTACACAATTGCTTTTTTAAACTATGCCAAAAAATCATCAATTTCTTTCAAAGTTTGCAATGAATTCAAATAATTCCCTTTTCTACCTAAAATATTCTTGCGCCCAGATCTCCTATAGAATTAAAATACCCTTTAAAGATCTAGGGCAATAAATAATATATTTCTAGTTGTATTAATAGTATTCCTTTAATTATTAATTCTCCCGAATCATTCAGAATTCTCTAGAATCATTCAGAACCCTCATGGTTATTCTAGAACTGTCTACAACCATTTAGAACGCTCCAAAGTTGTTCAGAACTATTTAAAATCATTCAGAACTCTCCCGAATCATTCAGAATTCTCTAGAATCATTCAGAACCCTCGTGGTTATTCCGGAACTTTCTCTCTCTCGCCGTCTCCCGGGCGCTCCCGATTCCCAGACGTTCCATTAAATAACCGGATGAAATTATTCCGTGTGTCCCTAATTAAATGCACCTACCCACTATCGCGAACGTTCGAACGCCAGTCGATTATACTAACAGATCGGGGGCGCCCTCGCTCAGGTGGCAAACGGAAAGGTCTGAAAGGGTCTAATGAATATCCAGAGCGGATTTTTTTCCTTTTCCATTCCCCCGTTTCGTTCGAGCTGATGCCCGGAACGGAGTCGCCCGGGCGGAAAATAACGCGAAAACAATCTGTCTGGTAGATTTAAAATCGCGTTTTGTCGCAGGAGAGGCGCCCCGCAGGCGGCGAATCCCGCCGCCCAAACGCCCAAACACCAGGAACGGGCGCTGACGCCGCCCGCCCCCAAGCCGGTCCAGCGCCCTGCGACGCCCTCGGCCCAGCCGGAGCCCCCGCAGAAACAGGAATCGGGCGATTACGCGGAGAACGCGCCCGTCAAATCGCCCCAAATGGGCGGCTCGCCGCCCGTCCGGACGCCCGTCCACCAGCGGGCGGTGTCGATGCCCGTCGCGACGCCCGCCGACCGGCCCCGGCCCGCCGCCCACCAGCAACAATCCAGGTGAGACTGGACAACAATCCGATGGGCTGATTTCGTTAATGTTGATGTTCTTTGTGGTTTTTGCAGGCCGGTGAATTATTCGCAGAGCGAGAGGATTCCGAACAGGGAGAGGCCGGCTTTGAACAGGACGTTGAGCAGAAAGGAGATGATTAAGAAGTACATTAGAAAGGAGACGGCGAATTTCTTCGGCGTCGACGAGGACAACGAGAACGAACAGCAACTCAGGTGGTTGGATAGACGGAAAAGGATGGCTTGCAGGTGGGTTTTTTTTGTTATCCAAGAAAAACGCCACGACCTGGCGTCACTTAAACAGCTCAATTTACTATTAACCACATTCTATCGTAGAACGATGGGACCCCTGAAAGAGGAGTACTGCACGCCGAGCATCAGCCGTTTCTCGCAATCCCACCGTCGTACGCTCTCCGAAATGGCGCAGTCCGCGCAATCCGCCCACGTCGGTTCCGGTCAATTGACCACCGAACGACCGGACGTGTTGCCCGGACCGTCCGATCTACCGGACGCCGGCGTTTCGCCGCCGGAGGCGGTCCGCAGCGAACCGTCCATCAGGCGAAAGGATTCCGTGGCGAGGATGACGTGGGACGGGCTGTCCTACGTCGTAACGGTGAGCGAAAAATTTGCTAATAACTATAATTCGTCGTGCGTTTGTATGAATCTAGTAGGTGTAGTTGAGAGAAGAAGAAGTCTACTTGTAGTCGGATCTCTTCTACTCCATCCATCGTATATTAGTATATCAATCCAGTAGGAGTAATTGAGAGCAGAAGATTCTCAATAATCGGATATCTCTTCTCATCCATCCTTCGTACATTTCTACCAATCCAGTAGTAGTAATTGAGAGCAGAAGAGTCTACATATAATCGGATCTCTCCTCCATCCATCGTATATTAATATATCAATCCATTAGTAGTAGTTAAAGAGCAGAAGAGTCTCCATATACTCGCATATCTTCTCCCCCATCTTGCACATCTTAATACTCTCTTTACTTATTAGAAACATCCCAGGCTACATTCCCTTTAATAATTCGTTGTTTTTTTTTTATCCAGACGTTGACGAGGAACCGGCCTCGACCGAGATCCCAATCGTCCCACTGGTCTCGAAGCTATCCCCCCGATACTCCAAGCGCTGCCTCATCGCCCGAAGAGCAATCGTTCTTCGAGAAACCGGTCGCGCCCGCCTCGCCTCGCGCCCCCGAAGGCGGCGGCGATACCATCGACAAGGCGGAGGCGGCGGCGTTGCCGCCCTACAGGTAAACCCCGTCGATGAACTATACTTCATCCATTTGGAGTAACCAAAAGAAGGTTAGACGCTGGATCATCAAAAGTAAACAGACAAAAGTAAAAGAACACCACGAAATAGTTGTTGAAATTTAACTTTATTTATTCTAGTTACATGTATAAGAGAAAATTAAAATTAATTCATCAAATTAACAACGAAACTTAAAAACAAATTAATAATGTGTTGCACCACCGTGGTGCTGTAGGCACACACTCTCTACAGTTTGAATGAAAAATAAAATTTGCTTCTTGGTGTTCTTTTACTTTTGTCACTCAGTATATAAAACAGCCTCCTTACGCTGACCAATCACTGGGTTGATCCAGCGTCTGAACTTGTTTTTAGTTACTCCATTGCTTGTATGAATGAAGTATAGAAGTAAAGAAAACTTGAAATCGTGGAATAGAACCTGGTGAAATGTTTGTTTGTTTATTTATTGTAGGGAGCGGGAGAGAGTGAGGTACGCGGACGTGCCGAGCAACGCCGGATGGAGAATAGATCAGCACGAGGTGATTTTGAGGCACGGCGAGCGCCGTTCGAACGGTGCGAGAGGATCGAGGATACCGACGAGCACGTTGGACAGGGTGTTGGACAATTCCGATCGGAGACAGTACGGCATGGGATGGGTGGGACGGATGTTCGGGTGAGTAGGAATTTATAATGTGGTATCAGCATTTCTAATAAGAGAAAAAAATAAAGCCACATTTTAGTATTCAATTTGAACTATTCAAATTTTACTACCGATTCGCCCACCACAGTCTACCTTAATACTTTTGTACTACTTGCAATATATTGTGAAAATGCTCTTACGTTTGGAACGAATTTTCCAGGCACTCGTTCAGGAAATCTGTCACTCAAGACGCGAAAGTTCGCGAGCAATTAGACGATATGGAGGACCACCGGCCGATGTTCACCTATTGGGTGACCACCGTGCAGATATTGGTGTTGTTTATTTCGATCGTTTGTTACGGTATTGGGCCCTACGGGATCGATTTACAATCGCGTTCCGGTCAAGTGTTGGTTACCAGTTTGTCCTTGCAGCAGGTCGATTACATGGAACCCGCCAATTTTTGGTACGTTTTTAGTTAAAACAGGGCTTTCGTTGATTAATGCAATGTACTTATTGTAATTGGGGGGTGATTCTTGAGTCAATTTTGAGTCGAAATGTTCATATAAACATTAGGTAGCTCAAAGTATAACTAGGTATTTATTGTTTAGTTGTTTAGTTGGTATTTAGTTATAGTTTTTCTTTCCTTCTTGTTAAGTAATTACATTTTAATGTGTCTGTGGGAGTATAATGAACAAATAAATAAAATAAATAAATAAAGGTATTTCCTCCGAAGCTCGGTTTTCGATACACCTACAGTGTTATATTTTTATTATGATAATTATGAAAAACCGTTTGCGATCCTACATTATTGAAGTAGATATTTAGTTAGTAGATAGATCGATAGATAGATAGATTTAGTAAATAGAGCTTCTAACGACATACCTTTATATGAACTTTTTCGACTCGAAATTAATCACCCGTTAAAATAACTACATTGCATTGATTAATAAACGGAATGATTCGTGGATTTGTTTTTAATGGAGGTTTTTTTTGGACAGGCTGGGTCCGAGGGCGGCCGATTTGATCCATTTAGGGGCGAAGTTCGCGCCTTGCATGAGGCTGGACGATAAAATTAAGAAGGAAATCGATAAGATACAGGCGAAGGAAAGAGAAACGGCGTGTTGCATCAGAAACGATGATTCCGGTTGCGTGCAATCGTCGCAAGCCGATTGTTCTGTAAGTATATGCATTACTTAAATTGTTCTGTATCGATTTATCAATGCTCAAATAAATCATTTACCAATTAGATTACTATAAAGATGCAAATGCGCATTGATGAATCTACTACCATGAACCTTTTAAGATGAGATCGGAATAACTAAACAGTATTATTTATAATGTACAGGCTGTTAATTCATTGAAATGTACTTATATTAATCGTTCAAATTGACTTGTTAAAAGACATACTACTGTAAGTTATTCGGAAACTAATTGGAGGTTCATAATACGAGCATCGAATTAATTTATTTTTGAAAATTTCATCGCTTATTCAGTTGAGAGGATTACGTCCGACTGTAAGTATAATATCTCGTGTTCCGAGCCGATATTAATGTGTAGTAGATTAGAAAATTTTTGTCTGGTTTTTTTTATTTTTATCATAAGTTCTAAATTCAATTTATTCGAACATTTGTCCATTTGGAATCGATCCAATACAAATATTATTACCGCATATTCCGCATGCTCGGTCAATTAAACGGGAACTAATCTCGATAATGCCTTCTAATTAGCGAATTAAATCATTCATATTTAATTGTTCGTCTTAGGGCCGATTTCACAATGGAGTTTTTTTTTTTTAATTTGGCTTTCGGATAAAGCGTTCTTTAACCTTGTTCCTATTGTCTGGTGTTTTTATAATAAAGGTAAAAAGGTTCGTTTAGGAGAAAGGTCGCTTTAATGATATTTCAAGCTAACCTGAAAAGTGGTATAATTCAACTAATATTGGATTATTTCGAAAAATTTATATAAGATTTATTAAAGGATCCTTTAAATTTGAAATTCATATTCGTAATAAGTATAATTTTGTGCGCAGAAAACGATATCGACGTGGAAAAAATGGAAGATGGGAGATTCCGGACCCGGAGGGAGAATATCGGGTTCGGTGTGCGGATTGGATCCGAAGTGAGTATACAAATTTCCTGTTACAAACATATAAATGCTTATTTTTTTATTATTCTAGACGGTTCTAATTTATTCAGAAGTGTTCTCGACCATTCTAGGCAATTCGGCAATCGTTCTAGACCGCTCCGAACGGTTCTCGACTACTCTAGATCGTTCTGATTAGTTCCACACAGTTCAAATTCCTTTAAACTACTGATGTAATCTAATTGATTCTGAAGAGTAACAAATTGTTCTAGATAGTTCTAATTCATTCTAAATGATTCCCAGCCATTCAGATTGATCCTGAAGCAATCTAAAAAGATTCTGGCGAGTCCCAAATTGTTCCAATTCATTCTGGACAGTTCTAAATGAGTATCGACAATTCTGATGAACACCAAATCGTTCTAAGATAGTTCTAATTCATTCTAAATGATTCTCGGCCATTCTGATTGGTCCTGAAGCAATCTAAAACCATTTTGGAGTGTTCCAAATTGTTCTAGATGGTTCTAATTCATTCTAAATGATTCTCGGTCATTCTGATTGGTCCTGAAGCAATCTAAAACCATTCTGGAGTGGTTCAAATTGTTCTAGATGGTTCTAATTAGTTCCAATTCATTCGGGCCGGTTCTAATCGATTCTCGGCCACTCCTGGAGTGTTCCAAATTGTTCTAGATGGTTCTAATTCATTCTAAATCATTCTCGACCATTCCGATTGGTCCTGAAGCAATCTAAAACTATTCTGGCGAGTCCCAAATTGTTCTAATTCATTCTGGACAGCTCTTATCGATTCTCCACCATTCCCATTGGTCCTGAAGCAATCTAATTGATCCTGGCGAGTTCCAAATCGTTCCAATTCATTCTGGACAGTTCTAACCGATGTCTATACCGTTCCTTTTTCAGGTTCTGCGACGCGCCGGCCAGCGTGCACCCGTACGAATGGCCCGACGACATCACCAAATGGCCCATCTGTCGCAAGACCAACACCCAATTCTCGGTGCAAAAGAACGGCAACGCGCCGCGCGACAAACTCGCCGAGCACATGGTGTGCGAGGTGATCGGCCACCCTTGTTGCATCGGCATCCACGGCCAATGCAAGATCACCACCAAGGAGTACTGCGACTTCGTCCGGGGCGCCTTCCACGAGGAGGCTTCGCTCTGTTCGCAGGTAAAAGGATATCCGTTTTTCGTTGGACTATTTGGTGATTTTTAGTCGTTTCCGCGCAGTTGAAAATGTCCCTAGTGTCGATGTTAATACTCCCATTTGATTTGGGGAATTTTAGGTCGCGCAGTTGAACTTCCGAAGCGATGTTAGTGTTAAAATTCTGCTCTTTTATGTTGACAGGTTATGTTTAGAATTTGTTGTTTTTTCGCTACTTTTTATGCGATTTTTCGCATTTTTCTTGCAATTCGTGCAAGTTTACGAGTAGGTTTTGTGTTTTCCGTTCGTTTTAGAGAGTTTTTCGTGCGATTTTCGGTTTGTTTTTCGACCTATTTCGATAGAGAATGAGATGGTAGAAAGGAAGAAGACTATTGGAATAATTAACCTAATCGTAAAAAATCACATAATGTTCTATTAAATCAATGCTCGCAAGCTCACATCTCCTCCTGATCTACTTTTTCACGTTTAAATCCTACTATTTAAGACTCTTTTTAATTTGTAAACAACGAAAGTAAACACAACCTTAAATTAAACATATCTGTCACATCAAGGATATCAATTACAACCCGGCAACGTTGCAACATGTCGGCTTGTGACGTCATTGCCATAGCCAACGCGAATGTCCTTTATCGCTCTCTAATAATCGAACGTTGCAGGTGTCTTGTTTGAACGACGTCTGCGGTATGATTCCGTTCTATTTCCCCGACGCGCCCGATCAATTCTACAGGCTGTGGACGTCGCTGTTCCTGCACGCCGGCGTCCTGCAGTTGCTCATCACCGTGCTGATCCAGTACTTTCTGATGCGCGATTTGGAGAAGCTTACAGGCAGCTTGCGAATCGGTATCGTTTATATCGGTTCCGGCGTCGCCGGTAATCTGGCCAGCGCCATTTTCGTGCCCTATCGAGCTGACGTAAGCGGCCTCTTTCCTCTATACACGCTAGCTACTAAATGTATTGTTTTTTACAGGTGGGACCGTCCGGATCGCAGTTCGGTTTGCTGGCCTGTCTGATCGTAGAAGTCCTGAACGCTTGGCCGATGCTGAAGCATCCGAATCAGGCGTTGTGCAAGCTGTTGTCGATCACGTTGGTGTTGTTCGCCGTCGGGTTGTTGCCTTGGGTCGATAATTACGCGCATCTGTTCGGTTTCGCGTTCGGTTTTCTTCTCTCCTACGCCTTCCTACCGTTCGTATCGTTCGGCAAGTACGACAGGCACAAAAAGGTCTTTTTGATTTGGGTGTGTTTGGCTGTCGCTTGGGTGCTGTTCATACTGCTGGTGCTCCTCTTCTATATCATACCGGTGTACGATTGCGAGGTGTGCTCGTACTTTAATTGTTTGCCCGTGACTAGGGATTTTTGCGCGTCGCAGAATATTAATTTCAAACGGGAGGAGCCTATAGTATGACGAAAGAGCATACGGTTTATGACCGTATGTTTGGTTTCGTGGGTTTCGGTGCGCAAAGGGCAAGGTTTCGAATGATTCGATGGTTGTTTTTCATTTTGGAATGTACGATAATATCGTTACTGTCATTAAAAAATATATATAGGGTGTTGGTTAATTGAATGCCGATACTTCAGGATGTGAATATTTGATTGATTTTAGGAAGAAAAGTTTATATTAATGTGTGTCCTAAACCTCTTAGTTTTCGAGCTACGGGGTGTTAAAATTATAGAAAAAAAATAACTTTTCTGTCATAATTTTCTTATTACTCCAGTTATTTTTGAGAAATTTTGAGAAAACACTTTTTTTTAGAGATAAAAATTAATTCTACTATAAAAATATCTGCCGTAAAAAGAAAATTATGATAGAAAAGTTACTTTTTTTTCCCAAAATTTTAACACCCTGTAGCTCGAAAACTAAGAGGTTTAGGACATACATTGATATAAACTTTTCTTCTTAAAATCATCCAAATATTCACATTCTGAAGTATTGGGACTCAATTAATTAACACCCTGTATGTGATGAGCTGTCGCTGTGATGGAATCATGTTTGGTATATCATTCGAAACTGTTGCCGAGTCGCGTTTTATTTTAATTTGTCGTTTTATTTATAAATATAAATATCCCTTTTTATTGCTCAATAAATATTTTTTTTTGTTTTATTTATTAATTATTTTTTTTTGATTCGTCGTCCTTTCATCCTGTATATGTAGTGGTTGCGTAAAGTCGAATGATAAAAAGTGGACAAGAAGAAGGTTCTTTTCGATATATAAACTATGTGGTTCATTTCGGTTTGTTATTGGACGTGTGAATTTGTTTTCGGATAAAAAAACGACTTTTAAAAATATGTGATAAAAGACTATATCGCGGTATAATGTACGTTTTAAGACACATCTTATTTTGATATTTGAATAATATGCAATGAATATTTGTTTTGGTTGGCAACGAAGAATATATGCTACAATGAACTTTTTTGCTGTTGGTCGCTTAGTTTAAAATACCCCCCGACAGGACTAATAATTCTATAGCTTTGAAACCGTTTTTTCGAGGTCTACCCGGGTCTACAATAAAACGCCCGGGTCGATTGTTATTTCTTCAAAAAACCTATGTATATTAATATCGTATACATTCCGTAATCTTATTAATTTCTATGTGTTACGATTAAAATATAAATAAAAAAAAATTATCAAAAAATATTTTCATGACATAGATAATCTGTATAAATCAGCATGAGTGAAAAAATCCAGAACAGGAGTAATGTATATAATATATGATAATATAAAACAGTATGGTATGTACGTGTTTTTCATTTAGGTGTGGAAAAATTGATTTTTGTAAAATTGTGACAAAATTATTATTCATTTCCCCGAAAAGTTATACGTTTATCTACATGCATAAAATCGACTATTGTTTCTTATTTATTCGTCGAAACTACAAAAAAAAAGTTCGTTTTCTATTAATATTTCCCTTCGAATGAGGCGGACTAGCTCCAATAAACAAGTATATACAGGGGCCTAAATTTTATTTTCTCGACATTATTCGAATAAACACATCCGCTTTTTTTTCATTTCGAAACGTTGTCAAAAACTCTCGAAATGTTAATAGACCAAAAACGACTTTTGCTTCGAGACGAAACATACCTAAGATGTATATTATAATGTAACAAAAAAAATACACGTACGTCTATCAACGTTTCTCGTCATAACCCATGCAACAATAAAAAAAACAATATTAAAATTTATTTATTATACCCGTTAGCGGTCGAATCGAATTATCGCGTGTATGACGAGAAATTAAAATCTCCGACGTCGAATTTATATGTAATATTATGACTGAAAATTCGTTTGAATTTCCCAATTTCGTTTCGACAAAAAATAAATTGTACATTTACATTGTAATATTATAACATCAGGTGTTACCACTAAGACCAAGCCTTAACATTATGATAATGTAATAAAATACTTCTGCACATAATGTTTGTTTCGTTTCTATTATTACCGCCTCCACATTTCTAGGCAGTTCTACACGATTCTAGACTGTTCTAAACGATTTTAGAGAGTTCAAAATATGGTTCTGAAGTTCCCTAGTTTATCCTGGACTAGGACTATTTTAAAATATAACTTTCTTTTTCTATGGAAATACCCGTTCTCTGTTCTTCTGTTTTCTATCGTCAAAGGTTCATCCAAACTAATAATTGAGCGAATACCTCAAGAATAAAAGGCCACGAGTTCTTAAACATTGACAATTGACAGTCGCAAATGTCAAATTTTAGATACTCTAAACGTCAAGTGTCACCGTATCGTTTGCGACCAAAGTGCCCCGTTTTAGGGTTAGTATTCATCTTATTTTATATATTTTTAATTCATTTTATCCGATTCCATTCCGACATTACGTAATTTAAGCGAAGACGCACCGTTTGGAGTACTCCAATCGACATTTTGCTCGGTATTTATCACACATAGACCTCGCGAAATAAGCACGGACGTACTTTCGCGTTACCGTGTCGATTTTAACATCTACAGAAAGTATTTTTAGACCGTTCGGTTTGTTCTTTTCGACGTTGTTAAATATAGGAAGATTCCAGACGATTCTATTACTTGCTAGAACGATCATTCTAATGCGTTGGAAGTTTCTATAACATTAAGTAAATTTTGTGTGTTTGCAGGATAGACATGTCTTTTCCCAGGTCACCGTATGTAAGTTAAAAATTCGAAACGAATGCGAATTACTAACTGTTAACAGAGTGATTGATTTTATTTTTAGCTCATTGCGCTGGTTTGACTTAATTTTATTGAACGAGTTCCTCTTTCTATTCGTTCTATTAAATGGTTTTTTTTGCTTTTAGACCGGCTTTCCCTTCGATGAGGAAACCCCCGAAGAGTTCCCTTTCAATTCTCCGACGACCAGAGGCGCCAATTTACAATCTACGCTTGACGACATAGCCAGAAGACATCCGAAAATCGCCGAGCATTTGACCAACTTCAACAGCCCTCGAACGGATCGTTCGAGATTCCCCTTCGATAGAGACTTCGATCGATACTCCAGACAATTCTACGAACATCCCGAGGACCTTTTGCAGTCCAGGGAATTCCAAAGAAACCCCAGAAGTTTCTACGAACATCCGGAGGATCATTCGCAGGCCCGAGAGCAACACAACACCCATCCCGAACAGCCGAAAGGCTCCTCTGATATCCCCGAAACCCGCCCGGAGCAGTCACCCGGTCAAACCTCCAATCTCCAGCAAAGCGACTCGTTCGATTCGACCCGACGACCTCTCGGTGTCGATGAGAGGAGCCCCAGGTGTTCGTCAGCGCCGCCAGGGGGCGATATCAATATCGATCGGGAACTGAAGGAACCTCCGGGAAACATGGCCCGCGAGCAAGGGAAGCCCGTGGAAAGGATCATTCCGATTCTATTGGAAGGAAGCGAAGAGCCCATTGTGCCTAAGACTAGCGGGTCATCCAGACAGGAGCCCCCGCAGGCGTCGAATCGTAGAGGTAAAAACCCCGTTGCTTCGAAATGTACGGTAATAAAAGTAATGCATCGTTTGATTGTCTGAATTCAGGTTTCGATGAAGACCAGCCGGATCACGCCGGCGCATCCTCCAAGCAGAACGTAAGTTCCGGGGCTCGAGTACCCGTGCAACAGGACGTTTTAGAGGAGCACGAACAGCCCAAATTGGAGCAATCCGAACCGCCCGGGGTCCCTTTGTCGCCCATCGAGCAAATCCAGGCGATTAAACGAGACGTTTCCGAGCTACTGGACGACGTGGAAAAATTCTCGGGAGCCACCAAAGACAAGAGATATTTGTATTTGGACGAGATGCTGACGAGGAATTTGCTGAAATTGGACGATATCGATACCCAGGGCAGGGAGAACGTGCGAGCGTGCAGGAAAGAGGCCATAAAGTGCATCCAGGGGGCCATTTGCCTGCTGGAGAACAAAGTGAAATGCGGAGAATCCGGCAAATCCGGTCAATGCGGGAACGTCGATGAATCCTCGCAGACCGCCGATTGTGCTGGTTGTGCCACGGACGAGGCCGGTTCGGAGACTAGGGCGGTTTTAGTGAGTGACGATGCGGAGAAGATGGAAAATAGGGCGGTTTTAGTGAGTGATAAGGCGGAGACGTCCGATGCGAATAAGGAAACGAGGGCTGTGTTGGTGGACGGGCCTCAAGACGAGGCCCCCGTTGATTCCAAAGGAGTCAATCCAGCTGTCGGAAAGGTTCAGGAAACGGATGATAAGAAGGAGAATAAAGGAAAATAGCAGGTTCGTGTTGTACATATATATTCGCACGCTAAATGATTTTTATTTTTACCGAATGTAATGAATCGGTTTAGAACCATTTCTTTAGCCATTTCTGTACGATTCCGGGATTATATCGGTATTTGTATATTCACACGCTAAACGCTTTTGTATTGAATTAACGGAGTTATACAAACGGTTTTCGCGAGACTGAATTGGCCTTTTCCTAGGTTAAACAAGTTTTGAAGTTACACGAACGGCATTCGCGACGCTACATCGGCCTTTTCCTAGATTGAACTACGGACAAGTGTCGCAGTCCAGAGTTAAACGAATGACGTTCGTGTGACTGAATGGCCTTTTACTAGGTTAAACAAATTTTGTAGTTTTTCTGTATTTTTTTTTTGTTATTTTAACGTTTTTTTTAACACCTTACTGGCAATGTAAATATTTTATTTAGGTTCAAGCACATTGACTGTGATTGTTTAGTACTTCTCTTTCGTGTTTTTTTTTTAATTTCTTTTTTGTTGCCTTTGTATATAATAATTAGGGTGAGATTTATTTTTTTTTCGAACTATTGTAATTAACTGTTAATTAAAGATGATTTTTTCCCTAAGTTTTTGTTGGTAAATAGATTAGGGTATATAGGTAAATTGAGCTATAAAAAAACCTTAACAGAATCGAAAATTAGGTTTAAAAATAATAGTATATTTTATTTTAAAGATGTATAATATATAAATTTGAATAAACAATTTAGGAAAAAATAACAAAATTTCAAATTTCACAACAAAACAATAAAAACCGGGGGATAATTAATTATAAATATCGAGAGATTTATAATTATATTAAACTCACCTCTCGAATAAATTATTATAGATCTCTTCTGGTTATTGTTAGTTTCTTTTAATCGCTTCAATGATCTAGTATTCTCATGTTGCCAGAGACGATTTTGTTTTCCAAAATGGCGCCCGCAGGTATGTCGATTCTGTCACCGTGATTTGCGATTATAATTACTGTACCCTAAAAAAAAAAAAGAAATAAAACCCTCAACGACACACCAGAAATAAAAACTCTCGAATGTACTAACCCTCAAAGACACCCCTTTCCCGAACGTCACGTCCCCGGACACCGTCAAATGGTCCAGCTCCAGGATGTCCGGAATGGCGGCGAACCTCTCCAAGAACGCCTTGACTTTGGCGAAATGCTTGTCGCCCAATTTGACCAGCGGCGTCGTCGGGAACATCCTCTGCGGGGACATCGTCAACGAGCCGTTTTTCAGCGAGTACAAGTTGCTCATCACCAGGAACAGATCGGAGGTTTTCTTCACCGGCAAAAATCTGCTCCTCGGCACGTTGATGCCGATGCCGCCTTCGAACGTTTTCATGGCCGCCCCCACGGCCGTCTCCAATTGAATGACGTTCTGGCCGTTGTCCAAGGATTTGTTGTTCACTATGATTTCCATGCTGAGCAGCCCTTCGTTCAGGACTCGGTCGATGGCTGGAAAACGAGTCGTATTAGAGGCCGAAGGAGGTTCGAACGGTGTGTATATTTACCGTCTAATTTGGCCCAAAGGTTGTTTGTATTGAAAAACTTGAAGGTTTTCACCGATTTAAATTCGTCCACGTGGTCTTTGGGTACTTGCGCTATTTCTAATAATCTCAATTTCCCTTCGTATTGAATAAGAGTACCACCCTAAAGATATAAACGAATTAATACACGATCGTTCTGTATATATCGTCGCATTGCTCACTAACTTTAACATCGGCTCTGGTCTTATCGGTGACTTCCATGACGAATTCGTGCTGGCCTTTTTCGTGGTCGGGATTCAGCAACAGATTGAGTATGTTCAAATCCACGGTGGCGCCTAAATTGTCGATGTTCGATACGAAACAGTAATCGCGGCCTTCTTTGATGAACCTATCCAGCAACCCGGAGTTTTTGAAGCTGTTGTAAAAGTCTCCGTGACCTGCGCGGAAAAGACATTCAAATTACTGTATTTTTAGAAGAAAAAAAAAAACCTATTTTCGTTTAATTACCAGGAGGATACCAGGCCTCGGTGTTGCCGCCGACTTTGGCGTCCTTGGCGATCGGCAATAGAGAGTCCCTGTTTATCCTGGGATAGCAGGATTGGTTAAACGTGAGAATTTCTACTTGCAGATTCCTGTATTTCCTTATTATCTTCTCGGTATCTTCGTCGGTGTTGAAGGAATTCATCAATACCAATGGCACGTTCACTTTGTACGTTCTGTTCAAATTCTACAAGAGAGAACAAATTCGATCAGTTATTTGTGATGATTTTTATAGAAAACTGTTGCGTTCGTTTTTTGCACTCGACAGCAAAGTAAAAGGCCATTGAACAATGAAAATCTGTCAATTGAAATAATCTCCTTAGTTACTCCATAACAACCGATAAAGACAGCTTCCATTAGACACTTATAAAGAAAAAAAGAAAGAGTGACATTTGTGTGATTGCAATTTGTCACTCTGACAACTGTCATTTTATCAATCTTTCTTTGTTCCACTCATAGAAATGGCCATATTGCAATCGGAAATGGAGCAAGGTGTTTAATACTCTATTTACCTCGATTTGTTGCACAGTTAGATCGAGAAAGGTGAGGTTATTTCGCACGGTTATCACCGACTTGGGTCCATGGCAACCCATCGAAGTCCCCAAACCGCCGTTCAATTTCACCACCACCAGTTTATCGAGCATCTGGTGCACCAAATCGGCCGTAGGTTTCTGCAACGTTTCGTAACTTCTAACGGCATCTTCGGGCAGCCTTTCGATCCTCTCCCACTCGACTGTCCGCATGAAATAGAACAAAAAAACGACTCTATAAAAGTGCCACGTTCTTTGATCCCCTTATTAGGCTCACCCGAGGGGCCGGTCTCCTTCAGGAAGCGGGTAAACAGCCCGACGAAGCCCTGGAACTCCTTGCGCATGGTGGCCGATTTGCCCGACTCGTCGGTTTGCAGGATTTTGTCCAATTCGTTTTGCAGGCGATTCAGGGCGTCCCTTTTCGTCGCCTCGATGAATTGGCTGGAATCGCTGGAGCAGCGACTGTGCCCGCGCACCTGCGGGATCAATCGCGATTATTAATAATAAAACTGGATCGCCCTGTAAGTGATGTCGAGTAAAAAATAAAACTAGATAGTGGATATTCATATTGCGCAGTTTCTTTTGTTGTAATAGTGTTCTTTTAATGTTTTATTATTTTTTTTTAAAATAAGTTCTACGCAAATTCGTCTAATTAGATGAAGTTCGACCGATGATCAGCAAAATCGAATGACCTTGATTTATCAGAGTAATTTCGAAATTTTATCAAGTTACCATAGATAAAATTAATTGTTTATTTATAAATGTAGTGGAAATTATTCGTTTTTCGGAGTATTATCGGATTTTTATTGTAATTAAGCGGGAATTTGGAACAAGAACGAATTTAATTATATTTTACCCATTTCCATCTAATTTCATTTGATCTCGACTAGCACAATTCAAAATAGAATCACCCTGTATACATCATTTCGCGCAAAACCCGATTTTCTACTCTTGAAAACATCCAAAAAAATCCCTCCAATTTTAGAGATTCTTTAAAATACATACCCTTTCAAGTAAATCCATATTTAATTGTACACAAACAAACAAAACTAGCAAAAAAAAATCCTACTGAACAGCGCGCGTACTCGAATTGAAGGCCCGTTAGCGACTGATAAATTTAACCTATTGATAAGAAAATCATAAACTGAGTTTTTCCTTATCAGCCGGAGGGACGAGAGAAAAAATTTTTCAAAACATCGCTAATAAAAGTACTCGGATAATATTAAACTCCGGCGAGAATCTTGAAATAATTACACACTCAATATACAGGGTGAGCCGTGCAAAAACAAACTTTAAACGTTTAATTAGTTGGCTGTGGTAAGGATCCATGGACAAAAAAACATTGACAAATCGCATGTGCTTTGACACTTGTTTAAATTTTTTGGTCACGGCTAATGAATATCTATGTATATGGTTATAAATAATTAAAGTGTAGAATTTGCCTTGAAAAATTTTCTGATTTGTCATATAACCTTTACATAAGTCGGAGATGAATTGTTTTATTTGAATGAGCACTCGTTTCTCTATTAAGTCTACAGAAACTGCTTACCGAGTGATCGATTTTTAAAGGATTTCGCCAGGGTTTCTGGATAAGCGGGAATCGGTGAGGGGGCAAAATGGGGAGTAAAAAATTCCATTTCTTCGATCGAACTTAAAGAAAAAAAAATTACTAAAAAATTACAAGCATTTATTAGGCGTATAACAAATTATACTTTAAGCTTTAAAATCACTAAAGTGCTGTTTCATTGTTTAAAAGCAATTAAATAATAAATTTACTAAATTAAATCTATTACTAACTAACTAACTTCCAATTCAAACGTATTGAAGGATTGAAAATATAGTAAAGGTGAGTCAATTAATTCTTATAAAATAAGCAAAACATTAGCGAACAATTCGTAGTAAATAATATTAATAGAATGCGAAAATCTCGAAGGTTATTCAAAGGTCGTTCCATTATCACATCGCATAGATAACCTCAAAATTACATTGCACAAACAAAGCGACAATCGATAAATTAAACCGTACTTACCTTTTTATCGTTATCGTCGTCTACGCGCAACATATCGCGAAGTTATTACGAAACTTTAACGGCGATTAACTTGTTTTTAGTTCAATTTCGATGAACTTGAAAATTCTTTAACGCGAACTTCACGGACCTAACTTCACGCTTGACCGCCAGATTAAAAAAAAAGCTGCAGTGTTTGCGAACACGGTAAAAGTAATAGTTTAATTCTAATAAAAACTGAATTAATTGTGCCCATCGAATTTAATCTTAATTGTAATTTAAGATTAGATATTGTTGTAGACACTTGTCTTGTAGACGAACCGTGACTGTTTCCAATCGGGCATTCAGATCATACTTAAAAAAAAGAAGAAACATAAGGTTATGTTGACATATTTATATGATATTTTCAAATCCTTCAAACTATTTATTTACGAATTAATTTCTTAAATACCTCCTCTAATTAAGCATAATTAAGTCACATTACTTCTTACCTTCGAAAACGCAATGTTTAAACAGTTTTAAATTCCAGTTCGAACAAAAAACATGTCCGGCCGTTTTCCCTATTTCGCCAAAGGTCAAGTCACCAAAGGCTTCGGCAGGGGCTCCAAGAAATTGGGCTGCCCCACCGCTAATCTGCCCCCCGAAGTGGTGAACGAATTACCCGATGACTTCGGCACGGGAGTTTACTACGGATTGGCCCGAGTGGCCGGGGACAAAGTTCGAAAAATGGTGATGAGCATCGGATGGAATCCCTACTTCAAAAACGAAAAGAAATCCATGGAGGTGCATATAATGCACAAATTCGATGAGGATTTCTACGGGAAGGAGCTGAAAATCGCTATATTGGGGTACATCAGGCCGGAGAGGAACTTCGATTCCATGGATTCCTTGATAGAAGCCATTAGAAATGATATAAAAGAAGCTGAAGAGAAGCTGGAGGAAGAACGGAACAAGGTCTTCGTAAACCATCGGTTTTTTTAGCATTATTCTGTAGGTAGGAAATAAATTTTTATCTAAATGAGTAAAAAATATATCGTATTCATCGTATCAACAACATTAGAACTAAATTATATTATTATACACAATTACATCTATTTTAAGTGGCTACTGGATCATTTTCAAATTAAGTTCCTTCAACAAAAAGCACCCCAGTTCCTTGATAACGACCTCTTTAAGCGAAGCACTCGTTAAAACCAAAGTGGCCAATTGCAAGTAATCTTCAGGTTTAATATTAGCTAACGCTCTAGATAAACAATCCGTTAATTTCTCTTTCTGTGCGTGACTCAAATCCTCCCTGAGAACATCTACCAAGGATTTGAAATTGTTCCTCGAGAGCCAAGCCGAGGCTATCGATGCCACACTGCCACCTTAAATAATGCGTTCGCTAAGCATAAGCAATAATAAATGTGAAGATCGGATGATCTTACCTATGGCTACTCCTATGGGGCCGCTCAGTAGGCCGCCAGCTAGGGCTCCGCAACCTCCTATAAAACCACATTTTAGAGACTCGCTTACGGTCACGCGAAGATTCTCTTGCGCGGCTAGCGTTTCGCACATTTCCATTATTGCATTATTGTTTAACATAATTCACTAGTTTTTAACTATTTAATCGCGACAAATTAATAAGAACTGCGATAAAAACCATAATAAATCTAACAGTTTGAAGTTTGTACGGGAATTTAACCTGAATTGTCACCTGTCAGTTGGTGGCCTCGTCTGTTGATTAAGCTCGGCCATTTTCAGCCCTTTCTTTAAAAGAAACATTCGTACAAATTTTTAGTTTTCGATTAATTAGAAAAGAATCTAAAGCTAAAGTAGCAGGCTAATTGCAATTGATAATACTACGTTCTAACATTTTTTCTTTTTAGTTGTAGTTCTTCTTTTTGCTTCTAAGACGTCAAAGTCAAATGTCAAACAAATTTGGTGTTTGTCTGTGAGTAAATCGTAAATGCATGTTTGTGTTAACTATTTCAAATAATTTTGAATAACAAAAGCAAAGTTAATAACATTTAGCCACCATGGCGGATGCTGCGGCTCGGCAGCTTCAATACGAATACAAAGCGGTAAGTTTTTACATAATACTCGCAATACAGTTTTTAAGGTTATGTTTTTATACGTTCCCTTAACGTTTTACGAACACATCGAATTATCATGTTACAACGTACATTATATGATTTTAGAATTCGAATCTCGTTCTTCAAGCCGACAATCGACTTATCGAACGAAGAAGTCGAGATGAAGCCACCGGAGAAGTTATGTCCCTTGTGGGTAAACTTATCGGTACTAAAATGGGAGACAGGGCGCAAAGAACTCGACCGGGTAAAGCCGAAGAACGCAAAGCCAAGTAAGTACTCTAATATACAACCTCTAAATAACGTTATACTAAATTTGTTATTTTGCAGACGGCAAAAAAGAGATGAAGCCCAGTACGATTTCGCACGAATGAAAGGCGCCACTTTGTTATCAGAAGGAGTCGATGAAATGGTGGGCATCATATACAGACCAAAAACTCAGGAAACTAGACAAACTTACGAAGTATTGCTGAGTTTCTTGCAAGAAGCCCTCGGCGATCAACCCCGCGATATCCTTTGCGGTGCCGCCGATGAGGTCCTGCAAGTACTGAAGAACGATCGATTAAAAGAAAGGGAGAAGAAAAAAGAAACTGAATTGTTACTAGGTAAACGACTAACTAATTGTTTCGAATTAATTTTTTTACACTAGTTATAATTTCTAGGTCCCATAGCAGAAGAACGATTCGCTTTGCTCGTGAATTTGGGTAAAAAGATTACAGATTTCGGTAACGAGGAAAGCAAAGTTGGTACCGGAGAGGAGAACATCGACGAACAATATGGCATCAATGTACAATTCGAAGAGTCCGAAGAAGAAGACGATGAAGATATGTACGGAGAAGTCAGGGAAGAAATGGACGATGAAGAAGGCGAAGAAGCTAAAGAAGATGGTGCTATACACGCCGAAAATGTAAGTCTTTACAACACTGTAGTAATAAGCGTGTTAATCGTTAATTTTCAGCTGGGAGGTGTCGATGAGGCTAAAAAGGAGAAACCTTTACATCCTTTAGATATCGATGCGTATTGGCTGCAAAGAAAGTTATCGAAGATATACGACGATGCTATGGTATCGCAAGCAAAGGCCGGGGAAGTACTGAACTTTCTCAAAGACGCCAGCGACGATAGAGAATGCGAAAATCAACTGGTACTATTACTCGGTTACGACTGCTTCGATTTCATCAAACAGCTAAAAAAACACCGACAAATGAGTGAGTCAATCGCCAATTTCATCGCGCATCACATCGACTAATTCAATAACGTTTTCAGTTTTGTATTGCACGTTATTGGCGAAGTCCCAAAGCGAAAACGAACGGCAAAAACTCAAAGATAAAATGTCGGAGGATCCGTCTTTGAGCAGGATTTTGAAACTGCTCGAAACCGGTCGAGGCGACGACGACGACGGCGACAACAACGAATCATCGTCGCGACATCGTCGCGGTAAACACGAAAGCGACATTTTGGATTTGGCCAGCACACAAGTGACCGGATCCAGGCACGTTGTAGATTTCGAAGATATGGTTTTCTCCCAAGGATCGCATTTCATGGCGAATAAACGTTGTCAACTACCCGACGGATCGTTTAGGAAACAAAGAAAAGGTAAATTACCGATATCTCAATAACACATACTAATTTAATATGTTTTTATGCAGGTTACGAAGAAGTCCACGTGCCCGCTCTAAAGCAAAAACCGTTCGGCGACAACGAAAAACTCATTGCGGTAGATCAATTGCCCAAATACGCCCAACCGGTCTTCGACGGTTTCAAATCCCTCAACAGGATACAAAGCAAACTGTGCAAATCCGCTTTGGAATCGGACGAGAATTTGCTGCTTTGCGCTCCGACCGGTGCCGGTAAGACCAACGTGGCGCTCCTCTGTATGATGAGAGAAATCGGCAAGCACATAAACGCCGACGGCACCATAAACGCCGACGATTTCAAGATCATCTACGTGGCCCCCATGCGATCGCTCGTACAAGAAATGGTCGGTAACTTCGGCAAAAGATTGGCCAGCTACAACATCACCGTATCTGAGTTAACCGGCGACCACCAGCTGACCAGGGAACAAATACAGGCCACCCAAGTGATCGTTTGCACGCCGGAAAAGTGGGACATCATAACGAGAAAAGGCGGCGAGAAAACGTTCACGTCTCTAGTACGCCTTATCATCATCGACGAAATCCACTTGTTGCACGACGAACGGGGCCCCGTGTTGGAAGCTTTGGTCGCCAGGACGATTCGCATGATCGAATCGACTCAAGAGGACGTCAGGCTGGTGGGATTGTCGGCCACGTTGCCGAATTACCAGGACGTGGCGGCTTTCCTGCGAGTCAAACAGGACACTGGTCTGTTCCACTTCGACAACAGCTTCCGTCCCGTCGCTTTGGAACAACAATACATCGGCGTTACGGAGAAGAAGGCGCTCAAGCGGTTCCAAGTGATGAACGAAATCGTCTACGAAAAAACGATGGAGCACGCCGGTAAGAATCAGGTGTTGATATTCGTGCACTCGAGAAAGGAGACGGGAAAAACGGCGAGGGCCATCAGGGATATGTGCTTGGAGAAGGACACTCTCGGGCAGTTTTTGAGAGAGGGTTCCGCGTCCATGGAGGTTCTCAGGACGGAAGCCGAGCAAGTTAAAAACCAAGAATTGAAGGATTTGTTACCGTACGGGTTCGCCATACATCACGCCGGTATGACCAGAGTGGATAGGACGTTAGTCGAAGATTTATTCGCCGACAGGCATATACAAGTAAGCTATTAACTAATAACTTGCAGATGTATGTAATAATAATTCGTTTACTTTGCAGGTTCTCGTATCAACAGCCACTTTAGCTTGGGGTGTGAATTTACCGGCGCACACAGTCATCATAAAAGGCACCCAAATTTACAATCCGGAAAAAGGCAGATGGGTGGAATTGGGCGCTTTGGACGTTCTGCAAATGTTGGGTAGAGCCGGTCGACCGCAATACGACACGAAAGGCGAAGGGATATTGATAACGAACCACAGCGAACTTCAATATTACCTGTCGTTGTTGAATCAACAGTTGCCCATCGAATCGCAGATGGTGTCGAAGCTACCCGACATGCTCAACGCCGAAATCGTCCTGGGCACCATTCAGAACATGCGAGACGCCGTCACATGGCTGGGCTACACTTACTTGTACATAAGAATGCTTCGGCAACCCACTCTGTATGGTATATCCCACGATGCTTTGAAGCACGATCAACTTTTAGAGCAACACCGGGCGGATTTGATCCACACGGCGGCCATGTTGTTGGACAAGAGCGGTCTGATCAAATACGAGCGGAAAACGGGGCAATTCCAAGTGACCGAAATCGGCCGGATCGCCTCGCATTACTACTGCACCCACGAAACCATGCAAACCTACAATCAATTATTGAAACCCATGTTGAGCGAGATCGAGCTGTTTAGAGTGTTCTCCCTATCCGGCGAATTCAGGAACATCACGGTGCGCGAGGAGGAGAAACTCGAGCTGCAGAAACTCATGGAAAGAGTTCCGATACCGATCAAGGAGAGCATCGAAGAGCCCAGCGCTAAGGTCAACATTCTCCTGCAGGCCTACATTTCCCAGTTGAAATTGGAAGGTTTCGCTCTCATGTCCGATATGGTTTACGTCACCCAATCCGCGTGCAGGCTGATGAGAGCCATTTTCGAGATCGTCCTGCACAGAGGTTGGGCCCAATTGGCCGATAAATCTCTAGCCCTTTGCAAGATGATCGATAAGAGAATGTGGCAGTCGATGTCGCCGTTGAGGCAATTCAGGAAGATGCCCGAGGAAATCGTCAAGAAAATCGAAAAGAAGAACTTTCCATGGGAAAGGTGAGTTTTGTATTGTTGATATATTATGGGTATTAATAATAACGTTGTAGGTTGTACGATTTGGGTCCGAACGAAATCGGCGAATTAGTACGAGTACCGAAATTGGGTAAAACCATTTACAAATACGTCCATCAATTTCCGAAGCTCGAACTATCCACGCACATCCAACCGATAACGAGATCCATGCTGAAAGTCGAGCTGACGATCACGCCCGATTTCCAATGGGAGGAGAAAGTCCACGGCGCCTCTGAAGGTTTCTGGATACTCGTCGAAGACGTCGACTCCGAGGTGATCTTGCACCACGAGTTCTTCCTGTTGAAGGCGAAGTACTGCCAGGACGAGCACTCGATCAAGTTCTTCGTGCCGGTGTTCGAGCCGCTGCCGCCGCAGTACTTCCTGCGGATCGTGTCCGATCGTTGGATCGGCGCCGAGACGCAGCTGCCCGTCTCGTTCAGGCACCTGATTTTGCCGGAGAAGAATTTCCCGCCGACGGAGTTGCTCGATTTGCAACCGTTGCCCGTCACGGCGCTCAGAAACGAGCAGTACGAATGCTTGTACGCCGATAAGTTTCCGCAATTCAATCCTATACAAACGCAAGTGAGTAGCGGTTGTTCGAATGTCGACGTTTGTTGTAATTTGGTTTTCGTAGGTGTTCAATTCCGTGTACAATGGGGACGATAATATTTTTATAGGAGCACCGACCGGTTCCGGTAAAACCACGATCGCCGAGTTTGCTATACTCAGATTGTTCGATAGGAATCCCGATGGTAGATGCGTGTATCTCGTTCCGAAAGATGCTTTAGCCGAGTTGATTTTCGCCGATTGGCACAATAAATTCGGGCAAACTTTAGGGAAGAAAGTGGTGTTATTGACCGGAGAAACCGGAACGGATTTGAAGTTACTAGCCAAAGGACAGGTAACTTCTATCGATTGCTTGTAAATAATTATATTAACGCTATTATTTAACAGGTGGTTATAACAACAGCGGAGAAATGGGACGTGTTATCGAGACGATGGAAACAAAGAAAGAACGTCCAAAATATAAATTTATTCATCGTGGACGAGTTACATTTGATCGGAGGCGAAGACGGGCCCGTTATCGAAGTAGTATGCTCCAGAATGAGGTAAATTCAATCCACCAATCTTCTACCTATCAATCGATTAAAAACGCGTTGTTTTTTTGTTAGATACATCTCGTCCCAAATCGAAAAACCCATCAGAATCATAGCCCTGAGCGCTTCGCTGGCCGATTACCGGGACATAGCCCAATGGTTGGGTTGCAACGCGAACGCCACCTTCAATTTCCATCCGAGCGTGCGACCGATAACGTTGGAATTGCACGTGCAAGGCGTCAACATCACCCACAACGCGTCGCGATTGATATCGATGGCGAAGCCCGTCTACAACGCCATCGTGCGGCACAGCCCCCACAAGCCGGCCATCGTGTTCGTGCCGACTAGGAAGCAGGCCCGGCTGACGGCCATCGATTTGTTGACGTACGCCGCCGCCGAGGGGCATCCCGATAAGTTTTTCCTCGCCGAAGAGGACGACATCAAGCCGTTTTTGGATAGAATGAGCGATAAAGTAACTAGCGTTTCGTTCGTTGCAACTTGCGCGATTAATTATTCGTTTTTATTTTAGACATTAAAGGAGACCCTGTCGCAAGGGGTGGCCTACATGCACGAAGGACTGTCGGCCAGCGATCTTCGATTGGTCGAGCAGCTGTTCGATTCCGGTGCCGTACAAGTGGCTGTGGTTACAAGGGATTTGTGTTGGGCCGTGAATATATTCAGTCATTTGGTGGTTATTATGGATACGCAGTACTACAACGGTAAAGTGCACGCCTACGAAGATTACCCCATAACGGACGTGCTGCAAATGGTGGGTAGGGCGAATAGACCTTCGGAGGACGACGATGCGAAGTGCGTGCTGATGTGCCAGAGTTCCAAGAAGGATTTCTTCAAGAAGTTCCTGAGCGATCCGTTGCCGGTAGAGGTGGGTATCATTTGAACTGTTACTTTAATACCTCGTTAAAAATCGATGTGATTTTTTCGCAGAGCCACTTGGATCACAGGCTTCACGATCATTTCAACGCGGAAATCGTAACGAAAACTATCGAAAACAAACAGGACGCCGTCGATTATTTGACGTGGACGTTCTTCTATCGTCGTCTGACGCAAAATCCGAACTACTACAATCTTCAGGGCGTCACCCATCGGCATTTATCCGACCATTTGTCGGAATTGGTCGAGACCACTCTGTCCGATTTGGAGCAATCCAAGTGTATCAGCATCGAAGACGAAATCGATTGCGTACCGTTGAATTTGGGAATGATTGCTGCCTATTATTACATCAATTACACTACTATAGGTGAGTTCCTATTGATGCATTATACGAAACGAACTTACATTAACGTTTGATTTATTTCAGAGTTGTTCAGTTTGTCGTTAAACAGCAAAACGAAGATTCGCGGATTACTGGAAATTATTTCGTCAGCGGCCGAATACGAAGACGTACCGGTACGGCATCGCGAAGACAACATACTGAGACAACTGGCGCAAAAACTACCGAACAAACTCACTTCTGCATCCGGCGGTCAGCCCAAATACAACGATCCCCACGTCAAGACCAATCTTCTACTGCAAGTAAGTTCTCGAATAGAGGTTTAATCGAGTTTCACGCGGTTGTATTTTCAGGCGCACCTGTGCAGACTACAACTGGGCGCCGAGCTCCAAGGCGACACCGAAGCGGTCCTGTCCAAAGCCATTCGCCTGATACAAGCCTGCGTCGACGTGTTGAGCTCGAACGGTTGGCTGTCGCCGGCCGTCGCGGCCATGGAACTGGCGCAAATGGTGACCCAGGCCATGTGGAGCAAGGATTCCTATCTGAAGCAACTGCCGCACTTCGTCGCCGACGTTATCAAAAGATGTACCGATAAAGTACGTTTATTCGACTGGTTACCGATGAAGATTCTAATGTATCGTGCGATTTTAGGGCGTCGAAACGGTGTTCGATATAATGGAATTGGAGGACGACGATCGTAGCAAGCTGCTTCAAATGACCGAGGCCCAAATGGCGGACGTGGCGAAGTTTTGCAATCGTTATCCCAACATCGAATTGAGCTACGAGGTCGTGGATAGGGATCAAATACATTCGGGTTCGTCCGTGCACGTTGCCGTTCAATTGGAGAGGGAAGATGAAGTTAGCGGGCCGGTCATAGCGCCTTTCTTCCCACAGGTACATTATACAATCACCAATCTAGTTCAATGTTTTACGATACGTTATTTCGCAGAAACGCGAGGAAGGTTGGTGGGTGGTTATCGGGGAGCCAAAGTCCAATTCGCTGCTGTCCATCAAGAGATTGACTCTTCAACAAAGGGCCAGAGTGAAATTGGATTTCGTAGCGCCTAGTCCGGGACACCACAACTACACTTTGTACTTCATGAGCGACGCGTATTTGGGCTGCGATCAGGAGTACAAGTTTTCCATCGAAGTTGGTGATTTCGAATCGAGCGGAAGCGAATCGGAATAAAGAAATATAATTACATAATAGATTTAAGGCGTATTGTTCATTAGGTGTTTTAGTACCGGAGAGGTAAATTGTAATAAAACTTTTATTCTCTAATTGATCTATAAATCAAACAAGTCTAAAATGTTAAAAATCGATCGCCTTTTTGATGCGATCGATGTTCTTGCTACCTGCAGACGACCTTAGGGAAGAGGCCGGTTTGGTTTCGGGCGCTGAACTCTCGGGGGCAACGTAACCTTGGGGCTTCGCGTTTTTCGATTTCTGCTTCAGGAATTCTTCGTAAATTTCTTCGGGAGATTTTCCCTTTACTATAGCGATGACGTGATGGCGGGCTATGCGCAATAATTTCTCCGTTACCCCCACGGAATCGTTTGCGGTCAATAAAAATAGCTGTCTGGTGAGGCGGCCCAAATTTAACGCTAAAGTCTTGAACTTGGGATGAGTAGGAAGCACGTTTTGAGATCGTAAGGCCTCGTAGATTGCCAATTGCAGTTTCTAAAATAAATACAACAATCAGTAACAGTTCGATTAAGTATTTTTCGAATCATTGCACCTTCTTATGAGTTATAGTCAGTTCTTTGATTTGTCTAGTTTGATGTAAACTCAAGTCACTTCTGGTTCTGGAAGACAACATTTTTGTACTCGAATCGTTTAATAGGGTACATTCTGATTGGGATTTGGGAAATTTCGACGGGACTTCTTCGTACGAATCGCTATCCATACGTTTCCTCTTCTTTTCCGTTCCGAAATCTAAACGTTTGACTGGCGATCGCTTGAAACCCAAATTTTTCAAAGGAGACCTTTTGCTGGGAGAGGAAAATAGGGCTCGCTTCGATTTTATTCTAGTATCCTCCGCAGATGTTGATGCTGCAGAAGTACCTGTAAAAAATAATTTTGTAGTTATTTGTGTTAAATTAAATGTGGTGTTTTTTACTTACTCGGTAAGCATTTATCGGGGCTGTGAAAGAGTGTTCGTTTCGCCGCTAAACTAACCGAATCGGAAGTTTTCTGCATTTCCCCAGCCATTTTTCTAAATCTCATCGCTAGTTTCTTCTTCGCCGAACTACTGGGTGTACGGGTTTTCGTTTTGGGGCTTTTCTTCGGAGTATTCTTCCTCGGCGTTTTCCTCGGGCTTTTTCTTCTATTCAACAAATCCATTTTCCTTTTAAAAAATATATATTTTCACTGTTTACACCAGCGCGTTTTAGTTTGCAACTTACTTAGCGTCCACCAAAATTTGCCTAGCCCTGGATCCTGCTAAAAAGGAACTGCCAGATTGTAAATTGCTGCTGGAAAAAGTGATTCTCCTCCTGGCCAAATGGCTGAGCCGCTTTCCCGGCGACTTGGAATTCCATTGCGATTTTGTGTTCCTGCGTTTCATCGGGCTGAGAGCGCTCATTTCGAAAACCGTGCACGACGAAAGCGTTTCTGCTCCGACGTACCTCTGGCCGTACTTCATGCAAAGCTCCTCGAATTCCTCCGAAGTTTTGTTGCGATTGTGGCTGTAAAATCAATTTAAATTACGATTGAGAAATGTACTGAATACTGACAAACTTACTATAAACCCAAAGCTCTGTGCTTCAGAACATCCGGAAAATCCATCTTCTTGGAATTCTCAGTCGATGAGCTTACGAGCAACGACTTGGAATTGTCTTCGGAAATATTTCCACCGGACGTGGAGCTATCCCAAAAGTATTTTTTGTTACTTTCGAGTTTGCTTAACATTTCGTCGATTGAAATTCTTATTGTCGTCACGCTGCGCGGGGGCAATACACCTTTCAAATGGTTCTGCGTCCTTTTCAAAATCGTCTCGTCTTTCTTCAGCAAATACCTTTCTTGCGGTATCAATTTCACGGGATCGATTTCTTCGAAGTACGTTTTATCGGGCGAATCTTCCGAAAACAGGTCCGGACTCAAGGCGGAATTGTTTGAATTGTAGGACTTTTCGGGCGTCGATAATATTACACTAGCATTTATCGTTTCCTCTCGGTCGTGCACATTATTTATCATACAGTTTAACGTTTCAGAAACTACTTTGTTTATGTTTTGATCGCTCGCACGTACGGAATCGGAGCTTTCCGAATTCGTCGCGTTACGCTCTCTTAATAAATTAGCATCACAATTTGCATTTTCAATGGGCTTAAATGACTCTGGGTTTAATTGCATTGTTTCATAAGAACTATTATTAATATTTTTTGGTGAAATAAGATTAGATCGTTCTTCGTCCTCTTCGTCGATATCGGCATTACAATTTACACATTTTAAACATGCATTTGTAACAATTCTCTCCGAATTTCCTTCGTCGCATCCATCTTGGGGATCGTTCGAGGCATCGTCCGGAACAGGAGATAAGCTCTTGTACTTCCTCTTCACAATATACGAATTCTCTTTATCGGACTTGGATAAAACTAAAGTCAACTTCTTCAGTGGATCACTAGTCGCGTAAGTGTTGGTAATATTGTTGAAAACAGGGTTTTTCACTAAACCGTTTTGATTTTGGGCTTGCATGTTGTCTAAGTAATCGGCTTCTACGGTTATTTGATTAGCATACGGAATTAAAGGGGAAACGTTGCTTTCCTCGGACGCGAATCCGAAGTAGTTCAATTCAGGGCTGCACTCCGATCCGGACGATGGGGACACGCGCGATGTCGAAGCGGATGAACTAAGAAGTGGCGAGTTGAAAACATTCGTTCCTTCGAAGATTTCCCTCTCGATTTCCTTTCTAATGTTAGGATTGTTGTAGGTTATGGGCATTTCTAGCAGAGCATTTTCGCTGATGTAAATAGGGTCGGAAACCAAACTCAATACATCACCATCCCGCACGAAATTATCCAAATTTGATTCGGACTTGTGTGAAATGTAGCCACTATCGTAGTCTAAATTGAACGCACAGGTTTTGTTATTTCGTAAATCTTCCACGCTCGCACAATTATCTGTATCATCCATAACTAAATTAATGCAATAATTTCTTTACTATTTTCGCCCGAGCCCACTGCATAACTGCGTATTGTCTGTGGTATAACTTTTTTTCCAGAAAACCCGCCAACGGTATGTAACCCACGTATTATGTTTACGAATTTAAATGTCAATGTCAATGTCAATTGTCGCCACTCTCGCTCTAGTTCTTTAGAATTAGTTCTACTTTTATGTTGGTACTCTCGAGATTCAGAATTATTGGCAAATGCACATTTTAATGGACAATAGAACGATTAAAAGCGTTGATAATGCAATAAAAATATCACTTCAATCATCCGCACTAAAACAAAATATTTTATTAATCATTCGATTATATTTCGAGTTACTGAAATAAAATAATCGATATATAAAAATTTGACGTAAGAAAGAAGACTTATGACGTATGTCACTTGTCATTCTTGTCAAAACATAACGCTTCACGCTTCTATTTTGTATGTTTTCCTCGCCATTTTTTCCAATAATTTCACATTTCTTTATCAAAATTTACCAATAAACCTGCTAATACAGTTCTCCTTAACCAGCTAACTAATACAAACCATGGTAAGTTCTCCCATTCTTCTACGAACGCTTTTCACATCTAATTTTCTTCGAAGAGTCGCGGCCGATCGGCTACCAGCACAAAGGTATTCGTCGGGAGTCTACCGCCCAGCGTAACCACCGACGACCTGAGGAAACTATTCGAACCGTACGGGGCCATCTCGGAATGCGACATCGCCAATCGATGCGGCTTCCTCCACTTGGAGGACCCCGATCTCGCCAACAGGGCCATATCCGAACTAAACGGCGTCGATTTCATGGGCGCCAAAATATCGGTCGAAAAGGGCCGCGTGAAGCCCCGCAGGGGCGCCCCCCGAGGCGGTAGAGATCGCGGCGGAGGCGCCGGTCCGTACTCCAGAGGTAAAAACCCAACTCCAAACGAAATAACCCCTATTATCGATTGCATTACAGGCGGAGGCGGCGAGTTCAGAGGCCGCAACGGCGGCTTCGGCCGGGACTTCGCCCCCTACCGAGGCGGTTACGAGCGACGCGGCGGCGGTTACGGCGGCGACCGAGGCGGTTACGACGAACGCAGGAATATACCGGTGACCGGTTACGACGACCGAAGGCCAGCGCCGGGGGCTTTCGATCGAAGAGGACCGGTCGGTTACGATCGCGGGGCTCCCCCGCCGCCTACCGGCTACGACGACAGACGGGACACTTACGGTGGAAGCGGAGCGGTCGGTTACGGAGCGGGAGGTTACGACAGAAGCGCCGAAGGTTACGATAGAGGGGCTCCCATGTACGATCGAAACGCCTACGATGATCGAAGACCTCCTATGGGCGGCGGTTACGATGATAGAAGAGGCGGAGGTGGCGATCTCTACAGTCGACGGGACGGTAGTGGTGTGATTAAAGGAGGGTAAATTGTTTTATGAAACACCTTAAGCGTGTAATTTTAACTTATAGATTTGTAATGTTTAGTTATGCTGCTCCGGCGAACGGTTACAGCAACGGTCCACCTTCGTATAACACCGGCGCAGTCGGAGACGGTTACGGAGTTCAAATGGGCGGTGGATACGGTACCGGCAACGGGGCCAACGGGAGCGGAAGTTACAGCGGTAACGCCACCGGAGGGTACAGTAGTAGCGGAGGTTATGTGGATAGTGTGCCAACGGGCGGTGGTTACGGGAGCGATATTAGCGGATACGGTGGAGCTTCGACGGTCGGTTATCAAGATCGCGGTTACGGGAGCGGGAACGTGGGCGAGCCGATGGGTTACGGAGATTCGTACGGGGCACCGCCCGCTGTGGCCCCTGTTGGAGGAAGGAGTGGATACGATTCGGCCTATCCTCCGTTACCGCAACAAAGGGGGTAAGGGATTTGTTTTTTTTTTTTGGAAATACTAGCGAGCGCCTTGTTTCGTTCATAAGCGTGACGTTTCATGATATTCTGGGTACATGTTGTCGGTTTGTTCGATTAATTCAATTTTTTTCTTCGTTTGATTGTAGTTTTGATGGCGGACCAGGCCCTAGAAGAGACGGACATCCGGGCCCACGATATTAAGGCATTTAAATTTAATCGCAAAATTTGATACCTAGTTAGGGATCTTTTTTTTTACTAGCGAAGTACGAAACAGTAGTAATTTTTGTGCGTGCTTATTTCTCATTCATAAAGCGTCTAAAATATCGCATATACATAAATAGTAGTAACGCAATATCGCGATTTTAATTTCAGTAATATTACTATAAGTGTTTAGTAAACAGTTGTTAGGTTTACGCCTTTTTTTTGAAAAGTTTTTTGAAATAAGATATTTATAAAATAATTGGTGTTTTTGTCTCGAACGCATTATTAGACTTTCGTTCCGCAATACTCGGAAATAAATATCCTGGATTAATCGATTTCGCACAATAAATCCTTGTCCTTCCAGACCGAAAATTACAGCTATGTATAATAAAAAAGATGCGGTTGTATACAGTTAAAATTGCGGCTCGACTCCGTTAAATTAGTAGTAAATACTCGCAACGCAAGGAATATTTTTGAAACCGAAAAGGCCTATCTCTGGGAGATTTTCATGCGGTCGATTCGTTGAGGTTTAATCGGCGATGTAACAACAATTTATTTTAGCCCAGGCGCTGTGCGATTGTCGATATTTGATCGCGTTAAATTTGCGCCGGAACATTTTCCTATACCGTTTAATAGCGTTTAGGAGTCCTAATAGCGACTGCACGGAGCACACGAAGCGCCCTTTCGAAACCTCTGCGTTTTGAGAAGATCGTTTTAGCGTTAATGAGATTTGCGAAGAACGAGTTTTTGCGCATTATGAGATAGTTAATTGAGCGCCATTACGATGTCCAAAAGGTTCTCTAAACGTTAAGATATTTTTCAGAGGTACGTTATTTGATTATTTATTTTGCAGGTATTTTTTACACGACTAGCTTTGATAATTTACTCGATATCTAATATTGATTTGTTAATTTTCTCAACCGAAATATTTTGGTATTTATTTAATAGGTGCATATTTTTTTTCGTCTATAAGTGTACATATTTTGCGTCCTATGCGTAGAACTTGATTATGAAATTATCATCACGCGGAATTCTACGATAGTAGGTAGATGAATCGGTATAGATTTAACTGTTAATGCGCTGAAATCTACAAATTGCGGCAGACTTACGCATTCTAGTCTATAAGAATCGCCGGGCGGGTCATTTGTACGCCTAAATATTTCGGTTGAACGAGTACATAAATTTTAAAACCTCCTAAAGGTAGTCTCATTCACGTACGTTACATTTACGTTGTACATTAAATTTTCGTTCGAGTACGACAACCGCTAATTCGATATTTATTCTTTTATTGTAGACTTGGTTGAATAACTGCAAATACCGAGGACTAACTGGGAAACTTTTATCAAAGAAATGTTCGCTCCATGTTTGATTGTAGTAAAAAAAACCGTCGCCTCGAAGATTACGATCTCGTGATATTGGAAAAGTAAGATTTTAATAAAATATTTATAACGCTACATTTTATTTATTTCTCGCTCTTTCTCCCTATACATTTCAGGATTCCCGTAACGTCACAAGAATCCTGTCATTTGATATGACTATTTCAAGCTTGTATCAGTTGGTAATTCTAATTTCTACGCCAGCAATTACTCATAACGAATTATTGAATCCTCGAATAGATAAGTCGAGGTATTTGGTTTGTTATCAATGCAGTTCGAACTCCTCCGAAATAACGCCTCTGTGTGATGCCGGCGTCTTCAAATTAACCAATCGTTTGGAGAAATTAACGATGTCGTTCCATTGTCCCCCGCGATGGGACAAGTACTGCTTCACCAGCTTCGTTTGCTCCAATCAAGGACATTGCTTAACAACAAGGGGCTGTTCGGGGGACGAAGACGTGGAAAACAACAAGATAAAATCCGGCTGCATTACATTCGGCGATTACAACGAAACCTGCTTCTGCAACACCAATTTATGCAATCATTCCGAGGCTATAAATAATGCGAACGCTAATTTCTACACCGCAATGTATCTGCTTTATAAATTCCTTATCGCCTATGCGTCGTTTTACTTTGAAAGTGATGGCATTCTCACCGGTACCGAATTTATCTAAATTCCGCAAAACAGGAAAGGCTGCGTTAACAACATCCTGCCGATTGATAAATCCTTGCTTAAAATTTTTTATCGGCCGTCGTTGGGCCAGTTTAAGATGGAGACGACGCTCGTATTGTCGATGGTTCTCGCCAGCGTGCAGGGCTTCAATTTCGATTTGGATTTTCCGATCGTCTTCAGGAACCCCGAGGCGAATGCGAAGGCCTATTTCGGTTACGCGGTCGCCATGTACCCCGGAAACGACCGAGGAGCCAGGCAATGGTGAGTACCGAGTGCGAAGCTTGTAATTTATTACAGTACAGTGTACTAGGATTAGAATCGGGGCTCCCAAGGCGAACGATTCCTCCTATCGGAAGACGCACGAGCCTGGTTTGGTGTACAATTGCGAGGTGATGGTGGATTGTAAGCCGATGTCGTTTCCTCATACCCCCCATTCAGGTAAACGGAATTGGAGATTTGGTGAAAATTGTAGAGTACATTCGACGGTAATAATTTTGTAGGTTTGATAGAAAGGTGGAGGAACGGTTGGATCGGTGCGACGATGGACGTGAGCTATTCAAACGAAAGATTTGCTGTAAATATTTCGATTTCAATTACGTCCGGTTTTCGTGTTATAATTTACGCGTATTTTAGGTGTGCGGTTTTCGACATTTCTTTGAAAAATATCGGGAATACTTGACGATGGGTGCTTGCTTTTACTCGTATCTAAACTCGACGAAGTTCCATCCGATTTGGCCTTTACTCGATCAAGGTAAGAAGTATTTCCGAAACGTTATATGTAGTTATAATGTAATATTTTCAGCTCGACTTACTACAACGTACGGTGACCAAGGCCTGTACTTGTACGGGCAGGGTCAAGCTGGGTTCTCGGCTCATTTTCCAGAGGTACTCTAAACATACTTTTTCTACTAAACATACAATTTCTACGTTATTTTAGGGAAGGGAAGAATTGCTATTAGGCGCACCCGGTATTTATAATTGGGCGGGTTCGCCTTTCAGAGTATCCGATGATAATTACAACGAACCGGACTCCAGCAGACGGAGAAGGGACGTGGAACTGTTCAAAAAAGTCGAGATCCCCAGCGCCTCCCCAGAAGATATTTACTCATTATTTGGTACATATGAATTTCCATAAATTTACAGTAAAAGTACATTATTTACTCGGGTATTTCACTATTGTAGGTTATTCCGTTACGTCCGGTCATTATTACGGACCTTCTACGTTATATTACGTTACCGCCAGTCCGAAAGCCGATCAATACAAAGGAAAGGTATTTATTAACAAACAACATAATTCACATCGTTTAATTATTTACTAACTCTATTCAAGGTAGTCGTATTTATTTTCAACGGTTCGAATCGTAAGATCGAAGAAAAGGAGTACAAAATCGGCGAACAATTCGGCGAATATTTCGGCGGTTCTCTCGTCACCGGGCGAATAAACGACGACAAATTCGACGATCTGCTGGTCGGTTCGCCTTATTACCCGGGAAAGACCTTCAACGAGGGTAAAGTTTACCTTTATTTGGGAGCAACAGTTAGTACAAATCCACAAAAAAAATACTCTTCCTATCGAGCCACTCGCTGTTATAATTTCAGGACAAATTAATCATGTCGACGGTTCTGACGAACGGCCAGAAAGGGTCCCAATTCGGAGCCGCCATCATGTACTTGGGCGACATAAACGGAGACGGTTTCGGCGGTAACTGAAACCACGTTAAATCTCGCGAAATATCTAATTTTTATAATATCAATCGCAGATGTTGCTGTCGGTGCTCCTTACGAAAACGGCCGCACCGGGTGCGTGTACATTTTCAAAGGAACCAACGAAGGATTGCAAACGAATCCCGTGCAAAAGATCATCGGTAAAGACATAATGCCCGATCTACTCGGTTTCGGCATCACAATCTCTAAAGCCGTCGATATGGATTACAACGGATATAAAGGTGAATCGCTACGCTTGAATAATCAGTCGCTTATCAATCAAGATCAAGAATGAGTTCACTAATTTACGTGCGCTTTAACTTGATTGATACCAGCTAATGCTGGACTCTGGTTCAAGCTAATTTATTCCTTTTGCATTGAAGATATATCGATCGGGGCGCACCTGTCCGACAGCGTGGTGTTCCTGAGGAGCAGGCCGTTGGTGGTGATCCGCTACATATTCAACACGGTGCCGGAGATTCTGTCGCAAGACGCTCGATCGTTCGTCGTGAATATTTGCTTCTCGTATCGCGGGTTTCGCGGCGATTCAGTAGGTTAGACGCCGCGCTAATTTTTTTCTTTTACATATTTATTCACCTACATTTACCGCTCTTTTTCAGCCCTAACGTACGCTTTGACGATGGAGCAACTGCTCGGCAGGGCGAACATCGGCGGTAACATCACCGAAACGCGAAACATCACGATTCGACAGCAATCGACTCATTGCCGCGAGATCAACGTTACGATAAAAGTAATCTAATTGAATGTAAAGAGTCGCCGAGTAATTATATTTCGAGAGCAATTTTAGGAGACGCCTAAGCCGGGTGTCAAAACCATCCCGCTCAAAGCTTCGGTTACTTACGCCTTAAATTACCCCGTCGGCGAGAAATCCGTAACGGTAGTTTCCGACAGATCTCGGGGCGTCGATAAATTGTGCGTCAGATGTCCTGTGTTAGACGAATACAGATCCAACATAACGTTTTACGAAACCGAAATACCGTTCAGTTTAGATTGCGGATCGGACAACGAGTGCCAATCGTTCCTCACCGTCGATTTGCAGTTTCCGGATTTGAGGTTTAATGGCTGCGAATTCTCACGTTTGACGTTTCTAATCGATCGTTTTTTGTAGCGATAACGTTTTCGTTGTGGGTTCGACGAACTATTTAAAACTGAAAGCGATCGTGGTGAACACCGACGAGAACGCCTATTCGACGAGATTGTTCCTGGAATTGCCCAAATCCATTTTTTTCACGGAGAGCAACACCGACAACGCCTCGCTGAAGGTGCAAGACGTCGCGAATCCGCTCAAGACGAACGAAACGGTAAATCCGACGAACGAAACGCCGGCGATTTATCTAAATTTCGTGCAATTTCCACAGAAAGTAATCGACTTGGAATTGGACGTGAGAAACGCCAACAAAGACTTCGACAGCGACCGTTTCGATATATTCGCGAAAGTCATCACGTCCAGCAACAATTCGAACGAAGACTCCGTCGTAACTACGCTGACATTAAAACGAGAAGCTGATATAACGATTTACGGGTAACCTGCATTTGAACTACTCGTTAATTGTTCACAAAAAAATATATATCGCATTCCAGAACCACCCAGCAAGAGAGCAACTTCTACGGCAACAGTTCGTACAACACGTCCAGCCTCCAGCACACGTTCAAAGTAAATTTTACCCACATTTTTAACTCGTTCAATACGCCGAGATGTACGTTTTTAGATCGAAAAATACGGCGTGAGCCCTTTGGAGAGATTGCTGGTCGAGATCCGAGTGCCGTTCGAGTACGAAAACCGAGCGTTTCTGAGCGCCTCCGACGTGGAGACCTACTTCGGCGGGCAGCCGTTCCCCTGCGACGTCGTCGGCGTCGTCCTGTCGAAACCGGCGGCCGCCGTCGACGTGGGCGAGGCCAGCCGGAGGCGTCGCGACGTCGAAGAGTTCTCGAACGGCACGGGCGACGGCCGAAACGCCGAGATCAGAATCAACGACGAGGAGGTGGCGATCTCGAACGGGACGTTGTATTTGAACTGCAGCAATCCGAGCGTAAAGTGCTTCGATGTTAGGTGCATCTTCGGGCCGTACGATAAAGAAAATACGCCGGCTTCGGTGCAAATCGATATGCTGGTGAACACTACGATGATAGCAGGTATGCATCGGTATCGCTCACGAATGATCTTGAGCTTCTTTACTGTTTGTACGAGTACTGGAAAAGGTAGCGAGAACTTTTTTTTTATTGTAGACATGGCTAAAAAGTTGGACATGGTGCTCATATCCTCTTACGGGAAAGTTTTCATCGAATCGCCTAAAAATTTCGAACAAAGCGGAAACCGGTAAATATTTAATAGGTAGTCGTTGTAATTTGTGAATAATTTGGAAACTTTTCAGCGCAGATTCTGTCACTATATCCTCGGTGTTTATAAATGATATCATGAAGCACGAACCAATCGCCTTGTGGATTATAATCCTAGCAGCCATTATAGGATTGCTCCTACTGTTGTTACTGATACTCATCTGCATAAAGGTAATATTCGTAATCGTAAACATCAAATGTCGAAGGCCAGCCCTTGTCACTTGACGAATCGCGATGTTATAGTACTCATGGAATTTGTGTTTTCAGATCGGATTCTTCAAGAGATCGAAGAAAGAGGAATTGGAACATTTAAAAGCAGCTGTAAGTATTCGCGAAAGTTTCGTTAAATCAAATGTACCCCAAGCGATCGAAATCGCCGGCGATACCGGTCAATTTGTCGACGATGTACCGTTCGCTTTTCCTCTCCATGAGGAACATCTTCTCGCGCTCGCCCTCCTCCATGTGGCCCGTCCAATCGGGTATTTCGTCCGGATCGGCCGCGAACAGCGGCACCGCGATCAGGCACATCATCAGGCCGTATTTCGAGAATTTCCGCATGTGTTCGGCGAAAGTGGCCGAGGCGAAGACGGCCGGATCGACGCCCGACGACGCCAGGCGTTCGACGAAGCTCGAGTGGTAGGCGTCGAGGAGGGCCGGGTAGTGGGCGTCGCGCAGCGCCTTTTCGGTGCAGGCGAATATGAAGTAGGAGACGTCGACGGCGGGCGAGGCGCACCTGCTCAATTGCCAATCGAGCAGGCACACTGCGGACGGGCGCGATTTGTCTTCCTGCAAAATGTATATTTATATAAATTCTATTATTTATTCTCTGGGATATATATAGATAGAGGTACATAGGGGGACGTACAAAGAATCGCTGATTACGAAAATCGACTTCTTTTCGCCAGCTAAATTCGTTTTTATTCGTAAATCGAAATTAAAAGTAAAATTTTTGACAGATTTATAAATAAAATGGCCGTTGCCCGTTCGTTTGGTTTAAACGGAACTACACCGAAATGAAAGACTTTTTGGTAACTTGAATTTCGTCGCTTTTAATGGACGAGAATAAAAGAAATTGCAATAAAAATATATATTTCTCGGTAATCTGTACTTACCAAAAACCGAGAAACGATCAAATTATTTTTAAAAAACCTTCACCTAATGACAGCGGCGATGAACAAACTTCGAACTGTCAAAGTTGTCATTTCCGTTGCTACGGGATACTTTGATATACAGGGTGTTTTACCTCGTATTTGAATAACATGTTGTTGATCCAGCAGTCGCCGTGGCAGAAAACTGCTACTCCCTTCGCGGCTTCTGCGGACAAATTTTCTAGTAAACCTTCCTGGGGGAATTTGATGAAGTCCTGTAGTTTGTTGATCAATGGTGCGTCGTCGGTTTCGTGTAGATTTTTAATAATTTTGTCAATAGGGCCTTTGATTGTTTGGCATAAGTTCGATAAACTGACGTTGTTGAAGTACATTTCTTTGGTATTGTCGGATAATTCTTTATAAACGTCGGGTTTTTTGTATTTGAGTGCTAGACCGAGAGCGTGAAATTGCCCGTACGCTTTTAATACTGCCAAACAATTGTCTAAATCTGCAATTGGAGAATTTTATGTTGTAATTAACAGCGATTTGAAACGTTAGGAGCGGTTTACCTAAGGTGGTTTTTCTGTTTTTTAAAACGTATCCGAGAGAAATCATGTCTTCGAAAATTAGATGTTCGTACGGAGATGTCTTGCTAGTCAGATAGCATCGTGGAACTGTGTAAGACACATCAACATCGGTTTCTTCTATTAATTTCGACAATTCAACGAAAACGCGTTCGTACATGTAGACTTCCCGTTCGTGTAATATGTCGATTTTGATGTAATCTCTGAATTCTTGCGACTGCGGCGCGCTTTTTATTATTAGATTCACCGTTTTTGTATCGCCCTTCTCGTCGGTTCCGCTAACTTTAACTTTCGTTATGATGCCTAAATAATTTTGCCCCTTATCGGAGCCTTTCGAATAATGCGTCGTGTAGTTTTCCAATTTCAAGCGGTGTAAGCATTCCTTAAGGTTGCTTAAGACCTCCTGAGGTAGAGACACATTTTCTTCCATATTCTGCGTATGAAAACCGAAAATCAATGCAAATTTTATTTTATCATGAGGCAAAACAGTATTTTTAGTTACTGCAGAATGATAAGTTGATGTTACGAAAATAATTATCTCTTCGCGCTTTTTAGTTTGCTCTGTATGTTAATTGATGTCCTACTTTTCCATATAAAAATTTACAAATGTTTTTGTACTACTTACCAATCCCTTCTGCACCAAACAACTTCTGTAATTGTTAGAACTAAATTGTCTTGATAAGAATATTATTTATCTATAAAATTCAGGCAATACGTAATGCCGTATCCTCTCGTAATTTTACAGAGAGATGTTAACGACCTCACCTCGATAAATGTCCTTCAAAAAACGCCGTGACAATTTCGTTTTATTGCGTCGCTTTCGTATTGATGTTGCTTCACGTTAAAGTAGTTGTTTCGGCTAATCAGTGTTTTATTTATCAGTTTTTATTTATTTATGTACGTGTGATACAGGGTGTAAAGGTAAATGCGCCTCGTATCGAAACGTACTCGAACGAGTTTAATCGTTGCATTATATTACATTTTATAAATTTTATTTTAGGCCGTCCGGGAGGATCAAGGGATGGAAATTGACCAAAACGTTATGAATGAAGAAGAGTTGGTAGATCAGGAAAAGAGAGATTTGGAACCGCCGTTGATAGAGGTGAATTATTCGAGTGAAGAATTATGTAATGTTAGATAGATGCTAAATTTGCATTCGAGGGATAAGAAGCAATGCTTTTTTGTATAGTAGAGTTTTTCTTATGCATAACATAAGTAGATTAAGTAGTAATTAATTTCTCTAACTAAAGGTGAAAAAACCGGGCCTTAGAATTAATGCATTAGAGTAGAGTGATAAAAAAATATAAGTTTTAAAATTTATTAGCAACAAATTTAAAAAACACCTTTGCGCAAAATTATAATTTTTAAATTTACAAAAATATCCATTCCATGACAATAAATATTTACAATAAGTCGAATAAATGATACAATTTATTCAAATTCACCACTTCCATAAAAATAATCATCCAATTTCAATTCAATAAAAAAAAAAATTAAAAAAAATCTCGGTAAATACGATGCTTCTCAAAGCATACAAAATGCTTTACGAAAACAAAGAAAGTCTTCCTTGCAAAAATATTTAATTTCTGCTCACAACAAATCCGCAATTGACGGTTCCTTGTCAAAAAACCCGATTATGTTACCAACTCATCAGCATCAGTCTCGATCTCGCTTTGTCAGAAATTCGAAAGCCAACCGCTGTTGCTCAAATATTTAACTATAGCTTCCTTCGTATCCGCCGAAGTTTCCGATTCTTGACTGATATTCTGATATTTCTCGGGAAACATGAGGTTATCCTTAAAACAAAAAAAATACATAAAAAAAATCTCTTATTAAAAAAAAAAACTATTTTACCTGTATTATTAACGACTTCATTGTTGTATAGTGCACAGGAAGAATTTTCAAATTGGCGCAAAGCTAAAACGAAATGCATTACTCGATATATTCGTTGTTAAATAAACATTTAGTTCGTACGTGTATTTCATTTTCCGATAGCAAATTCCCCATGGGATAGTATCGCAACGTTGCCGGATCGGATGGAACCTTATCCAAGCTCGAGCTGCTGCTGGAGGAGAAGCTGTTGGTGCCGCATTCGTCGTTTTGTCCCCACGTGGATTTTCTTTCGATGGAATCTGTGTCGCCCGCGCCGCTTTTTCTGATTAAAAAACGGAACGTAACCATCAGAATGCATATCAAAGCGACTAAAGAAGACCATCTACTAGTTAAATAAATAAATTTGCTTACCCGTTTTGGTAGTGGAACTCCCGAGGTACATAGCCACTGCTGCCCTAAGTGAAATGCAAACTGATACAATCTGTTTCTGTTAACATATGAAGTATTTCTGCTAAGTTTAGACTGCGTATGATACACCAAACCATGAGATGATATGACATGAAATAAACGAGACAGAAAAACATGGACTCCATTAGATTAGTTAATTTATAGTAAAAATTACATTAGATAGGTTCTGAACGATGGTTTCTTGATAATTGAATTAAAAAAAAAATAAGCGAGATATTCGACTTATTAAAGAAACTTACAGATTTGCTCTGGCGCAGTTGCTGCTGCCTTTCGTGTGCAATGTGCTGTTCGTAATGTATAATTTCGTCTTGCGTCGTTAGTCCGAGGCTTCTGTACTTCATCAATTCGGACAGTCTGTGTCTCAGCTCCTTTTCCCTTTCTAAACTTGCTATTAAACGTTCGTGTTCGCCCGATGAGAGGAATTGCGAAAAAGCGCGCATTTTCTCTCGCAATTCTCTACAAATAATACAAAAATAAATTCAACTCGTCTTGCCGAATAAATTTCCTTTTTACCTTTGCTCTTTATTGAATTGCGGGGTTTTATGCGGATCTTTTCTCACGTTGGCGTAATATTTGGCGACTAATTGGTAATCCCGAACGATTCTTTTCCTTCTCGCCCTCTCCCTTAGTCTTCTCGTATACATATCGACTCTAGCTAACTTCAAGGCGGTTTCCATTTCTGTACTTTCTTCCGGTTCTAACATCAATTCCGACACTAATTGCTCAGCTTCCATATCGTATTCCTAAAACGTAACTTACATTCGCAACGCGTTACTTCCCATTGGTCTCATTTACCCTTTCGTAATCGTCCCTATGCGGGTTATAGCCCAAAAGTCTAGTTTCTTCAAGAGTAATATCCAAAGGTGGTAATCTAGCGGTGACGCTAGGAGACAACGGGCCATCGTCTTCCGGTATATTCTCAACGAGAACGGGCTTGTTAGAAGATACATTCGCCAAAGTGGCTTTTCCTATGTTACCGTCTACATATCGCGAGATATATTCCTCCTTAACCTCTGCGAAAAGCTTATTGTTAGTACATTTACGAGGAATTATTGGAGATTTGTACCTTCTGGTGTTCGCGTCTCCACATATTCGCTTATCAACTCCCAATTACCGAAGCCGTGCAATTCCACAGCATCGAGCAGCTCTAAATGTTCTTTTCCCGTCCAAGCGCCCCTTCCGCCGAAAATAGTCGCAGCGCAATGGTCCACGAATCTGTATGAATGGTCATTTTGGTGGGGCCCAATTTCAGCGCCGACAGCGAAACACTGCAACAGATCACGCTTTAAATAAACGAACGTAATATTTTTGCTATTGTTTACCTGAAGGCACAGATCAATATCCTCGCATATGCAACATTTTATCCGTACGGTGTTTATTTCTTCTTGACAATACGTACATTTCACTTTGGTAAACAATTCTATCGAAAAAATATGAAGAAGAAATGAAATGTCAATATAGCATCACTTGTATACGTCAACTTACCAGTCATATTATTATTGAAATCAACTGTATAAACTGTATTTACATCACCACTTCAATACGTTATAAATTCGTTTGGTGTTGGTTTGCGATAAAAAGTCTGCGGAAAAGTTTCCAGCATACACAATCGAAAATATGATATAATTTTTTAACAAACGCTAACGACAAATGTCGACCATTTTTTTTATTAACGTCAACAAAGTCAACTGTCATGTTTGTCATTTTAATGTCTTCTACTTTCTCAATAAGTGCTAAGCAAATAAGGCATTCAGCCACTTTCGAATATGGCCATTATTAGAAGTTAGAATCAACCAAAACTACTTGTAATACACGTTAAATAACTCCTGAATAGGAAAATCCGAGCATCGGCACAAAGTAATGAAAGGGTTAAAAGAAGTAACATCATCCTGATTAAAATCTTAATAAAATTAATTGTCAAATATAGATATATAAATTACATAAAACATAAAATGAGTGCGGTAAAAATTTCACTCACTACCGTCAGATTCCGAATCGCTACTGACGACACGTTTTCTCCTTACGCTCCGTTTTTGTTTCTTTTTGGGGTTCTCTTTTTGCGTTTGTTTTTTGTGAGATCGGGGGGCGGCCGGAGGGGGCATGGAAACAGTGCTATCATCATTTACACCCAACGAGGCTGTAATCAGTTTCTCCAATTCCGCTGTGAGCGACTGGAATATTACGAGAATTATTGATAGAATTTGTAAAATGCACTTTCGAAATGTACCTTCAAATCCTGCTTACTACCGAATCCCCTGTTGCAATTCTGCATTATTTGCTTGAAATTGGAGTAAATCTCCTCGTCGCACAAGTAATTTTTATACATGGGAAACTCTTCGATGAGCCTCTTGAGAGTTTTCTCGTTGTACTTGATCAGACTTAGGCAGTAGGAAATGTGATTGTGCGCTTCCGAATCATCGGTAATTGGAAACTTCGAACAGAACCTGGTGATGATGTTCTCCTTGTATTTGTTGCTTTCGGTCAGATCAAACAATATCCTATAAATTAAAATTGCGTAAATATGTAGGAATAATTACAAAAAAAAACAATTACTTCATTGTACTTCTAACGGTTTTGCTATCGAATTTTTCCTGTGTGAAATAATCAAGTACGTCCGGTATAATGTTGCTTATATTTTTCAGTTTGTGCGATAATTTCAGGAAGAACGTGTGGCACATATCCCTTAAGGACTCGTCGCTGTCGTTAAACAACACGGCCATTTTCGGCAAGTGATTTTGCGCCCGAATCATGTCAGTTAAAATCAAATGGGACAACACGAAGAACGTCGCTCGGCGAATTTTCGGCAAGGGATCCGTCAAACTGAAGATCAAATATTATAGTCGATAACTTCGAACGTTAATTTAGAATCTTTTACCATTTGTACAATCGATTGATCCAAGGCTCGATCGAGTTCGGAAACCTCGAAAGCAAATCCGATGTAAAAACCAAAGCGTTTACTTTGACTTCGGGATAGGTGGTTTTCTCCAAAATGGTAAACCAAAGGCTCATTTGAGCGTCGCAAAATTTGTTAGACACGAGCATGTACCTAGAAACGAACACATTACTCGATTCGTTATCGATATTAATTATCGTCTCACCTCGCCAAAGCGGTTGTGGCTGCTTTTTGTAAGTCTTCGTTGTTGAATTTATCGGGTCTTTGGCAAATACTTAATATTAATGGCACTCCCATATTCAACGGGCCGGAACTCGGTAATGTTTCTAGTTTACCCAGCACGAAATCGGCGTCATCATCGTAGGCTTCGGCTCCTTCGATTTCATCCAACTTAAAATCAACACACTGTAATAATTTATAATTTAATAATACAACAAAAGAGTCTTACCGAGGTGTTTAAGGTTTTATTTATAAGTAAGGTTTTTCGTTTGTTAACGTTCTTGTTATTTTTGGGTTGTTTTGCGTTCAAAATCTTCAATTCCTTATAAACAACATCGTTCATAAATTCCAATTCTCTTACAGCCACGTAACCGAACATTTGACAAATCCTAATCAAAAAATACGTCGGTATCGTGGAATTCTCCTCTCCAAGTCTTTTGTTGTACTCGTTAATCGTGGCTTCTATTAAATCGTAGGAGAACTTCGAAGGCTTCTTGCTTAACTGGGAATTTTGAAAATCAAAAATTACATTTCCAGCTATTCCTATTACATTTATTCACCTTGTAGACGAAGTCTAATCCGCTGAAGAGCGCCTCGCAATAGAAACCGACGGGCGTCGACACTAAATCCGTCAAAATCGATAACAAATCGCTAAAACATTTCTCTTTGCACGTGATTTTAAACGGCGGCTTGTTGCTCGCAATGTCGATCTTCTCGTAGGCGTTAGCCAAGAAATCGCAACAAACCGATAGGAATTTAAGGTTTTTACGACCTCTGCGAAATACATTATTAATTGTAATTCATAATATCGTATAAAACTTCCAATACAAACCTTTCACCGAACGCCACGGTCGACACTAAATTAATATTCTTCCTTATAATGGCTTTGGAACCGTGCGAAGCCATTCTCAACAGATCGGTGGCGACGATTTCGTCGTCTTCGTCTAATTTCACCTGCCTCGTAAAGATATGCCACAATCGTTCTATACAAGCATTATCTAAAACACCCTGCGACACCCACATGGATATTATTTTCTCGATATTAATCTCCTCCACGACCGGAATCGACTTCACCAAACGAACGAGACAATCCACAACGATGGTAACGTGATCGCTAAAATAAAATCGTACCAACAGTCGAATTAATCTCGATAAATGCGAGTATAACTTACGAAATATTTTCCGTATTAGTAATCAGGTAGATGTTTTTCAAGCAATTCAGAGCGGCGACTTTTCGTTCTTGTTCGTTCCGTTGCATCAACTTCAATATCGCTGGAAAATCAAATAAATTTACCTATAAATTCGCATTTCGTTGTGATTGAACGAACTCACCGCAAATGCCCTCCGAGCTTCTGTCGATGTTGAATTTGTTCAGCACGGCGAAAAACTCCAGGGCTTCGTGCATGTCGCTGGCTGAGGTGGTTTCGAGCAATTGCACCATCCTATCGATGGATCGATCGATTAAACTGAGAAATTCGAAACAGTTCGTCAGGAAATCCACCCGGGCGGTCAGAGAAGCCAGTCGATTTTGATCGTCTTCCGATATGTTGTCGAAACGGTTGTTTTGGAATTGCTCGACCAGATCGGTGAAATTGAAAAATGTCATGTGGAACGCCCGCATGTACATTTCGAACGTACTAATACCTTCGTTTTCCCTAAAAAAACATGTTTTTTTTATTAATCACGAATTGATTGATGATTATCGCGCTTACATGCAACTCTTTACGACGGTATTACTGCTAATGACGGCGCTCATTAACAGGAAAGCTTCTTTAAACTGCCCGGATATTAAATATTTCCTTATCGTTTCTCTGCATTCATCCTCTGGAAGGCGACATTGCTCTTCTATTTCTTCAGGTATATCTCCGTCTTCATCTGAAAAACGAATTTAATACATCAAACAAACACATAAAGATGAACTCCCGTTAGTCTCATATAAGCGAGAAAGTAAGGGTGATATTGTAATTTTAATAATCTCGTTTTGTTGAAGTCGCAGAATTGACCATATTGCAAATACATTTTACATTTACCTTGAAAATCTGTTAATATTTGTTGCAATTCATTTTGAAGGGGCCCTACCACTTTATCCCAATTCGCCTGCAGCTCCGTTACTTCGTCGAGTTTGGCGTTACTCAATTGCGCTTGTAGTTCAGTCAGCTTTTTCTGGGTCTCCTCCAATTCGGCTTTCGTCGATGAAAGCGACAGCTTTAAATAAATACAGAGTGTTTCAAATATTACATACCTACGGTAGGCTTCGTTTAACAGCTCAAACGGTCCTCTTATGATAAAACGAAGCATTCGAAAATGTATTCTAACGAATGTTCTTAGTGTAAAATCGATTTTTACCTGAGCTCCGTACACGTTGAACGATAGAAAGGTAGTAACGCAATTTGCGGCGCATTTCCTGGCTATCGGTGAGGTATCGGTGAGATGTTCAACGGCCTTTTCCAGTACCGTACGTTGGAATTTCAAAGGAATGGCGTTCGCTTTTTGAAATCTAGCCAACTGCGAAAATACCTATCAAACAAAATTTTAAGTTACAGTTGATACTTATTCGATTGGATTAATCTCACTCTTCCTCGAACTAGTGCAGACTGGTCAGTGCAATGTTCCATGACGATATCGAATAGAGTGTCTCTTAGTTCTTTTTCGCGATCTTCCAAGTCGTGTTTCGTTAGAACGTTTAGAATGACTTCGAGCATCACCATTAGCACGGATATTCTTAGAGAATTAGACTGAAAATTAATCAATAAGCAATTCGTAAATTTTTATGTTTGCTTAAGGGCTTACGTCGAAAAACAAATATTTGTTCAAAGAAGTAACTTCGTCGCGCATGAGGTCTGGTAAAAGTGCTGCTAATGCGGTTAGAACGGCCGAGCAATTCCTCGAACCCTACGAATTAATTTATTTATAAAAAGAATTTATTAGATTGTTGTTTTTTTTTTTAATTTACCAGACTGTCCTGTGAATTGTCGGTCATCTGCCACTCGGTCAATTCCTTGACGAATTCGGACAATAAACTTTTGAAATTGAAATGTTTAACTAAATATTCGATCCCTTTGGGCACGCAAAGCGTCAAATGTTCATGCTGTTTGATCAAGCTGATCAATTTTATCATAAAAGTCGAGCCGTGATTGTAGTTCTGTATTAGATGGCCGAGAATGTTGAATATATCGTTGAACGTGTCCGATTGATTTTTGTCCTTGATCGAAGGATCTTTTAGAAATTCGTAGCACAGGTTCGAAATGGTAGATAAGAAACTCTGTTCGACCATTTTGTCTTCCCAAAAACATGATATTTCTTTCGTGATGATTTCGTAGAGTAATCCCAAAATCTTCGGTTTTTCCAAGGATATTTGTACGTCGTTGGACTTTTTTTTGCCTAAAACGAAACGCATTGAATGGGAAAGTTGATAAAATATTGAATCTACAACGTACCTCTTTTGCTTGGTTCCTTTTCTGCATCGGAACGTTGTTGGTTTTCAATAAATAGCACTGTTTCCGTAAATAAATAAATAATCATTTTTAGCACATTTAAAAATTTCGCTGTAATTTCTGGCGTTAAGCTATCCTTATCCTCCAGAAGAATTGATATTTCCTTGTTAAGTTGAGACACTCCTAAAAGAACCTAATGAAAAACTTGTTTATATTGAATCAATTCTAAGTACCTCGTAGTAGATCTTGATTTGCTTGATTTATGAGAATTCTGCTAATCAATTGTCCATTATGCAAAACAGAAAAGTATGTATCAAAAGAACTTAGAACGAACTCGGCTCCTTCGTTTGTTAGATTAAACTTACATCCTACAAAAAAGTTTTTAAAATAAACAAAACAGCGTTATCATAAGACTTACTTTTCAATTCTTCGGGTATTTCCTCTGGGGAGAGCACATTTCTAACGAAATAATATTCACTGTTACATTCTAGTAACTCTTCCTTGTTAGGTGGTATCATAAAAGTAAAAGGGACCATTTTTTTTTAATTTTTTAAACATGTAATCGCTCACAAACTATTTACCATTGAAAAAGTTGTTTGTGTGTCGTTTCGTAAGCATCTAAAATTTTAAATTGCTGTCAACTGTCACTGGCGCGGTTGTCGGTTAAGTAAACAGGTTAGCCAACTCAAATTATTCGATATCGAATGAGCAATCGATTATAATCGAACTACACTCAGAAGTTTATGTTCTATGTTTGACTTTGACATGTGTCAGTCGTCAATGTTGACGTTTAAATATTATTTTTAATTGTCAAAATCTGTCCGAAATGCAAAAGCGATTGATATTTTCTATTTTGAGTATCTAGGCGAATATAAATGAGAGTCGACTTCCGCATTGCGACGAAATTCAATTTATTTTTGTATTTCCATTTGCGAAAAGAATATATTTTTTAGACAGCGTATTTGGGAAACTGCGACCTCAGTAATATGGTAATAATGGAGAACTGTTGTTTGCCTGAAAATAGTTTTAACGAATTACTCCAAGAGATAGAGCGTTGCCATTTGAGCTTCTTAGAATTAGAGGAGAGTCGAGAAAAAATCGATAAAAGGAATAAACTAGAAGGTACGTTTTAAAAGTGTATTAACCGATTTACGAACTACATATTTTTTAGAATACATCCACGATTATTTGAGTGTGTCCGGGCACTATCACAAATTTACCTTTTACGAAACTCAACAAATACTACAGTACTCTGCTACTTATAAGAAAGACTTTAGTGCATATAAGGCAGCTTTGGGTTTCAATGCTATCCAGATGTACGCCGGAAACTTGCTCGCACAACCTTGGAGGAAAGAGTACAGAACATTGAAGGTTTATCATTAATGTATATTACTGATGTAGGGTTTAATTTAAGAATTTCGTAGACTTATTGTGGATTTTACAAACACCAAGTAGAAGCGAATTTATTAGGAGCCGATAAACTATTTATAGATATGGGCTATAGGTATTTGGGAGAAGGCCTGTTAGTTCTAGAAGGCCCAATTTGCCCGGACAGAGTAACAGCTGTTTCGAGGGATTGTCTCATAGCTTACGTTGAATGCCAGGTCGGTAAAAATAAAACAAATACAAACGAACATAAACTATAACATTGTAGATTTTAAAAGCGATATGGGAAGAAGTATACAAAACATTCAAAATATCCTGGTTGGAAGTCCTCGAATTTCGAACGAAATACATCTGTAGCCCCGAGGAATGTATCATTGCGTTAAAAAGTCAACACCACCATCGACAATACCAGGAGCACACAAGAAGCTTGTCTCAAGGCTCCCCGAATAACTACACCGTATCCGTTCCAATAGTCACGCCCGTCATGCCTATGAATCATTCATTTCCTCCTTCCCATCACCACCACCATCAAGTGGGGCTACCGTTGCAACAGGAATACGCCGTTGTGAACGGTTGCTGTTCAGGAAATTACGGCAATTACACGATACCATATTCGCAACCTGTTCTAAGACCGCCGGAATACTCGTACATCCCAATGGCGACGGTTCCTACGGCTAAATTAATCGAAATAGATTCGAATCGATCGCACGACACAGTAGATCATCCGAAACCTCCGGCGGAAAGAAGGCAAACCAAACGACCAACAGAAAACAACTACAATAATACCGTTAAAAACGGATTAGATGCGAACAAAGATTCCCAGTTGAAAGACTGGGAGTACGTTTACAACAGCCTGGAGAGCCAGGGTTACACGAAAGACTTGGGCGAAAGGGGCGATATATTGAGCCCCGATTCGTCGAAACAAACCGACGATTTCAAGACGATCAAACAGACTAATCTGGACGAAGCCGTTCGACAAACGTTCCACGACAGGCCTTTGAAAGTTAGCGATACTCCGAAGAAACCCCAGAAATCTCCCAACGACTGCAAAGCCGTTTCCAAAGATAAAGCCGCGTCCGAAAAAACGTTGGAGAAAGATAAATCGGCGAGGAAGAAGTTGTTGAGCAAGCTCACGAACGAAGGGAAACCCGGCAAGTGGGAGTGCAAGGCGTGCACGTTCATCAACGATACCAGCAAGGATATTTGCGAGATGTGCAGCAAAAGTAGGATTATCAAGGACGAGACTCCGATCGAAATCGGCGGGGCCGAATGCAGCCAATGTACTTTAGTTAATTCGAAAAATAACGATAAGTGCGAAGCGTGCGGTTTGAGTTTGGTTGGCTCTCCGACTTATATATAAAATTTTATTTTGTAAGCTTTTTCACTAGATTCCGCATCTTTGAGTAGACTGATTGTTGTTAATTTGTTGCTTAACTTAAGGGAATTGTCGAGAAACGTGCACCGCACCGGTAAGGGTAAAGGTTTTTTTTTATTAAAATACCAAACGGATATTTTTCTTTTTCTGTGTGTAAGTATTATAATTAAATCGAAAGTTTTATTGGAGATTTTTTACTTTTTTCAATACGCACATCTGGCACTTCTACTCCAAGTTTGTACATAAACACAAAAGTACTTGTAATGACGATTAAAACTGTGTGTTTTACATTGTGTTTATTGTTACATGTGGTATTTTTACAACCTTCTCTTCTCTAACATGCTCCAACCGATTGTAAAAGTGGATAGGTATTTAAATTGTTTAATTAATAGGTTTATATGTAATACCTATTTTGGATAATCGATTAGGTTCTTGTAAAATTTGAGAGTTTTTCAACCCACCTTTTGCTTTTATGGATAACATTTTAATATATTTTAAAGGGTTTTCCGAGCCGACCCGTAACTTCTTAAACATGTTTTGTTTGCGAAGTTGCGAATCGATTCGTTTACCACGAATCGCCCTGTATGTTGAACATATTGTGATTTATATGTACAGGTAGGTATGGAACAAACTGCGCTTCATTAAACTTGTACTAAACGCCTTTGTATCGTTGATTATTACCTACAACGTGGTTTTAATTGTGCTATATCGATATACCTACCTAGGTAGTACTTTAATATATTGTTTGTAAGTTTCATATTTTATTTATTTTGAAAATAAAACGACTAAATTCATTTCAATGAGTTTTTAATTATACTCCGTAAACAATACGACGAAAAATCGAATTATTATAAACCAATAGTACCAACTTTTTCATTAAATATTGTTATACCTTGCTCCATTTCCTATTGCAATATGGTCATTTCTATGAGTGTAACAAAGAAAGATTATTAAAATGACAGCTGTCAGAGTGAAAAGTTGTAACGACACAAATGTCACTCTTTCCTTTTCCTTTGTAAGTGTCTAATGGAAGTTGTTTGTATTGCAATCAAAAATGGAGCAACCTGTATACGATTGACACGCGGTTTACTGCTTATAATAGAATGTTTTATAAATCATCTCCTGATGACGAAAGAAGTATAATATGTCCGAGCGGTCTGTTACAAATCTATAAAGAAACCAAACCTGCAAGTAGCTAAATAATAGTTAATTAGAGTCGAGTTGACATGATTTCCGCCTTTCACCGATCGGTACGTTCGATGCGAAGACGCGTGCCCGAACTGCTAAATAAGCACCCATCGTATATCCATTCGCCGATGGTACATATTACAGGCATTTGATCAACGGCCCGGGATGGCAAACCGCCCATCGGGCTCATCTAGTGTGTCTTCGAACGGTAAAACGCTTCGAAATAATCATTTGACGTTTCCGGTTACAGTAACAATAAATTGAAGATTTACATTAAGTGCGATCAGGTACCGTTTCACGTAAACTACTATCGGAACTCTGTGCTCGTACGGGTTTGTCGCGACGTTTCTTCAATACTATAATTTTTTTACGATATTTAATAACATGCCGATTTCGCATCAATTCAGACCGCAACATGGTCGTTTCCATGAGTTGAACAAAGAAAGATTAATAAAATGACAGTTGTCAGAGTGAAAAGTTCACACAAATGTCACTCTTTCTTTTTCTTTTGTAAGTGTCTAATGGAAGTTTTCTTTATCGCATCACCTATGTTCCGATCTGGAATGAATTACAGTGTATTTACTATATATCTGTATTCTTACTTAACTTTTAATAGAATATATGCTCTATATAGAACTAAAATGAATACTAAAATTTATCTGTATACAACGGAAAATAACGCTTATTTTATAACAGTCGTTACTGCACCTCTATACCGAAATTCGATACCCACCTCTATTAAACATCTGTCATTCGGAATGTCATTAATGTTAATTTTGACAGTTTTTGTCTTAAAGTTTTTGATGATGCATGGGGGAATTAATGAATCCAATTTTGGGGAATTCCTGATGCGTGGAATTAGTGCAAAAATTCATAATACTTATACAAAATATAAAACTTTCCAAAACTAGAATTGCCGGAGACACCGTTTACTGCATAAATTCGTGATAATATTCTCTCCCCTTGGAAGCCACCCTTGCGTGGAGGTGTCGCGCAGGGACCAGTGACCTTTCGGAAACGAGCGCGCTAGATAATCAGCATTCGATATATAACAGTAAGAGGATGAGCCAGGATGTAGGTAATAGGATGTTAGGTCCACGTCCGTCGGGCTTCTCGTTATATAGCATTGCTTAACTTGGAGGGATTCCTCAAACTGAATCGCGAGAAATACTCGGTAAACCGATACCTATACGCGATGATCTACCTATATATATTCGCTCTTTCCTCGATTTTTATTTTTATTCGTATATTTTAATGCTGATGCTTTGCTAGGTGTATTTTTATCCAATAAATAAAAGGGTATAACGCGCGTTCGTCAATTGAGTAAGTTCAACAAAATTGCGTAGATAAGGAATTGCGTAATTTTATTAACGTATACGCTATATATAGCGTAGCGCTTACGTGGTAGGTTCGTTTCAGATCGGATTGGTCAATAGGTTTATTTGCTTTATCGGAATCCTTTTCGAATCATTGGCGGTGGGATGCTGAAAGTCTGGTCCATGCTCCGCCTCTTTCAAGAACCGCTATGGCGGATATAACGTGCACGTGTTAAAGAGAAACTCCACTGACGAGCTCTACATATGTATATTTACAAATACTTTATCTTTGTACATCTATATTTATTTGGATGATTGGTGTTGATTACATACTTTTTTTAGTTTAGTGTGTAGGTGAATTTGAAGAGTAAAATGATACAAATTGTGTAAGTAGTAAAAATGGTCTTATTTTCACGATGAAGGTTTGATGAGTTTTGGATCACTCAAATTTCCTGCAATGTTTATATAATTATAGCAAATTAAATCGTGAAATAAAACCTAATTCCCCATTTCACCAACTTCCTTAATCACCTCCATCAATGTACTAGTTTAAACTATTGATATTTTACAAAGTGATAAGATAAATATATTCTAACGAACTAACATAAACATTGCTGTGTAAAAATATTTGGAGGAGCAATCCTATACTCTTTATTATATCGGTTGCTTCAATTCAGACCGCAACATGGTCGTTTCAATGAGTGGAACAAAGAAAGATTATTAAAATGACAGCTGTCAAAGTGAAAAGTTGCAATGACACAAATGTCACTCTTTCCTTTTCCTTTGTAAGTGTCTAATGGAAGTTGTCTTTATCGCACCCATATAACCTATATTGCGATCAAAAATGGAGCAACCTGTATAGAAGCTTTTTATAAACCCTTACATATCAATTAGTCACCATTATTAAAAGAATTGAAACAATGTGTTAAATTTGAAAGTTTATTGGCCGTTCGTGGCTCGTCCGCGTCTCGGATTCTGTTCCAACCTTATTGTTGTGTTGTTTCGACTTGTCACTCAATGCTTGTCGATAAATTTGGAAAGACTAATTGGCTATGCAACGGACGCCTTCATCACAAAATAAAAGAGCAGAAAGAAGCGGTTTCGGAGGAATACTAATGCGAAAGAGTTTGAAGACCCAAGGCGGTGGCCTGGCGTTATTTCACTTATGTATACTGTTGAAAAACAGGACCGTCTTCGTTTTTATTAATAACAATTTTTTTTGTACAGGTTGCTTCATTTTTGATTGCAATAAATATGGGTGCGATAAAGACAACTTCCATTAGACAGACACTTATACAAAGGAAAAAAAAACAGTGGCATTTGTGTCACACCTGTCATTTTTATAACCTATCTTTGTTCCACTCATAGAATGACCATATTGCAGTATAGGAAATGAGAGGAAGGTGTATATGATGCATTATAACTATTTTCTTATAGGTACCAAAATCTTTTTTAGTATAACATAATTAATAATTTGTTTGTTTTACTCTCCTATAATATCTCATCATCAGCGCCCGGTAAAATCAAATTCACGGCAATCGCCCTAATTGAATACCAAACAAAGGAAAACAATCATCGAGGGTAGGTATATCAAAAAGCGAAAGCGAGATGCGTCATTTCATCTTTTGTTAGCCGAATTGAAATGTTTATCGGGGCGCGGTAGGCCGAGACCCTAAATGTCAACTCTCAAATGTCACAACCTCAGCCTCCCCAGACCGAATCATCTCCTATTACAATTAATTTGGGGGTTATTACATGGTACCGAAAATATTGCGACTCGAAGCGCTTCACGGATACTCGGCGAGAAAATTACTACATTCGGTGAATCATCATGCATGATGAAAATTGCTTATTTAATTAGAAAAATGTGGGGAAAAAAATATCAGCATTTCGGCTCGCCCTGTATTTTGTAACGCGGTATTTTGTAACTATTTAAAATTTCGGATATAGAGTAGAACGGCTCGCACCGAACGTGCATTATATATACATATATTTCGTATCCTTCATTAGCACCTTAATTTCTCCGAAAGAATTCATGCGAGAGTCGTGTGCAGACACGAAAGCGTCGATTCGATAATAATGTAAATAATAAGTTCGATACGTATTCGAAATAAGACGGAGGAATTGTGACGGATGCTCGACATGTACGGAATACCCGCCCGGGCTGATGTGCTTACAAATAATGAATAAGCGAATCGACCGGACAGGTCCGTCCCGATCCCATCGACACCCATTATTCAAATTGAAATATATCGTTGAAGGTAAATTCATGCATTATGCATTTCCATTTCGAGAACTCTATAGTAATTTCCCTAACATTTGACGAATCCCTTTTATAGAATAAAGTTGAATATTTCACAATTAGTGCATCTAAATTGGGCGAATAAACAAAACTTTCGAAATTGACATTAATGACATTTCGTATGACAGAAGTTTAATAGAGGTGGGAATAGAATTTTTGGTATAGAGGTGCAGTAACGACTGTTACAAAATAACCGTTATTTTTCAAATATCGTATAGGTACTCTATAATAATCCCTTCTCATCTACTCTATCGTACCATACTGTGCCAAAAACTTGGTGTGTTATAAAAGTCTATTATATAGATTTCCGAAAAATGACATCAGACGAATTCTATTCATCGGATCGAAGGATGTTTGGAAGAGATCCAAGATGTGTAAAGAGTACGTTGTACCGTTAGCGTCCTGTTCTCTCCGACTAACGTCGGCTCGCGCGATGACTACTAATAGCAGTTCACCAGGAAATGGGCAACGGCATCGGTGCCTTGTATATTCATCGCGCCCATTATCGTTATCTTTCTATTAAATCCTACAAGTACATTCGAAAACCAAGCGTTCCCGATCATCTCTGAACATTTCGTATCGTAATCGATTGTAGTAACAGACCGTTATTTAACGCATTAACGTATTCATACCAGCACCCTTATGTATGATATAAGTAAGACCACGCGATCGTTCGATATACCGTCGCGACTTCCTGCCCGGTCTCCCTCGAAGAATGTTCTTCATCTGCGCGAGATCGAGAAAAAGGTAGAAATTGCCGGATGAGTCGTAAAACGCTGCGGGCGACAGACGTCCCTCCGACCAGAAGGTCCGAGAAAGAAAACTACAATCGAACATCAGGGCTGCTTAAGGTGCTTATACACCGTGTAATAGTACCGAGCCTTGATCTATTTGTAACGAGTTTTATTGACAAAAATTTACTTTAAATTCTGATGCAGTAGTTTTCACTACTGTTGAAGTTAGTATAGTATTACTCTAGTCTGGAGAC